GTGGCAAGCCCCATAGCCCTATTATTCAAGGTTTTCTTACTCAATATTTTTGATATTTTTTTCTTGTCGCCGAGCGAACAGGACCCATGATACCCCAGTGAATCCATGGAAGGTGGACTCATGAGGCATTTTGTTGCATGGTCCCCGTGCTTTTTTTTTGCCCTTCCCCAGACCTTATCCCGCAGGGCTCGACATCAGCGGCGTTCGCGCCCCAAGGCTGAGAAAATTTTGATTGCAGAAGCTTGGAAAACACAAGACACATCAGATCCTGCTACGTGCTTGAACTTTACGCAAGATCTTTTTTTTTTCTACACGTGAGCATTGACGTATGGTGGGCAAAAGCCACATGAAAAACTGCACAGAAGAGAGTCTGTACTGTAGCTGCCGACGATCGCGAGACATTTTTCTTTCGTGATATCTTATTCGATGTCTATCGGGGCTAGACCGGGTTCTTCTTTGCAGTTATGACGACTGTAGATCGCCTGAGCGAATCCTATGCACGGTCGCATCCTGCCATCGGCCATGATTAAGTACTAATATGTAATCCTAATCTATTTTGCTAGGTAGCGAAGGTACCAATCCTAAAAATTAACATATTAAATGTGCCATCTATCACTTTAAAAAGGGTTATGTCTAATTAACCATAAATAATCTATTTCTGACTTGTCTCTGATATTGTGGACCAGATTGTTCCACGGCTCGTGTGTGGGGGTTCAATTTTTCTCGACGCTTCTGCGGCGTTTCGACTCGCGCCAATTTTCGCGCTGCTACAACTTGTTACGGAGAGCTCTCCACTTCTATCCTGCACCTCGGAGGTAGAGCAAATCCAGCAAAGATCCTTCGGACCCTCTTATATCTGTAGACAAACGGGAAATAGGGGGGGGGGAATTCCACGGAGTCCGTAACAATACTCTCGTGCAAGCCCGTACATACTGTACAGTCACCACATACATATGCAAGTCAATCATCCCCAAAAAATAGGTACTTTGTTCCAAACCCCAGGATCGTAAGCCGGCTTGGCTGACGTGTATGTTCCCTTAACAGCACCAAAAAAAGGGGGAGGGGGAAAACAAAAGGCCAAAATAATAATAATACATAATAATGTAACGGGCGAGAATCCCCCGGAATTAATCGCAACTCAATTGGCAAGGAAATTAGGAGATCCTTGGATCAGTAGCTTGGTTTGTTCTCGCACGGGTCTGCTGGAGGACGAAGCGCTAAGTCGCGTCGTGTCGGGAACGTCCCGCCTCAATGCTGCTTTGGAATTGGCCCACGCATGTCGCCCGACTTTTGTTCCCCACAGTAAATGGCCGGGAAGTTTGCGTGAAGTGGTCGCATTCGGGTTCCCGAAGTGGTTTGGCCCCAAGGATTTGGCTGGGCTCATCTCATTGTTCTTCCTAAGATGCCAGTGCTCTGCTGGATTCGAGTTGTAAAGGGTCACTGGTGATTCAGGTGATTCAGGTGGGGTCTAAGGATGAACTAACCTTACTGCTTCCTGGAGGAAGTTTACTTGGATGCCAGTTGATGATCATCGTCAGCATTGAAAGTTGAAGATTCAATGTAGTGCATACAGTAATTCCAGTTTGCGATCGGGGTTTTGGCCCCCTCGTTTTCTATCCATCTTACTCAGTCCTGTTATTCCCGTAGGAGTGGTCGTCTACATTGGCTCCTCGTCCGATCTGACTTCATGGGGTTATCTACCGCGGAAAGCGCCCAAGCACGAACTTGAAGGGAATAGCCATCTTGTGTAGTCCGAGATATACGTACTGCTAATGAGGTACTTCGTGCCAGCCCATCGCTACTAGTTACGCGAGGTATATATGTACTTACTGTACGAATGAAGAATTTAACATCATAAACCTGAATATATAAAGCACTACTATCCATGAATCAAGAAACAATACCCATTAATCTATATACATAACCAGCTATTGACCAATAACCATCCCAGTAATACAAAAGTTGAACATGAGCAAAGAAATTCGCCTCAGGTTAATCAAGTACATATGTACGGAGTCATCTGGGGTCCCGACCAGATCAACCCGGGGTACATCCTCCAGGATCGAGTTCAGTCATCAAGCCAGCCAGCCATGCTACCCAATGAACATACCTCAAAATAATCCAGCGATCGATCACTAGGCAAGATCAAGCCTCTGACGAGTATCCGCGCTCCCCGGAAGCTTGCATCGACTCAAAAACAAGGATGATTCCCTGTTGGCTGGCTCCCGGAAAGAAAAGAAGGCTGGGCTGGAGGTCACGGACATCAGAGGATCTACAAGGAGCGTTGAGCTACTTTACATGTACTATGAACAAGCTACATAGTAGCGAGATTATCATCTGCGATGACTAGTGTTCCTGCTAATCACAAATTCCAGCTGTTTGACGTATTTTGACGTGTTGGCGTCTCGGACTAGTCGAACGTAAATCAGAAATCAGAAATCAGAGATAAGACGGGCGCGTCAGTGGATGATTCGGGAGGATGAGGCCCCCAAACTTGAAAACGTGTATCACATCTAGCGCGTGAAGGATCATGATGAATGTTGCAGTTGAGGTGATGCCGCCCTAGCTAAGCTCCTCCATACTGTATGCCGCAATTAATGATTAATGTAGTTTAGCGAGGTTAAGCCGAGGTTGACGACGGAGGGCATCCGGTGTACATAGATTAAAGCTACCTACTACGAGAAGGAGAATCAAGTAGATATGATAATAAATAATTATTATGATCAGAATCTAGTATGTATTTACCTATTGTCTCTGTCTCCGTACGGTGTGTAGCTGATCCAGAGCGCAATACACGGACAACCCGAGAAACAGCGCGGGAAATTCAGTGCCCCAAGCACTGAATCGCCGACTCCGCCGATCAGCCAAAAGCGCCAAATCAGCACGACCCGATGAGGTCATAGCTACTGATTCTTCACGTTCTGATTTGCCCAGTGCTAGTCTTGGTGGTGCACTAGGCCGTTCAGTGAGTGGAGACCCTGACGGATGAATTGGCCAGTAGAGAGCGCCGAATTAAATGGCGCTTCTGGGGACTGATATCTCCACGAGGACCAGGGGGCCCCAGCCAGAAGGAAAGATCGACCATGGTTGGTGAGATACCAGTCGGGCAGCTTGAGCGAGAGTGGGTGTCTGTGGTGGCGGTAAGAGATTGAGGGACGTGTCGATAATGTGCCCGGACACTGGACAGGGTTAAACGGCAACGGCAGATAATACTGAGAATAAACGGAGACAGAGACAGAGACAGTCATGGCTATGACATAATTATTTTGGTTAAGGATTCGCCCATCGATCTAATTCCCTATTTAGCCGATTTTTACATAGATTACAACTGCGATACCTTTTATTTCCAATGGTATGCTGGGCCCTTTCTTTTCCATAGTGTAGAAGTATTGGCATACATATCTGGATGGTCTTGGCTGCTTGCGGTGCCCCTTGCTACCATTATCTTGGGGTCCGGATAAGGGCGGATTATTTCTTGTCGTCATAATTGATGATTTTCTATGCTACGTGAAGAGATTTTATTGTTTTTCTGTGCGATTCTTTGAACTCATTCTGACCCGCAAGTGGGAATTGAATTTTTGTCCCAGATCCGGACGATGTACGGGAAGTATAGTGTATGGTACCAGGTACCCAGTGGTATATCTCCTCGGGGGATCTCTCTAAATGAAGGAATATGTTCCTGCAAGGGAGGATGGGGTTTGACTACTATGTGTGTAATATGTGTACTGGAGGTAGAGTATGTATGTGCACCCAGTACAATGGGTACTTCGGTACTCCGCACCTCACCAGCATACCTAATCTCAAATTTTATTTCCGGCTGTCGCTGAATGTGACCATTTGATCTATTCTCCGCGGTGTTGAAAATTCGCGATGCATTAGCCGTGCCAATGGCCTTGGGGCTAATATTTTCGTTATTTTTGTTGTGTGTGAATCGATTGTGTTCGACGGGGGTCAAGGAAATTACTTGCTTAAACAAAAATCGCGCATAGTGAAGCTGGTCGCAGCAACACTCCAACCGCTCTCGGCAAGGCTAGGAACGAGGATTGTAATGGCGTACCGATTTATACCGAGTGTGGTGTGGAGGCCAGCTCGGCACTGGGCTGCCGGTCGCAATTGTTAGAGCTGTGTTCGTGTGGTATTGTGCGGTGACAATACGATACAGTTGAAAATTTCATGATGTTGCGTTTTGGGTTTAGACTGAGTGCACTAGTTGAAGAGAGCTCTCCACCTTTGGAGATGCAGTCCATGCAGTGATGCTCACGATCAGTACAGATATCTTGGGGGCTGTTTTCTTATTTTTCGGGTTTTCTTTCGCGTCTGGGCATTGCATGTAGGATCTACTCACCTACATGAAGATGTAGAATTATGAGGTTCAGGGCAAGGGGGGGCGAAAAAGATAGAGGAAGGGAAATAATCCGCATAATCTGAATTGGGAATGACCAGAACCAAGGAATAAATCAATGTTGTAAAAAAATAATGTAAAATAATCGAAAGAAAAAATAAAAATAATAAAATTCAAATTAAAAAGAAATAAAATTTCAAAATCAAAAACATCCATTAAAAGTGGGTCTGGTTAGTACTGTACATGCTACTTCCCCCAGCAACCAGGTACCCTACCTACGACCCAGTATCAACACGGGATTTTCTCTCTGCTGCTTGCTGCTTTCTGTCTTTTTTCTTCTTTTTCTTTTTTTCTGGATTTTAATTTTGAAATTTTCGATTTCTTTTTTCTATTTTCCCTTTTTTCCCTTCCAATTTTTATTTCCCTCAACACGGGCTCTATCCACACAACCCACTCCGGTTCTCTCTTTCGTGCTCCTCCACTCATTGCCTTTCCCCCCCGTATTATAAAGTAGTCCCTCCCTCTCACCCACACTCTTTCTTTTTTTTTTCTTCCTCCCCATAGGAACATTCCGTCTCGCGTCATACTTTGTGGTGTGTTTTTGTTTCTGCTCATATTGTGGGTTCGAAAGGCTTTGTGAGCCGAAGTAGCAGCAACAATGGCGTCCACTACTCAACAGACGTCCGAGCGGAGGATCTCCTATGCTGTCGACGTGGAGAACGGTGAACACCGCGAACGCCAACCTACCGAAGCCAACGAGGGAGGAATGGACGAATACTCCGCTTTGAACCGTTACATCTCGACTGCCCGTGACGGTCGTCGTGGTTCGACCTCCAGCGCTGGTGCGCTGTCCACCAAGCCCGCCAAGAAGCCCTTCTGGAAGTTCTGGGCTAAGGGTGGTGACAGTGTTGAGGAGGGCTGGCAGGCCCCCGATGAGTGGCTCGACACCGACCTGAGCTCTGGTTTGAGCTCTTCTGATATCGATGTCCGCCGCAAGAAGGGTGGCTGGAACGAGCTGGTTACTGAGAAGACCAACATCTTCGTCCAGTTCATTGGTTATTTCCGTGGTCCTATTCTCTATGGTGAGTGATTCTTCTACATTCTGGTTGCCGTTTCAATGGTATTCGTGAAGTTTTCACGCGATTGGAACGCGTCAAACAGAAAAGAAGACCTGAATTCTAACGCGTTTCTTCTCCTATAGTTATGGAACTTGCTGTCCTTCTCGCCGCTGGTCTGCGTGACTGGATCGATTTGGGTGTTATCTGTGGTATTCTCTTGCTTAACGCTCTCGTTGGTTGGTACCAGGAGAAGCAGGCTGCCGATGTCGTCGCCTCCCTTAAGGGTGACATCGCTATGCGTGCTATTGTTGTTCGTAACGGTCAAGAGGAGGAGATCCTCGCCCGTGAGCTCGTCTCTGGTGACATTGTCATCGTTGAGGAGGGCCAAGTTATCCCCGCCGATGTTCGCCTGATCTGTGACTACTCCAAGCCCGAGATGTACGAGAACTACAAGGAGTACCTCGCCAACTACAACGACGACACCCTCAAGGAGAAGAACGAGGATGATGATGATGAGGATGCTCGTGAGGCCCACGCTGGTGTCTCCCTGATTGCTTGCGATCAGTCTGCCATCACTGGTGAATCTCTCGCTGTCGATAAGTACATGACTGATGTCTGTTACTACACCACTGGTTGCAAGCGTGGCAAGGCCTACGGTATTGTCACTGCTACCGCCCGCCAGTCTTTCGTCGGTAAGACCGCTGCTCTCGTCCAGGGTGCTAAGGACCAAGGTCACTTCAAGGCTGTCATGGACAACATTGGTACCTCCCTGCTCGTTCTCGTCATGTTCTGGATTCTCGCTGCTTGGATTGGTGGTTTCTTCCGTCACCTCAAGATCGCTACCCCTGAGAACTCTGACAACAACTTGCTCCACTACACCCTGATTCTTCTCATCATTGGTGTCCCCGTCGGTCTACCCGTTGTTACCACCACCACCCTCGCTGTCGGTGCCGCCTACCTTGCTGAGCAGAAGGCTATTGTCCAGAAGCTCACTGCCATTGAGTCCCTCGCTGGTGTCGACATTCTGTGCTCTGACAAGACCGGTACTCTCACTGCCAACCAGCTCTCCATCCGTGAGCCCTACGTCGCTGAGGGTGTTGATGTTAACTGGATGATGGCCGTCGCCGCTATTGCCTCTTCCCACAACGTCAAGAACCTGGACCCCATTGACAAGGTTACTGTCCTTACTCTCCGCCGCTACCCCAAGGCCCGTGAAATTCTCTCTCGTAACTGGGTTACCGAGAAGTACACTCCTTTCGACCCCGTCTCCAAGCGTATTACTACCATCTGTACTTGTGACGGTGTCCGCTACGTCTGCGCCAAGGGTGCCCCCAAGGCTATCCTCAACATGTCCGAGTGCTCCGAGGAGGAGGCTCAGCTCTACCGTAACAAGGCTACTGAGTTCGCTCGCCGTGGTTTCCGTTCTCTCGGTGTCGCCGTCCAGAAGGAGGGTGAGCCATGGCAGCTTCTGGGCATGTACCCCATGTTCGACCCCCCTCGTGAGGATACCGCACACACCATCGCTGAGGCCCAGGTCCTCGGTCTGTCCGTTAAGATGTTGACTGGTGATGCCATTGCTATCGCTAAGGAGACTTGCAAGATGCTTGCCCTCGGTACCAAGGTTTACGACTCTGAGCGTCTCATTCACGGTGGTCTCGCCGGTTCCGCCCAGCACGATCTCGTTGAGAAGGCTGATGGTTTCGCTGAGGTCTTCCCCGAGCACAAGTACCAGGTCGTCGAGATGCTCCAGCAGCGTGGTCACTTGACTGCCATGACTGGTGACGGTGTTAACGATGCTCCTTCCCTGAAGAAGGCTGACTGTGGTATTGCCGTCGAGGGTTCCACTGAGGCTGCCCAGGCTGCCGCCGATATTGTCTTCCTTGCCCCCGGTCTGTCCACCATCGTCGATGCTATCAAGCTCGCCCGTCAGATCTTCCAGCGTATGAAGGCCTACATCCAGTACCGTATTGCCCTGTGTCTCCACTTGGAGATTTACCTCGTTACCTCCATGATCATCATTGAGGAGACCGTCCGCTCTGAGCTCATTGTCTTCATCGCCCTGTTCGCTGATCTTGCCACCATTGCCGTCGCTTACGATAACGCTCACTTCGAGGCCCGCCCCGTCCAGTGGCAGCTTCCTAAGATCTGGGTCATCTCCGTCATTCTTGGAATCTTGCTCGCTGCCGCCACCTGGATCATCCGTGCTTCCCTCTTCCTCGAGAACGGTGGTATCATCCAGAACTGGGGTTCTCCTCAGGAGATTCTCTTCCTCGAGATTGCTCTTACTGAGAACTGGCTCATCTTCGTTACCCGTGGTGGAAAGACCTGGCCCTCTTGGCAGCTGGTTATTGCCATCTTCATCGTCGATGTTCTGGCTACCCTCTTCGCTGTCTTCGGCTGGTTGGGTGAGTGGGACCAGACCCACCCCCACGACCCTGCTGCCTACGGTTTCTCCCACAACAACAACGTCGACATTGTCACCGTCGTTGTCATCTGGGGTTACTCCATTGGTGTCACTGTCATCATTGCCGTTGTCTACTACCTCCTCACCATCATCCCCTGGTTGGACAACCTCGGTCGTGAGACCCGCTCCAAGGCCGACAAGGCCATGGAGGACTGGATCACCAACCTCTCCAAGCTCGCCATCGAGCACGAGGTCGACGCCGAGGGCAAGTCTCGCTACACCCTCGCTGCTCGCACCGACGACGTCGAGGAGGACGAATAGATCATTCGCCCCTAGGCATCTTTCCTTTTTTCTGAACTCGATACTGGTCCGAGATTCAAATTAATTTCCTTATTTCATTTTATTATCCCCCTTGGTACACAACTTGAAGCAAATATTTTGTTGCTGCCATCAATCTGGACATGCATACCGTGGAAAAAAAAGATGGAAGGTGCAGGTTTCTGTGTCTTGTTTTTCTTTCTTTTCCCTTTTTCCCCGTACAATAGACTTTTGTGTGTTCCAATTACCCCTTGATATCTCGTCGTCTTTGTTTGTGACTTCATAGAGGATCGAGTTTTTTGCTTTCTCTACGTGTATGTATGTCATTAATAGTGGTACTTAGTTAAGTCATCAAGGGTTCTAATAACTTTCTTCCTTCTGTAAATCTTTCCAACTTAAAACCCGTAGAACAGTTGGCATTCCTTTGTACTCTAATTCTCCTCGCTTTTGCTTAGCACTTGTATTTGAACTTTCTAAATGTCTGCTTCTCTTCTGGTCTGTGTCCATGCATGTACCCCACTTCATACCATCCACCTCCGCATATTCTTACAGGTGGAAGACTATTTGTCCGTCCCCAACTACAATGGCCAAATTTCTCCGTTACAATTCATCTGCAGCACTAGACCAAGCTTTTTCAAACCCCAGCTTCGTGGGGTATGCGGAGATTAAGATTACCATCTCCTCACTCTTCGCAATCTATGCGCGGACATAGCTCCCATCTAGGCCATAGTCGTGATTAACACGACAAGAGCTCAGAAATTTTCCGTCTAATGGGTTAAAATCAAAGTATTGTGTGCTCTTGGCTTAAACCTGTAAACGTAGTATAAAACGCTCCAACTTTCTTTGATCCTTTTCATCTTGATGTCAATGTCAATGTCAAGTGCCAAGACTTGGTCCAAGTCTTGAGACATCGACTACCATATCTACAGCCTACACCAAAAACAATCAATCAAAATGCACTTCAAATACCTCTCTCTCCTAGCCCTAGCCCTCCTCCAACCAGTCCACTCCTTCGCAATCCAGTCCCGCTCAACCTCAACACAAACCCGTACCCAATGCCAAAAACACCTCAACTGTCCCAAAGACACCCTCTTCGTCTCCCCCACAGACCCCCGCGCAAGCCATAAAACAATCCAAAGCGCAATCTCCTCCCTACCAAACGATAAATCCTCACAGACAATCCTCGTTTTCGAAGGATCCTACAACGAACAATTAAACGTCACCAGACCAGGTCCCATAACCATCCTCGGCCAAAGCGATTCACCATCCGACCCGTTAAAGAACAAAGTAACTGTTTCTTTTGCCGCGGCGAATCAGGATAGTACCGGGACCATTGATAATGTCTGGTTTAGCGTTTTGGTTGTTGCGCCTACGCTGGATGCAAGTCTGATTGGGAGTGGGACGACGGGATTTGCGGTGCCGGATGATACGCCGTTTGGGAATACGGATTTCAGGGTGTATAATGTTGATTTTGTGAATGATTTTGCGCCTTATACTGATGGTCCTGCTGCGGCGATGATGATTAGTCGGGCGAATGGGGGGTTCTATTATTGTGGATTTTACTCTTATCAGGATACGGTATGTGTGATCCATCCACCTACATTCTATACTACTTTCTCACCATCATGGCTGGACTTGATTCTATTCATTCAATTGAATAGAATAGTGTTTGATTTGTGTACTTGAACTAACATCTACACAGATCTATGTTGGAAAACTTGGAAACGCCTACTTCTACAAAAGCATCATTGCCGGCGAAACGGACTTCCTCTATGGTTTCGGCACAGCCTGGATCCAATCATCCGATATTCAACTCCGAGGCTGCGGAGGCGGCATAACAGCCTGGAAAGGGACGAATACAACATTCGAAAACAAATACGGCGTCTACATCGTCGATAGTAACGTTGCTGCTGCAAATTCGTCAGTTGCACCCAGTATCAAGGGGAAATGTGCTCTTGGACGGCCGTGGAATGCACTACACAGATCTATTTTTGCAAATACCTATGAAGATGGAAGTATTCTTCCTGCGGGGTATATTCAGTGGGATGATCGGTATGAGGACGGATCTACGCTTATGGCTGAGTATGAGGCTTTTGGGCCCGGTTTTAACAAGACGGCGAGAGTTGATGGGGGATATGATACTTTGCTTAGCAAGAAGGGGTATCAGACTTACTCCACGCCTGAGGTCGTGTTTCAGGATCAGGAGGGGAAGCTTGGGTATGTGGATTGGATTGATTGGGAGACTGTCGGTGGGAAATAGGTGGATGCTTACCAAGAGATGTATGGGGTGTTTGATGCGGACTTTCAAGGACCGAGACTTGGATTGGAAATCATGATGAACATAGTAGTTTAGCTCGTTGGACTTTAGTGTGTGGAAAATTCTTGATTTGATACGCCCAAGTCCATGAATGACTATGTCTAGAGTACAAGAACAGACCAAGAAGTAGATAGCCGGTGTCAATTGGAAAGCACATTACCCACAACTCCCATAAACATTCAAGCCACCCCCAAGCAAGCTTAATCTTCCACTATTCCCATCATCGCCCAAACGCCCAATCCTAGCAAGATACGCAGCTCCCGTATCCGCCCAAACCTTATACTCAGAAACCAACAACTGACCCTTCTTCGCCCCACTATCTTCCTTCGCAAGCTTAATACGATAAACAAACGTCTCATCCCAGGAATTATTGTTTTCCTTCCATATAAACGTTGCTGCACCCCGTAGACAAACGCACATGGTACTCTCGTCGACTATCCATTCGGAATCAGGTTCGAAGTCCATAGAGTTGATTTCTAGGAATTGGGATAGGATGTCGAAGTATTGAGATATGCCGTCTGCTCCTGTGAATGTGCGGCCGAGGAAAGGGGCTAGTTGTTGTAGTCCGTGTTCGTGAATTAGAGGTTCGGGGGAGCTGGTGAAGGTTGAGGTTATGGTTGTGATGGGGGAGTTGGTTGTTATGGCGTTGAGGAGGGAGTGGGTTGAGTCTATTAGAGATGCTCGAGAGGTCATGATGAGCAATAGGTTTTTGATTTTGATTTTGATATGGGTATTGATGGGGATGGGGATGAGGAGTGAGGTTGGGTTTGAGTTTCTGGGTCCAAGGTTCTTATACTGGAGTTGAATGGATCTGGGGATTTGGGATTGTATGCGTTTGACATAACAATGACGTGGATAACATTCTTTTCGTTGTTTTGGGCTTTCTTGTTTCCCTCTGTGTCTACTAATCAAGTCGTTTCCCAAGAGAATCTTGGTGGTTTCGTGCTGTAGAAGATTCTCCTCCAACTAGAAGGAGCCTCGTTGATTTCCTCAGATCGAGAACTGAAATACTAGGCTTTCTATCTACTGTGGAGAGGCCATAACCCACCAAGAGAGGAATAATACCAGTTGACTAGAATGGTCATATCTGGATGAAAAAGAAAAAGGGAACACAGATCGTTCTAAGGAAAAAGAAAGGAAACGAGATAATGGGGGCACCACCAGAAATCAGTGAATCAAATAGAATAAAAACTCCGAGTCCCAGTAAAAAGTACACGTCTTCCCCAATCATCAACATCAACGCTGAAAAAGAAAATCATTGAAATCATCCCCCAAGATTATTGCCTCCAGGATTTACCACAGACCACACATGTACAGAACAATGTCATCGGTTCATCTGCACTGCGAGTCTGGGCTTCGGTGTATGTCACCTTACGCTGGCCACACTTACCGCACTGCAAGCTGGTACTGATACTCTTTTCACCCTGAGCAACCATGGCATCGTTCATATTCTTCTTCTTGATTGCCTCGTCTTCCGCTCGCCGTTGGTCAGATCGAAGTTCATCGCTCGTCATGCGCACAAATTGATCGGGACCAACTTCTCCACTCAGCACGCGTACGCGCAAAGTAGGGTTCGACTTGTTCTTCAAGTTTTGGAAAAGACTGCGCATCTTTTCTTTATATTGGGGCTTTGTCTCGGGTCCCAAAAGGCCATGTGCCGCTTTCTCCACAGCAGAAGCCTTCGCTAACACCACCTTGGGCTGCTCAGTCGATCCCAGACACAGGCCATCATAAATAAGACCAGTGCAGCTGTCTCGCACTTTGCTTGATGTGACAGCAATATCCACTCCATCCGCCTTCCAGGTTCGCTTGTCTGGCGGCACAGACAGCGTTGACGCCTTATCAGATGGAGTCACGCTGGCGGGTGTGGATGGCCCGGTACCATTTTGAGGTGGACGGGGTGAATTGGATCCTCGGCTCGCAACTGATGCAGCGCGTTGTTTCTGCTTGTTGACCTCTTGTCGCCATCTGGAAACAATCGCGCTCGCTAGCTGGGCCACTTCGGGAGCCGAATGTGTCTTGAATTTATTCACAACCACACCGATCTTGGTTCGTCGAAGTAAATCCTCCGTGGCTTGAATGCCTGTTTGCAGTTCCTTGAGAAGACCGACAATAACTGGCGCAGGCTCCTTTTGAGCGGAGGCCTTGCCCAGGGCCTTGGCCTTGGATTCGATTTCTTTGGCGTCCATGACGGGAAAGTGTGGGTGGAAAGAGGTTGAAGGAGATTCAAAATCGGAAGTTGAAAACAAAGGTGAAAAGTGATGGTGAGGTTCAGTGAGCTTATATCTGGGTCACTCTATAAAATGTCAGTCATCTGTGCTTGAACCGAAGGTGCAATGATTTGCGGAGATTCGGAACTCGGCGCAATTAGCCACAATGAATTGCGCGTGGTCAGGTAATGCCAAAAATAGAGTAATAAACTCAAAGACTATAGTTGAGCCATTTTTTCACTTGTTCCTGGCATTCCCCAAAAGCGTCGAGTATTGCGCAGATGAGTGCATGCTATGTCCCCAGTGCACGTGTCCCATAAACTTTTTTGAGGAAACCCTCTCCAGTCCCCGAGAACCTCTTGATGACATAGATATATCCACAAAGTTCAAATGAACAGAATGCGCCGATCGATCTCGAGTTTGGGAGGGCCGCGGTTTTTGTGTATAGGTATTGAGACAAGCAGGGAGCGAGGGGCGGGTTGGACAAGAACTTACTATAAGAGTGCGATAATGATCAAGTGAGCTATGCGACTGTGCGCGTCACCAGCAAAAGTATCGCAAATGGAGGGTGGCCTCGAGTAACAAACGATGCGACAGCTGGAAGGAGAAATGGAAAATGTTTGCAGTGAAAGAAGTCGAGGGAAGCTCCGAGGTCCAGTGCCAAGACATGGCTGCCCAATTCGGCAATTTCCCACTAGGAACTATAAAAACTACAAAAATATGAGTTGAGACCGACCAACTCGCTCGAGATGAAGAAGCTTGATTAAGTTTATTGAAATATAGCAATGTTAAGATATCGAAGATGATTATCGGGGATTGTATCCCCGGGTGTTTCCATTTCTATATGGTTTTTTCTTTCTGTATCCTTCGTAGACACCGATCTTATTGGTAGCTATGTATAGGGTATGGGGAAGAACTCGAAGGAAATTATGTGCAGTCATCATCGTCAACGGGGGGTATATGAAGCAAAGGGAAATTCGTTTTTTTTTGCAGGGGACTATGGCGTCAAGATCGTCAAATCAGGACCTCATGAGCCGGTGCAATGACCGCAAGTGCAGGTAACAGACAAGTGACACTGTCCAAAACACTCATAGCGGTGCAGGGCGGGGGTATTTGGCTCAAACAGAGATGGGAGTTGAGCTCAGGATCTATCAAATGATAGATATCTCAGCACTGACCGATCAGCCAATCTAGATGCCAGTCTTGCCCAGAGCATCAGCCAAGGCGTCGACATCCTTGTCGGACTTTTGAGCGACCTTCTCTTCCTCGGCACGATCGGCTTCCTTCAGATCCTTTTCGGCCTTGCGCTCGTCCTCGTCCTCCTCTTCCTCCTCTTCGTCCTCTTCCTCATCCTCATCCTCTGACTCAAGCTCGTCGAGCTCATCAACACCCCAGGTATCTTCGGGGTCATCGTCGGTGCCGTGCTCCTCCTGGCGAGCCTCAAGGAGCTCCTTCAGCGCAGTAATGTTCTCATCCTCATCAGAGAAGATGTTGCCGTTCAGCTCGACACGACGCAGACTGGGGAGAGCGGTCTTGGCAGCGTGGGCAAGCGCCTTGACACAGTCAGCCTTAACCTCGTTGTACTGAAAGCGCACGGTCTGCAGCTTCTGGTTCTTGTTGGCAGCAAGGGCCTCAGCAACCTTGACACCACCACGAGCGGAAAGAAGACAGTCGCCGACACCCAACTCAAGGAGAGATGGCCAGCCTTCCAGAACACTAGCCAGAGCAGTAGATCCAATGACGGTGAAAGTGTTGTCTTGTAGATCCAGAACCTCCAGGGAGTGGGCGTGACGGAGACCGTTCTTGAGCAGGTGCGAGATACCCTCTTGTCTAATACCGTTCTGGGTCATCTTGACTGACTTGAGGCCGGCAGAGTGCTTCTCGTAGGCACGGGCCCACGCCTCCATACTGCCATTCTCAAGACGGTTGCGACCGCAAACAATGCTCTCCAGAGCGGCAACCTCCTTGTCCTCCTTACGAGCTTCCTCCTTACGCTCAGCGAGCTTGCTCAGGGCATCGGCAATTAAAGTTCCAGCAGCGGGGCCGAGACCGTTGTTGTTCAGGATCAAATGACGGAGCGGGGTGTGCTTGGACAGGAAATCGACCAGGGGAGCCTGGGTGTTGAGACCGAAAGCGTTGTCGGAAAGGTTAATGGTATGAGCGGTAGGGATCTCGAGGATGGCATCGAGAAGGGCCTTCAGGGCGGGAGGGATTTCAGAAAGAAGACGGGAGGTAAAGATATCGGCCAAGTCAGCAACTTCGAGGCTCTTCTGGGTCGCGAGGACAGCAGCAAGACGCTCGGAGGCCCCAATGCCTAGGGTGTTACCGCCGAAGTGAACCTCGGTGTAGTCGGTGCTTTCGGTCAGAGGCTTGATGTGAGCCTCGATGTCCTCTGCGGTGTCGAGTTTGAGGCTTTTGCCGTCAAGGGAGAAGATCTTAGGAGGGGCCATGGTGGGGTAGTATAGTATGAAAAATGAAGAATTGGACGTAAGGAAAAGATGACGGAACAAAAGTAAGCGTAGAGCACCAAAGAGAAATCTAGCGGGAGCAAGGGAATCAGACTCTTGAGGATATCGAGGTGAGTCTATTGGAACAAAGGAGGAGGCGAAAAGATCCAGCATCGGCGTACGTTTGTTTTTACGATAACAAAAAAAATTGCTGCGGCGGGCCATAGCAACCAACCATGCAGTCATTAATAATTAGATCGATGGTGACATCGAATCCCTTTAGCTCCGACCCCTACTCTTTTAATCATACGTGACAATATCATACGCAACCTCCCTTACTCCAATTACCCACCAGAAACGGACTATCACTCGAAATGTGGTGGCCCTTTGGATCCTCTAGCGGTAAGATCAGTGATCCCAAAAGCTCAACCCGCGGATCATTCACGGACATGCATGATGCGCAAGGGCTCGTGAATAGGCAGGAATCATATTGGATAATTCACTAACATATATTCTATTTGCAGAGAAAGCCGCTCCTACCCCGACCGAGACACAAGCCCCAGCCCAGAAGCCTAAGGTACGCCGCATCATCCGATCAACAATCGAGAGCAGAGAAGAGAATCCCCAATACTGACTTCATATCGATACAGCCCTGCTGCGTCTGCACTACCGAGAAGGCCGCCCGGGACGACTGTATGCTTTTTTCGAAGTCCGATGACCCCGCAAAAGACTGCGTGTCCACAATCGAGAAATACAAGACTTGCATGGCTGGCTTCGGGTTCAAGGTCTAAGCTCAAGCCTTAGGCCCTAGGGGTTTTATGAATCACTATGATTTCCCCCGTGGCTTTGTACAACACTATTCTTGTATCATAGCATTTCGCTGGGTGGCGTTTTTGTTTTAGTTGGGCCCAATATACTGTATTTTACAACCCGGGCTTCCCACATCTGATATCCTGGGACATGCTTTAAGCAACCTTGTCTCTGTTAGTGAATACAACACAATCTCATCTCATCTTACATCAACGAGCTCGAACGGATATTTGGATAATTACACATTGAAATTGACTATTCTAGTAGCTTTTCTCCCAAAGGGAATTAAAATGGGGTATCAGGGTATCACTCAGTAGAAAATCTTAGCCACCTTAACATCGAATCACTGCTGCTTCTTTCGGCTCTCTTCCTCGTTCGCACGGCTGTTCATCTGCCGGCATTGTATAGCCAATTTCCACATACACCACAGGTAAGCAATGCCAAATCCAGCGGCTCCGATGAGGGCATTCAATACCACCCACAGATCTGGCTTGCCTGGGGGCGGTAGCACAAATGCTTCACCCACATGCCAGCCAATCATTACAACGTAAAAGAGAAGGTGTAAAAGCTTCGTAAAGATGTTAAGCTCAAATTGCGAGTTAGGATCCTCCGCAGATGAACGGCTGCGGTAAGTCTCGAACGAGAGTGGGGGGTAGACCAAGTAGATAAGCCCACAGGAGTGTCATGACAAAGTAGGGCACACCAAGCTCCTCGCGCTTCAGGAGGGGATACATAGTCCACGAGCCAAGAACATTAGCCCAGCCCACCCAAGCGCGGTTCTCCTTGTTCAACCCACCATCTCCGGCAAGGGAAAGTGTCATAGGGAGAAGAGGAAGAAGGACACTCTTTTCGTGAACTTGGAAAGAGAAGAGGAAGAATCCCCAAGAGACACACGACAAAGCCGGGAGCAGAAGTGAAGCCCGCGGGTGGCGGAAGATAATGCCACAAGGGATAATAATGGAAGCCAATGTAGCACCAAGAGATGCCCGCTGCAGCAACGACGTATCGAAGTGATGGAGCTTGTAGAAGGTGTGGATTGCACACCAAGCATTGGCAACCTTATCCTCAAAAAGACCACGAGCAAATGGGAAGATGCGGTGGACCGTCTGTGTCAGCTGGAAGAGGACTGCGTAAGCCAGGGAATTCTTGTCCAGGTTAATTGGAAGAGACTGCAGTAGAGGTGGTGGTGCTGCGCTTGCAAACTCCTTGCGGGCTTCTGGAGTTGTCGCACCATAGATTAGTGGAGCGAATAAAGTAGCAAACGAAGCAACTGTGATAAGTGAAATGTTGATCAGTCGGAAAATACGAATTCTTGGGAAGACGCAAACACCCAGCAAATAGGCGAATATGACAGGTGCATAGTAAAGAGCCATTTGCTTGAAGCCTAGGGCACCAACAAAGAAGATACAGGCCCAGAGCATACGTCCAGCCAATATAGCATCCAGACTGGCAACCATTAATCCCAGCATCACAGTATTGTATTGAAAGTGGCCATGGTCGACCAATATAGTTGCAGGCTGAAGGAGAATTGCGACGAGGGCGATGGAAGCAGACCACGCATGGACACCATGCATGCGAGTGTAGCGGCGAAGAAAGTTGACCACCGCTGGGACATAGATCAGGTATTCAGAAGCCACAACAGTTGCGCGCATGTAAACCTTCAGATCGGAGTGCTCAAAGCCGCGCGATTCATCGAGTGCGAACCATGCCGAATCAACAGCGGTGCCACTAAAACAACTCGGTTAGTAAATCCCATTTTGAAAACATATCAATGCGTTACATACATTTTACCAAGTAGCCAGCTATGATATGCGGTCAATGGAGGGTAATCGAGGCCCCAGTATTGTAGATCGTAAGTATACCACTTCGAGATTGGAAGATGGCTAGTAATCTCCATCCAATGGCGCTGCGCTTCGAAGTCACCGTGCATTGGGGGAACTTGGAAGCCTATGAGTTGTTAGTCCTGGCTCATATGGAAGGAATGCTTGGCATTGAATACCTGAGTACCCCCATAGACTAACAGCCCATCGGAAGAGACCAACGGCCATGAGAGTGAGTGGTAAAATTAGCCATTGGGAGACACCCGCACGTGCTGCCCATAGGAATGACACCAATGGAAATGCAGGTGACTGTTTTCCATTTCCTGTATCAAGTATGAGGTTGTTATTTGACCCAGGAGCCGTCGGGGTCTTTCTATTCTTGCGTGGGCGATGGGAGGAGGGAGTCGGAGGGGCCATTTTGAATCTGGCCAGATGAGAGAATTAAACGCGGCCCATATATGAAGCCGTGGAGGCTGAGATAGCAGGCGGGGGAAATTAATCCGCGGGCAATCGAGAATTGGCTAATTGAAGCAAAGATAAAAGATAACCCTCCTGGACAATGTTAGCTAGAACAGCTATCGGCCACCATTGACACTCCGGGGCAAGAGCGCAATAAAATGTTTATGTCAGCGAGCAGGTACAATGTACCACGTGACTTTTGGCTAGAAAAAGTCAAATCTCCACTTTATGGCGCGCGGTGGGTCACATGCGCCTTAATCAGCGACTGAATTTGCGGTAAGTGCCTGGGCCTAACTCTATCTGGAAGGCGGACGGGATTTCTGCCAGCCTCCGAATTTTTTTTTTCTGAAATTTTCTTTATCAGAGAGCTTTCCCAGCGTTGCTGCTCTTTTTTTTTCTTCTTCTTCATCCATCTCCTTCCTCTCCCATCAGCTATCACATCCTTTTTGTGTTAGCATCTCTCTTTTATCTTGAAGCTATCGTAGCAAAAGCTTCACTACGTACGTGTTTCCCTGTTTCCCCTTCCCCCCAAACTGATACAACTGCGTGGGTGGTACTTTCAAAAAAGTACTTCAACAGACATCTAAGTGGGCTTTTACACATTGTGGGCTGTGGGCTTGTTATACTGCATATCTATCTCGTGGGCTCTGTGGGACTTTCTATTCCTCGTGGGTTGCGATATCATAGTAGCACGTTGCTGGTCGGTTCCTGTGGGCTTGAATTATTGTCGGTTGTGGGTTACTTGAGGACATCTATCAGTTGTGATTAGTTCACTCCTGCATTTCCATTTTCCATTTCTCTGAGGGTTTTCACATTTGTTTTCACATCCAAAACACGGGTGCTTATTGAGGGATTAGTTGGCTTCGCCGCACAAACCAAAAAAGCATCTCGTCAGTTTTCTTGACCACTGTACGTGGGCGATGTGAAGAATCCTTGCCTCTGGCGACATATGCTAACTTTTTTTTGGCTTTCTAGTTTCAAAATGTCCAAGACCAAGGTTTCCTCCAAGGCTGAGAAGCCAAGCAAGACTTTGAGCAAGGTCAAGGACGCCGCCGTCTCCAAGGCCTCCAAGAAGGACGCCGCCAAGAAGGTCGTTGCCAAGGAGGAGAAGTCCTCCAAGAAAAACAAGAAGGAGCCTACCCCCAGCTCCTCCGAGTCCGAGTCCGAGTCCGAGTCCTCCAGCTCCAGTGAGAGTGAGGATGAGAAGCCTGCCCCCAAGAAGGATGCCAAGAAGGACAACAAGAAGGCTGCCAAGAAGGAGGAGTCTTCCTCCGAGTCTTCCTCTGAGTCCGATAAGGAGATGAAGGATGCTTCCTCCAGCAGCGAGAGCGAGAGTGAGGATGAGAAGCCTGCCCCCAAGAAGGCTGAGCCCAAGAAGGCCGCTAAGGCTGCCAAGAAGGAGGAGTCTTCCTCCGAGTCCGAGTCTTCTGAGTCCGAGTCTGAGGATGAGAAGCCCGCCAAGAAGGCCGCTAAGAAGGAGGAGTCTGACTCTTCTGACTCCAGCGAGTCTGAGTCCGAGTCCGATGAGGCCCCTGCCAAGGCCAAGGCCGAGAAGGTATGTGATGATCCCTTATTATCTTGCACTAGTTGGAAAAATAACTAACCTTTCCTGATTATAGGAGTCTTCTGACTCTGACAGCTCCGACAGCTCCGACTCTTCTGAGTCCGAGTCTGAGGAGAGCGAGGATACTGCTAAGGCTTCCAAGAAGCGCAAGGCTGATGATGAGCCCGAGACCTCTGCCAAGAAGACCAAGTCTGAGGACGCTCCCGAGGGTGCTTCTGCCAACCTGTTCGTTGGCAACCTGTCATGGAACGTTGATGAGGAGTGGCTCCAGCGCGAGTTCTCCGAGTTCGGCGAGTGCTCTTGCCGTATTGTGACCGACCGTGAGTCTGGTCGCTCCCGTGGTTTCGGTTACGTTGAGTTCACCAGCGCTGCCGATGCCGCCAAGGCCATGGCCGCCAAGAAGGATACTGATCTTGACAACCGTACCATCAACCTGGACTACTCTACTCCCCGCCAGAACAACGGTGACCGCAACGACCGCTCCCAGCAGCGCGCTCGCAGCTACGGTGACCAGACTAGCCCCGAGAGTGACACTCTGTTCGTCGGCAACCTGCCTTTCAGCGCCACTGAGGACGCTCTCCGTGATGTCTTCTCCGAGTCCGGCTCCATCCAGGGAATCCGTCTCCCCACTGACCCTGAGTCTGGCCGTCCTAAGGGTTTCGGTTACGTTCAGTACGCCTCCGTTGAGGAGGCCAAGGCTGCTCACCAGCAGCTCCAGGGTGCCGAGCTTGAGGGCCGCGCCATTCGCCTGGACTTCAGCACTCCTCGCCCCGCCAACGGTGGTGGTGGTGGCTTCGGTGGTGGCGGCTTCGGTGGTGGCCGTGGTGGTGGCCGCGGTGGTGGTTTCGGTGGCGGTCGTGGTCGTGGCGGACCTCGCGGCGGTGGTGGTGGCCGTGGCCGTGGTGGCTTCGGTGGCCGCGGTGGTGGTGACGGTGGCTTCAACAAGGGCCGTGGCAGCATCCCTGAATTCAAGGGCACCAAGGTTACCTTCTAAGCATGTTCCTGATTTGCGTTTTGTCATTTCTGGGTGTAATACGGCCTCTGGGAGGCCTTGGGTTTCAAAAAGTTCTTATGTATCTCTTAACTATTTCTTTTCGTAGCTTCGTGATCTGATGAATCCAATGTATAATTTTCTACGTCATCAACCTATATTTCTGTGCTCTCCACTCGTATGTTCTTTTTAATTAACTTCTTTCCATTCTTGTAGGGAGTACACTTGAGCATATTCGATGTCCTTCTAGCCTTGATCATGATGCCCGGATGGTGATGACGCCCTCTTTTGTCTGTTTCTAGTATGGGGCAGAACTGCCATGTGCGGTCACCGCTTCCCCGCATCTCTTTGTTTTGCTCTGCACCACTTGGTTCTTTTTGAAATGCGTCTTGACTGATTTATTCTTTGAATTAAGTGTGTTTAAATATCTGATGAAACTTTCTGAATTCTCATCTAGCTTATAAAAAGACTTAGATGTTGCCTGAAGTCAATCCAGAGTCCTGACATTCCTCATACTTCTCCCCCGCCTCCTCGCTCCTATATCGGTGACTTCCGTCACGGGTTGCAGATCACCTGTTCCGTCGGCTGATCACCTCATCATCTACTTTGGAGCCAAGGTTATCTGTCCCCCTTTCCCCTTTCCCCTATCTCTCGCTGGTCTATCTTCAGATCTGTGTTTGATGTGATTTGAGTTTTGTCTCCTGTTCCCTTATAGGGCTGCTTGAAAGTTGAAACGAGCAAAGAAAGAACAAACAATTTTTAAAAAAAAGAAGTTGGGCATCAGTGATGGGGCGGATCATCCATCTCCACACTGATAAGATCCTCATTGATTGTCTTCTCCCCCACGCTTGACCGCTCTTAGCTCCCAACACCGGGTGGCCTGATCACTCCTCCATCTCTTCCTCTCTTTCAATATCATCTTTCACTTTCTTTCACCTATATCATTTCCCTTTTGACACCTCTGTGGCCATGCAACCAAATCACTGCGACCTTTTAGGTCAGGTGCGAGAGCCCAGAGCCGCAAGTCAACTGATGCGCGATGGCCAGTCGCGAGAACATGGTCAGCCTCGACCGTCTGGTGCGGCACCCATGAGATCCGAAGGTAAGTGATGGATAGTTCCCCCTTATATACTGAGGGGCTGCCGTTCTTTGTTTTATTCTCCCCTGTCGATCTAGTTTAAACCATGTTTTTAAAATCCATATCCTATACTGTTCGTCAACCATGTACTCATTGCAGTATTACATAGATTCGTGGATCGAAGTATCATCCCAGCCATCGTCCTCATCTTTATCCTCAGCCGCTACAAGCGATGATATCATTACAACTGGCCTTAGAGTTGAGCATCGCCAGGTAGGCATGAATCCACGCCGTACCCGACGACAGCGCATGCAGCATTTGGCGGCTGTCACAACGGCCCAGGTGGACTACTCATCGCGAGATGCCAGTCTTGCGAGCAGTAGCCAAGAAGAATATGATGAGAGCGAGAGTGATCCTGATCCAAATATGTCAAGTTCAAATGAAGATATTCACCGACCAACCCTACCTATCCCACGGTCTGTACCATCAGCTCAGTCCGATGAAGCCTCCAGTGAAGATGAGGATGAGGATGACGCCTCCACTGCGTTGGGAATGGGAATTAGCCCATCTCCATTCATTCCACAACCAAACGTATTTACTCATCCACCACTTATCAACGATCCCTCCTGGACTCGCCCAAGTGAATCTCGTCGTTCACAACCGAGTGTCCTGTCCAACTCGAGTAGGCGTACTGCTATTCGACGAGACTCTTATAATAATAGCACCCGCAATCACCGCCGAACACAATCCCAACATAGTCCTTACAATATGATCTCGCCATCCCACCATGCAGATCACGATGCCGCTCTCCGAGCCAGCTTATCAACTCTCCTCTCATGTGCCGCTGCTGCTAGAGGACTACCCAAACCCGAGAACCAACAGAACTCATCTCCTGGTCCATCACGTCCTGCTCAACCTTCATCATTTCGACTGGTTGGTGAATCCGTCGCCATTGGAGGCGAAAGCGACGAAGAGAATGATTTGTCGCCCCGATATACAGAGACAAGTCCCCCATTGGGTCCTCGAATCCGTGGTCCTCCTCGCTCACCCTCCAGCCAAGTCAACAAAGCCAAGCGAAGGTCTGTATCCCCAAAGGATCGCAGTGCCTCATCTAAGAAGAGCCGCCGTGCAAGTCTTGCAGAACCTACTGCCCCGGCCAGCCCTACTATCATGACCTGGGTGATTAGTGCTGGAGTGGTAGTATTGTTCTCAGCAATCAGCTTTTCAGCTGGCTACATGATCGGACGTGAAGTCGGTCGAACGGAGATGGGTATTATGGACGGAGGTGTTCCAGCTGCCCGTTCCTCGGCAGGATGTGGCCATGAAGCGGTTCGAGGTGGCCTCAGGCGACTCCGCTGGGGTACAGCGGCAGCTGGATCGGCAAGCCTGGCCTAAATGTCTCAATAAGAACTCATGTCTAGTGACGATATGCAAAGTTTTGAAATGAATCTCTTTTTATGATTCCCATGGAACACGATGGCACACGATTTAATATGTCTTCCGCCCTAGTTTTCTCTTCCATGTTTTCAATGGGCTTCTGGCCCGATGTGTCCTTTCACGTTCCCTCTATTCCCCTTCACGTTTTGGTTTTATTAATGATGTATTTGCATTATTTCTGCACGCCTTTCTTTCTTTTCTTCTAGGGCCACGTGGAAGTGCGATGATGAGCTGCTGTTAGCAAAAATTGGTCGGATGTCTTTGAGTTGGGTGATCAAGCACCCTGGCGCGATGGAGTTTGGGAAAGCAATCGAGGAGAATTGGAAACCTTCGAATATCTGGGGACCGGGGACTGTCGAGAGTCTTTCAGTGGGGGTGGAAATGTCAATAGATGGCTTCCACCAGATTCTTGTCTAAAGCTCATCATGATTACTATGTTATAACGTCAGCCTCTCAAAACACCCTTTTTAAACAACCTCACCTATCATTCATACATGTGGAATTGTCACGTAGTCACAGCAGGCTCCTTTGCGCCATCGCCGTATGACAACATACATGCCTGCCTTTTCTCAAATGTCAAATGCCAATAACCAGGAACATCGAACATCAAACATAGACTCCAAGTAGAATCCACACTGTAACAAGGAAACCCTACTCCAAAAACGCCCCCATGTAGCATCATGATCCCATCTGGCCCGAATCTAGATCCGCGTGAAATATACAATCCGGACAATTTCAAATTAATCCATGTTCAATTAAGCTCCAGCCACCAATAAATTCAACTAATGGATCATCACAATCACCAAATGAACCGTGACATCCCCTTAGAGGGTAGAATATAATTCAAACCTATCGGATCAAGTTCCAGCCCCATTAATATCCCCAGGGCTACAACTCAAATCACAGAAATTAATTAATATCCCTCAATCAGTACATATATACGAAACAAAAGTAAAGATAAACTTGAATCACAATGATCTACCGTGAAAACCCCAAGGCGTCCCCATAAATCCTCCTCCCCGGTCTGATCGACGCAACAGATCCTCCTGCATGCATATGCCAGTGGTATCCAACCTTTGAAGTCACGGTACGGATATAGCCTGAGACTCGCTCCGAGGTTCAATATGAATTGAAAAAGCAAATATATCATCAGTGGATCCCATGTCCCACGATTTCATATACCGAGACTATGCATCAAGCCAAGAATTATTAAAAGAAAAGTCTTTTCAAAACAAAAGTACCGTCTCGCTGTTGCCGTCACGGCTCAGACCCACAGCTTTAGTTGAATCCTGCGAGTTCACCAGCCACACTTGATAGCCAGTCACATAATGTTTTGTTTCCCATTTTCTCCTTTTTTGTACATGGTACTTCCCCACCGGGATCTCGGGATTTCGATCATTGGGCACCCTGCCTACCCTAAGCACCCCACCATGACTCGCGCCCGGATCCCAGCGTCCAGGTCCCCGTGTGGTAGGATTGGCGATTGCGTTGCCGTTGTTACCAGGTAGATGGCCCAACAGAAAAAGGAAGTTAAATATTTTTTGAATCCGAGTCTTGTCCGAGTTACGTCCTGGTCTATATGCTTTTGGACCTTGGTTCAAATTGATAATGGTTCGTGTTTACTTACCACAGGTGGTAGGTTCGATTGTAGATCTATATGAATTGCGTACTCGCACCTATGCTTCTAAGGTTGGACTTACTGGCTACTACTTTGCTTTACTGGTTTATCCCAGTGTTAATGAACTGGGATATTGAATTGAATTGAATTGGATTTAAGTACGAAGTAACTGTACCCCATCTCATAAAAAAACAACCATGGAATGTGATGATATGAATCGAATCGATCGCACGCCATTGTATGGGCAAAATGATAAATTGTCGTGATCGAATTGAGATGGTCGATCTGTGACTCTTTCATGGTACCTACGTAGTCATTCTCGACAACTACTAGTAATTACATAGATATATACACAGAAGAAACAATATTAAAACTGGAATTCAATTCTTCAATAGTCTATATTCATCCTACCTGAATGCGACTCCAAGGTTGATGTTGTTTTCATCTTCAATGCAATCAATCCAATTCCCGAACGAAACCTTAATCCCGTCAATTTCATGCAAAGCCCCAACATCCCGATAATGGACCGTGTCTATCATGATCATTATCACCTCAACTACAAATACTAACGGGGCGGACTATTGATCTGCACGGGACGGGCCTCATTCTTCTCAGGCACGGTGCGGTACGGACGGGAGGTGGACAGCGGTTCGAGCGTTGAGAATGTCCATTCTACCTCATTTACGGATCACTAGTAGTGGTATATGCAGGTCCAGGTCCGTAGTATTGGAACGAAAAATAATAATGGGGGTGGAGGTTGAAACTCAGACTCCTCCCCGTTGTTGTTCTCCCCGAGTCCCAAGGTCGGGGCTACGGGGGAAGGGGATCAGGAGGCTGTATGCAGGTATATCAAATACTTATATCAAATCAATATCAATACCAAATATAGATGATGTCATTTCAATTCAATTCTTAATTCTTAAATGAAATGAAATGTGAGATCTAATTCGTAATTGTGATTGATTTCTTTAAGGTTTTATTGGCCAGTAGGTCCTGTTTCGGTTTCGTGCCTGCAGGTATCTGTAAGCAGAAAAAGCAAAAGGCAAACACGAATTGGGAGGGGGGGTTACATTTACCATAGCTCTTGTCTTTCATCCGAACCTACCACTATACACAATAGTTTCTTTATTCCAACTGGCGATCATCTCGATCGTGTTCTCGATTTGTTTAGCTTTTCATTGGGTTAGGAGTAGCTGCAGGATTAGCCTATAGCCTAGGGATTTGGGTTTGTTGGGTGTGCGGAGATGGTGATCGTTGCTTTATTTGGGTTGGGTGGTAGTTTGATTTGCGCAGGGGCCATCATGATGCGGGTCATTGCAGCCCTCTAGTGGAATCGATCAGGATTCTACTCAGGTACCCAGGTGTAAGGTCACGGGCACGTTTGGGGTTGGGGGTTTGTCCGGTTGGGGCTTTTTCTCGGGGGGTTCTCGGTGCCCATTGTGGTTGCAGGTATGGGGTGAAGGATTGGGGCTGAATATGAATCGGGTATGCTCGATCGTGCCAGGGTATCGGGATGGATGGATTGGGATCGAATTGTTTGCTTTCTATTTTGGGTTCTATATTTTTGTATACTGGATTGTTTGGGGGTCTCGTTATGTAGGTTTGGTAATAGTGTATGTGCCTCTTGTTTTTGAGGAATGATTGTCTGGTATGTATATACATTCTTGATAATATCTCGTCATGCGAGATTCACATTGTATCCAGCGCCCGTGTAACGCCTTGCTAACCGATCGCTTGAAAGAATCCAACCCAACAAAAGGAAGTAAAAGAGACCAGGTTCATAGCCTGGATGCAGTAGAAGTCAAATGATGTAAAAAAAAAAAATCGCCAAATTTAGAATAGAATAGAGTGAAAAGTCGCATATGTCGAGTAAGCGTATGTGCAAAGAAGTGAAGTAGAAATAAAGCATCGAAAGAGTGTGGTTTATGCTGTTCGTGCTGTCGCCTCTGAGCGTCGTCGATACTTTAGATCGTCTCGGCTGAGTAGTCGGCGCAACTTTGATACAAAACGACAAGGTAGATCTAGATTAGGAAGGTTAATTTGAAGGTTCCAGTTAAAGTGACTCGGGATGGAATTATATACGTACCACTACCTCGTCGTGTTAAGAGTGGTGGTTGTTCCATTGGTTGTGTAGTGTAGGCGGCAGCCCAGTAGTCTGTTTGGCGATAACCCGTGAAGGTGCAGCTGTTGGAGTTGTACTGCGGCTGCAGGGCCGCCACATGCGGGTAGAGCGTTGCTAACGGGGAGAGTAGCCGCTCGTCTGGTGGTGGTGAGCGTCTGCTTTCAATGCTATCGCATTTCTGAGAAGGGTGTTAGTCCTGGCTGTTGTTGTGGTGAGGATATAGATAAAGCATGAACGTACGTAGAGGTCATAGTTGGTCTTGTAAGTCATGATGGCGGGAGAATATTGTGCGGAGTGGGGGGAGAAGGGAAAAAGAAAGCCCCAAAAATAATAGGTGAATGCTTTAGCAATCACCAAGGAAGATTTTAGAATTCCCAAATTTCCACAAGTCCAAGTTCAAAGGTTGTAGGTGTAGGCAGTGAAGTGGAAGTTGTATGCAGTTGAGATGTTGAGATGCAAAGCAGATACGGCTACATTTAAAGCAGGCGGCACTCAGTGTAGATAAACGAAAGGCAGATCCTCAGCCGCAGATCCATGTCAATCTGATTTACATCTGATTTACATGAAGTTTGGGGTTAGTTGGCGCGAGATGGGGACCAGGAACCCGGGATTTGATGACGGCCAAGGCAAACGGGCGATGATCATTGGGTGAGATGCTGCGCTCAGGACCCGTAATACGTCGATGATTGCGATCCATCGGGGAGACCGAGCACCAGAACCAGTGAAAATACGAACTGAAATGTATGATGCGATTATGAAATTATTGCCTACTGCATTTTTAACATTTTTTTTTTAACATTTTTCCCTTCGTCTAAGACATCTTTCTTACCCACAATTCCCACAATTCCCACGCGTGACTGGGTTGTTCCATTCCACGGCACAATTGACCTCGTTCTGACCATCTGCCCTGTTGACCCCTTGCATAAGTCGCATCTGGGGGCTTATTTGGTTATTTTCCACGTTTTGCTGTTACAGTGCAAGGTCTAAAAGCCGATACCCTATTTTGGTATTTTGGGGGAAATATTCCTGCAATGAAACTATAGATTCCTACGTAATTGACGGTGGTAATCCTTGTGGTAGTCAAACTAGTTAGTTAGTAGGGCAGGGATTGTCGATCGGCCGAACACACCCGCTTGATTAATTGTGTGAAATTAATTCAATTTTTATTTTTTTTTACATCTCGAGAATTAATAATTAATCATGAATCAAGTTATCAAGTGGGGCTTGTCAAGAATGTTGTACAGGTCACTCTCTACTGTGTGTTGTGTGTGTGTGCAGTATGAGTACTCCGAGATTGTCTTTGGATAAAACTCCCAATACTAAACTCCAATAAGCCGAAATAGGGGAATCTCACGCGAGAGACGACCAGAGAGTCTAGTAGAGATCTCCCTCCTCTTCCAAATCATCCGATAGTGCCGTGGACTTTCTACACTATTGAGACGCTAACACATCCCCGATCTGAGCCGTGCGCATGGTTGGAAGGGCCTTAGCGACAATCTCTTTGTCGACTCCACCGACAGAGTCACAGCCACACTTCCTTTTACCCTTTCCCCACTTTCTTCCAACTCTCTTCCACTCCTTCTGTACCCAAATCCTGTCTCCTTGCTATTTGCGGACAAGCGCACGAGCCACACGCTCGGTCTCTCCGTGGCTGGTGCTTTTTTCATCTGTGGCGCAACTACCTGTGGCTCAACCCATTTGTCGCCTTACTCGATAGCTTCTCATGCCTGATCCACTCCTGCCGTCAACCCCGAACTAGTCCGCCCTTGATCTTCAAATGTGATCGTTTTTGGCATCACACCGACCCTTGGGGCCTCGGCCTTCCCGTTCGGGGCTGGTTTTCTAAGCTATAAGGTCTGCTTGATCGCCCGGTGATAGTATTCAATATTGTATCTATACTTAGCTTTCCAATACTGTCATACTCTCATCAGTCTACTTTTATCTATCAAGTCAAAACATTCAAGATTGTCTTCAATCTTCTTCGCTTTACACTATCCCGGCTTGGCCTACTTATGTCGACAATTGATCATGTCACTCAGCATGCAGGGTTCAGGAAGAGAATGCTGGGAAAACTCTCCACATATGGATCTGTGCGATCCTTATTCTCGCGAACGTCTCGCTCAAAGTATGTCTATCCAGTTCTTATTCTTTGCGATTTCATTACTCTACACTCCTCTACTTCCTCCCCCTCTGTCTATCTTATCTGAGACCTTCTTCCCTCAATTCAGGATCTGTCGAACGAGAGACTGAACGCACCTCCGACAGGCGCGCACTGTATCCCGCCGATGAGGGCATAATCTACCAAGAGGCACAACCAAGCTTAAACGACAGCGAATTTGGCCGCGTCGACCCCACGGGCTGGTACCCGCATTACAGAGAATGTGTACAGTTCTTTCTCGAGCGAAGCCAGTATATCCCCTCAGTACAGTCCGTGGCAGCTTTTATCAATATCCGTCTACCCTGTCAGTTGCCCGCTGACAGCGCCGCATCCGCATCCGCATCCGCCTCCACATCCACATCAACACCATACGTCTCTCTACGACCCTACGTCCGTCGCTTGATCGTGACAGCACAGGACTCCCCCGTTACCATGCGCACCTTCTTCGGTGACAATTGGGAAGCAGGAGTAGGTTGCATTTACAAACAAGAACGTATCAACTATCTTTTCACAGCGAAGAGTAGTGGGTGGGCATCTACTAAAACAAACTACGATATGTCGCCTGATGAACAAACTCCATTCTTGCGCCCGCTCCGAGATCCTTCCGAAGAAGAAATCCGGGCTGCGGAGGCGCGCTGGAGTGAATGGCTGGCTATGGAGGATTGGATGGTGGGGGCTCGGAGCCCCTGGTAAATGAAAAAAAAAGCAGGGATTCAATTAATTTCCCGTGATGAGACATGGCTATTGTTTTTATTTTCTGGGGTTTTTCTTTTGTTTTCGTGTTATTTTCCTTTGAAACCCAATGAATCTCTTTTGTTTTATTTATTTCTTATGTATTTCCCTTTTGTTCTTCACATTCATTTCCTCCACGAGGGTCAAAAAAGGAACACCCTCGTGTGGTCGGGTTATATAGTTCCGGCGTTGCAGATAGTTTGGGCGTTACGATACATCCGATTCGACTATTTCTTCACGAAATTGAAACTACCGAGTAGAAGATCTAATTAATTTATTTCATCATCAATCATTTTCAACGCTAGCAACTTCACCACCAAATGATCGCCCTGGAACCCACACGCCAATGCACAGATGACAGTGATCGCCGGCGGATCCCCTGTCAACAATCAATAGCGCCGCACCGCCACAAGCCCTGACCAGGGGAAACAAGCCCTGGAGCATGACAAATACTTATTTTTATTGGGATTTGCAGGTGCTGGTATAGTATGTGCCTGAGTCTTCAGTCGGAAAAAGTCTCCAATTTCCTTCTCGGGTTTAGTTCTTAATACTAGCACTCAGCTCCACTCATCCTGGGTGACTCACGACTTCAAGTTGATTTATACCAGTCGTATCTTAAGACATGTCATCCTGTCAATATCCACTTCCACCCTCAGGCTTCTAATTATCAATAGTCTCTCTTGAAGTTAATCCTGAAGGTTCCAATCGCCAGGATACCCTTACAAAGTGACACATCCAGTCTCCCCCGTAAACCAGGTTCCCGGAATTCTATCCGTCCAATTTCCAATCCATCCCCGTACCTGGATCTGCACCTGTCCCTGCATTGAGATCGCTTAACCATGTCACAAATCTACGAGCACGATGACAAGGCCTCATCACTCTTTCCGCATCTAATTCACCACCTTCCACACTCTATCTCGCTTCTCCGTCGTATTCAGCACGGAATCGCCTACCCAGCTCCCACCGCCAAGATCCTAGCTTCCTTCCCGCCTTCGTCTCCTGGGACCTCAGCCCCTGATCCCAGTCCCAATCAGCCATGGCTGGCTGCGCGAGTGGATCTCTCCCGCGGCAGAGAGACCCAGATCATCATCTACTCCAGTCTTGAAGCGGAGCACACGTCAATTCAGCCGATCGCTGTCAGCCCTCACGGCAATCCCGGCCCCAGTCCCAGTTCCACCACACTGGAACACGCTACTTACAAGGTTGCCACTATTTCTGCTGAGCAGACTCATCTAGATCTGGTCCGTGATCAATTTCTAGCTTTATTGGCTTATATTAAAGCGAATATGTTACCGGAGTATCTGGCTTCTTTACCTGAGGCACCTGCGACGACAGAACTAAACTCACCAAATGGTGTCGCGTTGATTCCGGCGCCGGATCCACACGCTTTCCTTATTGGATCCCTGCATACGGGATTGTTTAATTTGCTTTTGAAAGATGCTATCTACCCCTCTACGGGCGCAGATAACGATGCCGCGAACCCGATCTCGAAAATAAAGGTTCATCGCTTCGATAACCCGCCCTATGGCAAGTTCTTCTTTCGGCGCGATGCATTCACCGTGTCGCAGGATGGCGTTGAGACCGAGAACCATTTACCGGCTGGATATCGTTTCCATGATCGGAAAGGAAGAAAGGGAGTCCTAGACTCGCATCTGGACCTTGTGCAGAGTCGTACACATATTCCTCGCTCGAGGGCGCAATTATCTAGTATTCCTGGTGTGGCTATCTACTCTGATGCTGGTCCTGATTCTGGTGATGAGGAGATGCCCATTGCATGGGCTTTTCTGGGTGTTGATGGAGCCTTGGCTACGTTGCATGTTGAACCTGAACATCGAGGAAGGGGGTTAGCACTTGCTTTGTCGAAAGAGACGATGCGGAAGGGGATGGATGCGGAGGGAGTTTTTGGGGCTGCGAGACTTGCGTTGGATCAGAAGCTGGCGGAACGGTCTGCAGACTGGGTGCATACTGAGGTGGCTCATTATAATCAGGCTAGTCGGAGGGTTATGGAGAAGGTTGGTGGGGAGGAAAAGACCTTTGTTATGTGGTCCGTTATAGAACTTTGTGATTGAAATCCTGGTTGGAGCCCTGATTGGAGTGATTTCTAAGATCTGAGATGAATGCATTGACTGGATGCCTAAGAGATATGTATATACATTGATTTATGTACGTCGATACAGATCGAGACATAATGTGGATATATGTGCTCAATCGATCATGTTTGTGATATTATTGCAAGTTTATGATACATATCTGCATTATCATCATAATGATTTATGAAGATGAGTCGCGGATTAGATGGGAATTAGACATTACCAAAACTTGAACAGCCTATTCTTAGAATTTCGGGATCCATACTAACATCCGACTTTCTTCCCCATACTTCTCTTCATACATCTATCATGATTTCCTCCTCGTGCACCATGATATCCTCTTCATGCTTCATAATCTCCTCTCCATGCATTGTGATTTCATTCTCCTTTTCCTCATTCTCCTCCTGTTTCTCCTTTGATTTCTCTTCCTGCTTCTCAGACGACTCCTTCTCCTTCTCGGACTCCTCCTCCTTCTCAAACTCCTCCTCCTTCTCAAACTCCTCCTCCTTCTCAGATTCCACCTCATACTGTTGCTTCTTTTCTTCTCTAGTCTTCTCATAATCAACGATCTGTCCATCACTAAACTTTACATATTCCTCCATCTCATGTTCTACCTCGTCATCAGAATACGGAGCCCGATAAAGCCTATGCTTAGGACGAGCCCTATAAAAAATCTCCCAATAGATACTATCCCACAACGTAATATTCTCAAGGCCCATATTAATCCAGAAAGCGCCAGAATCATATGATTCCTGCATCAAATCCGACAACGGCCTCTGAGCACGATCTAGTTGATCCCCCATCTGCTCCTCGACTGTTTTCATCGCTTTCAGAAAAAGATCCAAGGCCATCTCATACTGCGCTTTCCACCATTTCAACGCGCCTATCTCCAATGCTGCCTTTGGCAAAGCAATAGCTAGCCACTGCGGCGGGTCGTGCGAGTATCGTGCCGGCATGGTATTGTTGAATTCCAGATCTATCATGCCTATCACTTTTCCCGTGTCTGGGTCGACGAGCAAATTCCTTGGATCAAAATCCACATTTGAAGGTAGAAAGGGACCGTTTTCATACTCATCATTTAGATTGTAGAGCTCAGTAGCCATCTTTGCGAATGCCGGATAACTTAAAAACCGGGCTCGGGCTATATTGGCCGCCTCTTTGAAGTCGATGTTTTCTATTCCCCTAGCTTTTTGCACAGATTTGCCATTTTCCTTTTCGCGTGGCATATTAATGTTGCGTATATCTTTCAGCAGGTGGTGATGCTCGGAAAGATTATATTTGACGTAGTCGCTGCAGCATGTAAATGGTCCCTTGGACCATCTTTCGACCGGGTAATTGGGGATATCGGAATTCGCTAACTCCCTGTCCATGGTGAGTGGACGCTCAGTAACAACCCATTCATTCAAAGCATTCTGCGTAATAGACCCAATTCGATCAAGAGATATACTCCGAAGTTCAATCAGGAACTGAGCCACATCTTCATAAGCAGTCATCCGCAGTGCATCGGATTCTTCACTCTCCCCAGCATCAGGGAGGTTATCACAGAGGAAATTCCGTAGACTTTTCCCCTTCAGAAATTCCATCAATATAAAGGGAATACCAAGTGGCCATTCGGATTTGGGTAAATCAACACTAGATGTATAGATATGTGCGATTCGCATACTGGTTTTCTCTTTGAAACATTTCATCCAGGCGACTTCGTTTCGGACTTTTTCTTCCATCAGGAGAACAAATGAGTGCCCTGGCTTCGGCATGCGGAGAATAACATCTGTTTTGTCTTCGAAAGTAAAGCGGAATATCTGATTAAAAGATCCGACTTTCACATCTGCTTCAATTCTGGTTGCTTTTCCCTTGCCCTTTATTTGTGCGGTCACGAATTCTTCAAGTATGCTGGTTGTTGAGTCATTTAGATGGGTTTCTTCCCATTCATCGAAAAATGCTGTGCCTTCGTCCCAGCTCCATTCATCACCTGCGACGTATAGGGAGTATGGTGAAGGGAATTCGAAAATGGTATAGCCTGAGGTTGGATCCATCTTTAGATCCATAGATGGGGTTGATTTGGTGGTAAGTTGGATTGGAATAGGGGTTCTAGTTCTGGGATTTGGGATTTGAGATTTGGGATTGGGTGGAAAGAGATGAATCTTTTTCGAGTGAGTTAGGCTGTAATGCATTTGAGCCCCTGTTGGTTTTTTGTTTGGTGATAGGCCACTTATAGACCCGTGGACTTATCATTGTGTATTATTACAGCGCCGGTCCGAGCACTTCCCCCTTAAAGCTGCATGTATGACAGGTCTATTTGGAAAATGATGGACTACTATGTACGTACAGAGTAAATTTAAAGTTCTAAATGCGAAGCTCGGTGAGTCCTACAAGGTACCTACCTATCCATGGATGTAGTTAGCCGTACTGGTATACGGGTCCCTCTGGTACATACTATACCTGGGCATGTAGCCATGGACAGGAAGTATTGTTTACTTTGCGCCTTAATATTGCCACGCCACTATGAATTCCAAATCATCCTCAATTATCTATCCAGATCTTGATTAGTGTGCCAAATATACATAATAAGTCTGTTATCTCCCATAGTTAAGGAATTCCCGAATTCCCCCACTGTCGATCTCCCCCAAAATGGCTTAGCGTTCCGATGATCGGGATGAGCCACAAGACTATCGGTCAAGTCACCCTTCGTCCTTCTTCCTCTCGCTCTACACCCATCCCTACCAATTGATACCTCACGAAATACACAAAATGAGCAACGAAAAGGGAGTCGCCGAGAACATGCTTTGGGGAGGTCGCTTCACCCGTAAGAATTCCCCCCGTCAAACCCCCACCAACCCCCGCCAAACCAATTGACTCACACTAACAAAAAAATAATTCAGAGGGCCTCGACCCCCTCATGGTGCAGTACAATGAGTCTCTGCCCTACGACCGCATCATGTGGAAGCAGGATATTGCTGGCTCAATCGCATTCGCCCGCGCCAACATGAAGAACGGCATCCTGACACAGCACGAGTTCGCCGAAATCGAGCGCGGCTTCGCCCAGATCTCCGAGGAATGGCGCACAGATACCTTCGAGCCCAAGCCTAACGACGAGGATATCCACACCGCCAACGAGCGTCGTCTTGGTGAGATTATCGGAAAGGAGATTGGTGGCAAGCTGCACACTGGTCGCTCGCGCAATGAGCAGGTCGCTACTGATATGCGTCTGTGGTTGCGTGATGAGTTGCGCGTGCTCGATTCTCAGCTTTGCGACCTGATTAAGGTTTCTGTTGCTCGTGCTGAGAAGGAAATTGACTACCTCATGCCCGGTTATACCCATTTGCAGAAGGCTCAGCCTGTTCGCTGGGCTCACTGGATGCTGTCGCATGCTACTGCTTTTGCTAGTGAGTTGCAGCGCCTGCGCGAGGTTATTGCTCGTGTGAACCGCAGCCCTCTCGGATGTGGTGCTTTGGCAGGTAACCCTTTCAACATTGACCGTGAGGCCATGGCTAAGGAGCTTGGTTTCGATGGTCTGCTGTATAACTCTATGAACACTGTTGGAGACCGTGATTTCGCCATGGAGACCATGCAGTGGGGTAGCTCTTTCATGCTGAAAATCTCTCGCTGGGCCGAGGATTTGATTATCTACAGCAGCTTGGAGTTCGGATTCGTGCGTCTGTCCGACGCTTACTCTACTGGATCCTCTTTGATGCCCCAGAAGAAGAACGCAGGTAGGTTTCTACACTAGGCCTCCTTTTCATCTCAATCCAGTCAATGCTAATTCGTGTTCAATTTATAGACAGCCTTGAGCTCCTTCGTGGCAAGTCTGGCCGTGCCTTCGGTCAAATGGCTGGCCTGATGATGACCATCAAGGGTCTGCCTACTACCTATAACAAGGATCTGCAGGAGAGCATTGAGCCCCTGCTCGACCACATTAAGACCGTCAGCGACAGTATCCTGATCGCTACCGGTGTTCTGTCTACACTGACTGCCAACCCCGAGAAGATGGCTGCCGCTCTGGCCCCTGAGATGCTGGCCACCGAGTTCGCAGACTACCTTGTTCGCAAGGGTGTTCCTTTCCGTGAGGGCCACCACATCTCCGGCCGTGTCGTTCAACTGGCTGAGAGCACCAATGTTCCCATGGATACACTCACTCTGGAGCAGCTTCAGGGTATTGATGCTCGCTTCGGTGAGGATGTCCAGGCTTGTCTCGACTATGAGCGCGCTGTAGAGTTGAAGGATGCCATCGGTGGCACCAGCAAGCGTGCTGTTATGGAGCAGACTGGCGTGTTGAAGAAACTCCTGTAGATATCTCGTGTGATCTATGAGTGAATGTGGTATGGAGTTTTATGTGCAGTATACCATGAAAAGTGCTAGCGGAATTTTCCAGGATATGATTTGGGTTAGACAAAAATGATATATATAAGTTTCTTTCGGTTTATATTTGATTTTTCACTGAGTCTACAGAGATGTAGCTTCAATCTAGTTTTGCAACGTACCAATTTAGATTTTCATATCTGTAGAAGAATGCAAATGGGGAATATTCAAACGTGGAACCTCCAATCATCAATTTTATAAGTACATGATGGTCAGGTAACTCAATCTATCATTGAAACATCTCAAAAATAACTTTGTGGGGTAATATCATAAAAAGACATGAATGGAAAACACAAGACAAGAAAGCTGAAAAAATGAAAGTCTTTAGAAAACACAGTGAAGAAACAAAATCTATCGGCAAGATCAATATCTAACCTTGTTCTTAACCTTCAACTCCCTAGGAGCAGCTGGAACCTTATCTCTAGGATGAATAGAATCATCGTCAAAGAAAGTCTGATCTTCCGTCCCTTTTCTGTCCTTTGTTCTTCTTTGTCCTGGAGAAGCAGACTGCGCCACCGACTGAGGGGAATAACGAGTATCAGAGCGTTCTGAATAAGGGCTCGAGTCCATGTTTAAGAAATTTGTTGGCTGTCTATGTCTAGAGTACTGATTATTCTGACGAGGTGATAAGCTGTTACTAGGTCTTAGAGGTGTATTGTCGAACTGAAGTCGAGTATTCAAAATCGCACTTGGAGAAGAAATGCTAGTAGCCGTAGGAGAGCTAGGCTGTGGAGCTTCGCCGACAATGTTCACAGAAGAAGAACTGGGCAATGCAACTGAAGACGCAGCGATAGAGCTGGGCTTCGGAGGGGGGCGATCTCTGAGAATCTTGACCGAAGATGAACTGGGCAATGCAAACGAGGACGCCACGACAGAGGCAGGACTATCAGGCGGCGTGTCAGGCCTGGGAAGACCAGCTGTCGGTGTTGCGACCCAAGAAAAGACAGCTGGTTCTCTCTGTTTGTGTTGTTGTCTCTGGTCTAGTGGCAAGTTGATAAGTTCTTTCTGAGAGTAGGGCGCTAGCTCGGCACGGGTTTGTTGGAGGGCTGTATCTGGGAGTTCAGGCGGGTGTTGCTGTCTTCTAGCACTCAAGGGTGGCTGAACCCTGAATCCTGGAGGCGCTGTGTGAGGAAGACTTAATGTTGACCCACTGGCAGTGGGTGATGATAATCCGCCAGACATGACTATGGGAATATTTGACCCTGTGTTGTGGCGGTCGAGCAATGGATATGAAGTCTTTGTTTTTGTTTTGGGGCTCGAGCCGTATGGACCATAGCGAGTGTCTGAGGTGCGGAGAGGCTCATCCAGATTAAGAGTCTGTCGTTGTTGACGTTTGCGTTTTCGGCACCAGAAAATGAGTATCCCGATGACCAACAGGGCTACTACCACGCCCGCGATAACCCCACCGATTATGACTCCACGTGTGGCGTTTGAGCTTGTTGTGCTGGCCACGGTTGAGGTGCTTGTTGATGATACAGCAGAAATAGCACTCGACTGATTTTCAACAGCGAGATCAGTCACTTGCGAGGTGGTCTTTGTTGTTGTTGTTGCTTCACTTGAGGTACTGTGACTTGTTGGAGATGTAGAGGCACTGGTGGTAGTGGAAGACTTAGAAGTCGATGTGCTTTTTGTAGTTGCAGTATCGTCATCATCTGTACAGACACCATTGTCACATGGATCCATTGAGCAGCATCCTTCGTAGTCATTAGCTGAGCATGTATACCACTGTTTATCACCGGTGCATGTTTGATACGCGCGAGGAGCGAGAAGATCCATCAGAGCGAGTGACTGTGTGAATGAGAGTAAATAAGATCAAAAGCACCAACGTGTGATGGCGGGCATGGAAGTTGGGACCACAGAGCAACCACAGAGCAAACGAGTGTAAGTGATGCTTTGGAGCCCAGCAGCGGTAAACAGACAGGGCCCCATTATATCAAGTACACCGTCAACCTCCATGACTTAGAGCCTCACGAAAGGCTTTGATGACTCGGTACCTAATTTTAATCAAAGACGTGTATCTCTGTCGTCAATGGCTTTCACAATGAACGGACCCGGACTTGAATGCAAATGTGCGCTAAAGATAGAATGCGCATGAATCGTCAGCCGTCAGTCATGCACGCAATACTACGAGAATATTCATAGATCGAGGGAGATATTGAGTCCAGAAAATAATGAAAAAAAAGAAAATTTGAGTGATATCAGAACAACTGAGGGGAAAAGCTCAGTACACCGACTCTTCGCCTGTTAATAATAAAAAGGAAATATGGCTATACAGGAGGGTAAATAACACAAGTTAAAATAAGAAACATGATCTTTTCATAGGTTCCACCGTTGATACCACGCTTGTTTCATCTCTCGGAGCCCACATGTTACCAATGATCATCTGAATCACTTGAAACCAAGGCGTGGTATATTCTTTCAACTCCAGGGTGACAAAGCGTTTAGTAGGTACGCTTGAAGGGGGGAACGGGCTTGCACTCGGCCTCATCCAGGGTGTTAGCCTCAACGGCACGGTAGCCCAGCTCAACCTTGCCGTGGGCCTCCTTCTGCCAGGTGAGGGTGTGCTTCATCCAGTTGGTGTCGTCACGGTCGGGGAAGTCCTCACGGGCGTGGGCACCACGAGACTCCTTACGGTTAGCGGCAGCAGTGGCGGTTTGGGTACTAGAAACAGTAAAAACAACGAGTTAGTCACAATTGGTCGCAGACATGAGTAGTAGAGGCTTTCTGTCTATGACAGAGGGTATACGTACGCGCAAGTAAGCAGGTTACGGAGCTCAAGAGTCTCAACAAGGTCGGAGTTCCAGATCATGCTGCGGTCCTTGGTGTTGACCTGGTCGTACCAGGTATCGATCTCGTTGATCTTCCCAACACCCTCATCCAGGGACTCCTGGGTACGGAACACACTGACATCAGTCTGCATGGTCTTCTGCATAGCGTTACGGACATCGAAGGTGCTCTTGGGGCCGTCAGCGGTACGGGCGAAGTCCAGATCCTTGATGGACTGGGCACCAGCATCGGAAGCCAGCTCCTTGTGGGGCTTGCCAGGGGAAGAAGTATCGCGGACACGGTGAGAAACAGCACGACCGAAGACGATCAGATCGAGCAGGGAGTTGGCACCCAGACGGTTGGCACCGTGGACAGACACGGAGGCGGCCTCACCACAAGCGTACAGACCGGGGACAACCTTGTCGTTACCGTTCTCATCAACATCCAGAACCTCACCAGTGTACTTGGTAGGGATACCACCCATGTTGTAGTGGACAGTGGGCAGGACGGGAATGGGCTGCTTGGTGACATCGACACCAGCGAAGATGGAAGCGGTCTCGGAAATACCAGGCAGACGCTCGTGCAGGAGCTCAGCGGGCAAGTGGCTCAGCTGGAGGTAGATGTGGTCCTTCTCGGGACCCACACCACGGCCCTCACGGATCTCCAGAGTCATGGAACGAGAGACGACGTCACGAGAGGCAAGATCCTTGGCGGTAGGAGCGTAACGCTCCATGAAACGTTCACCCTCGGAGTTGAGCAGGTAACCACCCTCACCACGAGAGCCCTCAGTGATCAGACATCCGGCACCGTAGATACCAGTGGGGTGGAACTGGACGAACTCCAGATCCTGGTTAGGAAGACCAGCACGAGCAACCATGGCCATACCGTCACCGGTGCAAGTGTGGGCCGAAGTGCAAGAGAAGTAAGCACGTCCGTAACCACCGGTAGCCAGGACAGTGTGGTGAGCCTTGAAACGGTGCAGAGTACCATCCTCTTGGTTGTAGGCAATGATACCACGGCACTCACCATCCTCCATCAGAAGATCAAGAGCGAAGTACTCGATGAAGTAGTTAGTGTTGTGGCGCAGAGACTGGCCGTAGAGGGTGTGAAGCAGGGCGTGACCAGTACGATCAGCGGCAGCACAGCAACGGTAGGCCTGGCCACCCTTTCCGAACTCCTTAGACTGACCACCGAAAGCACGCTGGTAGATACGGCCATCCTCGGTACGGGAGAAGGGGCAACCATAACCCTCAAGCTCGCGGACGGAGGCGGGAGCCTCACGGGTCATATAGTGAATAGCATCCTGGTCACCAAGCCAATCGGAACCCTTCACGGTATCGTACATGTGCCATCTCCAGTCATCCTCGTGCATGCTATTGAGCCAGTTAGTTCCTGTTCCGCCATAACGGCTACACGGTATAAAAACGCAAAGATCTCGAAGGCGAGGGAAACCTACTTTCCGAGAGCGGCGTTGATACCACCCTGGGCAGCAACGGTGTGAGATCGAGTAGGGAACAGCTTGGAAACACAGGCAGTGTTGAAGCCAGCCTCAGCCAAACCGAAGGCAGCACGCAGACCGGCACCACCGGCACCAACAACGACGGCATCGTACTCGTGGTCCTGTGCTAGTCAGAATGACACTTCCCCAATATATCTTTCAAGTCCCTGCAGGGGTTTTGGCTTACAATGACGGGGTACTTCTCAGAAATGTAGCCATTGGCAGCCTTGGCGCGCAGCGGGTTGGGAGTCCAGATTCGGGCTATCGACGGTGCGTGATTAGTTGGTGATGACGACGTGACGTTATTTCGGACGAAATGATTCTCAATGCATACCAGCGGGACGAGATGATGAGAAAAGGCGTCTCTGATCCCTCAAGACACGAGAAACCTATAATTTGACAATCAATCGGTTAGTTCAACCGTCGCGCACCCGGGCCGAAAATCATCGCAAGTCGGCTACTTACCTTCGAGGCGGGAGTCAAGCTCCGCAAGCTCAGGGAGCTCATTATGACGGGTGCAAGGAGAATGGAATCCCTAAACGCCCGAAAGAAGAAGAAAGCACCGGTTATACGGTGTAGATTAGAGAATGGCAGAGGGGAGAGGTGGAAGAACTTCCTGTCAGTAAAGGGCAACTTCGGCGATGGAATTCGGCTTGCGGATGGCAGTTGGCGCTGACCTAATCGCTAGCTTTTACAATTGAACGCGCGGTGATTGGCTGCTTCGGGCCCTACTCATTTTCGTGCGCCGTGACTTGCCTCGGGAGCCCGGGACACACGTGACTTCATTTTCGTAGATCCAGCTTCTTATTCGGTGTCTTGTGCTTGTTATACACGGCAGATTTATTGGAAAAAGGCTTGAGACGTTTTATTTGCCATTTATGAGTTTTTAGTTATTTTTAATCAAATATCACCCACGGTCAAATCCCTTATACACATTCCGAATTCTCTCCATTGAACCCATTAGCCGATGTACAGTTATTCTCCTTTTCCCCGGATATACGATCTTCCCACACATTTCGGGAACAAGATTATCCGGCCCGAGATGCTAGTCAAGACCCACCACGCCTAGCAGCCAAGCAGATCCCAAGCTTTCAAAGCTAAGGTGCTACATAATACCTAACAAACTATGGGTATTGGACGATCGATCTAGACCAAGATAAAAGTATAAAAAATTATAGATTCGTCTACACGATCAAGGGATATCCCCCAGAAAGCCAACATGCAAACAATGTGAGAAAAGAGACTAACTTGAATGATCGTACAAACTCATGCACCCTTGCCCATGCCAGAAACCAGTCCAGTTCTCTAGTTGTACTGCATGTACGTGGCTGTTGAGTTGAACTTCAAGTTACCCTTGATGACCTTCTCTACCGAAGCCAGGAAATCCTTCTCGGTCGCCACCTTTCGTCGAGCACGGATCGCGAACATGCCAGCCTCTGTAGCAACGCTGCGTAATTCCGCACCAGTGGCGTTGGGGCAAAGACGAGAGATCAACTCCCATCGAATGTCCCGCTCCACGGACATGCTCTTGGCGTGAATACGCAGAATGTTGGCACGACCCTCAACATCAGGTAGAGAGAATTCAATCTTTCGATCAATACGACCAGGTCGCATCAGGGCGGGATCCAGAGTTGAAGGTCTGTTAGTAGCGAACATGACCTTGATGTTACCACGAGAGTCGAAACCATCAAGTTGTGTAATAAGTTCCAGCATAGTTCGCTGAACTTCATTATCACCGCCGGCACCGTCATCAAAACGAGCTCCGCCGACCGCATCGATTTCGTCGAAGAAGATGATACAGGCCTTCTTGGTACGGGCCATCTCGAAGAGCTCACGGACCATACGGGCACCCTCACCAACATACTTCTGTACCAACTCACTTCCAATGACTCGAATGAAGGTGGCATCGGTTCGGTTGGCAACAGCACGGGCGCAAAGAGTCTTACCGGTACCGGGAGGACCGTAGAGCAGAGCACCCTTGGGAGGGTCGATACCCAAGTTGACAAATCTTTCCGGTGATAGCAATGGCATTTCCACGACTTCTCGTAATTTCTCGATCTGTTCCTTGCAGCCACCGACATCGCCGTAAGTCACATCTGGTTTGTCCTCCACCGTCATCATTGTTACGCTAGGGTCGATCTTGGGTGGTAGCGGAAGCATAATCTGGTACTTATTCCGGTCGACACTATCACCTGTCAGTAACTTTGTAAATTTCGAGAAACCGAGTAAAACAAGACATACCCAACTCGCATGCCCTCCTCAATATCTGTTGGACTGACACGCTCTCCCAAGTTGACCACGAACTTGGCAATCTGTTTGACGTTGATGACATATTTACTCTTGTCTGAATCCTTCTCATCTTGAATAATCTTTGTGCAGCGAGCTACTTGGAGCGGTTGCTCCTCAGCCATCCGTTGTCGATCAGCAGCAACATCCCAAAGATGTGGAGGCGCGAGACCAGTGTCGGATTCCTGGGAAGAGTATGAGCTTAAATCGGGTTCAAAGCATCGAAACAGCTAAATCTATAATCACCTTCACACCAATCTTCTCATTGACGCTTGCTTGCTTATCCTTGATATCCTTCTCGAGCTTCTGAAGAGCTTTTGCGTAGGGGGCGGCGCCGTAGGTCTTGAGTACTGCGATATCACTGAGGGGCGACGTCAGCAATCCATCCATCACGAGGAAGGTCATATCGCTTAGAATTCGTGGTCCCTAGCATTAAAGGAACTTACTCGTCTGTAAGAGGTGTGATCTTCTTCTCTGGTTCCTCGTCATCCGCGTAGTTCTTCTGGTACTTCTCCCAGTTCTGTCCCGTGGCGCTAGGCATACTGAGATGTGTTGACAGCCCCGGGCTGAGGACTTAGGATGAGAAACAAAAGTGAAAACAGCAAATAAAGCCTTATAATAGCAAGAGGAACTCGAATGACCTGGAAAGGGCTGAAATTCGCGGATGTGGATGGTATAAAGACTGGGATGGAGATGATGTAGCAGACAGAGCTGCGGTGCCCGAGCTCAACTCACTAATCAGCGCCAAGCTTCATCACCGCCCCAGAACCTCGCAGAATTTCTGTGTGTTCACTCCACCAACGCCGAATCAACTTCCCCTTTTGGACTATTTTCATCGGTTGCTTTTGGATAACAACATTCAAGATGGCGACCGCAGTGGCTCAGGGAACTGCTGGCAATAACTCTTTCAAGGTGCGATCCGAAAAAGCCCTGTGTGTGTGGACCGATTCCTAACAACGAGCAGGACAAGGAGAAGCCTATGGCCGTGCGGGCCTCCAACATTCTTGCAGCTCGAGGTATGTCATAAATTATACGTTCATATACCAGGATTCCATGCTGACGATTATTTTTTGTCTCTAGCTGTCGCCGATGCTATTCGTACAGTACGCATACCAGAAACTAAAATATGATAATTTACGGAGATGAGGGGCTAACACAGCGGGCAGTCATTGGGACCCAGGGGTATGGACAAGATGGTAAGTTCTACACGAAGACTTTCAGTGTACATCATGCTAACGCAAGACTAGATCCAAACACCCAAGGGAAACACTATTATTGTATGCAATTCGTTCAATCCTTTCCGCCGATCTTCCCAACTAACCCCCCGCAGACCAACGACGGCAACACCATGTTGAAGGATATGAGCGTGATGCACCCCGCTGCTCGCATGCTGGTCGACCTGAGTGCTGCGCAGGATGTGGAGGCTGGTGATGGAACAACCTCGGTTGTGGTTATTGCTGGTAGCTTGCTCGGTGCCGCTGAGCGTCTGCTGTCTAAAGGCATTCACCCCACTGTCATCGCCGAGTCCTTCCAGCGTGCCGCCAACGCTTCTGTAGAGATCCTCCACAACATGTCCCGCCCTATTAACTTGACCGACCGCAATACCCTCCTCCAAGCCGCCTCGACCTCCCTCTCCTCGAAGATTGTCTCCCAGCACTCTGGCTTGCTGGGCCCCATGGCCGTCGACTCTGTGTTGAAGATTGTCGACCCCAAGACTGCCGAAAATGTCGACTTGCGAAACATTCGGATAGTCAAGAAGGTCGGCGGTACCATTGAGGATAGTGAAATGATTGATGGTCTGGTCTTGAACCAGCCCGTTATCAAGAACAGCGGAGGCCCCACAAGAATCGAGAAGGCCCGGATTGGTCTTATTCAATTCCAGCTCAGCCCTCCTAAGCCGGATGTATGCTTAGAATTTTAGCCATCATGCTTCGAGTTTTTGCTAACCGTTTCTATAGATGGAAAACCAAATTGTCGTGAACGATTACCGCCAGATGGACAAGATTCTGAAGGAGGAGCGCCAATACTTGCTTAACATGGTTAAGAAGATCCAAAAGACCAAGTGTAACGTTCTTTTGATCCAAAAGTCGATTCTCCGTGACGCCGTCAACGAGCTTTCCCTGCACTTCCTTTCTCGCCTTAAGATTTTGGCTATCAAGGATATCGAGCGTGATGAGGTTGAGTTCCTGTGCAAGTCTCTTGGCTGCAAGCCCGTCGCCAATGTCGATTCTTTCACCGAGGATAAGCTTGGTACCGCTGATCTTATTGAGGAGGTCCAGGCATCTGGTGCTCGTTACGTTAAGATCACTGGCATCAAGACCCCCACCACTACCCCCATCAACCAGACCGTCTCCATCGTCGCTCGCGGTGCCAACAGTCTTATTTTGGACGAGGCTGAGCGCTCTCTGCACGATGCTCTTTGCGTCATTCGCTGTCTCGTTAAGAAGCGCGCCATGATTGCTGGTGGTGGTGCTCCCGAGATCGAGGTGTCACAGTCTCTCGCCAAGCAGGCCCGTGAACTCACTGGAACCGAGTCTATCTGCTGGAAGGCGTTCGCCGATGCGCTGGAGGTTATCCCAACCACCCTGGCCGAGAACGCTGGTTTGAACTCTATTAAGGTTGTTACTGAGCTGCGTCACCGTCACGCCCAAGGCCAGCGCAATGCTGGTGTCAGCATCCGCAGCGGAGGTGTCAAGGACGACATCACTGAGGAGAACATCCTGCAGCCCCTGCTGGTCAGCACTAGTGCTATTGAGCTGGCTGCTGAGACTGTGAAGATGATCATGAGAATTGACGACATTGCTCTGTCGCGGTAAAAGTTTTCACGCGCAGAGATGTATGATGAAATGCGAATCAATCGCAATGAGTAATTACCCAAAAAAAATTATCCAGTTTTGACATAGAAAGTCTTGGCTCATAAGCAATTTGAAAGTACTTCTTTGTGTGATCTATTCGGTATTTCAATAATAGACCCGTAGATTTATTGTGGCTATTTAAGTAGGGACGGACTTCTATAACCAGGCGTGCGAGACTAAACCAGACGCCCTGTCGACAGGATCCTGATACCTATTATTTTCGACTGATCTTAAGAGACAAAGAAACATTCTAAATTTGCTTTTCAAATGCATTGTACTTCCGTCTACCTTTATTCGCTCTTCATGCCTTGTTGTTTCAAAAAACCTACCTGTCTTTCAAAGAAAACAATGGCCACTATGGATTTCAAAGACCAAGAATAACAGACTGTAAAGATGCTCATTTATTTAATGACTTTGATGCATCCCATAAATGAAATCTCCAAGTTATCTCAAGTGCTAAATTAGCCACTAACGCAGTCCCTTGCAATCTCCAAGATGTCTCTCTATACAAATGACATGGACAGGATGGATACGCAAGACGAGGAAGAACAACAAGACTACCACGATCAACAGCTAGACAATTTGTCTCGAGGCTTACGAGGATTGAATTACAGTTGGGAAGGAATTTTACTACCAGCGAGCCCATCGTGCTCCTACCAGACGCAGCCGAGTCAAGAAGTGACTATTCCAGTGATTTAGAGTCTTGCATGGACGATGCGATGCAGGATGATCGACCTTGCCAAGTTGACTCTATCATATTTGACGATTCCGATCCTCTTCGGCTTCTCACAGAAAATCATTGTGACTATCATCCGAAAAACAACAGGCCTAACTATACTGGATATAGTGCAGTCACAAGTCCGGGGAGGGACCATGAAGATATTCCGGATTCCAATGAGACACCGTATCTTATGAATCTCATGGAAATATCAAAAGGGCCGCACGATTACTTAATAGAGCCAGTGTTCTGTCCAGAGGGATCTCAAGAACAAACCAATGAATATGGCCTAACTCGACTGTAAATGGCTCGCTTGGACCAGATGGTTCTATTCAACCAACTTAACAGTGATCCATAGTTGATTTGACTTTATACTATAATGGATGAGCTACAGATATAGAATAGTCGCTTCACTTTTAGGTAATTTATTTTATTTTTAGATTTAGACTGCAATTAAGTGTTCCACGTTCTTTAGGATTACCAGATGCGGTAATCGTCTTCACCCCAACACGCGCGGCCGGCATCCCCACCAACTCACCACCTACTTCACCCCACACCGACAATTTTATCATGTGAAACTATTAATGCGGTCTGTTTCAGACTTCGAAACTCATTCTCCAGATGTTGGGTGGTTTTGGCCCCAGTCCAGCGATACTCAGCAACCTCCATCTAACCCCACATCCAACTCGCCTATCATGCGCACATACTATACAATGGGCTATAGCGCAGTCTATGGTCGTTTGAATCCAGTTCTTTACAGTCAGATCAGCTCAAAGAGTGAAAGCCCATTCCGAAGCACATTATCCACGGAGACATAAAGCTTCTCATGTTCTATTTAAGGCCAAGATGACAGGGGGTCGTTTTTGGCCCCCTCATGATCCCCGTCGATCATAAGCAAGTTGACGTCAGAATCAGGACAACAAAAGATTCATGTCAACATGAACTGCTCACCCGCCTGCATCCCAAAAAATTTCATGTATACCTTGAATCCTTCCGACTTGAATCCTTCCAGACCAAGGTTTTATAGCGCATGTTCGCTAGCCTTACGAGTTCACAGCTTGAGCGGGTCGCTTTTTTAACCTGCCGACCCTGAATCTTCTAACTCTAAATAGTCAATTTCTTTGCTATTGTAGATCACGGCAAAAGCACATAAGCTGAAAAAATCTCCCCCACGCCAAGGTTCATCAAGTGACATAACCGAATTCAAAGTCTTTCTGGCCCCCATAGCCCCCAAGAGCTCTTGTCTTAAGCCTGAAAAGGCCATCAATATCCTACTTCACACGCCACCCCACGTATCTACAACTCCACGACACTATGCCACGCCGGTGCCACACTAAATCCAGACGGGGTTGCGTACAATGTAAAGAAAGACATGTTAAGGTGAGCTCAGATCGAAAAGGATGAGATAAACGATAAACGATCAAAAGATCCATATCTCAATCCTTCTCTTTAGTGTCATCCATCATGCGTTGAGTTCTTCTTCTAACCTTCCTCGATAGTGCGATGAACGACGACCAACATGCAGCCTCTGTGTCCGTCGTGGATTATCATGCATCTACGTAGCACCCAGACCCAGAAAAAGACCTTCTTCAAATGGAGGATCCCCCAAGAATAACGGCTCCGACAGAGCATCATCTCACTCAAGTGGCTCCGATCCAGATGGCTTCTCACGCTTACCACGGTTGAAGGAAATGAGCCTCTTCTATCAGTGCTGCGAGTCGACTCTCCCATCCATCTCAAAAGATGAGAAAGGCGGCCAGTTTTGGGAGAAAGTTCCTCAGTTCGCTGTCACACATGATCACGTTATGGATAGTCTACTCGCGCTGGCTGCTCTTCATCTTGCCTCTGAGCAGGTCGATCGCGGCGAGATCCCCAGCTGGCTGGAGACCGCGTTAACATACCAGACTCATGCGACCACTGGTTTGAGGCAGGACCTCGCGACCAACCCACAGAATATCGAAGCATCTTTTATTTGTTCCTCTATTATTCTTATTCTTGTCACTGCTTACCCCGGCATTTGTTGGGATGATGCACCAACCGATCCACTGAGTGAGATCTTGACACTCCGTTCTATTTTGAGCGGGGCTGCGTTTTTATGGATTCAAATGGTTGGCCCGGAGAGTGGGTGGCTCGATGATTGGGTTTATCGGGAAGGAAATAACAGGCTCGTGGTGGCTAGAGCAAAGTACGTATTTGGATCACAGGTACCCTAATTTTCATTATGAACATTCTTTTCTAACAATATATATAGTGAGGATACAAATTTGGTCAAACTGCATTCGTAAGTCATCATCTATGATTGGCAAGTTGTTAAAGCCGAGGCTAACCCTCAACCAGAACCATTTTAATGAAATTCCGCACTCTGGCACCCATTATCGAAGCCAACCCAGGACCAAATTCGCAAATATATCGTGAGACATATACACTTCTACTTCGGAGTTTAGAAACTTGGCCATCTGGACAAGGCAGCCTAGTCTGGCCCATCCGGGTGAGCGAAGAGTTCATGACCCTCGTGCAGCAAGGAGATTGGACAGCCTTGATCTTCATCTTATTCCATGGATTAGACAGGCATTTATCCTCTCAGAAGTGGTATGCTCGGGACTCAGGAAAAAGATTGGTCCATGGTGTCATTCGGAAATTCGGGACGACGATTCCATTAGAATGGATGGATATGGTTGACTGGGTTGGGAGAGTGGTTGAGGTATAACTTGAGGCGCCAGTCGTTTCTGCTTTATTTCCTTTTAATTTCCTTTTTCTTGGCCCTGTCAATCATTGAATGGTGTTATATTACTGGGAGGTCTTGGTAAGTCTATTGAGGATTGGCGTTCTGTTCTGATCATGATGGTGGTATATGCGACGATGATATCTTGGGTATGGAGTTTTTGCATTGCAGGTCAACAAATTGGACACATATCCATAGATTGGATTTAATGACGTACAGAAAAACCAGACGTAAGTAAATAATGTAATATAGGCAACGATTTGTAATTCTTTGAAGAATTCAAGGTGGAATGTTGTATATACAGCATAGGTTCCTGCCATGTACCCAATCTGGGGTTCAATAGAACAAGGATCCGAGGTTGTTTCGCTTTGTTTCCTCCGAGCACACTGATTCTAATAAATGATAATCCTTTCCAACTTTTCATTCATCTGAAACATTTCAACTAATTTCAATTATTTTCTCTCTTCCATATTCATCTTACTCATTGCTTGTTGCTAGATCCCTGTGTCGCGTGAGTACTGGTGTTGCGTGCTTCGGCCCCCGGGATCCACAATTCCTCGACCCTGATAAGAGAGAGAGACCCGCTCATCCAAACTTCAGCTGCATCTCCGCGACCAGCTACCGATCAATCATGGGGAAGCTCGATAATGAAGGCTCCTCTGAGGCCGGCCCACTGACAAATCGACGGTCTTCATCATTCAGCTCACGCATTTCCTCAGATTCAGGGCTATCGGTTGCCTCGGCCTCATTCATGGCAGCTCACAAGGACGAGCTGATGGCCGCGGCCGCAGACGAAGAAGCGGGCGACGAACAACGATACCGCGATCTCGAAGACGGCGCTGAACCCGGAGACGACGAACCTTTCCTATCCCCCCGTCCCAAGAAACCCGCTGCATCGGGCAGTCGCATGCGTCGTGCGCTTTGGTTGCTCGGTTTCCTCTGCGTCGGCGGCTGGGTACTCGCATTTGTACTATTCCTTGCAGCAAAACGACCTATTGCTGCTGCCGATACCGCATCCCTAGATTCTGGCTCCGATGGTCTTGATTACGTGGCAAGTGGCTCGAGCGAGGGTAATCCGGTGACGCTGGAGCAGGTGTTGAGGGGGGAGTGGACTGCACAATCACATGCAATTTCCTGGATTGCCGGCCCAGATGGTGAGGATGGGCTTCTGGTTGAGCGTGGTGAGAGTGGAGATGGGTACTTGCGGGTGGAGAATATCCAGAATCGCAAGGATGGTGCTGGTGACCCTGATACTAGCGTGTTGATGGACAAGCCTTATTTCTGGGTGAATGATGAGCATATCACCCCGCAGAAGACCTGGCCAAGCCCAAATATGAAGAAGGTCCTGATTGCGTCTTCTACGCAGTCTAACTTCAGACATTCGTTCTTCGGAAAATACTGGATCTTCGATGTTGAGTCTCAGACTGCCGAGCCCCTGGATGCCAGCGATTTGAGCGATCGTGTGCAGCTGGCTGCTTGGTCGCCTCAGTCAGATGCTGTTGCTTTTGTTCGAGAGAACAATCTGTACTTGCGCAAACTTTCCTCTCCCCAGGTCGTTCCAATTACCAAGGATGGTAACAAGGACCTCTTCTACGGTGTTCCAGATTGGGTATATGAAGAGGAAGTCTTCGCAGGAAACTCGGGAACTTGGTGGGATAGAGATGGCAAATTCCTGGCTTTCTTGCAGACCAAGGAGGCCGAGGTGCCTGAATATCCTGTCCAATTCTTCCTTTCACGTCCCTCAGGCAAAGAGCCCGATCCCGGTCTCGAGAATTACCCCGAAGTCCAACAAATCAAGTATCCCAAGGCTGGTAGCCCCAATCCAGTGGTCCATCTGCAATTCTATGATGTCGAGAAGGCTGAAGTGTTCTCCATCGACATGCCCGAGGACTTCAAGGACGATGACCGTATCATCATTGAAATTGTTTGGGCTTCCGCAGGCCAAGTTCTCATTCGAGAGACAAACCGCGAGAGCGATATTGTCAAGATATTCCTGGTAGACTCCAAATCCAGAACTGGCAAACTTGTTCGATCGGACGATATCGCTGGCCTGGACGGAGGCTGGGTTGAACCTTCTCAAAGCACCCGGTTTATCCCTGCCGACTCTAACAATGGCCGACCGCACGATGGATACGTTGATACTGTGATTCACGAAGGCTATGATCACCTAGCCTACTTCTCGCCTCTCGATAGCTCCAAGCCCACGATGCTTACCAAGGGAGACTGGGAAGTGGTCTCTGCGCCCTCTGCCGTTGACCTGGAGAAGAACATCGTCTATTTCGTTGCTACAAAGGAAGCTCCGACTCAGCGCCATGTATACCAGGTGAAGCTTGATGGATCTGACCTTCTCCCGCTAACTGATATTTCCAAACCGGGATATTTCCAGGTATCCTTTTCAGAAGGCGCCGGATATGCTCTTCTCAGCTCGAAGGGTCCTGGCGTTCCATGGCAAGCCATTATCAACACCCAGACTGACGAGGTCAAGTATGAGGCCGTTATTGAGGAAAACACACGTCTTCGCCAAATGGTTAAGGACCACGCTCTCCCACAGGAGATCTACACCAACGTGACAATTGATGGGTACACTCTCCAAGTGCTCGAACGCCGACCTGCAAACTTCGACTCTTCCAAGAAGTACCCCGTCCTGTTCTTCATGTATGCCGGCCCCGGATCTCAAACAGTCGATCGCAAATTCACCATCGACTTCCAATCATACGTTGCCTCTAGCTTGGGATACATAGTCGTCACCGTTGATGGCCGTGGAACAGGATACATTGGTCGCAAGGCCCGTTGTATCGTCCGCGGAAACCTTGGATTTTATGAAGCCAGCGACCAGATCGACGCTGCCAAGATTTATGCAGGCAAGGACTACGTTGATGAAAGCCGCATGGCTATCTGGGGCTGGAGCTTTGGCGGTTTTATGACCCTTAAGGTTCTCGAGTTGGATGCAGGCCAGACATTCCGGTACGGCATGGCTGTTGCGCCCGTGACTGACTGGAGGTTCTATGGTAAGTGTAAATTCCTTGTGCATTTTTTATTCCCGAATATCCGAATACTGACTTACATTCATCAGACTCAATCTACACGGAGCGCTACATGCACACACCTCAGCACAACCCATCAGGCTACGAGAACTCCACCATCACCGATGTGCAATCAATAGCTCAAAACGTTCGATTCCTGATCATGCATGGAAATGCAGATGACAACGTACATCTGCAAAATACCCTCACCCTCATTGACAAGCTGGACTTGGGCAATGTGAACAATTACGACATGCAAATCTTCCCTGATTCAGATCATAGTATCACTTTTCATAACGGACAGACTATGGTATACGAACGTGAGTTGAGCTTTTTTATTTTTAAGAAGGAATGAACTAATCAGTACTACAGGTCTCTCGAGCTGGCTCATCAACGCATTCAATGGCGAGTGGCTTCGCATTGCTAACCCAAAGCCGGAGGCGGAGTCGGTATGGAACAGAGCCAAGCGCTCATTGCCACTTGGGCTGTTTTGATCACCTCCCTATGTTTCCTCTGGCGTATACGCATACAGCTAGCTCTCTTGTTTGTCTTTAATCTTTCGGGATCATTTTGAATATGTATAGAATTGCACAAATTTTTATTTTCAAACAGCGTCGATGGTAACTCGAGTCTAATTCAAGAACACTAGCCGCTCCAGAGCATGCCAGACCGGAGAAAGTCCTGGCTCATAATCAAATTCACATCTGGGTTGCGGTATTGCAATAGGTCATCTCGTCGCAGCCCCCGTACTTGGTCATGTCCCGCTTGTGACCGTAGCGAAGCAAATGAAGATTGCAATCTTTGGGGTGGTGCAATAGCCCCAAGGGGCTTGTCGTTTGGGGAAATTCCCGAACGGCGGGTGGTTATAGTCGCGATATCAGAAGCGGGCTGCGTATCGGTGCGGCGGCCATTCAATGCCACAGCTGGAGGTACAGTAATAGGTTCGGTCTGATCATTTTGATGCCCAGCGATGACTTTGTGTGTTGTTGATATGTCTAGCGCAGTGGAAGGGTGCCACGAGGAAGGCGTCTTTGAAGTGTTGTTGACGTCCTTTTCATAGTTGGTGGTGTGTTTTGCTTCGTCTGCGACGAGATTCGCTCCTTTTAATGATGTCCCAGCTGCTTGACTACTCATCATCTTGGCAAACTTCCCAATCCAAAGCATCTGTTCGTGCTCTCGCAGATAACGCTCTCCACTAAAAGACTCTTGCACAATTTGACGCGTTTTCATTCCTAACGCGCGACACTGCGGGCTTTTCTCGTACATACGACGCGTGATAGCTTCTACCACTTCGGTAGAAGGCGAGGAAGTAAGAATCGGGGCTGGTGTACTGCCTTCGGCATATTGGCTCCATTCACCCAGTAAAGCAAGCATGGAAATCTGCGCCTTGGCTAGAGATAGGGCATCATTTGGTGCAACCACTGCACTGAAGCGAGAGAAATTGTTTGGATCACTCAGCACACGTAGAGAAGCACCGACGTCTGTGCAGACGACTGGGGCACCGGTCAGGGCTGCTTCACCCAGTGCAAGAGGGAGACCTTCTGAGAGGGATGAGTTCAAGAAGAGCCAGGTGTTTTCGAGGACTTTCATTGGATCTGCAGTTCCGCGTAGGGTGACTCGGCCTCGGAGACCTTTGGAGGCGATAATCTCTTGGCATTCGGTTGAGTAGGTTGGGGCCCTGTTGATTGCTCCGTAGATATCTAGGTGGTAGTCGCTGAATTTCCATTGGTTTATGATGATGTCTGCAGCAAGAAGTGCGGTCTTGATGTCCTTTGCGAACCACACATGGGATAGCATGGTAACCGTTGGGCGTGTGGACTTTATGCTGTCGACCGGCTTGAACTTTTGCATATCTGTTATGCCGTTCACGACTGGATCTATCTTGCGACGGAATGTATTGCGGTGCTCGATCGTGCCCTGGCAGGTTCCAATCTCAGTCTCCCAGCCCGGGTTGAAGAAGTCTGCACATGGAAGAATGACATCTGCGTGGTGGAGGGCCAGAACAGATGTGATCCGCATCAAGCCTAGAAGGGAGTTTCGGACGAAAGGCGAAAGTTTGCTCAATGCAGAAGAGAGACAGAGGTTTGATTCTCGCCAGCTGATTGCATGATCCCAGATCTGTAGGGTACAGTTTCTCTTGATTTTACAAACAACGCCATAAGAGGCACTGACGCTGTGGTGTGAGGCTTGGAAGACGTCGGGGATCTTTTCAGGAACTGGGATAGAGAATATGAAAAGATATCGATACCACAATTCAAGTGCAACACCGAAGGAGGTCAATGTTGGAAGCTCCGTGTTCAACCATTCGGTAGATGGAATAGCATTTGGCATATCCTGACTGAGCCAAAGGTCCCGCCAGGCCTGCTTGACAAATTCGCTATTCCATATCAGTGACCAATGTCGCGATTCTTGAAAGTACGTGTTGAGGTTGACAAGTGCCCTGGTGATCTGCTTTATATCGGCTCGAGAGAGACTCACAGCACGTGCACCTTTCACCAATGCCGTGAGAATCGGAATGAAGTTCACCTTGATATCAACTTCGCTGACAGCAGTATTATCATCCACTTGGGCATCCAGCCTGTTATGAAAGAGACCATGAGTCGGAGTGAGGAAATCCAGACCCCATAGAGGAATGATCTTCAACGACTGGATGTTTCGTTCGATTTGATATTTGGGTATACCAAAATCATTCGCAGATTCACACAGCATATGCCATTTGATGCTGCGCAGACAATTGACCATGTCCCGTCGACAAGCGGAAACACCTCCACCTTCGTTGGGCCATGTACCAGTATCCGCAGCCATAACATGGAGATAATCTTCCGTATCAGGAGACAAGTCCCTTGAACGTGTTGTAACAACTGAATCGCCGCCAGGTCCAAAGTTGAATAGATCGCTTATCTTAACTGCCAGCGGAGTCCAGCTGGAAACATTGTCTTCCAGGTCCACACTGGCCATGATTGTATCGCCATGAATATCCAAATACTTGGTGGCTGCGGTCAACCCACCCCAATCCCGATGACGCCAATAAGGAGCCATAATGCCTTCGTTACGCAAAATTTGATCATCCATCCAGCGAACAGTAATACCATCAAGGTCGTTTCGATCTTTCCAGGCCTTCCACAGTATTGATCGAGCATGAGATGTTGATACTGCGAAGCGCCTTGTCGTCAATCCCAGGACCCGATTGAAAAGGCTTGGTTGAAGGCTATTGCCGAAGAAGAAGAAAGGATTATCTTGTATGAAACTGGTGTCTTTGGGCTTTGACAGAATTCCAAAGAGATCATGCTCGAGGATAGAGGGCGTCTGTGTCTCGCACCCATTGAGGGTAGTATAAATACATGGATGCAGCTTGTGATCATACGACCAACGGCCCTCAAAAATATCGGAACCCTGCACAATCTTCGCCTCTGTCACCTTGGCATATGGAATCCATCGGTCTAGCCTTTCCGGATGACTCCTGGGAGGAGCACACCAAGCCACCTCACAGGTTGTTTGGCCAATTAAAAATTCAGCTCGAAGCAGCTCGTCCCCGAATTGCGAGTTCTTGCGATGGTGGTATTTGAAGCGAACTAGATCCCCATCTTTCATGTAAGAGCCCGATTTAACAAGACCTTCGCTGCTATATCTAACCGTATGAAGATGATTTTCGCCCTTAATACATCGACGGTTGAGCGGAATGCGTCTGACAATGCCTTTCTTTGAAGGCCCTTCATAATCGTAGTGATACTCATTGACTAACCTGTCGGCTTTCAAATCTTGCTTGATAAGAAGCAACATGTCGCTCGAGTACACAGAGATGCAAACGAGGCCCTTCAACCCCTTTGGTTCTGTCATATGAAGGCCTGTATAATGATATAGTTTGAAGCCACCGTCACTGTTGCGATGTTTGAAGGCTGTGAGTGTGCCATCGAGATTTTGTGTAATGATCTGGTTCTTTTTGATATGAACCGCAAGGCCTTTCGTGTCGTTCCACAGCTTCCTGATATTCTTGCGCCGATGAAATAGAAAGGCCGATAGACAAAAGTCTTGGAAATATTTCGAATAGTTCCACATCATGGTAAAAGTAAAGACTGCTGGAACACGAATTGGCATTGGTAGAGGTTTGGTGACATAATCGAGCTCTCTTTGGAACTCAGCATCGGCAACAAGAGCAATCATGGTGAATTTGAGAATGGTGCCAAGCTTATGATAAACCAAACTGAACGGCGCCTGTGTCAGCGAGAGTGACATGGGAAGCACCCGAGGAATGACCGGAATATGCTCCACGATCTGCGCTTTATCTGGATAAGCAGCATCGACTGGTCCTTCGTGGACATATCTGAGTACTCTGGTGGCTACATCCACTCCAAGATTGCACCTTGCTACATGCATGTCCAGGTCCCATCCATAAGTTCGAGATACCCTCTGTTGAAGCCATGTGCGTTGAGAGGCAGTAAGACCAGCTTTCTCTCCCAGGCATCGGTGGAGAAACACACTTCGAATGTCAGCGGGTAGTGTATCCCATTGAAGGTCTGGCTCAAGCCCAAGGCAGAGCTGCCGTATCAATTCTTTCTGGGCCCATTGCGCAACAAGAGGCGAGTTAGTATCTCCGCAAAGCTGCGTGACAATGGTATGCGATACCCCACCGGTAATGATGGATTCGGACAGTACTGCATATTCGTGAGGGAGGTCCATGATCATCTCAGAAACTGTGTGGATCAAGGTCTCCGCAACGACTTGGCAATTGACGGAAATTCCAAGTTTTTGCTCAAGCAAATCTCTGATACCAATCATCAAGACAAGCTGATCTCCGCTCTTGCAGGCTAGAGCTCGAATCCCAGGGCCCAAAGAGCCATTTGGTACCAGCTCCACGTAGAGCTTTCCTGTCTCCCATGATGAGAGGACCGTATCAACGATCTTGCCTGGGTTTGGGAACGCTTCCTCTATTATAGACGTCTTTTTATGCGCGTTCAATGCATTTTTAATCTCAATTGCAGGATGACTCACAGGATTGAGTCCGAAGCGATCGGTAGTTGGTACAGAGAGAAGGTTGTTGTCAAAAAGCCCCTGAAGCTCATGCTGTGACCATTCAGCATTATCCCAGGGGGCCGTGAAAGCATGAAAGGACCTCTCAAGATTCAGTGGTGAGATGCTTCTGGAAGGCATAGCCATTCCCGCGGCACTCCACAGCGATAACAAAGCAGCAATCCAGGTCGCTACACCGAGACCAATCACTTGTGAGTATAGAAAGTTGGGGAGAGAAGCTTTCAATGCGATTCCAACTGGTAGACCTGTACATATACCGATAATGAGCGGCTTCAAAGCATATGGTCCAGCAAAAATCTTGGTATATTGGCACCAGACAAGACCCGTGTAGGCGAGTATATAAGCAAAGAACATAATAAGATCTTGTGCAGATGATTGAAATGTCCATAGAAGCGTGGTGGAAATTGCAAGGCTCCAAACATTCCACATAAGAAATTTGAACAGAGTTCTCCAGTAAACTCTCCGGCGAAACCGCACATATCGCTTTTCAATCACTCGAATGTCATTTTCTGTCTTGATCGCAGAGGGCTCCTGGCTACCGAGAATCTCATAAACATTCTGGGCTTTGGTATCGATTAAAATCGCGCCCATAAGATAGTAGGCCAGAGCAAAACCAACTGCCTTGCGACTGGCGTCGTGCAAAGGCCCCGTCAGGCCAAGTAGGTGGTCTCCGCACAACAGTTGAATCCATTTGTCGAGAAGTGCAATCACGAAAAATAGAACGCCGCATCCGATTTCATTGCTAGATTGTCGCCAATGAATGAATGCGTTGTGTAGTCGAAGGCCCTTCTGTGAGCCTTTCAAAGTATCCAAAGCTACCTTAGTCTGAATATTCCAGCTTGAGCTAAACGGAATGGGCCTTGGAACATCTGCATATCGGCAATACCAATCCAGAAGGAAATTTGTAGACTCCCAATCACGAGCAAGCTCTTTGATCAATTGATCGTTTGTCGGGTTTGAGACTATCCAGCGGAATCGTTCTCGTTTCACGTCATTTAGCAAAGCTTCCCGGGCTATCTTGAGAACGGCAGGATCACTCATTTCGTCAAATGATCTATTATTGTTGCTTCCATGTGTAGAAATGTACCATTCGCGGATCTCACTGTCGTCGGTATATCGAATGGCCTGGTACCATGTCATCCATTTTGAAGTGGCGGATCGTAAGCAAAGGAGAAGAACACCCGTCAGAAAATAGAGTACAACGAGGTAAATGGCTAAGTCATTGCCCGCGAAGGTCGAGATTATGGGTGATAGAAAGGATATCGGTATACACAAAAGTATCGCTTTGCGTCCAGAAAGAAATGCAGATCCGGGATAGCTGAAGCTTGCAAGTGAAGCAAAAGTGCAGAAGTAAATCGTGAGGGAGACCAGGTAGAGCCAAAACACAATACCAGAGCGAGGGTTTTGGACAGCCGATATTATCACGAAGCCAATCAAGCCTCCAGCCAGCGTAAATGCAATACCAGCGAATAGGCGGATAAGGACAAACATATTTGCAGCAGCAAAAGCCATGGATACAAGATAGTAGGGCCCACCACATGCAATCCATGTGCCAGTGGCACCTGATATAAGCAAGGATATCATCAAAGCCAAAGTGGCACTATATTGCTCTTCATGCGTCATGAAAGCAGATAGGTACAGGCCTCTTCCGATGATACTGAGAAGAATGACATCGATCAAGGCCGGGATGGCAAAAACGCTCATAAAAGTAAATCTTTGATAAGTTCTCATCGGTCGGGGTTTTTCGTTTGGGTCGACATCAATTTGAGCTCCAGAATACGCAGTCGCCATTTCAGGCGCTCCGTTGACCCAAGTGGGCGGTTGGTGCGATGTATAATAAGAGCGAAATCGGTTTGCAAGAAGCTTTCCAAATGCACTCGGGGGCATGTCAAAGTATACCTCACAGCGTGACCCAAGGGCAAAAGATTCAGCAAATGTGGCGGCTTGGTCAGGCTGATTATTGAACAGAGGATTGCGATCGGTGACTTCGGAGTATATCTCATCAAAAGCGTACTTTCTTGCAGCGCAAATCAATGCCAGAACCATCATATCGGTATAGGCATCGATTTGGCCCTCTTTTATCAACTCGCAGAGCGCATTTGTGATGGTCGCAAGGTCATGTTCACGATTCTCCCTTAGTAATTCATGGAAAACGCGATCAACCTGATGAAAGAGGCTCGAGGAACCCTCAAACGAAGGGCTTCTGCACTGTTGAGCCTTATACCAGCTAATGCGGCCTTTGATAAGTTCTTCAGGAGAGACAGACTGTTCCAAATAACCAGCCGTGTTGACATCCCTCAGCTGAATCAAAGATGTTGCATCTATAAGCATATTTCGAATGTAAAAGCACAGGTTCTTGGATAGGTCATCCTTGGTTTCGGCGTAAGACAGTTGTATGAGTAGAGCAAGTCGCTCTTGGGGACTAAGTGCATTGATATCTTTGACAAGCCGACGAGGAAGGTTTGTGTTCGGTACAAGCTCCTGTGAAAATTTTGCGAGTGTTGTCTCTATCTCAAAACATTCGTTGCGACAAAAACCTTTCGCAGAAAGGAAAGTATGAAGTATGGTTCCAGCTATGCTGCACGCGTTCTTCGAAACAAAAACTTCCATGCCATCATTTTCAAGTTGATGGACAGCCCAGAAGCGAACGTTCGTAGTCTTTTTGAGACCAGAGTCAAGCGCTAAATTCACTCTTAGAGCACCATTCAACGCAAAATGAGAGAGCTCATTGAGTGCCAAGGAAACTTTTTCATTGCCGCGATAATTGGTCTGCTTAAATTTTCGAAGAAGAGCCCCGACTTTCTGGATCTCTGAGGTGGGGACGGGGCAGAGAAGACCCAGACATTTGAGACGTTGCTGAGACTTCAAGATCTCCGAGAACGCTTGTGTATTCGAGTCAGAGCCAAGAGGGAAACAGCCCAAAGAGTCGCATTTCTCGCCGTTCGTCAGAAAAGACAGCAGGTGTCCCCGCGATTTGACTTGTGAAGTCCACCCTAGAGGTTCTCTCAGTTGAGAAGCTGGATCTTCCACGGGGATATAATTATTATCAGTGGATTCGATAAAGTCTTTCACTGTTGGAAACAGAGTTTGAAGAGCTTCCCACCTATATTTGACATTGGGGACCGAGGTTATGTCATAGTTTGAACGCCAAAAGCCATGAGCTTTGATAACTTCCGTCTCCTTCAACCAACCAAAAGCTGAAAGTGGTTGAACCCTCGGAGTATTATCCTCAGCATGATAAAGAGTAGACTCAGAGCCAATCCAGGGGATGATGCTATAGAAGTTGCACCATTCAATTGACCTTCGAATAACTGCATTTGAGAAAACCACGCCATCCGCTACTCTCTCCCAAGCGAAGACAGAAAACGGTCTTGTACAGGCCTCGGAAACGAATGTCTTGACAGTTGGTTGCAGATTCTTCATCTGGAAGTAATCTCGCTTTTCTCCATGTGGCAATATACTGGCATTTTGTATAACCAACCCAGCGACAGCCTGATGTTGCAATATCTCTCTATTTTTCAGAAATTCTGGTGGCTTGACTTCCAGGTATACAAGTAGACCAAGATTGCTTAGGGCCTCAAATAGTCGCCATTGAAGGGATACCGCGATGGAATCCTCCCATTTTGCCAGTAAAACCCCACTAAATGAATTCCTGGCAAATTTTTGGAGCAGAATATCCTCGATCTTTTCGACTGTGCCCAGGCCGGGGTCCTGTGAATCAAGAATTTTGTCAAGGTCCACGCGACCCAATACAATTGCATGCTTCCGGAAACAGATGGCTTCTGATACTCCAACTTGAAACGGATCGACGACCAACATATCCCACTGGTTAATCAGTCGCTCCTGTTCTTTTGTGAGAGGGATTCCAAAGCTGCCCAGGTAGACGCCGAAAGAGGATGGCTTCCGTGGCAAAGGCTCAATTCTGATCAAGTTGAGCTTCAAGGCTGCTAGTTGATCAATTCTTTGCAGAGCATTCACAGGCGTACGGTCCTTGGGGGCTTTCAACTATAATGGGGTTAGAAATTGAAATTTGGGAGAAGGGATCAAGGTCTTTTGTTAAAGCCTACCTGGTAGTATGTTCGGACTCTCAAAGCAATGGACCAGAGAATGTATAAAAGCCCAATAATAATACATGCGAGCAGAACTCCAATGACAATCTTCAAATAAAATGTCAGTACCATTTCTTTATACGTGCAGGCTAAAGCACCTACAAACTGCCACCAATGAATCGTCATCCCATTCCATCTTATCGGATGTACAGGCGTAATTTCTGCCATTTTGATGAAACCCCGAGACAATTTATCCGGAGGACTTAAATACTGGGAACCATTCAATTGTGTTCAACCCGCAGCTCATGAAGCCATTATTATGCCAATGTTTTGCAAGAGCAGCGACTCTTAGACTCAAATCGATGCCTGCTGCGACCACGAAGAGAGACAATTGAGATCGAAATATGTAAGTCTCACCCAGGAGGCTCAATAAATTCCTTCAAGCCTCAAATAAGTAAACCGTGGCTTGAACAACTCATACCAACAGTGGGGCCATGTTTCCAATCGCAAAATGGAGAGAAACTTCTGCCGGATTGAATTGATTGCAGAAATATATATCAAGCATATGAGTCGATGTCACCGAGTCAATGAGCAGCTATCAAGCTTTTCACAGATGAGGGCTAGGGCCATTCGGAGTGCACTAATCGAGACAAAGAGGTGGGGTCACTCGCGGGGCTCATCGATACCCGACGCCATGCCTCCGGCAAATGTTCCGTTTTTGATACATGTAGTTGATAGTGTTTCTTCATGTATATGGATGATGGTCAGTCAGCATCTGACTACACTGGCTACTGCTAGAAAAAGACCCCCCCCCCCCCCAAGATGTAGGTTTTTCTTCGATTCTGAGGCTCGCGTCTTCGTTTCCATCATCGACCGAACAGAAAACCCCCATTGATGAATGTGTGGAGGATATTTGTGTCCGTCGCAAAGTGGAACGTCTGCTCTTCGCAAAGCCATCATTTTCTAGAATGTGTAGCTTCTGGTTCCGTATAGCTGGCGAGGCATTGTCCAAATAAGATTGCTGTATAGGGAGAGTTCATGTTCATCCCTGAAGATGATTTAGGAGTCGCGTCGAGTATTGTAAATCAAATACAAACTTTCTGTAGGAGAGTTACACAAATAGCTGCGGGTATTTGTAAGATACCGTCAATAATCTGAAATGGCAATCTCACTTGCAACATACTCTCTTTGCATTATAATTTACACGGAAGAATTCCCATGCTTCATGATTTATTGCAGAATGCCAGGATTTGAATGTCATGGAAGTCATTCATTGGTATTTAGGAAAAAGCCTAGGTCTTTTTAGCGCTGCTTGGCTTGTTGGCACATGGGAAGTGGGCAAGCGGCGGACATTACCAAGTTAACAAAGAACAAAGCGCATATTTAGGCTGCCACTTTTTATTCTATCAAGTTCAGATTCGAATGCTCCAAATTTGTCGAGGGTGAAAACAATGAACCGGCCGAATTTTGCTTGTAGTGGAACTATGTAGCTTATTCAATATTTGACAGCGACGATCATTGCTAAGACCTAGTTCAACATGATGAACATGAGGCAGCGAGTGGAATCCAACTTTATTCAATAATCCTAATAATAATCTATGTGAAATTTTACCCTTAAACATAAGCCTCATTTTCTCCACATCCGACGATCCCTGCGCCTCAACTGATCCCTGCATCTGCCAAATGTGGCACAATCTCTACCTATTCATATGCATATTAGGCCAAATCTCTCACCATACTGCACTTCTATACATGATTTAGACAATTCATCCTTGCCTACGTTCTATTTCAGAGATGAAAATCACAAAACATATAGTTATTTCATTCCCAACAGTACCCGGAGCCTTGCGGTTGGAAGCAGCCAAGACAATCTAACTTTGAATCGTTGCATCAGCCACCGCCCCCTAAATCCTGCGTCCTGGCTCGGTATTTCCTAGACCATGAATCTCTTTTTGAGCTTAATGATGCCTATTTGTATAAGAATCCGACTCATGGCCCCCGCCTGAGTCGGTACTGACAGTACACATTCTTCCCTGCCTCCTCCTGGTATTGACTAGACCTCATTACGGGGCAAATTTTTTTCCAGGTTCTTTGCTTTCAAACTGAGCCAATCCATTTCAAATGGAGGGAAAAGCCGTTGCAGCAAAAGGAGGAGTCCTTGCTTGGTCGATGAAGAAGAAGATTCTCGTTTTTGGATCTGCAACCATCGTCGCTCTCGGTCTTGGTCTTGGCCTCGGCCTCGGTCTGGGATTAAAGCATCATGACAACGACGGGGACGGCGACGCAGATCAGAACGACACCGGTTCTAGCAGCAGTGGCGGTAACCATAATCGCAGTTCATCCGATGCCAACTCGACGGTCAAATGGCAGCCCGCTGTAGGCGTCAAATGGCAAATCGAGCTACTCAATCCACTTAACAATACCTCGGTAGATGCGCCCATCTATGATATCGACCTGTTCGATAATCCGAAATCAACAATTTCAGAGCTCCAGTCACTAGGCCGTAAAGTGATATGTTACTTCTCTGCTGGTACATATGAAGACTGGCGTGATGATGCCGATGAATTCAAGAAGTCGGATCTGGGAAGCAACCTTGGCGAGTGGCCAGGCGAGAAATGGGTCAACACGAACTCAACTACTGTACGCAAGGTCATGAAGGAACGCCTTGACCTAGCTGTGACGAAGGGATGCGATGGTGTCGATCCGGATAATATTGACGCATACGACAATAAGAACGGTCTTGGTCTTACCGAGGATGATGCGATCGACTATGTGAACTGGTTGGCATCTGAAGCTCATGATCGAGGGCTATCAGTTGGCCTGAAGAATGGAGGCGACATCATTGACTCTGTTATTGATAATATGCAATGGTCGGTTAATGAGCAATGTGCCCAGGAGGAAGAGTGTGATACCTACTCGGCGTTTATTGAGGCCAAGAAGCCTGTCTTTCATATTGAATATCCAAAGGGGGACGATACCAACAACAACAAAGATGTGACGACAGCACAGAAGAAGGCTGCCTGCAATGCGGACGGGTCGGACGACTTCTCGACTGTGATCAAGAATATGGACTTGAATAGCTGGGTCCAATATTGCTAAGATTATGTACTCTGACAATCATGTATTATTTCTTGCAAACGATGCTTTAGTCCGAAAATATATGTAAATGATAATTGAATATGTTCTTTTTGATCATTTCCGACCTGGTTCGTTGATGTATAGGGTATGCAGCGTAGGCAGCGTAGCTTCAGGCCGGAACTATCGTTGAGCCTCATAATAAGTTGCATGAAACACCTAAATATCCAGCTATTTACTGGTAGTTAAGTCTAAAGACCCCTTGACCGTATGAGCATCAATTCTCACTGTGTCAAGAATGCTTTGTTGGGATTCCAGCCCATCAATCGATAGCGCGGAAGCGGCATTTTGAACCTTTTCCAATATGACATGTTTTACTACGTACAATTCCAAGATTCTCTAGGTTCCATAGTGGTTCCCACATCCATCTCATGGACCCGGGGGGCTAGGATCTTTAATCAAAGTGCCATGAGATGTCTCATCCTTCCAAAGCTGAAGCACAGCTGCCACCAGCGATCGGCATCAGACATATCAGAAACACAAAGTAAGAATATCGGAGTATAAACTTTAATAACTTCCAATGTTCCCCTTGCATCTTACTGATCCTAGGATTCATCTCTGTAGACTTTAACTTTGCAAAAAAAAGAAATCCAGCAGAACGGAGAATAGCTTCACAGATTACAGGGGCCAAAAGGGGGACGCAAGCTGACTTGGCGATAAATCCTTTGATCCTCAGAAACCCCCAATTCATTACTGCAGGGAAAGAAGAATTTTCTCAGGGCTAACGAGATCTAGACCGGTGAGCTGACGGGTGGTGACATTTCGCGGCAAATTACTCCGTTGTGGGAGTCTTCTCCCGTGTCTCTGGACGTCCCGTACTCCGTACTAAACCCGAAAAGAAAGTATGTATGAAAAGGCAACCGTCAAGAACGTAAAGATCGGCGGTCCTACTTAATTAACTCCCGAGCCCGAACGGATCTCCCCGGTTCCTGAATGCGAACTATGGATAAAGCACGACGATTGGCTCATAGGGAAACGAGGAGGATTGCCTGTGTCAATTCGATGTCTCCACTTATCCTGTTTGCTCTACAAAAGGAGTACATACATCCGTATCTCTAGTCTAGAAACTACTACAATTGTGCATGCTCACTAGCCACATTCTGTGGGGCAAATGCAAAGAGTTAAGCGAGGTCGAAAATCCATTCGACTTGTTTATCTTTTGCCAAGGGCTTCTGGAATTCGCCACAAGAGTTGATTGCATGATTAAGAGTTATTTCCAGTATTTCAATTGCTTATTTGAGACCTGTGCAGGTCTTGGGAGGCTTTTAATATTGTATACTGAGCTGAACTCCGAAGCCAAGTCCTGGCCAACACAGCAGGGGTGGTGCCCAACCCGATACGGGTACATCTCCATTTCAAGCTAATCCCCGCTTCTGTTTGTTGCAGGCGCTAAAGAACCGGTTTGCGTTGGCGAGGTTTCTTGCCCCGCTAAAGATTATCTGGCACTAAGGTGACTAGTCAGTAGGGTATTCGTAATCTGGCTAGAAATCCCCTCATTCCAAGGTCTTGGCTGGTAATTTCCAGCATTTGAAGGGTAACAGACGCGTACGGTAGTAGGTAAAATTCTGGATTGTCAGATCGATCCAAATTGATACATTGTGATTTGATAGATCTGCGTATGTACCTGTCTCTCCTGGCCAAATTTTTCTATGCACGAGGGTATGGCCTCCGCCACTATCCGAGACAATATAGACGGTCTATAGCCTGGATCAAGGATATACCGTGTAATTTCGCCTAAGCTGCAGTGCATCTTACCTCCCAGTCTCCCAGGAACAAGACCTGCCGTTCAACCATGCATAACGTGAAGATGTCCCCTCTCCCCGATCACGGAGTACATTTATCAAACCACCCGGGGTCCCTATTATTAAATATCATATTCCTTGTTCTATTGATTTCGCTAGATGCAACTCATCAGCAGACGAGACTGCCTTTGCTTGGTCTTGGGTTTGCGTCGTGTATGTACTACTTTAGTTGGACTTAGATCCACGCCGTTGTATGCAATCCATCCAGCTTGACTATACCGTGAAAGAAAGGTACTAAATCCCTCCCAAATGCATAGGTATAGTTCAAGATAAATAAACATTCATTTGAGCCAAGTAGGGAAATATACGACGATCGGGTAAGTCTACACTACGTCGCGTCAGTCTATACTTATGGACTATAAGATATCGCCTAGATGCGTAGATAATGGGGCATTTGCATTACTTCAGATCTTTACTTCTGCCTAAGTGTAATCCGTAGATACCCGGTATAGTTTTCCACTAGTACGAAAGGCTGACCTCCATCCAATACCATCATTGGTATTATCGACCAGGATCCAAGAAGGAAAAAGAGTCATGAAATGGCGAACTTACTACCTTGCCTCGCATCGGCAAGAAAGACAGAGCACAAGTGTGAAATTTTTTCTTTTTTGTTTTCTTTTTACCTCTTGGCGAGATTGCAAGTTCATGCAGCTAGATCTTAGCTTCGCGGCGAAAAAAAAAACGAGGGGGTCGGAGGATTCCACCATGGATGGAAATACTCGCAAGTCTCAATTTATGAAAACGCTGAGAGCCAGACAAGGAATGGAACCAATGACGCCTGGAAGCTGGTTCTTCCAAAAAAAAAAAAAAAGAGTGAGAGAGAAATAGTCTTAAGATGACGAATTTGATATACTACGGACCTTGAATTTCACTTTGCTGTACGATAGGGTTCTTATCTCAAGTCGCCATCCATCAGATCGACAAAATCGGCCCACTTAGGCCCAAAACTAGCGTAGCAATCAGTTTCAAGGTGGGTGATAAAAACATCGTTCGCAACCTTGCGAACTGCTGTGATCAGATCCTGCAACTTCGATCCAGTCACACTGACCGGTACTGAGTGGATCAGTACAGCGCGTCGAGCGTTACTGGTGTCCAGGATTTCTGTAAATAGCCCTGCACCATACCGATCTTGGAAGGTGCTATAGGTCTCCTCAAACACGACAGTTGAGTCTGCAGTAGGCAGATAGCGAGGATCTGGGACAGCACCTGGGTTGTGGACAATCTAATGGTCGTGGTTAGTTCCCAGGTCGGTTGGATAGATCGCGAAGAGGCCCCAAGTATATTGCCTCTTGGTCGCTCTGGACTTGCAATATTGCCAAAATATGGCTAGATTATACGATATCCAATGCAAATGCAGTTCTTCTAGTGGCTTAAAAGCCACACAAACGCATGAAAGTGGGTCATATAGTCGGGGAAATATCCAGCATAAGATGCAGAGCTGGAAAAAATAACCATTCGCGAAAGGAGAGGAAGGGAAAGGAAGTAATGAAACAAGCAAAATGGAAATAGATTATTACGCACATAAGAATCAGACCCAAGTCCACGCGGACTCTTGACAAACTCCGATAGCCTTTGCAGGTAAGCGAAAGAGTCGGCATCGTATTGCTGTGGTGTCTCGTCGAAAAATATACCCCGAACAGCCAAATCGGGATTAGTAGATTTGACCGGCCATGCCGCGTAGGTTTCAATGTCCCTGCAGATCATGGATACATTGCGTTTTGCGTAAGAGGTATGGACGTATCCAATAAGTCGTACATTGTCGTAAGATGAGAGAATAACAATGGCGCGAGTATAATTGGCATCGGGCAGTATACTTGATCCTGGTCCGTTTCCCGGGTTGATTATGATCGTAAATTGGATATTAGAGTAGGCCAAAACCCTGCATGGCGTTCAGTAATAGACTCTCCGACAGTAATTTTGGATATTTTAAAACAATTGGGTCCAGCTGTCATTGTGTATGATTGGGGCCCAACCAGCCGGTGAATGGTATGACTGTGTTTTGTATGTGGCGCCTGTCGGTGGCTGGGGTACAAGTTTGTTTTGTCGGGGGCGTGAGGGAAGAGAGGGACGGATATTCACAAAGAGGGAACCATTGGGGAGAACCTGTGGGCTGGGTAAAAAAGACGAAACATACACTTCTTCTAGTGGAGACCATGCCCCCAGACTCGGGTACACATAAAGTGGCACAATGATGTTGGATTGATAACCCATGTTTGGATTCTTTGTACGGCTGAATGGTGAATCAAAGAAAAAGTAGTTATAACGGAGATAAGCCAAAAAGGTTACTAGCGCCAAAAAAACGATGTATATTAGCCGGCCGCAAATATAGACATCAAGCCTTATGTACTTTCGGTGTTCATATTCTATATTGTCGATCAACACCCTCCCGTAGCAGGCAAATAATATAGTAGTGAACAAAAGAAAAAAGAAGTGAGAAAGTAGAGTAAAATATACGGATTAGTGGCGCGCCCTGCATCAAGCACGGCTTGAAGGTCAGAAATGACCCCGCCGACTAAGACTGAAAGCAACATACCCGAGGATTTCCCAGTCTAGTAATTAGTGTCCTGCATGGGCTGGAAAAAGTCAAACCAAAGCGGGTCTCAACAATGACCTACATACAGAATTGAATAGGATGTTATATGCAAGATCAATGTCAATTCAGGTATGATGTGGTCATTGGCCCCAGCTGTAAGCCCTGGTGCCCGTCTTGGTGGAGACGCTGAGAGTATTCGCCCATCGTGAACAAAAGCCCAAGGTCTGGCCGCTTGTCTGGCCTACCGTCCACGGGGGATTTTTTGGTCTGCTCTTTGGTCTGCCTGTGTCGCCCTTGTCTGTTGGCCCCCATAGATTGACCCTGTCTTAACATCCCTCCGTTCCCCATCCCGATTCACACCGGGGACTTTGATTTTACCTTTATATAAATAGGTGACAATCATCCAGCAATTGTTCAACAAATCAGAAGAAAAGAAAATAAGAAAGACAATCCGGCACATTCAGGTAACACAAGGGGATAGCGCCGTGGATAAATATCCTGTGGCGTCTCTTGGAATTCCCAGACAAAGCTCCATCCTATTTTGGTGAACCGCACTTATAAAGCTCAAATTTCGTGCTAGCCTGTTTCATTATTGTCATTGTCTTGTCTTTACACATTCGGGTGCTATAATCTGCCACAATGGTCAGCCGACGCCAGTCAGATGCGAGTGCAGCGAGTACTCCCCCGGAGAGCGAATCTCCGGATTTCGTCGACACTCCAGCAACCCAATCGTCGGTCTTGTTTGACCGTTTTGATGAATTGCTCGACAGATTCACCCCTGAAAGCCCTTGCATTCTAGTGACGGGTGGCTTGGGATTCATTGGCAGCCACACAACACTGGAGTTGCTCAAAGCCAACTATAATGTTATTGTCATCGATAATTTAAGCAACGCTTTTGAGAATGTACTCGATCGCATTCAGCTTCTTGCCGAGAAGTTCCACCAAGGAAATGGATCTCAAATGCCAAAGTTGCGATTGCACGCTCATGATTATCGAGACACAAAAGCTCTTCGGTCCCTGCTGAAGGAATATCATATCCCGTCTCGATGGGGTATCCCAAAGTCAAAGATCGCCGGTGTCATTCATTTTGCTGCTTACAAGGCCGTCGAGGAAAGTATTCAACAGCCATTGAAATATTACGCCAACAATGTGGGCGGCTTGGTTGATTTCACAGCAACACTTGAGGAATTCGGCATCAAGACATTTATCTTTTCCTCTTCGGCCACTGTGTATGGTACCCTGGCGACCTCGGGATTGCCATTGAAGGAAGAACTTTGTGTTCACAAGAAAGAAGTCTATATCGAGCAAGCAGGAACAACCCGAGTGATTCAACCGGGATGTACTGGCATCACCAACCCATATGGACGCACTAAATGGATGTGTGAAGCGATTCTGGCAGATCTAGCAGCTTCTGATTCAGAATGGACGGTTGTTGCTCTTCGATACTTCAACCCCATTGGGTGTGATTCATCTGGTACACTGGGAGAAGACCCCAGACAAGTCCCCACAAATCTTCTCCCTGTTGTTGTGAAGGTATTCACAGGGCAATATGCAGAGTTGTCCATTTTCGGAACCGACTGGGATACTGAAGACGGAACGGCTGTTCGAGATTTCATTCACGTCACTGATCTGGCTCGAGGCCATATTGCAGCTCTCAAAGCTTCAACCGAGGGCCAGTTGACTGAAAACTTCCGCACATTCAATCTGGGCACCGGTTCAGGCCACTCTGTTCTGGAAGTCGCCAACACCATGGAGGCAGTCATTTCAAAGCCTATCCCCAGAAGAGCCGCGGATCGCCGCGCGGGAGATGTAGGATCTTGTGTCGCAGTTGTCGATAGGTCACAGGATGAGCTTCAGTGGAAAACAGAAAAGTCACTGAAGGATGCCTGCGAAGACATCTGCAACTTTTTGGATGTTAGCGGTTTGTCTTCGTAGCTGTGGAATTTGTTGCCATTTTTGCAGATACCCCGATTGAGATGTAGTTCACATTCATTTGTTAGCGTATTCTTTGTCAGCCCCTTGTTTTTATTTTCCGTTTGTTTCTTTTTTTGCAACTTTATGATTGTCTTGTTGGAAATCACCAGTAATTGAGCTCGAATTGCACATGTTGGGCAATATTTTGTCATTTGTCACTGGGATTTGTGTACAATCTTGAGATTTTTGAAGTTTTTAATTAATTTCCCCATACCCTTTGCAATGTTTGTTTGACACGAATGGTATTTTTTTTTTTCAAAAATTGTTATTGTTGAGTAGAGCTGAGATGCTGGAAGAGATTAAAGTACAGGCAATCCAGGATGCATGAATATGCAGATACCGTGGACTGAGACATAGGTAGTAATAGGGGCAACCTCGGGCATGGATGAAGTGGTGACGAGCATAAAGATGCGAGTTTAGGAAGGAACGATTGTATGTTCCCAAAAGGGAAGGCATATGGGAGAGGGATACACGTGACTTCCTCCGGCTTGGCATCGGATCTGCGCCGCAAGTTTTCTAAATTGAGTCCGCGCCAGCAACATCGCCAATTCCGTCGCAGATCGAGAAATTCCCCTGCATTAATATCGGCTGTGCCATACATTCAGATAACACAGTGTCAATTCCACACAGCTACTATCATGATCTGCCGAAGCTGCCGAACGAGCATGCTGTCCCGGCTCCAGCAACAACAAGCCGTGACATGGACAGCATCAGCATCCGCACCAGCGCGCCAGTTCTCTCTGATTCGCAGCCAATTCCGATCCTACAGCGACAAGGGCTCTAACCCCTCCACTGCCGCTCCTTCATCTCCTCCTAATCCCCGCCAACCTTCCGTCGGCGATGTCACCACCCCATCCGCTATCTCATCTGCCACCCCCGGTGTTTCTCAGCCCTTCAGCACCCCAGGCGAGGTCCACACCGATGCACACCCTGGAGCTCCTTCTAAGCCCGTTGTTGAGCGTGCGCCCAGTAGCTGTCCTGCGGGTACTAAGTTGAATGGCCTGAACTACTTCAAGAACAAGCCTGATGTCTTTGCCAAGGAGGATTCGGAGTATCCTGAATGGCTGTGGGATCTTCTGGGCGACTCAAGCAAGGCATCTAAGTCTGAGAAGGGTGGTGTTGATGTTAGCTGTATGTTTTTGTTTTCCTTGTACCAGTTCTGCATTTCCTCAAGCTAATATCTTTTCTTTTTTTCAGCCCTGAACAAGAAGCAACGGAAACGTTACGAGAAGAAGCTCGCCGCTCGCACTGCTGTCCTCCCACCTAAGATCCCTGCCCACCACCAATCATACGATATCACACCAGCTTCATACAACCGCGATGCCCTCCCCGAGAACTCAGTCGCCGATGCTGCTGAGGGCGCCGAGATCCGCTCAGAGGTGATCAAAAGTTCCCGTGAAGCCCGACGAAAGGCCATCAAGGAATCCAACTTCCTGCGCGGCCTGTAAACACCCAACAACCATACGGTATATTTGTTCCACTAGGCGTCGACCATTGGTCTTTGAAGAAGCGGGTTCGTCCATTTGCAATAGGTTTGGCTCGGCTGGCCGCGATGTCCATGTCCATTACCGCTGTGCATATCGCATAAAACGGGTCTTCAGAACCCCCGGCATGTATTATTACGTCGATTTGATTTTCTCCATTGTGCTATATATTCAATTCATATCTTCATCTTCAATCAACCCTCCGAATCAACAAACACATTTCATCATCCTCATGCCCTTATCTTCTTACTTTCTAACTACAGTCAAAAGCTCAAACATCTTCCGGAATCGGCCACTCCTTCTCCTCTCCCTGGCCCTCTAACCAGGGTAAACAGGCATTCCACAAAGCGAGCAATTCCCCCTCACCCTCCGCGACCAACTTCTCCCAAAGCCCCCGATCAAACCGATGGAAAAACGCCAAATAACACACGAAGTTCAAATCTACATACCCCGCCGTCTCGCCCTCGAAGAAAGGGCCTTTCTTTCCCTCCCGCCCCTTCAAAACAGTAATAATCCCCTTTAGCTCCTTCTGCAGTTCCTCCAGAAGCGCAGCAATCTCCCCCTCATCGGTCGGTCGCACTTCAGTCAACGGCTTCCCATAGGCTTCGCTTCGAGTTCGAATGAAATACTCCTGTCCCCGTGGATCAAGGTGATTAGGAACACTGGGAATAAGCAGAGACCGGATTGCAGGTCCCAGACGCAGTGATAGCCTGTTCACGGCGATGCAGAGCGAGTAGCTTACTTCTCCGGATGGAAAGAGGGGGTGTTCGGGAAACAATTTATCGAGATGCTCGATGATTGGGAGGGAGTCCATCATTGCATTGTTAGGATTCGATGTTATAGATTTGTGGACGATTGCTGGGAGGGTGTATCTTGTTCCTGTGGCATTGGGCTCAACGCCGAGCCCTTTAATAAGGGGTGCGATGTCGGGGTACGAAACCCAGCTCTGGGTATAGGGAATTTTCTTGAAATTCAAGGCCGTTCGGACCTTGAGAGTGTTTGGGGACCATGACTTTAGTGCTCCTGTATTGGTATTGGTATTGTTATTAGTATTCTTTTTTGCTGTTGTATTCGGCTTGTTCGATTTGAGGAACAGACCTGGAAAGGTGGAGGTGATGTCGAAGAAGTGAACAGGCTCTAGATCAGCCATTATGAGGTTTATATAGCTAGTAAGTAGTCAATTGTCTTTATTTGAGCGATGTAATGAATATTCTATTTAGAATTTCAAGTTCGTAGTGCTAGAATCTGACACCGTCTTATATAGAGCCTGAGCGGGGTAAGACTCCATTTCAGTTGGATTTATCAGCATCCATCCTATCTACTAGCCTCCCTCAGGTTGACACCGTTGACTCCGATGGCACGCGAGTCGTGAAGCAGGAGATAAGACGGTATTCCGTCTTCGTACCAGTTGTTTCAATGCTTGCATCTCCATGGATCCATTTTGAATCGAAGATAATGTAGATCCATCTGCCCCGCCAGGATCAAGAGAAGAAGAAGAATACTCATGTAGCAAGACCTTCTTTATGAAAACTAAAAGTGACTCACGTCCAACAATGAATACACATACGTACATCCAATTCAGCTTATCCACCATGACCTAATATACCTAATATACCCGTCGCCAAGCAGCCCTGGGGCTGATGGAGATCGGATGGAGCCACGACTGAAGTGGAGAGACGATCATGCTGAGCCACACGTGTCGCAAGTTAATTCTTTCACTCTCACTCTCATCCTTCCGTTCTTAACTTGAACAAAGCTACAATTCTCGGTCTTCATCAATCTCTTTATCATTATTCTCATCACTTCTAGGTAGGATCAGCAATACTTCCCTTCAACCGAGTCGCATTATCAGCTGCGGGGCATCACATCTCGCATCAGGCACGGCACCAATCAAATCCACACCGCTAGTACAACACTTTGCACAGCCCTACAAGGCCAGGTCGGATGCCAATACAGGGCTCAGTTGAACTTTTTATTCAATTCTATGCCATTCCATTCAAATCAAATCAAATCGGTCAAGGCAAAATATTTTAAAATGCAAAAAGTCGATAGTCTTGTCGAAAAAGCGCGCCATCTATCACTGCGCCAATCTACAAGCACCAGCTCAGGCACAGGCTCACAGTCCGAGACACACTCAGTGCTTGATACGCATCTCCAGAAAATCTATCAGTCTTTCGAGAAGATTTCAAATGAGGACTTTATCAACCATGTCCAATGTGATTCTGCACGGGAACAGGAGCAGAAAAAGAAGGACAGCGATACTCCTACTCTAGATCCATTGGGTTCTTTAGATGCGTTTCAGGCATATTTGAAGGATCCGGGTTCTGATGCTGTGGGACCAGTCAAGGAGTTGGATCTTTCAGCGCCTATTTCGGATTATTATGTTTCTTCGAGTCATAATACTTATTTGACAGGCAATCAACTTTATAGTGATGCTGCCGCAAGTGCGTATACATCGGTATGTAAACAGGACATGTTTTCATTTCTTAATGGTTGATTAAAAACTACGTTACTTACTAAGTATTATTTCTAGGTACTTCTGAGTGGTTGTCGCTCTGTTGAGATTGATGTTTGGGATGGTGAGCCTATTGGTCCCGATCAGGCTGATGCGGAAACTGGTAGTAGCGAGAGCAGTGGTCCCGAGGACGAGGGGAAGAAATCAACTCTCAAGTCAAGACTTAAGGAAACGATCAGATCCAAGTTTGACACGGAAGAGAAGGCAGCAAAGGAGGTACTTGGAGATGCGCTGCATAGAAAGAAGTCCAAGACTTCTGATGCTGCTAGTGGTGAAAAGGATGAATCGGCACAGACGGTTATCCTTGGAGAACCGCGTGTATTGCATGGACATACTTTAACCAAGGGCACTAAGTTTCGTGATATATGCTATGCTATCCGGGATAGTGCTTTTGTGAACAATGATCTCCCTGTGATCGTTAGTTTTGAGGTTCATGCATGCTTAGAGCAACAGGAGATTATGGTTGAGATTATTAATGAGGCGTGGAAAGGTCTTCTCGTTGAGGTTCCTTCTGATATCGATGCTGATAAGTTGCCTACATTGGGCGAACTTAAGCGTAAGATCTTGATCAAGACCAAGTCGACGCCTTTACCAAAGGTGGAGCAACTTCTTGGGGGTAAGACGGAGGAGAGCACCGAGTCCGTGGATGATAGTGGTGATGAGACTGCGGATCCTCAGCAGAAACCTGCGAAGCCTTCCAAGGTCTTGGAGGCCCTTGCCAAATTAGCGATCTACACTCGAGCTTACCACTTCAGCCACTTCGATCAGCCAGGTATGTATTCGCAGGGGTAACTGGTGGCCTGTTTTACGATATGTTAACGTACTAATTTTGGAACAGAGGCCAAGGTCCCAGTGCACGTCTTCTCGCTTTCCGAGAAAGCAGCCCGGGATGCACATGAGAATTACCGCGACGAGTTATTCGCACACAACCGCCGCTCATTGATGCGTATTTACCCCTTCGCACTGCGTGTCACATCATCGAATCTTGACCCATCTTTCCACTGGCGTCGAGGCGCACAACTAGTTGCGCTGAACTGGCAAAACCTCGACAAGGGCATGATGCTCAATCACGGCATGTTCGACGGCACTGCAGGCTGGGAACTAAAGCCAAACGGATACCGCAGTTCCGAAGCAGCCACTGACTCCATTCCCCGCACGACACTGGATTTGGCTATTGAAATTTTCGCGGCGCAGGATCTAGCGCTCCCGCCGAATCATACCGAAAGGGGGTTCCGTCCCTATGTCGTCTGCCAATTACATGTTGAGGAGCCCGCGACTTCTGTTGCACCTGATCGTGATGATGCAAGCTCAGACACGGAGAAGAGCAGTTACCGGCGTCGTACAAAGACATCGGCCGGGACGAATGCGGACTTTGAGGCGCAGAAGTTGGTCTTCCCTACTGCGACGGGTGTCGTAGAAGGGTTGAGCTTTGTCCGGTTAGTTTTCTCCTCTTTTTTTAGTCATTTCCCGTTCCCCATGTATCTTGTTCATCTTTGGCCTTTCGTTGGCGGAAATATTTTCCCTTGCTCTTTAATGCATGCCGTCTGCCGTGCATCTGTTTCTCAACGGCCCGAGCGGGAGACGAGTCCTGTTTGAGTCGCTGGTCATGTTTTCTCTTCCGATTTGGCCTGGGTACTTGGCCATTTCTGGTATCATAGAGGCGACGTGACCCTGCACCAGCTATAATTCTGCAGGATTCCAGTTCAGAAGTGAAGATGCACCCTTGCTTGCGAAATCACATCTGCAACGCCGTTCAAGTTCTCCCTGCTTTTTTTTTTTTTTTTTGGTATTGACATGTTTGTTGTCTGCAATATGCGCGTGCTAACATTCTCTCTTTCTGTAGGTTCAAAATCAAGGACGACGAAATCGGTCGTGATCCCTTAGCTGCGTGGACGTGCATTCGGCTGGACCGATTACGAGAAGGATATCGGCTCATTCAACTCCGAGACAGCACCGGGGAAAACCCAGGCGGTGCACTATTGGTCCGGATCACGAAGCAAATTTCCTAATATGGACAGGACAGTATTGATTGATAGCGACTACAATAATTTTTTTCCTTCTGAATTCTGAGTGGCGTAATTGTATACCCGTCTGTAAATGCAGGGAAGTAGCTAGGCTTGGGCTGTATTGGACGGCAAGTTCAGGCATCCATGCTTCTTTAGCCGTTGCACAACTTCATGATCCCTGCAGGTATCAGGTATCATGGGAAGTAAAATGAGAATGAGAAATTTAGAAAATTTAGAAAATTGCTTTTCAGCGCCACTTACTCCGTACAGATTCTTCAGACACAGCCAGGATGGGACGTGACACGCCGCATGCCAATGGGCGCCTCGCATACTGGATCAGTGGCAGCGCGCAAGTATAACGCAGTTCAAAGCGCAAAGCGCAATTCCCTGCGCCAGGTATGTCATCCCACATTCGGCATTTGAAAGGTTGAAGAAGAAGAAAAAGAAAAAACCTTGTCATGTTCAGTTAGGCATCATGGGTGCACAAAGCGGTTAGACCTCGTAAAAGCAAAAAAAAGAAGGAAAAGAAAAGAAAAATTCAATGCCAAGGTGAATCGTCTTGACCGGGGATGAGATCGATGTACTCAATCAAAAGTCATTGCCAAAAGGAGGCAATATCCTTGGTGATGTCGAGTAAGTTACTTTCGGAGAAACCTGCACAGAAGCCCGTTGTTGAAGCAAGGAGTCTCCCATGTCAAGAACATGATGTGATGCACTACTGTATCACACACAGACCACGGTCCCTTGTGGAGATCATTTGCCAGCTGCAGATGAGCCTGCATAACATGTCTGTTGCCGTAGTTAGGCAAACAACGCAATGACAGACGTTATTCGAAAGGCAGCTTGGGTGTGTCCTTGATACATGTATTCCGTAAAGGGCAACACAGCACCGACAGCACAGGATCCCATACGCTTTACAACTTGCGGTCCGAAGTGATGTACGGTATGCGCGGGTAGTGTTGCTTCCTGGAAGTGAAATTAATGGATCCACAAGATCCTGCAAGCTATCGCGGGTTATATCCGAAGTTCATTATGGTTGGAGATGGTAGACCATATATGTAGATATTTGGAGGACGGAGCAAAGACCCTAATGGAAGCAACTGCTCCTATTTGAACGGATGGAGCTACCAGGGTGGGACCCGGGTAGTGTATGGCGACTTTTTGGGGGTTATACTATACTAGGTGTTGGGTAGATAGAACGTGGATAGCCAGTCTCTCGGTGCTACAGAACGGAGAAACCGCGATCAGGCTGTGGGTTGCAAACAAGAAAGTTATCCTGCATGATGCGCGCCATTGAGCCCCACAGGTTCTGGTTTGCCATGCGGCAAGCTGGGAGCTGTTGTTGTCCTTTTTGGGGGGGGGGTTTTGTTGATTTCTTTTTTTGACGGAAATGTGCATATCAGGGGTGGTGGGGATGGATCTATGGAGAGTGACGAGTCGGTCTTTGATGGGGAGGGGGGGGGGGGGGCCTGTTTGATAAAAAAAGAAACAGAAAAGAAGCAAAACGGCAAATAAAAAGTAAATAAAAAATATAAGCAATAAGAGGTTAGAAATTAGAAATGAGACGAAACACACCATCCTAACTCCCCAGTGTCGTGATAAGTTTCAGCAGCAGTTTGGTTGTACACGCAGGGAGTCCAAATGGCAGAAGATCGGCGCCAAGAGACATGCATCAGATTGATCAACATGGATAGTGGGTCCTAGTGACAAGCAGAGAAGATCGGTTGAAATGCTCCGATTCTGATTCTGGAGGTGATAAGGTGGTTGAAGACGAAGGATGCCGTGAAGTGAAGGGCCAGGAAACGCCTGTGATCCACCGTGGCTTAATCGTGGAGTCGCACACAGCACTTACACAGTACTTACATAGTACCCTGGATCCAGTAAAGTTGAGAGAGCCCTTTGATGACCAGGGCAATCCCAGTCCATGTATTTACTACTAATTATTGTCCAAGCCCATGAAAGTCTAAACGTGTTTGGGAGGAATCATACTTGAGACCAGTTCCCCTTTTGCGGAGGAGGGGTTCACGCAGGCGCAGATGATGATGACGATGATAATCCCGGTGACAGCTACACATATGGCAAGTGGCATGCATAAGATTGATGTGATTGGAGCATTACAAAGACAAAGGAGAAGAAGGGAACATTTGAAAGGCATTGAAATTGTTCAACGCGGAGCGGTTGAACAAATAAATAGGGGCGATTGACCAATGATCGGGGATCATCGAGGGAGATGGTGGATGTGGTGAATTGATATTTTTTTCCCTGTCAGAAAATCACAGAAAACACAGAACACACTAACTCAATCAGCCAATCAACATAAACAACTAGGGACCGAGCTGGACCGAGCGGGTCTGCCTGGGGGTTGCAGGAACGATACATCGAATTCTGCTGCTTTCTCTGCTTTCTCTCTGCCACCTTTCCATGGTTTTTAAAATTATTTTCGCATTCGTCTACCTATTCTTTCTTAGTTCTCCCAGTCTTTCCTAAAAGTAGTAATGAGGCGCGTTCGTGTTGGGAAGGAGCTGCATCACACCTAGTCTACCTAGTCACCCACGTCTATCACTTTCCCCACATCCACTAACTGTAGTGTTCCGTACGTCTCCTATAGCAAACAACAATATTCAATAACTCCCGGATTCGTTGGAATAGATACATTTTCATAACCCTGGTTGGCTTCACCAGGTTTGACTGTAGCGTTTGACCAAGTTTTCAAGGTTTTCCTCCCTGTGAGCTGGTGGACTGGTGGATTTCCACAGCCTTGATCCTTAATGCTAGTAGAGCCCTGTGATGAAAGTGGGCTGTGAATGGATCGATCGACAACCAGGAGAAAGCTTTCTCGACCTTTTCCACATATTGCACCACGTCTGACTCAATAACGGGAACTTCCGAGGCCACACCATCAATCACCAGCTGAACTAAGTTTGACTCGCTCAAACCGATTAGCCGATAAACTCCAGCTGTGGGTGGGTTTGTTTAGGGATGGGTTTTATTATATCATTTTTATTTCATTGGACTTTCCCGTTTTTTTACTTTCGATCTCTGATCTCACATTTCTGTTTTTCCCTTTTATTAGTATTATTTTTAAATTTCTTTTTACCATTTTCATCATTTTTTTAATTATTATTATTTCAATCGGCGGTCGCGGGGGTCATGAACTGGGGGCAACATTGGGTTCTTCTTCCCCTGTCCTGATTCTGTTTTTTTCTTTCCTTTTTTCTTTTGGAATGCCTTATAAAGTCTGCCTTCCAGCCTGATTCTACCAGATGCCTTTTTTTCCTTCAAGATAAGCAACTGTCTCAAAGTCCAAGCTCGGTTGCCTCAACCCCATTCCATCCAATTCTACATCGCCCACCTCCCCATCACATACAAGTTCCCACCTACTTGAGGCAAACTCAGTCCTCATTCCAAACTTTATTCGATATTACTTCAACCTCATCCTGCATCATGACCAACTCATCTTCATGTGGCGTGCAATGCGCAAACACCAACAAAGTGAACAAGGTTCGTTGCAATCTACATGTACATCAAATCAAAAACAGCCCTGTTCTAACATATGCCTAGATGCCCGGTGTGCGATGCCCAAATTGTGCCTCCAAGGGACAGGAAGTCTGGGTAATCCCCGGTAAAAGCTGTCATATCTGCCACACACCCTGTGCATGATGGCACACTCTATTTCTTGGTGCATAGATAAAGCAGAGCCAGGTTTCTGGATTTGTGTGTGTTGATTCTACTTTGAGATTGGGCAGATCTAAATTTCAGCGCCTAGAGGTGCAGGAACACCTCGAAGCTATCAAAAAGGCATCTATATTTATATCGGAGTTCTCGAGAAAACGAATGAGGCCATCCGTTCAGAAGATTGAATCCAAAATACGACCCGTCAAGGAACGGCAGGGATCCTTCAATCCTACCATCTTGCAGCTTCGATGAGATTGAACCCGGAAACCTGGTGGGGTTGGAATGAACAAGAGGAACGCTCGTTTTTAAAATTGGTGGATTGTCAAGTTTATTTCGGGGAAATTATATATCATTTAACGAGTTACTACGATACGATTTGATTTAATTTTGTATACTTCAAATATTGCTCTTTATGTTCAATCGAGCGATATCCATCTCTAAATAGATATAAAAGCGTATTTATAGTAAATTTATAGTATTTTTTAACCATTTAGCGTAGACTATCACTTCTTCTAGAATCTGCCCGTGTCCCTCGTACTTTTGGCCCTTCATGCACCTCGTCGTACTTTTGTCCTTTCTCTATCTGTGTCCACGTGAGACCTCTACCATGACGTCATCTCTCTACATAAGCCACCAAGATCACACCCATTCATACCAAAAAGACACATCTTAACCTCCTCATAACATGACATCCACCGAAACATACCCCATCGGCACTCGATCAGAATGCGAATCCCTCGTCCGAGAATGGGGCTTTCATCATATCTTCACATGGTCTGATGTCGGGTATGTACTTACTTAAATTAACCTTCTCATTGAGAATACATACCCTTTTTACATATCACTAAATAAAAAAATCTCATGTTTTACTCTGATCCAGGAACTAACATTCCCTGTATATCACTTAGAAACGCCTACTATGCCCCGCATACGCATGGGGGCCTCACAACACATCTAATTCGTCGGGGTACCTTCACAGTCGCCTATCCTGACGATAATAAGAAGAATGGTGGGAAGGCTCAAAAACAGACCTTTGTTGCTGGGGCTAGGATCGATGTTCCGGCGGGAAAACTTCATGAGGTTTGGATTGGGGATGAAGGCTGTGAATATGTTATTGGAGAGTGAATTGTCAAAAGTGGATGACGGAACTTGGTCTCTTCTAATCAACCATCAATAATTAGAAATCTAGGCCTGGGGCGTGCGATAGATTCAAGTCTGCAGTGGGCCGTTTATCTATACTACGGTGTTTGTATCGGATGAAAGAGTGGCTCAAGCGACTCGAATTACGGCAAGGGAGATAATACTAGTAGATACGAAGTTTAAGAATCATAAGATGGGCCTGCCTGGATTGTACTATCTGATGACAAGAAAAAAATAAACCTCGTAAAGTCCCCTTTCCAGTCCACACGACCAGTCTAATCCCATCACCTCGTATCCTTCAATTCTTTCTGCTTCGATCAGAGTCCTTCCAACCCAAACGAGTGCCCATTCGTCTACTAAGCAATTTGTTCCTTGGTGCTGGATTGGGAGAGAGTGCATCACCCCGACTGTTGGTTGAAAAACATGGAACATTGCCTCGTCTCCTTCCATCGTTCATTCCTCGTTTTCTTGGTCTTTTTTTCTTCATTACTTCACTTTATTTCAAAGATTAGATCCGAACTCTTCCTCAACGAAAAAGACAGTCCAATCCCTTGGGACAAGATCGCAGTGTTGGGAGAACAAAATGCCATGGATGTAAAGAGCTTGGTCATATGAATCTTTGGATATGTTGTCCCATGCTAACGCAAACAGAGAAGGGGGAGGGGCACAGAATATCACCGAGCAAAGAAGGGAAGAAAAAGCAAGAACTCCCCTAGGGAATCTGCATAGACAGGAGGTAACAAACACAGCAAGGGTCTACAACCATAGTACGCCAGGCTTCACGGATCTGAATCTAAGACAGACAAAAATGAAAGATGCAAGCGCAACGGAGATCAGGCAAAGGATTCATGCGGAATGGAAAAAGAGGGTCATGGTATTGGGGAAGATTTGTTGAGATGCCGATCAAATAGCGTATTTGCGAGTCCATTCACGAGCCGTCGCCTCGTACCGTGAGCGGTCTGTCTTATAGACATGTGCGATTTCCGGCACAAGAGGGTCGTCGGGGTTGGGGTCTGTGAGCATCGAACAGATCGAAAGCAGTACTTAAAATAGAATTAGGTTGGAAGGTGGTTTTTTTTTTGGAATATAAGAGAATTAGGCCAATTGCTCACCTTTCGAGATTGTCAGGGCAGGGCTCCATTGATCACGAAGGATGTCGAGACAGATGCTGCCGTTGGAGTTGATGTTGGGGTGGTAGATACGGGTGGTGAAGTTGACCTTTGGCGGCTTGAATGGGTAGTCGGTAGGGAAGTGAATTGAGAGGAAGAAGACGCCCCCAGAGTAAGGTGAGTCACCCTAAGAATATACATATCAGTATTTGCTCACTAGGATGAATCTACGCTGGGCGTGAGGAGAACAGTCGTTCAGCCCCAAACGCCCTTTCGCCCCCGGCCCTCCGGAGAGGCTAAATGCCAGGGAATAGAGAATTTCGAACTTACAGGGCCCATGATAGTTGCTTGCCAGTGGAACTAGAACCGAAAAATGGAAGTCAGTAATCGTTGATATTCTATCATCTGTCGAAATATTCCGGGTGACATTTCAAGCCCGCCGCACCATAAAACTGGGTGGTTTTTTGCAAGCGACGGTGAAAAAGTGAAATGAAACGAAAGGGCGAGAGAGAAAGAGGCTTACCAGGTCATCTCCAATAGGACCAGCAGAGCAGGAGGAGGGGGGATCCCTGTATATCAAGGTTAGTGGATATTGTCTTCGGATTTGATGGTCCAAAGAGTCAACGTTTGGAGGGGTTTGCTTACCGTCCGAGATCAGTGAGTTCCTTGTTAATGCGCTTAAGAGCCATTATGGATGATGGGAAACGAGAAGAGTGGGAGAGAGGGAGAAAGAGAAGACTAGAAGGTCAGCAGGAAGAACGGGCTTGATAGGGATTGAAGCGGACTTGTTCCACGTACGGTTACGTCTTTGTGTGGAAAAGAAGAAGAGAATGAGAAAGAATGAAAGAGGGGGAAAGTGGTGCGGGTCGGCTTAGACTATGGTATTACCAATACACGCCACAGGCAGCCCAGATGGGGCATCCATGGATGTGATACATCGTTCGGGTCATTAAGGGAGATTTTACTTATTATGTAGGTACCCTATATAGATACGCTGTAGGGCTGGCGGTGTTTCTTTGTTGCCTCTGCCTCTGCCTCTGCCTTCTCTCTCTTTCCCCTTTCTTTTATCTTTGTCAATAAAGACTTTTAAGAGAGACTCAGATAGCAGATCACCCGCCGCTAAGACTACGTTCTATTCTTCCACTAATCATAAACCTATCTTGGTAAGTAGGAAAACTCCAAGTTCTAGGTATCAACGAAGCCATCCTTTGATGCCTTGTACCTCTCAACCTTCAAAAGTTCCCAGGCTGTGTAGGTAGATGGATGATAGGATGGACCTTTGCCCAAATACCAAGGTGTATATTTTACGTACAGGTACTGTACGTAGTATGTAATAAAAATCGTGCCCCTCGATGATGTCACGTGTGGGTGAGGCGTCCGCTCTAAGGCCTTGATTAGGAAGGTGTCTTCTCTTGTCCGCGGGCTTATTCAACCACATGTGTATAACATTTGAACGTTGTATGTATATAACATGGATAAATAAACGACCCGTATATACATATGTCCTATTTATATGCTGTTGAAAACGCTTACATCTGATACTTACTCGTCTACTGAAGGGCTCTGTCTCTATGTCCAGCTGCCCATATATTTTAGTTCAGAACTGGTAGTTCATGGATTCCAAATTCTTGTATAATTTCTATTCGATGCTTTTTACATACAGGCCTAAAATTTCTCTCTTTCTTTCTTGCTTTCTATTTTCTTAAAGACTAAACAAATGCCTGCTTGCCAGTAATGGCCCGGCCTAGTATCAACGCTATGCCATGGAGAAGCAATTAGTTCCAGTCCAAGTCGCATGACTAAAAAGGATTCGAAACACGTACCATGGATATCACTTTGACCTTCGTATGTCTGTACCACGAATAGATTGGCGACGTGGCGCCCAATGTGGTATTCATCACTGGCAGCATTGCCGCCAAACACCTCTTGCAAGCTATGAAAGGTCAGCACGGTCCGTCTAAAACAATATATGCAGAAGAATTCAATACATACATCCGGGAATTGTGCAAAGCTCGATCACAATTCTGACGCTTGATCATCGAAATCATCTCTGGCGTAGCCTTTCCAGCATCCTTAAGACGAGCCACCTGTACAGCGGCCAGTGTTCCATAGGCTGCATCTGTCGCTGCATCCGCCAGCTTTTTCTGGATAAGCTGGTATTTTGCTAGCGGATTACCTTTAAACTGCTTGCGCTCGAGGCTATAATCCCGCGCACGAGTGAGACAGTCTTCTAGCGCACCCATGCTACCAAATGCAATTCCCAAGCGCGCACTATTCAAACAGGTAAATGGACCTGTCAGGCCCTCGACGTCTGGGAGCATGTTTTCCACGGCAACAGGGCAATCGTCCATTTGGATCATTCCTGTAATTGATGCGCGGAGCGCACTCTTATTCTTGATGGCTGGGGTCTCGAAAGTACCGGGTGGGCACTTGGATCTTTCAATCACAAATCCACGAATCTTACCATCCAGCTTCGCCCAAACAAGGTGTAGGTCCGCAATAGGTGAGTTGGTGATCCATGTCTTACTACCGGTTAAAAGGTACATTCCCTTTTGCGTGGGGTGCTCGCGTGCCACCGTCTCCATAGACCCTGGGTCGGAGCCGTGGTTTGGTTCCGTTAATCCAAAGCAGCCAGCCAATTTCCCTTGTGCGAGACCGGGAAGAAAGCGCTCCTTTTGCTCTTCTGTGCCGAATTCGTAGATTCCCGTCATCGCCAACGAGCTTTGTACCGACATACCCGATCGGTATCCACTGTCAACACGCTCTACTTCCTTGGTGATCAGTCCAGATGCCACAGTGCTAACACCGGCACATCCGTAACCCTCAATGGAAGCGCCTAATAGACCGAGTTCTCCCATTTCTTCAAGAATTCGACGATCATAATCCTCGTTGCGGTAGGCCTCTGTCGTAGGTGATTTGTTAGATCAGGCTATCAAATATCAGACTGATGGTGATTTTGGGGGATAGGGTAAAGCTCAACGAACCCAAAACTCGTGGCATCAATTTATCCTGGCAATATTGACGTGCTGTATCCTGAATTGCCAGCTCTTCTTCGGTGAACAGCTCCGATGCGGCGAGAGGGTCCTCCCAATTGAACACGGCAGACGAAGATGCATACCGCCGGGCAACAGGGAGACGATCAGCCTTAAAGGAGCGTGCTGCCGCACGGAGAAACGAGCGATTCATAATTTTGTACAGATGGGAAAAAAGAAGAAAAAAGAAGAAATGAAAATGATACAAAGAGGAGAGGACCACAGGTAAAAAGAGTCAAGGAATATGTATGATAAAGATATATGATAGCATATCGAAATGTCGTTGCGGGGGAGCTCCCCATCTAATATGCACTAGCGGCGGCGAACCTCGGCAATTCTGGGCTTGATGAAATCACCGAGCAACCAATTACAGGTTGACATCATGCGACCTATAGCTGCACTTGTTGGGACCTTAGAAGAGTACATTTCTCTTAGTTCTGCATAAAATTGGGACCATGAACCAAAGTCCAATTGGCTGAATTACTTTTCCTAGACCGATTCAATCCCAGAGGCTTATTTTCAAGCTTGTAAGTGGACTCGGCGCTTTTCGGTGGTTTCATGGTTTGCTAGTTGCCACATACAGAGAGCTCGGGTACCATATCCATGAATGCCGATCTTGGAACCAACCCCCATAGAGGTAGGTGTATGCGATAGCGTGAATGGGATGCCCATGCACGAAGGGGAGGAAGAGAACCATTAATATATACCGAATTTTTCCATTTATTTCCTCTAAAGGGGGCAGGTGAAAACTGTTATGTACATGGTTGTTCGTGGATACTGAAGCATGAAAATGTAACCTGACTGGCCTAGTCAAGAAGAGGACCAGTATCCCATCATGCTGGCATCTGGCTTTGTAGGAAATCAAAGACTCCAGTAGGAAAATAGTCCTCGTCGAATCCCCACAAATCCGCCATCATGGGGTCTACTGATCCCTCGGACAACCCGGATTCGTGTTTACTGGTTAACACGTCGGCCTCAATACCATTGCTGCGTTCGGCGGACAAAGGTGCCACTCCCAGTAATGGCGGCGGATGGTTTAATATAGTATCACGTTCGCCCAATATTTGGGCCCCGGGGATAATGACAGGCTTGAATAGAGAAGGAGTCTCCTGTAAAGCTTGTCCGAGGGGTTTCTGGCCACTGTTGCGCTTTTCCCATTCTTCCAAGCCAGTGAGCATCTTTCGCAAACCACGCGCAATATGGTGGCTTAGATGTCGTTCACTTGCCCTTCGACTACATGAGACCATCATCTCAACAATACGTCCGACTAAAGATCGTATATAGCCAATGTCGACGGATAGCCCAGCTGATGCAATCGAATTTCTTTGGCCTTGTCCCTCGGGGTTGGAGGCATTTGAGCAAGCCTTCACTGCGATCTTGAGCAAAAAGACTGCCGCGAAAGTTATCATACTGTGAAGATAAAGCGGAACGCCAACTAAAGCCCGCTGGATGTCTTGTTCGTCTAAGACAACAGTGAGGGTACCAATAGCCGATTCAATTGCGATGTTGGCGCGTTTCCTTCGCTCCATTGACATTATTTTCGAAGATGTGGAAGAGTGATAGGTACGCAATGCTACTGAATTCAATTGCAGCCGAGAGAAATGGTAGTGCATGTACACTGCTTTATATGGATATGCACCGACGTGTCGACTCCCGGCTAAGTGCTAGGTTAGAGATAATTAATCCGGGATGCAAAGTTTTGATTGGTAACGTACTGAGTCGGGGTAGCCACGCCGATTTCCAATCTCGAAGGTCCTGATCAAACCGATCAATCTGGGGGAATTCACTCTCGGGTACATCAAGGTCCACGTCAGGACCGAATGCAAAATAGATGCGGGTGAGAATTATAAATAAGTCAACCTGGCTGTGCAATCGGAGGTCTCCTTGTGATACAGATGGGGACTGTGTGAAGGTGTTATGTTGAGTAATACTGGCATCCTCGTGGATAATAGGTGGCCGACCGTATGCGATAGAGAAATGATGCTCAAGTGTCTGTCATCTGTCAGCTTCTCGGTTACATAGATAGTAGTACAATGGTATGTCGGTATAGCTTACGTATAGAAGATACCAGAGACGAGCCTGCTCTTTATGCTCTACAGACCCCTGGGCAGCCTTGCGGTAGCATTGATGCAAGTTGCGCTCAGTAGCAATACGCACGGCGTAGCCAGACAGCTTCCAACTGACATCTGCGAGCCAAAATGCCCCAATGCACAAAGCGCGAATATCATCCATAGTGTGGTGGTGTCCTAACATTGACTCCGATGCCAGCTTTGCAAACTCAGCATAACAAGTATCAAATGTGCGTTCCTTAGTTGGTAAGTGCAACGCCGTCACAGCCAAAATGGCCGCTGATAGCATCGATGAAGAGCGCCTGACATTTGTCAGATCTTTATGTGCCAGCAATGCTCCATCCCAAAGGTAGCGGTTGAGCACCTGATCAAAGTGATAAAACAGCTCCTCTGCTTCTTCCAGGTCCACCACGCCCCGTGAGATAAAATCAGTGACCAATGCTCGATCGGGTGCATAATGTTGACCGGGCGAGCTCTCCCTATTTTCACTCAGCTGTGTCACTTCGTAAAGACTCCCCATCGGAGCTGTCACCAGGGAAGATGCAGATGTTTCTTCGCGATCAATAGAATATTGTGGCTGGTGTTGCGAAAAGGTGTAATTCGAAGAATTTGAACCTGTTATTCGACCAGCGGAGTTTTCAACCGAATCGCCACTTCTGTTCCGATCTTGTGCCAGTCCGGTCTCGTCTACCGATACTGTTGATTCTTTCCGACGGTGCTTCTTCGGGGGGGTCTCGTTTGATCCACCGCTGTGATAGTATGACAACTCTGGGAGCTGAGCCTTCCTAAGCAAGTCCGTCATTGCCAGCTCAATCACGTTCTTCCAACTATAATATAAATATCAAGTTAGCATCCAATCTTCTCTTCCAATCTTTTTTTTCTGCTGCTCGACACCCCGAAGTATTTATCTCGAAGAGAATACTTACTCAGCCTCGTCTTCCAGTAATGTCTGTAGGCTTTTATTGACAACACACTCCAGACCCATGCGCCGACACCGCGAACATATCGACTCACCTGCCTTCATGTCGCAACGGACCTTATGTCGCTTACATTCGGTACATGCGCGTATCCTCCGCGAGATCTTCGGCACATGTTGACCTCGTCGTGAATGATCCTCCGGTGTGAGCTCCCCTTGGGGTGACACAGACGAGGCATCGCCATTGGGCTCGAACTGGATGCGGTTCCTCTTCATACTGGGGAGTCGACTCAACCTCTCCGCATGGGCGACTCCGGGGAAGAGACGAGCGGGGTCGGGATTCTCGACCGAATAGATTCTTCGCCTAAGGCAGGCAATGTGGGTCTGTCCAGAGTACATGTATGCTCCGGCTTTAGTTATACATGTATATGTGCTATATTATTTATTATACTAAGTATGTGCCTACCTACATATATGCTTTTACATGTTTTTGTAATCATTTGCGTAAGCTTTTTATATTTTATCTATAAAATAGCGCAGTATATAAATCAAATGATATGTAATTAGTACCTATCCACATGTCTACGGCCTTAATGATATTTCTTCCGGACCGGGGCCGGGAAAGTGCCGAACATCAAAATGACTAAGCAAAGCATGAGTGCCCGCAAACTCAGGCCGTCAATTGGTCAGATCCCACTAGTCCATATATGGTTAAATTATGATGCGTGGGCGCGTTCACCAATAAACGCGTCTACCATTTTCAGGTTCTCACCTCGGTGTCTCCATAAATCTTCACCCTCAGCCCTCAATTTTGAAACACAGACCTCTATTTGAGCTCTTCTTGATACCTGACAGTTGGTCAATCCTTTCAAGAGCCAAAATGGGTATCAAACGTGAGTGGAACATCTTCGACTATGATTTTAACCTCCTTTGCTCACAAAGACATAGACCTTTACCAGGTCATTTCGGAGAATGCTCCAGATGCGATCAAGACTGGCGAGATAAAAAATCACTTCGGCCGTAAGGTCGCAATTGTATGTTTGAAAAATCAAGACCCGAAACTATCTACAAATCCCCTTCGTTCATAGCTCATTATCTGCTGTCTATAGGATGCGTCCGTCTCATCGCCTTCATTTGAATCCTAAAGTCCTCCTTCGCTGACCTTCACCCAGATCCATGAGTATATATAGTTTTCTCATCGCTGTGCGCTCGGAAGGCCAGCAGCTGATGAGCGATACTGGCGAGACAACATCCCATTTGATGGGCATGTTCTACCGGACCCTACGAATGGTTGACAATGGTATCAAGCCTCTTTACGTTTTTGACGGCGCCCCACCCAAATTGAAGTCTGGAGAGCTTGCAAAGCGTGGTGCACGCAAAGCAGAAGCTCATGAGGCTCACGAGGAAGCCAAGGAAACCGGTACTGCTGAGGATATCGAGAAATTCTCTAGGCGTACCGTGAGGGTCACTCGCGAGCATAATGCTGAGTGCAAGAAGCTCTTGAAGCTAATGGGTATCCCTTACATCGATGCGCCCACCGAGGCCGAGGCCCAATGTGCTGTTTTGGCGCGCGCAGGCAAAGTCTATGCGGCTGCCTCTGAGGACATGGATACCTTATGCTTCGAGTCTCCCATTTTGTTGAGACACCTTACATTTAGCGAGCAACGCAAGGAACCTATTCAAGAGATTCATTTAAGTCGGGCACTGGAAGGTCTCAACATGGATCGCAACCAGGTAAGCTCTGTTCCTAACAAAAAAAGAGATAGAATCCCCCGTGCTAATTTATGATTATTGCAGTTTATCGATCTTTGCATTCTCCTTGGCTGCGATTATCTCGAGCCCATTCCTAAAGTCGGACCCCAGACCGCGCTTACACTGATTCGCGAGCATGGAAGTCTAGAGAAAGTGCTAGAGTTTATGGGAAATGATTCAAAGAAGAAATACGTTGTCCCCGAAGATTGGCCGTATCAAGACGCACGCGACCTTTTTATTGCGCCAGATGTACACCCTGCAGACCATCCAGACTGCGACTTCAAGTGGGAAGCTCCAAATGTGGATGGCTTAATTGAATACTTAGTCACCGACAAGGGGTTTAATGAGGACCGTATACGCAACGGTGCTGCCCGATTAACAAAGAATCTCAAAAGTGCCCAGCAATCCCGACTAGAAGGGTTCTTCAAGCCCAAGGCGCGTACGGATGATGAAAAGGCCAATCTCAAGCGAAAACATGAGGAGAAACTTCAGGAGCAAAAAAAGCGGAAGAAGGATGAAGCTAAGGCGAAAAAAGATGCGAAGGCTAAGCCGCGTGGTGCGGGCTAGCTTAATGTTCCCGAAACACGAAGGTCGCGATGGATTGGTCTATCTGCAACGTTGTTTGTGCTCCTTCCTCATACTTGGCTCTTAGCATGCAAAATAAACCTGTGCATTAAAATTATTCTACCTCTATACTGGCGTTCAATTGATAATTGTGATCTTTATCTTTTGCTTTTGGTTTGAGCGAGTGAATTTCCCCTCAATCTCAATGCGGGTACGAGTGACAGCTTAACCCAGTCAGAGCCAGGACGGTTTCGAGGCTTTGGACCAGAATTTCTAATCAATTTCTACATGATTATGTAGATTATGTTAATTTCAATCATCGGCAGGCGGTTCAAAGAACCTACTTGACTTTCCGAACTTGGGATCAGAGAAGACGCGAGTAGCAAGAGTCGGAGTTATAGCCCTGGTTTTTCTGATCCTCACTTTTACAAGGCATGGGTGACTTTAAATTACCTTACATGTCATTATTTTTGTTGCTTCTAAACGTTTGATTCATATAGCTTTTTACTATAGAGCAGAATAAATGTTTCTTTGTTGGACTCAATTCTCGATATATGCTTATAGATCATGTGTCGCGGGATAAGCGAGATGCATCGGATTGGCGGATGCTTTGATACTGTGATCTCCACCAGCATGGAGATTGATGAAGAACTTAAGACTGGACAATAGTTATTTCAATAGCTAGGTCTTCAATTATCCTTTTAATTATTGAATAAAGACTAACAGGGTAAAGGATCAAAGGCACGCGCAATGACATGCCTGTGTGATCTACCCGCGGATGATAAATATAGACTAGCGCATCCAGAGATCCATCATCCATGGCCCCCTCCGACACTGATAAACCTAGAAAGGACGAAGAATTGGCTCAGCAGTATACTTAACTTCTTTGTCCTCTCAAGCATACGCGAGATTTGGGGGTTCTTTCCATTTTCCATGAAGCAAACAAGAGTTTGTACCCTATGAATTTTGGTTTATTATCTATACAAGCAAATCAAATCACGCAGCCACTTGGGCATCATTCAACTTTCATCCATGAATTATCTCCATTGGCAGAGATAGCTAGGTTTTTACGCGATAAACATGTAGTGATCTCTAGTGATGTAATGAACAAGAGCTTACATTGATTGAAACTTTTTGTTTTCCTATATACTATGTACCCAATTGAATATACTGTCTACTACTACTGAACCCACATATATTTGGACCAATTTTCCAAGTTGAGACCTTAGAATTTCGGTATGTATATGTATACAAAAGTACGCAAGAATTTGAACACAACAAGTTGATGCAATATCTGGTGAATATTGAGTTCCCTAGTATATGTATAGAAAAACCAAATTTGATGAACTAAAGGAGCGATCTAGAGAAATGTGGGGGGGGATCGTGAGGGCTGTACTGGATCTGGATCTGAAGAATCCGGGTAACGAAGGGTTAGGGAACAGTCCACTAAAGCAACAGATTTACAGGTGAACTTTGAAGGTTCTCCAGTTTAGTCGTCAAATAATTAAAAATTGCTATAGAGTCAACACATCATCGAGTCTCTAGCGAGGCGGTTCCATGGACGGGAGCTTGAGCGGGGTGCTGCATGACAACGCATCCCCCCCTCGTGACCCTGCAGGTCCTTCAAGGCTCACGCAAGGAGAAGAAGCTTAAGGAGTCGATGAATTATCCGGTATGGTGAAGTTAATCGGACGCAGTAAGACATGCCAGTGGATCACCAATCATGCAGCCATCAAGGTTTACTTGCTCAAGTATAGAGATATATAAATGATGTTCTCTACCTGGACAGGGCTGCATAGTTATGATAGAAATGCCGTTTGCAGAGCGCCTTTGGCGCCCAGGTAGTATTGTATTATTATTTAAGTTTCCAGAGGGCAGCAAGCTAAATAGAAGGGTGGAGATCAAATTCCATACCCAATTTGTTTGGCTTAAAGAGTAAATGGAGGGGATGATCCCTCTCTGTTTGCGCTGGAATGCCGATGTCAAACGAAAAAGAAACAGATCTACCCTCGCGGCTTTTCTCCCTTCCCACCAGGGAACCTTGTGAAGATTCCACATGTAGATAGTGATAATATACAGGCCAAGTTCTACTTAATGTAGAGACTCAACTAAATAGAGATTGATTTGTCGTGAATCGGAGGTTGGTCTACAAGATGCATGATATAGAGTAATCTTCAGTCTAGGTGTAGATTGGCCCGGGAATGGATTGTCCCTCCGCCCTCTGGGAGAATGTGCGCAGCCAACCATTTCCCGTTTGAAAAACGCGTCCATCTATGTACTGCAAAAAGGGCCGAATCATTCAAATACTAGTAGTATGTAGTTCATTAGGAGAATGGAAGAAACCTTGGAACTATCAGCCGAAATTTAACGTGAGCCACACAGGAGGATCGAAAGAACTAGCAGGAAAAGAAGGAATAAAAATAGAAATAAATACTAGACAAGACACCTAATAATATCATCTTAACACCAGAGGAAGATAGACAAGAGAGAGAGAAAATATATGACAGAAAAAAAATGGGAGAAAAAATGGAAAAATCTCGAGCAAAAGCCAAAGTGGTGGTCTGCGTGGTGGTGGTGGTCTGCCACCCTAGTTACCCGGTGATCTGGTGTCAACACCGGTCGCCTATAAATCGCGGATGCCCCGCCGGCCCTTCCCACCCCTTCCGCTGCTGCTTTTCTTCTGCTTTTGCTTCTGCTTTCATCCATCCCCACACCATCTTCGACGCGTTTAGTCTCTCAGATCTTTAAATCTTCCGATCTTCGTATATTCTCCATCACCACACTACCTTTCATCTCACCATGCCTCCCAAGAAAGCAACTGGTGTGACCAAGAAGGCGGCGCCTGCTGCTCACGCCTCTTACCGCGGTATGTATCGTCTGATCCCTTCCCACCAACGCATCGCGTCAAAATATTTTGGACATCGTCTGCGTCGCGAATGTTTGCTGATTCTAGCCATATAGATATGATCAAGGATGCTATTGTCAACGTGAGTGGATCACAAATCCAACCTGGCTTGTTGTGATGATGGGTCGCGCGCCCGACCGTGACACGTCCGCACATTGGGCATAGTCAACAACCACCCTCGGCGCGTGATGCGATTTTTAGTTGTTTTAATTGCTGACTGTTTGTACTACGAATAGCTCAAGGAGCGCAATGGATCCAGGTACGTATTTTCGTTTTTTACTCGTTGGCGCGCGACCGCGGTCGACACGGCGGTCGCGTCACCTCCCCTCTTCCCTTTATTTTGAACCTTCGTGGCAAATTGCTAATTAAACCTCTACCATTTTAGTCGTCAGGCCATTAAGAAGTATGTTGCTTCTAACAACAAGATCACCTTCGCGTCTCAGAGCGCTTTCGATGCCCAGTTCAACAAGGCTATCAAGTCTGGCGTCGAGAAGGGCGAATTCACTCAGCCCAAGGGTAAGTTTGTTATTATTCTCATTATTATCTATCCCAATGTTCTCTCGCTCTTGACCATGATCATCGATTACTAACGTGTCGCGCTACAGGACCTTCCGGGCCTCTGAAGCTTGCGAAGAAGGAGGCCAAGCCTGCTGCTAAGCCTGCTGCCAAACCCGCTGCCAAGGCTGCTACAAAGACCGCTGCCAAGGTAAGTCATTGCAATCTCGCCATTAATTCTGTCTTGGTTACTCATCGTTTCTTATAGAAGACTGCTACTAAGGCCACTGCCGCCAAGAAGGCTGCCCCCAAGGTCGCCAAGACTACCACCAAGACCACAGCTAAGAAGCCCGTTGCTAAGAAGGCTGCTGCTAAGCCCAAGGCCAACTCAGGCAAGGCCCGCAAGACCAAGGCTCCTACTGCCGTATGTACTCCTTGTTCACTGTAATGTGTCTTCCAGGGACCCCGTTGCTAACTGAACTTTTAGGCCCCTGCCATCGTGGAACAGCCCAAGGTCATTGGAAAGACCAAGTCTGGAAGAGTCACCAAGTCCACTGCGCCGCCACCTGCAAAGGCCGCGGCTAAGAAGCGGGCCACTACTAAGAAATAGAGTGTTATCGGCCGTCGCTTTTTTTTTTTTGGCCTCGCGACACACTCCCATTTCACGTGCGCTTTTCTCGGGAGGGTGATCTAGGTCTGGTTTCGTCTGTTTTTCTTTCCTTTTTCTCTTCCCATGTAATTTCTTTCCCTCAGCCCGTTGATCTGAAGGTTACGATGGGGTTTTCTTTTGTGAGTGTTTCTGGGGTTTATTTCTTCGTTTATGATGGTCTCGTCTTCCCCCCGCTTTTCATTTTGGTTTTTCTCTGTTTCTACGTCGTAAGGATGGCGTCTTGTGGTGGGTTTTAACGGGGAAATTGTTTTGCTTATGTGTTCGACTTTGTCGGATCTTTTCGAGACATTCGTGGAATTGGAATATCTTTGATCCGATCATCCTATCTTCTTATGCGTAAAACTTGTAGAACCTCCAGGCCTTCATAATGGGTCAAACCTGCTGGGATTGCTGTTTATGGTGAAGATAGAGCTGTTCTTATACTTATGGAGATACGGATATAGGTGTGGATTGGTGCAGGAACATTCTGTGTTTTCTTCTGTTTTGTAGTTTTTATAAGCTTTCTTATTTCCTTGTCATATTCCAAGGTTGTATTGTTCTCCCTCCCTTTTAACATGCATAATACATGTCCATATAAGAAGAGATATCAACAATCTCGACATTTCTGGTAGTGTCACATGCACAATACCTAATAGAGGGCCCCGGAGGGGTTGTTTCAGGATGAATAGATTACTGGAGTTTTAATCTCAAAATTGGGCCTGGGCTCCGAATTTCATCTTTTCCAAGATGTAAAAGATGTAAACAAACTGAGTAATCTGATCTTGAGAGAAGTCTTGATCGCCAATAGGCATCAATCATTATCTACTCTTAAAGTAGTTGTAATTGGGTGGATCATGCTATTTTTGGAATGGCCGGGATAAGGACTCAGGGGGGAGGTTGAAATTAGGAGCTGCTGGGCTGGTATCATTAGACGAGTAGGTAGGAGCAAGTAACTACATGTATCTTAGTTTCCGAAACTTGTGTATGGTCAACCTTACAAGCTGGGCCTTATTCGTTGTAGGTAAATTGTACCGAGTACTCCATACCGTGCCCTCCATACCGTGCCTATAGATCTTCAAAGGTTCCGAGGTTGATACCTAACTTACATACGAGGTAGAGCTTCAGGTACTTACAGCACAGTAGTATCTCCATACATCCACAGGGGTTCGTCAGGCACGATCCCGCCCCCACGAGGGCATCATTCGTTCAAATGTTCACGGGTGGCAACCTTAGAATATTACATACCGGGGGTAACATTTCCAGAGGTATCGAGATGCACCTTGAAACCTCCAGGGCTTTCAAGATGATCATCTAAGATCGTTCGGAAATGGACTTGATTCACGTTCGCGTTTCGATTCTTGATATTTTCAAGGTTAAGTAGGCTCCAAGACTTGCTCAAGATTGTGCAGATATACATTAAATATACAAAAAATAGCGAGCGCCTGAGTGAAGTAAACTCCAGTAAACTCCGCAGAGGTTGTACGACGTCACGTTTCCTCTACTCCTTGCAGGAGAGGGGTTGATGATCACGATGTGCTAGGACCCGTACAGAGAGTACTTGGCACAATGATAGGTAATGGTATTCAATCGAAGCGGAAACAGAATAGAATTTCAAGGATCAATCACGTCTTTTTATGCATTCTCATATTCTCATATTCATAAGGTAAAAAGTGGCTGGTCACGGGTTCTCCTCTCTCCGTGGACCCGTGGACGTAATATACGTACTGTACGTTACATACACCAGCTGAATAGTGGAGTCCACCCGTACCTCCATTACACGAATTACGACACGCAAGTCCCTTTAGCCTTTTCTCTCGCCTTGACAACCACCAAGGCGCTCAAGTGCTATCACATCCAATCTTCAACCTATTCTCAACCCCTCCTTTTGTCCCTTGGACACAACAGAGCTATGTTCTCCGGCTGAAACCATCTCACCCCTTGCCATCCATTTGGCCGGTCAGTCCGTTCAGAGAGAAAAGTGATACAGACAACAAGATAAGGAGACCCGGGAAAAGCGTCTGGAAGTCAACAGACATCTATCTGCCTCTGCGAACCGTCCATCCCAATACCCAACACCCCTCCCCTTTCTTTCATTCCGATCTGTTGGAACACGGTCCGGTTCTCAAACTTCCCTGTCTCCCCGCCAATAAGGGTCATAGCCGTCACCTCGGGTTGCCGGTCCACGCAGACCTCACGTCACCCCGTTTCCCTGGAAAGGCAGAGAATTAGTAGCGGTGGAAACCACCATGCCGTCCTTCTCCAATGACGCCTATCCGTCGGCCACAGCAACAGCCACAACAACAGCTACCCATCCTCGTTCTTTCGATTCGCCTCGCAAGTCGCATGACAAATCCTCGGTCGGTAACACTTTCCTGTGGACCAACTGGCCCAACCCACCTAGTAGCGACGCAAACCACGAATCCCATCACAATGACCGCCAATTGCTCACGAATTTGAAGAACGGCAGTGCCTACTCGCTGAATGGCCGGTCAAGTATCAGTTCATATACGCGCGAAATGCCACACTCCAAGAATGGAAGCATGCATTCGCTAGGCAACAGTTCTGCGAGAGACCTTCGAGATGGTAGTCGCCCATCGAATATGCTAGACCGGAAATCATCGGACGCTGGACCCGGAGCAGGCTCCACGGCGGCATCCGTCTCGAGTCAACCAGTCAATGGTGCAACGACCAACGGCCACCGACAATTCATTCAAGGGAAACAGATGACCAATGGAAATGGCGATTGTCGTCGTTTCTCCATCGATGAACCCTCCACGTCTGACCGTGCAGCTAGCCCTTCCAATTCCTTGCTACAGATCCCCAACACTGAAGATGCAGGTCGTCATTCCCCCGACCCAGATCGCCTGGCTCCAGGCTCGAGACCCAGCCATCACCGTTACTCCTCTCCTCCTGCGCCTTCTATGATAGAAACAGCTCCTACCCCAGAATCACAACAGTCTACTATGCGGCACCGACACTCCCTGCAGGTCCCGCGTGTGCCTAGCGGTCGTCGGAATAGTCGAGACCAAAATGATGATACTGCATTCAGCAGCGGCCGATTATCTCCAACAATTGGTGGAAACAGACGCACTTCCCTCGGGCTGATTCGCCGGACAACAAGAACACAATCGGACACACCATTGGATGAGGCACCGCCAGATGAGGATGCAGCACGATGGGCAGAAGCCATTAAACAAAAGCGAGCATCAAGGCGCCGACGCGAAGAAGACGACGACGAGCGAGTCATTGTCGGGACCAAGGTTGATCAGAACCATGTCAACTACGTCACGGCGTACAACATGTTGACTGGAATCCGCTTTACTGTATCGCGCATCAACGCAAAGATGGACCGGGAGCTAACTCCGGCCGACTTTGAAGCTAAGCACAAGTTCTCCTTTGATATGTAAGTCCCGAGCTCCTTTCGAGGCGACCATCTTTGGAGCTAGGACCCGGCTGACAACCACAGTACCGGCAACGAGTTGATTCCTTCGGCCAAATACGACTTCAAGTTCAAAGACTACGCCCCCTGGGTCTTTCGACATCTACGAGCTAAATTTCGTCTCGATCCTGCTGACTACCTCATGTCTCTCACTAGCAAATATATTCTGTCTGAACTGGGCTCTCCCGGTAAGAGTGGAAGTTTTTTCTACTTCTCACGCGATTACAAGTATATCATTAAGACTATCCACCATGCCGAACATAAGCTCCTTCGGAAAATATTGCCAGAATACTATCGACACGTTGAAAAGAACCCGAATACCTTGATTTCCCAATTCTATGGATTACATCGTGTCAAGATGGCTTATGGCCGTAAGATACACTTTGTTGTCATGAACAACTTATTCCCACCCCACCGAGATATTCACCAAACTTTTGATTTGAAAGGTTCGACCATCGGTCGAGATCTGCAAGAGTCAGATCTTGAGCGAAACCCCCGCGCGACGATGAAAGACTTAAATTGGGTTCGGAGGAGTCGACATCTGCAATGTGGTCCAGCGAAAAGAGATTTCTTCATGGAGCAATTGAAACGAGATGTCGAACTTCTCAAAAAGCTCAAGATAATGGATTACTCACTTTTGGTTGGAATCCATGATCTGGAAAGAGGCAATGAAGAGAAGTTGCGAGACAAGACCCTTCAAGTGTTCCAGCCTGGAGGTGACCGTGAGGCCGAGGCAAGCCCCAATATGCTGATGCGGACGCCATCCAAGCTGGAGAACGAACGGAAAGCCCGGGAACTTCGTATGTTGATCAAACGTGAACGACCAGTTCCCCTAGATAAGGCTACCGCGAAGATGCCAGAAGAAATACTTGATGAGCGCAAATATCATGTCTTCTACTCCGATGATGGTGGTTTCCGCGCCACTCATGAGAGTGGCCAACCAGGTGAAGAAATCTACTACTTGGGAATTATTGACTGCCTGACTCATGTAAGTGATGGTCTGATCGAAAGCAAAATGGTCTACTTAACTAATTATGTCCCGCTCAGTACGGAACGGTCAAAAAATTTGAAAACTTTTTCAAAGGCCTGTCCCACGACCGACTACAAATATCCCCAATTCCTCCAGAGGGCTACGGAGATCGCTTCATCAACTTTGTTAAGGGCATCACCATGTCCAAGGAAGAGGCTGAACGTCGACGCGAGTCTCAGGTTTCTGCTCGACAATCAGGAGAAAATAGACAATCGCGTTCGTCATCTGTGGAGCGAACTATGCATGTTGCTGAGAAGGAGGCGGCTAAGGATGTTTCTGTTACACACCCACGAACTCTGGCCACAGTGTGGGATCCTGCAGACGCTACCAGTTCTGGGCCGACATCAACACTTCCCATTGTCGATGAAGCAGGCGAAGCAAGCAGTGTAGGCGGCCAAAGCTCACATAGTAGAAATGCCCGCCCCGGTACTGGCACCGACAAGGAATTGCCTCCGGCTCCGCTCGATGAACCTCCGCCGCCTCCTAGCAAAGGCAAGCGAGCTGACCAGGGGTACCCCCTGGCTACCAGCTCTAATCAATGGTAGATTGGATTTGTCTGTCTTGTTTGGTCAAATGAACCCAATCCCATTATCTGTCTTTCGAAACTAGACATGCTTTTTGTTCATCAAGGAATTGTCCCTTTGTTTGTTGGATTGTGATCGGTTGCCCTTCTCAATCCTCAATCAGCTAAGCCAAACGGCTCTTTAAACATTTGGATTTCTTGCACCGCCTTGAGGGCCAAGTCCTGCAGTTTCGACAGAAACGACTGGTGTTCACGAGTGACATGTATATCTGTCCTTGGGCTGTTGATTGCCCTTCTGTGGATTCTCTGCTTTCTTAATTTTCCTGTGTTATACCACGGGACAACAACTTTCTCCCATCAAGCGATTATTAACGATTTGACTGCTTCGCCCTCCACTGCATGAATATCCCCAAATTCTGGCTGGACACCTTCAGCAGGTCATATATCCTTCACACAATCTTGCTTTGCTAGCTGATTGAGTGGCCAGGCTATTGTCCCACGTTCTCTATATCTCTATATCCAACGTCAATCTTTAAACGTCCCTCTCCCCAAATGATTTCTTTCCTTGTCATTTTGTGCCTTCTTGTCTCTTATTTCCCCTTGTATCACATTACCCACTATCTCATCTATTCATCGTCAGCCCCCCTTGAACAAGTCAAACAATCATTCTCGACTAGGTCCCTCTTGAGGCCAACAGAGGGGGAAAAGCATACATTGAACAGGACCTCATAGACGGGCCTCTCTTTCAATCTCCCCTTGGGCCTTGAATGTGGCCTTGTCGTTCACCCATTCCGGGCTCCCTCTATCTTTGTGACCCACTTTCCTATTGTCTTTTCTTACTTTGTCTTCCTGTCTTACCCACTTTGACTCCATACCCTGTATCCATCACTATACCCACGGACTATTTTTCTTGTATCATCTTCACCAAGTGATCAGTCCCTTTTCTCATTTTGTCAACAATCCAAATTAGCCAGCGTGGAAAACGCCCCTCGAGTTCCCATTTTCCCCCTTCCTATCTGAAGCCCTGCCTTTCCTTTCTTTCCTAATGTCAAGATTTTACCAGTCCGAGTTAATAAACTATAGATCATGAATTGTGTATTATTCGGCTTTCTATTTTAGTATACTCGGAATTGTAAATAATAAACATGCCAGCATATTGCTGAGGAGTTATTTTAGAATCCTATTATGTCCCAATATCTACAGCAGGCTCTACTCTGGTTAATTTAGAGGAAAGTAAAGTTATTCAGCCTGATTCTGACGAAAGTCTGTTTTATTTCACCTTTTTTTTTAAAAAAAAAACAAGAAAGTCACTTGACTATACATTCGTGGATGCCTACATTTGGGCTCGTCCGGCTATTGTGATTTGGGATGTAGCCTCAAGAGGCAGATCAGGTAACAGCAAGAGATACAGATAGAGCACCGTTCGCCATCCAGTTCCCCCAACGGTGAAATTAGATAAGAAATAAGCAGCATTCCATAGTTGAGCGACGCAGACACCCCGGCCAATAAGATAAAAATGATAGGAAAACAACTTTGGAAACGTCCGAGAACACTAATAAGAACGCATGAAGATAGCAGGGACATGGAAACTTTGGTGGAAAATATCATTATCATGTCCTTTGAACTCAGAGTTAATAATTTTCCATAAGATGGAATCCTGAGGCCGAAAAAAGTCAAAGGATAAAGTACCCCACAAAGGGATGCACAATTGCAAAGACATAAACAAAGTGAATAAGATGTTCTTTGGTTACACGTTTGATATTTTTCAGGGCACTGGATGTCTCTTACTAGAGGAAGACAAATGGAAAATCATTGACTTTGTGAGAGTCATCTTTCAGGACGTATGGAACTGGCATAACACATATTCACTCAGATCTGCCCTGGGTGACCTTGGCAGCCTGAATGGCAGTCATTTTCTGCAGCCAGCCCTGGGTTGGTTGCGGTTTCTTAACAGTCCGAAGATCATCAGAGGAGAAGCCCGAGATGCGCATGTTGTAATTACGCTCCAAGACCAGTTGGATGTCACGTATCTCAAGGGTTGAAGATGGGCGCAGCTTGGCGAGACGGCAGGCCTGAGTGATCACGTCGTCAACGAAATCATCTGCCATCTGGAGAACAAACTAAAATTCGGAAGAATAAGTTGTAAGTTATTTTGATACCATTCTTTGATGGGTTAGATGTGAATTTAACTCACTTCTTCGGCGTCAGGTGTCAGCATCTCTCCCTCACCACCACCAGTGACCTGGCGGACAAGAATGTCAAGCATCTTCTTACTAAGAACATGTTGACCTTCGCCCTCTAGAACGTAACCTGGATGCTTTTGAATGGCAGGCTGGCTGATCATTCCAGGGCCGTGATTGGGACCACCAGTAAGAGAGGGGCGAGATGAGGGCATAGTGACTGGCTCGGGGGTGGATATGTTAAGGGTTTTAGGGATGTGCATGTTGATGTTGCGAGAGGAAGCGTCAGCCGAGCGATTAGCAAGATAACCCTGGGGGTGAGCTTGCTGGTTGGCTGCAGCCTGGCTCATATTCTGCTGTTGCGGTTGTTGCGGTTGTTGGTTTTGATTTGTGCTATAGTTCTGTGCTGCTTGCTGCATGGCTGCCTGATGCGACAAAGGCCGAGGTGGGCCTAGGTTAACCGGCTGCGAGCTCGATGCCGAAGGGGTTGAACCATCAGGGTTGGGAGTTTGGCTGAACGTGACTTGAGCTCCGGGAGTACCCTGCTGTGATGGAGGCTGGGGTCTGTGGGACAAAGGAGGCGCGTTTGAGGGAGCTGGGGTAGCGCTCGCAGATGGTGGTGCTTGTCCTGACTGCGATGTCGAAGGAGACATTGCGGTTTGCCCTGCTTGGTTACGGGCTGCGTTGACTGCGGAGTTTATTGTATGTGGGGCTGGGGTGGGTGCCTGTCCAGGCATTCCAGTTGAAGCTGCGACACTACCAGCTTGAGCATTAGGGGCTGGCTGGGTTTGTGCAGACACGGCAGGACTGGGTTGAGTTGTGGGTATAGTTGTCGCTTGAGCAGGCGGACTCATTTGAGGATTCTGTTGCGATTGCATCTTGAAACTCTCCTGTTGCTCCTTGAATTTATTGAGGAAGTCGCTACCCTCCCGGAAAAGCTTCTCCGCCGCCAACTGCCGGTTTTTAAACTCCTGAACCTCATCTTGAGACATATTAGCCTGCGCTTGGCGCTGGGAGTATTGTTGGCGTAAATCAGCCAACCGCGCACGTCCGACCTCCTGTTTTTGAAGCGCAATGCCGTATCGCAAGCGGGCCTCCGGAATCCATGTCTGAACTTGCTCCTGGGTAACGTTCGGTGGAAGATAGAAAGTGAGTGAGTTGACTTTGTTTTGAATTTGTGGCAGAAGTTGGTTGAGATTTTGAGGATTATTAGATTGAGTGCGTTGGACTGCCTGTCCTTGCTGTGTTGCGGCCTGTGGTTGATTTGGTTGTACCTGTTGCTGCTGTACCTGTTGCTGCTGTACCTGTTGCTGCTGTACCTGTTGCTGCTGTACCTGTTGCTGCTGTACCTGTTGCTGCTGTACCTGTTGCTGCTGCTGTTGCTGCTGCTGAATCGCTTGTTGACGGTTCTGCTGAAATAGGCGCATACCCTTCATCAAGTTCTGGGACAGCTGGGAGAGTTTTAGCTGGGCGTGCTGATACTCCTGGCTCTGGGGATCACGGGTATTCAGCTGTTCCCATAAGCTGCGGACTAGCTGTGTATGCTGGGCTTTTTGCGCTTCATTCAGATGCGGCAATTTTTGCACTTGGTCGGTTCGGATGAGGTTTGAATGTTGCTGCGCAGGGGCTTGGGCCATGGGCTGACCTGCCTGGCCTTGCAACCCGTCCATTTAGTTCGTGACGATAATACAGCGATCGACAGGTTCAAGGAGGAGGGTTTGGGTGTGGCACCAAAACCAAGTCGCAGATGATAAACGAGGCGTGGGAAATTGCCGGGCGGTCTCCTCACCACAGTAAGTTTGAAGACACTGAGCGGTGGGACAAGTAGGACTGTAGATAAATTCTGGGGTGAGGTAGTCGAGCCTTGGGAGTGGGCGTCGGCGGTGAGCCGGCGGGCGCAGATTATTTCCGAAGTTCTTTGGGTGGCTTATTACTACTACTTACTATGTAGGTTCACAAGGGCCATCTTAAAATCTTTAGTATCTGAACTTGAATAACATTGATGATTTGAATGCTTACATATATTACTAAATGATATTTCATTGATTGAATCAGCGGAGCATCGGTTTCTGTTTCTTTGAATTGGTTCATACTACATGTATGTCGTTTGGATACTATATCACCAAGCACTAATATCTATCATGGAGCATTTACACACATAAAAATCTCATAATTAGATAACTCGTCATATTGAACGTCTAAATATCATCTGTTATGACCTTTATCATATCATGCGATGATATTGAAACTCTTCGCATCATTATATAATTCATTTCATATCGTTACATGGGTATCATTGAAGCTTATCCCCATCCCAGCAGGCAAGGACAGTGGGAAGACCAGTAGCACCCTCATTTGGGGCAGAGAAATATGCAGAATAAATTGCATACCCCGTCACTCAGAGTATAAGCTCCCACAAGTGACACAAGATGAAGCTGCTAGAACAAGAATTGCATGTCTGATCAAAAGGATCATGCCCTTGACAAATGTATGATCTTGACTGGTTATTCCGTTCTGTCAAACCGAAGTGGCTTCTTGGTCACTCAATAATGGTGCTGAAAAGGTCAGCTTTTTTGGGCATCAGGCAATAAGACCACCGAGGTCCCGATCCATGCCGGTGACTCGATCCTCCAAGGTCTGCTTCCTTCGCTCTAACTCTCTGATTTCGGCTAATTCCCGCTCGATATCCAGATCAGTGATCTCATTTGGTTGGGAACCGGAGACAGATGCTGAGGTAAAGTCATCCTCGTCTCCATATCCGGAGCGCATCTGTTCTAATTCGGCAGTGTTCATGGCAACTCGATCTTCTAATCCAGAAATTGACTGGGCAATCATGTCATGGCGATATCGTAAATTGCTAATTTTTTCGGGAGCGCCAGGGATAGGACTGGCGGTCATATTAGAGGTGATATAATGACACTCACTCCCACAAGCTGGACTTACTAGACATTGCACAAAATCTCCGCACCGCGTAGCAGAACCTCAATATTAACATCTCCTCGGGGCCCCCGAGTAGACGTGCCCGTTGATCGTTTGATCTTTTCCATCATATCCGATCCAAGCACACGCGCCACTGCCGACTGACTACGACCGCTGTGCGTGTTGTAGATCCGACTGGTCATGGGTTCGTGGTCGGTCTCAGCGGAGTGGGTTATACCACGACGGGTGGTGCGGCGGGATCCATGAGTTTTAGAGGCCGGATCTACCTGAAAAAGGGCTCTTTCGTGGACCTCGGTATCTCGAATTAAGGCGGTGATATCGTGGGAGCCTAATAACGCGTTGGTAAAAATACGGGGCGATGGGAACCTAATAGCGGGTGTTAGTTGAGGGCAAGTAGAACAGAGAATCTCGGGGGTGCTGCGTACGGTAATTCTGCAATTGTATCCGAGGAAAAGCTAATCTGTTCCAGATGGCGATCGAGGAGCGACATGGCTGCTGGTTTACAGCAAGCGCTTGGTATGGGCCAGTGAGGTAGAAGGGGGAAGACTAATAGCCGGTTGCGCTTTGCTATAGACGCAGTTCACCACTCACTAATACGTAACCTTGGGAGCTCATGATTGTGCAACCTCAGGCACCAACTTGTAAAGACAAACAACACGACTTGGACAAACTAGCTAGAGTAGGAGAGATAAAGCTATTACAAAAAAAAAGCTATTCATAGTACTACAAGCTCAAACAATAATATATAATAGATACATAGACTTCCGGCTGCGCAGGCTTTCTACATGATTCCTACTGCTGCTTTCTGCACATGTGGGCTGGCGCCGTGAGCTCTACCTGACTAAGCACGCCTCTTTACGCCCGTCCTCGTCTCTTGACATCACGTCCCCCATCCACCTCATCCCATCACTCAGCTTCTTCATTTCCCTTCCCATCATTTCCTCTGTTTGCTGCAGTTTTTTGCTACTCAACTTGCATCTTTGTTTCATAAATTGCCATTTAGTGGTGCTCCTATTTCTTCCATCCTCTATCTCCATTAGCTTGGGTACTACTCAGCTGAGTTGCACAGCTTGAAAAGATGCCGGCCGAAAGGCGTTCTCTTCGATCGAACAACAAGTCTGACGCTTCCTCATCCGCTAACGGTGACAAGGCATCCTCGAACTCGCAGAGCTCAGACGCTAAAGAAAAAGCCGCACCTGCAACTCGCTCTGCTTCCAACAAGGCCAAAGGGGTCCCAGCGAAGAAAGGCACTACTGCCAAGGGCGCGAACAACGGAATGGAGGATGACCAGTCGCAAAACAACGGACCTGATTCAACTGAAAATGGTGTGAATGGGTCTGAGGATGTTGAGATGGGAGAGGATACGGCAGGTGCGCCTACATCCTCATTCAACACTCGCAAGGATCGGAATGGTGACGAGAAGATGACTGTTGTAGTGCCCCCAGCCAAGGGTTCCAGGCCATCTAACAAGGCAGGCCAAGATAAAGATGAAGACACGACGATGGACGGCACCGAGCCAGGTGATTCTGAGCAAACTGAGCCTGAGATTGATCCAACGACCAAGGCCATCCAAGGTTAGCAGCTCCCCCTTCCCCCTCCCCAAACTCGAGGACTTCTGAGTAATGACACCGCCTGAACTCTTGCTATTGCGTTAGATATCAAGATCAACTTTACTCTGCTTGACCGCGCCGTAGCTCACTTCGATCCCCGATTCACTCTACGTGTTCTCCGTTCTATATCCTCGATGCGAAAGCATATTACTCCGGAGGTTCTCGCCAAAGTGATTGTGGATGTTTACCCAGATTCCAGCCCAATGGCTTCTTTCTTACTCGAGGCCATTGACCAGGCCAATGCGTTTGAGGGTGTTCCTGCTGACTTGAAGATGGACTTGGACTTGGAGAAGACTAAGGGAACCCCTAAGGACACTCTTCCAGAAGTAGACGCATATTTGGCCATTTTGGTCCAAATCTATCTCTTTGACGAGCGAAAAATCCAGCAAGGTGCTGACTTCTCGACAAATCTAATTGAACGCCTTCGAAACTTGAATCGCCGTACTTTGGATTCCCTTACCGCCCGCGTCTACTTTTACTATTCTCTGTTCTTTGAGAAAATTGCTCCACTTCCTCCATCCCCAGCCGCTGCTGTCACCAACATTCGCCAAACATTGTTGGCGGCATTGCGCACGGCTGTCCTCCGGAAAGATGTGGACACCCAGGCCACCGTCATGACACTGCTCCTCCGCAATTACTTGTCCACGTCCCATATCACGCAGGCTGATCTTTTAATCTCGCACAACCGGTTCCCTGCGGCTGCTTCCAACAACCAAATTGCTCGGTATCTTTACTACCTTGGCCGCATTCGTGCCATTCAACTGCAGTATACCGAGGCCCACAGCCATTTGGTCGGTGCCACCCGCAAATCTCCCACCAGCCATAGCGCTTGTGGGTTCTATCAGGCCTCTCACAAGTTGCTTGTAGTTGTTGAACTGTTGATGGGCGATATCCCAGATCGTTCAATCTTCCGTCAACCTGCTCTTGAGAAAGCCTTACACCCATATCTTTTGCTTGCACAGGCTGTCGGTGTTGGTGACTTGGACGGCTTTTTGAACACTGTCAATACACACAGCCCTACTTTCCGGAAGGATGGTACTTACACCTTGATCCTCCGTTTGCGACAGAATGTGATCAAGACTGGTATCCGTATGATGTCTTTGTCGTATTCTCGTATCTCTTTGCGCGACATCTGTCTTCGCTTGGGACTCGATAGTGAAGAGTCGGCTGAATACATTGTGGCCAAGGCAATTCGTGATGGTGTCATCGAAGCAACTTTGGATCATGAGCATGGCTTCATGAAGAGCAAAGAAGTTGGCGATATCTACGCCACCCGGGAGCCCGGCGAGGCATTCCATGAACGTATCCGTGCCTGTCTAGCCCTCCATGACGAGAGTGTCAAGGTATGTCCCCCTTTACCCCTTCGCACCTGAGGAGCGTTCTAGCACCTCGGAATATAAACTAATCGCTTTTGACTTGCAGGCAATGCGTTTCCCTATGAACCAACACCGCTTAGAGCTTAAGAGTGCTCAAGAGGCGCGGGAGCGAGAGCGAGAGCTGGCCAAGGAGATTCAGGAAGGGGACATGGATGATGAAGAAGCCGGTGGTGACTTTGATGCCATATAAGCGGGGTTCCCATATTCATGGTATTCCTTCCAATTGGTTACAATCGGTCCCTTGTGTATTGGTCTCTACGCCATAATGGCCTCCTTCAACCTATGTGTTAATTCAGTGCGAACTCGCTTTCTTTTTCACCATTTGTATTGTGTCCCTTGTCTTCGTCTTAGTAAATGTGAACAGAGCCGAATGTCTAAACCAAGATGATTGGCTCGATTTTTTGAGCCTCTTTAGGGATTGTTTACTTGCATGGGACTCTTCTCTTTGGACAACATCTCCACCTTTAGAATGATATAGACCCGTGTATTATCTTTGTTTCAACTGTTTCAACGTAATGCATCGAGCCTTTTAATGTGATTTTCTCCTCATACAGCCTGTTTTGTAGCTCTCTAGTACAGAGCCTATTTGGACAGTTGCACCTACAGCGGCGGAGCCTGGGCTGGTCCGTGCCATCCCGAGCTCGAAATCTTCCCGCAAGATTATTTCCTGCGGGTTCCGTACACTGCCCGATCCTATATCATCAGCTTTAACATTCGAACCCCCCGCAAATCAATGCCCATGCCTGATCAAGTTCCCAAATAATTAAAACGGACAATTCATAAGAGCCCTGCTTGAGTATGCGAGCTCGTACCACTTCGGCCATTGGGCTAATCCTCACGCGACCGTCTTCGACCTCCGTGTGCTCACAATGTCTTCGTGAAGACCTCCCCTCAACGCATATCCTCATTCAATCCCGAAAATACCATCCAACTTGCCGCAAGGATGGTCCACCATTTAGTGCGGCCCTGTCGGCCGCACAAGCTATCTTAAAGGGTATGCCGAAGGCTCCCTCCGGCATCTCTGTTGACCCGTTGCGCATGGTGGGCAAGGAATTGAAGTTTCTCAGCAAAAATATCCGCCAATTATTGGGCTCAGGCCATCCGGCCTTGGATAATGTGGCTAAATACTATACCCGCAGCGAGGGCAAACACATGCGTCCGATGCTGGTTCTGCTCATGTCCCAGGCGACGGCCTTGGACCCCCGGAAGCAAGCCCATACCGCGAGACCGAACCCTGTCGATAATCCTCTCAGTTCCCCATCCATCCTCGATGACTCTAATCCGGATATCAACCCCTTGGTATCCCGGAATGCGGAAGCTAAGTACGACATAATCGGTGACGACAATATCCTTCCTTCGCAACGCCGTCTAGCTGAAATCACCGAGCTAATCCATACCGCCTCCCTCCTCCACGACGACGTTATTGATAATGCGGTGACCCGCCGTGCCAATAGCTCAGCCAACTTGGCATTCGGAAACAAAATGGCTGTACTAGCAGGTGATTTTCTGCTCGGTCGTGCCTCGGTGGCTTTGGCCCGGCTGCGCGACCCGGAGGTTACCGAGCTGATGGCTACTGTGATTGCCAATCTGGTAGAGGGCGAATTCATGCAGCTGAAGAATACGGCTGATGACGAGTCTAACCCACGATACACGGACGAGACCTTGAACTACTATCTGCAAAAGACCTACCTCAAGACCGCCAGTCTGATCAGCAAATCGTGTCGTTCTGCTGCTGTCCTTGGTCGTAGTGCGCCCGAGGTCATCGAGGCTTCTTACGCCTATGGCCGCAACCTGGGCCTAGCTTTCCAGCTTGTGGACGATATGTTGGATTATACTGTTACCGAGGCCGAGCTAGGAAAACCTGCTGGAGCAGATTTGGAGTTGGGTTTGGCTACTGCCCCACTACTCTTTGCTTGGAAGAGCAACCCGGAACTTGGAGCTTTAGTTGGCCGTAAATTTCGCGAAGAAGGCGATGTACAAAAGGTAAGCCCGGCTTCTTTACGATGAAGATCATCACATCAATATTATTGGTGCTTGTGTGTTAACAATAGTCCTGCAGGCCCGCGAGATTGTCTATCATAGCGATGGCGTGGAACAAACTCGTCGACTAGCCCAGGAATACGCGGATAAGGCAGTTGATGCAATCAGTGACTTTCCTGAGAGTGAGGCTAAGACCGGCTTGATCGATATGTGCGACAAGACCATGCGGCGACGGAAATAAGCAGAAGGCCGGCAAAGCCTCCTTCTTTCCTCTTTGTAAACATATGTGTTCTTTGATTGCTTCTGGTTCTCTTTTCTTTCAGTGTGTTGTTCAGGCATTCTTTTGCAAATTACATGTATACTTAGATATCGTACCTAGATTGTTGGATTTCTTAAGCACCAACTTGATGTGGGCCTGGTTTTTGGATTCGGATGTGCATGATATTATTATATGTAGAGTTGATCTCTAGAAAAAAAATTGAATATAATAGATTGACTGTATAGAGACACCTTGTTTTCCCTATTCATTATCCTTCCATACGATACTTGAGTTTCTGCAGGGGCGCCGTTCCTGACAGCTGGTCGGATCCTGCGGGGCAGCCACCTTTGATTTGGTAACCCGCACCTCCGTCATCACATGGAAGCTACCCTACTACCACTCCACTTCTTATCTACTGTGTTCATCTTGAACTTCACGCATCCCCGTCCCATTTGACTGTCGTTTGTCCACCCAGACGTGGGGCTTGGTTTAACATTTCACCTCAGAGCGGGTCTCTTGACGGTATCAATAACAGCTCTTTCTCTTCGACTTTCTCTATCTTCCCCGTCGAATTATGGAGATCTCGGCCCGTCCGCTTTGATCGACCTGGTTCCCGATGGGTTCGTTCGGCATCTTTCTCATCTTCTATGTGCTCGGGGGAATTACCTTCATTCCCCTGGTCATTTCACTGGCTCTGCTTTACGCCTACCTAACCTTTCCCGATGCCCCTCCCTCAAACCACGACTGTGCTGCAACCTCCGATTCCGCTCAGCAGCTTGCCGATGATGATTATTACCTGAAGTCGAGAACGGATCAGCTGGCAGAGGAGTTTCACCGCACGCATGACTCTGATGTTGCCGCGGGTTATTTTGCGGTTTGTCGGGAATATGTGCCTGGTGGTGTCAATGGCAAACCGCCGGAAAGAACGACCCCGGCTGGAGAGGTTGTTGCGGCCGAAAGCCCCAGTGTCTATCAAGCCATGTACCGTAGTCTGTTCGACCGGAAGCAGGCACCTAGCATTGAACCGGCAAAGCTGAACGGAAAGAGCACTAAGCGGGCACGTAATGTGTTTTATATTGTTCTTCGGTGGGTGTTCCTATACGACTAATGAATTACCCACGCTAAGTTTTTTTACCCTGATTAGACATGGCCACTTGATGCTGTACGACGATTCAAATCAGGTGGAAGTGCGTTATGTTATCTCACTGGCCCATCATGACGTATCGATATATGGCGGGGAAGGAGACATCCCAGAGGGTGAGCTGTGGATCAAAAGGAATGCCATATGTCTGTCACGGCGACTGGATTCGCTTGGTGACCTAGGCGGACCGACACCCCCATTCTACCTTTTTTCAGAAAACTTGTCCGAGAAAGAAGACTTCTATTTCGCTATGCTTCAGAACCAGTCCAAAATGAGGGACTCTGCAAGTCGTCCTCCTAAGAATCAGGACTTCGACGTGAGACACATAGTTACGCTGGTTCAGCGCCTTCACTCCTCTGAAGAGCAACTTCAAACTCGGTGGATTAATGCCTTCCTTGGAAGATTATTCCTCGCTCTCTATCGAACGCCTGAATTGGAGCAATTTGTACGGAGCAAAATCACAAAGAAAATCTCTCGTGTAAACAAGCCAAACTTTATCAGCAAGGTTGGCCTGCACAAAATCGACATGGGAGAAGGGGCCCCTTTCATCACAAACCCACGGTTGAAAGATCTGACCGCGGATGGTAACTGCTGTGTTGAGGCGGATCTCCAATACACAGGTAACTTCCGTGTCGAAATATCCGCGACCGTTCGCATTGATCTAGGGCCTCGATTTAAGGCCAGGGAAGTTGATATTTTGCTGGCGGTGGTACTCAAAAAGCTGGAAGGTCATCTTTTGGCTCGCTTCAAGCCTCCACCAAGTAATCGCTTCTGGATGTCCTTTGAAACAATGCCAAAGATTTCCATGGATATCCAGCCTATAGTCAGTTCCAAACAAGTCACGTTTGGTCCCATATTGCGTACAATCGAGAGCAAGATTCGCGAGGTGATTGCAGAGAGTATCGTGCTACCTTTTTGGGATGATGTCCCCTTCTTGGATACGATGGGTCAGACTTTTCGCGGGGGTATTTGGCAGCATGATGAACCGAGTGCTGGTGTTGAGGCAGAGATCCCAGATGAGTCCTATGAACCTCCAATGGTTCCCAAGGCCGCTTCTGCTCACCCGGTTGAGGTACTAAAATCTAAGGATGATCGAACCATGAGCATGCCCGTCCTTCCGGAAACTGGGTTGCCCAAGGTGAAGCCACGGCGTGCCCCAAAATTATCGTCATCAGACATACAGGCTAGCACTTCGACAGCTACATCTACTGGTATAGAGAGCCCCAATGCTGTGTCTTTGCCTCGTGCCATTCGATCACAAACATTTTCCCATGCGGCCGATCCCGTCGTGACCCCAGACAATGCAAACTTCAACAAGCCTGCATCGGATATGGATAGCCACGAGAAAACTAATGCGACCAGTGTAATGATTGAAATTTCGAATCGTTCACCACCAGCTTCCCCGCAAAGGATCCCGAGCAACTCGCCACCCACTGGGGGTCTAACGATACCGGAAGCTGCAGTTCACAGTCGAGAATCCTCAATTGCAGAATCCCTGGATGGAGAGAGCTTCACCAATGATCACGTTATTCAAAGCCCCTCATCCGCTAGATTCGAGACCAGCCACACCTCTAGCCTGCGAAGCTCTCGAGCTAGCTCTGTCACTTCGCTTTCGACTGACAAACCACGCCGACGTACTATGGAAACCCTGACGAAGTCCTTCACGAGCAGTCTAGATGACAAGGCTGGCAATATTACCATTGGATCAGCCACAGCAGCTGCAAAGAAATGGGGTTGGGGTGTTTTTGGCAAAAGCGAGTCGAACACAACCCAGGAAAAACCCCAGTCTTCTGTAGGCACTCCTGGTCAACCTATTGGACGCGGGCACCCCCACCCCCCACCAGGAGCCCCTTTACCCCATCCCGACAGATACGCTTTAAAGCGAAGCTCAAATCCGGGTAATTTTCCTAAGAGAAAGCCCATATCACCGGCATTGCATGAGCACGTTGGGGAGGGAAGTCCTCGCCCTGTATCTCCCCCAAACTTCCCTCGCAGGAAACCAATCCCTCCTGCCATGCGTATTGACCACACAGACGAGGTTCTTGTGGTCCAGGCACCTCAAGATTCTGCACCGAATAGTCCGGCCGTAGGAGAGCGGGATTTCGATGAAAGCTCCCAAGCCCCAAACCCGGCTTCAAGCGAGCCATTTTCTAATGCGGAATTGACCGTATCGGAATCCGAACGTGGACAGCATGACAGACAAGACGCTCTGCCCTTACATTCATTTCAACAAACAGACTCATCCGCAGTGGCAAGTCAGGATGCTGTGACTCCCCCTAGACCAGTTGAGCCTCCACCAGCATAAACGGTGATAGACAGTTGAATCTACCCAGGTGGTTGAGTGTGACTATTTGTACTCAAGTTTGTCTATTCAATTCATCCTTTTTCTTTGGGGAAGGGCGTTTTTATGGCTATTTTATTTCAGCTCTACGTTGCATCTGCAGCCCAGAGAATTTCTTGAGTCCGTGGGCTTATTTCTGGTGATTCCGGATCTTGATGTAGTATATAGAAGCTGTATTGTTTGGTTCTACGTTTGAATATAGCATGACTCTTATTTTTATGACAAAAAGTCTCATTATGTCATAAGACGCTAGACTTAGTTACAGTCACCTATTACAATAGCGTCTAGGTACTAAGTTACAGTTCTGGTGATGCCTGACATGGCCCGTGCGTTGTTGTACGGAGATGTCCTACGTCTGGCAAGGGATGGCTTATGTAGACAACGCCAAGACTGACAGGCGCCAGCTTTCCTCAACGTCATTGCGCTCCACGTGTGAGATCCCGCACTTATTATCTCTCGTTGCTTCTCAGACCTCCCACTGTCGGGCGCATCACATTTGGTATTCAGGTGTGCTCGGTACTTGGGTTTCGCTACGTCTCTCTCTTCCTCTTTCTGTTTCCCCTGAACCTGCATTGCCCTGTTCAAGATGAGTCGGTAAGCGGCACCAATCCCCGTTCTCGCGTCTCAACACTCTTCTCCCTGTCATTTGGTCACTAGACATTCAAAATTAATTCCAATTGCATAGGACGGAGGCCGATTTGGCCATAAACATCCGCAAGGCTACTAGCATTGGTATGTGCTCCCTCCCCTCACGAATCTTGTGTATGCTGGTGGACACCAGGAAAGGAGAAGGGGCCTCGTGCTAACAATGGATATTTACAACAGAGGAAACCGCCCCTAAACGTATGTACTGTTCTATCTGAACGCTCAAGCTTCTTTCATCCGATCGATCCCCCTTGTTCGACTTGGCTGATTTGTCCCCTCGGTGCGATAGGAAAACACGTGCGGAGTTGTATTGTCTACACATGGGATCATAAGTCTTCAGCAGCCTTTTGGGCGGGTATGAAAGTGTATGTGGATCTTTGGATATAAGAAGGACTGGAATACGAAGCATCTTGGGTGCACTTGGCTCACGTTTTCTCATGCTACAGCCAGCCCGTCCTCGCTGATGAGGTTCAGACGTTCAAGGCTCTCTTCACCATTCACAAGGTTCTTCAAGAAGGCCACCCCATTGTGGTACGAGAGGCTCAACAGCACTCCACTTGGATAGATAGTCTGATGCGAGGAGTTGGGGGCGATGGTATCAGAGGTATGAAATTCGATCCGAGCTTCCGCAGCTGGGCTCTATCTGGGAAAGATGGGGGTGACTTATGGATAAGGATAGAGATACTGACATAGTACAATAGGATATGCTCCACTGATCCGAGAATATGTCTACTTCCTCGAGTCTAAGTTGTCCTTCCACCGGAACCACCCCGAATTCAATGGTATGTCGGCCCCTTGGGGGTAGCGCGGTATAGCGGGCCGTTGTCTAATGATATCAGGATTGTTCGAGTACGAGGAGTATATCAGCTTGAAGACAATCAATGACCCGAATGAAGGGTTTGTATCAATCTGTATTGCGAGTCATGAAGAGAATACTAATTCACTCACAGTTATGAGACGATTTCCGACCTTATGGCTTTGCAGGACCAAATCGATGCTTTTCAGAAATTGATCTTTTCGCATTTTCAGTCTGGTACTAATAACGAGTGCCGTATCTCCGCGCTTGTGCCGCTCGTGCAAGAAAGTTATGGTATCTACAAATTCATCACCAGCATGCTGAGAGCCATGCACACAAGTACGTTGTTTATCCTTTGAGATACAAGGCTCAAGTATGCTCACAGTTTTATTGTTGCAGCAACCGGTGATGATGATGCCCTCGAACCACTTCGTGGCCGCTACGATGCTCAGCACTATCGTTTGGTTCGGTTCTACTATGAATGTTCCAATTTGCGATACCTGACCAGTTTAATTACTATTCCCAAATTACCGCAAGACCCGCCAAGTCTCCTAGGAGACGATGAAGAACGCCCAGCTCTGCCTCGCCGACCGGCCAGAGAGGTTGAAGCTCAGCCGTCGCCGCCTCCTAAGGTTACTGCCGCCGAGCCAGAGCCCATCAACGATTTCTGGACTACTGAGGCCAAACGCCAGCAAGAAGAGTATGAAGCTGAACAAGCACGTCTTCAGCAACAATGGGAGGAGCAGCAAAGGCAACAGATGCATGCTCAACAGAAAGCTCAACAGGACTTCGAGGAGCAGCAGCGTTTGCAGGCAGAACAGCAGCGACTCGCACATGAGCAGCTGCTTAAAGATCAATACTCAACGCATACCCAGGGTCGACTGGCAGAGCTGGAACAAGAAAACCTGAATGCTCGTGCTCAGTATGAGCGGGATCAACTGATGTTGCAGCAGTACGATCGCCGTGTTAAGGATTTGGAGGAGCAAATGAACCAATTAAACTCAAACCTTAACATGCAGAGTGCCTCAAAGGATGAGCAGATCCGCTCGTTACAGGAGCAGGTGAACACGTGGCGATCGAAGTATGAGGCCTTGGCCAAACTTTACTCGCAGTTGCGCCAGGAGCATTTGGACCTACTGCAAACGACTAAGAGTCTTAAACTCAAAGCAGCTTCAGCGCAAGAGGCTATTGACCGCCGCGAGAAGCTGGAGCGTGAGCTCAAGACCAAAAACCTTGAACTGGCTGATATGATACGTGAACGTGACCGAGCTATGCATGATCGGGATCGTCTCACTGGTACAAACAAAGATGAACTGGAGAAGATCAAGCGTGAGCTTCGGATGGCACTTGATCGTGCCGAAAATGCGGAGCGTTCCAAAGGCACAGAGATTTCTACCATGTTATCCAAATATAACCGTGAAATGGCCGATCTCGAAGAGGCTCTCAGAGTAAGTGACCTTGTCCCCGTAATATTGGATTGAATTTGATGACCAACGATATCAGCATAAAAATCGGGCTCTTGATGAGCTTTCCAATAACAAATCGGAGTGGGATGGAGACCATGCACTCACTTTGCGTGAGAAAGATGAAGAGATTGAGGTGTACAAATCTGGCATGGAACAGGCTCTCATGGAGTTGGAAGAGTTGAAGTTGGTAAGAAAAACCCTGGGAGTCGTCGAAAGAATTTTTTTTTAGTTAACCATATTCTTGCAGAATCAAGGTGACACCGACCACGCATTGGATAGCCAAATTGACACGGTGCTCCATGGTACCGTGGCCAAGATCAACGACATCATTGATTCTGTCCTACAAGCTGGTGTTCAACGTGTAGATGATTCACTGTATGAGCTTGACTCTTCTATGCAAGCCGGTAACCAGAACGCATCGCCTGCCTATGTCTTGTCTCAAATTGAGAAGGCTTCAGCTTCAGCCACCGAGTTCTCGACAGCCTTCAACAATTTTATCGCAGATGGCCCGAACAGCCCGCATGCTGAGATCATTCGCACGGTGTCCGTATTCTCGGGCTCTATTGCAGACACACTCAGCAATACAAAGGGTCTATCTCGCTTCGCCAATGACGACAAGAGCTCCGACCAACTGTTCAATGCGGCCCGTAAATCGGCCCAGGCTACTGTGCGGTTTTTCCGTGGCCTCCAATCCTTCCGTCTTGAAGGCATGGAGCCGTTACAAAAGACCGATGTTGTCATCAATAACAACTTGGAAGTGCAGCGAGACCTTCAGTCTCTTTCCAAGATGGTAGAGTCATTCACCCCCAAGAGTAGCAAAATCACCACCAACGGCGACTTGGGCGATTTGGTGGACCAGGAGCTAAACCGGGCTGCTGATGCGATTGAAGCAGCTGCCCAGCGCCTGGCTAAGCTCAAGAACAAACCTCGTGATGGGTTCTCGACATATGAGTTGCGAATTAATGACGCGATCTTGGCAGCCGCCATTGCTGTGACCAATGCAATTGCGGAGCTGATCAAGGCTGCGACTGAGACTCAGCAGGAAATTGTGCGGGAAGGCCGAGGTAGTTCATCTCGTACAGCTTTCTACAAGAAAAACAATCGCTGGACCGAAGGTTTGATCTCTGCTGCTAAGGCGGTTGCTGCTTCGACCAATACCTTGATTGAAACTGCCGACGGTGTAATTTCAGGCCGTAACTCACCTGAGCAGTTGATTGTTGCCTCCAACGATGTTGCTGCCAGTACCGCACAGCTGGTGGCTGCTAGTCGAGTTAAGGCTACCTTCATGAGTAAAACCCAAGATCGTCTCGAGACTGCCAGCAAAGCTGTTGGTGCTGCATGCCGTGCCCTGGTGCGCCAGGTTCAGGATATCATCAAGGAGAAGCACCGCGACGACCACGATGCTGAGGATTACACGACACTGAGCTCGCATGAGTTCAAGGTGCGCGAGATGGAGCAACAAGTAAGTCTTTTGGCGTTCCTCATATATTGTCTTTACTTGTCTGAGTTTTCGCTAATCATTTTATTAATTCAGGTCGAAATTCTTCAACTGGAGAACAATCTGGCTCGTGCACGCACTCGCCTGGGCGAAATGCGCAAGATTTCTTATCAAGAGGAATAACTTCCCATGGAATTGGGAGATTCATTCTTCTCTCCACCTTGACTGTGTATAATTTGACAATATCACAGCGGGCTTCTTTCCGTGTTTCATATTGTAAATCGAGTTGGCAAGTAGTCCTTGTGGCTAGTGATTAAGGAATACCACTACAGTTCTTTTGACCTAAACTCCTTCAAATTCGATATCAATTTTTCCATACCTAGTAATTATCTATTGGCTTCAATGATAACACCCCAAAGGGCCAGTCTCCGCGAGTCAACCAAGTAAGTCATAACGAACAGCGCTACTTACAAAGTATAAGGCAGAATATCTGAATTCTCCCCGCATCTCGGGATCAGTGGGCCCAGTCCCACTGATCCGCGTCTTGGCACGATGGGAGAACAAACAATAGAATCCCAAAATCGTGCATCAACGCGTCACATAGCTCGGAATAACTATGAAGTTGAGATTGTGCGTCAGAGTTTCCGGTCCGAAAGCCAAGACTTACATGCTATTATGCCAAAATATATAGAGCAAGCTACGGAGGATTGGTGTTTTGCCGTGTTGATGGTCCACTGAGGCCTATAGAGTCAGGAGAAATCACTGGCCAACAATACTAAGAGAATTCACTGAAAGAGCAAAGTCAAAGAGGCAATTTTGCTATGAGACCTTCAATAAATACATGTGGTAGGCAGGTCTTGCGAAAACCCCCATGGGGAGGAAAAACACAGACCCCGATTGGCTTGCTGCCAATCACCCTTCAAACACCCCATCATGCCACCAAACCCCAACTAGACGCCTCGACTTCTCATATGTCTGGGATAAAAAAGCATCGTTGGATCCTACCGAGTCCAACGCACATGCGAAAAACGAAAAAAATCACACCGGAAAACAGGCAAACAGCAAGGAAACAAAAACAGAGAGCAGCTGGGCGCAATGTCTTTCATCAAAATTGATAGACTCTCTCTCCTGGTTTTGTAAAGTGATTACTCGCGGATCGGTTGAGAAATATTCTGAGGTCACCCCACTTAACTAAACGGAACGATCAACCGCAGAAGCTGCAGGAAAACATTGATTCCATGAAGACCACTGGTCTGTGAGAAAGTCTTGAGGGGAAACTTCATTGATGGTATTTGCATGACTTTCCGCCCGTTCCTCAAGTAGTTGTTGCTCATAGATGGGAGTATAAATGGCGTCATGGACTTCATCCATATCACCATCAGGAGTGCCGTACATTTGCTCCAGAGTAAACTCGTCAAAAGTGCGCAAGTTGCCCCGATCATCGAAAAGCCATCGATAGGGATCAGGCACATATCCCCTGGTGTTAACAGCGACAAGGGAAGGACGTAAGTCGAGGGTTGCAGGCCACATAGACTCGGCCCTCTTGTTTGCATAGCCAGGAATTTGAGAGCAGAAGTTTAAGATGTCATCAACTGAAACTGCTTCATGTGGAAGATTAAATGTCGCCCGTGGAAGACATTTGCTCAGATTGAAATCACCGCAGGGGGTCTTCTGTAACTCCCAGCCGACATGCATAAGGTATAATTCAGGGCTAGGAAAATTGAAAAATTCCTTCGTCACTTGGATGTACAGTGAAAGGCTTGGGTCATCCAGCTCGAAGTGATCTCGTAAATGAGAGTAAGACTGCGCTAAAACAGCCCACTGAGGCTTGAAGGGATCCTGTAGCCAGATCAAGGAGATAAGCTGAGACTTTGTTTTTTGAGTCGTATCTCGGAAAACAGGAGCGAGGAATGCTTCGAGCATGTTAGTTTTCACCGTTCAACCAAGGTAACAGTGGTACTTACTTCGGCAAGCCATGAAACTGTTCAAAGTCCGCGTGCGAGTCGGAGGTGGATTGGCAGGGACTCCAATGGGACCCCACTCCCGTAAGAGGTGATCGATGTCCGATGGAAGAATCTGTGCCATTTGAGTGCGACCCTGAGGATCAAATGAAAGCATGCCCCTGGATATAATATAACGTGGACCGGTGGGGAAGGGAAGCGGAACTTGAAAATATTGAAGTGGAATACCAGCAAGAATTTCCTCGGCGAAGTCTTCAAAAGTAACCGTACGATGATCCCAAAGGGATAGTATACGGGTCGAACGCCAGAACTGAATGGTTGTAAGGTAGATGAAGACAAGGGCAACCTTCGCCGAGACTTCAAATGGGAACTCCGGCGGCATCCTTAATAAGTACTTGTGGGTCAAGGACTAGATTGGGCGGAAAAGAGGGCTCAGAAAGAGACAAAGGAGTGGGATTTGGTCAAACAGAGGTGCCCGAATCCAGGAGAACAAAGAAAGATGGGAGGCGATGATGCACGACGGAGAAAGGAGAAAGAATCACGGCGGCAATGGAAGGAAATGAAAGCAGGAAAGAAGCAAAGATGAACAAAGAAACTGAAACAGCATACTTGGGATTGGACGAGGGGAAGATAATGACGATGGACCAGGTTGTGGCGTTCTTTGTTAAAACATGTCCGAGTTGAGGAGGAGGGGAAGTTGAAGTGGCCGGATGCCTAAACGATGGAATCCGTTATTCATTCAACATTGAACGGACTCATATTTCACCGAAGTCAATGACATTAGGGGATGAATGAAGTGAATTCACTGGATGAAAAGGGGGCCTAGTTCAGGCGGCACTCGATATTGTTGTGCAGAGGGGAGCGGCACTCCCCTATTCCGTATAGGTTTGGGACCTTGGCAGTCTTACAACTGGTTCCAGCTGAAGATCCTTGTCTAAGACATGTAGTGCGCTCAGTTGATATTTTCAGTGTGCGATCAAGGCATCATAACCTGGGACTCGATGGGACTGAAGGGGACTTCGTAATTGAATTAAGGTAGAAGCGCTGCCACGTGGGTCCATCGATCCCGGCATGATAAAGCGGAGAATGAGAATATTACGATGTATCATAACGTCTAAAATGCAAGAACACCATCCTGTAGAAACTAGACTGTCTTGAGATTTTCCTGTGACATTCAATTGCATGGTATTATGAGTGTATTGCTACTTGAGACCACCTCCCCTCCACCTCATCTAGACACAAATAAAATGCCCGAAGACGGGATGGCAATGCACCTATGGGTACTTGCAGCACCTGTCTCCGTAAACGTGCTTGCATGTTGAGCTCTAGGGGTAAATTTTCATCACAATAGGTCAAAAAAGATAAAACTGGTGGTTTGATGAAAAGGATTCTGCCTTTCTTTATCGCCTTATGATGGATCTGGTTGCATGGTCCCATTCCATTCACTCGCCCAGATAAATGTCGGGCAGCGCCATTCCGTGCCTTTTTCTTTCTCGCCACTAGGTCCTAATGGCCGAGGGCAAATCCAAAAGGCTCGGCCACAGTTTATGCCTGGTTTCTTGGTGGTCATGCTGATGCAGGGCTCCTGGTGATTGTCACAACGAGGTACAGGCTTTCGAGTGAATAACTTCGCCCAGTCCTCCTTACTAACAATCGGGTCAATCACCCTGTCTGTCTCGGGGGCATTTGGTATTGAGTTTTTCGATGACATTGTTGTGTTTGTACCAGGGTTGGAAATTCCAGGGCCTCTGGGGTCAGTATCGGTGCTATCCATCGAACGATTTTTGGAAGATTGAAGTATGGACTCGGGCGGAGTCATAGTGGCAAAGGAAGCAGTGGTTACAGCTAACTCTGGCTTTATGTTACCATCGGATATTCTCGGCTTGAAAAAGCCGCTCAGGACTTTCTGGCCCGATGTAGAGGTAGCAGATGAAGTCACTGTAGACTTTGAGCGTTTGCTCAGGCTTGTTGATAGGGGTGCCGTTCTTTTGCCAGTCACGGGATTTGATGCTATGGTGTCTGTTGTTTTGAAAAGCTGAGAGCTGGTGTTATTCTGACCTTGCGCTCTCGGCAATATGTCAACGTTTCTAGGAGATGCTGTACTTTCCACGTTACTAGTACTTGCCGCGGGTTGCTTCCGAGCAAACATGTCTTTGATGCTTCGTCGTTTACCAACATCAAATTCAGGCAGTAAGCGGCCCGATGTTGGGAGAGTATATTGTGATGTATATTCTCTCTGTCTTTCACCATCTTTGAACATCCCCGGTGGGTTAACAATATCCCGGATATGGACGATGGCTCCATTAGAAAGCACCTGGTCGTTGAAAGCAGCATAGACGGGACAATGATCTGAGCCCTATACATAACAAAATTAGCCAAGATTCCTTCTCATTTGAGTAATCCAGCAAGCCCTACCATCAGCCCTTCTTGTATGTTTGAATCCACGAACCAGTCCTTCATATCAAGGCTGCATAGTACATAGTCAATTCTAGAGCCATAATTGCCAGGTCTGGTATTAAGCTTGGTGTCCCAGCATGTGTACATGCCACCGCGGTTTGGATGAAATGACCTGCAAATGTCATGAAGGACTGGTTGTTCTCTGCTACCGTCCCGCCCGCCGGGAACCACCCCATCTGCCAGTAAAGCATTGAACAATGTTCGAGGTGGACTTGACAAAAACTCTTCTTCAGTAGTAGTTCTTTTGCGTATTCCATCCAGTGCATGAGCAGAGTCAATAGGCGCCTTGGATATATTAATATCCCCAGTCACGAATACTCGCTTCCCCAATGACACAAGATTGCGCACACGAGCATCCAAGGCTTTGAGGAAATCCATGCGGAATGCGTCGCGGCTTTCGTCCCTATATGCAGGACAATATGTCCCAATCAAAACGAACCCTGGAAACTCCAGCACAACACACCGCCCTTCGGAGTCGAGGCTTGTGGCATCGATTCGTTCGCCAGCTGTGGCACTTCGATGATCTTGATCTTCGCTATCACTCTTCTCAGATGCCCCTTGGCATCTGGTTAGTTGGCTCGATGTAGGATAACCTCCAATTTGTTGCGTCTCTGGCATATCACGAAAGGCCACTGATGAATTAGGCGGACAAAGAACCCCTGTGATGCCTTCTTCGGCTCGTATTGGAGTACACGTGTCATTGCGGGTATAAATGACCACACCGGAATACCCTTTGATTGATTAACTTTATGTAGGCCCGAGAAAGAGACATGGCTGGGGTACCTTTTTTAAGCTTGGGTAAGCTGAAGTAACAGTCCCATCCTGGCACCAAGACCATGTCATCCTGCAGATCCTTGCGCTGGATTTTGGTTTCCTGAAGAACAACGATGTCGGAGCCCAGAATATTAAACATCGACTACTTTGTTTGATCAGCCAGTGAAATCGTCTCAGCCATTTTGTATCTATCATGCGTACTCACCTCGAAAGTGCGGGTCCCTCTCCATGGTTCATAAGAGAACGGGTTCCTTGTCACATTTAGCCACAGACCTAGGATATAATTCAGCAATTCTAACGCACCTGATTCCATTCACTGATATAAATGTTTTTAGCCTCAAACATTAATTCATCATATAAATATCCAGTCCAAGTCGAAGGGCTTACCATTCCAGGTAGTGATGCGAAACCCCATGATTGTCGGAGCATATGCGAGGTTACTCAGGTCAAATCATAACTGAAAGGCTTCAACCAAGTCAGGGTATCTGAGATCGCCCCAGCAATCAAGGTCAAGAGGAGGGAGTGAATCCAGCACAAACCACGCGCGACTTGCAGACTGCTAGCACTTTATGAATGTATATCACGTGATACATAAGAGTGACATCAGGTTATATAAGCGCACGGGAGATCACGGGATGTCGAACCACTCAAACGGTGTGGATTTCAACCTCATTCGATCTCCCACTCAGCACTCCTTTATTCCCTCTACGAGTCCTCTTCCCACAACAATTGCCATGTTCTCTCGCAACATTGCCCGTCTATCCCAGCGCGCTGCGCCAGTTCGCTCGGCCGCGCAGCGCCGCTTCAACAGCGCTGAGGCCAAGCCTTCTTGGATCGTTGATAATGAGTTCAATCGCGAACGGGCTGCTGTCAAGCACCACGCCGCCTCCACTAGCGGTATGAGCTCCTGGAAACAGTCTGCTAGCATCTTAAAGGCTTTCTAAAATGTCACATATTATTAAGAGTGAAGTTTACTAATTCAATGGCTCTGCAGATCTCTGGCGCAAGCTCTCCATCTTGTATGTCTTACTCGGGAAAGGCGAACCCGGCTCTCCAATGGATACTACGTGAACCACCGATTAACCAATTGAAATATAGCGCTGTTATTCCTTGCTTGATTGGTGGGGGTATCAACGCCTACAACCTCTGGTCTGAGCACTGGGAGCACTGGGAGCACATGGCCCCTCTTGAAGAGCGCACCGAGTACCCTTACCAGAACATCCGCGTGAAGAACTACCCTTGGGGAGACGGTGACAAGGTATGTCCACTAGCCCATGTCTTCCTCATTTGCACTCTAAGTTCATATCTAATTTTCCTCCACACAGACCATCTTGTAAGTTCATGCTCGTGGGAATGACCTCCCTGTGTCGAGAATACATCTGCTGGCTCACCCTCCTATCAAATTCCCAACCCCTAAACCCCTCCAAAATTCCTAGCTATCTGAAAAGTCAGCCTTTTACCCGAAATTGATCACTAATTATTCGCAGCTGGAACTCCGATGTCAACTATCACAACAAGGACAAGGCCACCTGAGCGCAATTTCGTTAAGCCGACAGAAACCCAGGGGCTTTTCAATCCAATCCCTTCAAGCATCCATGGTAGGAAATATTGGCCACTGGTTTACATGTATATCTACGGCAGTGGCGTTTCATGTCAAAATAACACGGGATGGATATAGGCTTGGTTCCGAGTGGTTGAATAACATGAAGCCCATTCCTGCAGTTTCCTTTTTCGATGTTAAATACTGCGATTAAATTCCAATTTGGGGGTGTTCATTTTCTGGACTTGCTAGACTGGGGATCTACCCCGTGCAGTAATAAAACAGCCTCGACCAATAAAATATCAAGGTCGCGCATGAGTTTCTTGTATGCACAGCACATAGTTGCCGAGGAATCACAAATGGATCACTAACTTTGACAGTTCAACAAAATTGGTAGTAATACATTGTCATAGTATGGAGATCATTACACATCAACGCCCTTCCGTCGCCTGAGATCTAAATACTTCGCCGCATAATCATTAGCCAGGACTGGATCACCGGTAAGATGCATGACAGTAGCTTTCTTGGCCATCATCTCTGTTTGGCCGATGATATCCTCAATCTCTTCGAAAGCACAATACGCAGAGTCGATATGACCGATTGCGCGATTCACATGCTCCTCCCTGGTCGGTGTGCTATCCTTCCCAATACGCACCCACAATGCACCCGCAATACCCATGTTGGCATCAACTAACAGCGAATATGCACGGGCAACCAGTGCTGCGTCCTCACTTTCCAGTATCTGGGGCATAATACTTTCCACTAGCTCGACTGTGGCCTCGAATTCTCGCAGGCTAAGAAGCACGGCAGCCAACGTACATATTGCTTCCCAGAGATCAGAGAGGATCTTTGAACGATGCGCGATGCTTGCGGCGCGCATAGCAAGAGAAAACGCACGTTGTGCGTGACCAGAGTTCTCGAGGATGCGGGATTTGTAGCAGAGAAGTTTTATTTGGGAGTGAACATCGAAGTTTTCTGGTTGTATGCAGTGTGCGGCTTGTTCGACCATTCGGAGAGCACGGCCATGGTCACCTTGTCGTATAGCGAATTCAATGCTGAGGAAAGCAAGAAGAAGGCGCAAATCAAAGTCAAGGAGTTGAATAGCCTGGAGCTGGGAAATGATGTGCTCTACTGCTACTTTGTCGTCGCTGTGGCTTGTCAGGTTGCTTGGTCGAACTCTTGAGCGCCCTAAATAGACTCACCGGCATATTTGGCGTTTGAGCTCGAGTAATCCAGAATAGTATGTCCAAGTGTTGCTGTACTTGACAGCTCGGAATCTTTCGGGCTCGATCTTGTTCATGCGTGCAAATGCTTCTTTGTAGTGGCCTTTTTGAGTTAACTAGATGAAAGGTGTTAGCTGCGAGTGCGTTGCAATAGAGAAAGGAAGTAGCATACGATCTGGCAGTTTCGGAACGTGATCTTGACGGAGTCATCGTATGGGTGTCCTTCGGTATAGCATTCGCGGAAGATTTCCGTGTTCAGCCATGCGAGGTGGGTAGCACCTAAATAGTGAGTTTTCTTCTGTTGACCAAGATTTCAAGTCTGTTGACCATACCTGTTCTAGCATATAAGGCACTTTGAAGCGCCATGTAGGCGCCTGTCGGGGTCGACAGGCTTTTTGTTACGTTGACGTGGGAAGCCCGAATAAATGATTCCACAATCGATCCGAGACTCTCTCCCTAATGATTGTCAGTTCATATATGCTGATTCCCTTTCCGAGAAGAAAGAATGTATGAAGCGAGAAGAAAGTTGGAGGGGGGAAAGAAACCAACCTGCTGCATCTCTAATTTGGCCTCACTCAACAGCGTAGTACTCATGAGTGACCACATATCGGTATCTTTCGACTTGGCCTTGAGAAATGACAGTCCTTCCTTCTCATTTCCTAACATGCCACTATTTCGCACCTCCCGCATCTGCTCAGGAAATGCTTTACCAAAATGATAGAGCCAGCTCATGCAGAAGTTAAGACAGTTCATATCATGTGACTCTCGAGCAATCGCAACGGCCTCTTGCACGGCAGAAATGGCTTCGTTGAAACATTCAAAGTCAGCCTGGATGATAGCTAAGTTCAAAAGTGCAAACTGATAGGCGCTTCGGTCAATATTGCTGTGCATGGTATAGTCAAAGTATCGATGAAGGTTGTCAAATGCCGATGTGTAGTCACCAGCTCGCCATGCATCAAGATACCTGAAAATGTGATTAGCTTTTCAGAGCATGTACGAAATATCATAGTATTAGTTGATACTCACCCCAGGTAGTACATTAGTACTGGGACAGATGTCTCCGATGTCATGATGCGTTTGAGCTGTGCCCGCATTTCATCTGGTACTCTTCCTCCCAGCCCTGTTTAGGTTAGTCAGGACACCGGATGGGTTACCAAGTCGACGAGAATTTTGAGCACACATACTTTGCAGTTCTCCAACCTGAAACTCCACCAAGCGCTCCGCATCCTTAACACCGACAACACCTTCATCCTCTTCATCATTTTCAATACTGCCATATACCACTTGAGAAAGGTTAGTGGTGCCGTGCAAGCTATGCGCCAGGAGATTGACATCGATTGGGTCCTGCCCTTCAGATGGATTTTTTCTCGCGTAAATATGATACGTAGGCAAGCGATACTTCACAAACGCCAACCATAAGCTGACCGAGTCATGAAATTGCAATCGTGTGTGTTCGAGATGAGATCTTCGTATAAACGCTCCTAGGGGCGAGCTACGTGACAGCTTGATTCCATCGGTTTCCAGAGAAAGTCCATTGTCTCGATCTTGGATCAATTGCTCACGCGGTTTGCTGAGCAGCATCGGCAGACGATTGGAAAAGAAGGACTCAAGCGCATCGAGAGAATCGAGAGACCATAGTTTTTTCAGTAGCAGATCCCAGAGATTTCGACCCACTATCGAAGAATCATGGCCTGAGAGTACTTCTTCTAGCTCGGAGATACTAGGCAAGTAATGTTTCTCCCATTGCTTATCGGCGGGATCTAGAGGGAATAGGCCCGCGGTCAGGAATGATAGCACTTGGATGGCGGATGAGTTAGGGACGAATCCATCGGTATAGACGGTTATCAGGCACAGAAGAGATATCCTCCATGGTGTCAAATAGCGCGTCATGATCGTAAATGGTCTATCATTCTCGAGGTTGTAGCAAAAAAACCGATCGCAGGCGCGCGTGTTGGGGATCGTGTTGGAGAATGATGCGTTGCTGATAAACACCGATAAGTGCCTCAGGCATCATTTGCAATGCCCCGCCAAAAAAAAAGAGTTCAGTGACGCATCGAGCTTCTCCGATTTTAATTCTCTCCATTGCATACGCCAATTGCTTCCTTCACCATGACAGAAGCCCTGACAAACACTGATCTACAAGGCGCACTGCCTCTTGTTGCTCGCGGCAAGGTTCGCGATCTTTACGAGGTTGACGATAAGACTTTACTTTTCGTTGCGACTGATCGCATCTCTGCCTACGATGTGATAATGGAGAATGTATGAATACTGCGCGATCGGTTTCAATCAGATGCCAATTATATTTTCCCCCTGACAATTTCTTTTTAGGGAATTCCTAACAAGGGTGTTCTTTTGACTCTTTGTACCAAGACCTGGTTCAAGATCCTCTCGGATGCTGTCCCCGGACTGCGCACACATTTCATTACCCTCGATCTCCCACCCACTATCCCAGATTCCCTTCGACCCGTGCTGCAGAACCGGGCAATGCAAGTTCGTAAGCTGCGGATTCTTCCTATTGAGGCAATCGTTCGTGGATACATCACTGGGTCTGCTTGGAAGGAGTACCAGAATTCCGGGACGGTGCACGGCATTTCAGTTCCTGCTGGTCTCAAAGAGAGCGAGGTTTTCCCCAACGGGCCAATTTATACCCCAAGCACAAAGGCCGAGCAGGGGGAGCATGATGAGAACATCCACCCAGACCAGGGTATGTTTGTCTCTTAAGCATCTAGTAGAACAGTTATATTTTGTTGAAAATGTGAAAGCTAACCCTAGCAACCAAAAACAGCTACCGCCATTCTTGGAGAGCCTTATGCGTCGAAAGTCGCCGAGCTGGCAGTGCAGCTGTACAAAGCTGCTCATGCCTATGCACTCGAGCGTGGCGTGATTATTGCCGATACCAAGTTCGAGTTTGGTGTTGATGAAGAGACAAACGAGGTTGTATTGGCTGATGAAGTTCTCACCCCGGATTCCTCTCGTTTCTGGCCTAAGGATTCTTATGCTATTGGAAAGGGGCAATCAAGTTTCGATAAGCAGTATCTTCGTGACTGGTTGGTCTCCCAGGGTCTGAAAGGGAAAGAGGGCGTCCGAATGACACCCGAGGTTGCGCAGCAAACCGCTGCCAAATATAAGGAGGCTTGGGAGATGATCACTGGCGGTAAGTAAGGTATTGGAGAAGAATGAATTCCGGCACCTGTAACCTTGAAAATTTAATATAAAATTATGGGGTATTTCCTCCGTGTATGCCTTCAATGTTCCGAAAGCAAAAACAACAAAATTCGTTGAACATTGATACAGAGGCCACGAGAGAAGAACGCGTAGAATCAACCTTGTCTCCAGCTGCCTTATGGTGTTAAATCTATTCGTTTGCATTTCTTTCTTCCTGGGGGTGTCCTCTTTCCTCAAATTTCCGTTTTGACACTTCTTCTAACGGCCTAGCATTGCCTCATTCTCTACTTCCAATAGTACTCTATGCTGCTGTGCTCGGATAAAACACATGGATTCGTGCACGTCCAGATCTGTACATGCCTCAGGTTATGGATACTGCGTGTTAGAGTAAACTAATACATGTTTAGGTTGTTCAAGAATAAATAATTATTTTACCAATCAGGAGCTCGTATCAAGACATCTGCGTCAAATTTTGTGATTTGCCGTAGCTCATCAACCTGGTACCAAGGTTCGTTCCAATGTTGATTTTTACATATGGGTCAACTGCCCAGGTGGTGTATACTTGAAAACCGCCCACCTGATCAAATGCCTGTACGCCTCTCTTTCCCTATGTATTTACATACTATATGTGCTCATTTCGTGGCTGAGTAGTCGCCAAGCTCTTGTTATAGGGCACGGCTGGCCTACTTCGAAGATCTGGGCCCCTTTTCTGGCTATGGAATATTTATTGAGAAAGCTAGGAAACTTATAGGCTACGGTATTTATGTGTTAAACCCTCTCTTTTGGTCCCCATGTGTGTGTGTGTGTGCCCTATGTTATAACGAATGATTTGAGAAAGATGCCAACCCTACACCCGACTTTAGCCGATGCCGGCCGAGTAAAAGAATGTCAAATCCATAATCGATGTAAGATTTTGCCTGCGATGGATGTACAGCCGGGAATTGTTCGGTGGGAACTCAAAATGACGAAGCTACCTAGGTGAAAGCTGGTTGGGTTCCGTGGGTATTGAGAGCTCCGATGACATTCATAGCGGGCCGCACCCCAGTTTGAATAGTCCACCGGAATTAGCACCAGAGTTGAATCGGAGGTTTCCAAAGGTCTGTGTCTAAGTGCCTTTAGATTAGCGTTTGTGTCTGAGTCAACATTGACAGGGGCTCTCCCGTTTATACATTGCAATTTAGTGGTAAACCCCAGGCATAGCCATGGTCAATCATCAACTTCCCTTACTCTGGGCGTGAGCGGTCCAGAAACTTCAGGTTTAGTATCGTTCAAATTAGAAAACCATGTTGAAAGTGACTTCGGAGGGGGGAGGTGGCCATTCTATCTTCTCTTTCTTTTGTTCTATGCAAACATCTGCCACTCCTTGTTCATATATCTTTCTGTTGTTTCTGTTCACCTATTCTCCAGGCTTTGCCACGAGTTTTGTATCAAGCATCCACTATAACACTCGGTCTTTGAATATATAGGTAGTTCGCCATGACTATACAGGCTGTAGTCTCCGAATTCGAGAACAAATATCCCCGTCGCGGGGATCGACTGCGTGAAGAGCCCTCAGCGAAGAATGCCCAGGGTCTATTCCCTCCTGATGCATGTATATTTGTGGGCAAGTAAGTAGAACCTTCTATCTAACCACTCTCTGGCGCGAATATATTGACATGCCACCGTAGTTTGTCCACGAAGGTTGGCGCCGACGATCTAGCTGAAGACCTCAAAAAGGTATTCACTGAATTTGGTTCCTGCCATGTGAAGATCAAGCAAGATAAGAAGAAGGGCCTTCCAGGTGCTTTCGTACAATTTGAGGTATATATTCTCTCTTGTTTGATATTTCCTCAAACTTGTTAACCTGTTTTCTCTCTTGTCTTTATTTAGAAGGTTGAGGACGCTACCGCAGCACTTGCCAATGACGAGCGTGTTGTACTGCATGATCGGTGGCTTCGAATCGAGAGAGCCAAAGGAAGGAGTAAGTATATTGACATTTTTTCTCATTCATGGCTGGTTTTGCCCAAAACTGACCGAGAGGCAGGAACCGCCTATCTTGGCCTTCGCTCAGGAGCTCCCATCACCTCGCATGAAGTTTTAGCTTCACTAGAAGGACGAGGGCATTTGGAGGCTTGCTGTATCGAGTTTTTACCCATTGGGCCTCAAGCGTGGACTTTAGTCGGTAGAGTCACATTTGCTTATGTCGATGATTGTAGGGACGCTATCAAGGTAAAGTGGCAAGCACATTCATCTTCAACAATAGGTCCTTGCTCACAATGTCGCAGCACTTTCAGAAAGAGGATACATACTACTTGAGTCTACTTGATATGGACGATAGCCCGATGCTGCCAGCTTCGAGACCACGCCTTCCCTTTCGTTCGAATGGGCACAACTCATTTCAGCCGGGGCGTAATCTTAACGGCTACCGTAATAATTACAACGGTAAACTACCTCGAAATGGAATTAGTCGAGGTCACCACCGGGCCTTAGAGATGCGGCCCCCTCGTCAGAATTTACAGCAGCAAGAAGGCGTTCTACAGCATCATTTACGGGGTAACTTTCCTGATCGGTCTATCTTGATGAGCAGCATGGGATACAACCAGGAGCCAACTCAATCAGCTTACCCTCCGATCTTTCTGCCATATTCAAACGAGGCATATGGCAACCCCCCATTTATATTTGATGGTCAGCCAAGATATGACCTTCCTCCTTTGCCTCCGTCTTCTGGGGGGGGACTTCGCTCCTGGAGGTTACGTTCCTTGGGGGCCTGGGGGGCCATTTATCATCAACAGTCAGCCCCCATATGATAACCATAGTTCAGCAGCTTATCATGACTTTTACGCAGCACAAAACGGCCCTTTCAATACGCCAGCCATCAATGTAAGTCAGCAGAGTGGTTATATCATGCCGCAATCCTACGATGGATCCCATTTACCAGAATCTGGACACCTCATACCACACTCCAACCCCAATGAAGCAGGCGCATCTCTTGCGGCTGTTGAGAAGCCAGAAGAATATTCTTCAGAAAGCATCGTAGAGACTCTTCTGGAAACCAATAGACAAGAAAAAGCTCCAAAGCTAATTCGTGTCTACGCATCTGATGAGGAGGATGGGGTAACAGGGGCTTCTACTCCTACACAGTGCGAGTCAGAGCAAGCCACTGTTCTATGGTTGTTCGATGGCCCAGTCAAAGAAACGGGAGAAAGAATCAAGAAAGAAGCAGCAGCTCAAGACAGAAGTAAGAGACAACTCACCAAACTCACTTACGATTCGTCACCTACATTAGATTCAGACAAGAGCCCCAGCGGACGATCCCAGCAGCACCGCTTTGACATAAGCCACAACGGTGCATTTATAATAGACTCGGACAGTATATCGACCCTAGGCTGTTCACGATCTCGTTCTTGCTCGCCACCTTCTCGTCCTGTGGACTATCTCGTTTCTTTGGATGCACCAAGTGAGAGCCAGCAAAAGATCTCATTGAAGGGTGGTAAAACGATAGAAGATATTGTGCGGCGCATGGACAAGGAACGAGAAGACAATTTAAGCGAAACTTTGCTTCTAGATGTTATCACATCGCTGGAGACAGAACAAAAGGAAAAAGATACGCAAATGGCAAAGAAGAAAGTGAATTTTTTGGTTGACTCTGGGTCTAGTCGCTCGCGGAGCTGTTCGCTAACGCGAACGTCTTCTTCCAAGTCTGTTTGAACGGGGAAGTGGGGGTTGGGGGTTAATGTTTTTATGCTATCTATCCTGCTATTGATGATATTTGACTGTTTTTCGTGCAAATTGAAATTCCATGGTTTGGTTTTATATGTGTCCAAAGCTTTTGTCTTGATACTCCGTTCTACTCCTCGGTCTAGTTTGTGTATTAATAGTTATTATGCTCCAGCTTAATTTAGTCAAATTGCGGCGATAAAGGGCCACGACTATATCCATTAGGCGCGTAGCGCTTCATTCTGATATCAATAAGAATATATCCGTAGAAAAGCCATGCATACAGAACATACTCTAAACCAGTTCAGCAAGAAATCAAATGTTTAAAAAATACATGTAGGGAAATGCAAATCCCAGAGGTCTAAACTAGAGTAGGCAATCGGCTATGTTACATAAATTATAGATGCTCTACACGAGAGGTTTGTGACAGGCTTGTAGTACAAAAATATAGGCAGATGACAGCCAACTTTGTAAGCAAACGAAACCGCTGATTGAACATCGTAAAAGACACCCTCATGGTAAAGGAAATTGGTGACCAGACGTAAAGTTGTATCTAGAACACAGAGTCAAAGTCGTAAGAAAGGTGAACCGGTGCTCACAATACCCGTAGTTCAGATTGCTTGCCTTGGAGCAATATAGATGAGCTGGGCGTCTGCCACAAGATCTTGGCTGCGAGTCATAATTGATACAGATGCCGCTTTTCGGGGATTCTGAAGACAGTGAAGCCTCGTGGTAGAGTGTTGCTTTGTTGGTCAAACGAACGGTTACTGATCGCCACCCATGGTCTTCTTCATGGCATCAATCCGTTCCATAGGGGATAGACCCGGTGCGAAATAAGGATCACTGTTCAAAGTCTCAAGATCAGTAGGCTTCGTGTAGCCCCAGACCCGCCAACCACTGCTAGTGCCGTTCCAACGGATCTCCTGAATGACAACATATTCTTCACAATTTTGTTCTTTGGTAGGGGCCTCGACTTCTGTTCCCCCAGGTGTCCTCTCGCGAGATGGTGTAATCTTGCTCATAGACTGCCGTGAAGTCACTCGCAACACGATCTGTCGGATGCCGGAGTTGGCAATTTCGGGTAGTGAGGTTGCGCGGTCTGACATAACACGGATACCGGTGAAGCAGGTACTCGGCCCGCGAATCCATTTGACGAGCTTCCAGGAGACCTTTTGGTTATGGGGGCGGCTTTCAATCTGCTTTAAGAGGGTTTTGGAAAGGCCATCTCCGCAAAGACGACGAAGCCCGGAAGAATCACCCCTGACAACACTGATGAGCATTCGTAACCAACTTAATAGAACGGAGGTCGTAGGCTTACCGTGCAAAAGCAGTGTACATGTCGTCATACAGAAGACGTGCGATTTTCCGTCGTTCCCTCAACAATAACGGAAAAGTGTTATCTTTCTTGCAATAGATAATCAGACTGCCAAAACATTAGCCACGGATCGACTTCCGACGAGCCAACAACTGAAATTTCAAGATTACCCGTATCCAAGTGGGATTGTATCACTTACCCCATTAAATTTTGGAATGAGGAACGTATCCAAGCCCATTCCACCTGCCAGCGTTCCCGTGGACTCTGGAAAACCGAAGGCAGATCTCTCCACAAGGGCCGTACGAAAGTTCCCGGTAGAAGCCCAATATCATTTGGTAACTGTCCATTAAGAGCTTCCCTTGAGCGAGCCTTCATCGAGGGCCCTGAGGAGTTCTTGGGCGAAAAGTTCATGTTTTTGTAGGCCCATTGTTGCGATGTCTGGGAAAAGGGCCGGGATTGGCGAGGTGGATGCGTAAATGTTTGTGCTATAACCGAGTTCAGGTACTTGTTGTTTGTGACTTTGCACCTAGGCAGGTAAATTGGGGAGGCCATGGCCAGTCGCAGCTTCAAGCGGTGGAATGCGTGTTGAAGTCTGCGAAAGAGAAATAAAACCCGAGGGTCACGTGCTGGCCTCCGCAGTCTCCGTACACAGATACTTGGAGACCTAATTACTACGCCTCCTCTCCCTTCACACTTAATGTCCTGCTCGGCTGAGATCTAGACCTCCGATTATTTCTGAGAAGATCTTGTTTGACGCAAAATTAAACCGCTTCACAATACACATCAGCACCTTCCTATTATTCCTGTTATTCAGCCGTTAAGGGGGACTCGACAAAGTTGACTACACCACCGCAGCTCGACCCACATTGATATCTGTTCTACCTTATTCTTTTTATACACTCATCATACAAGCTTGCGTGACGGCCGCATATGCCGTGGCCGTGTTGAAAAGACTGGCTCCCAGACGACATGGCTCTCCTCCGCCCTACTCTGTCCCTGACCAAACGCCTCGCGAGTCAAACTTGAACCTCATACGATCAACTGCCCTCCCAGAATTTCTTCGGACTCCGGCCTCATTCCCAGAGGATCGAATTGCCAAAGAAGTGACTTCCGCTCTGTCCTCCACGACCCCCCCCTCTCCGTCCTCAATGCCTCATACCCCGCTGGGCAGTGATGCTGGTCATTCTGCTACTTCACCGCTTCATCCGCGAGTCGCTGTTATTCTGGGGGTGGACCGTAGGTGGTATATTCCTCTGTTGGTTTGTCGAGCTTTAAGCACGCTTCCTGCGGCATGGTGGGGGCTGCGATGCGCTTTCACATTTTTGGCTGAGTTATTACACATTCGTCCGGGGATGGGACGGGAGGGCTGGGCGGCAGCAATTGTTGGTAGTGTAGGGCAGGAGTGGGATGTTGAGAGGAGGTTTCGTGTTACTGAAGTGGCCTTGGCCATTATGTGGGTATGAAGATTCTGTCCAAACTATATCTCGTCTCTTGGCCTTTGGAGGGGATGCTTTGTATGTACTAACCTATGTTCTTGTCAGTGCTGTGCATCCGCATATCTTTCTTATTTTTTCGCTGATTGTATGATGTCTCGATGGCAAGTCTATCTTTGGGTTTTTTATATTTAACTGTCTACTGATACTGATGACTTGGACAGGCTTCTGAATTACACCCCGCCAGCTGTTGTGATCCGTCTTTTGACAACAAATGGGTTAATTGCATACATCACCTCTTGGGTTCTTTATCTTTCCGGTGCATCGTCCGATCCTCGCCTTCTTCTACCAGCCTGGATTTCCATAACCACTGTAAGAACCTATCTGTTCCTGTTCATTGTTTTTACTGTTGAACGACACATACATACATATACTGACATAGAATGAAGTCTCTCACATTTGTTTACCATGCCACACAGAACCACGCAACTATCAAGCGCGAAACTGCTGCGTCCTTATTGGTTGTCTCTGCAGCTAGCTTCATCAGCATGTCCTCACTCTTACTGCAGTTGCATCTGACTCGCGAAAATGAGCCAGAGGTCCCCGTCTTTGTGATCACACGAAAGCTATGGGACTGGGCTGTTACAATATTCTTACGTATGCGAGTTGCAGATGACCGCATTGCTGGTGAACTGTAATTTGAGGCTCTTATCATTTGGCGTTCTTCCATCCTTGGCTGCCATGTTCCTTTTTTTTCACGCGCCGAGCGCTTTCATGTTGTACGGATGTAGGTTCCTACAGGCTCTTGGGCTCAGAAACAGGGCTGGGTATATATGATTCTGAGAATTGATATCAGCCCCACTCACGATACCATTTCGCTCCGTGGGTATTTTAAAATACATTCTGCATTGTACAATCTTTGGCTGGCGAACCCTTCAAACTTTCCCGTGGAAACAATATATCTAACTTTATGACTTGAACATCAGTCTCTACACTTCTGTGGATTTATCCAAGCTGGTGTCCGGGATAATCTAAGTATAAGTCTTGATAAAAAAAGATACTGATATAGTGAGTAATTCCTGTTGTCTGAACCTAAGACTTGGAAAGTTGATTGGAAAAGCAATAAAGGATAAAAACGGTAGGGACCGACGACAATTCGGTGGACCTCGTTGCTACTCCCTACTTCCGATTCCGTTTGACGTCGTTGGAGACGTCAAAAGACGTAGACAAACTCGTCGCCTATTTAACGCAAGGAATCCTTTGAACGTGTAAGAGGAAATTACAGCAAAGGGCACACATGAGTGACGGGATAGACCATAAGAAAGATGGAAAATACGCAAAACAAAAGATAAAAGACAAAAGATATGCTGCTTAAGCAGATATGGGTATCTCCAACGCCTCGTTCCATCATGATCCTGTCCTAGCAAAATGACACGCCAATCAAAAGACACATTCCCCTGTCGGTAGTCTCGAGGTTGATTGATGATGTTGGAGCGTCTGAAGCCGGCGAAGGCCCAAGTCTATTCTGGCAGGCAGAGGTGTGGGGAAAAGTATGCTATTTCGCCTTTTAAATAAAATCGGTAAGGCGTAAAGCTCACAAATGCGGGAAAGATAGACTGGGAAGGAAGGACCAGAACAAGGTATGGTGATAGGCTTAGAAACCGTGGACCTAAACACATTATTAGTCGATGAAACCATTTGAAAGAGTGTAAGGAAGGCATACTTTAACGGTAGCAACCTTGATACCGAGGCCGTATTTAGCCTTGTCCTTCTCGGTCATGCTTTCAGCCTCAGCTTTGGTAGGTGGGCGCTTAGTCAAGAAGTCGTGGACATCTTTGCGCTGGTCACCTTGCAACTGAATCACCTCACCCATTTCCTCATCTTTAACAATGTTGCCGTTGCAAGCTAGCTAACAGTCAGCGTTCGAGCGAAAATGGTTTCGAGACGAGGCGGGGATGAACGAACCGTAAAGACCCTTCATACGCTTCAGAATCTTCTTCTGGTCATACTTGGCTGGGAGACCCTGGACAGTGGTCAAGGTCTTGCGACCATTGCGTTCTGGGGAAGACATAGTAAGTATGTGTTGACAATTGAGAGGTGGGATTCCCAAGGATAGCATCGTTGAGAATGCTGATAGGAATATTCAAATCGAAATACATACGCTGGATACGAATATGGATGTAGTTTTCAGTCTTGGCGTTAGACCGGCCGGAGTCCTCTTCGACGTCGGCGAAGGGGTCTGTCAAAAATGGAATTAGCTTAGCCCAGAACGAAATCTCTACCCCGCCATGGCGCTTGGGAGCGAGCCTGGGATATCAAAATCCCATATAAGGTAGCCAGAAAGTCTCTCAAATAAAATGAAGAAAAACTCCATGTTGTATATTGTTCGATTTCCGGGTGCCGACTGAACGCGAAGGTGCGTTTGAACAGGCACCTGTGGTGGTATGGGGGGGATGGTGGCGACCCAACTTACCGAAGGTCTTGAGGTTTTCGATGGACATAAACTCGGCCTGTGATCAAAAATAGCCCTTAAAAGCGGTGTTGATAAAGAGAGTTGGGTATGAGAGTGAGTATCTCTCTGAAGCGGTTTGAGCGATCGGAAGGACGTGTAAGAGAGAGCAGAGTGGAGTGAGGTGGGTGAAGAATCAAAGTGCAGGGAGCGGCAAAGGTTTCTGTCTCAGTGTGGAGAAGGCGGTGTGGTGACTCAGCGATTGCCCCTCCACATGTGCCCAGGTGGTCTCAATCGCACGCGCATCTATGGATCAGGCAAACTGAAAAGTCGCCACCACTAAGCAAATACATATATGGATGGGTAAGATACAATGAAGACATGAAAAACTATGTTCCTGCAAGTATTGGGTACTTATATCGCAGGATACCAGGAGATATAGGCTTATATTCTCAATTAAGGAACCACGTATACATCACTATAAATTGGAATGGACAAATTCAATAGTATTATTCAAGGATCCAGATTTTAAAATATGGATGAATATTCAATTAACAACATACCGATACAGCAAATTAATCCAAATCTATCACAAGTCCACCAGGGTATTGGTACAGTAGAGGCTGACATCAATCACTTCCAAGATTCCGAGGCTAGGTTCTTAGATCGCTAATACTCCGTCAGAAGTAGATTTGAAACAGCGATTCATTTCCCTTGGCTTCGGCGAACTTGAGAAAGGGGGTGAGCTAATGGAAAGGGCTCGTGGAAAGTTCGCGGTAATCGAGGTCAGGCAGATGGCATAGCAGCGGCGGGCGCGGTCTTTCCCTGTGGAGGTAAAAACAGAGGGAAATATGTCTAAGTGGGATATTTGGTTTTATTAGACAAGCAATCTCATGAAGGAAAACTGTGGACACCTAGGGGAGCTCACCACAACGAGAGCCATCACTGGAGGAAAGATGGTTAGTATATCGAGACCTCGAGCCAAACCGCAGGTAATAGATTCAACATACAAGACATGAGGACCGACATGTAAGCTGGGGTTGCAGCCGTTTTCTTCTGTTCGGTGGACTCGCCGAGCCAACCCTGGAGCGAAAAGACAAAAGCCACCCTGCGGAGGAGTTAGAAGGGAAGTGTCCCTATTGAGCTTATCAAGGGAAATTCCTGCTCACCATCCGATCATCCTACGCCACAGTTCATCCTGTATTAGCAAAATACGTAGCATGGCTTTGGCCTGGGTGAAATTGTCTCACCTGTTCCGAGTGAACATCTGGGCAAATGTCAGTGCATTGCTCTGAAAGCCGAGTTCCATCAATCATCCACTTACCGCCGCCATAGGCATTGTGCTTGACATTGTGCCTATTATATTTCTCTCGCATTAGATGACATGATCTAACAAGCCAGTGTATGAGCCATGAGAGACGGGGTGCGAAACGTACTCGACATGTCGGCCTCATTCGCGCTCTTTGGCGGGTCAACATAGGGGATCACTAAAATTCGATGCTAGATTAGCTTGTGCTCCAAAGACAATAGAGAGTCTAGCGAGATTAACTGACCGAGATCCGCCCTCCTCATATCCTTGTTTGACGCCATGATGGATAGGGTTCAAGTTGATGGTGACTTGGGGGAAAAGCGTGGGAAAGCCTCGCAGTTCCCCAGTGCCAAGGCCAAGACCGCCAGGCTAGACCCGAACGGTGGAGAGCTGGCCATTGTTGAGAGACCGACTAAAAACCTCCATAGAGATATTTCCTTACTCGGTTATCTCATAATTTAAAATTCCAGACTTCTTGGTGTTATTAAGATTGATTCACTAATTAATTATTCTTTCGATTCCTATGATGTGTTTGCCGGGATTAAAACACGGTCGGATAGCCATAAAAAGACCTTCAAGTTGGTAGTATAGTTTAGGCTACAGATGAACTTTGGGGCACATATGCAGCTGCCCAGGTGTGTGGCTTTGTACTATGCGTACTTATAGATCTAGATAATCTTGCAAATTGATTCCCGCGTCTCACCAATAAGATGGGTTTATTGATGTCTGTAGTATGTATCTACATGGATATTTCTATTTCTCAGTATCTTTTCCAAGATTCAGGGCTATATTCGTGGCTGCTGCTCCATACTCGATCTATCTAGGTAAAAACGAGGCCATCGGTCCCTGTAATATTCAATCGTAGTTTCCAAAGTACCTAGTACATCGTATGATGCTCAACCTATGCAAAGCTTTTGTAGAACAAAGCGAAAGTGGGCCGATGCGGAATGTGGACACTTCGGAGCGATACATGCAAGGCGGCTGAAGGGGTAATCTCATACAGGCCGAAAGCAGGTTTGATAGGGATATTTCTTTTCTTCGTGTTAGGTATCACAAATCGTGGATACCACATATAACCCTGGTAGGAGAGAACAGTCAAGGAAATTCCAACTATCCCGAGTGAATTCAGTACTTAGTAGTACTCCGTACTTACCGTTGACTCTATACAGATGCTAGTGTACCACACCTCGGATGTACGGATAGTGATTATGTATCGCCGACTCATTCAGGCAGGGAGACGCGACAGGACTGGGTCCCACATGGCATAAGGAGAATGAAGAGCAAAAAACACCTGAATCCCATGAGCATGTAATTTTCCTGGAGAAGCTGTACGACATCCCTGTTTAATGTACTCTACTCGTGTGCCAGTGAACCTCAGGGCTCTTCGAGCACACAGAACAGAGTAGGTACCTAATAAGTATATAGGATTATGCCCAAGTAAGAATTCGCCATTCACTGGGCCGTTCAGAGATTAAGATCCCCACTTACAAGGACAAATGAAATTTATTTTATCGGAGTATATGTTTTATACGGAGTATCAGCAGTGTATTTACTAGAGACACGGAATAGATTGTATGTCACATCCTCAATCTGGAGTAGAAGACGGAAGGGGGAGGGGGGAAAGGGCGAGAAAAGCAAACAAGATACTAGTTCTTCTTTGCACTCCTTTACTTCTATTCTTCTCTCCCCACCCCTCCCGGTTCAGAACAGAGAAAGTGAATGGGTTGCAAATATCACACCATATCCCCCCCCCCCCCTCCCCATTCTTGTGGAGAGTGTTAGAACCGTCGATCCCAAATAGGTGGATCCCCGTCTACGGAGGAGCACGGAGCTGATTTGGCCGGTGACTTACGTTATCGCTTCCCTTCCTCATCAACACCCCGATACCGATAACCTTGATCTCTCCTTATATCAAGCCAACATCTCATTTATCTTCATCGCATTGAACTCCTTTATATTCGATCCTTCCTCTACTACTGTTTGAACTTACAACCATCTTCCGCCCAACACCATCTGGAGTCAACTTTCCTCACGAATCCATTACGCCGTTCGCCCGATCAATCCGCTCGCTCGTCAACCCACATCGATTTCTGGTGATGGGGCCAGATTCACGGTCGTTTTGCTTAATCCGCTCGAATACCCCGGCGCAGAACAAGGATTGTTAATCTTTAGGCTCTCGTCTCATTCCCGTTTGCATGATTCCAATGTACCATCACTCGAATAACACATCATGAGCCTAAAATGATACCGCATTCTTCTGCTGGTGGCCAATCGTGGGGTCACCCAATGCGAACACTCAATGGTGGCCCTGGGAGGATTGATGTAACACAAGTGTCGGCTCAATATGACCCGCCGTCCGTGAGCGCGTTACCGCCCTCGACCATCTCGCATTCTCAGCCGCAATCCCAAACACAGACGCGCCAACCAGCAGTGGTTGACCTGACTGGTAGCGGATATGAATCGCATGATAAAGAACCACCGCAGAAAAGGCTTAGACTAGATGTATCCAATGGTCTCAAGGCCGGCGATGCGGGTGTACCCGCGAACGGTGCGGATATGAGAAACACTCCTGGTAGCGCCAGTTCACGACCTCAACTCTCATGGCGCGGCCGGCCCATGTGGTCATTTCAAGCCGTTGTCTCAGAAATTCCGGGAAATGATTCACGGGGCGACAATATAACAAGCTCTCGACCACCCTCGCCACCCCCTTTCCCCGCCCCGCCCTGGAGCAATATCCCGTCTCATCAATTGGGAGACACCGGGTCAACCTCCAGGGGAACATCTCCGGAGAAGAAAGTTCAAACAACGCCTTATCAGATCGAAACACCTTCTGTAGCCCCAGTGCTTACGAGAGATAGTAAGTTCATCTACTCCAAAAAAAACACATGGCCATATCGCTGATGATGGGGTTTAGATGTCGCTGATTTCACTCCATGGACTGGGAACCACCCGGAGGATATACTGAATGAACAAACGGCTAAGCAAGGCTATTATGATCGGACTCAGGTTTCTCAAAATGAATCAAACACTGCCCGCCCTGCGTTATACGGGCAGTTGAAACATCGAACAGGTCTGCAAATGCTCTCCGCCGTGTTTTCCACTGCCCTAGAAAAACGCCAAAATCATAACACTGTCCATGCTCCGTCCACGTTCAAGCCCCCTCCAAGAGTTACACTGACTGACAACAAACGGGAGGCCTGGCTCCGAGATCTTGCCAACTCACATGTACCACTACGTCGGTTAAGTCGAACCATCCCCCACGGCATTCGAGGCAAGGTGCTTCTGGACCAGTGTTTGGGGAAGTCAATCCCGGTTGGAAGAGCAATCTGGCTTGCAAAATGCGTAGGTGCTAATGAAATTCGTGCCTTCAAAAGGAAAGGAACAAGTGGTGCTTTAGCCGTGGGCTTGGAAGCGAAATGGGTGCGTGATTGGACGACTAGTGTACAACAGTTTCTTGAGAGTGTTACCAGCGCACCTAAGTCACCCGGTTGGAATACAAAGATGATATATGGGATTGGGTTGACTGCTCGCTTGTTTTTCGAAAATCTTCTTGATCACGATCATTTTCTTGAATGGTTTCTACTTTCCTTCGAATCCGCATCGCTCGCAACTGTCCCTATTTGGCTTTTGATGCTTGGTATCTACTGGCACAACGTGATGCGTTATCGACGCAGAGGACGACGACTGGCTGAAATATTACTCGAAAAGCTTCGCCAGGCTACTGAAGCCAAATTAGACACCCTTAAACCGCTCGTCGACAGGTTGTCTCGTTTTGTGAAAAAGCTGGCCCATGAAAACGCTTCATCATTGGTTTTACCCAACTCATGGGGCATGTATAAAAACCGGATCACCTCATGTCTTGACCTGTCTCGCACTCCGGACCGAGCGTTGTTACAAAACCTCACCGAGCGTAATGCACGAGTAGAAAGACCTCAGCACCATAAGCAGCCAATACAACGCTCCGCTCACCAACACATTATTCGTCTTCTTGACTCTGTTCACTCTGCATTGGATGTTACCTCAATATCTGCGGCCTGTTTGGATGCGATTGACGATAAAGCCATTTTGGTTTCCAAATTGCTTGAATGGATTGCTACTCCATTTCGCCACGGAATCTCTCGAGTATACGTCGGTTCTCGCCTTTTGCGGAAGTGGAAAGCAGCAGGTGTTGATATAGATGGTCACGTACTGACTTTTTTGTCTCACGTGGCCCGCTACAAGAATCTAGACGTCAAGAATGTCTATCATACCATTTCTGAACTTGTCAGGTCACAGACATTTTCGGTTGGCAGGTATCTTCAATGGCTGATGGCCAAAGGTATCACCGATTGTTCTCACATCGAATCTTTACCAACACACCAATTACCTAGTGACGTTGTGTTGATAGCACAGCTTCCTCTCGGTCGCCTCCCTGAACATGTCAAAAACCTCCGTAACACCTTGCTATCTCGTACTGGGGCTTCCGTTGCGGATGAAGCAAACATAATTTCCAGCGTCAAGGATTTGATCACACGATGCCTACCAAGCATCTACAAAGTGGACGCTCCTGTTCAAATCTCACTCATTTCGTTGCCGATGGACCTAAGTTGGACCGTGAAGGCGGAATTGAGCCAGTGGTTACGATTAGGCATAACCGAACATACCCGCAGTGTCTCAAATTCGACTACTCAAGTTTCATTCCCTGGAGACCTCGCCTCCCCGGTCTCGATGCTCACACCCGATGAATTTTATAATGTCCGTGACATTTTAGAAAAGTTTGGTGACATCTCCATATTGGCGGATGTGTTAAAGGTTGCTTCAAGCTCTGACAATGCCACTGTCCTTGCATCAGTTGCTGATACCACAAATTGTCATTTCGATTCATTATCTGTGATCGGAGCGACGTCGCATTTGTTTCGTAAACTGGTGGATGCGTATGCTAGTATAAAACGATCCTGCGCGCCGAGTCTTGATCTCATCTTTTCATTGATTGAACTTGGATTGCGTCTCCCCACTGAACTTCATACAGTTGCGATACTGCGGCAAGATCTCTCTCGAATGGAGAACAAGGCCGTTTTAGCTGCATCGTCTCCGGTTTCTGATCACATTCCTGATTCCCTCGGTGATGCAGATCCTCTTTTCCGGGAGAAGTTAGATCATTTTCTATTCTCTGGTAATGTCATGGACGAACCGACACTGGATGCGATCTTCGGCACATTAACAAAAAACTTGGAATCCGAGACGAACAAGACGAAGCTCTCAGCTAGTGATACCTGTCGATCCTTATCTCAGCTACGATCATTCCAACCAAAACACTTTGATGGAAAACTAGCACGCTGGATCTGTGATCATCTACGCTCTCATGACCGTTCAATTCTGCTCCGTGCTATACCCTTTCTCATTGGCGTCGGGTGCGTCACAATCCGATCATTCTTGTCTCTTCTCAAGAGGATTAATCACTCCACGTCTGCAAGCACTGAAACCACAAACTTACCGGCGGATTTTGTTCAGCTTCTTGTCTGCAGTGAACAAAATAGTTGCCTCGACCTGGTCTCCTACAGATTTAATTTGGCACGATCAGAGTTCCTAGTCAAAAATTGTGATAACGTTCTCGACGTAGTCTGTGATGCCGCCACGTTTCTTCGTACGTGCGATGGATTCCAACATGAGGACCTTGACGCAACTCTTGTGCGGCTCTTACGAGAAGTTCTTGTGCGAAACCCCAATTTCCTTGAACAACATTGCATGAAAAGTCTGGTGAACGAATACCCCGCCGCAATCGGTGCGCTTCGAAAGGCGCTTGACAGTTTATTGGGGGTTGAATCGCAGAAAGAGCAGCGAAACGTCATCTTCGAAGTTGAAAATCTTGCAAGTACAACAGACGACTTTTCCCTCCCATTTTGTCAATTAAAACTTCAAATCCTCTTCCATGAAGATTCAAGAGATGAAGACCGTAACTGCATTGCAGATGCAATGTTCAAAACCGCGGTCTCTAGTTCAGGCGCCTTGAAATCCCACTGGATCGACCTCGTTGCATTGATGAATCCGGATGATGTTCGGCAAATTCGTGAACGTGCCGAAAAAGAGTTCTTCTCTATACCGGTCATGGAAGACGAATCAGAGAATGATCATCCTTCGGCGGCATCAGCGGCAAAAATGTACCTTACAATCATTGAGGAGCTTGCCAGCAGCATTCCTGATGTAGGGACTCCCTCCCTTGCACCTGTACTTGTGGAGAAATTGGATGCGCTTTTGCACAAAGTTGTCGCTTTGCAAAACAGCTTTAAATCCACAAAGAATCTTCGAAATGCATCTGTTGGTAGTCAGGAACGACCGAATGTGGAACGATCTCTTGCATTTTGGTTCTCGACTCTTCTTCGTATGGTGGTTATACATCGCGCCTCGTTCATGCACCCACCTGGTGTAAAGCAATCCCGGCTTTTAATCATCATATTTTGTATTGCACTCTCTCGACTTCCCAGCGACATTCTTGGCTCTGACGACTTCCTGCGCCCGGTATCTTCAAACAGTCATACCTCCCAGCCAGGCATTATGTTGCAGACCTATGCTCTCGATGTCGCCGCATCACTCATTGATGGGTTCCCGGATGAAGTGCGTCACCAGTGTTCTCGATTTCTGAGAGAAAAATGCCCACCGTTCGCTATTTTGCAGAATGATCCCCGATTTGTCTACCTCCTGGGCCCAGTTGGAGACCTTACAACGACCAACCTTCTGCAGTCAACATCTGCTCCATCCCCAGTGGCATCGGGCGCCACCCCTGGCTCAACTGCTAACGTGAATGCTCCTTCTCACCTCTCACAACACCCTGCGACACCATCTGGAACGCCTTCTGGCATGGCTGAAACTGCCAACTTCACGAGTAATCGATTTCGCCTACAGAACCGGGGTCGGACTATTGGGACATATCCAATACGTCCTTGGGAGCTTCTCGAGGATGCGGCTCCTTTTGTAAGCGCGAATGACACTGCAGTAAACTTGAGCTATTTCAACGCTCGACGAGTTCGAGTTTGAGTTGAACTTACTCAAGGAACTTTCGGCTCGGCCATTAAGTTTGCAAACTTTTATGTGCATCAATCTCGTTGGCGCAATAGGATATCGTTCCCGTCATGATCAGCGAGGAAACCAAAATTTCTACCCGACTAACCACATTTCCAACATTCGCATTGAAGTAATTTGTTGTTGAAATACTTGAAAGATGCAGCTTCATCTTTGTTCATAATCCCTCGATGGGGTTTGATGGCGTGCTAAAACTCGCATATTGACGATCTATGCCCTCTTCAGGGTCGTTTTTCTTTGTATATATTAAATTTTGTCCATTCATACCAAGGCGTTGACTGGGATAAGGCAGCATCAGCTCGGGATACCAATTGCATTTTTCTGAGGTTCAAAATTCGAATTTCGCAAAACTAATAGCGTTTGAGTATGACGGTTTATCTCCAGGGTTGAGAATAACCTGCCTTGTCAGATAACTATAGTATGTAGGTAAATCTTAGGGAAACACTACTACTGGCGAGCCTTCTCAAAATGCGTAGGGCCCAAAGGCTGCGACTGACACAATGCTTTTTACAGAGGGAACCCTGTACGAGTGTTTTAATTAGATTGAGCATAAGGGAAGAGAATATAAAAATATTTTCTGCTGCACAAAAACGCGGACTAAGAATCGGTCGAATGTATATATACAAGGAAACGCAAAGAGAAAATTAGCACCTGTATGATACCGATGTAGAATCGGATTTGAACACAGTAGAAGGGTATGCCCACGCTATGGAACAGCAAAAAGAGAAGCCCAGTGACCGAGAATAACGAGATCAGCATCATAAGAGCTTCCCATTCAAAACGGAAATCACCAAGCGTGCAACATTTTAACCCATCAGTATTCGGCATTTAGTCATCGTCGAAAATCTGGAAGGTGTTGTTGAGAATTGTCTCGATGACACGTACTTGCCAGCCAGCATCGGCGATATTTCCGCCAGAGTTGGCTCCCATTAGAGTTGGACTAGTCATTTTAGGTTAGCAAGAGCTAGTGGAAATTTTTGGCTTCTTGATTGTAGCTTACCCAAAGCAGATTGCCAAATTACCAGCGTTCATGCGGTTTTGCGAAGAATGTTCTTGAACCTTGTTCAAGTGCTGTGGAAGATGTGAGCGTGGCCCTCTATACGAAATAATCACGCTGTGGGAGGTCATACCAGGATAATAGCACGGAGGGTAGCGTAATGGGCATCCGGCAGGCTATTAATCAGAGCGTGTAGAGAATCTCGGCGTTGAGTATCATCATCAATGCCTGGATAATTTGCATTAGTATGAATAAATCGAGTTGGCTTGAGGGATAGGCATTTCCCTCTGGCGGGGATGGGAGACTTACGAGCAGCCTCAACGAACTGAGTGTAATACTGGGAAGTGAATATTGGATCAGGAAGATCGCGGAAGAACTGTTTCACAAGTCCAGCAACGCTATTTACGTCATGGAAGAAGTTTTCCGGATTTGTGAGGTCGACTTGCGACGAATCTAGCCAGTCATCAGTAAGAGAGTGACCTCGTATCAAGTAGGTCGATTCCAGATGATTTCTTACCATTATCGAATAATGCCTTCAGGTGGCTGATATGGTTGGCACTTCCTGAGAGTCGGTATATCCCTTCCAGATCGAGGCCGAAGAGTTCAATAGCCTGGAAGCATTGATAGACAAGCAATGGTACCGCGGTACCATCCCTAACGTATAGGTCATCGAGGGTCACACCAAAGACCGGCTTCAAAGGTGGAAGGTTAGACTGAATATTTTTGTCTAGAGGAGGAGGGTGCATCATGGGGGCAGTCCCCACAGACGAAGGGTCGTGAGAGGTAGGTGCCGAGGGATATGGAGGCTGAGCCTGTGAAGGAGCGGGAGATTCTCCTTGTGTTGGATAAGGTGGCTGTTGGAATCGATCGGTGCTTCCAGTTGGCTGAGTGCTCGGGGAAGAAATGGGTTGTTGAGAGAATGAGGGCATAGAAGACTGGCGCTTCGCCTGGAGACTGGGTTGAGAAGATGCGGCTGCTCCACCACCACCAAGAGTCTAGCAAGTAGTTAGAAGATGATACACCTTGTAAGAAAATTGAGCCGTGGAATCATACAGGGTGACGCTCATATTTAACCTCCTCTCCAGCCAGAGCACCTGGATTCCCTTCATGACTCAGGATGAAGTCGTGTAAGTCTTTTTGATTATCAACCTGGCGGATAACTTCCGCAAGACTCTTGGACGCAACTGAGCCATTGCTTTCGCCCTTAATGGGGCTAACACAAAGCCCCTGACCTAGCAAGAGCTTCTCATTGAAAGTAGCTACGACCGGTCAGTATATGCCACATGATGCTTTTGAAGGGAATAATGAGAAATGTACCAAATTTCTGTTGCTGTAGAGTCAATCCCGAGTCGCACTCGGAAATCAGTTGCTGGAGATTATGCACCGCCTGAGGACGGTGGGTAGAGACCAACTCCTGACGAGCTGCTTGTGCCGCCTGGACCTTAGCTGCATAGTCCGCATCCGCATTCTGAACCTTACGCCATAGATCCTCCTCGTGTTGCGCAGCGGACTTGTGGCCCTTCAATCCGAACTTGCCACCCTGTTTGTCACCTGTGCGAACTCGGTCATACTGCTCGGCCAGTGAGTCGTACTTGGCCTTTGCCTTCTCAGCTTGTGATTCCGCATCAATGACCCGCTTCTCCGCGGCCAATCCCGTTTGTTTCCACTGTTTGCGGCCGCGCTCGATATTCGTGGAAAGCTCCTGCAGATCATCGGACATCTGGTGTAAGGATACCGAGAACTGTAAGCCACACTCGGCCATGCGCTCATGTAGTCGTTGAATCTCCTTGTAGCTGGAGCTATAAGTCCCTTGGCGGTTTTCGTTGCGGTGTGCGGCATCGTTGACCGTGCGGGACAGTTTCCTTAACCCCTGAGCGTGCTCATCTTCCAATGCCCCACGTTTCTTCAAAAACGTGGAGAAATCCTGTGGACCTTTAGTCAATATATGTGTGATTTGGCTCAGAGACCATTGTTGTAGGAGGATAACGCACTTTGGCAGATGCTACGCTTTGCTTCAGGCGAGTGAGGAGAGTGGTAATGCCGATCTGCATGCGACACGAATTAGATTAGTATGTCCATGGGTTTCATGTGTATTTCCTCTCTGGTCCTCATTTCTTCGTCTCAAATGAACTCATTTTTGATCGAAAGATGCGGGATAGATCTTATTTTGGGGGGGGGGGGGGATTTTGGCGAAGAGAAGTACTCACCTCCGAATAGATCACTTTGTCTAAGCGAGTCTTCAGTTCGTCGGAAATCGCGACAGGCTGGTCGACAGCCGAATGGGCAGAGGAGCGACCGGCGCTGTTTGGGGGCGCATCACCCGCGGTGGGCAATGCGGTGGGTTCCGCGAGGGGAAGGGCCAAGTCGGACATTGTTCAATCAAGTCCGAAATAGGGGGAAGGGGAGAGAGGAGTGCAAGGAAGAGGAAATCCCCAGCTATTATTATCTTCGATGACACCTGGGGCTTGGCAGTGGGGAGGTTGAGCTGGCGATCAATGAGGTCAGACCACCGGGAATGCTGCCGCCTGCGACCCAAAAAGCCCCCTAATGCGGCCGTGGGGGCTTTTGGGTACCTACAGTGGTATTCCGTATATACGAAGTACGACAACGCTGAGTCTAGTATATAGCTATTATAATAATATATTAATCAATGAATTATAATTATGGGTACTGGACACGTAACTTCTAAGCTTGGGATCAATACAGTAGACTAGGTCGGTATAACTCTAATGTATGAGTGCTCGTACCTGCATAGCCACATGCACAGCCACATCCATACGTACTTGCCGTACTTGCCCACCTGGGCATAATATATACTACTATATACAACATCATCATCATCAACGCTGAATTTGGTATTTCTCTCTCTCTTCAAGTTCATCTCCTGCTGCAATAGATCTGATTTTAATTGAATGCCACTCTTTTCCTTTTTTATTTCTTATTTTTCAATGACAGACCAATTGCAAATAACAATTGATCGAGCATGGTTGAAGATGGTTGACCATGATCTTGAACTTAGGACAGTTGATGTGTTCGTTCATCATGCAGAGATGGATATTGATATTATCTGATATCTGATATCTGAGCAATGGGGCCTGTCAAAGCTTGGCCAGCCTCCTGACAGAGACGATCTGGAGAAATCGATCGCGTAGCCTTATACATACTTGCATGTTCTATCCAATGTATGGATGCAAAGACCCACATACCCACGGCCCGAGGTCAAACAAGTTCTGGTCTACTGCATGAGATCCAAGCCTCGCGTAGATTCTTCTCCCGAGTCTGTCTTTCCTAAATACTTTAGAGGGGTCTGAATCAGTATCTTTTTCTTTTTCTGACTTTCACTCTTTCCCTTCTCTTCTTTTGATTAACTCACGATCCCCTCGATTGGACTCGTACTAGTACTTGATCCCGACCCTACTAATCCCGAACTTCCCCTATCACCATGTCGGAAGAACTCAACGTTGCCGCGGTGCTTCACCCAAAGCCCGAGAAATTCGAAGAGGTGAGATTTTTGCCTCGTTTTGTTCTTTTGTCAGATTGAATTTTTGAAGCTCACGTGTAGCCTAGGTTGCCACCCTTGTTACTGAAGTGGTCAAAAACGTACAAGAACACGAGCCCGACACCCTTCTATACTATGCCTTTCATGTGAAGGAGAAGAACGAGATTGTTATTATTGAAAGGTAATGCACAGTCCCTATTCCGATGGTTGACCATGTTGAGATACACCCTCTCTTGAGTCTCTTACCTCGGCATGTTTTATTACTGTGCACATATACGACTGCAAACTGCAACCTCCAAATCCAAATCTCTAACCGATATGAAATAGATACAAGAACCCTGCGGCAGTGAAGACCCATGTCAAGGCCCCTTACTTTAAACAATTTGCCGCTAAAATTCCTGGATTGTCCGCAAAGCCCTGGGAGCTGCGAACTGGGGTTCTCTTGGAAGGCGCACGAGGAGTTTCGCGACTATAGAGCGTTCTTTCTCTCGGATTTCCCGAGATCGTCCACAAATTGCGAATATAAATAATGATAGTCTTCTTGGCTATCTTTTGGTTGTTGATCCTGCTACCCTCTATGTGTGTGTACTATGTATTTGGAGGGACTATCCCTCATAAATCACGTAGGAATATAGTCATTCCGGAGCTCCATTAGGTATAAGTCTTGGGTGGACCTGGTCCGTTCTTTTTCTCTGTCGTTCTTGGGGGGTTCATGGTTATTTTTATCTTTTCCCGCTCGTGATCTCCATCTCATGCGATTGGTGCATGATGATGGCGAACAGACATCTGGAACACGATTGGCGCCGAGAGAACACCAATGGAGTAAATTACGACCATAGTGTTCATGGATTAGTCTGTAGCCGGGGATAGGAGTGGATTATTTGACTTTTAAATGATCCAAGAGACGTGGGAAGTCGAAACATCAAATCTACTTGGGTATACCACTGTAAGTACATGATACTTTGTGTTCGACTATACACAAGTTACTGCCTCGTACATAGTACTTTTGGATGGATAGCATCCAAGTCTGTATAGGTAGATATTTATAAATCAACGTATTTACCCATGTCATCTAAACATATACATATATAAATATTTAATACCACCAGGTCAGTTCGAGATGTTCTCTTAATAGAGTAAAGGGGATCACCGCAGTGTTAAGACTGCTTGGGCTTAGCTGAGTCCCTTTTGTCCTTTCCCTCTCCCTCTCCCTTTTCCTCTTTAGTTTTATTTTTTATTATTTTTATTCTTTTATTGACTTCTCTGGTTTTCTGTTTTTCACCTCTGATTCTCTCGTGAAATCTATTTGCTTCCGTGTTTTGTCTCTAGGGTAAGTAGCGCCCTTTTATTTTTCGTTGGCGACCTCCATCTCTCTTGTGGTCTCCACCGGCTTTTCCTCCTCTCCCCCTCTTTCCCCTAGCTTCAACGCCGGCGCCAACTCCTGAAGCTCACCGACACCGGAAACCCCTCAGGTATATTCTTTTATTGGCCGACATTGACTCAGACTGTGCCTTTCTCCCGAGTTTCACCGTGTATATATTTTCACTATGGCGACAGGCCCGGCGACTCAATCGCTAAAGGTGAGGCACTCCCCCAATTTCGCATCTTGCATCCACCTCCTCGTGGGACACACGGCTAATTGAATTTCTTTCCAGTGTGTCGTAACTGGCGACGGTGCTGTTGGAAAAGTCAGTACATCGCTGTCGCTCTTGCAGCTTTCAAATCCCCTCCCAGCATTGTCTGTAGGCCTCCGCAACCGAAATATTGACCTTGCTCTAGACATGTCTTCTAATCTCATACACAACAAATGCTTTCCCCGGAGAGTACATCCCGACCGTGTTCGTTTCCCCGTCCCTTCCTATATCCATGTGTTCTCATGAAGCTAACTACGGATGAACTGGTCCTTGCTATATAGCTTTGATAACTACACTGCCAGCGTGATGGTTGATGGCCGTCCGATCAGCCTGGGACTGTGGGATACCGCCGGACAAGAAGATTATGACCGCCTGAGACCGCTTTCCTACCCACAAACCGATGTTTTCCTGATATGCTTCTCGATTGTCAGCCCCCCCTCGTTCGATAACGTCAAAGCCAAGGTACGCCCGCACATACGGACTCTAGAAGAGCCGAGCATCACCACTCCGATTCCCACCATTTGTTACTGACTTCAATATTCAACAGTGGTACCCCGAGATCGAACACCATGCCCCTAGTGTCCCCATCATCCTTGTCGGTACTAAACTTGACCTGAGAGATGACCGCGCGACTGCCGATGCCCTCCGAGCCCGCAAGATGGAGCCCGTATCGTATGAGCAAGCCTTGGCGGTGGCCAAGGAGATCCGTGCACACAAATATCTGGAGTGCTCTGCGTTGACGCAGCGCAATCTTAAGAGCGTATTTGACGAAGCGATCCGGTATGTGAATGTTGAGCGTAGCTCAAGCCCCCAAATGCGCGTTTTGATATCTTGATTCCGTATTAGAGAGATAAGGATCAGGGGCTAACATATACATCTCGTAGCGCGGTTCTTAACCCTCGTCCTCTCACAAAATCTGGGCGAAAGAACAAATGCAAGATCTTGTAAAGGCGTGGTGCATGGCCGTCTCCTTTTCTTTCTTTCGTATGCTATAATGAGTAATATATAGTTAATACGGCGTCCGGGTAGTTTGAGGCTTGCATGAAGACCTCTTGATGAATCTATTGACTTGTTTCTTTTCAATATTCTACGTTGTACGGCACAATGTACTGGGGAAACCCGCCTCCTGTGTAGTCTCTCTTAGCCCGCTGTTCTCAATATTAGATCTATGTAACAAGTAGGCATGCTGATTGATAGTTTTGATTCACTCCCAAGGAAGGGTCAAGAACCTACTGGCCCTTACTTAGTATGTGAGGTCCACGGGTGATTCATTGAGACAGGTGATATCATTCCAGTATGACACAATACAAAGGACCATGCTTGGTAGGTATCGTCTATTTAAACATTGAAATATAAAAAGGCTTTTCAGGATTGGTCCCAGAATGTGCAGTAAAGGAGAGGGAGCAAGTAAAAGAGACAAAATGAACAAGCCAGACGGGTAAGCTGGGTAAGGTGGGTAAGCTTTTACCACATACGTCCACGGCGGCTAGGGTGCACACCGGCATATTTATCATCTCCATCATTGGCTTCATCGTTGGCTCCATCAACGCCAACGGCATTGGCACCAGTTGCACCTTGAGGGGCCTTCTGCCTCTCATGCTTGTTTTGACCCTTTTTAATCTCCTTGGCCTTGCGCTGGCGTTCATCGTTTAACTTCTCATTCTTTGCCTGGATCTTGGCCTTTCGGTGATCTGACTTTGCGCCACCACCACCGGCGCTATATATACACACATGGTTAATATTTGGGTTTTGAAGAGGGGGGTGCTTGCGTGCTTAGGAGATTACTCCTGTATTACGCCATATGTTCATGGCCTCATGATAGGGATTCAACTCACGTCAATTCAACATTCATCCGCCGAGGCGGATACTTGCCGTCATCAAAGGTGGAGTGGTGGTATAACTGCAGACAGGTCTTCATGCGGTCGTAGTTATCGAACTCAATAAACGCAAAGCCTCGGCAGCGATTCTTTGGATCTTCCTTCTTGGTAGCTACACGTATGGTTGCTGGTGGGTTCTTTGCAAAGTGTTTTGTGAGGGACTCTTGATTGGCAGAGTATGGTAGATTACCTGCATAATCATGGTTAGCGGCCAAAGTCTATCTCGGAGTCCTGCAAGAGGCTAGCAGGAACTTACCAACAAAACAGATAAAACGGGAACTCTTCCCATCGGCTGCGACGTCTTCTGATACGGCTTCAGCGTCAACCTCGGCTTCAGTGGTGTCATCTGCTTCTTCCTTCTCCTTTTCTTCCTTCTTCTTCTTCTCCTTCTTCTCCTTCTTCTCCTTCTTCTCCTTCTTCTCCTTCTTCTCTTTCTTCTTCTTTTTCTTCTCCTCCTCCTCGGAATCCAGGTCCTTCACAGGCTCAGGCTCAGCATCCTTTTCCTTCTTAGAGGCACCTTCGAGCTTCTCGAGCTTCTTGCGCTCCTTGTTCTTCTTGGGTTTGGATCCTTCTTCTCCCAACTCCCCGGCGGAAATTCCCTCATGTTCCTTTTTGACCCGTTTTTTCTCTTTTTTCTCTTTTTTCTCTTTTTTTTCTTTGCGTGCCTGTTTCAGCTTCTGGCGCCATGCGGGATCATTGGACTCCTCTGCATCGTCGGTAGCTTTGCGCTTATTGTCACCCATTTTGTAGATGTTCAGAAAAATGAGACAATTTGGAAAAGGGTCAAAGTCGAATGTTGAGATGGGATTCAACTTCAGCTTCGAAAAATTGAGGCGGAGACGGGAAAATCATTCTTTTCTGCCCTTGTTCGTAAAGGCGGTGAGCTGGCCGCAAATACTTGAACCTTATGAGATGTGGAGTCTGCCCATATCCACATGGATGCAACTATGCACTACATAAATGATCTGACTCATCATCATAACCTAATGTCTGAACATTTGAACATTTGAAGTATAAAAGATCCAAAGTAAATCTACGGAGTTTTACCCTGAGCCCCGTTGCCACCAACTAATGGCTCAAGAGTCTCGAAACAACAGACTAAGCTCAAGCTAGATGTTCAATCTCTAGCATTGAGATAAAGAGACAATTGTGACATTTTGGAGTTACGACACAAGTGGGCTCTTTGAGTAGAGACGAGAAGGCTACAAGGCATTTTTGAGATAAAATCGTATTGGACTATGATTTTTGATTTCTGAAGTTTCACTCGGACGGATTAAAGGTGTTAATTACAACTAAAACACCAATATCTGTAATTTCTTGTCCTTTGAATCAGAGCGCTCACGCAATCGGGGTTGGGTGAGAAGCTTCAGGAGGGGGAAATGTGTATCTTTCATATCAAAGATTCCTCGCTGCTTTTGGTCGATATGGGATCCGTCGATCACAACACGTTGAAGTTCATTCAATTTGAGATCACCTGTGTGAATAGAACATGAATTAGTACCGAAATGAGGAGGCCGTGGAATATCCAAGGTGACTTACCGGACTCGATCAAATCAGAAATGCGAGTTGGTGTGCCGACACCGATACCCATTCTGCTGATGTATTAGCTGAAAACTGTAAACTAATGCGGAAAGGTGTGAACGTGATATGGAAGGGTATCATACTGTGCTCGCTGAAGGAATTGCTTGGCTTCGTCTAGCTTGATGTGCTTCGCGAAGAGTTTCCCAACGATAGACTCTTTATTTTGGAATGATCGAAGAGCCCTGTTCATCTATTTATCAGCCTCAATGGCTCCGCTGGCCCAAAAAAAGGGGTTTTTTATCATCATACCTGACAATATTAGCTGCTCTTAAACCAGCACCGGTAATGACTAGTGTGTGGGGTGTGCCATTCAGATCGGGAGATTTTGAAAGATCGGTGCCCTTGGAGCGATATTTTTGTAGGAATTGAGGGAGGTTATCAAGTGATCGAGGTTCAGAGAAGGAGGATGTATCGAGGAAAGTAGAGTCTGTAACTGGTTAGTATCTAGGTATGATGCTCCAAAATTCGGGACCACCCCCAAATAACCCTGGAAGTATATGTACGCACCAGAGACGGAAAGATCATTCAACTCCACCGCGGATAATTCCTTGTCAAGTTTCTGCGCTCGTTGAGCAAAATAATCGGCAAGGAGCCTCCCATCCATTTTGCCAATTGACTCATCGATTCCATCCTTGCAATCTTGGCTGATCACGGTTTGTTCGGACTGGTTATTGCCCTGCTTTCCCTTCTTGCGCTTCTTCTTATTGGAGGCATCGGCTGAAGCGGCTGGCGTTGCGGTGGGAGCTGGGTCCGGTTTGTCTTGCTTGGTAGATTCTTCTGCTTGTCTCTTGCGCTTCTTGTCTAGCTTACTAGCAAGGCCTTTCTGTTCCACCTTTTCAGTCATTTTTTCAAATGAATTGTAACTCTGGCGATACCAAACTTTGGTATATTCCTGAAAGTGAAAAAAAGTCCGTTCGAAAATATGTTGCTGAGTCAGTGTATTCTTATCGATAAGACATTTGCTTGGCCAATGACACGTGAGCCCACTTGCCAAGCTTGTTATGACCGACGCGCCCCAGTCGGTCTTCTTGCCATGAACTGTATTTTGATAACAAAAAAGACCATACTATTCGACCGAATTGAGACTGGTTACTATTGATGCTATCAATTACCTAGTGACTCTGCCTCGACATCATGTCGACCCCGAAACCGCATGGTCGTCGGTCCCTGGGCACCTCGGGTACTGGAGCTAATAATACCCCATCTGCAGAAACAACATTGACTGGGGTAAGTGAGGGTATACAAGCTCCGCCCGCAATTCTGTTACTTACGATATGATAGATCCAACGTCTTCCCAACCATTCACGATTTCCACTTACACCTAGTCGCCTGGTGAGTCTTGCATCACCACATGGCCAGCGTTCTGCCTCTCGCCTTACCCCTCGCGCCCGAGGCGTGGCAGCTCCCGCAACGCCGTATGGTCTTCGTGCGCGGCAGCAACGCGCCGCCAACACACCTGGTCGTGATCGGCGGCGAAGTGGAAAAGTGCAGCGAGAGACAACATTTGATATTCTGAAAAATCTGGGTCGAGGTAATTCAATTCAAGATGATGGTGATGCTATTGCTAAGATGAAGCTAATAATGGTTATTATAGCCCTCGCACCCGTATCTCGCCCAATACAATCCTCGCCACAAGAAGTACAATTGCATACAGAACAACCAAAAGATGAGATCGAAGAGCTTGACAACGAGCCAGAAATTGAACGCCCGCGCCTTTCTTTGAATATCCAGGAAAGTGAAGATGGGAGCGAAGAAGCGAACTCTGAAACGCCGCCTCGAATGTCTCTTGCTTTTGATGACGATGATATTACATATCGATCTGTAGAGTATCCCCGAGACCTTGCCATTCGAGATCGTGATCGACTTTCTATGTTGCTTCCTGCTGGAAGATTGAGCGAAAATTTTGCGGGCGTTCAACTTGAAAGCGACTCTGATGTCGTCGACATGTCAGCTATTCCAGATGATGACGAGGGGGCGGAGGACACGTTCGTTAGTGGAGGAGAATTTGACCGAGGGTAAGTTTCATTTCAAACATGATATCGGCTATGGTACATTATGAACTTATTCAAAATCAGTGGAGAGACAGAGGATCTAGGGCGATTCCATCTCGACTTCAATTTTCCTTCTCCGACGGCAGCTCCAATTGACGACCCGATGGCTGATACCATCGTAAATGTGGACGGATTTGAATTGTCCGCCGACGATGTTCAACAAATGGCCCAGTCGTCTCCGGCGCAAGAGTTTGGTGATACCAATGCAATGTTCGGCTTCGCACAACCTGAATCTCGAAGCCAGAGCCCAGACTTTCTTGGTGGAGGCTTGCGAGATGAGGATTTGCCCATACAGAGCAAGGAGAAGAAGCTTTCTCGATATGGAATTCCCGTTCCAAAGCTTCCTACTGGTGTCATCAAGAAACTAGCAACTCGGTTCGGGCGAACAAAGGCAGGTTCAAAGAAAAAACTTAATAAAACCACAATGGCTGCTATTGAGCAAGCATCGTCGTGGTTCTTCGAGCAAGCCAGTAATGACTTGGCTGGATATTCCAATCATGCACAACGAAAAGTAATTGATGAGAACGATGTCACAATGCTCATGCGAAGGTCAGTTTTCATATTTTCACACACAAACTAACAACAACAGTGCTAAGCTTTTCCTAGGCAACGCCACGTCAACAGCTCGACAACTGTATTTTCCTTGGCTCAGAAGCATTTGCCAAAGGAGCTTCAACAGGATATGAGATTAGCCATGCCCCCGTGAACGCCTCGCGCCGACAACTGTATCTCTTTCACTAGCTAACACCAGGGCAAACCGTGTTGGATATGATATGTCTCGAATCTGGCTACCAGTTTCGGTTCTGACGAACTCGGCGCAGGGCCTCGTTGGGCTTCTTGCGTACAAGCATCCACAGCATGACAGAAGTGGCCAGAGAAAGGCCGTACCTTGAGAACGTCAACGAATTAGAGACAAGTCAATCTTAACTCGTACTCCGGGAAAATCTTTGTGCTTACCAGGTGAAAATGTATTGCGCGTGATTGTTTCTCAAGTTGACCTCCGCGGCGCGGCCAATAGGAATACCCTTGGCCTGACGGTCATATGATTCGAGGAGATCAGGCACTGTCAGAGTCAGTCTCTGATCCACACCAGAAATATACAGCCAAACATCATACCCATAGTGCTTTCAATCCATACAGGCTGACTTCCACTCAGCTCAGCCATCTGCGCAATATCCGGAAAGTAGAACTTGCCCTCTTCAGGCTTATTGTCAGGCGTAAACATATTTTTCTCCCACGGTTCTCGTAGCAAACCCTCCACTATTACCTCTCCTGTAGGTAGGCTCTCTGGCCGGTCCTTCTGATCCATCATTTTCTTCGAAATCCACCCTCGGTTCACAAGCACCGTGCTCTGGCCATCTTCACGTTCCAGAGGGGTGACAACCATGAACCCATCTTCACCTTCCCACATTCGGGGACCAATGAGCATCTCCTTGTCATGCTTGAAGTGGCCCGTGGCATGTACGCGACGATAGTCAAACTCGGCAATCGCATCCGGATCAATCCGAGGTGGAAGGGGCAGAGGAGGGCGGACCAAACGATCCTCGAATTTGGCGACCAGCTTGGTTTTCCAATCTAATCGTTGAACCTGCCATGAACCAAGTGCGAAGGAAAGAATTGGGATCAAAGCTATGATATGAAGACGTGTTAGTCGGAATCATATTTGAAATGTAAGCCCTACGCGAGAAGACCAGAGCATACCAATGATAATAAGTCCCGGTCCATGCTTCTGATTCACTCGTACAAGTTTCGCAGGGTGGTCCACGTTGTATAAATTGTCGAATACTTTGCGAGTCTTGGTAAACTGACGACGTTGCTGGAGGCGACATCTACTACAAATGGAATTCAATTTTGAACCTGAGTTCACATCTCGACCAACTCGTGTGGGTAACGTCCATGCGGTTGAAGCCCATCGCTGTATGAAGGGGGAAATTGGGCGCATTTCGATGACCAAGAAACGAGAGGCAGGCCAATTGTAACTTGCAGTGAACTCCGATTGTTGCACTGGAGAAAGGAAGTCCCGGATTTCGATGCGGAGATTAGGCGGTCACGCCGATGGCTCCACACCTTACGTGGTGCTCTGGCATCTACATCGGTAGAACGATAGCCTACGCCTCGCGTGAGGAACTTCTTTCCAATCTACATATCTGGAATTTCAGCATACTACAATGGCTGGATTTTTCAAAGGTAATCTTCAGGATGGTATTGGTCTCGCTATGAGGGAGGCCAAGGCCGTGGTTTGCTTCGTTCGAGGTAGGTTATATTTCCCCTCTCCCACGGCATAGTATATTGGTACTATCTAACAGACGCAGATGACGGTCACGCAAGCTCAACATGGGAAGAAGAATACTTAGTGGGTGAAAATGTAGTCATCTGAACTATGAGACATTCTGTTTAGAAATGGCTTGCTAATCATGCTTTCAGGTCACTCCGGCACTTGATACCAACGCCATCCTCCTACGCATAATAGCAGGATCCCAAGAAGCTGGGTTTTTAACATCGTTCTGTCCGATCGCCAAATTCCCGACGGTTGTAGTCATTAAGTGTGTTGAAGTCCTTCCGTTATGGGTTTGAGGTTTCAGCAAGCTGACTGGCAGGTATTATAGGAATGGCACATTGCAGGAGTACCTGGCGCCGGAGACCTCGAAAGATGACTTTCAAAGTCGACTTGTGGGTGCTGTTGATCCCCAGGATCACCCGAAGCATACCCAGAAATCAGATAGCAACACATCTGCCGCACGAGATAAATCAGCGGAGATATCGGATTCTTCTGCCACGCCCACTTCAAATAGCTCCGCGACACGAGACACAAATTCACTACCAGCATCTGCCACATCTACCGCATCTGCCGCGTCTCTCAAATCTTGCATTGAAAAATCGCCACCAGGGCAAAGCAGCAAATTGTCAGCTCAAAAGCCTGTACCAGCAAACCTAATGTCGCCGGGGGATACGCGAAAACGGTCGGTTGCTTCGCAAAAAGGAACAGAAAAACCCGAAGAAGAGCGGCAAAAGCCCCAAAGTCCCAAAGTCAACAACACCCCTGCACCTCTCCCCAAAGATCGTGATCTTAAGCCAAAGGAAGCTCCCGGCAACCCCACGCAATATCGGCTACAAGTCCGGTTATTCGATGGAAGCTCCATTCGATCTAGCTTCTCGCCTTCGCAGACAATTCGCAGCGATGTGCGATCTTGGCTGGACCAAAAAATGGGAACTGAACAGCGACCATATAATCTGAAACACATATTGACCCCTCTTCCCAGCCGGACACTATCGATATCTGAGGAGTCACAAACCCTTCAGGACTTGGGATTAGGTTCGACCGCTAATCTGGTCATGGTCCCTGTTTCATCATATACAGACGCATATTCAATCTCGGGCTCTAGTCTACCTGCACGAGGCGTTTCGGCTGTATATAGTGTCGTTTCTTCAGCTATCACCACGGCTACAGGGCTATTAGGCTCATTGACTGGGCACGGCACACCAACCACCAGTGAGGTCGAATCATCTACTGCACCCGGTCAATCCGGCTCTTCAAGGGCCACTCAGCGGCCAGGCATAAGAGGACCAAATATTCGGACCCTCGGGGACCAAGGAAGTAATGAGGATGACCGTCAATTTTACAATGGAAACCAGGTAAGCTGTTTCGATTCCCCGCCACCTAGATCAATGGCTAAATGTTTTGCCAGTTGAACTTTGAACCGCGAGAAGAGGACAGGAAGGATCACTGAATTGATATTGTTCCTTGAGTTGTTGTCCGAGATTCAGGGCTATGCCTGGTGCTTAACGGATGTCTGTAACTCGCGTGGTGCTGCCCCTTCTGGAAAGGGGGTTTCCGTTAGTGTAAGCGTGAACCATGGGAAAGTAGTTTATGTACATGAAGAACCTTGAATAATTGCTGGCACGTTGACCACGGAGCGAGGTGGTCAAGTTCTACTGAAAACATAAACCACGGCCTTCTTTTCGTGAAATCGATTGCTTGAATTCATGAAGCATCTATGTTTCAAACTGGGAAAATGTAAATTGATTCGTTGGCAGGTTTGGGTAGAAGCCCTATATTGCTTTAATTGGAATATGAGTGGAGTTGTAATAGGCTACAGAGGTGCGTTCTCTCGAGCGCGATGCATAATTGGTACACCAAGACAAAGGGTTTCAAGGGAAGGGAGGAAGAAAGGGGACCGGCTGCATTTTCCGCCGGAAATTTTTTTAATATTGTTTGGCAGCAGCTTGGCACGCTTTCTATTAAGTTGTTAGTGAAAAAGGAAGACAGACATTAATGATTCATGATCTGGTCAGGAGATAAAACAGAAAATGCGGCTCGAAACGTACCAGCTGGTCAAGATACCATCCGCAGATGCCCATGTTGCCCTGGTTCTCATCCATACAGTTGCGGAAGTCACGGACATTGGATTCACAGGCAGGGGTCTCCCAAGACTGATTTGTGGCACTGCTTTGCCAGAGACTGTTATCCATAGCCTGCGACTGAGCAGGAGCAGCCTGCTGGGTCTCAGCAGGAGCGCTGGAGCCACCACCGCTGAACCAGCCTCCGACGGCATGGCCAATAGAGGAACCGACAGCTACACCACTAAAGGTGAGATAAATGTTAGCTATCTATCTAGGCTGGAAAATTCGTAATACCGAGCGGCGGAACTCAGATATAATTCCAGAAGGGTAGACCTACGCAGCTGTAGAGGCCATCTGCCCAAACAGACCCGGGCCTGCGCTTTGCTGGGCAGGGGCCTGCATGGGCGGAGGAGCCTGGTGCTGCTGGGGTTGCGCAGCAGTTGAATGAGACGCCTGCTGCTGGGGGGCGGGCCTAGCAGGAGCAGCTGTAGGACGAGTGGGTGCACTGCGTGCAGGAGTAGGGGCGGCGCGGCGTTGTTGGCGAGGCATTATGAGGTATTGGTGGTCAAAAAAGGATAAGGGAAGTTTTGTGAGAGATTCGCAGTTGGCAAGAAAGAAGAGCCGGTACTTTACGACAAGGCAAGTGGGGACTGCACATGTGCTGGAAGAATATAGAATGATGAGTCAGCGGTACAGGCCGGGGTTCAAGGCACTAGTTGACTTACGACCGAAATTCCGTGGCCAGTTATTGGCTGGTTATACTGATACTACTACAAATAAATACTTAGCACCTGGACATAAATTATGCGAGTGGCATTTAGCACTCGGCCATCTGGTATTGATTATCTACTTTTATGAATAGTTCCCGCAGCTAGAGGGTTTCATGTACTCCTGAAAAATAGCAAAATAGAACAGTCAAATGAATTGTTGGGTATATTGATCATCATAGCGGAGGGTTTATGGCTTCAAACCCTGATCGAGCGCATAGTGCTCGTGTGTCTACATCGTGCTGCGGAGGCAAAGGCCGGAAGGTGGTAGGTGGTTTGGATGATGGTACAGTAGGTGTAAAATAAGCCTTGCACTCAAAGGTGAAGGCCGCATATAGTGGCCTCAGGGTCTCACTCAGGTAGCCATGTGGGCCTTACGGGCCATTTCTTTTTTTTGTCGGCGCTCTTTTTTCTCATCATTGCGTTCGGCTTTGTTGAGTTTCCGTGACTTCTTGCTCTTGGCCTTGGCCTTATGATCCCTCTTATTGTGCTTTGCTTGTTTTGCCCGGTCGGATGAACTTGGCGAAGCATCAGAATCCATTGTGTCGACATGATCGTGGCTCGAATTGGCAGGGCTTTGCGCGGCAGCATCTTCAGTGCCTTGAGTGTCATCATTACTGGCCAAGGAAGATTGTGACTGCGCCGTCATTTTTTTGGCAATCATGGCAGCCTTGAAAGTCGCGCGTGCTTTTTCCTTGGCCTCTCTCTCGGCGCGCTCCAAATCATATTTGTCGTTACCAGCCTATCTATAATCAGTGGCGTGTCACATATGCTGGCAAGGGCATTACTCACGAGACCGTGCTTGATGAACCGACCTGCTGCACCCTTATCAAGTGTCATGGTACGTTGTTCAGGCTCGGTTTCGAGGCTTTTAATCTTTTGAAAATATTGCTTCACCCTCGTGAGTTCCCGGAAAACAGGGTGTTGTTTAGCCTCGACGCCGTGCAGTCGAAGATAAGCTAGGAGATGAATATCAGCAGACCATTTATTTACTTATGTCAGTCAGAACATACAAAAAATTAATGACTCAAGTGTGTAGGTGATCAGGACGTGGAGTTTTGCATTGTCCATTAAGGGCAAATGTTTGGATTTCCTAGACAGAGGTTGGCCCAAGCACGGGTCGAGTGCCTCCTCCAGATCATCAACATGATCATCCAGTTGCTCCAATAATGTAGATAAATTGGCTGTGTCCATAGTGTCGGTTTGACGTATTTGACGGTGGATGTTGCCTGAGAAAAATTAAGACATGGATAACGGTGATTCAAGGCGGTGAGAAACATTCCGCATATCTTTGATTGGCATGCCGAGCTAGTACATCTTCCCGCCCGGAGGTAAGAATTCGAGCTACCTCGCAATCCGCTTTCGAGCTCCCATTGACTTGGCTTTGATCATCATAGCACTTGATCTGGTACCGCAATCTATCTCTGAACTCCTTCTTTTGACACAACTGTACGGCTATTTGGGGAAGATATCCCCAACACGCTTTCAAAGTGTTGCGCACATCCAGCTGCCGTCCGCTATGGCGGAGCAGGCTCTCCGGCCTCTTTTGCGCCTCACATATCCGAACAAGTCCAGGGGTAACGACTCGATATGTCTCGAATTCAACATGGATGCCAGAAGCGAAGGAATCCCCCGATGCGAAAAGTCCTTCGTTGTCAGGACGGGTACACGTTCTAGGACTAGGAAACATAGGAAGCTTTGTTGCACATGCTCTCGCCTCCAGAAGTTCCCCGCCGCCCATCACGCTACTCATGCACCACGGTGGGATGTATCGGTCTTTTTGCCGTAAGAAAAAGAGCATTGCCATCAATCATAAGGGACTGGACGACTCCAGGTCTGGATTCGACGTCCAGGTCTTTTCCAATGATGTTTGGCGATCTGAGCCCTTCGAGGAGATTAACAACGACACCGACACCGACACCATGGCCACATATACATCCAGTGAGACTGAAGAGCTTGGTGCACAAAGCAATGCAAACGACGAGCATATCGAATGTTTGATCATCGCCTGTAAGACGGGTATGACTCAGAGAGCCATATCGAAAGTTCGCCATCGCTTAACTGCAGACTCGACTATTGTTCTGTTGCAAAATGGCATGGGGGTCGTTGACAGACTTAATGAGACCGTATTTTCGGACCCAAAGCATCGCCCCAATTATGTACAGGGCGTGATCAGTCATGGCCTTTCCATGCTAGACAAATTTCAAGTTGCCCATCGGGGGGTTGGAAGCATAATACTTGCTCCAGTAGTCACGAACCAGACCCCAACTATTGCGGCCAATGAGGATACCCATTGGGCCCCAACCACAAAGTATATCCTGCGCCTCTTGACTCTCACTCCATCTTTGATTGCTACCACAGACACGCCCGCTGGTTTGCTGCAATATCAGCTTGAGAAGCTTGCGGTGAACTGCCTTATAAACCCGCTAACTGCACTTTACGACTGTACAAATGGCGAGTTACTCTATATTTTCAAAGTTACACGTACCATGCGATTGCTTCTTTTTGAGATCTCCAGTGTGATCTATGCTCTCCCTGAGCTTCAAGGCGTCCCGGGAATTGAGGATCGATTTGCACCGGAACGTCTGCTCCGATTGACCATGAATGTTGCCAAGAATACCTCGGAGAACACTAGCTCAATGCTTCATGATGTGAAAAGCGGCGGTGTTACCGAAATTGATCATATGAATGGCTGGGTCGTGCGCCGGGGTGAAGGGCTGGGGATTAAGTGCACACTGAACTACATGATCTGCCAAATGGTACTCAGCAAGACGAAAATAAGACACCGAAGAGATAATAGTTCCATCCCGTTTGACCAGGACGACATTCACCTGGCTGAAGATTTCGCCGATCAAATTACAGCCAAGAAAGAATCATGATTAAGTCCCCCCCGAAAGGAAACCTCCGTCTGCTCGGACATTTCCCGGCTGTTGCTATCACCAAAGCGAAAAATCCTCCAGCGACCTCCAAGCACGCAAATCAGCCAGCCATCTACAGTGAGACGGCTTTGGACGCACATTCGCAGATATCTTTGATCTGTGCCCATCGACGCAAGAGAACTTCTGCCTTTTCATGATGCGACTGAACCACGGCGTTTGATTCAAGAGCGCCCCGTATCGCAGTCATCGTTATATTCGCCTCTGAAACATATGCGCCCAGCCAGCCCTTGATAATATCCTCCGACTTCTTTTCATCCAGACCCTTTGTCGAACCCTTGAGGATATGGTTCGTCCAATCTTTGTAATTCATGTACTTTAGACACGCCGCTACTTCTGTCCGGTAACAAACACCCTGCCGAGTGACTCGATATTCACTGCCAATCATTAGTTAGCCCCGCAATCAATCAAGAATTATATTGCGCGGAGAAAGATACCCGTAATATTGATTGAGCCACAGTTCTTCATGTTTTTCGTGGTTGTCCAAATCACCGAGGACAATCTCGTCGAGGTAGATACAGTCTGAGTCATTCTTCTCGAGGAAAAAGCCATCTGGGGGTCATCAGCTCTGTAGATTTATGCTGCACTTCCGTCAAGACTCACATTCGGCTAGGAGGAAATCATTCGGATGACTGCCATAGCTCATGTAAACCTCATCGCCCTTGTCGTAATCGTCTGTGGCGCGAAGGGTATATTCGTTTTCATCGAATTTCACATCGCACTGTATGGAAGTCATAGACGTCAGGTAAACAACATCATACTGCCAATCCCCAAATGCAACATACCTCAACATTCGAATGGTTAAAATAGTCCGCAAATGGCAACAAAGCCATGGCATCATTTCGATTTTCCGGCGGATCTTGACCAGCTCCAACCCAATAGAAGCTTCTGGTGTTAAGAATAAGCCAATAGTAGGAGAAACTTGTCCAGTCAGCCTCGGGAAAGGCGGCGATGGTGTCCGCCCAGGCTTTGCGCAATCTCTCTCCCTGCGCAGATTCTAGATCCTGGTGTTCGGTTTCATATTTTTTGATTCTTGGCAGTCGCTCAATAGAGTTCCATAGCCCAGAGATGCAAGGCGGAAGTAGATTGGTTGTATTGCAGGCGCCGTCCGTTGCGCCTTCTGGGGCGATAGTATCAGGCCAGATTAGACCACCTAGTTCCATGGGCCAAAGCAAGGGCAAACTGTCTTCGAAGTCTTTGCGGGAAGGCCAGGCTTTGAACCAGAGTTGATATTTCTCCAGCTCTTCGTCGCTGCCCAGAGTTAAAAATGCAGCCATGATGGTTTGTACGGCCGTGCCTTCTGAAAACTGGGCCTTGAAGTCAAAAGGCACATCATCAACTGTGAAAATTATACTGGTCGGGACTTGAACCACAGCATCTCCTTTCTATACACAGAGACATTTTCAGTATCCCATTTACAATTTTCAGCTGACTGACTGCGTCTCACCTTAATCTTTTGAGTGGCTATCATTCCCAAGCCACGCCCTGGAAAACGTGCCGGGGCAACGCCATTGGCAATCACACCTTGAGCAAGCGACCATTCAGTGAAAGCGACATGATCCTCGCCGGGTGAATAGTCCGGAGTCATCATAGACCAGGAATTGCAAGGTCTTCGGTCTTCGTTAAGTAGCAAATAGATATCAATAGGCTTACAACTGTGAATATAGCAACATGGCAGATGAGTTGGAGAAGTAAGGGGGGGTTGAAGTCAGGCTGAAGATGCACCGAGTGTTGACGTATTTTTTCTAGTTCAGTTGCAAGCGGCGAAAAGAGACATCGCTGGATTTTGCTGGATTTGCAACGGTGTGGTCTCTAGCGATCAATGATCAGAACGGCCTATAATTATACTAAGCGTGTTATGGCCCATTTTTTATCTTTTATCGATAACAACTCTTATCAGAATACTACGGGACTCGATAGGAACCTAAAAGGCCGCCGTTCCGATCGTCATACGATCCTCGCGAATTCGTTTCTTTTGTCTTGAGTAAAACTAGATGTTGTCATTCACAATGTCGGTTTGGGGGAAGAATGGGATACCGGGGCTTCGAACTTTGACAGTATCTTGCCCTCGAGTTACTTCATGTTCAATGCGACCTTTCTCCGTTCTCAACCGCCCGCGGCCAAATTATCCTACACATATCCCATTGACGACCATTGAGCGTGGTGCTCTTGCATTAGGTTCAGCAATTGGATCGTTGATAAATCCTCGAAGAGCAGGTATGTGTTTTTTTTGGTTTCTTATTTGAATCTCTTTCTAGTAGATCCTCGGATCTGGGGTCCTGCGAGATTGAATACATACCCTGTGCAACCTTTACAAACCAGTCATCCATAATCTCTAATACCTCTCTAGACTTAATTGCCGCACTTGGTGAAGCAACGGCGACCCCATACTTTATATATCGTCTTCGTAACGCAATGCTCTCCAATCCAACAGGCCGCCGCATCCTCCGTGACCGCCCCCGCATCACGTCAGACACCCTACAACTCTCATACCTCCGCACCCTCCCCGAGAACTCGGTTGGCCGGACATACGCGGCATGGCTTGATCGTGAGGGTGTATCACCAGATACTCGCGATCAGGTCCAATACATTGATAACGAAGAATGTGCCTATGTTATGCAGCGATATCGTGAATGTCATGATTTTTACCATGCAGTCACGGGGCTTCCGGTCTTTGTAGAAGGCGAGCTCGCGCTCAAGGCACTCGAGTTCTTGAACACACTTCTTCCGATGACAGGATTAAGCCTCTTTGCTTTTATTCGGATGAAGCCTGCTGAGAAGGAGCGTTTTATTCGGTTGCATCTACCGTGGGCGGTACGTAGTGGACTTGGGAGTAAAGAGCTAATCAATGTTTATTGGGAGGAGGTTCTGGAAAAAGATGTTGACAAGTTGCGGGCAGAGCTGAATATTGAGCGCCCGCCAGATCTCAGAGACATTAGGAAGCTGATTCGGCAGCAGCAGAAGCGTGAGAAAAATAGTCAGAAGCAGCACATGCCAAGTCATCAATGACATTCTGATTATTTATTTGGCCCTCTTCTGCTCCCCTGGTCTCTGCGGCCAAGATCCCATGTATTAAGTTCGCTTTTGTATAATATACCTCATCCCGAGAATGCCATTTTGCATTGCCTTCATACAAAATCAGTAAAGAGACTGACACGTCGGAGTCAATTTTGAGACCGTTAAACGACCAAGATAGCCCTCAAGTACGAAAATCGGTATCAAGTAGGCAGAAATAAGGCTGAAAACAAAAGACAAAATCCTCCCGATAAGAATGATCATTGGCCAGGTGCTAGATCTTGACTTTACAAATCAAGTAAATCGTCATCGTCATCCCAGCCGCCTTTCCGTCTGGTAATCACGATTTTGTGTTCCTCCTCCTCCTTACGCTGGTTTTCTGCGACGGCGTTTAAGAGCTCCTTGAGCTGTTCTTCGGTAACTTTTTGCCGCAGCTGACCTGTCTGGGCCAGCATGATGAGTCGGTTCTCAATGTCGACGGCGCGAGATTCCTTAACGAGGCGGATGCGGCCAAGACGGTCGGCAGCAGCAGGGTCAAGAATCTGAGTTAGGATCGAAGCCCTTCGGTCGGCTGGCGAGTTGATTAAGGTTAGAAGTTTTCTCCATTTATAATCACATTGTATATCGCGATATTTCGATCGAGGGGTGTGCATGTTGGCACTCAGAGCAATATAATGGAACACCTACATTCGGCTTGCCTGTGGCAAGATTCGTTAGTTCCTACGCCGTATGTTTCAATTGGAAAAGTAGAGATTACCTTCGCTGTTCATCCTGTCCACCCTCCTGACTTGGCCCTCCGCGGGGACCACCTTGTTGTTGAAGCTGTGCCAGACGAGCCCGTCTGATCTGTTTCTCATTTTGAGTATTCGAACAAAACAAAATCAAGCGAAAGATATCTTACTTCTTCTAGCTCCGCGTCCGCCATGTTGAGACTTGATGCGCGTAGATTGTCGAGCGGCTCAAAGAATGAGACAGAGGATGTCGAGAGAATTGGCTGATTTGAGTTGCCCCACTTTCTCAGCCTGAGGCTGCCACGCGGGGAATAACTAACTAACCTATTCTGCCATTCTTCTTCAGATGACCAAGTGCATTATGATATATAGCATGAGATGTATATACATTTAGTAAACGTTATTCGCTAACGCGATGCTTTTATACGGAACTAGCGGCTTTAATGCCATCCCCAAATACAAATTATGCAAGCCATAGCATCTGAATTGTATTTCTTACGGTCTGCCAGTGCAGCCTTGGAGTACATATTTCGGTATCTAGTCTAGTTTAGACTCCATGAACACCTAGCCAACCTCATTACAAAATGTAAATAAAGTCCAGAACGAATAGCAGTACGTGGCTCTGTATTGTGCAGCATGGGGTTTCTATGTTCATGAATCATTCAAATCAGGCGAATTACTCTAAGCCCGAGACGTTGCATACTGCGCCTCTTTCGCTCTCGGAACATATAAGCGATGCACTAGCGGGGGCAAAACAGTATTTTCAGAGGCAGATTTCACAATTCCAAGCGAGACAGATGGCACTGAAAAAGAGAGGAACAAGTACAATAATCCATAAAGAGACTCTTTAGATTGTAGCCTTACAGACATTTGCAGAATACACGATGTGTTGATGGGTGATAGACCGATTACAGATCGGGAAGTAGACCGGGAAGGCGAGATAAAGAACATTGAGCACGAAGTACGAGCCGGTTAATTAAAATCGGCATCTAAGACATTTCACTTCCTTGCCTATCTCTGCTCCTACCTACATAAGTGGATATTCAGGGAGAGACACAATTAGGTACTATACATACACGCTTCATGTGTATCACCTGGGATCACCTGCTTCCAGACTGTACATGTGGTATTATACTGACTAAGCATTGATTTGCCTCTTCCTGCTCCGAATCCAAGATTACCCTCGACTTCGACCATCCACAAGGGAAATCCAATTCACTTCTTCCTCCTAACCTCTCATTCACTCTCCTTAAATTTCCTTCGCGTTGGTTCCTTCACAATTACCTTCCTTCCCCCATCTCAGAATATAATCATCTGGCCTCAAGTACTCGACTGCTTCGAGGAGGGCTTGCGGGGACCTCACCTTTTGAGGTCTTCTTCTTGGTGTGAATGCGCAGCCATCTTGTTGACGGAATTTCGCGACCTCTGACCCTGACCCCAGTTGACCTGGTGGGAACAGCATATTGACTTACGGGGAGCTCGGAAACTTCCATCTCACATTCCTTTGACGCCTTCTACGTCACCCATCATGGCCGAGTAAGTCTACAGTAGCAACGTGATAAGGATAGCGATGAAGGCTCTCCGCTTGGATGGTTACTAATAGCCCTCGTACAGTCTTATTGCCTTCCAGACATACCATCATAATAATCTATTACCCCCGTCGACCTCGACCATGATTCCGCGCCATGCCCACAAGCGGTCGCTCTCCTCCGAGCACCGCGGCCTCTCCCCCGACAAAACCGTGACCAAAGCCAAATCTACTACAGACCTAAGTGAAACGCTTTCGAGACACACTCCCTCCTCTCAATTGCATCGATTTGAGGAAGATGGGTTCAACACCTTGCAGGACCCTCGGCTGGCCGCGAAAACCGAGGTTTCACGGGCGACGTCATCAACCCATCACCCTGACTTGAGCAACGAGGTCGCTGCCTTAAGTGTGAAACTGATTCAGGCTATCAATAACCAGACCCACCTAGACGACAGTCTCGCAACTGCGCGTCAGGAACTAGAGGTGGCTCAGGGTAAGATACAAGCCCTGGAGTTTCAGAATGAGAAGTATCGGCGCGACATCGACACGAAGGTCTACATTAAAAAGTCCGATTCAGATCGAGAGATCTTACAGTTGAGAACGGCCCTCGCGGAGGAAAGAGCGCAACGAGCTTTGGTAGAGAAAGGCAAGAAAACAATTGAGCAGGAACTTGAGACCCTCACTGCAGATCTTTTCGAGGAGGCCAACAAGGTAAGCCGCACGTAATGCAACGCCTATGTCTTGCTCTCAAACATAGACTGACTATCATAGATGGTAGCTGCAGCTCAAATCGAACGGGAGGCAGTTGAGAAGAAGAACGAGCAATTACGATCTCAAGTCAAAGACACTGAGTTGCTCCTCGCATCGCATCAAGACCAGCTGGCAGAGCTCAAGTCGGTCATGCAAGGGATGCACGTATCCAGAGACGATGTAGAGTCCCGCACTGCCTCAACGGCGCCTTCATCGCCGTCTGGGCAACCTAAAATGCAAGGGGCTGCGAACCAAGAACCCGAATCGAACTATGCTGTCATGACCCCGTGCAACCCCGTGGACTACGTTCCGGGCCCTTCGTGTAATTTCCCCGAGATTATACGGATGGTTTGTCGAAGCGATCTACAGGCCTGCGATGATTTTCGGGAGCTCATGACGGTTTCCCGGGGCTCTAAACCACCGAGTCGTGCCGGTAGTGGGTCATATGCCGGCCTGAACGTCATGAGCCTTGCCGGGTTTGGCTCAGGAGCAGCCTCTGCTAACAATTCGCCTACTAAGGGAGTCACTCATTCTCCGAATGGGAGCCTCTCATCTCAATTTGGCTCACATATTCCATTGAAAGACACCCGGTTTTACAAGCGAGTGCTCATGGAAGACATTGAGCCCACATTACGACTTGACTTGGCCCCTGGAATCTCATGGCTTACCCGCCGTACTGTTCTAAGTGGTATTTGTGAGGGCACTTTGGTTGTGGAACCCATACCGACGATTGGAAAGAAATACGATTTTCCCTGTACAGTCTGTGGCGAACGCAGACCCGGTCCTCAAAATGAGCGGACTCATCGCTTCCGAACATCTGAAAGTGAGACGGCCCAGCGCTACTCGCTATGCCTTCAGTGCTTGGAGCGCATTCGCTCATGTTGTGAGTTCACCGGCTATTTACGACTAATTCTTGATGGACATCTCAAGGCTGGTGATGTAGCAGAAGAAAGAGATATATGGGATGAAACAGTTCGGCTAAGGGAGCGAATGTTCTGGTCGCGAGTCGCAGGAGGCCTCCTTCCTCTGGTAAACCAAGCCGCTGGAACCGAAGTGCGGACAGAACTCGACGATTCTCATGGAAACACCAATGAAGAAAGCTTGGCAATTGAAACTTCTCCTGAAACTTCTCACTCCACACACGAAGCTCCGGTTCGCCATAACGAACATGGGCTGAAGGCTTCATCTGAGTCTACTAAAAGCCAGCGGGACTCCAGCGTCTTTGCCCCTTCTCTTCCTGACTTTGATCTTCCTACGTCTTCAACGCCGGGCTTGCAAAACCACGAACACCACGAAGCTGAAGACTCTGCCTCGGATTTTGATGCGAGACGAGCTTCTATCGATTCGGATCTGTCTGTTTACGAGGAGGCTGAAGAAGCTAATACTAATGTGGAGCCTGAATATGTGGAAACTGACAATGTTCAAACTCCTACTGTTCAAGAAGCTCAAGAAATAACAGAAGCCTCAACGAAATCATTGGATGAATCATCTTCCGGTCCAACTCTTCAATAAAAAACACCACCCTTAGCTCAACGAGCTAGGCTACCATGAATGTTCTGAACGGTCTCCCTATACTTCGGGATCCTCCCTTATTTGAACATATCATGGCCAGTCGCTGATGGGAACGCATTACTTCGCTTTCAAAACTACCGATCGCATCCTATCATCTTTTTACCCTTGCATTTGCCTTCCACATTTCGTGTCTCAGCCCAGCAGCCTCGTCCTCCCACAGCTTTGCTACCTATCCTGGACATCCCTTTCTGATCTGAACAACTTATCCTCCTGTATTATTATTATTCCCGTGATTTTTCTCCCCCTATGATGTATACATAATGTCCCTTTCTTATTGCCATTCATCTTATGCCACAGCGATTCCTGGTCTCGCTGGCTCGTGTGGAATCGTTGGAATGAAACCCGACCCGCTCATTGATTCCTCATTGAGCGAGAACTCTATACATATACTAATTAATCATGGATCATGCTCTTCATTTCTTGTTTTGATTGTACTTGGTTGTCATGTCGGCCACCCCTTTGCTTTTCTGGGCTTTTTGAATGCGGCAACCACCGCAGAAGAACACGTTCGAAGTACATAACACTGAAAGACTTTTTTTTGCATTCCAACAACGCTAGCATACTACTTCGGCTTATCCTAGATCTATTTTACGAAAGCACTGCACTTGATTTGAGATCCTTTACTCTAAAGAAACACCTAGGCCTTAAAGCCTCTCCAGTAGGTTTGAAGTATTTATAATTCGAAATCTAAATTCCGTGGTGTGAGAGCGTTATTGCATTCGAGTAATTGGGACGTAAATCGCAACGCGATAGACCAGAGAGGCAATCATCTTGTTGTAGCAGAAATCATGAGATTATTATACAAAGGGCATATCATGCATCATCCCCTGCAACCAGCCTGGAAATGTGAAACCGCACCCTCAGAACGCCCATATGAAATAAGAAGTAGAAGCCTGGAATGCGTCCGAGAAAAACCTTGTGACAAAGAAGAATATGGCTTCAGCAAAATACGAGTCTTTAACAGATGAGAAAGCAAACTCATTGTCGTGCTCGTTGATGTATATGCCGTATCTGGTCTTCGATATTCATAGTTTGGGGATTTTGCACGCCTGGAGGGCCGACTGCAGGACCCGGGGCCGCTGGGAGGCCAGGAGGTAGTGAGCCATCCGACGGACTAGCTCCCATGGCCATACGCTTCCGGCGCATCTCTTCCTCGGGGTCGATACCCGGTGCAAGTGAGGAGTCGAAAACGTCACTACGCTGGCTGGCTAGACGCTTGAGATTGTTAACGACGTCGACGGTAGAAAGATTGGTTGTAGCGCTACGGGCATCAGCTTTCGCGCGCTGCTCTTTCCAGCGCGGGTCTAGTAGCTCGATGCGCACATGCTCATCCAGCTCTGCGACAGGAACTTGTTGGCGACAATTCGGGCAGATGGCGGTCGCGCCTTGCTGACGACGGGCCTGAGCCCGCGGGACGTAGTCGGAACGGATGCGCATTGGGGGTTGACCTGGGAACGCGGAGGCAGGCGAGTCAGTGCGACTTGGTTGGCCTTGACCAAATGCAGGAGGCGGGTGTTGTGTATTATGGTCTGGTGTGAATGGCAAATATGAGGCTGGAGGTGGAGGATTATGTTGGGCAACAGCAGGCTGTGGTACAGGAACTCCTTCGGGTTGGATAGGATAAGCGTTATAGAAGACGGGATTATCGAGATCGGTGGGCATGGCCTCTTCAATGCGTAGTGGGTTGAGAGACATGGCGGCTTTTTGTTCGAGCGATGCGGATTGTAGGTCGTTAAGCGACGTTGGGGGTGGTAAATCTTCATGTTCATCACTCTCGGTGAACATCACAGTTTCCACGACCACGAAGTCATGCCAATCAATCTGCGCGTACTCAATTCTTTCCTGCTCGTCCTGGTCTTCCTTTGCTTGCTTCTGTTCCTCTTGGTGTTTAACCCACTCGGCACGCTGCTTAGCACGCTCTAGAATGCGATATTTGCTCTTCGCATTAATTTCCAGCTCCGCAACTCGTTTCTCTAATGTGGTGGCGTCATCGATACCTTCCGCCCGCAATAATATTGTGTACTGGTCAATAAGCCGAGTAAAATACTGGTGAAGACTATTGCCAGGTCGGAGGAATTCAAATTGAGGATTGCGAGCCTCTCGCTGTGAGAGCGCCGTGACAAATGACTTTCCTCGCTTCGCGACAAAAAGAGCTGTGAGCTTGACAACTTCCAGATCTTGCGAATGACTTATTGGCATGCGAGCAGAGAAGTAGAAGGCGGGAGGTTCGGGGGGGCCTGTAGGCTTTTCAGGTTCGGTGGCAGGGGCAGTTTCGCCTGGTCGTCCAGCAGAGACCGCAGTACCTCGACCTTCGCCGATTTCGGTCAAACGCCACTGGTAGAAAGGCGCATACGCATCGCCGGCATTTAAGAAGGAAAATTTGGGATTGCTCTTTTCTTTCTCGCGGACACGATCTAAAAGTAGTAAAAAGTATGCAGCGTCAGTCATATTGTCGAGGGAAATGGGTAAATCTTTCATAAGAGAGAGAAAAAACAGATGCGTAGCTTTCTTACCTTCAAAGACTGACCCATTTCGAGAAACGTAGCCAGCAGTCTTCTCAACAATCGCTATGGTTGGTGGTTAGCCATATTCTTGCCATGTTCTCGTCGCGCGTGTATTAAGAATGGAGCTCACCTCTTATGTCTTTTGGCGGCAGCACCAAACCTTCGGGAGGTTTGTTAATATCCTCCGGTAAAGGAGTGTTGCCATTTGAGGTATCCATGGCGACGCTAGCAATGAAATCGACGAACGTATTCCACCTTTGATGGGAGGTTCGAGCATTGAATCTTCCACAGGTTGGTTTGCTGACTAACGTAATCACATCTGGTCTCTCTGCCTTAAGTACCAGGTGTCTAGAAACATGTACACGTGATCATGTATCCACTTCTCCGAGCTGAACCCCCATTAGGTAATGAGTTTGCAGCACGCGCAAACCCGCATGCAGCTGTTGACCAGACCTACATTGATAGTATACATACGCATGTGGTAAAAGGCATCAATGGAATTTATATTAGTATATTTACGTCGAATTAGGGATTGCGGGTCGAATCTCTCATAATGTCTCTTACAGATATCGATTGATGGTGAACCTGAATTAATTAACAAGAAAGAATCAATGTTACGTAGAACGAATGATCATAGTAAGACATTTCGCTACTCGGAGCCACTAAGAGAGAGAAAAGGCTGAAGGTTAAGGTAATAGGGGTCGGTGTCTGTGTTGACCGCACTCCGCCCCCAGTCGATCTGGCCTCTCTCTGTTTTCGTCCATTCCATCACCCACTTGTTTCTTCTTCTGCTTCTTCTTTTTGATAAAATAATTTCCGGGTCTTTTTCTCTTCTTCTTCATTCCCTTCAGCCCCTGTCATGGGGCGTTTTCTTTTGACCTTTCACGATCATTAAACTTATTTGACATTTGTGGTGACGGGCGCTTGAGAGCTTCAGGCTGTCAATTGCTACTTTACCCTGGCTGTCGAACCCCATTAACCTTCTGCAATTGAATTGCTTCCCAACTCGAATCGCTGATTTCATCCTGTCCTTTTCTACGTCTCTTTTCATTCATCTCAATTTGATCGACCCCCTCCTTTGTTTCCGGTTACTTGCCCTACTCCACCCTCGTGCGTCCCATCGAGACCGGCATCATGGGTCAGAAATCGAAAGACACTTTGGCTGTACGGCCGCAGAGCCGTGGCCGAAGATCTCCCAGTCGCTCGCCGCGGCCCAAAAATCGCAAGCCTATCCAGCCGCAACAGCCCGCAAGCTATGCATCAGACGGCGTTAAAGACTACGACATCCTGAATCTCCCCGCCTCTGACTATAAACTACTCGTTCTGGTGACTCTCATTGCCGGTGCCGTCCGCCTATTTCGCATCTACCAACCTACGAGTGTTGTGTTTGATGAAGTACAGTATGTTCTTTTTTTCTCTCTTTCTCTCTTTCTTTTTTTCTGATAGCGGATGAGGGGTTCTCCCCTTGGCCCTGTTGACACCAAATGAAGAGCTCATGCTAACATTCGAGGCACTGTCTATAGCTTCGGAGGCTTCGCAAGCAAGTATATCAAGGGGAAATTCTTCATGGACGTGCATCCGCCACTGGCCAAGCTGCTGCTCACGCTGGCGGGGTGGCTAGCTGGATTTGATGGTGAATTTGATTTCAAAGACATTGGCAAAGATTACCTTGATCCTGGTGTTCCTTATGTTGCCATGCGTTTGCTGCCGGCAATTTTAGGTGTCTTGACTGTGTCATTGATGTTCCTGACGCTCAAGGCAAGCGGCTGTCGGTCTTCAACAGCGGTCATGGGTGCCAGCATTGTAATTTTTGGTAAGAAACAATGGGTGTGAATAAAATAGACGAGGTAACTAACCGTTTTGCCAGACAATGCGCTCACCACTCAGTCCCGTCTAATCTTGCTCGACTCTCCCTTAGTATTTTTCACGGCGCTGACTGCCCTGTCGTTCACCTGTTTCTCGAATCAACAGGAACTAGGACCTGCTCACGCCTTCCGCGGCCCCTGGTGGTTTTGGTTGGCTGCAACTGGTGTCTCTTTGGGTGCCACTCTAAGTGTTAAGTGGGTTGGTCTTTTTACCATGGCCTGGGTTGGCGCCCTCACAGTCCTCCAGCTGTGGGTGGTGCTTGGTGATTCAAAGAGCGTCACTCCTCGGTTATGGTTTAAACACTTTTTCTCACGCGCCTTTTGCTTGATCGTCATTCCAGTCGCATTCTATCTCGCCATGTTTGCCATCCACTTCACCTGTCTGGTCAATCCTGGCGAGGGAGATGGGTTTATGTCCTCGGAGTTCCAGGCTACCCTTAATTCCAAGTCGATGCAGGATGCGCCCGCAGATGTCTCCTTTGGATCTCGTGTGAGCTTTCGTCACTTGAACACTCAGGGTGGCTATTTACACTCGCACAACCACATGTACCCAACTGGCAGCAAGCAGCAGCAGATTACTCTCTACCCTCATAAGGATGAGAACAATGTTTTCGTTCTAGAGAACCAGACCCAACCCCTGGGCCCTTATGGAGAAATACCTGGGGCATTTGCCTGGGATAACCTGACTGCTGCTGATAATTTTATAGAGGATGGTTCAGTAATTAGACTATACCACGAGCTCACCCATCGAAGGGTTCACTCTCACGATGAACGTCCTCCCGTGACCGAAGCCGATTGGCAGTTCGAGGTATCTGCATATGGATACGAAGGATTTCCTGGAGATGCCAACGATTTGTTCAAAATTGAAATCGTGCCATCAATGTCAGAGGGTGATGTGGCTAAGTCGCGTGTCCGCACCATTCAAACCAAGTTCAGACTGGTTCATATCATGACTGGTTGTGTACTATTTTCTCACAAAGTCAAGCTCCCAGATTGGGGTTATGAACAGCAAGAAGTTACATGTGCGCGTGGTGGTACTCTCCCCAATAGCGTTTGGTACATTGAGTCCAACTCACACCCCACCATGTCGCCAGACGCCGAGAAGGCAAACTACCGTAACCCTGGCTTCCTAGGCAAGTTCTGGGAGCTCCAAAAGGTGATGTGGACCACCAACGCGGGCTTGGTTGAATCGCACGCCTGGGATTCTCGCCCATCATCCTGGCCCACTCTTCTACGCGGTATCAATTTCTGGGGGAAGGATGCCCGCCAGATCTATCTACTTGGCAACCCCCTTATCTGGTGGTCTTCCACCCTTGCGATCGGCGTGTATTTGGTTTTCAAGGCCATTGCGATTCTTCGTTGGCAGCGTAACTGCAATGACTACCGCCAAATCTCGTGGAAGCGATTCGACTACGAGGTCGGTACCATTGTCTTGGGGTGGTTTTTCCATTACTTCCCATTCTACCTTATGGCTCGTCAGCTCTTTCTTCATCATTATCTCCCCGCTCTCTACTTTGCTATCATGGTTCTCTGCCAAGAGTTTGACTTTGTTCTAAACCGTGTTAAGATCTTTGGTTTCGCCTCTCGGCCCGCTCTTGGAAAGGCCCTGATGGCTGGCTTTGTGATTCTTTGTATCGCCGTGTTCACCCTCTACTCTCCCCTCATATACGGCAATCCTTGGACCCAAAGCGCCTGCCACAAGGCGAAGCTTTTGGACGGTTGGGATTTCGACTGCGACAGGTTTCACACCGACGTAAGTGTTCCAGAGTGGAGACCTCCTCGTCGAGGATACTAGAGTAGACCGTTGGACCTGTGGCTGACATCCAATTTTCACGAACAACAGCTGAGCCAGTATCATTCCCCTGTTTCAACTTTCAATCAAACGATTCCAACTACGTCCGCCCATGCGCCCCCCGCCCAGTTGCAACAGAACCAGCCCGAGCACCCCCCGGTTCAACAGCCTGTTGAGGCCATCCAGGACGAAGAAGATCAGGCTGCTGTCACTTCCCCAAAACTTGCCGGTTCCATGGCCCGTGTCGAGTACCGTGACCAGCACGGTAATATCCTACCGGAAGATCTAGTCGCCTCCCTCCGCGCAGACGGCAAGGTGAAATTTGAGACACGGTGGGAGTCTCAGTCACGTCTACAGCATGCGCATGAAATCCCTATAGTCGATGGTCAACTCGCACCTCCTCACCCCGATGTTGAAGGACAAAACCCCGAGACTGGCGGAAGCCCTGAAGATTCGATTCCGCCCGAGAAACCTGCCTCTGTTGCGCAGGGCAATGAACGATCCGCGGAGGGTTCTGGCTCCCCGGAAGCAAAACCTGCTAGTGAAGGCAATGAGGCCACCAAGCTGTAATTATTATTGTTGTTCTGATTATTCAGCGAGCCCATGTAGCGGTTGAATCCTTGTATGTGGGTTGCTAGAAGCTTTGGACATGTATCATGAACCTTTCCCTCACCTTATTTAATATTTCAAGATAGTGATGCCTTTCTTCGTAATTAGTCTGGCTCGTGTGTGGTTAACTATATATAAAGATTTCCCCATCAACTGCTGTCGCTCAATTATTTGTTAGGTATTCGAGTATTAATTAGTGCTACTACTAAGTCCCGAATCAGCCCTGGAGACAGTTAAGAGGCTCGGGTGATACCGGGCGCATTGAGTCTGATCTGCATATGAATTATAACATTTGTTTGAAGCTATCCGTGGGCCCGAGGAAACACCTGGCTGTATGTAAACCCATGTTAAGGCTCCCAAGGCTATAGTATAAGTATCGTTGGGACAGTGGCCACTCAGATATACCATCAAGAACACCTCATGCTAGTCCAGTAGTGAAGACTTTCCAAAGAAAGCAAATTTCGGTTGCAGCGTCGGATGTCGATATCATGGGCCATCTATTGGCCAATACCGTTTGTGCTTCCTACCTTTATATACATAGGAGTACATAGGGGGATGATAAGATAGAAAGCCAGCAAACATCGATCTCACTATGAATATACTCGAGAGTTATTTGAGAGCAATTCGCAATTGACTTTCTTTATCTGAACATGAAATACTATGCACAAATATCTCTAAGGCCGGAAACAAGTTCAGGCCCACTCCGCATCCCCATTTCTCTTCACCATCTTCTTAGTATACAGCAGATAACCGTGAAACGGCTGTTCGCCCTAGTAATTCCCTTCAATTGGTTCCGATCTAGCGATCTAATAGTCCCACTCTTCCTTGCCGTACTTGTTGAACTTCTCGTGAAGATCCTATCGAATGTCAGTCACGCTATTTTGAAAATGTGGCGGATAACAAAAGTTGAGATAGTGGCGATGAACGAGAGGGGGCTATCAAAGGCACAGCCTGGTTAGATGAGTTGCATACCTCGGGCAAGGTGACATTGGGGACAATGACAGTGTTCAAAGCGCTGGGTGCAGCACGGAGGGGCTGGTTCTTGTCTCCGTGAGGGTGGTACTGATACTTGTAGATCTTGCCATCCTCGGAGGCAGCATGCCATGGCATGGCGCTCTCGCCGATGCGGACGTTGCTTTCGGAGGTGACGGAGGTAGGCTTAGAGCCAAAGTACCTAGACAATCACAAATACCCAGATCAGCCAATTTTATTGATAAAGTCATTTCTCTTCGTGGTTCTGTGTGTTGGTTGAATGGTGGCGTCTCCACGTAGAATGACCCATGGCTGCTCTTATATCGACATCGGGGAGACGGGAGTACTCACCATCCAGCGATCAGGAAAGCTCCGGACATGACACCGAGAAGAACCTATAGGCACGCGAGTTAGACTAGGGGCCGTGAGATAGTCAATGGAAATTAAGTATCCGTACATATAGCTCGGGGTCACGCTTAGGAGCCTTGTCAAGGCTGGCCTCCTCGACCTTAGAGGACATAAAGCGACGCGGGGGGGCGCGGAAGATAGGCTGGCGGGCAAAAGCCCGGCGAGAAGCCATAGCAGCAATTGATGACATACTGACAGCAAGTTGTTCGTCGACGAGTAATTCAAGGAGGACTGCGGCCGGGACGGTGCGAGAGAATCATGGAACATCAAATGATGGTGCCACATCACGTGATTTGGTGACAGATGAGTCAGCGCGGGAGTTGACCTCATTGACCTGTGGGATTTGTTACCTTCGGGGCTCAATTGATCTGGCTTGCGCTCCCTCAACTAGATCTACTGGTCTCACTGTTGTGTTCGCATTCCTCAGTGTGGTCAAGGCTAGTCCAAAAAATCTTATCTCTACTGGATCACTGGGATTCATAGGTATGTGTGGCTGTTGTTGCTTACTACTCTTCCTCCAAATCAGGGGCATATATGCGAATCTCCTATTTGTCCCCGGATTTGTGAGACGCGTGGTGGTTGCAATGGGGTCCTTCTCGGTTTTGTCAGAATCATATAGCTAACGCAGGTCTAGCACTTTTAGATTCCCTTTTCCTTGCAGTCGCTCTTTAATTTTTACTTTTTCTTCAGCTGTCACCTCATTCCTCCCCAGGATTCGTTACAAGCTTCCCAAAATTTTGCTCTCGGAATCGCCAAAGTTCGCTAGCGCTGTCTATTCGTTTGCAGACTGTCACCTGACCAAGTACTGTCAAGGCAAATATGCAAGCAGACGCGACATTCTAGCTGAAATCAACCGCACTCTTTCTTGATAATTTAGAGAATGGAGAGCGCATCAGATCGCCTCGAAACAACCGAATATTCGGGAGAACATCATGTATTGGGAATTCCACGCCCTCCGTCGGTCGGGGGAATATCATCTCGGGTGACAGACATGGCATCTGAGGATGGAGAGCAATCGTCCTTTCCATCCCCGCGCCCGCCTCTTCAATCGCAGCGGCCGTCCGTATCTCGACGTGGTCCACCACCCACAAGAAACTCTGTAACGAGTAGACCAGGCAGTTCTGGTAGCCGCTTGAGTAGGACACATATTCCTTCTCTCACGGCGCAGGCATTTTTTCGTCCCATGAGCTCACAACGTCTGCAAGCCCACCGGGGAGGCCGGCCGATGACCAAGGGAACCATTTCCTCAACCGAGGAATGGGGGGATCAAATGAGTCAGAATCGAAGGAGCTTGATCTCAAACAGCACAAACCCCCAGGGCTCTCTTCCCCCAGCTGATATGGAGGCCCCTCCCTCGCGAGGTACAGACTTCACAGACCCCATTATTCCAGATCGGAACACATCCAATGCTAGCCCAACGGGAAATACGACAGTCCGAAGTCTCGGGGAAAGTGTCCGGCTTTTACGGGACCGAGATCAAACTGACAAAAAAAGGCCTGAGTATTTGAATCTGAATGTAAATTACAGCGTACACAACCCGCATGATGCACCGCCCCCCAAATCGCCGCTCTCGTTTCTTTCATACCAGCATAAAGGATCCGCACATAATGGTAATGATCCCCGGGGTCATGAACGGCTTTCTTCTGCAGGCTCCTCTCCTGGACCTACCGACATCAAAAAGCAAACATTTCAAAGGGCTAGCCTAGGAAAGAACTATGAATATTTTATTGGCAACACCTTTTTCTGTGGTGGGGGTCGACTCCAGAATTCGAGAGATAAGCCTATCAATATTCTCACTGGGCTGCTAGTGCTTGTTCCATCAGCCTTGTTTTTTGGGTTCTCAGCTCCTTGGATTTGGCACAATATCTCTCCTGTCATCCCCATCTTGTTCGCATATGTGTTCTATGTTTGCTTCTCGTCATTCGTGCATGCCTCTGTCGTTGACCCCGGTATCATGCCTCGAAATGTGCATCCTATGCCTCCGACGAGAAATTCGGACGACCCTTTGGTACTTGGACCGCCCACAAATGACTGGGTCATGGTCAAGCTTGCGACTTCTGAGTCAGCGGCCATGGACGTTCCCGTCAAGTATTGCAAGACATGCAACATTTGGCGCCCGCCTCGTTGCTACCACTGTCGTGTTTGTGATAACTGCGTGGAAACCCTAGATCACCACTGTGTCTGGCTCAACAATTGTGTTGGACGTCGCAACTATCGCTACTTTTTTGCTTTTGTGAGCTGGGGTACCTTGCTAGGGCTTTTTCTACTCGGTGCCAGTCTAGCACATATTTTGGTTTACATGTCGCGTGAGAATATTTCTTTCGGCGCATCGATTTCGAAGTGTCGTGTCCCTTTTGCTATGTTCATTTATGGTGCCGTTGCAACCCCATATCCATTGTCACTATGGATCTATCACTTGTTCTTGGTTGGCCGAGGAGAGACCACCCGAGAGTACCTCAACTCCCACAAGTTTGCCAAGGCAGATCGTCACCGACCTTTCACCCAGGGCAATGCTTTCCGCAACTGGATTTCAGTTCTGGGACGACCTCGCCCCCCTACTTACATGCAGTTCAAGCGCCCCTATCAAGAAGCTGATCAGCGCTATGCCATGCAAAAACGCAAGTATCTAGTTCACCGTGATGTCGAGTCTCAGGCGGGGATTGAAATGCAAGAAGTCGGTCCCAATGAATAGATACCGTCATTAGCGAAAAGCGACGTCTGCGTCCATCTCTCCATCTGTTATGACCCGTCAAGATGATATGAAGCTTTTTTTCTTTCTTGGTCTTATGCCATCTTCTCCTGGGAAATGGTATTTCCCCGATCTATAGTTTTTTTTTTCTTATATTGTTTTTTAATTGTCATATTCATACCCTTGTGCTAATTTCCTATTTGTTCATGTCAGCCTGGCGAGGCATTCTCATGTTATTAACACTCCCTTTCATCTTTTCATTCTTCTTCGGCTTCTCCTTCATTATTCTCATTTTTTGGTTGTTTACTTCTTCCTCTTATCCTCCCTTCGATCCTGATTGATCGTCAGATACTGACTTCGTGTCTTGGGTCTTCGACCCCCCATTCTCTTTCCTTCTCACCTTCTCACCTTCTCTACACTTTTCTTCCAGAGTTCCATTTTGAAAGTTCCTATATCCAACTGGGGGAGAAAGTAGACATCATATCTACCATATGACCAAATAAATCTATGTGTACTCTAATACAATACAATTTGAACCTGCTAAACACCATCCATCAAGTATAGACGCATATACATAGTAGGCTTTTTTTCCCTGCGGAGAAAAGGAGACGTGAAGCGAGTGTTTAAGAATTTGGACATTCCGATCCGCATTATACTATATCATTTCCCCTCCTTTGAATTTTTTATTTACCTCCCCCCTTGATTAGATTCTCGGTGAATTCACCCGCAAACTGGGTGGTGTTGATGTTGCACGCGTCAGACACCCACTTCGCCCTAAATTGATAAGAGGCGCGCGGGTGCTGATCCTCCCCAACCTTTCTACGCCCCTGATACCCCCGACCTGACTATCCTTTCGCCGTCCCCCACACCAAGACAGTCTTCACGCGCAGGTGCAATCTCTCTTTTCCGACTTGCAGATCCCCTGCGCAATATGACGCGTCGGACCTCTCGTCTACTTGCCCCCGGCACTCCCGGGCTGGTTGATGTCTATGCTGCACAGGACACTATTGATGACACCATGAGTCTAGGTGTACCGGAACAACTACTGACGCCAGATGCCAGTCGCTCCGAGACTTCAAGCACCAGTGAAATCGCGTCGACCGAAGACCAGCCTGCTTCCCGGCGTAGGTCAACACGAGTGGTTCGCGCATCGATGCGAGCCACCGAGGCACTCGAAAACACCCCTTTAAAGAAAGATCAGGCCACTACTTCGACAAGTCAGGCTTATGTCGACAATCTCGTCAAGTCAAAGCGCTCGCGTTCCGGCCTCAGGCATAGTATTGCGGTGATGGAGTCGTCGTTGTCAGACGAATCGCCCCTCCCAGCAATTGGTACGGAAATGGAAGATCAACCAAGGGCCCCCGATACGCCTACCTCCAAATCTTCCCAGGACGCGCAGGTGGATGACATGCAGGAGAGTGTACAGAATCGCCTGGAAAAGACATCAACTAAAGAAGATACATTGGCCCTGACGGCACTTCAGAATGCCTCACGCCAATCTCTACGACGGTCAAATCGTGTCAGTATCTTGAGCAAAGCATCATATCTTTTGGACCGGGCCACTAGTGTTCTAGGTAAACGCACAAGAGATATGAGCGTTAAGGAGGAACGGATTAGTCGTCGTGCTAGTCTTCGACCTCGAAATATTGCGCCTGTCAAACAAGCCGAGCCGCTCCCGAATCCACCGAAGACTGCGCCCGAAAAACGACGCGTTTCCGAAAGCGACCTCCTAAAGCTCAAATCAAAAGAAGTCTCGCCTTCTGAGGAGCCCGCCCCTCAGTCCATTCCAAGGCCTAGGCCTAAGCCGAAAATGTGGTTGAACCATGGCCTTTATAGTGGGCAAGAAGGAAGCGACTCTCCCCCAAAGCAGCGCAAAAGCAAGAATTCAGGCAAGACTAGCTCTGATGTTAGACAGCGGCTCCATCTTCCTATGCCCATCTTTGCTGGAGCTCGACTCGTCAAGAACGGGAGGGACTACGTCTTGCCGTTCGACATATTCTCTCCACTTCCATCAGGCCAGCCGAAGCCCGATGAGTGGCGTAAGACTAATAAGAATGTTTTCGTGGGTGATGCCGCTGGCGAATGGAAGGCAAATAAGAAACTGGAACTGTCGACTTGTATGTGTGAGAGAGAAACCGGTTGTGATGAGAATTGCCAGAATCGTTACATGTTCTACGAATGCGACAGTGGCAACTGCTCACTTGGATCAGAATGTGGTAACCGAAATTTCAGCGAACTGAAGATTCGAACAAAAGCAGGCGGAAAATACAATATTGGCGTTGAGGTTATCAAGACTGTAGACCGAGGCTACGGTGTACGGAGTAATCGCTCCTTTGAACCCAATCAGATTATTGTGGAATATACCGGGGAAATCATCACGCAGTTCGAGTGTGAAAGAAGGATGAGGAACGTGTATAAGAATAACGAGGTATGTAGTTCGCGGTGTGGGGTTGTCTTATGCCAATGACTGACCACTTTCTCAGTGCTACTATCTGATGTACTTCGACCAAAACATGATTATCGACGCTACACGCGGCTCCATTGCTCGTTTCGTCAACCACTCTTGCCAGCCAAATTGCCGGATGGAAAAATGGACGGTTGCTGGGAAGCCACGAATGGCTCTATTCGCTGGAGATCGAGGAGTCATGACTGGAGAGGAGTTGAGTTATGACTACAATTTTGAGTGGGTTCACCTAGGTGATGCATTTCAAGAAAGGAAGAAATTGACTGATGTTTTTGATAGCCCTTATTCCAACAAGAATGTCCAGGAATGTCGCTGTGGCGCAGCAAACTGTCGTGGTATTCTTGGTCCCCGGCCAAAAGATAGAGACCAGCGTGCCAAACCGGAGGCAGCTGACAGCACCAAGAAGCCTCTGAAAAGCACCGGTACAAAACGGAAACGCACCACAACGGCCGGAACTGCGTCTGTTCAAGCGAAGAAGCGCAAGCTACTTACACCGAAATCCGTCAAGGCTGGCATCAAGAAAGCCGCAACCAAAGTCTCAATTGCACGTAGCAAAACACCAACCACAAAGAAAAGTAATACTGTGGCTACTTCAACAGTAAATGGTCAGAGAGGGGCGAAAAGCACGGCGAAGAAAAACGTCAAATTGCCCACTGTCAAGGCAGCTTCGAGGGTGAAAGCGGCCGTTCAACGAAAGACAGGTCCAACCAAGACAACCTCCAACGTTGCCAAAGGCTCCAAGTCTACGAAAAAAGAGAAAGCTCTCATCGCTAAGCCCAATACCAAGGGTAAATCAAACAATAAAGAGGCAGGTTCCGGTAAACCTTCCACCGGAAGCAGGCCATCCAAAAGTTCTGCTAAAGCAAATACTTCTGCTGCAAAGGCAAAACGGAGCCCAGTCAAAACTGCTACAAAAGCTCAAGGCCTGGGTAACACCGTCAAAAAGGTCGTTCGTCGTGTCGTTCGCCCCGTCAAGACAACCGAAAAGTAAACAGCGCAGCCATATCTGAACAGACGAGAAGCCAGCCTTGCTTTCTGCATCTTTTGTCTGATCCTGTTGTCCCCCTTTTCTTTTCGTTTCGCCAAATCAATTTGGCTGATCTGCGCTATATGCTCAGAATATCCTTGTACTCACGTTTCCAGCTGCATTTGCTTCCCCCTTTGTCCGTTTAGCTTTGTTACTGTTAAAACGAGAGAGGCCCATGCAGAACTCTCCCGCGGGGGTTTCTTTCTACCGGAGCCTCATGTTGTCTTCTTGATATTAGTTTTCCACGCTTGCATGGTATTCCAATGCCCTTATTGACGGGTTAATGACACCCTCAAACGGCGTTTTGTACGATTTTTATTTCTTTCTTTGGAGCCCTTGATGTGCAACTGGGGCTGAGAACACAATTTTGTTCAATTGACCTTCTCTCCTATTCAGTATATCTATTTCCCTCTTAGTCATTTCTAGTCTTTTGATCTGCCACATCGTCATGAATGGAGTTTTGTTAGTAGACTAACTACTAGAAGTTGAACAGCCCTGAGTGGGTGATTGGCGAGGTAGTGCAGGCGTAGTAGTTGGTAGTATATATGTACATATTTATGTTTAATTGATTTGTTCATCTCGATCGAGTGGTACTATATAAATATCTCATGCTATTTCCAGGGTTTGGTTCAAGCCATAATTGATCTAGACACCTACTGTGTGCGCTTTCTGCACATAGATTCAAAACTTGAAGATATGTATGTACCTCCAATAAAATCTTACATCCATCCGTGCCCAGGTGGATACGTACTAAATACCCACCCAGGTAATCACTGGCACATGTGCAGCGCTGGCAGTCCTGAGGATAGCGGACATCTAGAGCTACATACTATGAGTAAGATGCATAGATGTCAACCTCCAAGACGCACGACCTTGAACATTTACATGAGCAGATGAACTTGTCCGAAATGACCCAACAGGACCTTGGTACTAGTTCTAATATATTACAAAAACATCGGATAAAGCTGTGAGCCCAAACCCCGCTCGAACCCGTACGAGCCGGCGTACATACATCGTAAATTAGTTGCCTCCTTGCGGAGAGACCGCATCCGTGAAAACATGGGGAGCCCTAACTAACTCATCATATATTTATCCATGTTGATCCACCAAAAATATTATGCAGGCTCTGAAGCTGGACCAGAAGCTGGCTCGGTAATATCATTCGTCTCCTTCGTCTCCTCTTGGGACACAGACACAGATTCATCACTAACAGAGACTTGTGTATTAACCACATGTTCAGATGGGGCAGGGGTTGGTGAGTTGGGCTGAATTGGATCGGGAATAGGTGTTGAATTTCTCTCCTCGAGGATCAGTTCCCGAGTCGCAGGTGGATCGGAGGATTCGGAGGTATCAATGGCTGGCGAAGGTTCCATGGAGATTAACGATGGAAGTAAAGGAGGTGTTTTGGAATGTATGGCAGTAATAGGCTCATTCGACTGAGATCCTTCATTGAGTCCTGAAACTTCAATGGGTTCTTTTGATTGTAGATCTTCTTTTGGCTCTTCTTTTGACTCTTCTTTTGGCTCTTCTTTTGGCTCTTCTTTTGGCTCTGGAGCCGTTTGATCCTTCTCTAGTATGGCGGAAGTCCCTCCTATGTCTTTGCCAGCCTCTGATGCTAAAGTGTTTTCTATTTGAGGCTCATTTGAAGCTGGATGTGTAGTTTCATTCACAGTCAACTCTGGCTCCAGACCTCTTATTTCCGGATGGACAGAGTGACCTTCTTCGGCGCGCATCGCATGATCAGCGGAGGCCGAGCCTAGTGAATCTCCGCCAGTGGATTCAATTTCTTGCTTGGCCTCAAGTGTTGGAATATCAGCCGTTTCTTGAATTGGCTCTGCCGCCGGAGCCTCTAGATTGCTTGATTCGGTAGACTTATGGGGCTTGTGGGTTCGAGGCTGTTCTTCAAGCACATCACCAGTCCCCAATTCAGATGGAATTTCGGGCTTTATGGATTCATCGAGTAGCTCCTGTGATCCAAAATTGTCGGGAACCTGTTTATTTGAATCACTGTCATGCTCAGTGGAAGGATGTGCCATTTTGACTGTCTCCGTAATAGATATAGACGTTGGGGGATCATTGGGGTCGAGTTTGTTCTGGGAATCATTAATCTGTGTCACTGGCGTGCTGGACGGGTCTGATGCCACTCCCAGCCTAGTCACAGAGGGGTTCACTGGGACTGGAGGTTGTTGCTCAAAAGTGACGTCTGTCATTTCGATGTCGTTTGTCTCGGTCGTACTGGCGGCGGCAGGATGGTCTGCGGACTCGGTAATATATGGAGCCTGTGGGGTTTCTGGAGTTTTCGCATCCATAATGGACTCGTCTGCCTCATCACTATCTTCGCCGTCCTCGCCATCCTCGCCATCCTCGCCATCCTCGCCGTCCTCGCCGTCCTCGCCATCTTCATCATCCTCTTGACCCGACTGGTCAATCGGCATCTGCAAAGCTACCTGACCTTCTGTGGGGCCACCAGTGTGAACGTTTGTATCGGTAGAAACGCCATGGACAGTAGCAGCATCTGCTCCTTCTCCTGGTGCGAACATAACCTTCTTCTTCCTGCCTTTTCCGATGCCTTTGCCCTTGCGTTTGGGTGGAGGTGGCCGCCGTTTAGGTGGGGTCATTACAGAAGCCGAACCAGCTTCTGCAATTACAACACCCTCCGAATTGACAATCCCGACGCCTTCTACGACGGTCCCCGGGGCTGGCATCTCAGAATTAATGGACACATCACTCTGTCCAGCAATAGCCTGAACATCTCCAGTGATTTCTCCCTCAATACGATGGCCTTCGGGTACCCATGCTTCGTATATGGATATTTTGCCTGTCGTTGTATCTGTTTTCTGAAACTTGGTGCGGCGCATTGGACCAGGTCCAGAGCCTGAGCCATCCACCGTCGCTGTACCTCCGTAAAGTGACGGCAAGCCAGATCTTCGTTTGGCCAAGAACTCCACATCCGCAGGCTCCAGCTGTTTCGGGAGAGTAGACCATTTCCGACTTACGAAGCTCCGTTCTGCTGCATGAGTGCCTGTAGCTCCGTCGTCGCCTTCTCCCGCTTCCTTTTCATCTTTGTCGGATGTGCGGATATTCTGATGGATGTAAATACAGCCTGCGCGGGCGGCCCTCAAGAGAGCACGGCTACCAGCACCTAGAAGTTGGCTATCCCGTGGCATGGCCAGTTCCGGAAGTCTCCCAGTGCCACCGGGGCCCTGCACGACAAACTCGGAGTCTTCAGTCTTGGGGGCCTGGGAATGCGTATGTGGTTGGCGCGACCAGCGTCGAACAGGCAATCCTTCGAAGACATCATGGTCGATTTGACCGGTTCGCGTGCGACTGCTATCGAACTGACGCCCAGAACGCGATGACCGGAACTGCAAGAGTTGTTAGCATGAGACGACTTGTTTCAATTTAATGTCTGACTGAGAGTGAAATATAGACATGTTCCGCGAAACTTTCAGGCCTATCAAGATAAGAGAAAGAGTTCATAGGGTTGCCACGAAGACTCACAGTCGATGGCATGATAGTTAACTAGCCTTGGGGCTTCGATCACCACTCGCAAGAATCGCGAATTTGCCTGCGGAAATACCGGGTCGATGGTAATAGGGGTAGCAAAAACAATACCAGGGATATTGAAAAGCGGGAGATGTATCAATGGCAGTTAACCAGAATGTCGTGGGAGCGTTAGAAGACAGGAGGGTATCACGGTCGCGCATGCGAACTGATGATCTCGCGGTTTGCGGGTAAGGAGTAATATCACGTGATTTACCATGAGCCAGCGTGTTGGACGGAGGAATTGATCGGAATATAAATATCAAGACCTATATAAATAATTACTCCAGGGCTAGATAGTACCGAGTGGAAAGTGCAATGGCAGTCGATAGGAGAGTGGTGATTTTTTATGCGTTGGTTGGAATTAATAGGCTCATCCTCCTCAACAGCGCTTGTACTATATAATACAGAAGGGATAGTAGTAGCATTTGAAGTGGACGAGGTATCCATTCATAGCCTTGTTCTCTTTCAATCAATCTCGAATCCTGTCTCATTCAACTCGCCGTGGGTTCATCCAATTGAACCTCAAGACTTAATCCCAACTGCAAACAGTCAATATCAATGTGGCATCACGTTCATGGCATGATGGAAGACATACCCCGTGTCTTTCTGACGAACAATATCTCCCTGTTCACCACTCTGCTTACCCTGTAAAGAAGCCTTCATTTAGCCGAGTAGGAGACTTGGGGCTTAATTGGAGGTGCCTACTGTTTTCTGACCCTCCACGACCAACTTATCCAGCTGATAGAACTGGCTGATAATTGTTTGCCTCTGCCGCCCTTGTCAGTTTGGTTCTTCCTTTAAGGTTTGGTCTGCTGTTGTGGTTTGAAGCTGGCCTAGATGACTCAATGCATCAAACCACAAATGCCATTTTTCTGAGCAGTTCGTCATTATTTCACTCCAAAATCATTCATCGACTAACCTTTAACAAGCGCAAATCCTGCAGGCCACTTTGGATCAATTCCTGGATCCGGCGTTCTTCTGACTCCTTCTGACCCTCGCGGAACGAGTCACGCGTCTTGCGGCGGGCGTATTCACGGAAGTTGTAATTGGAGAATTGAGAGGATTGCCTCAGTAAGGATCGGAACTGGTGAAAAGGGAATACCAAGATTAGTGGACATGGACCATGATTTAGGCATGTTAAAGGCAGAGATGACTTACCAAAGAACGGACCTGAAAGGCGGTACTGCTATGCGCTGTTGCAACAGACATGACGATATGTTGTGCTGTGGGAGTGGGATAGAAATGCGATCTTCGACCTTGTTGTCTTGTCCCAAAGCGGCACTGGAGATATACTCAAGATATAATCAAGGATTACAGACGGGCAATAAGATTGTCCGTGCCGTTGAATATGTCACAAAGATAAGTTGTATTGCCGTAGGTAGTTGCCCAAGCACATAAGACGACCTTTGATCGAGGTGGTTGTGCACAGGATCGAGCACTTATTCTAGGCCGGAGGTAATCAGATTAAATAACCGAATGGACTCCGAATAGCTTCAGATCGAGGGTTGATAGCAGATGACGGATGCGATCAACGACAGAGTAAGTGGAGGACCGGAGAGATGACAGCTTGGACAAGGCACAGAGCGGAGAGCGGGAAATTCTTTAGCGTTCGGAGTCGCCAATGACGGAGTTACCGGGGCCGAGCTCTTCCACTCCGTGATTATTTGTCTCCTGCTCCCCGACAACACTTCTTGCACCACCACCGCCATCGTTCTTTAGTTGATCTATTGAATTACTCAACAAAGAACTTGAAAATGTCTCAAATATCCACCCCACATGCTTCGCGACCAGGATCGGAGGCGCTTGACATTGAGATGAAGTCCGCGGAGATGAAAAGGCCTTCATCGGAGTTGCGCCAGTCTTTGGATACTCTACTTGAACAATACTTATACCTGCTGGATCGACAGCAAGAATTGCAGTCGGGATTATCCCAACAGTTGGCCTCGGTAGGATTCTGATCTTGTGATAAATGATGATCTAGTCCACTGCTAAGACACCCTATTAGGGATTTCTCTCCCTTGCCCATGCAAACTACACCTGCCCCCCCGGCCGACGATACGGCGCCGACTACTACGATGATAGAATGAAGGCAACACGAAAAATGTAGGTATCCCTGAGTGTAGCCACTTGTTTCGCTCGCCTATTGACTTTTGGTATGGTTAGTTCGGTTCAGACTCGACCAAAAAAGGCCCATGCCGAGACAACGAAATTGGAAGACAAAGCCGTCTGTACTCAATTAAAGGACAATGATTACTGGCTGGCCATGGATTATACTCCTCACAGCAATACAGAGCAACGGCGCAACTCGGACTCTGGATCGCCAGAGCCGCGGGACTCTAACATCGAAGATGCTTCTCAACCCCTTACTTCAGCCCTAGATGAGAATGAGGCGCCGGTCCATATTATTGACGGTGCAAATACCCCTCGAAAGGAAACTACAACCCCAAGGTTTCAATCTGATAACCCCATCCATTGGTATGGTATCTTGGTGCCATCATCGTTGCGCAGCGCTCAAAATGCTTTCACCGACGGCATTCAGGGTCATGTACCCCAATTAGCGGCCATAACCATGAAAATGCGTGCTTTAGAACAACAGATTACCCACCTGCAGACTGAACTGGCTTGAGGATTGCGTGAAGCATTCTATGTGAACCCTTTCAAGATTGATCCGATAGGTATATTGAAGATAGGATGAAACTTGGTCGAGAAAGACCTTGAAATGATCGAGCCCAGTCGTTGTAGACAGACCAGTGGAAATTGCATACTAATAAATAGAAGAACATCTGCGGGCACCATCTTTGCCAGGTGGGTCGCTATCTTGGTTCCAATTCGCCTCTATTCCATGATTGTATCAACCTCAACCTTCCAAGGCTGTAGACTAGACACATGGATCTATCACTTGGTGACTTCTCCCACGGATTTTAAGAGTTGAGTATGCAAGAACCTCCATACGGAGGCATTGTGATTTTAGTCCCGAGTACTGATCATAAAAGTCTATTCTCCCATAGCTTTCTAGTTCCAGGTCTTCTGTATGCGGTTAGCTTGTTTCATCTGGTGTTCCAACGTTTCCTCTATTTCCGATGGCTTCAGGTGTCTTCTTCTTCTCAACACCATCCATAAAGCCCGGGTTATGGAGGTTTTCTTCGTCGAGGGCCATCTCTATTTGTGAACCATTCTTCCTTGTCGCGTAATTACCAATTTACCAATTCACAGGTTATGAAGTATCATTGTTTCTTGAATTCTTGTACGACTCGGGTCTAAGCGAACCCCCCCCCCCATCAATGTGAGACGTAGCGTCGGAGACTAACGCTTGGAGCGCAACCCCCCCACTGGGCCCAGTCCCGTCCAGGGTCATTCGTACGCTCCACATCCTCCGTCCATGCGTACACTGACTTTGCTTTGTGCATATTGGAATTTTGCATTTTGCATTCTGTACTCCGTAGCATGACCTGATTCACCTGGAACAAGATCTTCTGGTAGAACGACAGAAGGGCCATTTAATGATCAGGAAGGAGATCGTTCCTGACTCTGTGATATCTACCACGCTGAATCCAACGGGATTGAGGCTTGTTGTTAGTGGATTAGTGTAATCTATTAAATTAAACAAATTTGATTGATTCAATGTGTTCAAAATTAAATCTCTTGGTATGTGGTCTCCACTATCACCCATCAGACTAGCCTTGTCTTTCCCCCTGCCATTTTTTCTATTGTTTAATCTAAATCAACCAGGTTTGAGGCTGGTGGCTTGAACTTGTGTCAGATACTTACTTAGGCCCTCCGTGCCGAGTAGTCTCTCTGGTGCCGCTCTGTTCTCCTCAGTCGGTCTCCTTTTTCTTCTTTTCTTTCTTTGTTCGCAACTCATTTGAGAGCTGGTGACTCTTCCGTTCGTTTTGTGCTGCGTAGGTCAAATCCGCGTTGGCTCTACTCCAGTTCTAGTTCTATGTTCGGGCTAACAAGAATTCTCAACTCCAGGTTTTGCGCTGTACTTTTCTTCTTCCTTTTGGATCGGCAGGTTTGATACTTGCGATCGCAGTCTTTCGTTAAATTTGTCTTTCTCCAACACCTAGGTAAGCTCTTACGCCAGGTAGCTTGATGGTGCTTTATGGATTCTAACCTTGACCCCCCACTGAAACAGGGAGCATTGAATGCCCCGTCCTTTCTTTCTTAATTTTATATTCTATAGCAGCGCGGAACTGCTACTCTATCGACCGTCCCAGAGTCTTACAGTCACTGTTGATCTGCCATCTTGCTGGTGGTGGCACTATTCATTCATCTCTCGTTTCATCAACATCCATACATTCCGCATCTTTCCTGTCAACCGTCTTGCTTGATTCGGGTATTGTGCCAACAACTTCACTATACTCATTTGCTCGGTTTTTCTTTTTAGTATCATTCTTTTTTGCAGATCTGCAAGAGAGATTTGGCTTAATTAGGTTATTTGGTGATCTCATCGTGACCCTTGAACGCTGAGATTCTTGCGACATATCCGCAATACGGAGCCACATTGTCCGATTTTGACCAAAAGCCAATGTCTTTACCGGGTCAGGCCAATTCTGGGCCAAGTACCGGCCCCTCTGCCTCGGGACCAGATAGGAAAGGGTCCGTCAAGAGAGCACGTCAGTTGCTGGAAGCAGGAGTCCGACCAACGCAAGAAAAACCTCAAGCTTTGAGACAGCCACCAATGCCGCCAGCAGCTCGAAATATTGCTCATCAAACACAATGGCCGTTGCCAGAATCAGGTCTGCAGCCTCGACCTCTAAACCCCCACCAGCCACGTTTCATGACTCCCAGTGGCCCCCCGCCACTCAGGCCCCCACGGCCAAGTGAGGTTCCGTCGCAGATCCCTTCGCCGTCAGTATACTCAGTACGAAGTGGCGAGAGTCCCGAGCCTAGCTTCTCAGTGAATTATCCAAACCCTTATCCATACCCTACACCATCAGTACGGTCATTCTCACACCCCAACCCACGTCACCAACAGCAACAGTTCCAGCCGTCAACCAACAATGGTGCGATTAGCCCAAGCAGTACAATTGACATAAGCTCGCGCATATCAGTTGGAACAGATGAATTATTTAGAAATTCGACCCACTCCGCTTTTTCGAATCTCCCGATGCCCCCAGTCCCGCCTTCAGAGCCGCCGCCTCCAGTGCAATCACGGCGGCAGGGGGCGGGGTTGCACATACCTCCAAACGCGCGTCGAAGTCGAGCCCGGAAATCATCTGTGTCTCCTATCCCAGAAGAGATTCCGAACCCTCGTCAAACCCTTGGTTCATACGCTTCTAGTCGGGTTATCCCATCTAGTTGGGGATCTGGACCTGCTGAATCCGAGATCCTAGGTGCATATCTAGATGATGGCTCGAGTGACGACGAGGAAGATGAATTAAAGCATGACGGGTCCAAAGATGAGGCAAATCTCGTGCGTAGTGCTAGTGTTGGCAAGAGGCATAAGCCAACAATGCGCACCATCATGAGATCTAACCCCAATTCAGAGGTTTCTGTTCCGGATTTACCGGCTTCTCCAGTCTCACAGCAAAGGGAGCTAGACCACAATAGAACTGCAGGGTTGACTATCCCCACAACAGTAGCAGCAGCTGGAGGTACAGCTATGGCCCAGAATGATCGACTCATGAGGATCCGAACCCCTAGCCCTGTATGCCGTGGATCTATCTCGTCACTATCGGGAGAGTCATATGTGGATCCGGAAAAGCCCCGTTTCGCGAAATATGAAGAGCAAAATACGTATCGGGGTGCTTTGGAAAAGGAGCTTGAGGATTTGCCAAGGGCTGCACCGACCATGAGTGACAAGAGACCCAATGGACGTAAGCCACCTCGCCTGGACTTGGAAGCTGTCCGGGGCGCGGAAGCTCGAGGTAGTCTTTCAAGCTTAACGGATTTGATCCGACGTGCGACGAAGCTTGCATCAAACCTAGATCGTGGGAGAACATCTAGCCGAGCTGACCTTGCAGGTGCAGGTGCCGACTTTAGAGAACAAGGTGAGTGAAGAACAAGGGTAATAACCATTTGAATGTGTCTAGCATGAGGCTGATGAGCTTTAGGAAATCGAGGGCGAACCTCTGGATCCCTTTCCGATATTCTTGCTTCATTTCCAAACCCTAGTGTTTTGACACCAGACACCCGCAGCTCGTGGCCTGTGTTTTTCGGCCGTTCTCATCTTCGCAATGTTGAGCCTCTTGCCTCTCATGATGATATACCTGAGGACCCAGCCCCCCGGCGGAAGTGCTGCGGAATGCCTAGACGATGGTTTATTCTTCTCTGTATCTTGATCTTCATTATTGTTATCCTCGCTGTTCTTCTCCCAGTATTTCTAGTTGCTGTACCACGTGAGAATGCAAGCCAATCCTGCTCCCACACGACGCCGTGTCATAACGGTGGGGTCAGTGTTTCAGGTGGCACAGAATGCTCATGTGTTTGTGCAGAGGGTTATATGGGCTCCCAGTGCAGCTTGTCGGGGGACAGTAGTTGCGTGACTGCTGAAGTGAACAATGGCAGCATCAACAAGAACACGACGATGGGTAGCTCCATACCCACTTTGTTAGATCGGTCTCAGCAAAAATTTGGGATTGACCTTGACGGTGTGACGATCATGGCACTTTTCAGCATGAACAACGTCTCCTGTCGAACTGAAAATGCGCTCGTGTCTTTCAGTGAGATTAGCCAGAGTGGTGATACCGGTACCGCTCGTCGTTCTACCGAATTCCCCGGACAAGGTGAACTCGGCGCCCCCATCAAGAACAGAGAAACTCCAATGATTCCCCGTCCATCACGGTCTATTGAGATCGCCCCTTCTTCCAACGTGATAAGAGAACGGTCTTTGGCTACGTCCAATGGCATCTACTATGACAGTGCATCAACCACTTCCAGTGCTCGAGTATCGTCGACGAACGATGACACCAGTGCAACGAGTACTATTGCAACTGCCACGACTACGAAGACTGGAGTGACATCCACGTCAGCCTCTGTTCCATCCGAAGTTATAAATTTCTCCCGTGTGGCCGTTCTGTACATTCTGGAGAAGACGGGATCGTTCAATTCGGCCCAGGAATCTGAGACGCAGATCCAAACATACTTGATTGACTCGTATAACTCAGCGGCCCATCCTGCTGTGAAAGTGCTTGAATGGTATGAGTTGGATTTTGAAAATAAGACCATTTCGACAGGATGAAGGGAGAGGATAGGATGATAGAACTTGGAGTATTGGTTTGTATATATGTAAATATGTTAGATACCACATTTCTTTTTCCTTGTTCTTTTTTTTTGCTTTCCTACATCAATTGATAACTTATACGTTGCATTTTGTCATCTTTCTCTCTTTCCTGCTTCTGGAACTTTTCAACCCCAAGACCCCTTAGACCCTTCTTTACCTTCAAGGCGGTAAGCCCCACCTGGATGACGTAATTAAACATCACGTGACCGCCAAGACCATTCGCAATCACGACATTTCTGGCGGAGGTGACGTGCTGGTCACGTGGAGAAGAGCCGTGTCAGCCCTGGCTAAACTTAACCGGGACAAGGGAATATCAAACTCGGAGGATCTTCAGACTGCAAGGCAACTGGGAGGGAGCGGGAATACCGTACAAAGTACAGCGAGGTCACCGGAAAGGAGACCACGAGGCATTGTCGCCCGGAGTAAATGCCGCCCCCTGAAAATCAGAGGGGAAAGGGCCACCTGAAGATCCCCGCTGTAAACGAGTACGGAGTCCGCGGCGGTACAACGTGTCAAGTAACACCTTCGTGGGGCTCATTAGCAGACACAGATGGAACCTGGGAAGGAACCTACAGTCCTTATTTAAGGGTCTTGGGGTTCAATTGTACATATATGGATGTAACCAAGGTAGAGAATCGAAATGGAGAATATCATTTCTTAAAAAGGTTCCGAATCTTTAATTGCACTGGGGGGGGGGGGGGGGGTTGTATTGGAAGGCTGTGATCCTGAAACTCCGAGGGGGCAGAAAAAAAAGGGGGCATATACATCTCATGACCCCAAAACAGTAAAAAAGGAAAGATAAATTCGAAACAATCTGGTGTTTGCAAAGTGTATACGCGGCTGTTCTTGTTGACCTTGTTCTTCGTGTTCTGGGTTAAAGCGGAGCCAAGACTCTTAGTTCGATCCACAGTTGACGACTGTCCAGGCCATGATTGTCGCAGACGTACGACGACTGGGAAGCTTGGTACCATCAAATTGTGCAAATGTGAAATTGTGTTAAATTGGGGATTTTTTTCCCTTTTCTTCTTACTTCGGCCCCCCTCCGTCTCCTGCTTCTTTTCCCTTCTTCCTTCCATCTCGTCTGTATATTACTTGGGCCAATCCCTTGAATTCAAACAAAAAGTTCTTTTCTTCTTCTTCTTTCCCTTCTAATTGCCATCTACCCACACAATATGGCCAACGCTCCCCATGGTGGTGTCCTCAAGGACCTGATCGCCCGCGATGCTCCCCGTCAGGACCAGCTCATTGCTGAAGCTGAGACCCTCCCCGCTGTCGTGCTCACCGAGCGTCAGCTGTGTGATTTGGAGCTGATTATGAACGGCGGTTTCTCTCCTCTGGAGGGTGAGTGAACTCCCCCCCACCCTCTTCCCGGCTCAAACATCTATTTTGAGGATCATTTTGATCTCAAATCATTCTTGACGATGGTTTTGAGGCCATGATGAGTGAAATTGATTTTCTCTCATATTGATCTATTCTATTCTATTCCATCCTGTTTTCTGCTCTCGAGTGGGCCGTGGAGGGGAGCATTGCATAAGAGGGGTATGCTAATATGGATCTCACCGCCTCTAGGATTCATGAACCAGACCGACTATAACGGGTATGTCAAAAAAGACTGCACGGACATAATCACTCCAAACCAAAATCGATTACTGATCGATTATTTCTAGTGTTTGTGAGGACTGCCGTCTTGCTGATGGCAATGTCTTCTCCATGCCTATTACCCTCGATGTTAGCAAGCAGGTGATCGACGAGAACAAGCTCCAGTCTGGTGCTCGGATCACTCTGCGTGACTTCCGTGATGACCGCAACTTGGCCATTCTGACCATTGATGACATCTACCAGCCCGATAAGTGAGTATGGCCCAATAGCATTGCACAGAAACTTCAATATGGCAGGGTCCATATTTCTCGGGGTCCGTTTGGCTAACGTCTATTTCTTCCTGATTTCAGGACTAAGGAGGGTAAGCTGGTCTTCGGTGGTGACCCTGAGCACCCGGCCATCAAGTACCTGAACGAGACCGCTCAAGAGTTCTATATCGGTGGCAAGATTGAAGCTGTCAACAAGCTGAACCACTATGATTATGCCGCTCTGCGCTGTAAGCCCCCTCGCTGAAAAATCGTCGTATGGAATCCGCGCACTAGCTAACCATATACATTCAGATACTCCTGCCGAACTCCGCGTTCACTTCGACAAGCTGGGCTGGTCCCGTGTCGTTGCTTTCCAGACCCGTAATCCCATGCATCGCGCTCACCGTGAGCTGACTGTTCGTGCCGCTCGCTCGCGCCAGGCCAACGTCTTAATCCACCCTGTTGTCGGTCTGACCAAGCCCGGTGACATTGATCACTTTACCCGTGTCCGTGCCTACGAGGCCCTCCTGCCCCGCTACCCCAACGGTATGGCCGTCCTGGGTCTTCTCGGCCTGGCTATGCGTATGGGTGGTCCCCGCGAGGCCATCTGGCACGCTATCATCCGTAAGAACCATGGTGCCACCCACTTCATTGTCGGCCGCGACCATGCCGGTCCTGGTTCCAACTCCAAGGGCGAGGACTTCTACGGGCCTTACGATGCCCAACATGCCGTCGAGAAGTACAAGGACGAGCTGGGTATTGAGGTTGTTGAGTTCCAGATGGTCACCTACCTGCCTGATACCGATGAGTACCGTCCCGTCGATCAGGTTCCCCAGGGTGTCAAGACTCTGAACATCTCCGGTACTGAGCTTCGCCGCCGCCTGCGCTCTGGTGCTCATATCCCCGAGTGGTTCTCTTACCCCGAGGTGGTCAAGATCCTCCGCGAGTCCAACCCCCCTCGCGCCAGCCAAGGTTTCACTATCTTCCTGACTGGTTACATGAACTCTGGCAAGGATGCCATTGCTCGTGCTCTGCAAGTCACTTTGAACCAGCAGGGTGGACGCTCCGTTTCCTTGTTGTTGGGTGACACTGTCCGCCACGAGCTGTCGGCTGAGCTTGGCTTCACTGCCGAGGATCGCCACACTAACATCCAGCGTATTGCCTTCGTTGCATCTGAGCTGACTCGCGCTGGCGCCGCTGTCATCGCTGCCCCGATCGCTCCTTACGAGCGCTCTCGCAAGTATGCCAAGGATACCGTTTCCCAGGCCGGTTCCTTCTTCCTGGTTCACGTCGATACACCCCTTGAGCACTGCGAAAAGACCGACAAGCGTGGCATTTACGCTCGTGCTCGTCGTGGTGAAATCAAGGGCTTCACTGGTGTTGATGATCCTTATGAGGCTCCCACCAACGCTAACCTCACTGTCGACACCTCCAAGCAGACTGTCCGCAGTATCGTGCATGAGATTATTCTCATGCTGGAGACTGAGGGCTACTTTGAACGCTCGCAGTAAGCTTCTTGTATACTGAGAAATTTTTGCTGTTTGTTTTATGATTGGGTCTGCATCCCTAGATATATGTTGTTTTTGAATTACGATTATTATTCGATTCCCCTGAGATAGACCTGACAATTGATTGATATTTCTTGTCCATGCCGTATGTTCATCATTTTGTATTTGAACTATGTAGAGGACCTCCCAAATAGCCCAAATGCCCAGTTCTTGATCCTGACCGCCCGTTAGATAACGTCATGTGATGATACGCACACCGTACAAACAGTGCAAACAATCTATCATTGAAAGCTTTCATCGCGGTCAGCCGCATCTACGTAATTTCATTCGTTTGGCACACAAGAACCGATCATGATGCCGCCACGAGCTGTCATCGGTCGAATACCGAATCAGATTCGACCGGTGCGTAATCTGCCGGCCAGCAGCCCATATGTCGTCCACCTTCGGCCCTTTACGCACCGCACACGTCTTCTTCTTTCTCCTCCACCAGGCCGGCCTCAACTGCCATTCCTGTCACCATTAGCACCATCCCGGCCTCTTCCCCCATTATCCAATCACCTGCGCCAGCATTTTGGACGATTAATATCTACCGAAAGTCGAGAAGGCTACAAACGCCGCGTATCTCGTGGCGTCAAGCTTGGCCTCTCCTTTAGCGCCATCCTCGTGTTCTTCTCCATGATTCAGTTGGGTGTCTACCAAGAGGATATCGAGCACCAATGGCCCACTCCTCCCGAATGGACCTGGAAAAGTCGTTGGTGTTTGCGCTCCGCACAGGCACTGCAAAACCCCGAGTACATTGGCAAATTAATGACCAATTGGCCTATGGTTGCCGGGTACATGGAGGAATTACTAGAGCGACTAGAGAACGTTGAAGGAGAAGGCAAGGGTATTATGGAACAAGACGATGGCGGCTTTCTTGTTGAAGGGCTTGGACGTACAGGCCTGGATATCTCAGCAAAGAGTGAACCCTGGCGACGTGGTTACTTCCAGGCTCTTATGGGAGCTGCCAAAGCAGCCGAAAACCTTGATGGATGGTTGACTGATCGAAAACAGAAGATCTCTGCCCCTGCGGAGTATGTCGTTGGGCCATCAAACCCTAGACCCAAGCCCATGCCTGCTAAGCAAACAAAAGTCCCTCGAGAAGAAGACTGTGAGCTTGCGTCACCAGCCCCAGAGACATTCTACATGAAAGTTATTACGACAAAGGGATTTGATACGCGACAAAAGCTTGATGCTGCTCTTGCATATGCCGACTGGCTTGATTACAAGGGATTGAAGGAAACAGCCGGTGACATGTACTCATGGGCAATGGATATTGCAGCACACGGATATGGAGGTGATCCAAAGAGAATCGTGGATGTCAAGACAGGTGTACTTAAGACCGATGTACCCGAGCTACCATCCGAAAATCTCATCCGTGTCAGCACTGCACTCGCTGTTCATAATGCTCGCCGGGGGAACCTTCCCACTGCACTGGCAATTTTCACATCAGTGCTGAAGGCTCGTCGCAACCTACCTCCTTCGGCAGACTCCTCATACTCATCTTTTGGTCCACCTCCAACAAAAAACTCTTCGAATGACCCATTTTCTGCCCTCTTCAAAACTCTCCAGACCGTTCTCATCCCGGTTGAATACCCCCCTCCACCTTTGTCAGGAGACTTGCCGCCGACACGAACACCAAGTTCGGCATGCGACGAAGCGGGTCTCATGACGTACATTGGCGAAATAATTTATGCCTCTTCATCTCACGATCAAGGCCTTGGCTGGACAAGAGATGCTGTCGAAATTGCCGAGTCAACGGTATTGAATTTAAACTCAGAAGAGAAGACTGCCCGCGCGCAATGTGCGCAATGTCTGAAGGTCGGGTTAGCGAACTGGAAGGTAATGGTCTCCTCGCTTGTTAAAACGGCGCAAGAGGAAGAACAAGAGAGTCTTAAACAGTCTCAGAATTCCTGGTATGGTGGCGAAAAACGAGCTAAAGGTAAAGCCGAGGTATATAGAAGGTGGAAAGCTGAGGAAGCCATTCTTGAGGACCGAATTCGGAGGATATCCCCACTCCTTGAAGCGGAATATGGCTTGGACATGCCGTCTTTGAATGGCCCTTTGTTTGCATGATCCCATTATCCTGTCGGGGAATCTCTCAAGCTCAACAGGTTGTATATTATGAATCCCGTGCATCTTTCATTTTCCAAGGTCCACTCTTCTTATACATATGTACATATTTATTACCTATTATCACACAGAGATTTATCACGAATGATATTGTTGATTCCCTCTTGTATGATAAAGTACACAAGGTACTGGACGATTATGTACCTGGAACCCCACATGATATACTAGGTAGCCCGCCATATAACTAGATCCGCTCAATTCCCCTCTAACTTTCTGATTACTACAAGGTCATATTTTTGTATTTAAAAAAGAACCGCATGGCTTATAAATACATGTCTAGATAGCCCGAGGAGCATGCTATCGTTCGATAAATTCAAATATCTCCTGTATTATTAGCGGAGAGTATCAATTGTTAGCAAATTTGGAAAGACAATAGGAAGCTCCAGGTCGGCTCGTAGTCCACATGTGCAGTGTTCTTGAGTTCTAAGCCATTGACAATATAATCATTTCAATACTGGACGTCTTGGGATATTAATTGGGCGCCCAAGAGCAACTGATGCTTATTTACAGATAAATGCTGTCTTTATAAACTCCGTCAAACCTTCAGATTTTCCGTAGAGTCGGCGTGGGAATCCAATGGATCGACAGCTCGATTGAAGAAAAATGCCATGCTGACCAATGCCTTGCCCAATGCACACAGCAAGATAGGAAATTTGGAATTAACCTCTCGTTGTGCAAAAGCCCCAACAAAACAGCCAGCACTGAGCATGAAGATGAAGGCAACTCTGCGATTACGAAGCCTATTCTTCAGCTTGCCCAAGTCTGGATCTACAACGATATCCACGAAGGCTGCCGTAGCCATCGCCGTTGTAATTTCAGTGATCTTCAAGGATCGGCTCATAGCAACCTGTCCACCAGATGAAAATGCCAACAAGGCGATCACCGCCATCGCAGCGGGACCATCACGTCTGACGGGCCACAAGTGTTGAATAATCAGAGCACAAAAGACTAGCAGTGTTTGAATGAGATTGCTAATCAAGAGCCAGATTCGTCGCCGTACGCCAACATAATTGCCAATTTGGCCCATCACAAAGCCCCCGGCAACGAAGAGACTGAGACTGATGCCAATATTAGAGAAGCTGTATGCGTTTCGTGTGAGGCCTGCAACACCGATGGCTAGGAAGAGTGTGTTTCCCGTTTGGTTTGACGCAAAACAGGAATAATCAGGCCAAGCGGCCGCGTCTTGGATTCCTGTTGCGAAAGATAACAATAGCAACTCGCATTCTAATAATAGATCCTCGCGAATATCTTCCATGAAGTATTTCTGCAGGCGGGATCTCTGACCATTGTTGGATTTGAGGAGGGATAGTGTCATGTTGGAGTATGTTCCTTTGGCGAGAACGTTAGCCAAAGAGTAATCAAGATTTTATCCTGTAATTAGAAGATTAGGAGTCAATGCTCACTATGATAGGGGTTTATAATTAGTGATCCACGATGGGAGTCTTTTTTCTTTTCTTTTTTTGTGAGTGGTTGGTTCAATCGACGTACTCAGGCTGTTTGCGGAAGCGTCGCCGAGGCTGATGCCAAAGAGATGCCGGGCATCATTCCACATTCAAGGTGTGCGTCCAGGCTATATATACAGATCCCCAAAAAAAACACTCTTATTTGAGGAGGTGGGCATCTGGGTGTTTTTCCTTGTCTTGTGAACGCCCGACATTCCAAGCTGACGTACATGTTCGATGCGCGAAGGGGATGTGGAATTCCATGATTTATGATAGAAGTCGAGATCGACCACGAGGGTGGATCGAGCCAAGATCCGGGATATGCACCAGCTATCTCAGTATCCCAGATGGTGTTTAGCAGTGGAGATCTCTCTGGCGAAATGACGTGTCTTGGTGGCCCTGTGTGCCTTTAACTCCATGAATATTTGGGCATACTGCCGCATACATAGTTCAGGTTACATAGTTAACTAGAGTTGATCGATACCTGACTCTCTAGGTGTGCACACATTCCAAAGTTCCCAGCTTCACGGACGAAGTATATACTCTATTCGAGGAACTTTCATATATTTTAGATTTCAGATCCATGGACTCCTCAAAGTATGGACTTAATCTCTCCCGGTAAACATTTATTAGATGATGATGAGATGATGCCATTGGGCGCTCCTATCTAAAGGAGGGGTCAACAAGGCAAATCTAGCTGAAATTGGATTTCTAACTGGACTAACAGCTTGAAGGATATCAGTCAGTCCCATACATACTATTCTTTGTCTAGAGAAGCTTCCCACCGATGCGCTTGTCATCGTAGTCTCTTAGTGAACTCTGCCAGGTGACACTGTGATTGACCTTCGCTGGTCCTTCGGTTTCTGAACCTCTTCTTCCTCTTCTTCCTTCCTTACCACCCGGGATACCCATCATTTCACTCATCCACCGCACCTCTTTCAAGTTCCAGATTCCCACTTTCAAATTTATCGGATGCTCTTATCCTTCTCTCACACCAGCAATCTCGTCAGTGTCATCACACGTGGTGCCATATCTCAGCCACAGCTGAAATCACCCAAAATGCCGACCAAAGATTTCCGTGCAGATTTGCAGGGAGCTACAGTCTTGCGTCGATACCCACACTTAAGTCAAATCACACAGGGCGAATATGAAGGTTCCATATCTTTCCACTTCCACCATCCACGATCAGGGACTGACGTTACTTTTGATGTCGTGACCTCAGGTAGGTGCATCCTTCACTCACTTCCCGATGAGTAAACATCTATTAATCATGGCCTCCAAGATATCTCTGATTACCCAACGGATCACAGCTTTGTGGTATTCGTTAAAGCCGGCAGTGTTGTTCCATCAGCAACGAAAGCTTTAGAGCGAGCCCAGGACCAGGGACTCCTCACTGGAATTTCTATTGATGACGTCTTAAAAGCTGTCGATCGTATTATGTGTCATGCACTCTGTCACTCCGGCCCCAAATCATCTGCAAATTCCGAGGAGAGCGAAGAGTCTGAAGACGAGTACGAAAATGACTATGAAGACGTTTCCGACGATGAAGTTTTCGAGGGTAGTGCCCAACCACCCCTGCAGCAGTCACGCGAATCTTGTTGTCAAAAGCTTAGAGCTGATCTTCGTACCGTCAAATGTGCAGGGTTTAGAGTTGGGTGCATCAACGAGGCGGAAGGGACCATCATTGTGGCAATATCTCGTCGAGTTTCTCAACTCGGCATATCAGAGGAAGCGCTGCAGACATGGAACGTGCTCCCTTCAGAGTACCTAGTTCTACTGGTTCGATACCCGAGGCAATATCAAAATATGCAAGACATTTTTAATATGCATGAATCTGCAGCGAAATCGATTGAGATGCGTGTTGGCCTTTGCACATCCTATAAGCCTAACCCCCTGGCGGCTATTAAGGCGTTTCATATGTTGCTAAAATTGTCGGAAGGCGATGTGAATGCTTCAAATACATTGAACGGCAACTCAATGGTCAATTTTAGAGCCTTATTCATCGGATCTGCTCTCAAAAGACTTCTCAATGAACGTTTTCTGGGGATTTTGCAGATTCGAGAAAAATCCAAAATCTCATGGACAGGGGCTGAGCTCTTCTTCCAAGCTGTTCAGGGACAGTCACTGGCCGCTGAAGATTGCATAGATGCGAGGTTTCATGTGCCTGACAGCTGGCTATCACCGCCTCCAAGCGTTCTCATCTCTGACCATTTTGCGGAAACGGGACTTGACGTGACCAAAGCCTCATTTCTCCTCGTCGCCTGGCAATTTACCATGCGTCATTTCGTCAAATGCACAGAGTTCTGCCTTGTGTGCCATTGCAAAACGTTCGACAATTTCGAGGCCTTGAAACCATATGTATGTTCCAATGGGCTGTGTCTCTACCAGTATGTTAATTACGGTATGGGCCCCAGCCTAGAGTATGAAATTCAATCGCAGCCTCTTGTTGTTGACTTCTTGATTTCGTTGACATATGCTAGAGCAATATCAAGACGCCTTGAAGACTTCCCAGATGGATTAGGAATCCGAGTCCCTTCGCTACTCGATGAAGGAAATGAATTTATGCAGTCGGTGCCACGTCAGCCAATAACGATGGCAGCACACTGGGAACCCAGAACTCATGACAAGGGATGGCTGCATGCACCGACTATGAATCTGACTTGCTGCCATGCCCCCAAGGTTGCAATCGGTAGTTGGATTGTTGTCATTGATATCTACAACAAGGATGCTACGGGGCGCTTCAAAATATTACATTGTCAAGTTGATAGTATTGTATCCCCGACGAGTTTTGTTCTCTCACGGCCATTTGCCCTCGATCAGCAGATTCAACTTCAAGATACTCTATTTGCTAGAAGAGAGGTACAATATGTGCCCTATGGCCAGAATTTTGATGACCTAACACCGATGAACAAGCAAAGAGCCATGGTAATGCTTCTAGATACACTTCCTGATGTTAAATCCATGAAGAAGTTTTTGGGACCCATTGGCTCTCAAATCACTCTTTCATCGTGGCACGGGAGAATCATACCAGCTGCTCTCGACTTTTTACGATGGATCGTCGCCTCAAATAGATCCTCCATTCTCCAAGACGGTGAGGATCTAAATCATCTAGTAACTGGAATGCAGGGATATGCACAGTTTCGACTTGTTCAGGGGGCTCCTGACAAGGAGCAGCGGTTTATCCAAGCTGTGAAGTCTGTATCGCTGCCAGCAAGCCCAAATCACCCAACAATATTTGCCTGGCATGGCAGCCCTGTGTATAATTGGCACAGCATTTTGAGAGAAGGCTTCCATTTCAAACAGATTGCTAACGGAAGAGCGTGCGGAAATGGTGTATATATGTCGAGCCATTTTAGTACTGCAATGGGGTACACTCGCGAGTCTGATACAGGCGCCGCTAGTAGGTCTTGGCCGAACAGCGCGCTGGATCTTCGATGTGTAGTATCCTTGAACGAGATTGTGAACAAAACAGATGAGTTTGTCTGCTGCAACCCTCATTTTGTTGTTCAGAATTTGGAGTGGATTCAACCCCGATACCTCTTTGTTGGGACCTCTGACGCCCTTAAATCTCGGCTACCAGCCGTTGAGAACCATGGAAATATGTCTGTGTCTGTGTATAACCAAGACCCAAAACACCCAGCGCATGGCCCAGACAGAAAAATTATTACAATACCCCTTTCAGCAGCCAGCAGCCAGCGGCAACGTATGATCGTTACGGCCTCAATAGAGAACACATCAAGGAACCCGGTAACAAAGCAGAACATAATGCTATCCCCCCAAGAACTGACGGATAAGCCCATCACTTTCAATAGCCCTGAGAGTTGCGCGAGTATTTCGACTGCAACGGATGATTTAAATCTACTCTGCTCCGACTCCGAAGCAAACCCTGGAAGAAACGCTAAAACCCCGACAGGAAATGAAAAGCCATCGTTTATTTCAAGCCCAGAACCCGCAACCGACTTTGTCCCGGGTACACTGACAGAGGATTCTTTGCCACAACTTGCACAGCCACAATACGCAACAAGACAAGCAACCACTATCCTCCAAAGGCATCTGAAATCGACTCTTGCAGTTCAAAGCGCGGAACCATTGGCTGAGTTGGGTTGGTATGTGTACCCTAATCTTATCAAGACAGTGTACCAATGGATTGTGGAGCTACATAGTTTTGACCCATCTTTGCCGCTGGCAAAAGACTTAAAATCCGTCAATATCCAAAGCGTTGTTATTGAGCTTCGTTTCCCACAGCAATTTCCCATGAGTCCACCTTTCGTACGAGTCATTCGCCCCCGGTTCTTGGAGTTTGCATTCGGAGGAGGTGGACATGTCACTGCCGGGGGAGCTATGTGCATGGAATTACTAACCAACACTGGCTGGTCTCCCGCAACTTCTATTGAAAGTGTCCTGCTGCAGGTCCGTATGGCGATCAGCGCTACGGAGCCACGCCCAGCACGTCTGGCTCCAGGGGGTCATCAAAGGGACTACTCTGTCAATGAAGCAACTATGGCCTTCAAAAGAGCTTGCCTCAACCATGGATGGGAGGTTCCAAAGGATATGGAGCTCACTTCGTGGTGAAGGATACTTTCTGCCCGTGAGTTTCTTCGGGTCGTTTGTTCATAGTAGGCGCCATATTCTCTCACATGCCACTATTTCCCGCGACCAGACCGTCATGGCCTCTATTTCGCTCTTTGCTTATAGCAGGAACAATCCAGTTAAAATCAGAAATTATTGAAAGACCTGATTGAATTTATTTGTAGAGAACAAAAATAGACTTAACAAGGGTTATCCTGAATATACAGCCGAGGCTAAATTGTGACGATTTTGACCCATTCAAACGGACGTGGATTAGAAGACTTCCGGGTAGAAAAATCGCCAATATAGAGGCCTTCTTTATCCACACATACCACATACTGTTTTGAGGAACATGGAAGAAGAAGCAAACGAAAGGAATTTGAAGCTATTCAGATACTAACAAGACACCCTCTGGCAATAATTAATAGATTTTATCGCCTTAAGGAAAAGAAAAGTCCCGGGAAATGGCTATGTCCGAGATTACTACCTGTTTCCTTTCTACGGCCCCATTTTATTTGAGAGAAAATGTTAAGAGATGGGCGCAAAAAACGTCGAATTTAAAAGTTTGAATTATTTTCGGCATTTCCAATTGTATCCATACTTTGACGATGAAGTCTACGCCACTGATTTAATATGGGGAAATGGTTCAGGAAGATATCCCCTTCCCTTCAACACACCCGAGTACATAATCTATTGTGGAGTGAAATATTGACGTCAAAACAACCTTGGAACTTTATGCTACAAGCCTAGTCTATTTCCATATCATACGTTGGACATGATTTTATGCTTTTTAACTCAAATTTCTTCTCTTCTGTTTTCATTTGCGGAGTATGATAAGAAACCTTGGTGCGTCGCTATCTCTTGTACCCTGGCCTTTTCTTCCTGTATTTCTACTTCCCCAAGACTAATCTCTGGCACAGGAACATCTTGCCATGTAGCACGCACGGTAGTGTCCTCCGTAACGAGCCGTTGGATGTTGAGCATTACACTATACATCACGCCCCAGGTTGCAAATCCACTTGCTTTTCTCGTCCCGTTGTGCACATCCGAAGCCTTTCCAGCGACACCAGCTGCTCGATATTTACCAGTAATTGCAGGATATGTTGCATAGCATTGCAAGTATCCGTGGCCACATAAGCGACCGAGTGATAAATCAATTTGACCACCAATATCAATCTCCTCTGCCAATCCCAGCGGGCTTACTGACAACGCGGCAAGTATTTTTTGAGCTCCTCGATAGCTTACAGCATAAAAGCTACCACAAGCAATATCACGGGCAGTGCACGTTAGGCGAGCATGCTCAGGTCGCTCAATTGGGGGACTTTCACGCAAGTATGGAAGAAAGTGACGGGAAGCTGGAACCGTAGGGTCATTCGGAGTAAGGTGTGACGGTTCCTGGGTTTTACATTGTACTCCGCAATGGCCTAACCAGAGAATATCCCAGTCGTCACCGTATGGGGAAGCGGTTTCAGTATCGGGGCTGCCCTGGAGACCTCCAAGTGCAACTGCAAAGTTTTGAAGCTGAGTCTTAATCAATATGTCCCAGTCCGTATCATCCTCCATGATTATTGCGCTACTCAATCTGTTTTCGATTACGCTAGTCAATGAATTAGAAGAAGTTGACGAAGAAACACAAAAAGCCCTAGGAGCTTACCGTTGAATTACGTTCAAATGTGCCCGTCGGCGAGCGTATTCAGTAAGCAGATGAGCATGGTTCCAGTTCTAGAACCTATTAGTGAAATTGATCAAGAGGGACGCTTCGTTTTGTCAAGCTTACATAGGGTAAAGACTTGGTGCTGATATCCTCTGGGGCAACTCCCTCAATCCAATCAACATGAAATCCGCTGACGGAGGAACCCAGGATTATGTTATCTTTCTTGTCGGGCCGACTGGGAAGATTTATGGCAAAAACTTTCTCAAACTATTTATCAATTAGCGCGTGCCATCTCTATATAGGCGAAATGCGACGTACCCCCAAGGTGTCATTTCTCACGGCATTATAGCTATTTTGAACTCGTTGAGCACCATGAGAATTTTGTGTGGTATTATAGATGGACCATAAGGTCCAAATCAAAAAAGCCCCTCCAGTAATGCATAACGAGAATTGCACAGATTGTGCTCGGAGGGAGGGTTTGATCATGCTGAGTTCTGGTAAGAAAGCGGTTTGATTCAGTGCAATCTGGGAATGGCGAATCTTTTAACCCCCGAAGCTGCAAGAGACGTGATTTAGCCTCGCCTCCCAGGAATATCAATGCGCTGTTTCACAGAATAACCGCCGGCCTTCCTGAAGGCCAGACCATGCATGTTAGTGGGTGCAAGAGCAGAAGGGTACGCCTTCCTCGAGGGCTAGTTTTAGCGCCCACTAGGTTAAAGATGGCTGATTTGAGAGCCTTGGCGCTAAAGAGCTTTGAGATTGTAGATACTTCGTCATTGTGTAGACCTTGGTACCCCTGGGGCCCCACCGCGGGCTAATCCTGTCGCGTTCGGGGGATAAAGTGGAGACCCCGGGAGCTGCATGCCAATCAAAGTGCGCCAATATGTGATGGGCGCTACGAGCAAATACATCACACAAACTTCACATTTGAGATCTATTTTAGAACTTTCAAGAATTATCTGCAGGAATACATTTATAATAACTTCAAATAAAATGCCACATTACGTAGATGTGGATGAATCATGTGACTATTTTCTAATGCAAGTCTCTCCCCACAGAGCCTGACAGCGTGCGCTAAACAATATGTTTTCTGTAGAGCCTTTAACGGACTCAAAACTCTCATCTTCAGCGCCCGTGATTTCTCCATCACCGATGTCCTTTAAGCTCTTGACACCATATTCCTGGGATGGGAAGTGTTGGTGAATGACCTCCGGGGCGACTGAAATGCACTTAAGATTACCAATTTTGCATTTTCACATCAAATGCAGAATGTCACAAAGCAAGACCGACTTGGTTAGCGGTAGCGGCTTATAATTCAACATGTCCACTAAGCTGGAGAGTCTTATAAGTCTAATGATTCTTGTTCTTTCGATGAATGCTTATTCTTAAGGAACTTTATGAGGATTCTTGTAGGGAAAATTAAGCGACTGGGCTGGTTCACGCTCAACCTCCAGAACTCCCATCGCTCTGTCGTTGACCGGGCTGATAAGCTTTTGCAGAAGTAAAATACTACAGAGTCAAATATCGACTCGATTGGTCACGGTAATGTATAGTATAGTACCTTTGATATAGCCTGGTACTATGGGTACTATGGTGAGTATGGCTCAGATTTATAGATATGAGAACAAACTTGACTGTGAAACGTTGAATGCCGTCATTAAGGTCCCCTAATGAAAGATATTTGACTTCTCTTTGATTCAAGTTCTTTGTTCAAGTCTTAATATGTATCAAATGTACATCAATGGAGGTTATTCCAGCAGGAGCCCATGAACGCCGACCACCTTCTACAGGCACCCGTGCTGAAGTAAAGTGTCAGGGTTAAGATTTTAGGACCCGGGAGTGTGGACTGTATAGTCAATGTCACGGTTCAGATCAGATCCATACTGTCGATCAACTATGGATGCCACGGATGAGGGTCTAGGTTCAATAGTAACTTGAACTTTTCAAACGATTGCATTGGGAACTATATAATAACTAAATGTGCTCATTCAAGACACCATTCTTCTAAGTAGGCTTCCGGCACTATAAGAATTCATCTGGCCAGCAGACTGAGGCGTTGCTACAGAGTATTGATTACAGGAATTGCTATAATCAGAAACGTTTGATCGAATGTAATTGTTCAAGGAATTTTAGCGTCCAATGCAGTCCATACATATTATTGGTGTTGGGTATTATATCATATAATTTAATTTATCTTAGATGTCTATTACTATAGCTGGTAGAGTGCCAATCTACTAGGAGCAGAGCGCAGAAAACGAATATTATTCACTATGGAGAGAGAATAAAGACTAAATAAAGCAATTCCCAATGTCATGGGGGCCTGAGTGGACCCGGACCATTGGTGATCCAGCCCGCGTGGACAGTGTCCATAACAATAGTAAAGTTATAAAATCCCCTACCTTATCTCAAGAAATTACTACAGAAATCCTATTTATATACCAAATTAAAAGGGAATGTTAACTAAAAAGGTCTGTTGTTGGTACCAAAGGAAGAAAAAGTGGAAGACTGGCCAAGAAAGAAGAGAATTCTAGGGAACGGGTTTGTAGATACTATATCATATAGCTTAAGTCACCTGGGCAGTGCCCTCAATATCCTAATTATTGCGATACCGGATATGGAAGACTTCTAGAAACTGTCGATCAGGGCGGATCTGCAGTTTTGTGATGCAAAATGGCCTGCATCGGGTTGAGTTAAAATTGGGTTGCGATGGAAAAGGGCGTTTTTGCCCAATGGACTCCAAGAAGGAAGGTACGGAAATAATCAGAGTGTGAAACTACAACCCGGAACCTAGGTCCCGGTGAAAGAGTACTGGTTATCAATTGTTTTACATATGGTGAATTGGTTGAAGCACGCGAGGGCAGATAAGTGAACCTTTTCTATGGGCCCACTGTCTCCACAAGACTCCATTCCTTTGATATCGCGTTGATAAGGTGTGGACTTGCTATAGGGGTTGATAAGCCTGAAGAAGGTTTCAAAAAATGGACGCTCGTGGTAGTCTCGGCGGTAATTTGAAATCTTTCCCTCGGGATTCCATGGAGAAGTATGACTTTTAGTTAGTCAACTCCATGTTCTACCCCGTATATGACCCCACAAACCATCATCAGAGACGATGCAATGAAGCAAACAAGGTCATCCTTACCCCAAGATCAGTAACTTTTTTTGCCTTCGTCTGTGGAGTCTGTGGAGCATTCACCAATGAGATCAAACCGGTGGAGAAAAGCCTCCGGATAAGCTCTATGGTGGGTCCGGGAGACTCATTGGTTCTGATTGATTTAAATCACCGAGAACGGTGACTCAAACCAATTAAAGAATCGGGATGTTATCGCAGCCAGCACAATGAGCTGACTCCAACTTACATTACTTCACGAGGACTCCGATTCCCGAACCCCACTACTTCCCACCCACCACTAAGAAGCCACTGAGGACCACTGGGGGCCATTGGGTTCACTCGGGCAACATGGCCTCCCCCGCGTCGAGTAAAACGGCCGTGGAGGCCCGTATTAAGTAACTCCTTATACTTTGTTTGGGGAAAGTCATCATCGAAGTGTCGTCACCTTCAGCTCTTTTCCCCGTTCTCGTGTACCGTTTCATTCCTTTTGTTCCTGCCGCCCCCACTGAGATTCTGTACCTTCTCTCCTTAACTCTTCCTCCCTCTCACAAACATCTTCTCTCCTTCTTGCTTTCTTCCAACATTCATTCACACCTTAATACCGCGGATACGTCAAACTCAACATGGATCCTCCACTGAAGGGCGAAGACCACAATGACGACGATGCGCAGTTGGCGCAGATGGGACATAAGTCGGAGTTGAAGCGTCAATTCTCCCTACTGTATGTACTCTGTTTTCATTCATCGGGGTCCGACCGCCAAGCTGACTGAATTGCCTATGCCAGGTCCATGCTTGGGCTTGCTTTTGCCATTTTGAATGTATGACCTGGATGAGTTCAAATATGGATACTTGTATCAAATCACCGCGTTTGGTCACTAATCTCGAGTTGGAAATTTAGTCATGGACTGCTTTGTCTACAAGCTTGTCGCTCAGTCTTCCATCGGGTGGCAGCACCAGTGTTGTCTGGGGTAATACCTCTTCGTCAAAAACCTCTAATCGTTAGCCTATATTAACATCATTCGTTAGGCTTGGTTACTGCAGGCATTTGCAATTTGTGCATGTCTGCTTCACTCGCTGAGTTCCTCTCCGCCTATCCCACGTACGATCGCTTGCCTCCCGGTCGACTTCAACTGTTGCATGTTCAGGATGACTAATGAACTAAATAGTGCCGGAGGTCAATACCACTGGGTAGCTGGTGAGTAATATGCGGGATTTTGTCTCTCATGGCATAACAGCTGATTTTTATCAAATTAGTGATTTCTTGGCCCAAATGGATGCCCATCTTGTCTTGGATTACTGGCTGGGTGAACTGCGCCGGCTGGGTTGCCCTGGTTGCGACTGGTGGTCTACTTGGTAGTCAACTCGTGATTGGAGTGATCTCTTTAATGCACCCGGTATGCATTTATATCAAAACTTGGAGATCCTGTGTCTGACAATTATTACAGACTTATTCATCTGAGCCATGGCAGCAGTTTCTGATCTATATCGGTTACAATGTGGCTGGATTCCTCATCAATGCCTTTGGAAACAGTATCTTGCCCTACTTCAACAAGGCTGCTTGTGAGTCAACTTCTAGAGAACATTTTGCCATGATCAGCGCTAAGAATGTTTTTAGTTACTTGGTCGCTGGGTGGTTTCACAATAATTTGCATTACAGTCCTTGCTTGTTCCTCACCCAATTTCAACTCCGGCGAGTATGTATCTCGAGGACATGGTTATATCAAGATGACATGCTAATTTTCTTAGCTTCGTCTTTCGACAGTTCATCAATACGACCGGGTGTATGTTAATAAAAGATTCCAGTTTTCCAATTTTGACTAACAGAGATTTGTAGGGCCTGATGGTGTTGCCTGGCTTCTTGGAGTACGTACCCTGACTCTAGGTGCAGGACCTTTTTCTAACAAAATCATAGCTTCTGCAAGGAGGACTGGGTGTTACAGGATTCGTAAGTATTGTGTCACAGACCAGCCTATTTACCCAAAGACAAAATCTTTCGGAAGTTAATATTAACATTGGAATTAGGATGGTGTTGCGCATATGATCGAAGGTAATTGAAAGTATAAGCACAAGAGCAAATTACAGTGTTAACAAGTCGCAGAAATTCCTAACCCATCAGTGGAAGGACCTAAAATTATGATTGCCTGTGTTGGCATTGGTACCGTTACTGGTACCATCTTCCTCGTCATTCTCCTGTTTGTCGCTGGCAGTATCAAAGAAATTACCGAATCTTCAGCGGGACCACTTTTGGCTATCCTATATCACGCAACTGCCAACAAAGCCGGTGCTGTTTGTTTGTTGGTGTATGTATCATATTCATGTGCTATAATTAATCCCAAGGCTTAGTGCTGACAACTTCTCCAGCTTTCCCCTCGTGTGCATGTTATTTGCTACTACTGCTATCATGACTACTAGCAGCCGCATGTGTTTTGCATTTGCTCGGTATGTCACCCTTTGGCCTTTGGGTTCGAATCTATCCTAATTTATGCGCTCAAGTGATGGCGGCTTGCCCTTTTCGCCCTTCTTCTCAAAAGTACACCCCAAACTAAAAGTCCCTCTTAACACACTCTACCTCAACCTTGCTTTGGTGATCATCTTCGGCTTGATCTTCCTTGGCTCCTCCAGCGCCTTCAATGCCATCATCTCCGCTTCCGTTGTTCTACTCGATCTTGCCTATGGCATTCCAATCGCCATTAACTGTATTCGAGGACGTAATACACTTCCGGAGAGATCATTTGTTCTTCCCCATGTCATTGGATGGGTGTTGAACACGGTATGCCTCCCATCACAGGTTCCCTGACTGTGTCAAGCTAACAGTGGCTATCAGATCTCGCTGGTATATATTACCCTCACCACCGTCCTGTTTCTCTTCCCGCCAGATCTTCCCGCCACCGGCAGCAATATGAGTACGTTCACCTTTTCTATATGCAGAGGGATACCACTGACCACTTCTCAGACTACTGTGTCGCTGCATTTGGAATTGTCTTTGTTATTTCTTCCATCACATGGATTGCCGATGGTCGCAAGAATTACGTGGGTCCCCGCATTGAGGTAGAGGTTCTCTCTGGTCAGGTAGGAGACCAACCACATGAACCGATTCCTATGGTGGAGCAGAAGGCTTAAGTCCCTTCAACCGAATCCACAACTTGAACTTTCAAAGACAATTTGGTTTTATGGCCAACACTAGTGCCAACTGATCTCATTCTGCATTTCTCACGATTCTGTGTGACTGGATGCTTTTTATATACTATGTTTTTTACGCTATATGTGACGTTACTCTGATAGTACTCCAGGGCTGGCACGACCCTAAATTTGTGTATTTTTATAAAACCGGACCACGAAGTGGTTCCAGAAGCTCTTATTAGCCAAGGCCTCCATTGTCAATTATTTTACAGCAAGAATACCCATAACCAGTTAGCCACTCTCTGCTGCGCATACTTTTTAACTATTTATTGTAAGCACTTGAGGTTATATCTTTGGAATTATCTATAACTACCTGAAAACTAGAGTTCATCTATAAATGTGCTAACATACATGCGTGGTATAATAGCTATGTATCTACATGTTGATATATGTATGTACCTACATCAATCTGTAGGTAGCAGATGTGAGGATTTACTTGAACTGTCCAAGAGTGGTTTAGCCTAGTATCACACAGCATGGTCACGTGGACCACTTCCATGTTTGCCACGTTTGTTCTTATAGCTCATATCGGCTCGCGACTGAAGCTTTACTTGCATTCCTGAGATATTTCGTGTGGTAAGGCCCGCTAATCAAGGATTGACTCCTTTCGAGCTTCAAAGCGCGCATTGACATGTCTACCAGCTCGCCCAGTCCAGATGCAGATGTAGCCCTCTACCTACATGCCGAGTTGCTCCCCAACATTCGCCAGATCACCCTTTACATTTCGCTACAACCTAATCCAGCCCTGAATGCAATCCATCCAAAGATTCATATCTCGAATTCATGCAAATCGATTACAGTATCGCTACCAGAACCGTTCCATTATGTAACCGAGACTATTGAACTGCCAGCTCGTGTGAGCGACACCACTCGGCTGGCATTAAGCACCAACTTCGCACGAAATACACCACCGAATTTGACAGGCGTGAGCTATGAGCATTCTTTCAGGATGCAGATTGACCCAACCGACCCTGTACTTACCCCGAAGGACACAATAATGGATGATTATGTACCTTGGACGGCAGCGGACATGTCTCCTCTGACTCGTATACGGTGTCGCACCTGTGAAGCGCCATTCCTTTCTACCCCGAGTGCCCGAAATGACGAACACGGAGAGCAGGATGATTCACCGGGGTGGGAATGGAAAGATCTACCCAGCGGAAATTGGGCCGAGATGATGGATTTCTGGCATTGCCACAAACCAGATCCCCAGGAAGATAAACCGATGTCAGAAGTCACGGCTGTACGTAGCTCGGAGGATAAAACTGCTCAGCTTAAGGGGTACGGTGCTACTAGCCGCATTGAAGCAACACCGGGCATCGTTTTCATCGACGTGGCAACATTTCTACTCGCACAGTCGGACTGTGTTGGACTACAAAAGGTAAGATTATTTACTATTCAACATCGTAATCGCTTTTGCGATTATATCCTTCACCCCTCTTAAAAGCTGGGCAACATAGAAGGAGGCCATTACGTTTCAATGTTGTGGTCTTCGATACAATTGCCCTAAATTGAGAATCTTGCCATGACGTCTATAGGGTTGGAATTCTACTAGCTTAATTCCCAGCAGTAATCTGTGAAGTAGTCATCCTCTTATTAGATGGATCTCGCTTATCATGGTTTAATTCGCTGGGTGGCTTTGTATACCTCCCTATGGCGGTCTGTGGTTAACCTTTTTGTTTCCAAAGACAGGTAGGGGGGCTTTGGCCCACCCACCTTATCTGTGTAAAATGAGAGGACACAATGAAATATTTTGTCGCATATTTTATTTTCTGGTGTGCGGCCTTTGATCTAGAAACATTATCTTCCCAATGAATCTTCCAAATGAAATGCCTGCATTCATCAGTCGATGATCTTCAAACTGATCATTTCAATGCTGACATATTGTATCAAGCAGACAATCGAAGAAGGACAAGAAGAATCAGAGCTACCCCGAACGCTTGAATGTGCCAACTGCAAAACCATAACTGGTCTAGAAGATCCGTCCATCGGTGGCTGGCGCTGTTGGAAATCGAATGTATCTTTGAATACCAATGGCTCAGCTGCGATTCAATGGCAGAGCCATTCCGATGAACTCATCATCGCAGCTCAGTTGCTTGAATTGATAGAACGAGAAAGCACAAGGCGCTTTTTGGTTCACAATAAACGCAAGAATGGACTTTTGGTAAATATCCCTGTTCGCTTCGAGATCTATCTCACTGACTCTATTACTAGCTATGGGTATTCAATCCTGATCTTCGTTATTCTACCTCAAGTAAAGGTAGAAGCATCAATTCTCAGCAAGCTATGAAGGTGTTCTTTCAGACAACAGAGGACGTCGATTCTATTCTCAGTCGTGATACCGATCTTTCATCTCCCTTGTCCATGGAGGAATTGGAGCTTCCTTCTATAGTTCTCCAAACGCTGACCCGTGCATTATTGAAAAGTCATTACATGCTGCCACTTTCGGCAAGGAGCTTTAATGAATGGAAGATTGGCCTATTAAATCGCTACAGTCGAGACGACAGCAGCTCAGTGTGAAATCCGCAACATCCGCCAAGCTCTCTATAGCAATAAGCCTTTACTGGGTACTCTTGAATGAGGCGTGACATGTTCTCAATTTCTCAAATTGGTTATATAAATCAAACTTTATTAATTGTCATGGATTCGGGCAAGAAATTGCTTAGCCCTCAAACGGGGTCTCATACGGTTGCTCGGCTTGTGGTGTCAGGCGAGCAATGTGGCGTCTTTGGCCGTCCTCCCAATCGAATACGGCAGAGTGGCAGGCCAAGCGGTTCTGGTCAAGTCAGTATTTTACTTGGTGCGAGGATTATGGGAGCTTGTCTACTCACATCCCAAACAACAACTGTTCCGGCTCTCCAGCGGACACGAACCTGAAGATCTTGAGACAAAGCAATATGATCATACAGGAACTTGAGCAGGTAATCCGACTCTTCCTTCTTGTATCCGACGATATACCGTGTGACTAAATCCCTCGTTAGTCCAACTATCTAGTGCGAGAAGGCAAAAAGGCTGGGGGACACAAAAAGCAATACGCTCTCTTCAACTCACATTGCGGGTTCACATAAAGCGCTTTTTCACCAGTGACTGGATGGGTTCGAACGATGGGATGCTCTGTAGTAATGGGGTCGCGTCGTGCAATTCCACCGCCATTCAAGCTCGCATTCACTTGCTCGACGCCAGAGTGGACAGCCTTCAGCCCATGCAAGCGCTTCCTGAACTCAGGCGATAATCTCTTATATGCCTGTGCCATATCACCGAATACTGTATCTCCACCTGTGGAGGGGCCGTCTAGGACATATAAGAAGGTGGTCCCGGGGGGCTGCTGCTCAAATGTGACATCACTGTGCCAAGTGATGGTATTTGTGCGTTGCTCGAGGAACTTTGCACCGACACGGTCTTCGGCGCCACGGAAGACGAGATGGATCTCTGGGAATCCCTTTGGCGCGCCTGATGTCTGGTGTACGTGATGACGGCCGAAATAACCGGCATAATCGACGACCTCCTGGATTGGGAGGGATGCGAAGTCTTGGTCACGGAATGCTAGCATGATCATTAGCGTCGAGGGTTCAATTGTTGGAGTCGACAGGCTGGGCCATTGATGTTTGTATGTTGAGGTACTTACCGACAACACGACGCTGGGCTACCAACAGAGCTAATTGATCCTTGCCTGCTGGAGACAACTTGCTCAATTGGACGCCTTTGACTTCAGTGCCGATGAAAGGTGTGATATCGTCCGTTTCGGCGACCCCCTTGGTTAGGAGATCAGGGAAGGTCGGATCGGCATCCTTGCCGTGGTCATAGTGCTCAAAGGGCGTTAGAGGGGGGTATCTATCAAGAGCAGTTAGCAAGATAGTACTTTTGCATATAATATAATGCACCTTGAGAGCTCAAGCATGCACGGATGTTCATAGGCAGTACCTCTCTGTTTCGTTATCCCATACGGGCAGATAGTTGGGGTACGAGGCTGGTGCAATCTTATCAGTTCCCTTGAGCTCAGGGTCCTTTTCATATTCGTATCCAATTAAGTTCTCTTTGTTATGGCCTGTGTCAGTTTTAAGTGTCGTGGAGGGTGCGGATCGCAATCCAACGGTGCTGGTGAGGGAAGGGGCCATGTTGAATTTCAAAAGTTCAATGGTGAAGCCTGAGGTCCCAAACTTGAAGTCTTGTACTAGGTAGGGATGTTCTGATGTTGGGGTTCATATGCCAGTGGAACTTGTAGGAGTCTATGGAGTATCGCCCTCTATATATATTAGTAGTGATCTAAGTATCCCTGGCCGGAACGGGATGATGCGATACGTGAGTTCAAGGTTCCATGATTGCGCCATCTATTAAGGACTGCGGGGCTATTATTGGCTCAACTTTTGTAAAATATACTCATTTGAAGTTTATTAGTAGTTATCGATCGCACATGGAGACGTGTGTGCTCTTTGAAATGCGGGGTTTCAAGTTTCGGGATACCACGTTAACCAACTGTACTAGGATCTTGGTGTCTTCGTATAAAACAATACTAGTAGCTCGGGAGGAACACAACTCTTTTGTTCGTCATGGTTTTTGGGAGTGGCGTGCTGTAAATGTACCTCTGTATCGAGTTTAGATCGAGATATACTTGCGAGATTCGTAATCCGACCGTGTAAGAAGTCCACACAATCACAGATACTTCGGTAATCGAGCGTACTTCGTCACGGTTGGTGGTGATGGCGTGCTAGACAACCCTGTTCTTCGCCTTCAGATTGCCGTCTTTTCGGCTTCCTTCCTCATTTGCGAGGATTCAGATCTTCAAAAACCTTCCGACCTTCCACATCTATCGCTTTTCTCCGTCAATTCCTTGGCTTCCCCCCAATGCAGGGACTTTGTCGCTGGATCCCGCCCATTTGTCTATAGTTTCCGCGCGGTCGTTTATTAATGGATGTCTCGAAACACAACCATGCTTGTTTCTTTGGATCCACCCAGTGGGGACTTGGGAGCCCCGTGTACTTTGCGAGTTGAAGGAGAGTCCATCGCAGATATGACGTGATAAAGGTCAAGATGGGCTCATGGTGATTGAATATTCTTTAATCGGCTCTTATAGCTGCTGGTCCCCGTGACTGTCTACTGTATTGACCAGTCTCCTATTCGCCTGTCAACTTGCATTCTACTGGCTAGAATCGAAGACGAATATTTTGCAAGGATGACCATCGAAGAGGTTAAGCCTTTAGGCTCCGGTCCTGGCGACGCGACCTATCAGAACAAAGATACGAAAGAGAAAACGCCTGGGAGTGAATCGATTTCTTCCTCTTCTACCGAAGATAATCGCGGAGAAACAAAATCAATCCATCGCGCTTTTGATACGACTGAAGATCCTATTTACTATAAGCCCATCGAAAGCTATGAGGGTTATCATCGCTGGGACCCCGAGTTCCAATGGACCGAGGAGGAAGAGAAAGCTGTTGTTAAAAAGGTAAAGAGACATTGCCCCTCAAGCCCTTTCTGAGGCTTGAAAGATCGAGGAAGAAAATTAATCAGATGAATTTAGATTGATTGGCGAGTATGCACCTTTGCCTGTATTACCTTCTTCGCTCTTCAGCTAGATCGAGGTAATATTGTCCAGGCCACCTCCGATACTTTACTGTCAGATCTAGGAATGACGACAAATGACTACAACATGGGTCAAACCATTTTCTACCTGACCTTCCTTTTTGCGGAAATGCCGTCTCAGTTGATTTCCAAATGGGTCGGCCCAGATCGTTGGATCCCAATTCAAATGGTCACCTGGAGCTTGATTGCAGCTTGTCAAGCCTTCGTTCAAAATAAGAGCAGTTACTACGCTACCAGAGCCTTGCTCGGCCTTATCGAGGGTGGCTTGTACGTTTTCCCATTTTGTCGTCAAATGATGCTTCGATATTAACATATTCTATTTAGTATTCCGGATACCATTCTCTTCCTCTCATTTTGGTACAAGACCAAAGAGCTCCCTATTCGTCTCAGCTATTTCTGGATATCTTACGAGGGTACCTCTATTGTCAGCGCATTTTTGGCATATGGCTTCTTACACATCCATAACTCGGAAGGTACCGGTGGCTGGCGTTACCTGTTCGCTTTCGAAGGATTGATTACCGGCTTAATTGGAATCATCGCGGCGCTCTGGATGCCGGCCTCCCCTACCCAGACTAAAGGTTGGCTCCGTGGAAAGGATGGCTGGTTCAATGAACACGAAGAAAAGATCATGGTCAACCGTATTCTACGCGATGACCCTAGCAAGGGCGGTATGCATAATCGACAGCCTGTCACCCCCAAAATGCTCTGGAAGGCCCTCAAGGACTACGATATGTGGATCATTTACTTGGTTGGTCTAACATGGATGATCCCCAACACACCAGCGGCCAGCTATATCAGTTTAGAACTGAAATCACTCGGCTTTAGTACCTTCCATACTAACCTGTTGACTATTCCTGCCTATGTGATATTCATTATCAACTTACTCTGGATCACTTGGGTCTCGGAAAAATTCAATCAACGTCTGTTGCTTGGTGCCTTTGCGGAATTCTGGGCTATTGTCCTTCTGATTGCTCTTGAGGTTCTTCCTGATGGTGCTAGTGCATGGGCTCGATGGGTTTTGATTACCTTGCTCATTTCCATGCCATATGTGCATGCAATTGTTGTTGCAATTACATCTCGTAATGCTGGAACAGTTCGGACTCGGACAGTTGCGACGGCGCTTTACAATATGTCCGTGCAAATCAGTAGCATTATTGGAAGCAATGTGAGTCTCCTTTTTAGTTCTTACATACACATGTACGAGAATTTGTTACTGATTATATCAAATTACAGATTTATCAAACGAAAGACAAGCCATATTACCGTACTGGAAATGCAGTCCTAATTGCTCTAGCCGTCTGGAGTTTGCTGCTATTCATTGCTGCAAAGTTTTACTATGTGTGGCGCAACAAGTATGTCCAATTCCATGAGCTACACCCGATTCATTACTGACAAACTGAAATAGGCAAAATGCTGCTATCTGGGGTGCTATGTCGAGCGAGGAGAGAGAGCGATACGTCGCTGAAAATAAGGACCTTGGAAACAAGAGGTAAATTTCATCTATCGACACTTTATATGGTCATATTGCTTACTGATACCTACCTACAGAGTTGATTTCCAATTCCTACATTAGTGTAAACCTGGAAAAGTCCCATGGGCTGGCGTTGAATATAGACCGTCTTTTTATAGACATACATGAATACATCATTTCTCATTTCGTTATAAACTGTTTGAATTTTCAAGTTACGATATCTATGTATCTTCTTTTATAGTACACCCTGGTAACTTCGGAATAGTCCATGAATCTTGTTGCTAAGTGGTACCATGGCAAGAAAGAAAGAAAGCCGTCCAAAAGAATACGATAATGAATGATTCCAAAGATTATATGGGACTGGATTTATATTTTTATGAATTATTCACAAACAGGCCCATCTCTACATCATGGTATTAATGTATAATGAAATGAATATTGAATTGATTAAGCGACAGGAAGACTGCCCTAGTCTTTGTAGTCTTTATGTATGTATATGCACTGTATTGGAACCGAAAAAGAGAAAAAAAGTAACCAAATGAAAATCGAAACAACAGAAGAAGAGAAGTAGAAAAATTCAACCCTTCACGGGGTGAAAGTCACAGGAACCGACCGAAATACATCGCCGGCTTCAGAAGACAACAGGTGGAGACTGATCAAAACACAACCTCGCTCCCACGTCGACTACTCATCTTTGAGGGTGCTTTGCTCCCACCATCAGCCTTGACAGTCCGTTGCGATGCTCGTGACACCTGACTAATACTATCAGCCGGTTTAACCGCATCCTCATATTTAGATCTAGAGGAATGCTTCGAGGCCTTAGAGTGTTTAGAGCGATGAGAATGCGAAGAACGACCCGAATGACTTCCAATCTGACTGATAGAATCATCCGGAGTAACAATAGAGTTCACATCGAGGTCAATCACACTGTCTGGGAGCGGGACTTCTCGGGCAGAGATATATGATTTTCCGCCCTGTTGACTTGGGCTGGCAGAGTAGTATGTTGCGTTTGAGCCTGCTGGGAGGGGAATATTGCGTGCTGTGCGTTTTGAGGAGGCGGAACTGATTGCGTCATCTTTGTCTTTGGTCACTGATTTGGTTGTGGATTTCGTGGTGGAGTGGTGGGAAGATGGGGCTGCGCGGTAAATGTTTGAATGCGAATGGTTGCTGTGGCTGGAATATTTGTCTCTGTCGTCGTGACTGTGGCGTCGCTGGCTGTTACTGGTACTGTTGTGTGTGTTTGCTTGGGAGGCTTTGATTGTTGAGGTCGAGTGTACGCTTCCTGCGCGTGGTTTGTCCGCTGCGTAGCTGCTTATGAAGGTGCTGGGACTGTATTGGTCGCGCCAGCCATTCATTGAGGCAGGGTACTCGATTGCTCGGACGGGAAGATCTTCGGGGATACTGAAGACGCTTCCATCTGATGCTCGCCGGCCGTGCTCGTCGAAGAACTCCGTACCCTCGTAGATGGTGCTGGCGCGGGGATTCTTCGAAGTTACGCTGCGACTTAGCGTTGAGCGTGGCCCGGAGGCAGAAGTGTACACGCTTCGTGGCGGTGGACCTTCCAGGGCCCTCTGCTGCTGCCATTGGTCTTCCGATTGTCGTGAGACTTGAGATGGAGGTCCAGGTCCCATTAGCTGATGGTGCTCCGGTGTGTATTGCGGAGACACATTGCTGGTATTAACATCGGAAGAGGACTGCGAGTCGCCCTTGACCATCGCGTAAGCGATTGCCGCGCCTGCTGCGGCACCGATGAGAGTACCAACAATGGTCTTTGCCGCTTTACTACCGTCATCGGATTGAACGGTCTGCACGGGGGGCTGCACCGTGTACTGGGGCGCGTATTGGGGGGCAGGTTGCGATGGACGGGAAACAACTGATGGTGCTCCGCGTTCAATGGTTGTGGGTGCCTTTGATGAGGCAGCACGCGATCTAGCCTCGGGCCTGACCTCGGATCTGGAAGGTGCAATGCTTGCTGATTTCACGGAGGTAGCTCTGCTGCTCTTGGAGACGACTGATCCATTCTCTAGTAGAGCTATGGTTGGACCTCCGGCTTCGGATGCGACAACGGAGCCACCAGAGCGGTACACTGCTTCGATGCTATTTCCATCAAAGTCGATAACGGCTGCGCTGTAGTATCCCGATTGAGTGTCCCGGCACTTGGGCTCGCCATGGATCTTGCCGCCGGCTTTCAAGGCGGATATGAAGAATGAACCCACGGCGTCCCTGGTTGGGGCTGGGAAGGCAACATGAACAGCACTAGCGGCGCCTCTGTGTTATTGGATATAAAGTTAGTTCATCTTGTTCTTCTTTCATACACCGCATTTTGATGATCAATATATGACGTACCCTGGCTTCCGTTCGGTGACCCAGAAATCTGCAGGTTCCCCCTGCTTCTGACCGAACCCTATATAATCATCATGTCGACCAATGAATTGATATCCAAGTGGCTGGAGACAAGATAGGAAAAATGATGTTGAGGTTGGGAGGTTTGAGACCGTCAGGGTCAAGTGGGAGACAGGCATGTTGGGATAAAGATCGAAAAGACGGTCTAACGAACTAGTTCAAGTTCCGAACAGGAAACTAGCCTTCAAACCTCGGAAAAGATTGATGTAAATGAGAGAAGTTGATAACACAAAGTCGAGATTTAAAGGAAAGGAGAGAAAGGGGGGATGTGTCTGTTTGTGAGAAGCGATTTTATATATGGAGAGTGGGAAGGGAATCTATAACAAGAAGAACTATGACACAGAGACCCGACGTAGCTGCCAGGGACCCAAAAAAAGGCAAGGCAAGATGTTGTAAGCCAATCCTTAGTAACCGAACAAACGCACCGAGGAAAAAAGCTGCCCAAAACTGTACTGGTAATAGTCATCTGCGCAAGTCCACCGCAGTCGTCCGAGAAAGGGAAGCGACAGCCTAACTGGCCCCTCACTGGATTTCTACTGGTGATGGATAGTGGGATGGTGGGACCCCTAACGAAATCAACTCTTGGTCATGATCACATTATAGCCTGCCCGACAGAGTTGAAGCGATCTGCACGTCGGGAAAAGATATGAAACGCCCCTTACTAGTTGGTGTTCATCTTGGTTCGGACGTGGCATCCCGATGTTTACAGTACGGAGTAGAGGGGGACGGATGTCCATCCTTTGACCAGGGATAGCAATTGGCTTTGTCAGGGGTGGGCGTCCGCTGTCAAATCATATTTCTGGCTTGATTCGGTGAAGGTAGAGCTATGGAGATACTGTGGATAGACGAGGGAGTAGTCTAACCATTCCAGCGACTAGAGCGGATTGTCGCTCGGATCCCAAGGGGGCCAGGTCATCGCGGGGACCCAGAGTGTGGATCAATACAGTGGCGGGGCGGATATGTGGACGAGAAGGTCAGTCATGCTGGACAAATAATGAGGCGCCTGTGGATCCTAGAGACGGACTTGACCCATTTGAAACACGTTGTGATGGTGGTAATGGGCTAATGGGTTTTGGGCAGGGTCAAGCAGAGTTGCTGACCGCTATTATTACATACACAACAGACCTAGGTGTACATTTCCAGTTGAAATTGGTGGTGATAAAATTAGAATCAAAGACGGAATACACCGTAAATCAATCTAGAATGACTCATTTATTCTGTATAATTCCCATTATGAGTCGTTATTAGTATACCGCTTTACGATAACTCAATGGGGCGGGTCTGGGCAGTCGTGCAGCTCTAGCGAGGGATTCGCCCGAGCCTGCTGCGTTATACGACATCCGATTAGCTGCTGCATTTTTAGTCGTGCAGCAGAAAAGTGAGGCGTCTGCCACGTCTTGAATCAACTCTTACAAATCGTGGAAAAGGAGTGTCCCGAAAGTTGGGAGACATATCAAGATACGAGCGAATGACTATCTGCCACTTATACACTGTGGTGATCTATACGAGAAACAGAATGAAAATGACGAAGAAATTTAGGAGGATTGAGGGTCAGAAGAAAGGCTAATGCGTAAGAGCAACTAAAATAACAACCGAATGATATTCAATGATATTCGATACAATATGTGCCTGATCACAGGGAGTTCGTCACTCCGGATCAAAGTATATGCTGTTCACTTTTTCTGGTCTCATCGCCACAGCCGAACGGGGGGTACCTGTGGATAGAAGAGCTCTCTGGGATCAGGACTGGACCGGCGAAAAGGAACCAAATGCCAGCCAGTCCGAGTGTCACTGTGTTGGTTGAAACGGAGGGGGAGAGAAAACTGGACCAAAAAAAATTAAGGTCGAAAGGAAAATTCCCAGCATCCCCACGCAAGACAAGAAAACCCCACGGGTGTCCTTCCAGGGCCTCAAAAAGGAAATACAAATGAAACACTGAAGCTGGTCGGAGAACCCGTTGGAGAAAATGCCGACAAGTTCAATTGGGTCTCCAAAAACAAACACAATAACGAGAAGAAGAGAGCAAAGGCTTTCAGGATTGGCCCATTTGAATATTCCAAATCAAAAAAAAGGGTGAGCCCCAAAAGAATGATCCCGTCACCTCGGACCCATGGTCACAAAAGACCCCGTCGTAAAGAAATTCGTGGCTTCATGGCAACCTCTGAAAGGTTGCCGAGCGGACTGGCGAAGAGTACGCGGCAAGACTTTACAGTGCGCGTGGAATTCGAGCCCGACCCGCTCAAAGGATGTCCCACACCTCCTCAGCGGCATGACAGAACTTACTACAGGCTACACTGGCGGAGAGACTGTAGTTACTAATACTGATGGTGTCATCCTTGAAAGTGTCGGCAAAGTCATCGTGACCCTTGGCCATGGCACCGACAAAGATAGCAATGCTCTCCTTGGGTCCCAGCGATTCCACGTAGTCCTTAGTGCGCACCACAGGAGCATCGAAACTCATGGTCACCTTGCGACAGTTGGGAGGCAGGTGATCAGTGATGGGGTTCTTGATCACCTTCAACAGCTTCTCTTGGGAGTTGGTGGAGCGGATAGAGAGTCGGTGGAGCAGCTGAACCATCAAACCAGCAAAACGCTTGAAAGTTCGAGGAATGCGCACGGAGGGATTGACTTCGATCAAGACGCCCTTGGCGGTGTGAATGAAGATTTGAAGGCGACCGGCCTTGTTGACGGGGGAATCCAAGAGGGTAAGCAGACACTAGTTTCGGACGGGGAATGTCAGCCATGAAGATTTTTTAGATTTTTTGACAAAGGATCAAAAGAATCCGAAAAAATGACGCAGTTGATCGAGGAATATATTTTGATTAAGATTCATGCATACCTGGTGAGTGATATCCGGTCGAGCTTCACTGATGTCTCGGTTCATTTTGCGCATGATACCAATATGCTCATCACTGTTCAGCAGCGAGTACTTCTCATCCTTAGCGCCAGCACGACCACTAGAAGCGCGGTATGTTTCCAGACTAGCATTGGAGAGAATGACAATCAAGCGCTGGGTGTCCTTGTCATGGGAGGGAATGGGGACATGTTGCTCCGCAACAAGCTGAGGCAACTCAGGTGGGGGGCAAGATTGAGTTCCTAGCGGCGAAGTGCGGTTAGCCATATTGCACAGATAGTTGGCTGGTGACAGCAGACGAAAGAAGAATAAAATAATATAAAGAAATAAGAAGCAGTTGATTGAATGCCAGGTCACACAACGTCACTGAAATGAGTAGATAGGTAGGATTCGACCGCGGAGCTTAGGCAGAGTTTGGGTGCTCTCGTGCCTTGGGGGGAAATATGTAATGACGGATCTTATTTTGGGGGAGGAAAGAAGACCCGGGCAGAACTCAAAAAGGGATTTAAAAAAAAAACCAAAAAGTCCAGAGAAACGTACTCGCACGCTTGCGCTTGCCTGCAACTTGATCGCTGTCAGACATGGTGGGAATATAGAATTGGATGGGGGATCTAAAAGGGAGGGAAGAGGAACTGAATCGAAGAGATTTTTGAGTTGGTGACTTTCTGCTCTCTTTGCTCTCTCCGCCAAACGGTTCCGCGGGACCAAAGCGGGACCAGCTAAACTTGAACTTTGCTGTACTGTACACTGTTCACTGTAGGAGAGCTATGTTAAGTATGTTCAAATTAAGATATCAGGAAATAAGGGAGGAATTGAATAGATTTAGAAAGTGTAGATCCTACAGATTGAATATTATTCAATGAAGGAAAAAAACATCCCGGGTTCTAGCGTCTTGACAAACCATGTCTATTTAAATACGATTCTCTAACCGGAGAGTTTCCCCTCTCTTGTCTCTTGCAAGTACTTTGTTTTCCTCTCGTGAGCTACTAAAATTGATTTACCGATTTCGGCGACCTAGGGTGATCTTCCTCATGATGGGTCGGAGTCCGCGCCTCCGAGCTTATTCCTGCACGAGGGTGCAGTGATAGGCCGGTACCTCCCGGGGCTAAAGAGACAATAGATTGCATTGCTTCTACAGGATTCCAAGATTCTACGGAGTATAGAAATCCATGAGAATGACGATGACAGCATGACCGAGAAAATGACCAATAAAGGATTTTATCTGACTCTAGTTACCATCAACTTGAACCTTTCAAGGTTCTACTAAGGGTGGAAACAACGATTTCTTCATGAGAAAAGGTATACTAAAACTATAATAATCATCATATTGCATCTGGTCCGCTCCAAGTCAGCCCCAGGGCCCCATGTGCTTGGTATATATATGTAATAGAGTCAGTCACCCATTCATGACATGCAATATACTGTAAACTATTGGTATCAGCCATGCATCATATAGAATAAAGATGCAAGAAATGCAGGAGGGGCCAAATCCTGGGGTGATACAAGAAGGTCAGCCTTGTTCAGGCGCGTGTCCAGGTAGAAAAGAGAAAAGAGAAGAAAGAAACCTTGGAAAGCCCCCACTTCTCAAACGGTGACAGATCTGACTATCGTGAACGCGAGGAGATCCCTCGTGCAGCTGAACCTGTCAAACTAGAAGTGGCAGTGATCGGGGGGTGGTTACTCTCTTCCCCCCTCCTCCTTCTTCCTCCCCCAACTTCAAGATCAGCCTAGACCATGCAAAGCTTCATGACTATACCTTGTCCCCTGACTGGTTGAAACAGGCCAACTTCGCCACCACGGCTGTCTGTCTTTCCCCTAAGCTCTGAACTCTACTCTGCACAAGCAGCCCTCTGTATGCTGCACAGAGACCCCTTCCCCATCGAATCGGGAGGGAACCAGTTTCTCCCCTTTTTTCGATTGGAGCAGCAGATTAGCAACTCGTAACTAGCCGGGGCGAAACGATGCGGTGGTTCTATCAAGCCAATCATGGTTCCTGATGATTCATCGTCATGGTTAGCGATGACCCAATCAGATCGGCGACATCAGTATTTCCGTCCAGCCTCTCCGTATTTCTCCTGAGAGTAATTTCCAAAAAATCACGCAGACTGACGATGTAAGTTGCGGCGTCGATCTTCATTCCCGCTTCCTTATACCTTACACCGGGTTGGCGGGGTGGCTCAGGAGATCATGGTAGCCTACCTCAGGCTGATGCCGATGTGTACCAGCCCTAGAGTAGTCAGATATACTATATACGGAGTGTCTTGGGGCCTCTAGAAGAGCCTCGCATTGACTCGATTGGGGCGAAATCCTCATTTAATTTCCCCGCGCTACGGCCTTGTCAAATCAGTATACGCGATTGGCTCTGAGAATCATCTGGCTGTTTTGGATAATACATTGTAGCTGGTGGCACCCGGGTGGATGTGTGCGTCGTAGAAGAAAGGGGGCAGAGAGTTAAGAGTTAGAGAGAGAAGGATAAGCCCAAGCCTCCCCCAGCCCAGCACAGTAGTTACGACATACCAAGGCATTCAGGAATTCTTATTAGGTAGCAAAGATCATGTTATTTCTCGAACTGAAAATAAATCTCCCTTTTCTTTCTTTTTTTCCCCCTTCTTGTTCGTCTCTTTCCTTTCCTATTTTTATTTTATTTATTTTCTGATCGAATTATCTCTCATTATTATCCTGTTTTTCTATATTCTCCCATCTACAGGGATATTACTCATTAATCCTCATGGTGGCGATTTCTTGGGTCTTAGCAGCCAGAGACGTTCCTTATTAAGAAGCTCACTCTCTCCACAGGGAGCTCTTTACGCCCTGTACTCCCTGTTTTACGACCAGAGAAGCTTATTTAGATTTTTCTTCTCACCTCATCAACCTCCTCAATTTCAAGCAAGGGATATTTCTCACCGTTGTAAGTTTAACTGCGTGGTCTCCTTGGAACAATATGACCTAAACCAGTTAGCGCCACGCGTGCGGTGGAACCGGTCGATCCGCCCTGGTAAATTCCAAAAAAAACCCCGTGTCAAGGGAAATAAACATCTTCTCACCCCGCTATTCATCGATCCCCGGAGATGCCGTGGACTGTGACCAATTCTTTTAAGCGGTATGTGACTGTCTATTAGGGAAACAGAGTGCAAGACTAACATCTCCATCCCTTTCTCCACAAACAGAGGCCTGATGAAAACATACGGAAGACCAACATGGCGCGTCTATGACGATGAACGAGCCGCGAAAAAAAGACGCGTCCAAGATGATAATGAGGCAGAAACAAATCTGCAATACGCGATTCGCGAGTCTTCCGCGGCCGTATTATCTAGCCCTTCGCGACGGAACTCCGTAGTCTTGTCGGAAGGCACCTTGGACGATATCGACGATCTTACCACTCCGCCCTCCTCGCCACCTCCCCGATTAACTCCTCCGCCAGCAAATACTCGCAAACCAACTTTTTCTTTTCTTAAGCGCAAGCATAAAGATGTCGCCACCGGCTCTCCGCTGACGGAGGTCAACTCCAATAGTGTGCGCTCCTCCGCGGATCCGCCCAAGCAGCAGCAACAGCAATCGCTGCCACAGAAATTGACGCCAAAATCACAGGCCCCACTGCGCCAGATGCAGATTGATTTGGGGAATGAAGTGCGCAAAACATGTGCGACATGTGGCATGGAGTATATACCGTCTAACTCGGAAGACGCGGCTTTACATAAAAAGTTCCACGAGATGAATTCGACAGGCGTGGATTTGGGCAAGGCTTTTATGCGCGCGAATGCATCGCGATGGGTATATGAAGCAACGCGATTTGATGAAGGTTACGTGGTTATTGTGGATCGCAAGGCTTCACCAAGTGCGAAGAATCAAGCAAAGAAGGTCCTCGAAGTGGTTAATAAGGAGTTGTCATCGCCTGAGATTGATGATGAGGTGCTTTGGAGTCAAACAGAACCTCCCAAACACCTTGTTAAGGACGAAAATGAAGAGAAGGTAGACCGGTATCGGGTTTTCTTGCATATGAAGGATAGCCGATGTGTCGGGCTCTGCCTTACTGAACGCATCTGGGAATCACGGCCTGTTATTCCCGGAGAACAGAATGGCGCGACTCACAACTCGTCGGTTTCAGTGAAGGATGAACTTCACCAGGCCATTGTTGGAGTCTCGCGTATATGGACATCTGGGGCGTCCAGAAGAAAGGGCATTGCGCTTGATCTACTGGACTGCGTGGTCAGCAATTTTATTTATGGCATGGAGATCTCTAAAGATCAAATTGCATTCAGTCAGCCCACAGAGAGTGGGAAGCGACTGGCTTCTAAGTTTTTCGAAGACGAGGAGACATGGCATGTGTATAACGAGCGTTGATGAACCTTGCAGAAATACAGAAAGGTACTCAGCATTGTGAATTCTTCATGGATTCTTGTATGGGGAGGTTGTTTTCTTCTTTTTCTTCTTCTTTTTCTTCTTTCATCAAGCACATGGGAACGGTGGCCGGTTATTCTCCCTTTTTTGCCTCTTTATTATATAGTATTATTCCTCGTCTCTGGGTTCGGGTCTATGGTCATGCTTCTACCTGGGGTGTTTGTTTTTTTTTCGTCTGTTCTTTTGTTCTATCACTCCATTTCGCACATTGTACTATATCTCATCCTTCGTTTCTTTGTGTCCTCCCGAGGCCATTTCTTGTGTTCGCGTTGACTGTTGACTATGTACTGAACAAGATCATTCGTTTCCGTCAAACCCCCGATCCCAACATTTGAAAAATTGCAACTGTTTTTGTATCATTGACTGGCTCTTCTACATTATTTTTTAGCCTACTTCGTACCTAGTTCGCACCGACGTGTAATGTTTTTGTATTGGGTTTGGCAATCACAGGTCTTTCCGGGAGTCCGGACGCTTCGATCGGAAAGCGGCGCGTAAGGAACCTGATGGACCACGAAGTTCGGCGGGGAAGAGGGGGCTTTCTTCCCTCTTCCATCCTTTAGGACGAGATCCCTCGCTCTTTCTCTCCGCGATGTCTGCTTTCAATCCTTTTCGTCGGAATCTGGACGGTGAGTATTTCTCCGCGATCCCTTTCGAATCCTCAATGATGCTTCCCCTCGTCGATGTGTGTACCCGCCAGGTCCCGATAAGACAGCGGGCTCTTCCCCCAACATCCCCTCACAATGACATTGAGTTTGGATACTAACGACCGAGTACGAAATAGGCGGTGCTGCCACTGCCACGCCTCCGATATCAGCTTCGGCAGCTCAATCTACGAATAACTCGTCCTCGAATCTGGCCTCGAATCTAACGTCCAATCCTCCCCAGCCTCAGGTTCTTCCTTCGCAGTTGCCTGATGACTACCCCAGAAAGTCGTCGTTATCACTGGAGATTCAGGAGGAGGATGACTCGACCTCCTCAGATGAACAAACAGCAGACCCATTCAATCCGGTTTCATCTGTTAGCGACAATGAAGACGATCAAAAACCCCAGAACTTCAAGAGCTCAGCTCCGGGCGATCACCCCCGAGCTTCCTTTGGGTCTACTCCACACCCAGCTCCATCCACGGATGGATCTACCACTTCCCCATCCGAAGCTCCATTAGCGACAAACGAATATTATAAACAGTCTACATCCAGCCTTACAGAGTCGAGTTCAGATGAAGATACTTCATCAGCGGTGAATCGGTCGGTCGGAGACTCTCAACATTATAAACAAAGCGCGCGACTCTCTAGCTCTGGCAATAAGGACAAGAAGCCTCCGCCGCCGCCTAAGAGTCATCATGGCAAACGCATAAATGCTAAAAGCACTCCAGCTATGGTATCTGCTCAATCGATACCTTCTCGACCAACTCACCGCTCCTCTTTTCATTCTTCATCCCCGGAAAGCTTTACATCGTCGCACAAAGCAAGCACACCTAATGCCAGCTCGGCCCAACGACTAGCTCCCGATTATTTCGCCATTCAGTCAGAAAACCAAGCTGCAGTGGCCTCGAATGGGTCACTGTCACGCAGCGACTCCCAGCATAAGCGCCCGCCAACACCGCCTCTCAGTCGACGGCATAGCCAGATGCACAGGTCCAAATCTACTCAGTCCAAATCGAGTGCCAGCCGATTGACCTTGTCCTCGGTGGATTCAGAAAGCAATGATAGTTCACAACCACCGAGTCCCGGTCCATCTACTAGGTCCGGGGCTTCGTCTCTTTCTAGAGATCGAAAACGTGTTAGCATGCCTCCTCCCTCTTCTGGGGATTTTCACCCTACCATTTCCTCGGCTGGAATATCAGACCATCTCTCACCTCCAAACAGTTCTCAGACGTCATTGCCTGGACGACGGGCTTCGTCCTATGGGAACTTAGCTACCGGTTCTTCCTATGTAGCACCACCTCCCCCTCCCCCTCCTCGCCGAGCACGCGACTCCAGCGCCCGTAGTCATGAAGGCAGGCCTGTGTCTCAGATGATCACTACTCAGGAGGAGCCATTGCCTCAACCCTCTAATGCTATTGATATATTGGCCGATCTTTCACGTTTACAGAAGGAGGTGGATGACCTTCGCGGACACTATGAAAGTCGCAAAGTCAGCGAGTAAAGATCAAGGGCGTCTTATTTCCCTCTTTGTTTTATTTTTCTATTATCATCTTACATTTTGATATTGATATTGAACAGCGAGATGACTTGTATGAATGAATGTATGAAGCTGAATTTCATCAATGGCCTTGGATTTTCTTTCAAATATTCAAATATTTCAGATATCGTGTAGTTGTGGCTTGGACTAAGTATTGATTGGACGGAGAGGGGCAACATGACGTCGCTCTTCGAAATGAAAATGTTCCGCTTCAATGTTCCAATGCCACTAAACCACTAAAAGCCTCTCCCTCCCCGCAATCTAACTTCCCAAAAACAAATCTTTGATTCTCACTCTCCGTGAAGCTTTTCTCACTAATAGGAACATTTCAAAGCTTGACTACATTCACTGATCGGACTACTCGAGTCACATTGTACTGACATCTTCGCATTCGAACACAATGACGACCCCCACGCTCATCAACTTACCACCACCTCCCTCGGACCCCGTCACTCCTGACATGGGACCGTAAGCTAGCCCCTTCCTTACTTCCTTCCTTTCTTCTCCGTCATTCAATTTATCTGGCAGATTAGAACATGGATGACTGACCTGGGCGAGGTGGTTTGGTGGGCAGAGGTACTCCCAATTCCGGCACTACGTCCCTATCTGCACTATCGACAACAGCCATCAAAGATGGACACCAGGGTCATTTCCCCCACGGCCGTCACGCTCATCATTCTTCCTCGGCTTCCATCTCCTCAACTACGACTCTAGAAGCTGAACGCGCCGATCGCATTTCCCGACTAGCTGGTCTGGAACGAGTCGCAACCGCTCGAGCTGGGGGTAATTCGCCTTCCAACGCTGCTTTGCATATGCCGCATACATCGGGCTATTTCGATAGTCCGGCCACTCTCAAGGAGCGGAGTACGGTTGGTAGTGCTAGCGCAACAGCTAGCATTGGTGGTCACACGACATGGGCTAGTGGCAGTGATGCCTTCGAAGCTGATAAGATGAGCGAGGACCCAGATGACGGTGTCTCGAGCGTCAGCAATATTAGTGATGAGGGTAATGCTAGCTTGGTTGGTTTTGGTGAGGGTGCTAGTAGCACTATCAGTGGTCCGACTTCACGTCCTCCCGGCATGAATCGTATGTCTTCGGGTGGTGTCAATGCTCGTCCGACTTCTATGGGAAGCTCGAATGTTAATCGGTCAAACCCCATCGCCTCCTATATCCAGCAGCAGCAGCTGTACAATACTGCTGATAGCCCTATGGATGTGCACTCCCCTGCTGGTTCGAATACTCCGGAACCTGTCTCGGAGGATGCGCGAATGGTCGACGGTATGACCTTTGACTCGGATGTGGTTGATACCACGGCTCGTACGCCACGGCTTGTGACGCCATCTAACCAGGGTATGGGTGGCTTTGAGGCCCCGGATCGCGAATGAAACACTTGTGGGAATCACGCGTGAGAGTGAATGACTAGACCAAGAAACCTAGATGGCTTTGTTTCTCTCGTTGAGTCATCCTGGTACTCATTCGCTCTCTCTTTTCTTCCTTTCTCTTTCTCTTTCTCTTTCTTGCGATTTATCGGTTTTGATGGTTTGACGGCTTGATTTATTTTCATTTGTCCCTGCTCTGGGTCTTCATTGACGCAGCATGTATTTCTATGCGGGGCGAGTTTTGGAAGACAACAGTATCACCAGGTCCTGGTGAACACGACAGATATGTACGGGATACGATACTCCTTTCTTTGTTTCTGCAGCTAAGCAACGATGTTTCTCTTTTTTTTTTTTGGTCTTTTATGTCTTTGATTGGTCTTGGGAAGGATCCCATCTGGACCTTGCGATGTATCTAGGTATTACGTGGCGTTGGAAAAACTGCCTTCTTTGTTAGGTCGAGGTCTTTGGACTACTTAATTCAATTCAGTTTCAATAAGAACGGACCTATATAGATGATACATTTCATATATGACAAAGATAATGTAAAATACGTCGTAGGTGAGCTCGAAGTATATGTAAAAGATGATCATGTCTAGGCCTATCGGGCGCCTAAATGACGGCATGCCGCCTCCGAGCTGAAGCCCGCTGCGCAATACCCGAATTTTCGCTTTCACTCTCTTCATCCTCCCCACCTCCCTCCCCTCCCACTCTAACCACCACTTTCTCCCCCCTCGGCTCTGCCCTCACTGCTGGCATTGACTTGTCTAGCATAGAAGACCAAGAAGATTCCGACTAGAGTACTTCGTTGCTCTTCGTCCGTTCCAATTGAGTTTCGTTTTGAGACTCATCACCTGAGATTCATCGACTCGCCACATCGCTGGTTATCCCCCAATTTGACCTTGTTCACCACACCGAACTTCTGCGCCTGAGCTTTTGACACAAATCGCTCGATACTATTATTCCCCGTCTACTCGGATTCTATTACTTCCGCAGTCGCTTCTTTTGTCTGCTCGCGACAAATAGACTCATCCGAATCGACCGGTCGGTGTCTTGTTTGCCTGGTCTTGTGCTCTCGTACTTCCGGGAAACCAGCACTTGAGAACATACGCTCTGCTTTCTCTTCCTTGAGAAACAGATCAACTTTGAATACTTCCTCGGGTGACTATTTCTATACAGCGATTTACATTCAATATGGCGGCTCCGACGCAGCTAGCTTGTGCGTTTCTACCCTTCCCTCAAAAAGACACACACAAGAAATATACCTTCGAGCTATTCGAGCTACCGAGGTACTTTTGTTTTAGCGACATCAACTAACTTGTTTTTCAGACCGCACCCTTAAGGGTGTCGGCATTATGGATGCTGCCCCTGTCTATGAACCTCTGTCGGGCTTTGAGAGGTAGGCTTCTACGCCAGTTTGTGGTTTTGGGAATTAAGAACTTGTCGCTGATTTTTGTCGCTATAGACCTGAGGGGAATATCCGCTGCAGTGCATACTCGCCATGCGGCCGTTACTTCGCATGGGCGTCTCCCGAAAGGTAAGCTTGTGAAACAGTCTTAAAACATTGTCTTGGAAATTAACTAACTCGGTGTCTCTACAGGGTCACCATTATCGATGCCTCGGTCGGTCAAACTGTCTCGACAATCCCCGCCGATAACGTGTTTGAGTTGGGCTTCTCCCCGCTCGGCACCTACGTGATCACCTGGCAACGGCCTACCAAGGACGACAACGGAGATGCCACGAAGAACCTCAAGGTGTGGCGTGCTGTTGAGTCTGGAGACGATCACACCGTCGTGGGAAGTTACGTCCAGAAGTCGCAGACAGGCTGGAACCTGCAGTACACCCCCGATGAGAAGCTGTGTGCCCGTGTCGTGACCAACGAGGTCCAATTCTACCAGAGCGACAACCTCTCGACTGTTTGGAATAAGCTGCGTGTGGAGGGAGTGGCGGATTTTTCTCTCTCGCCGGGACAGACCCATTCGATTGCGGTGTTTATTCCTGAGCGTAAGGGTCAACCTGCTGCTGTTAAGGTGTTCGTTGTGCCGCAGTTCAATGCGCCGGTTTCGCAGAAGAGCTTCTTCAAGGGTGATAAGGTTCAGCTTAAGTGGAATGCTTCCGGTACGACTTTGATCGTCCTGGCGCAGACCGAGGTGGACCGCACTGGTAAGAGTTACTATGGCGAGACTACTTTGTACTTGCTCAGTGCTAGCGGAGCTTTTGACTCCCGGATCGATCTTGGTATGTGTTTCCAAACTTTCTTCCCAGAAGAAAAAATGGGAAGAGATAGAGATATATTTTTCTGGTCCACTTAGACTAACTATTTATTAGACAAGGAAGGTCCCATTCATGACGTGAGTTGGAACCCCAACTCCAAGGAATTTGGTGTCGTCTATGGCTACATGCCTGCGAAGAGTACAATTTTCAACATGCGCGGTGTGCCCAAGCATACTTTCCCCTTGAGCCCCCGGAACACTATCCAGTTCTCTCCTCACGGACGATTTGTTCTGGTTGCCGGCTTTGGTAACTTGGCTGGTCAGATGGATCTCTATGACCTGGACCGAAACTACCACAAGATCGCGACTGTTGAGGCCTCCAACGCCAGTGTGTGTGCCTGGTCCCCTGACGGCCAGTTCATTCTGACTGCCACCACCAGCCCCCGCCTTCGTGTTGACAACGGCATTCGCTTGTGGCACGTCAGCGGTAGCCTCACTTACAACGAGGAGATGACCGAGCTATACGATGTTACCTGGCGTCCTCAGGGCGCTACCGAGATCCCACTGGGTGATCCTCTCACCAAGCTGCCTGTTGCCCACCCCTCTGCTACTGCCTATCTGGCCACGCGCAAGGCTCCTGTGAAACCCGCTGGTGCCTACCGTCCCCCCGGTGCTCGCGGCCAGCTGACCCCTCTCGCTTTCAAGCGTGAGGATCAGGGTGGTGCCGCTTTCGTTCGTGAGGGTGTTCCCGGCGCCAGCATGAACGGTTTCGGTAAGCAGCCTCGCCGCCGTGAGGTTCCTGGTGCTGAGCCTACAGAGGAGTATCTGCCTCCTGGCGCAGCTCCCGGTGGTGGTGTCCCTCTCCCATCAGGCGCGGATAATGAGAAGCTGTCCAAGTCCGCTGCCAAGAACAAGAAGAAGCGTGAGGCCGCCAAGAAGGCCCGTGAGGATGGTGTGCCGGACAACCAGTCTCCTCCCAATGCCCCCACTGGCCCAAGCCCAGACCGCAGCCGTAACCGTGGCAAGGCCAACGGTGCCCCTGTCAATGGAAACGGAAACGGTGCTACCAAGCAAGCTCCTCCTGCCCCCGCCCCTGCTCCTGCTCCTGCTCCTGCCCCAGCTCCCGCTCCCGCCCCCGTTGCTCCCATCGATTCTTCTGCCCAAGAGAAGAAGATTCGTGGCCTTCTGAAAAAAATCCGCGCCATCGATGAGCTCAAGATGCGCCTTGCTGGCGGTGAGAAGCTGGAAGATACTCAGATGAAGAAGATTCAGACTGAAGATTCCGTGCGCAAGGAGCTTGAGGGTGTTGGATACAATGGATAAGCATTGCTTTTGGATTCATGGTATTGGACTTAATACCGAAAGACTTCAGCAACTATGTTTGATACATAACATTTCTCTCCACTTGTGATTTGTTTATTTTCCCTTGCGATCATACTGCAGATAGGACGGAGTTGAGGGAGGTTTGGATGCATTTTCTTTCTCCTTTGGCTTTTGCCAAGCGTGCATGGGTTATCTAATCATCGCGTGTATATGAGTGCATTTACCCTCCCGTATATTCTCGTTCCACCATCCATCGTTGGAGCAAAGGGTGTAAAATACAAATGAAACCTAAATCGAAATCAAATTGAACCCAGACTGTACATTCTTCATTTCTCGTTTCTCATTCCTGCTGTTCTTTGTAGTTGAATCCAAAGTAGGTACATAGCTTCGTAGTCCTTCGTTGTCTTGGACTATCCCAAGTAAATGTCCGTTGGAAGGTCATGATACATTTGATAATCCAGATCAACGCTCCACTCCAACACAAAGACCTTAACCAATGCAATAATAGCCATTGGACTAAGTACCCCCAATTCATTTGAGGGGCTCTGATTGCTCCAAAATGTCGTCTTGTCCAAATCTGATGCCATTCCGTCCCACAATATCAGTGCAATATCCGTCACTATTCGGACAAGATCTGCTAAATCCCCACTTCCTGCCATGATAGCACCCATTGCCATGTTTCCCATGTCTGTTGTGACGAATGAAGAGTCCCATCCCCTTGCTTCTAACTTATGCGACCACGCGGTCACTGCATGGCCAAGCGTAGCTGCAAGCTTACCTCTATGTTGATCCATGCGTTCCTTTGCAAATGCAAGCAGGATATCCCGCATTCCACGATGTATAGACCATGATAGAAAGTTCCACGGTAGACAGTCCAAAGCTTCATTCAGAATAGCTGCCTCCGTTGGTCCAACATACAGTCTCACATCGTGGGATCCATCATACTTGTTAGGCAGATGCAGAATCGTTGCCCCATCTTTCTCTTTTTCACCGAGCTCATAATCCACAGTTCTCATGTGCAAATAATCCAGTTCGTCCACATTTCCTCCGGTAAGGGTGTATAGACGACTGCCCCCATGTGCACCTCGAAATTCCCGCGGTACATATCGAAGAACCCAGTTGCCTGATGTTTCCCGTCCGGGGAACGCACACATAAACTCATGCAAGGGCCGACAATCAATCACCCCCGCTAACATCTGTAGACACTTGTCTACTCTCTGTTCCACTAAAGCGGGATAAACGTCTTTCGTGAACGATCCCGACTCATGCGCGGAGAAATATACCCTGGCCTTATCGCCAATCGGCCACTCAACCCCCCACTGTCCAGTATAACATGTATAAAAAGCAAAGTACCCAGCCGACGTACTAGAAACAGACAAAAACTGCGCATTAACAACACATAGTAGCGTCATCAGCGTCGTCCTCGAAATAACCGTACACCTAGCAAGCTTATGCTGTACAAGCGGCTGCTTCTCAAGATCATCCCATCCCTCTCCAGACGAGGCACTAACATCCGTAATGGTGATGATACATTCTGCACTTTTGACATTGTAAAATTCATAAGGATTCAGACCAGGTTGAATGTTTCTTGTCTGTCCACAGTCCTGGTGTGCAGGTAAGTCCGAATGTATCACCGCCAGAAGCACTGACCATGCTGTGGGCCTGGATGGACGGACTAGCGGTTTCCGGCTCAGATGTACTGTTTTCTTTTGGCAGAGACCTTCATGGAGGGATGCGGTTATTCTTGGACCGAGGATTTGTCGCTTTTGATTTGTTTGTGTGTGGCTAAGTTGGGTTATTCCGAGTGCTGCTGCGAAGCAGGAGAGCCAGGGTATACTATCGGTGTTGATGGTGGTGATACTGGGTGACTCCATGCTTATCAGATCTATCTGGATAGACCCGGAGTCTTGGCCTCGGCGGGATACTGTATGATATCGCGCTGCGAGGTTTATGAGATGATGTTGGGAGCTGGTGGACTGAGGGAGTGATAATTCTAAGTATGTTTGGGACTCAGGAGATGGATAGTTCCTCGCTTGTTTTCTCCTGCTGTTTGGAAAATGTTTGCTCTACCGTATTTCGGATGCGTATGAGTCGCGTGAACGGACATTATTAGTCTTTCGCTACAGGATTCGTTGTTCGTGCCCAGGTGGGTCGGTGGTTGATCTTTAATATGGTGCAGGGGTTTCAACTTTATTTCGTATATGTTCGAAGCGTGTAATAATATCTATATGACTATTGCCAACTTTATCTGCTGTTTTCAAGGCTCTGAGTATCATATTGATCTTATGGCGGGCTTAGTTTGTCACCCACTCATCGCTGTCCACGCATGGGCCGGCATATACATTCTGCGTCAGCCGTCAGACGCTCCACATGAATCCATCCATGTCTAAGGAAAGGATGCGTCACATGCTCGGTGACTTGAGATTAATGGGAAGATGTTGAAGGACGAAGAGAAGAAATGCAATAAGACTTACAATTTACAGGCAAAAGATATAGTAGAGTAAATTTTTAGATATAGATTCAAGTTCATGAGAAGATACATTAAATTTGGGTTTATCCCCAGTACAGATTATGGCTACGTATGTTCCATCAATGCCAGTTTCACGCATTACATCTGCTCTGGACTGCGCACCCTTATACTCTCAGGGATACCAATGTAGGAGATTGTCCGAAGACAGATTGGCATCCATGAAAGTAGGTAGAGATAACAGGAGCCCCAGATACAAATGCTGGCGATGCAACATCCACCTAGCAGGTAGGCAGACATCGCATAAGATAAGAAGGCCGGCACATTGAGCACCAAGTTGATGATATTTGATATATCGCATCCGATACAGAGCTTATTAACTTCCGAAGAAGAAAATTTCAAGGCATGGATCTCGCCTTGCGCTCCACCTTACAGCGCGAAAGATAGTGGAAAAGAAGAAACCTAATAGATCGAAAGATAAGATGGTAAGCTAGAAAATCAAGGACACATCTTGCAGATTAATCGTCATTCGGAGCATGGGTATCATCTATGACTGAGTCTTGAAGTCCGATGTCCTGAATCAAGTAAAAATACGAGTTCGTTTGATAGGACTTCCCATGCGGAGAGATCCGGTCCCGCGAACCATGCCATTCAGCAGTCTCCCCATTCCTTCCACATCCAATTCACCTCGTTGCAGCTTCAATTGATCGTTTTCTGGAGCATCGTGCTTCACGGCCTCAGTTGCTACCACAATTTCATCGGACTCGACCAGGCGCGGGGCGAGAATCATGATCTGATGCTCAGCAGCAACCAACACATCGAAGGATTGCTTTTCAGCAGCCCTGGACCGGCGCAATGGAGCGGGAAGATGACTTATCGCCTGAAAGTTCTCACCCATCAAGTTCACATCCTGGAAGGGGGTCACTCGGGACCGGTTAGACGCGTCAAAGGTGCCGGTAGCTCGGACGGCATTGCGCCAGAGCGAAAGTAAACTAGGAATAACCGCACTCTGGCGGCCATGGCGCAGCAAGATTGACTCATCTGGAAGCGCTTCTTGGGATGAGTTGATTTGAAGAACGGAAATTTGGCCACGGAGAGATGGGCTGACTTCAGTTATTGACCCCTTCAGAAGGGTGTCCTCGCGGACCCGCTTAGTAGACGGTGTCATCGGCGCAAAACGTGGTCGATGTTCGATCTCGGATTGTGTATTGGTTGGTTGGGTTGCAATTCGACCACTCACGGTATAAGCAGTCAGAGATCCACCAGTGACTCCCTGGACACTGGTCTGGCGGTGCAGTGGACCCTTGGCAGCTCCTGGGCCTGCGCCTTCAATATCCCAAACACCCCATTCACCATCAACAAGGAGAACCATGACAGCCCGACCCCCAAGAACCCAGTTTGCATCAATGATAGTTTTGCGGCGAGGAAGTCCTGTTGGACCTTGTTCATAGCCGGGATACAAACTGATTAGCCATCGGCCTTCCGTGTCAATGGTTTCATAATCTTCGTGTGCACCAGAAGCCCGGCGCGCCGACTTTGGTGTCTTTTTGACGGAGAAGCATGAATAAATTTTGACACATCCATTATGGAAGGCAACTAGCAAATTAGCATGGCGGGCCGATGGGTACGTAGAGGGGTTGAACGCTATCGTTTGAGCTGGAGATGGCAGAAGACGCCGTTGGGAAACAATATCCTCCTCTGAGAGGTAGAAAAACCCAGAAGACTCTTCGCGAACGGGAATTCGATGTATCAAGAGCACACCGGATCCTTCAGCGGAATGTGTAGCCACAAGAAGATCCCAGCTCCCTGATCCTCCAACTCGGCTTCGTGATTTCCGGCGGTCTTGATCGTCTTCGGTTTCTTGACAGGTGAATGTGAGAGAAACACCACGGGGAATATCTTGGTGGGTGACACCTGCGTTAATGGCCAAGGATTGGACATGCCAGCTCTTAGGGTTGGTCTGAGCTGGGTGAGGAGGAGTAAGAGGGAGAGTCACAATGTGAGTTGAAAAGTCTGAGCAGACTGCAGCAATAACGATTGTAGTTTTCACAATAGGCGGGAATGGGTCGAGAGGTGAGCGGGCCTCGTCGGGAAGAACGCGAGGGATGGCGATATCTAACACGCGGCTCCCCAAGGGGATATCGACTTGTCGCAATATGGATTCGAACGGAAACGCAGGATCGACCTCACTCTCCTCCGGGGCAAAATCATATGTCGATTCTTCTTGAGCTGGAGTTGGTTCGGGGGCCTCATCCTCGTCGGAATCGATTATCATGACCGAGTCGTCATCGTTGTTTCCGCCGCTCTTGCCTGGCCGTGAAGCTTCAGGCTGCTTCAATTCCGAAAATGGTCTCCCTCCTCTCCATATAACTTTTAAGCCAGTATCGTTTCCGTAGATGATTATTGAAGAGCCATTGGGAGCTCGCAGAGGATACCCTTTCGCAGCGTGAATGCGATGCGGTAGCCGATAACTGTCGGTTACACGACGTTAATAGCCATCCCAGGTACAGTTCAAAAAGAAGGGAAGTTTACCTGAGCTGCAAGCCATCTTCTCTTGGCCGGACCAGCGGTGTCGCAGGGAATGAAGGCATTGTAGGGTCGATGATGTGAAGGACTTTCAAAACGCGGGCGCCGCAGGCACCGAAGGCACCGTATAAAGGAAGGTAATCCTGAGCTTGAATAGGTTGAGCTTAGAATCAAGCTGCTTAAAGGTTTGTAGTGTATCGCGAGTAATAAAGTGGAGCGTAGAGGTGGTTTCGGAGGTGGTTGTGTAGAGGGAAAAAGTTGTTTTGGCCGGAAGCAAAGTAACTTGGGGAAAGTCGATTCAGGCCGCGTTCCTGCGCGTCCTCCACTTGCAACATTCAACATTCAACAGCTCTTGACGATGCCTCCTGGGCCGACCTCGCATAACTGATACTTCCTTTCTCGATCATGGAAATAGCCCATTTAGCAACTTGGGCCGTCAGAGGATTATTTATGACGGCGCACCGCAATCATCACTCCACCTGCTAAACAGCCCACCATGGCTTTCACTCGCTCACTCGGCCTTCACGAACCGTCCGCCGTCCCATACTTAGTCGCAGAAGGAATATTGCCTCCCGATCCTTCAGATGATCAATATCAATGGACAACATGTATTGATGAGAGTGGGCTAACAGGCCCCGCGGACGATGAGCTAGTATGGACAAAACATTGTGCAGTATGGTCTCGCGCAGGGATAGTGAAAAGAGTATTCCGAATGGATCCAGAGAAGGAAGAAATTCGACATGCATTATTTACTCAATTTGTGGCCAATCACGTCCAACGACCTGGCGAAAATAACAACCATAATCGGTCTCGTGCTACAGGTATGGGAGCGACAACGAACACACAAGGAAGACAAGGCAAGCGATCCGGGAAAGAGTCAGCAGATAGCCACCTTGGCTCAACCTTGGATCTGTCAGGGGACGGCAATTTTCCTGTCGTGGCTTCAAATGAATCTCAAGAGAAGCTAGCAAGAGCTTTGGTCGTGGTCCTTAAGTCACAGGCCCATGTCTTCTTCGTTGCAGGTAACAGCCACACAATTCCTCTTCCATTCGAGGTTGAGTCTGTATTTGCAACGCCTCGTGGGATCCTATTTCAAAGAAAAATCGTGGACGATAATGCAGAACGTCAGCATCAAATAGCACCGCCAAATTCATTTATGACTACTTCGCTATTCGACCCTGGCGCCTCGCAATCTGGCATACCACCACCGCCACCCAACAAGAGCAAAGGCCCTGCTCTCAAATTGTCTTTTCCTAAAAGCTCCCCGTTTCCGTCAAGCTCTAGTTCAGGCACAGATCTTCCTCGAGTCTTCTCATTAATCGATCCGCACTCCGAAATGGGTCTGGTTGTTACTTCGCAGTCTTCTCGCTGGCTGCAGAGCAGCGTAGGCAGCGGCAAACGAAGACCATCGGGGCTTGATGTTCTGGATCCAGCGGATGAAATTATCTACATCTCTTCCAAGGATGAGCTCTCCGGCTTGAACCAAATCCACGTAAATCCTTTGATTTTGGTGGTTACAACGAACTCCACCACGGGTCTCTATACAGTTTGGACGGCTCGATATAGGGAAGATGAAAAAAGTGCTGCAGTCAAAGACAAGACTCGACGACAAACCGAAGGCGCCCGATCGAACAGGCGAAGCTCTCACTTCGGATTGACACCGGGTGCTGCCACTCCTGCTGCACGCCCAGCAAGAGAAAGCTTCGGCCCTTGGACAGAGAACTGGAACGCGTCCCAACCGCCCGACTTGAAAAAGGACGGCGAGGAAGATTTAGCGGCACGAGTCGCACAAGACTTTGGTGATGTCGGGGTTCCACTCAAGACCTCTAGAAGGGTCAGCTCGTTACTTGCTCGAACGGATTTAGCCACCAGCCAGGACCGTATCACATTTTCGGACTTAGCAACCGGCAGTCAGAGCAGTACTATGCACCATGGTGGCCTCAGGCGATCCATAGGGCCTGGCAGTATGCGTGGAAGCTTTGGATTCAATCCTCGAGGATCGATTCCCCCTGCAGCAGGGTCGACGTACAGCACTGCTGGCAGCTTTGCGGACGCCCCTGTAGATAGACTACTCGAGGAACTGAATAGTGATATTCTTTCGGAGGGGTTCGAGAACATTGCTCTCCGTGAATCTGCATCAGGATTACCAGAGGAGCTTCTACTCACCAAGGTGGAGAGTTTCTCTTCCAGATTTTCCGAAAATTTCAGCTCATCTATGCATCAAACAGTATCAGGTCACCTGAAAGTCTGTACGTTGTCCTCATCTGACTACGGAAAGTCACAAAGTGGAAATGCTACTTCAGTCGCAATTTGCATCGTGGATCGAAGCTCACGCGCCATGACTGTTGTAAACTTACGGGCAGAACGTGTGGCCGTGTCGAAGAACCGAAAGTTTGTGTCTGCAAAACCCAAGGCCCAAAGCTCTGAGAGGCGACCACTGCTTGTCCATGCAACAGGTATCCAGCATGTCCCAAATGTGGGTGATGTCTGTAGAGTCAGTGATGGTGAAATTTCAAGAATTCTCACTCTTGGCGTGTCCGATAGTGGACAACGAGAATTTTCATTACAAACCCTTTGGGGTAGCCCGACAAGAATCGATGTTCCAACTCCATTGCAACTGTATGAACCCCATGGCATATCTGCCAACAAGCTTATGAACCGGTCACGGGAGAGCGGCGTCCACAGGGTCATGGCCGACCAAGGTCTGGTCTTCTTGGAATTTGATCATGCTTGTTCCAAAGGCAAAGTCGATATAATAGATTCAGAGAAACGACGTCACAGACTTCAAATCCGAATGGAACCTCGAAATGATCTTGTAAAGAAAGTCCTAAAGGTCTGCAAATTTGTTCTTCGTGATTCTGAAAAGGCCGGTGAAGGCATGCTTGTTGCTTGGTGGGAAGTGATGAAATGGCTTCGAGGTAAAGAAGACATCGAGAATGATCTTGAGTGGACAGCTATGGTTATCGTCTTGTTTTCGTTGGCAGTTCCATTCATTCAAGAGCCACAGAGTCTGCCAGTCAAACGAACGCGTCGGAAGAAGGGTCTTCTTCGATCCAGCAGTGGGACGTATGTGGATCTTGAAAGCTGGGAATCCATGCTTGACCTTGAGTCTGGTGCATCTGGTGTCGCTCCCCCATGGATGATGAATAGCTCTTGGGGATGGATCGTCGAAAAAGACGCTATCGAAGGCCTAGCTAATAAAGATGCATCTCGCGCTTCAAAAACCGAGAACCTCAACGCAAGTCGGTCCACGTGCCGCCAAAATTCATACCTGAGCCGATGTGTGTCGCTGAGCCGTGACTTTCTTCAAAGTCCAGAAGGAAGCAGGGCATCTGGGTCTGACGGCTTTCTACCTATTTCTGAGGCTTTTCCCGAAAATACAAGGTGTACGGCATTGGGCACCATACTGGTCGGTCTACATCTTCTCCGAGAGGAACAAAAACTCTCCATTTACGACGCTGAGGAATCTCAACGCCCTCTTGGTCTTCTTGCTCCCGTTCTAGCGCAGCTTGGTGGATGGATAGGCTGGCAATCCTGGAAGTGGACTGCAGATGCATACTACGGCACTGAAATGGCCAGTATAGAGCGTTGGCAGTTTGAAGACAGCCAAATTTCCTTACTCAACGTTCCCCCGGAGCCCTTCTCTCCTCCATCAATCTTCGCTTTCCTCCTTGATGGTTCTCTTCAACCCGTTACCTCGTTCCTCACCCTTCTTGATGTTGTCAGTGCACCAGATCGGGCCCCCAGAAAGGGACGAATGTGGAAAGAATGTTTCAGCATCACGCCCAGGACGTTAGCCTTGATTGGCTTCCTTTCCGATGCTCACAAAGCCTCAGCTCCACTGGAAAAGATCAAACTCTTACATCGCTGGGGCTTCACAAAAAGCATCATCGATACTTTCCCCGAAGGCGTGAGTGCACCTTTATACGAGGCCATCATGCAATGCCAGATTGAAGCGTCGACCTCTTGGAATGCAACACTTTTAGAACTCATTGACCGCGAGGATCTCTACATGTCAATGAATCCAGTTCATGCCCAATCATGCGGAGCACCTCAACCGCCGGTAATATCCCATGATGCGACCCGAGACTTTCATAATATCAGTTCCTCGGCTCTGGAAATTGACCCCATTAATGCATTCGAGGCATCTGCGGAGGCCGATCGTTTTTCAGTTACTCGTCTGGTCTTTCGGGAAGACAAGCGCTTTTTAGAAGCAGCACGCCTCTTAAACCAGTCTAAAGCACCTATAGCAGATTGCGTTCCGGAGCCTGATTGGACGGAGTCTGACTTACTCGAGGCGCAGAAGGAAATTGTGCAACTCGTCTCATTTAGGACCTTGTCTACTCCCGCAGGCCGTGCCATGCTTTCATTCAGTGGTCGATTACCTTTGTTAACAGAGAAATTGCCAATCCCGTCCTTCTCTCTGCAGTGTGTGATGAAACCATCCAACGTGACCGTCAGCGCTGAAAGAACTGCGTTCACCGAGGAAAAGGTCTGCTGGGCATTCTTCCACAACGGCGTGTCCACCGGTCTCGCCATCTCTAAGGCTTCTAAGGGAATCGACACCTCGTGGATATTGTTCAACAAGCCCCAAGACCTGACCAACCGCCATGCCGGATTCCTGCTTGCGCTCGGTCTCAATGGTCATCTCAAGTCTCTAGCCAAATGGGTTGCTTTCAAGTACTTAACTCCCAAACATACAATGACCTCCATTGGCCTCTTGCTCGGTCTTTCTGCATCATACATCGGAACCATGGACACGCTCATCACCCGACTACTGTCAGTGCATGTTACTCGGATGCTGCCCATTGGAGCCGCAGAGCTTAATCTATCGCCTCTCACCCAAACCGCTGGTATCATGGGAATTGGTCTGCTTTATTGTGGCTCTCAGCATCGACGCATGAGCGAAGTGATGTTGTCAGAAATTGAGAATGTCGGTCAGGATGAACAATCCGGTACTCAAGATGACCTACGGGATGAAGGCTACCGTCTGGCTGCCGGATTCGCTCTAGGTTTCATCAACCTGGGCAAGGGCAAAGATCTAAGGGGAATGCGTGACATGCATATCGTTGAGCGCTTGCTCGCAATTGCAGTTGGGACTAAGAATGTTGATCTGGCGCATGTACTAGACCGCGCTACAGCAGGAGCGACAATTGCGCTAGCTATCATCTTCATGAAGACTAATGATGCAACACTGGCTAAGAAAATCAACATTCCCGACACCACAGTACGGTTTGACTATGTCCGGCCAGATCTCTTCCTTCTGAGAACATTGGCGCGACATCTCATCATGTGGGATAGCATCAAGCCAACTATCGAATGGATCAAGGAAAGCCTCCCGGGTGTGTATCGAAAGAGGTTCCGTCTCATGGCTGTGGGCCACCTTCGCAGCGAAGATATGCCTTTCTTCAACATCATTGCTGGCATTTGCTTAGCCCTCGGCCTTCGCTATGCCGGCTCTGGTGAAACCCAGGCAAGAGACCTGTTGCTGTACTACATGGACCAATTCATACGCATTTCACGGCTACCTGTTGTAAATTATGATGCAAAGCTGGCGCGCAACTCTGTTCGCAATTGTCAGGATGTGGTGGCTCTCTCTGCGGCAGCTGTCATGGCCGGTACGGGTGACTTGGCTCTATTCAGGCGCCTGCGCTCTCTTCATGGAAGGGTCGACCCTGATACACCTTATGGTAGCCACATGGCTGCTCATATGGCGATTGGAATGTTGTTCCTCGGCGGAGGTAGCCATACGCTTGGCACCTCAGATCTGGCCGTTGCTTCACTTCTTTGCGCATTTTATCCAATCTTCCCAACCACTGTTCTTGATAACAAATGCCATCTTCAAGCTTTCCGTCATCTATGGGTACTTGCTGCAGAGACTCGTTGTCTCGTGCCACGCGACCTTGATACTCGTCGCCCAATCTCCATTCCCATCACTATCACATCTCACGTTGGCTCACTCAACACCGTCCATGCCCCCTGTATTCTGCCAGATCCTAGCACAATTTCACGAATTGAAGTTCGAGGCCCGAATCACTGGCCACTCGTGCTTGATTTCAGCCAGAATGATGCTATTCGTGATAAGTTCCGCTGTGGCGATCCATCCGTGTATCTTCGGCGCAAGGCAACATACGGGCCATCCGATTCATCAACCTCTGTATTCGCTTCGACACTCACTGGATTGAGCGAGGCCCAAGACATTATGCCTGCTCCTGCAATCGCAGGGACCGACCCAGCTAAGGGTTTGCCGCAGTCTATCTTGCACAACAATGCCTTGATTCCCGGATCCGTGTCGGCATCAAGCACACCCTCACAAACGCCGTGGGATTGGATCTTCCAACTCACATCTCTTCAAGACCTTGATGTCCGTGATCGCTCTCTCGTTCTCCCATCTTCTTTCCCCACTCCTTCCCCTCGAATATCTACACAGCTAGTTACATCACCTCCTTGGCTCCGTACATCAGCTGTCGATGCTCGTCTCGCTCTATCACAGATTGTGCGCAATGTTGTTCAATCTACGCGTGGCCGTGGCGCTGACGCAGATGAGATTCGTGATCATGTCTGGCAGCTCAGGCTTTTGTTCGACTGGCTTGATCGTTCAGATAGTAATGGCGATGATAATTTGTCTTCTTATCTGCAAAATCAGTTGCAAACAAAAGCGTCTGGTCTATGGCTGAGGAAGGACTTTGTTGAGGAGGCTAGATCCTTGATATGGGGTGTACAGATTGAGGATCAGGGCATCTCTACTGGCTCTCAATCATGAATGTTGTAATCTTGAACAGCTTTTTACTCTTTCCTTTTGTTTTGTATGTGGTGACCATGTTTTGTGGTGTTGCTGCCCTTGCTCGGACGGACAATTGGCTATTCCTGTATGATATCCATGGATGATGTGCATGATATGATATGCAATGGCGCTATTTTATCTTAATATACCTACGGGAAATGGAACGCAACTGTTGTTCATATATGTAGAATATCTGAATAGTAAATAAATTGGGCTTAGTAGTACTGTGCAGTATATATCCATTTTGTAAAATCTTGTCAGAAGTCATGTGTGCATACACATCCATCGTAAAATGGAGAAAGCGCTCAGTATCATGATTCTGAGTACAAAGTAAAATTGAAGAAAACAATATGCAAATCGTTCATATCACGTCTAATTTGAGCGAACCTGACCCTCCTTTAATAATCCACGATCGCCACCTCCACCTCGCTGCCATAGCCAAACTCCTTCTACAGCCCACGCTGCAGCACTAGCATGTCGTCCAATGCCCGATGCAGCAGGCAAATCATCTTTCGCTCCTTCTTTCTTATTTTCACCACTCTGAGGACCTTTCACTGGAAACTGGCCAGCTGCCCCCTCGGCTTCAGCCAACATTCGACCGACAACACCCTCCTTCTCAATGACAAACCATAATCCATCCGATAGCTGACCACCCCGATCACCGAACTCAGCCCGACCAAGACGGAACAAAATCCGACCGATAACCTGCCACGCAACACAACGCTGCGCAGGGAACGTAGAGCGAGAAAGAATGGCAAGCTCAGGAATGGTATACCCCGCTGCATGCGGATCGTCTCCATGGTGGTGAAGACCGAGAGTCGTGGGGAGCGAAAGTGAAGTATTAGGAGCGATGAGTTCACCACGTAGCGAGAATCGAATTTCAGATGGCGTGATGCCATCAGCGTTACTGGCTGGGTGGTATGGGGATGCTGCCTCGGGGTCTTCCTCCTCGGCGGGAGCGGGTTTCATCCATGATAACCCGGTGGGATCATGGGACATTTCGGGGAAATAGTGTGATTGCATGTCTGAGAGGAAGTTTGGGTCGTTTGGATCGAGGGTTGGCATTGGTTGCTTTGGTTGGGGGAAGTGGAAGGCTTCGAGCATGGCTGGGTCTAGGGATGGGGCTTCGGATGCTGGGTGGAGGTCTTTTGGGATTTCGGACGGGGGGAGGTCATCGTTTATAGATGGCTTTTCGGATATGATGGGGTTTGGAGCTCGTGCTGAGAGCTTTTTGGGAGCGGGTTTCTTATCAGGAGCTGGGGTAGCAAACGAGACGGATTTCTTTGGTTTTGATGGTGGTGCTGGATTGGTTGAGGCCGGCTCTGCCGTCGATGTTGATGTTGATTTGGAGGTCGAAGAGGGCTTTGGTTCTTCGTGATTGAATTCTCCGGCATCGTCAATTTTCGCTCGGCGGAGGAATCGTTCCAATAGGCCTGGGTCCATGGAGGACATCAACTCTTCTCGTTCCCGCTCAATCTGTGCATCCGACATGGACGACAGTTGTTGGCGGTTTTGCTCCGAGATCGTGTTCTTGTCATCTTGGGCAGTGGGTTTCTCTGTTGGATCTGTTGGAGGTTGAGGTGGAGGCGGAGGCGAAGTCTCTGCCGGCTGCTCTGCTCGCCTTTGCTTGAACGAGGAAGGCTTGTTGCGTCGTCGGTGGGCGGGGAAGCCGGTCGAAGACGCGGTCGGGGTGGGTGCTGGCGGTTTAGCTGGGGCAGGTGCTCGCTCCCGAATCTCTCCAATCAGAGAAAATGGGGAAGGGGCCGGATTCTCTTGTGGACCGCCTTCATCGTCATCGAGATCTAGAACAAAACGCTCCCCTTGGAAAGCCATGGCTGATATGTGAAAAAGAAGTTACGAGTTATGTCAGCGCGGGGCCTGCGGCTTAAAAAAGCTAAAATGGAGACGCATCGGACTAGCCTGATTTGGTTAGTCTTATGAATAAACCCGCTAGTCCCGAAGTGGACTATCCGCGCAACCCAAATGGGGAAGCTCATCTAGGTGCTTTTGACTTGGATCATCCATGCATTGGGGTGTTGGGCAGCATTGCATAGAGCATATGGGGCTCAATTTGATATGATCGGACTGGAATATTACTGCTGAGTTTGTAATTTTCAAGGAAAGTTAGGTTTTAATCGGCCGATCTTACTATATCTAATAATAGACAAAGCTGAGGGTATGACATCTGGTCGGTGTACAGGGATTGAGCTGCGACCGAATAAGGAGTGATAACAGTGTGATATATCCGATTATATTATACTATAGCTGTTCAAAGTGATTGTGAAATATATCAATAAGGATATAAAATCTTCAAAATCCAGAGAAATATCTCCTATCGTATGTATCAATCTCTATCGCCCCCTCTCTGTATCGTCCTTAATGTAGTATACGCGGGACCCCACTAACGCCAGATCCGCGCGCATGGCTTCATCATCAGTGTTGAGTTGTTACTCCTAGTCATAAGGAAGTCCACGACCTGGAAGGTGTTAAGTAGAAGCACACAAAACTGATCAGATAGAAATTGAATCTTATATTTTCCACTTTGAACCAACCTTCATATATATCACATCGCGCTTCCGAATGGGTCTCGCATAGTTCAATCATTAGTCGCCTAGTTAACTCTTGTTGCAGATGGAAATCGACCACATCAAGTTCACCTTATTTTTTCTTCTTTTCCCCTTTCTTTGCCCTTTTTCCTTCTTTTCTTCTTTTTCCTTTTCCTTCTATCTTATCCCTTTCCCTTCTCTCCTCTTCCCCTTCCAGTTTCGTGTTCCGTTTGTCTCTATTTCCCTCTATTGATGTTCCTGTTCATTATCTCCCAGGGCTGATTGTTAACTGAACCCTTCTTTCCCCCCCGATTTCCCTGATTATCTTGTTTCCGACTTCGCTTTCTTGTCTCCAATAACCAATTTGTCTCCCTCTTTTGTCCCACCAACCACCACCAACCACTCTTGTATTAAATAATTTTATATTCGATTTGTGATGTCTACGGATGCCCCTTCGACGGGGACACCCAAAAATGAGGGCACACCTGCCGATGCCATCAAGGACTCTACCCGACGTGCTTCCGGTGCCAGACGGTCGCGTCGGAAGAAGGATGACGACTCTAACACAAACGCCAACAACGCCAACGCCACCAACAACAATAATACCGATTCTCCCAAACCGAAGAAGGAACCCAAAGAAAAACCAGCGCGCGCACCTCGACGACCTCGGGAAAAGTCCAACGCGAGTGCAGCATCTCGCAAGAAACAGAAGCTGGAACAAGCAGCAGAAGAAGCCACACCCGCGGCTACGGAACCTGCTGTTTCGACTGCTGAACCTGAACCTGAACCTGAACCCGCAAAGCCTCCGAGTCCTCCCCAATCACAACAACCCCAGCAGCCACCGCAATTAGAGTCGCAGCCCAAGTCTCAGTCACAGGAACCACCTTCACATCCTCAACCGCAAGCCGAAGCTCAAACACAATCACAAGTTGTGCCAACTCCTCCACCGGCCCCGGCAGCTTCTACACCGTCATATACAAGCCCGCACCATGCTTCCTCGACTCCAGGACCCAATTACCCTCCTTCACAGTCATATCCGCCACGACCACAATCGCAACCTCCACAACGGACCAGTGGTCAAAACTTCGACCCCATAAGATCTGCGTTTGACAATCCATCTCCGGCACCGGCGTATAGTCCGACTCATGCTAGGTCGCCGCAGCCCAATTATCGCGCCAGCGCTTCACCTGCGATCTCAAGTATAATTGATCCACCTGCGCAAAATGCACGCATATACACCCCTCTGCCGCGTTCGTCCTCGGGCCATGTCTCCAACGTTTCATCCCCGGTGCCACCTCCAACGCATCTCTCTCTAGCACCTTCCGCGATTTCCATATCGTCGCCGTCCCATGGCGCTGTTCATGTCCCGGCACCACTCCAGTCCTCCAGTTCCTATAGTACTCCCTATCCGCCCGCCGACCAAAGACCGATTCCTTCTCAACCGCCTCAATTAGAACTGTCACCACCAGTCTTGCAATCGCAACAACTGCAATCCCAATCCCAATCTCCATCGCAGCCTAAATCTCAACCTTCGCCACAGGCTCAGCGACACCCAGAAACTCCAGCAAAGCCTTCTACGCCGCAACGAGAAACTCAACACAATGACGCAATGGATATTGATTCGAAGGAGCAACTTGCCCCTAGCGCAAAGAAGGAAAAGGGTACCGCGACAGCTCCATCATCCAAAGCGCCATCTCCTAAACCAGCGCGTCCTGCCAAGGAAGCTCCTCAACTTCCTCAAGGGTCGGGTTTGATTACCAATGCGCTCTTTGGAATGGGCGGCGACGATTCTTCAAAGTCACCCGATTCACGCAGCACGCCCAACATCGTTGTACATGTTCCTCTCAACAGAGGCAACCATATTGTAAACTTTGCGCAGCTGGCAGAGGAGCGGTATGGATTTGCCGCTTTGCACCCTCGACTGGCTGCCCACAAAGAACGTCTCGCGCGTGTAGCAGCAGCCGGAGCAGCTCTAGAGCGGAAAGAGGGTCTGACTGAAAGCGCCGATGAGGATCTGAGTCTCGAAGCAGATCGTGATAGCGATATAGAGGGAGATACAATTATGAGTAACGCCGCGCCTGGAGCCAATGGTGCTGCTTCAGAGGCCAGTGATGGCAAGAAGAAACGGCGCAAGAAGGTGGAGGAGTACGACCGAGATGACCCTTTTGTTGACGACAGCGAAATGGCGTGGCAGGAACAGGCTGCTGCTAGTAAAGATGGATTCTTTGTGTACAGTGGGCCTTTGGTTCCAGAGGGCGAGAAGGTCCAGGTTGAACGGTTAGTCAAAGCTCTCTCACGTTGTTATGTTTCTTCGTATTTTTTCTTCTTCCAAGAAGAACCACAGAGAAAGGGAATCAGCAAACAAATACTTGGACCATGCTAAAAAAAGTCACAGTGCTGACGGAACTATCAAACGTGGTCGGGGTCGCGGCCGAGGTACAGGTCGTGGTCGATCGTTAGCCTCTCATCCCCATGTCCCGATTGCTGCGGCTGTTCCTATATCTCAAGATACCGGTCTTCCTCTTCGAGGTCCAGGCTCAAGAGGTGGTACTTCGCGCCGGGCACGAACCTCCAAAAAGACGGATCAGGGCGAAAAGCATACGCCCGAACGCAGTGGTACCACTGCTTCTTCATCGAACGAAAGTCGTGGGGGTCGTGGCGGCGGTTCTGCATCCGGCCGTGGAGGCAACAATGCTAGTACTCGTGGCGGCAAATCAGGCAGTTCGTCGATGATGAACATGATGGATCTGGCACCTGCGCCCCCACCTAATTCCACTCCGAATATGACGCCTGCTCCTGGGCCCAGTCCACTGGCTGGACCGGAGCTAGCGATGAAATGATTTTAGTCTCATGTTAAATTTTGCTTCCATGTTGATTATTGTTATTTTTAAGGTGTTGTTTTGAAGTTTTTCCATCTTCATTTTCAGGGTGTTTATGGACATGTCTTGCTGAATCGTGTATTGGGAGGTTGTGGCGTCTACGGCGAGGAAAGAAGATGTGTTGTTTCCCTATGCCGTGATTTAATGCATTTTTGTTTATCCTTTTTGTTCTGGGCTTCATTTTGATCTTCTTCATCGGCCTTTCTTGCTATGTATCTATATTTGATCATTTTTATGATACGACTCAGTTTCTTGCCAAGACTATTTCAAGTCGAGATCTGATCATTGACATCTTGTTAGACTATTACAAGATTATGAACTACGAAGGCGCTGCTAGTTTGACTCAGTAAATAATGAATCCAGGGTATACGTATCATCATAATTCAGTTTGCTAAATTGGTCCGTATAAATACTACTGCTAAATATACTGCAACAAGTTGAGAGAGAAAAATGAAATTGTAATATCATCAAGGACTTGCACTTATGTACGCCGTGTGATGCAGGAACAGGAACATATCCAAGCAAGAAAGATCAAAGTAAAGAAATGGAATAAGAGAAAAAGCCAAAGTCGTTGTTGTCATTGTCGTTGGCAAGAATCAAGTCATTCACAGAAGAGGAGAAAGATGGAAGATGGAAGATGAGAATGATAAGAAATGGGAAATTGGAAATGAGGGATGTGTCCACAAAGAGCAGGAACTAGAAGACAAAAGAGAAAGTATTCATAGATGGGAATGGTAGAGGTAGTTGGAGAGGAAAGAGGCTGGGAACAAGAAGAAGGGGACATGTGATCTTGATCTTGATCAGCCCTTTCTAGTCTTCTTTTGACTGTCCATACAAAGCGCCAGAAAAACGTGAAATGAACAGATCGCCAGTCGAACAAAGAAACAAAACACGGGAATAAAATGAGGATCTTCGCAGGGAACAGAAGAGATCGAAGCAAACAGACAGACAAAATGTTGGAATGGGGATATCAATTGGCTCAAAGGCGCAACTATCATGTGCATATGCAAACTTGAGCAGATATTATTCCAGTATCAAATCTGAGACGTAAATATCGGCTTTCTATATTGGGCACTTCAAGTTGCTCCTGGCATTTGCCCCTGGTAACCGCGCCAGTTTCCACCAGCAGGAACTGGAGCTGGGGGGAGGGGGGCCGCTCGGGGGTGCGGGGCGGAGGGGCAATGCTGAAGAGTGCAAATCAGCTTGCGGGTGGTTGTTGTTTGAGCTGAGGGAGCGCGGGCTCATGAATGGTCGCGAAGATGGATCAATGGCGGATCCAGGTTCACCGAGAAGGCGGTTCGGGCGTCGGCCGGAGCGGTCATCTTCCATCTTTGTTTCCAAAGATAGATGCTCCAGTGATGGGGGCGGCGGGGACCGTGTGGATCGCGATGAGGAGTACTGGTGGCTGCTAGGCTGTTGGGCACTGCTGCCGCCATAATAGCGAGGAGATGAAACGTCATTGCTCATATGTACGGGGGATTGGCTTGATACAGAACTCTGGTAGTGTGAAGACTGTTGTGGGGGTTGAGGGATGCGAGCGGATTTGCTGATAGGGGCAGGCTTGGGAGTTGGCATTGCAGCAGACGTAGGGGTCTGGATAGCGCCTGATGGAGTGCTAGTCGTTGGTGTGGCGTTCTCTTTGAGCGACTTTGGTGCTGGGGGTGCCAAATATGATTTGCGGTTGTGTCGTTCCATCATGCTAATAGCCCATTCTTGCAGGTCCACCGGTGTGCGCTTCGCGGCTTGTAAGAAGGCATCCTTGTCCTGTATATTTTGTTAGCCAGTCTGAACATTCGGAATTCAGAGAATAAATCACAATCAATTGTTTTCACGTACGTAGAGTTCCCGAGGGGTTGGTCGGTCCTCAGATTTCTTCATCAGACACTTTCCAACAAAGTCATGCAGGATGGGTGGAAAGGCATCACTCTTGGGCAGCTTGGGGGCGGTTTCGTGAACAATCTGCTGAAGCAAATCAAGAATACCCATGGGCCCTGAGCTAGCACGGTTTCCAGCAGCTGAGTCTGAGTGATCAAATGGGAATCGTCCCACAGCCAACTCCATGACCGTCAAACCGACACTCCACACATCAGATCGAACAGTATAAGCACCTCCCTGAATTCGCTCGGGGGCCATATATGTTGAGGTTCCGACGAATGTATCGGCAATCGAGTTGACTGTCTCGGTTGCAACGCCGAAATCGCAAAGTTTGATGTTTCCGCGCGAGTTGACTAGGATGTTGGATGGCTTGATGTCTCTGTGCATGATACGGTGGACTTCGTAAAGGTAAACAAGACCCGCTAACACGGATTCTGTGATCTTTCCCAACACATCCACACGAACTGGGCCAAAGTTTTTAGAGATATGGTCGAGAGATCTAATTTCCACTGTCAGCGAAGTGCCCCTCATTCCCTCCGTGTCTGCTATGACGTTACCCGCAATCCATATATTCCATGCACAAAACAATATCTCTCGCTTCATTCTGGAATGCGCCGTAGAATGTCACAATATTTTCGCAGTTGCAGTCATGTCCGACTCGCAGTTCCCGTAGGATCTGTTTTCGTACGTTCTCTTTGGCGTCGACTCGGATAATCTGGTGGGATGGGGGTCAGCTCGTTGGTCGCACACGGCTGAACAACAAAGACTCTGCATCAATCTCACCTTTCGGGCCATTACCACCTTAGTCGATGCGTGCATGACCTTTGATACCGTGCCTCCATTTCCAGCGCCCAACTCTTTTAGCGTTACCAGGTCCTCGCTGCGGAGATCCAGTCGAAACTCTAGTCCGATCTCTAGGGTATCACTGCGGTTGCTTTCAGAATTTCCAACGGCTCCAGGGACCTGAGCGTCGCCCTCGGAAGCATTTGTTGTTGGTTTGGGGGCAGCATTGAGAGCCAGGCCTTTGACGTTCTTGCGTTTCAGCGTCCGAGCCTTAAATGGGTCCGCCATGGCGTCGGGAGGGGGGGAATAACAGGGGGAGAATCTCTGATCAAGGTCTGAAGAAGGAAGAGGAGAATAAAAGATGACCAGAAAATTACTCAGATAAGCAAATAAACATAAGCAGGGGACGACAGCGCTAGACCACGACCACTGTGGTGGGAAAGGAAGTTAGGACTGGAGTCGCGAGCTAGCGGCGGGGAACCCGATATCACCGACGTTCTTGGCGGCGCTGATTGGGCCTCGCGGGCGCATCGATTGGACCACAATACTGGAGGGAATGACTGTCGGCGCCAAACAGGGGTTTTTGGGCGAAAGATAGATGAGGTTCAGGGGGGGGGGGGAAAATATGAAAGGGGGTAAAATAGAAAGAAAAAAAAAGAAAAAAAAAAGAAAAAAAGAGCTTGGGTTCGTAGGGTCAAACTGTTTCTACTCTTGCTGAAACACATCGTCGTTCCTGATTTACTCCACTTGGTTTCTACCCATAGGATCAGGTCGTGGAGGATAAATCTCTCTACATATAAATACGTAATAGTTCATGAGTCTTTTTAGAATTTTCATATCCCAGGCAGTTATTGCCCGGCTAGTATTACGTATTTTCTGTCTTGATGAGATCAGATTTAGGGATTTCTAGGTATATGGATATATATAGAAACAATTTGGGTGTTGACAGAAGGGTGCATTTTGGGACCCTCAAAATCAATATGGGTAAGTTCAAGGATAAGAAACTAAATATTTGTTTTAATGGCGTCAGTGGATCTCACAGATAATTGTTTGAATGTCGATCCCTCAATATGCCGGCGACATCTTTATTCTTTATTGTTATTTGAGTGACAATCGAATCACGTCTTGCAAGGTTATAGCACAACAAACTATACATATCCAATACTTGACAGTGGTCACGTGACCAAACGAAGGCACATGACTGCACGTGATAGCAACGATGTACAGTAGGAGGGGGTATAACACCAGCCACAGCTACTCCTTTTTGCCATGAAATAACTCTATTTCACTATATTAATAAAATTGAATAACAGAGCTTTGAACTATCATTATGGTGAATATAGGCAGAAGCGCGAATACCCCGAATTAAGTGTTTATGGCATAGAGAAGTAATAAAGCCTGTACCTAAGCCTGCCTTTCTAGGCAAATCCTTAGAGCTAGCACCAGCCACACCAATTCGCTCCCTTCAACCACGCACCGCCACATCCGCGTTCTCTCGCTGGTAGTTCTTCCTTTCTCTCCAGCTTGTCTACCTCTTCTAATTCCTTACTTACACCTTTCATTCCCTCAGATCTCTGCGTTTCGAGTATCGTTGATCACCATTCGGAGTCGAAATCTTTAATTCTCCAGGTTCTCGCTCAATTCCCCGGCGAAGAGGAATTTCCCGACCAGCCACCATGAGTCTCCGCGACCTGGTCGAAGGCGAGGCCATGCTGGATGATGAGGAGAACGACGCGGACGTGGCCGACGATTTCGATGGCGAAGGAGAACCAACTGCTGGCAGCAAGAATCATTACAACGACTCGAGCGAGGAAGATGAAGACGAGGATGATGACGAGGATGCTGCTCGCGCGGTAAGTTGAACGCTCTCGAACCCAACGAGACTTGCGCACTGACACAGGCTACTGGATTAGGTCCGCGAAGGATTCATCGATGATGATGACGAAGAAATCGAGGAACGCGCCAAACGCCGCCGTGAGAAGAAGCGCTCTCGTCCTCGTGAGGAGGAACATCTCGACGAGGAGGATTTGGAGTTAATTGGAGAACACGTTCCTGGTCTCAGCCGTAGTCAACCAGCAGAGGTAAGCTTCATTTGTCGATTTTCGAGTGTGCGGAGGCCTTCGAAACTATGAATTGAGGGTTGAGCTTACACAAGTTGGATGTTGCTAACACCATGACCCTTTTACGATAGTCTAAATTCAAGCGCCTGAAGCGAGGAAAAGACCGTGACTCTCGACAACAAGCTCAAGGAATCGATGACATTTTCAACTCCGATGAGGAGGAAGAGGCTGCACCTCAGTACCACCGAGCTGGTCGCCACGGTGGTCAGGATGAATTCGACGACTTCATCGAAGAAGATACCTTTTCCGACGAAGAGGGACAACGGGAGAGGGACGATATAGAAGTGGCACCTCCAGTAAGGGCATCTATGCCTGGATTTGGGGCCACCGAGGCAGCAGGTCTCGATGAAAATGCTCTCGAAGACATGCGTGCGGCATTCGGCGACGGCACAGAGTACAGATTCGCCCTGGACATCGAGGATCAAGAGGACGAAGACAAGGTAGTGGAAGAGCGACATTTAGACCTGAAGGATGTCTTTGAGCCATCAGAACTCGCCGAGCGAATGTTGACGGAGGACGACAATGAGATCCGCCTGCTCGACGAACCTGAACGTCATCAAGTCGCCCGCAAGCCATACAAACATGTGTTCCTATCAGACGATCAATTCCGAGAAGAGGCAATTTGGATTTCGAATCTGATGCTGCTCAAGAAGCGTATGGACCCCGAATTACGTGAGCCATTCCAGCGCTCTGTGGCAAAGATGCTGGAATTTCTTATCACAGATGACTGGGAAGTTCCATTTATCTTCCAGCATCGCAAGGACTACATGATTCATGCTGTCAAAGAGCCGCTCCACGGTGCCGATCCTTCCGACGAGTCTGCGCAGTACAGTATTCGCGCCGAAAAACTGTTGAATATGACAGACCTCTGGGATATTTTTGATTATGATCTCAAATTCCGTGCCTTAGTTGACAAGCGCAATACTATCCAGAAGGTTTATGATAGCATCCAAAGCCTTTTCGACGTCGATGATTCAAATGTGGAGGAGCTGCTGGGTGCCGCTGCCACCATGGAGGAACTCCAGGATGTGCAAGATTATCTCCATTTTCAATATGCCCAGCAGATCCGTGACTCTGCTGCGGTCAACGGCGAAACAAACGGTGATACTCAGCGACGCAAGGCAAGCAACAAGTCTTTCTTCGAACGAGTACGAAATAGCAAGACATACGGCCTAGTGCGCGCCTTTGGTATTACTGCAGATGCGTTTGCCCAAAATGCTTCCAAAGAGGGCCGCCGACAATATACCGAAGACCCAGGCGAGCTTCCAGAAGAGCTAGCGGACCAGTTCGTTGACGATGGATTCTCTAATTCATCACAAGTCCTCAAGGGTGCCAAGTTGATGTTCGCCGAAGAGCTTGTTATTAGTCCAAAAATGCGCAAAGTCATTCGTCAAGCATACTACATGAATGGTGTTGTCGATTGTTTCCGAACTGAGAAGGGCCTGCGCCGAATTGACGAAGACCACCCATACTACGAATTTAAGTATCTACGAAACCAACAACTCAGCGACATCGCCCGCCGCCCGGAAATGTTTCTACGTATGCTGAAGGCCGAGGAGGAAGGACTAGTAGACGTCCGAGTCCGCTTTGAGAATTTTGACCACTTCCGTCAGCGCCTTTACCAGGACATCGAATCGGACAATTATTCTGAAGTTGCCGACGCGTGGAATCGTCTTCGTCGTGAGGTCCTCGATCTGGCTCTCGACAAACTAGAAAAGGTGATCAATCGGAGTGTTAAGGAGAACATTCGACAGGAGTGCGAGAACCACGTCGCTAAGGAGTGCCGTGAATCATTCTCGCAACGACTCGACCAGGCTCCCTACAAGCCTAAGGGAATGGTTCTGGGTACAGTTCCCCGGGTCCTCACCCTCTCTACTGGAACTGGCCTGGTAGGCCGTGATCCTATCCACTGGGCTTACATCGAAGAAGATGGTCGCGTCCTCGAGAATGGAAAGTTTCAGGATCTATCGTATGGAGAGCCGAATCGAGGTTTCCCCGATGGCGCAGATATCGCTGCCTTATTGGAGTTGATTGAACGTCGCAAACCAGATGTGCTCGGAGTTTCTGGCATGACCCCAGAGTCACGACGCCTGTACACACTTTTGAGCCAGGTTCTTGAAGTAAAAGACATTCGCACCCAGCCTTATCCAAATGAGCACGACGAGGAGATCGTTGATCGTCTAGAGGTGGTCATTGTCAATGATGAGGTTGCTAGGCTCTACCACAACTCCCCTCGCGCTCGTCAAGATAATCCAGGATTTGGCCCTCTGACTCACTACTGCGTGGCTCTGGGTCGATACTTGCAAAGCCCTCTCAAAGAATATGCCTCACTGGGTCGAGATATTGTTTCTATTCAATTCAAACCTGGCCAGCAGCTAGTGTCTCAGGAACTTCTCCTTAAGCAGCTGGAGACTGCCATGGTTGACATGGTCAACCTTGTAGGTGTTGATCTTAACGAAGCTGTCAACGACCCATTTGTTGCAAACCTTCTACCATACATCTGCGGTCTCGGTCCACGCAAAGCTGCCCATCTACTCAAGGTTGTGAATCTGAATGGTGGAAATGTGGACAACCGCGTGGAGTTGCTGGGTGTCAACACTAAATACCCAGCTATGGGCGTCAAAGTTTGGAATAACTGTGCCAGCTTTGTTTTTATCGATTTTGAAAATGCCGATGCCGATGCTGACCCTCTGGATAATACCCGTGTGCACCCTGAAGACTATGACATCGCTCGCAAGATGGCAGCGGATGCGCTTGAGTTGGACGAGGAAGATATCAAAGCTGAGACTGACGAGAATGGTTCTGGAGCTATTGTGCGCAAACTATTCCGCGATGAGCAGCAAGATCGTGTCAATGATCTGATTCTCGAGGAGTATGCCGAGCAGTTGGAAAAGAACCTTAACCAGCGTAAGCGTGCAACCCTGGAGACCATTCGTGCGGAGTTGCAGTCGCCTTATGAAGAGCTGCGCAAGCACTTCGCCACCCTTGATTACGAGGATATCTGGACCATGTTTACCGGTGAGACGAGCGATTCATTGAAGGCTGGCATGGTAGTGCCCATTGCTATCATGAGGGTGTTTGAGGATCATATTGATGCTCGGCTGGATTGTGGAGTCGACGCGCTGGTCGCAGAAACCGAACTCGGCGTACCTATTGATATTTCCGTACGCAACGTCTACCAAATACACCAGACAGTGCGCGCGAAAATTCTTTTCTTGAATAAGAAGAGCTTCACCTGCAGCCTATCTCTCCGTGAGGACCAGGTCAGCAAGCCCACCCGCCAAAATGCGGACCACGACTTTAATGACTGGGATGAGATCCAAGAGCAAAAGGATCGAGAGTCTCAAAAAGAGAAGACGCAGCAGGGAGGTCAAGCCATGCGTGTCATCAAGCATCCGCTTTTCCGGCCATTCAACTCAACTCAAGCGGAAGAATACTTGGGTTCCCGGAGTCGTGGAGATGTGGTCATTCGCCCATCGTCTCGTGGCCTAGATCACCTAGCAGTCACTTGGAAGGTGTCGCATGGTGTTTACCAGCACATTGACGTTCTTGAGCTGGACAAAGAGAACGAATTCTCTGTGGGCCGCGTCCTCAAGGTCGGAGGTAAATACACCTACAGCGATTTGGATGATCTGATCGTCAACCACGTCAAGGCGATGGCCAAGAAGGTTGAGGAGATGACGCTGCATGAGAAGTTTCAAGATGGCAGCAAGGCTGAGACTGGTATGTTTGGAATTCAATTGATTGCTCCTCTTCTTCTACTTGATTCTCTAACATTTTTATTTTATTTTTGCAGATCAATGGCTTGAAACCTACACCAAGGCCAACCCTCGTCGCTCTGCCTATGCATTCTGCATTAATTCCAAATACCCAGGATACTTCTACCTTTGCTTCAAGGCCGGTGAGCACTCTCGACTGCAGAATTGGCCAGTGAAGGTGATCCCCCAGGGCTTCGAGCTACAAAAGAACCCATACCCCGACATGCAAGCTCTGTGCAATGGGTTCAAACTGATGTTCACCAACATGCAAAGCAACCGCCGATAGAGGGAACGATTTTGTATAGTGTACTATTTCCTTTCTATCCTGGTTTTTTCTTCATTTTCTATTTTCCATTTTCTCTCTATCATTGCGCGGGATCCGTTTCTGCAAAGGGGAATAGCAGACACCAAAAAACAAACCTATGGGCAAATGCATTCTTCGATCTTCCTAGCTCCCAGGTTGACTCTCTACTTTTCTTTTCCCTCTTCGCCTGGTTTGCCATTTAATTTGATACACCTTTGTTTCCTTGGGGTTTTCTCTCTCTTTTCGTTTCATATTTTTTGGTCCCTTAAGGTCAATGAGCATTTTGTAACCAATATCTTCGGAATGAACAGCCAGTTAGGCAAATTTCCGGTCTATCGGAGCATAAACATAAAAAAAGTCAAGTTTAGGTTGCCGTGAGCCTAGGCACACAAGGATTTACATAGCTCATGTGAAGTACATCTCGGCCTCGGGCCATTTGTACTGCCTTGTGCAGGTTCCACTTCTTCCTTTCCCCCTCAGCCCTGGCGGATCAAGCCTGACGTGATGAACTCGTAATGGGAATATGAATGGAACAGAGTCTTGTTCTAGCAGATTTGGGATTCTGAACTTAAACATTTTTTCTTCTTGTTCTTTGATTATTCCGTTAAATATAGATTCGCAGTATAGATCTGTTTATAATCTTACTGACCTATTTATGGGGTTGGTTCCGCCTTGTTCCTTATTTCGCCCCCTTCAGCCGCAACTCCCGGTCTATTTCTTTGCGGCTCCCCTCTATTTCATCTTCCCCCAACTTCGTCTGCAATCATGGCAGCAATGGAGGAGCTGCAGGTTCATAGCAAGGTGAGCATGATGAGATCTGGAAACGACTGGAATACAATCTAATCCAGACTTGTCCTTGTTTATGTGCAGTCCTACTTTGTTCGATGGATCCACGTCAGCGCCGGCAATACCATTTCTTGGAGTATTCAACCTCACAAGAAGTCTGTGAACTTTGGTATATTTAAACATCCTGGTCAATCGTCGCTGGCATCACACCTACCGCCTTCCGACTCCCAGAGCACCGACTCCAACGAGAACCTGCCTGCGACTGCGAATCCCGGATCCCGCAATCAACAGTCAACCGTTATCGAGAAGCTCACGGGCATTGGTCTGAAATCAATCAAGTGGATTGGAAAATGCGAAGCCGACAAGATTTCCAAGGGCACATACGATGTCCCAGCAAGTGAGTCGGGCAATTATGCGCTCGTTCTCGACAATACATTCTCGAAACAAGTCTCCAAAACTGTCACTCTCGTCCTCCTCACCTACCCGACTGGCTTACAACCTCACGCATCCGTCTCAATCGCCCAGTCCCAGCCCAGTGGCTCGACGGAGTCGCTGCCGCAGTCAACAGGTCGTCGACGCGGCAATAGTCGCGCTACATTGAACGCGCAACGGTCCGATCTGTCCACCCCGTCGAACGGCCATACGGGAATATTACAGAAGCGACGGAGAAAGCGCCATCAGGGATGGGCACGCCGTTATTTCTCTTTGGATTTTATCTCCTCTACTCTATCGTATTACCATGATCCGAATTCTGCCGCATTGCGGGGTGCCATCCCTCTCTCCTTGGCAGCTGTAGCAACCAACGAGAAATCTCGCGAGATCTCCATCGATTCGGGTACAGAAATCTGGCATCTTCGCGCCAGTAATGATCATGAATTTGTGTCATGGAAGAAGGCCTTGGAGCGAGCTTCGTCCCAAGAGAAATCGAAAAACGAGGTTTCACTTCCTATTGGACCCCCGCAGCTGCGACTGACTATGCCACCGCCAGCATCTCCGGAGGAAGAGCATGAATGGACCCGAGTCGAGAGATTGGTGGGAAAAGTCTCTGGAACTCGAGACGCGGTACGAAGGCTGGCCAAGGATACCGATCCAAAGTATTTCACTTCGCCGCTGCCATCTCCTAACGAGCCTCGTAGTCGCGGTCGCTCTCCAAGTCCTCATCCTCCTGGACCTGACGGTCAGGGCGATGCAAGACGCCCATTTTGGAAGCGCAAGACTAGCGGGAACTCTACTTCGAGCGGCAAGCAGACTAATTCGGTTCCTTCTCAGCTTTCAGTGCCTACTGGATCTGGAAGGCCTGCCAGTATTGCTAGCCACTCGGATAGTATGGACCAGATCCATGACAACCTGATGGCTATGCTGCGTGATCTTGACAATGTGGTAACAGAATTCTCGGACCTCATTACGGAAAGCAAGCAACGACGACACCCAGTTCGATCTGCTGCTGTGCTGCCGCGTCGCAGTATGGAGTCCGATATCTCTCAAGAATTCTTCGATGCTACGGATGGAGGTGCTGCGTCTCCTCTATTGACCATTCAAGATAGCGACGATGAGGACGCTGCGGAAGATAGGCCTGCTGATGCTGCTGAGGAAGTAGAAGATGATGCTCCCTCGGACAGTGAAGATGAACCCGAGGCTCCACACGACAGCAGCAATGCCTCGCCATTTTTTCCACCTCGTCCCAAGTCCCTTGCTCCATTGCCTATTGATCCTATCCGTCGACGTCAAAACATTACTGCACCCACTGTCATGCCTCCAAGTTTGATTGGTTTTCTGCGCAAAAATGTTGGCAAAGACTTGTCTACGATTTCAATGCCGGTTTCTGCAAATGAGCCCATATCCTTGCTTCAACGTGCAGCAGAAATTCTAGAGTACTCATCTCTATTGGACAAAGCTTCTCAATCTTCAGATGCCGTTGAGCGGCTCATGTACGTAACCGCGTTTGCCATATCCTCCATCTCCAGTAGCAGAGTACGGGAACGCTCTATCCGCAAGCCCTTCAACCCTATGCTGGGCGAGACATACGAACTTGTTCGCGAAGACCAGGGATTCCGCTTCATCGCTGAAAAGGTCTCCCATCGACCTGTGCAGCTTGCCTACCAAGCCGACAGTCGCGAATGGAGCCTTGCTCAGTCCCCGCTGCCCAGCCAAAAGTTCTGGGGTAAGTCCGCTGAGATCACTACGGAAGGCCGCGTACGCATCACTCTGCATGGTACCGGTGAGCGGTTCAGTTGGGTTCCCGCTACTTCTTTCCTCCGCAACATTATCGCTGGTGAGAAGTACGTCGAGCCTGTCGGCGAGATGACTGTTTATAATGAGTCTACTGGCCACCGTACCATCTCTTCTTTCAAGGCTGGTGGCATGTTCTCCGGCCGTAGCGAGGAAGTCACTACTCGCACGGTTGATTCCTATAATAAGCCGCTCTCGCAGGGCCTGGAAGGTACTTGGCCCTCTTCGATAGCCATCACTCGCGACGGTTCTCCCTCTGGCAAGCCCATCTGGACCGCCGGTAACCTCGTCCCCAACGCTCCCAAACACTACGGTCTCACCTCTTTCGCTGCTACCCTTAATGAGATCACTTCTATTGAAGACTCGCATCTCCCGCCTACTGACTCTCGTCTCCGTCCTGATCAACGTGCCCTTGAGGAAGGTGATCTCGACCGTGCTGAGGAAGTCAAGGTCCAACTGGAAGAGGGCCAACGTTCCCGTAGACGAGAAATGGAAGCCGCCGGTGAAAATTGGACTCCGCGCTGGTTTACGCGAGTCAACGAGGACTCTGATGGGGAGACCGTTTGGCACCTTAAGGGTGGTAAGGATGGATACTGGGAAGAACGCACTCGAGGCAATTGGTCTAATGTTATTCCTGTGTTTGACCCTTAAGTGAATTGGATATTTTGTGATTCTTTCAATGATTTGGAGACTCGTTTTTTGTTCTATTCCCCCTCTTCCTCATTCATACCATATGCATTCTCTCTTCTCTTTGGCCTTTTCTCTTCTTAATGCATGCGTTGAAGATTATTGAAACGCAAAAGAAAGATTATTCAGGATTTATATAGATTCAGGTTGTCGGTTTCCATTTTTTCGGAATACAGTTTAACTGGCCTTATAACTCTACTACAGTGTCAATTAAATAAAATTTTATATACTACTTCTAATCCTAAAGTTTGGATCTCTCGAAAATGGCCAGAAGATTTGTCTAAAAAATATCATGGATTCTATTCGTATTCGATCCATTATTAACAGCCCCGAATACCTGCTTGAGGAAACGAAAGAAGGCGGAATTGCAAGAATGCCATACGGAATCGTCGTGAACGTAAAAACATTAAACGTACCCAGTGATCTTCTGTGCAAGGTCAAAAACTGGAAAATCCAAAGAGTTGAAATCCAAAACGCCCAGAAAGAATAAAATTTGGCACTCATGAAAAGCAAAAGCGTCAAGTTTGTATATGTTCAGTCCTCATCATCTGAATGTTGTGCTGTCCATCGTCGCGAATTGCGGATCTTAGCAGCCTTCTTCGCACTCTCACGGTCTACTGTTCTTTGACCAGAACTAGCACTTCGAAGCATAACAGGTAAATTGTCCAGAACGGAGCGGTTGCCCTGAAAATAATGCTCTGCAAACCCACCTTGCATGATTCGACGCAATGATGTTAACCGAGTCCACTTCCACCACCGGTCAATGCTCATAATGCCGTGTCGACCGATCTTGACAGTCAAGGTGCTTCCGTAGTGGCGGTTGGTGTCTTGATCAATGGCCATGTTGTAACGGGGTCCACGTCGTGGGTTCTCGACGGTTGTGAGAATGGAGGCAAAGTTGCTATGAAGAGATTTCTTGTCGCGCTTGCTGATTCGCTTGGAATGAATGCTTGCCAATGATTGGAGCTGGCGTTCTAGCTCAGGGGTGTTGTGATAGGCGTTGTAGCGCTTGATAAGCTTGGGTCCATTCCCGGTAGTGGCGTGTTCGTCGCTATCCTCGGACTCGTTGCTTTCGTCATCATCGTCCTCTTGGGGTGTGTAGCTCTTTTCATACAGCAAGGCAATGTTCTCGCCTGCAGCGATTTGAACTCCCGAGTCACCGCTTTCTAATTGGTCGATGAATATCTGAATCGCTTCTTCGCTTTCACCCTCGAAGTCGTCGATCTCTGTCGCGAGGAATCCCCATACTTGCAGTGCAGCGGTCACGCTGGTTGGATCGTCGCTTGCGTCAATCGATTGTCCGTCCGAGGCTACAACGTCCAAGAGAAATGTCATTTGATCGAGCATTCCATCTTCACCTGCACCACCGAAGATCGTGCAAGTACCGAGACATTGGATCGCTGCAGCCTTTACTGTGTTGGAAGAGGAGTCACGAATTGTACGAGTTAAGATGGGTTCGGCGTTCTCAAAGATCTTATCGTCACTGGTGGTGATGGCAAGGAGCTCGATGGCTCGCAATGCCAGGGTCGTTTCCCGGGTACTGGAGTCAGTTCGAGTACTTCTCACAAACGCACTGAGTAGATCGCTGGTGGAGGCGCGAAGCTCCTCTTCCGCATAATGGTACTTCGTTAAACGGCAGAATGCTGCCAAGGCTTCTTCGCGGCCCTGGACGCTGGAACGTTTGCGATCGAGAAGTTCTTGAACTCGATCGCTTAGTTCCTGTGGCCAGTCGACGTTGTCTTGCTCTGGGTTCTCGTCATCGAGTGATCCGATACTAAAGAGGTTTTTTTGTCAGCGAGCTGCCCTAAGCACATGAAATTTTATTAAAAAATATAAAAATATAAATCACCGCGGTGACATCATCCCGCCACGAGTGGGACCGTGGGGATGGAGAACTTGAAAATGCACACAGAAAAAAAAAAAAAGAAGAAGAAGAAGAGATAAACCCATGCAAAGGGATTAAGACATGGAAGGGGGGTGTAAACTTCTCACCTCATAGCTGTATCATCAGAAAGATATCCAGCATCTTCATCATCGGATGGCTGCCTACTTGCAGCTCGGGAAGATTGACGTGAAGTTTGCTTGGAGCTTGCGTGAGAGTTGGTTCTTGAGGCTTCACGAGAAGCTGCCTTTCGAGAGACGGTCTTGCCGCTCTCAAATATTTGGCGACGAAGATCCGGCATTGTAGAGAGGATGGGAAGGTTAAGTAAAAATGTTGAAGAATAATCAAGTAGGTTATAAAAGTAGACCTCGGAGGCAACAGTTGAAGAAAGTTTAACCTATAGGAACGGAGCTATGGTAAAGTGAAATTTGGAGGTAAAAAAAGTAATAAAGCACATCGTTTTTCAAGAGAAACATGAAGTAAACAGGAGAAAGTGAATGAAAGGAAGGGAAGGAAGAAAATCGCAGAACGTGAAGCTTTGGTGATTATTAACTCTGCCCTTTCTCCATGTTCCCGTGATTTCCCCCGTGATTCTCCAATCGGGCTTAGTGCAGAGGCTGTGGCCAATGAGACTCTTGATATTCACCTGCTGACATTGATCCAGATGTCCAGATGTCCAGATGTCTGGAGGATCTTCCTATGTACATCTCCATAAGTCCCATATCGTACTGTTCTTGGGTAAGTTGTTCAAGTTCCATTTCGATAGTGATGTGGTAAAATATTGAGAAGAGAAGAATAAGGGTATAGATGGAACAAGTTCGGCTGTGCGGAAGAATCTAGGGGAAGTAACTCAAGGAATCAGAATGGAAGAGAGAGGATATCACCATATGTAACACCATCAATCTCATATCTTGTTCATGGTAAACCCTCACTTATGATCGTACATGGAACTGGCTCTAGTAAGACCCGAGCCCTGGGAGAAAAGATAAAGAGAAATTGAATAAGATGAAGTCCTTGGGAAGTCCTTGGGAAGCCCTTGGGAACTCGCTAGGGTTTCATAGGTGATCTCTTCTCCAGGGCTCTTCCTCTACCGTCTCCCATCATGGATCTCGTCGACAAGAACGGAGTATAGATCTCTGGATTTGCCAATTTCCATTACGCTTCCCTATTATCCGTATCCAGAGGCTAATGTGATAAGACAGGGATGTCATGCACAATCACCAATTTGGGCCATGGTGAGGTCTAATACTTCATCTAAGCGCTACGCAGCGGTCGAGGGTTAGACTCATTGTTAGCCAATCTCAAGATAGCACACGTAAGGGAGGAACAATCGCAAGGCTATGTATCAACCGTATTTTTATTTTATTTTTTTTATTCGTGATCTTTCATAGATTATCATCATTGTCATAGAGAACCAGTCCTATCTATGCTAATCCGGGGTATCGTACAATTCTTGTTTTCTTAAGAGGGGCCAAGTATACTTAATTTCCCTTGACCACCAACTCTATAATTCGTCGGGCCTTCATGCCTTCCAAATACTCCCGGCCTTCGTCCTCATCTTCATCATCGCCCACTTCCAGATCCACTTGTAGACTTGCGTTGTAAGCACCCGTCACAGTGTCCTCATCCACCCGCACACCACTTTGGACAAGAACTTGAATGCTCTGTGTCAAGCGGGCAATCTCTCGTCGAGTCTGTGGATGAATCTCATCATTCTGGCTAGAGTAGATCGAACTAGAAACGAGCTCTTCCATACGGTTAATCGACACATTTTCCGTAGTTGACGAGGCCGCTGCCTCTCCATCTGCATGTTTCGATATATGAATATACCCATTCACACCGAGAACCACATCGACTTCACCCCCACCATGAGCTGTGGGAAGAGTCCAGACCTGTCGTCGAGATCGAACGACACCTCCTGTCCCACTAGCTGATCCGGGAACCGCCAATGAAGAATCCACACCACCTTTCGACAGATTTGATCGTGCGCCGCCGCCTCCAGTTCCAGTCACAGCAAGGAAAACGCCATTTCTCAACTTACCGTACTTGAGAGATCGTGTGTGCAAGGATGCCGATCCATCTTGGTGCACACTTTGTACCTCGGCGATAACCAGGTCTCCCTCGTTGAAAAATGTCCGAATTTGAAGCTCGTCGGCGCTTGTTCGTCGGCGCAGAATACCACCGGGCAAGTTGATCGCGGATAGAGGAAGTTGTGCAAGGAGTGGGGCTGCAATGTCGACTTTCCATCGTCTTGATTGTACTTCGACAATGCGGCCGACGACAAGATCGCCGATTTCAGGAGTGTATCGGGCTCTAAGTGGCTGTACGGAGAGCAGTTTGTTGGTTTGTACAACATTACCAGCGACAGTGGCAATAATAGATGTTGAAAGAGGAGTTGTGTAGGTTCCGTGGCCTCTGTTTTTAGGAAGACAAGGTTAGCTTGATCAGATTCTTATAAAGTAGGAAATGTGCCCCGCATTTTGACTCCGAGGCCATAGAAGTTCTGTGGTACTAACCTCATCCACTGGGGATCGTCATGTACGACTTCACCTGGGGTCACAAATTTGGATCCAAGCTTAGTGCTATCGAAGGGGGAACGCTTTTTTTGTAGAGAGACGCCGCCCATTTCAACGTCGGAGTCTGAGTTGTTTGACATGTCATCGTCGGAATCAGAGTCATTTTTGTATGGACCGAGGTCCTCTACCACAGGAGGTAGAATTGTAATGGCCATTTTCGTAGAATTGAACGGATTGGCGAAAATTGGTGGTTGTTACTTGGGAGAGTGAAGCTCCGAAGATATACAGGCTCCGAGACTTTTTGATACACGTGACCGGCTCCACTTGATCTTCATGATCCACTGGTGAACTGTTCGGCTGCACAGGTGCAGCATGTTTAATGCGTTAGAAGGGGAACACCTGATACTCAATTGGATTGGCTGAATACGAGCCAAGAGAAGGTTGTATTTCAAGCATGATTACTAGTTCCAATGTTATCTAAGTACTTGATGCGTCTAGAAATCGCATCTATTAATACGATGTATAGCAGTATCAATCCTCTGCATAATTCGAGGGTGGAATGAAAGAGCCTAGTAAGGAACTTAACGGAAGGGATCATATTTGAAGATAAAAAGGAACAAGATATGAAAAAAGACCAATTCTATTCGCAAAAGCTGTTTTAACGGAGAATTCTTTGAATACTATAGTCGAAAGGCAACGAGTTTTCCCCCGCATGTTCTTCAAAACAGTCACTTGAAATGCCATAATAATACATTCAAAAGAAATATGAAATGAAGGATCGGAGTGTATACAAGGCTTTAAGCCTTCTTAGAGCTCCGATTAGGAGTCGCGTCATCCCTCTTCTTCTTAGGCCGGCTACTTCCACCTTTGGGACGATATCCAGTATCCTCCTCACGCTTGCGTTTCCCCTTGGGAGTAGGCTCCGCCTCTCCAGTATCTTCATCCACAGTATCCTCTTCTTTGCGCTGCGCCGGCGCCCGCTTGGATGAACGGGCGTTGGAGGGTCGTGATGCTGATTTCTCCGACGCGACCTCGTGGTCCTGTAGTGCTTGGGGTTGATTGCGTCTAAGCCAATTGTAGACTGAGGCAGGATTCCGCATGGTAGCCTCTTTCTCTCGCTCGGCAAAAGTCGGCGCTTCTGGAACACGCGCGAGTTGTGTCCCGGCAGCCTCATCTCCCAACTTAGCGTCCAGAGCTAGGTAATACTCTGTCTCATGCTCTGGAGTAAAGTAACCAAGCTTTCGTTCTAAGGCCTCTTTTGCTTCATCTGTCGTAGTATTTGTGTCGCTGTGTGGCATTTTGCATAATTCGCTGTACTGCAGAGACGGGGCAAATGCTTTATTCCGCTTAATGCTCTCTTCCACTTGGCGATAGGCACTGGGTGAGAATTTCCCACTCGCCATTTCGCATTTAGCTTCTTTCAGGGCGGTTCGAGCTAGCGTCGCATCGTTGACTAGGGGTGTAATCTCTTCCTCTGGGGTAGGAAGGAAGGGAATGTCGCCAGGCATGTTCAAGTCGTATCGTACAGAGGGTGAGACATGAACGCTCTCGTTGAACTCCATGAGAACCTCGAGGAGTTGACTGCACCACAGTTAGATATCTTGGTCTATAGCTCGTTTCGTATAGAGGAGCCGGGCCCCCTGCCCTGGGGAGTTCGTGGAGATGACATACTCGTTCTGCTCCTGGATTCGCTTTGATAAGTCTTCGATTCGAAGCTCCTCGCGAATAAGAGTCTCATTATCTCGAATTCCATGCTCAAACTTGAACTTCAGCTTCGCATATTTCTTCCTAATTGACTTATTAGCCACGTTTCTTTGGCAGCTTTGTAGAGGGCGTTGTACTTGAAAGACCGCACCGACGGCTTCGCAGGGGCTGAATCTGGTGCATCAGGGAGTGTGTCCGAGACTGGCTCGTTCTCGTTCGTTTCTTGTGTCATGGTGGAAATATAAGATGATGGAGAGAAATGACTTGAGTAGGGATGAAGGAGCGAAGGGTTGAACCATGATCAGAAGTCGCCCGTCTTCGCGCGCCAAGCTCTCGGGCTGCGCGACCGGTGGGCCTGGCCGGCCGTAAAAAAATTATTGGCGCAAAAGTGAATCTGGAGAAATTCCATTCACTCGCCAACCAACAGTTCAAATCATTCACCCCAAAATTCAATCCGTTCGAGTCTTTTCTGCTCCATCGGCAAAATGAGCGAGTCACCCGATATTTCCCAAAAGAAGCGAAAGCTTCAAGACGGCCCCGAGCTTGAAATTGATGTTTCTGCACCCGAGCCGCAGTCCAAGAAGGCATTGCGCAAAGCAAAAAAGCAAAAGTCAGAGCCCTCGAAGCCCGATTCTGATGAGAAGGAGAAACATACAAACGATAAGCCTCAGTCCAAGGAAGCCCCTGCTCCAGCTAAGCGATCGGACTATGGAATTTGGATCGGCAATTTGGCCTTCTCAGTAACCCGTGACGATCTTCGCAACTTCTTCACCTCTAATAGCTCTATTACCGATGATACAATTACTCGAATCAACATGCCCAAGGGGCAAGAGAGATTTGGGAGAATTCAGAACAAGGGCTTCGCCTACGTCGACTTCTCCACCCAAAAGGCACTGGACGAGGCTATAGGATTGAGCGAGCAGCTTGTCACTGGCCGCAAAGTATTGATCAAGAATGCGAAAAGCTTCGAGGGTCGGCCCGAGAAGTCCCAGGATACAGAAAACGCAGCCAACGCCAAGCCCGGTCACCCTCCGTCTCGCCGCATTTTCGTTGGCAACTTAGGGTTCGATGTTACGAAGGAAATTGTCGAGGGACACTTTAGCCAATGCGGTACCTTGACCAATGTGCATCTCGCGACCTTCCAGGATTCAGGAAAATGTAAGGGATATGGATGGGTGGAGTTTGAGGACATTGCTTCTGCTGAAACAGCGGTGAGAGGTTTTATCATGTTCGAAGAAGAGGACGAGGAGTCATCAGATAGTTCGGATTCGGACTCAGATTCGGACTCTGAGAAGAAGAAGAAGAAGAAGTCCAAGAAGGCCAGCAAGAAGGCTCCCAGACGCAAGATTTGGGTGAACCAGCTTATGGGTCGCCGTATGAAATTGGAATTTGCGGAGGATGCTACCACTCGTTATAAGAAGCGATTTGGCAAGGATGGCGAGGGCAAGAAGAATGATCAAGATTCTAGCGAGGGCAATGGTTCCGAGGGCCGGCCTCGCTCCTTCAAGCCAAAGCGAATTGAAGTCGACGACTCTCGATACTCGAAAGAGACCGTACAACGTCTCAGTGGAGCCATTGTTGAAGCTTCAGGCTCAAAAACTACATTCGACTAAAGGGATTTTCAAATCCGATCATTGGTGTATTTGGTTACTATTCATGTATGTTGCTTTATTTATCTGTTTATTAGACTCGAAGTCGTGGTTCTCCTGCTGTTTGTCATTCGCGGGCCCAACGCATCAATGCAGCAAACCCACAGGCGTTTTAGGCAACATTTGGGCCTCCATCTAGCAACTATATCATATACGGTCTACAATGGCATTGATGTGGAAACGAAATTGAAAGACTTATTTTAGCTCTGATGAGTGCTCCTTTTCTCTAATGTGTAACCAATAGCCACAAGCTAGAGGTTTGCACTCGATTCTGTATTGGAGTCTATACCTCAAAGGCCATGTAGGCAGTACATACATTGCCAAGTGTTCATGTGCATGTGGGTATATGTACTTCCCCGTGGCATTAAAGTATTTAAATGGAAGAAGTGCTGGGAATTTATGTTCCTGTAATGTTGAATTACAAATAAATGAATCAATGGCTAAGTAAACACTATATGATAAGATTCAATAGTGATTATGACCCAGTGTTGATACATGATGTAGTAAATACTATGTAGTGGTATGCTAGTAACTATACTCTGAGGTGACCTCGGAGGTGAGTCGTAATTACCTATCCAGGCGGGTTGGGCGTTATCAATCAAGGGTGGTGGCATCCACCCAGTAGCCGACGCTCCCTGCATCCCTATTGCACCACCAACCCACCATTATGTATACGGATATGTTACCCGTATGATGGTCCAACCAAAGGGTACCCAAAGTCAGAGACAAGACCCGAGTGGTGAAAAGAATTAAACTCTGTATTTTCCCAGGATAAAGGAGAGAGAATATGAATCAGTAGATCAGTTCTTCACAGTATTTTGAAGTATACAATGTGTCTTGTTAGTCTAGACTCACTCTTAGTACGGATGTGTATGTAATCAAGCTTCACATTGGGCAGAACTGCCTCTCACCGCCCCACTAAGCCTGATTGGGGGTGACGTCTCGTCCGATGTCATGCCTGTTGCGGGTTGACAATATCTCTCTTGCTGTTCCTACCTTTCTGCTTCTTCATGCCCCCCTTGCTCTTTTCTTTTTTCTTTTTCTTTTGATCGCCTTCAAATTCACCGTTCCACTTTATCTCTTAATTTGGCTCCTTCTTCTTTTCTTATTCATATTCTTGAACATTCCAACCGTTGTTCCTTTTGGCTAAACCCGCCCAGCTTGTCTATCACCCTTCAATTCAGTTCAAATCCTCCATGCCCATTTCACCTCGCTTCATAACCGCGCGATAAAATCATCCCTGCCGATTCTCTCTGATTCGAAAGCTCTGCTCTGCTTTGTCCAAGGTTTCCCACGATTTCCTCCTTTATAAATCCGCCATACCGGCCTTGTCCAGGTTCACGAGCTTTACTTTGTCTACGGTCGTCCCCTACTCTGTCTATATTCCTCATCTGATCTTCTTCAAAATCGACGACCCGACACCATTCTTCTCAGCCATACTCGCTAGATCCAGATCGCTAGCTCTACGTTATCTGAAAACGTCCACGATTTCCTTCTTATTTTCAAGTTGTGCCTACCGAATTCACTGGAGATCAATCACTAGTTCTACATCATTCAAAGTCGTCCATATTGATTTCGCCCAAGACCGCTAACTCTCATTCGCGAAAAATCGGTCATCGACGATTAAACAAAAACCCATGGCTCCCCTTCGACGTCATATCGGAGCAAGCCGTAGGAAGAGAAGAGACGATGATGGAGAAGACGAGAGTTCTTTGGCGGGCGATCTTGAAGACGACTCTTTGAGCGAGGGCTCGGTCGACACTCACCAGGATGAGGACGCCGATGTAGAGGGCAGTGAGACCGAAGATGAGATGCCGACGGCCAAAACAACAAACGACAGGGAAACCGACGAACAAGAGGCTCGGAATAGCTCTACATCAACCGGCAAGCCTGAGCTTAAGTCAACAGTTTCAGACACGGAAGCTATGTTGAATGGCCTCAAAATCTCAGGTGATATGGAGGAAATACATTTTGACCAAGTGAATCAAGGTAAAGGGCTCCAGGCTGGCCGAACTCCATCGGCCCCTCCCACTGAGCCGAAACGGGAGGCTCTGGCTGCTCGCAAGCGGCGGGACCATGACAAGTATGCAAAGGAGAGAGACCAGAACCCAGCGTTTGTTCCAACTCGGGGAAGCTTTTTCTTGCACGATAAGCGCACGATAGAGATGGGGTCTAATAACCATCGCGCGTCCAACAAGGGCAAGACTCGACCGTATGGTCTCATTGTGGATGGCAATACTCGCAGGTATGGTTTGATTTCGCTAAGGAAGCTTCAAAAACATACTAACATTTTAACGTACAGAGATTCCAAGGGCGACGTCAGCGTAGGGCTATGGGCACACGATCTTCATGCTACTGTCGCTGGAGATGATCCGCCGGTATCGAAACAACCTGCACCTTCTGTTGCACCCCAACCTGCCGCCGCAGTTCCCACTGCCCCCCGATCCTCTCCGCCAAACAGGACCTTCTCTAGCACCACATTGGTCGGTAGTGTGCCTGTCGTAGTATTTTTGCCGGGAATGAGTCACCCCACATCTTTCGCTGCGGTGCCCAAGAAACAGCATACCCGACTACCTCAACATCGACCTCCCTTGCGGCGTGACAAACCAGTTAGAATATCTCTTCCAAATCAAAACCCCCGCTATATCTTCCCGTCCACAGACCGGTCTTTTATTTTCATTCCTCGTGCCCTGCGTCCAAACCAGGGTTGGCGTGGCCGGGGCCGAGGTGGGATGTATCCCCCTCGACGGCCAAGTTACTTCCCCGGTGCCTATCCACCCAGTCTCCCTCCAAGTCGTCGGACCTCACTTGGAATGTCATCTCAAGATGGCTATCCGTCACCTGCAGGGTCAGTCTACGCTCGACCTATTATGCTTCCACCTGATGCTAGTAAGCCAGTGGTTCGCCTGCCACCTCCGCCCCGTCCAATGGGCTTCCCGCCGGCACCTGGAATGCATATGGGCCATCCAGGACCAATGCAACCTATGCCTCCGCCTATGTCTCTCCACCAACATCCTCCCTATCGTGAAAGTCGCCCCGCTCCCATTCCCATGTATCAACCTCGCCCGAAGAAGACGGTTTCTGTGGCAGATATTGAAAGCCCGGAGAGCTTCCCTTTCAACCCTCCCCAACCGCAGCAAGAACAGCCGTTTCATCATCAAGTTCCTGTTCCCGTTTCGGTCAGCGGTCCTGGCCAAGATGGCGGTGCCCATGGCCCGCCCAGCCAACCATCTGCTACGCCTCTCTCTCAAATCCCCGAGCGTGCTATCCATGCACCTTCATTTCAACCTACCTATGGCACAACTGGTTACTATCAGCCTTATCCTCCTGGGGCGATGTACTACGCGGGTCATGATTATTCGACATATAGTGGACCGATGGGACCTGGGGCCTCGGTACCAAATTTCGCTCCTGGGCAGCAACCCTTGCCTTACCAACAAATGCCCGGGTCCTCTTTGGGTGAACAACACTCGCAATCCGAAATGGTTGCTCATGAGTCTGGTGGGACCGTTTACTTCTATAATTCCAACCACATGTACTCCAATCCTAACTACGGGCAGTCTGGAGCTGGCCCCGGGGGTGTGGTGGGAATTGGGGGAATGATCACACCTCCGGGAACAAGTTATTATTACCCTCAACCTCAACCTCCAGGTCCTGGGAATGTCTATTATGGCGCCCAGTGAATAGGGAGGGTACTTAAAATCCTGTAGGAATACTGCCGACTCGGGCTTATGGACCTCGTCTGGAGAGTACACCCAGATGGATTTCCCTTCAAGTTCTTTCCCCTGAATTTCAAATCGACTCTCCATCAAACAAGACAATTTGAGATCGATCTTGCCGGTCTTCGTATGTTTTGATATCAGGATATTCTGAAAATCGGTTGATGCGATTCTCCAAATGCGACCTGTTTGGCTTTTGAGTCGATCCTGGATCGTTAAGATCGACTTGACCCTTCTTTCTCCACTACGGACAGGCTACTGAGCTAGTCTTTCTTTTTTTTTATTCTCTTTCTTTTTATATTCCTTTCTTCTTATTTTTCTTACTTCCTTGCATTGTGCACGAGTCGCTTCATGGTTATTCTCACGCAATGCTTCTTCTTGGCATTATCAATGATCCTCCCCAGCTGTGCCACAACCTCCTCACAACCTCTTTGAAATTCTTTGGGTTCGTCAAGTCCGACTACCACCTTTCCCACAACCTATACTCTACTTCATCCTCCTCCACAACCCACATTTATCAACCTTTGCATTACCTCTTCCTTTTGCATTGCCCGTTCTTTTTTTCTTCCTTCTTTTTTATTTACTCTTCTTCATCCTTTGGTTTCCTCTTGTTAGACTCGGTCGTGCTGCATTTGAGCGTTTTACTTCATGAATCCCACATGCTTTCCCCCGCATTTGTTTCTTGGTCATTCTAGCATGATCTTGGCCCTTTAGCATGATAATTTTGCCTTATTTTCAGTGCCGCTTAACGGATTACGAAATACCAAAAAGTTCCACATCTGGACGGATCTCTATGTACTTGAATCCATCCCGATTATCTGTGTAGGACAGGTAAAATGATATAAATGTGTGGAAATCTAATTAGCCCGATACATAGCCCAGACCTGGCTGCCCCGCATCGTATGCGTAATTCGTACAGCCGTAAAGAGTCCATGCACCCTGCATTTGCCTTGTACTCCGACACTCCGACTTGTACTGTGTACTTTACTACTTGAATGTTCCAAGGTTTCGAAATGTTATGTCATTCGGCATTATCTAAGCATCCTTACACCGCCTACCGACTGACCCAGTGACCCGCTCAATTCCCCCCCGTACAACGTTGATTGCTCTTCTGGCTTCTTATTTCCCTTCCCCTCTCCATCTTTCCTGTATTCTCTTCATCCATTTCCTTCATCTATCTTCCTTCAAATTCTCCTGTACTTCCATAATTTACTCACCTTCCCGTTCTGGGTTGTTCTTCAACCCCGATTTTCTTAGTCCCCAACCCACTTCTCTAGCTCTCTTAGTTCCTCTCCCCATACTTCCATCACCCGTTTGTTTCTCGTCTGCCTACATCATGGCTACTCAAGCTCTTCCATCACATCCGGGCCCAGAACATTTGGTTACCGTGAAAGTCCTTTTTAATGACAGTAATCGTCGCTTTAAGCTGCCTTTGAAAGATCTTCGGGCCCAGGTGCTTCCCCAGAAGGTAAGGGAGAGTCTCCACTCAAGCTCCGACCGGACATCCAACCCGCCCCCATCTCTTATCTTGATCAACCATCTATTCCATCTTCGTGCCAGCCGACTGGAGTGATTCTCTTAGTTTGGTTGACTACAGAACATCACAGACACCCTTTTGTAGTTACTTGTTGACTAACTGATGCTTTTGGTTTAGCTTCGCACTTTGCTTGGCGTTCCGGCGGATGTTAACGTCATCCTTGAACGCTATTCCGACAGCGCCGGCTCCTACATTCGCCTGGACAGTGATAACGCATCAGTCTACAAACAACTGCACCGGGCAGCGAAGGCAAAATCAAAGCTTCGAATTAAAGCTAGCGCCGTTGATTCGTCGGTGCCTGCACCTTCAGATATCACTCTTCCAGCTGAGCAACTGAGTCAGAGTCTTCCAAGATACAGCTACCTGGAAACCGTCCTTAGTCCTCCCATCGCTGTGGCTGCTGGTGAAACTCATTCTACCCCCACTGATCAAAATCCTGCGAACTCTGGTGGCTCTCTCACTTCCAACTTTTTACTCTCCCAAAGCAAAGTCTCCGAGGTGACTCCCGAGTCTCGTCACCGCGATTTCCAAATGGAGTCCGACACCTTCAACTTCCCCGTCATTTCCCACAGATCGCCCAGTGGCTCACCCAGTGGAGTGTTTTGCATCGATTGCAACCACTGCAGTCGCTCAGTTCCAAATGAGCACTACCACTGCAGCATTTGCGAGCACGGCGACTATGATCTATGCCTGCAGTGTGTGAAAGATGGCGTTTCATGTCTTGGAGAGGGCCATTGGCTCATCAAGCGCACCGTAGAGAACGGCATCGTCATTAACAGCAGCACTGAAAAAATCCCCCCTCGTCCCGCAAAGATCGAGGAGACCAAGCCACTCAAAGCCCAGTGGGGACAAGAATTTAGGGCCAGGCTAGCGCAGGCACCAATTGCCAACCCTTTGTCTGCCCCTGTCCCCACCAACGTGTCTCACACGGATGTGGCTATCCAAGGCGAGGATAAACCCATGTGCAATGGATGCTGTCGTGGTATGTGACCATTCCCTATTTACCTCTTCTGTGAGCATGAACGAGAATTAACAATCTTGAATAATAGAATCTGATGAGAGCAACTTGGTGCGTTGCAATGAATGTGAAGATTATGACCTGTGTCTTCGCTGCCTCTTGCGAAACAAGCATGGCCACCACCCTGCCCATACATTCTTCCTTGGATCGGATCGTAACTACTGCTTGAAGAACTTGATTCTATCTCGATGTCTCCCCGGACGTCAATACAAGCATGCGGCCCTCTGTGATGGATGCGACAAGGTAATTCAATCTCAATTCTATTCACTTGTATCCTGTGAAAATAACATTGCTAACTTCATTTTAGACCATTATCGGCACTCGCCACAAGTGCCTCTCTTGCCCTGATTGGGACTACTGCCCAGATTGCATAAACAATGCTGCTCAGAGCCATCCTGGCCATCGCTTCGCACCCATCTACGAAGCCATTGGAGATCAGCCTACCGGTGACATCGAAGTTCACTTTGGTATCTTCTGTGATGGGCCACTATGTAAGAACAAGGCTAATCAAACCTACATCACTGGGGTCCGCTACAAGTGCGCTGTCTGTGATGATGTGGACTTCTGCGCCAACTGTGAAGCTCTTCCAACCCACAGTCACAACCGAACTCACCCCTTGGTCAAGTTCAGGACTCCTGTTCGTGCTGTGTCTGTTCGCACTTTCACAGATGATGTTTCCAATGGTGATACCGCTCTCGGTGATCAGACACTCACCGATGCTCCCATGGAACCTACAGCTTTCGCTCCTCGGGGCATTGAGATTCCCGAGGAGAAGCAGCCCATGGTGAAACAGGTACCTGTTGAAGTTGAAGCCCCTAAGAACGAGTCGCTTAACACTACCGATGAGGACGAATTCCAGGCCTTGTTCGTGCGTGATGCCATTGCTGATGGCACTAAGATGTCTCCCAACACAACTTTTTGTCAGACATGGACTCTTTCCAACCCAGGGCCTCGGTCTTGGCCCGCGGGCTGTGATGTTCGTTTCATTGGCGGTGACGCCATGTTCAATGTTGACTCGGATCATCCCTCAAGCGTTCAAACCATTCACTCAGCTATGGAAAGCAACAAATTGACAGCTCCTGTCCATCCCGGTAGCACTGCTGACTTCTCAGTGAACCTGCGTACTCCGGCCCGTGAAGGTACTGCCATCTCATACTGGCGCCTAAAGCTACCCAATGGTACCCCTATCGGCCACCGCCTCTGGTGTGATGTCCAAGTCCAGACAGTTCCGTTCACTGAGCCCGCTGAGGTGGAAGATTCCGCTAAGCCTGAGGTCCCTGCCACTGAATCCACGGAGGCGGCCACCGGCAGTCGTATGATCTTCCCCAAGCTGGAGAAGGAGTCTCCCGAGACCAGTACTCATGAAGCTATGGCCAACTTCCATCAAGCTTTCACCATTTCCACTGCTTCCGAGGGAGATGTCCTGGAGGATGTTGAGAGCCTGACTCTGGATGAAACCGATTCTGACTCCGGTTTCCTCACAGACGAGGAGTATGATGTCCTCGATGCAAGCGACCAGGAGTTCCTGGAGGCGAAACAGTCTATGCACTAGAATCGGGGCTCGCTCAGCTTTTACTTATGACATGAAATGGGAACCGAATGGGAATTTGCACCTTACTATCTATGGAGGATTTGGAATTTACGTTGCTTTTTTTTCCATTTTTTCTTTTCTTTTTTAACACAGCCTTACGCGCCCACCCATGCAAGACTGGCCACTTCTGCGATGGCCAGATCTGACACTGACTTTTACTTTGAATCTCCAATCCTGCAAATTTCTATTTTCTTTCTTTCTTTCTTTCTTTCTTTCTTCTTTACAGAGGCTTTCTATTTGGCAAAATGCCTCGTCAAAAACGACATCAAACTCAGAAAAATAGCTCCTGATTCTTTCTAGCATATTGCTTTAAGATAGTCGAATGCAGTTTGCTTGATCTCTGTATGATCATTGTACAAGTCTATGTTTAATATAAATTTCCTTTTCCAAGCTCTCATTATCTACTCTGCTGTATCTGTACAATATCTCCATTAACTTCCGGGTCCACTTTCAACTCCACTTCTTCCCCTCTTCCCGTGCAACATGGCCGTGCCCTATGACGCTTTGTGCGGAGACTAAACCGAGGTCAATTTCCATTGATGAAGTTGTTGCAGAAATTACGGAATGATAAACTCTACTCCACACCTCGATATTCCCCGCCATTCACTGTATTTCTTTTCCCCTCTTCACATACACGTCCTCGATCTCTAGCCCTCCAGTATATCCCCCGTCCTGCCATGGGATTCCTGCGCTCGTCATTCGGGCTAGGCCTTATCGTAGGCCTGGTAGCATTTTGGGTTCCTACACTCTGGCACCAAATTCGAATTGGCGGTGTATTTTTGACCCCGAAGCAAACGATCTTCGGCGAAGGCCAGGGCCCTATTCGCATTGAAGACACCATCCATTGCGAGGATGTGCACCACTACCGTCCGGCAAACTTGATTTTCACTGCGTGTGAAGACACCATCGATACTCGGTTTAAATGGTTCCCTGGTCTGGGTCATTTAATTCCCCATTCGCCAGCTCGTGGATCATTTCATGTCATTGACCCCAAGGTACGTTGGATTCAAGCTCATAACCCCCCAACAATGACCCGATTCTAACAAACTTTGCCATTTGGGAAGACTTTCAAGTCCAGAAGGCTGGCCTTTGAGAACTTCAAGGGCTCATTCGTAACCCATGGAATCGACGTTATCGAGGATCCTTCGCAAGAGGATGCGGTCTATATCTTTGCAGTCAACCACTTACCCAACCCTGAATATTTCGAGGTGGCCGAGCCCGCCAAAAACACACTCCAGGGCCGATCTCAAATTGAAGTCTTCCATCATGTCTTGGAATCGGACACTGTGCAACATGTTCGGTCGGTTCGCCACCCAATTATCAAAACCCCGAATGATATCGTTGCTACCACTCCTAGTTCATTCTTCGTGACGAATGATCATTTACATCCTAGTGGCTGGCTCCGATTCCTTGAGGATCTCTGGCCCCGCGCTAAATGGTCGTCAATCATCCATGTTCAAGTGACAGACTTGAAATCGAAGGACGCTACCAAGGGCTTCAATGCCTCAGTCGCTCATCAGGGTCTCTGGAATAATAATGGCCTTGGTCATGGTCGTACCAGTACAGAAGTTGTCATCTCCAGTGCTCAAGGTGGAGAGCTCTATCTTGCTGAGCGGCACGTGGCCAACAATACTCTCTCCGTGCATACTACTATCCCCTTCAATACTGTTACTGATAACCCGAGCTATTATTTGGATCCTTATCGGACTGAATCTGATGATGCAAGTGGATTTGTGGTGGCTGGTATCTCACAGCATATTAAATTGCTCTGGACCGGTTCGGATCCTAAAGGCATTGACCCGGTGCAGGTCTGGTATACTCGACCAAAGGCAGGCTCAGATGAGTGGGAAAAGAAATTGCTTTTTGAAGATGATGGGACCATTCTTCGTACAGGAAGTGCGGCTGTTCTGGTCCCTGTGGAGCCAGTGGATGGCAAGAAATTGGCTTGGTTATTTGTTACTGGCTTCTTGTCGGAAGCTATTGTGGCCGTGCAGGTTGAGCTGTAGTTTAGTTTCATGGAGTGTTTGTATATATGTTGATTAAGGAATGAATATTCTTATTCTATCATTTGTTTCCACTCGTCTTATTTCAAGCTTAAATAAATTATAAGATTGGGGTATAAAGTCCAGATGGAACCTCGGCTTATATTTATGCCTAAGATTTCAGGTGTCCGTAATATTCATCCCATGCGTTTTATCTCCGCGCCGCAACATAAGCCACTTTCATAACCTCGACCTTCTCTCTCCTCCATCTCCCACAATTAGACATGCTGTCTCTTTCCCGAGGACAACATGTCCTCCGATTTTCCCTCAAATCTCAAAAACACCACCTAATCCTCAATCCATCAATCCAACTCTTCTCAACCTCCGCAGCCCTCAAATCAAACCGACCCCCTTCTCAATCACCAACAAACACCAAGAAAGACCATGGCCAATCCAAAACCACAACACCCACAGTTACAGGCACAGCTACAAAGGTTGACACACCAGGGCCTCACGAAATAAACGCCCCAACAAGTACTTTTCCCGCAGACCTAGCGCGCCCGCCACCACTTCCTCCATCGACACCAACCCTTTCAAAACTCACACATTACCTCGCTATCGGCAAGGCATTTCTCGCTTTTTATAAAACGGGTCTTAAAAACTCATTCTACAATTATCGCGCTGCTTTACCGCTTCGAAAAGAACTCGGGCTCCCATCTTATATCCCCAGTTCACCATCTACAATCGCCGATAAGCATATCGGCCGAGGCCAATTCCAACTTGTCCGTCGCTCTGCTCGAGATGTTCGTCGTTTGATACCCTTTTTCATGGTCCTGATCGTCTGTGGCGAATTCACACCATTGCTCATCCCTATCTTTGGCTCCACAATCACACCCGCTACATGTCGGATTCCGAGCCAGGTTCACGATGAGCGAAACGCTGCTTCGAAGAGGAAAACACTAGCCTTGCAGGCACTCGGTACATCAGTACAAGGAAATGAACTAGAGACTTTGCTTCGTATTTCGCATCCTGATTGGGTGCGTGCTGCTGATTCTAAGGGCGTGTTGTCTGCCTGTGCGGTTTTGGGACTTGTGAAGAGACATGATCGCTTTGCGGGGGCGCTTTTGACTGGTCCTGTTTATCGGCCGCGTTTGAATAGGTATTTGGAGTATTTGGCTGTTGATGATGCTTTGATTCGGAATGGTGGGGGTGTGAAGGAGTTGAGTCCTAATGAGGTTATGTTTGCGTTGGATGAGCGTGGTGCGAGTGATGTTGCTGTTGGGTACCCTTCGGAGAGCAAGGCTGATGTTGCGAGGAGGGAATGGTTGATGAGATGGTTGGAGCTTAGGGGGAAGCAGGAGAAGTCTTTAAAGACGAAGACGGTTTAGATTATGTAGTATTATCATTCATTAGATCATTAGATGCTTGGAAGCATCTGGATCTCTGGCATAGATTGGATGTTTCGGGCTTGGTATTGTACATTACATTATTGCACTGGAGTTGATATATCCCTATTTGTACTATATCACTGAACATACACTCTTCTTATCTCTGATCTTAATCAATGTGTTAAAATCAAATGCCACGGCCGAGCCTTGTAGACAGTGTTGGTACTGCTCTGGGATATGCTTGATATAAACGACATAAGCTCGAATAAACAAGACAAATGCAATCTGAGAACCGAGAAGAAAAAAACTATAATTATGTGCAGAAGCAAGAGCATGAATATGAACGAACAGAGAAGGCGAGGACTGGCCTTAAACGAAGGAGGGGGTATAGATCCAATGTAAAAACCCGCTAATAAATGTCAAACCTATTGAATGCCACATGATCCACCAAATCCCAACCCGCTTGGTTGCTCGTTCTGGCTATTTATTGTGCCACGGTGGTTGGTACCGCTTGAGGAGCTGATGATGTAGCTCCAGCCTGTGCCTGAAGACGCATCTGTTTTGCCCACCGTAAACCACAGCTATTACATAGGTCTCGATTCCCGCTCGGACCACGTCGCCATTCTGGTGTATTTTTGGTGCTGCACATCCCGCATGACTTCTCAACGGAGAATGCACTCTGCTTGCGCTTGCGTTTCTTGCGTCGATTGAGTAGGCGCTGGAGCTCATCGGACAAAGTCCGATTTTGTTTTTCTAGTTCACGCAACTCTATTTGCCAGCTGGACCCACGGGTGGGATTCAATTCGGTGAAGAAAGTGGCAGGGATGTCGGATGGTGATCCACGGTTTCCTGAAGGTAAACCGTTTAGACCGATTAAGTTGGATAAATCGGGCATGTGTTGCCCAAGAGCCCCGTATTGGCGAGGGGGTAGAGAATCGGAAGTGGTAAGGGTGGTTTGCTTGCTTGAACCGGGAACATTAGCTATCGCATCATCGTCGGCAGCAGCCTGAGCAGTAGATGATGGTGGAAATGCTCGTGCAAATCGAATCTGCGCGACAAGGAACGAAGGCCGAAATCCTGACACAGAATCGCCCGCGTACAAAGTCGTGTGAGCAGAAAGCGAGTGGCCCTTTTTGTGTCGCATCTGGTGCCGGAAGGATGGTGGCTCCTGTGACTCGTTCTTTTTGCCCGGCTCGTGGGTGGCACCAGAGGAAGCTTTCTCAAGTGCAACCGAAACAGAATCAGATCCCTCTTCGGGCTCCATGAGCTCTTGTAACCCTTTTCCAATCAGGTCATCAACGGTCCGTCCGAGTACAGGTTTGACCTTGGAGGTGACAAACAATATGACGCCTGATAAAGAGACCTTGGCCCAGACATCATTTTCTGCCAGCGCCGCCGAAGAACCCAGGCCGGCAATTTGATTTAGGGAATAGACAGGTCGAGGGCGGCCGGTCATTACAAGATGTTTACGGCCTTGGTTTGGATCAATGTGCCAAGCACCGTGACTTTCAAACCAAATGTACCCTTTGTATTTCTGGCGAATTCGGTACACAACACTGATTGGAGCCGATGTTGTGCTTGCGCGCATATCACGAATCACAGATCCGATATCACTTGGGTGGCAGATGGTCGATAGTGTCTTGCCCACTAGCTCAATTGCATCGTACTCTAATACCTTCTTACATGAAGGGGATAGATATAAGAACTCGCCGTTGAAGGACAACACATGGATCACATCATCAGTGTTTTCAACTAGGATGCGATCCAGATAGTTGCGAGATAAATTGGACCCTGAGACACCAACGGCATTGAGAATGCTGCTCACTTCTTCATGGCCAAATCTGGTCACCAGATCAGGTCGCATGCGATAGATATCTGGCGGCGGCACCATATACTGGGGTAGCTGATCCCGTTGGTAGTTGATGCTGTATGTACCATCTAAAGAAAAAACAAAGGCGGAATTAGTGAAACGCTACAACAAATGGAGGACGAAAGTATTATAACATACCAGCGTTCCTTCGGGTGATGGCGTCTGGCTTCTCAACCAGATCGACCTGAAATCCAACATAGAACCGATACTCATCCGAATCCCACTGGATGGGGATCATGGTAATCAGATTCATGAAGGGCTGTCCACCCTTACGGTAGTTGATAATACTAGCCTGGATCTCATTGCGTTCCTGAATTGTCGAACGCAGACGAAAGACAGTTTGACCATCGACGAAAGTCCGCTTCATCCCCGCCTTCAGATCACCATTTGGATCTTGGAGGAAACGGCAGTTTCGGTCAACAATTTCATCTCTAGTGTAGCCAGTGAGGCGTTCAAAGGCATCTGACACATAGACAATGGGATGATCCTCCCGCAAGACGTCGCAGAGTACAAATGCACAGGATAAATCAACAGCACCGATGTTGATCTTGGGATTTGGGCGGACAGCGACTCGACTCTATTGATCATTAGTATCTCTGAACAGTAGTCACCGGAGAGTAGAGTGGCTTACTCACCAAAACTCCAAGAACGTCAAATCCACTAGTAGAGTAGATACCGGTGTGCTCTGACTTGGCAGCATCGAGAGTAGTCAGTCCAGGGGAGTTACCTGTTGGTTTCAAATATTCATGTCAATCCAGGCCAAGGGGACAAAAAGCATGTGCCGGGATGTTGTCATCACTTACGTTTGGCCATGGCTGGTCTCTTTGGTTGGATTGCGACCGGCTGGGGTCGATATGTAGACGGCGCATAGGGTGGCTGGCGTGGGCGGGCGCGCTCTTGAATCACTCGAGGTCCACGAATCTGAGGTTGGTCGCTTGTTCGAGAGAAGTCCGAGTCCTCGAAGCTTGCCGTAGTAGAGTTGGAGCTAGTATTGAAAGGCCCCTGGCGTGGGGGAGGGACATGGCGAGACTGTGGTTGCTGCTGCTGCTGCTGCTGCGGTTGTGGCTGCGGTTGTGGTTGTGGTTGTGGTTGCATGTATTGGGCCTGGGGTGGCAAGGATTGGTAGGGCGAAAATGATGGATGCAGTTGGGATTGATCCATCGGCGTGAGTCCCATGGAGGTCGTAGGGTAGGATGCCGGGGCGTAAGGGAAGTCATTGGCCGGCTCCAGGCTCATGGGCAGGTTGGTCGTCGGATCATAAGGAGCGGCGAGCATGACATTGTCAAGGCGATTCTCCAACTCCCCGTTCTGTGCTGGATGACGATCGAAGTTGTGCATCGACAGTCCAGTACCCTGAGACGACATGAGGGGATCGAAGCCATAATTCCCCACATTGGGGAAGCTCATCAAGGGGTCTTGCGACAGGGATGGTGGCAACGAGACCCCGCCATGTTGAACATCATCATCGCGCGACGGGTTAGAGAAGTCTAGCGAGAAATCATTCATATCGGCCATGGCCCATTCACCCCGGAAAGCAGGATGAGATAGAAAAGAGAACAAGGAAAATATGAGGCCTCGGCCTTGCGTGGGGTCTAACAACGCAAACGCCCGGACAGAGTTCCAAACTGCCGGGAAAGAGGGACCAGCGGGATGGAATCCAGTCACGTTAGACAGCGGGGACTCCACTCCAGACGTTTATTCAATAATCCAGATTTTCAATATATGGGGAGGGAATTTAGAGTATCCAGAGTATCAAGGGTATCAAGGGTATCAAAGGTGGAGTTAACAGATTGATAGTAAGAAGATAGATAACTGGGGGGAACAAGAAAATCAGGAGAATCGAAATGAACAAGAAGCAGAATGGCGAACAGCGAACAACGATGGATTTGATTGTTTTTTTTTTCTTTCCTCAAAAGTACCAGAGCCCGTCATTGTGGAGCTATTGGAACGAATCACAGTCTTTATATGGCGAAAGGCAGTAATATTAGCATTTCGGAAGTTTACTATGTATATATTATGGGGTAACTGTCATACTGTGAGATAAAGATGAATATGACCTGTAGATAACCTGTAGATGATCCTGAAACTTCTCTTTCTCTCTTCTTTCTGTCTATTTTTGCGTCTTATATCGCTAAGAATCGACTCTTTTTTATCTATCCAATATTACAATATTACAGGTATTACTATTTCCATCCTGCATCCTTCTGGAATTCATTTCCTGCTGTCTGAGACTGATTCGCGTATGGTAATTATGGTAATCTGCATACCGAGTTGATCTATCACATTGAATCCTCTTACAGGAACTTACAGAAACTCACAGAAGTTAATTGTCTCAGTAAGGAGGCAAAAGAAGTACTAGCATTCGAATTCAAAGAGAAGAAACTATTATAAACTACAAGACTATAATAACAAAGGAAAGATTCAGTTGTGGTGGTTATGATATAGTCCCTGATTCCCCTAATACTTGTTTTCTCTCCCTTTTCCTCCATCTCTCCATCTTCCTCTCTCTCCCTCTTATTTACCCCGTATCCCGTACGGTATACACGTCCCTCTCGCTTGATCCCCCATCCCTGCATTAAATTACGAACCCCTCATTTCGTGTGTTTGGTGCGTTACTGCGTTACTGCGTCCTAATTGTCGTTTGTCGTGCCGGCCTCGAGGTGCGCAGCATCAATCGTGGTCGGCCCACGCGAGATGGCAGACAAGATCTCAATCACCATCTGCGGCGACGGCGGATGTGGTACGTTTTTATACAACCTTCTTTGTTCTCCTGGGATTCAATGTCCATCGTGATTCGGTGCCATTGCCTTGGTATTGTGTTGAGATCGAGATCTGATCAGATCGGGGAATAGGTAAATCGTCCATTACTTTACGACTGGTTCGTAGTCAATGGATTCACGAGTAAACAATCCCCTCCCCCTGGAATTATGCACATCCCCGATCCAGCATATCAATCAACATCCATATTCTATCGGTCGCTAACCTGTTTTTTTCAAATCAATTCATAGATATGACCCAACGATCGGTATGACTGTTCTTTGTTTTCCTCAATCGCGACCGGTAACTAATGCGTCCCGTTGTAGAGGACTCGTACTCCGTCACCCGCACCGTGGACGGCCTCCCTTATTTCCTGTCCATCACCGATACAGCGGGCCAAGAGGAATATCGGGGGCTATGGACTGCTTCCACTCTCAAGTCTGATGCCTTTCTACTCGTCTACGATATAACGAACCCCGCAAGTCTGGAGACACTCAACCACTTCATGGAAATGATCAATATGGAGGCCGAACAGCGCATCGAGGATAACGAACGATTACGCAAAGAACTGGGCGCCCAGGCTGGACCGGGCGTCGGTATGCCTCCCCCAGTCAAGATTGTGGCAGGCAATAAGTGCGACCTGAAAGATGGACGTGCTGTCACTTCCCGCGAGGGGCTGGAATATGCCCGCCAACATGGCTGCGGATTTATGGAGACCAGTGCACGGGAGATGGTCAATATCGAGGAAACATTTGCGCGTATGTGTTGACAGAATAGGTATTGGGGGGGCCCGAACCCTCAATTCCTTCTCTTTTTTCCTTTTCTATCTTCCCCTCATACAAAGTTTAGAGACGAAATAATGTTGGAAAGGAAGGAAAATGCGAAGAGATCGATAATAATAGTACACAACCCCCTTGGGCTTGCAGCAACTGACGAACAGATTACTAGATTTGGTCCGTCGCGTCGTGGAAGCACGCCGAGTCCACTCTCAACCGCAGACCAACACACTAGGCCGGCCCCCATCTCGGGCTGGGCAATCTGTGCATACCACAGCCCTGCCCCAGACTAGCTCGGACCTTATTACGAACCGACAGACACGATCGCGGCGCAGTCGACTTTTCGGATTTGGGAAATCCCGAGCTTCAGCCACAACAGACAATCCGTCGTATAATGAGAAGAAGATCGAAGAGGAAGAACCAGAGGAACCAGAGGAGGAAGATTCCCATCCCAAGGGATGTATAGTACGGCAATTGTGCTGTTATTGTTGTCGCTGATACTAACCACTAGTCAACACCGGGGCCAGATCATGACTTTTGGCGTTGTGATTTGCTGATATGTATACTTGTATACCCCATTTCCCACTACCTACCATTGGCACGCACGACCCATTTGGTAATACTGTTTCGACTCTCTATTTATATCCCTTTTTTCATATATTTGTTATATTTGTTGTATTTATAGTTAGATCTCAAGTGCTATATACTTTCCGTCGTACTCGTTTACATACTTACTCGGTTCGGATTTGGATTAGTCTCGGGTTGATCGATCATTCGTTGAGAGGAATATGGCTGCCTGTTGATTGGGCGCATCGTAAACTTCCATCCATCTGTACATACTAGGTACATATGTACCTTAGGGCCACCAGCCTAGCGCGTGTGGATTCCCCTGGGGGAAAAGGATTGCGCGGGCGGGGAAAAGATATCATCAGCCCATGGCTGTCACAGGTCAGTTCCTTTTGAGTAGTATGTCTGCTAGGCCAATGGGGCCGGAGTGAAGCTCCGGGGTGGATTACTTGCGCAGGTAACCCGAAACTACAGGTATCCACGGTCAGGGGGGAGGGGGTGCAGTGTGCCTGGGGAACCCAGGTACCTCTTGGTGTTTGATGGTGCATGGGTGTGGTGGCTCTCTCTAACGGGCAACTAGTGCGGGGCCTAGCAAGGGCTGTACAGGGTATGTGAGAGATGCTTGAACATGACTTGTTCTGTAGCTGTTTCCATCAGATAGAAAGCTTGATTGATTCCGAATGAGGTCATTGTCGCGAACCGAGCCTGCAGGCGGGCCTCTATTCAGGGTTATTTTCAAGTTTGTTGTTAAGCGCATCTTGTTGGCATTCATGCGAGTCTCAATAATCAGGCCGTACGGGTGCTGTGTTTCAGTGCCCAGAGTGCCCAGCAGAGCAAGATGAAAGAGATGGGGCCAATACTGTACACCTTACATCCTTGTGTACGGACGCTGTATAGTACATATATGTAGTGAAATAGAATGGTTATCAATCTCAACTTGAAGTAGATCAGAAGCGCTGCTTACTCGAGATGTGTTGTATAGCTCCATGTAGCACTGATCAGCCACTTTACAGCCCTTTCAGCTCAAAGCCGAGCTCCTACACAGGTCCTGATCTGCTCGTTCTATACCACCTACTGTTCTAAGGTCATACGGCTATGTACGTAGCCCCTTAAGTACTACAGTGGCGTAACATGTTCTCATAAACTTACATAATATTCTGCCGGTCTAAAACCTCCAGAGTCTCCATTCTGCCTAATAACTATCAACGCGTTATTTAGATAGATAAAGGCGGTAAGATGTCACCGCCCGAGTACTAAGGCTTGGCAAAATAAGTTTTAACTATGAGAACTTTTGTTACGGCGCTGTATATATACTATGGCCGTGGACTACTACCCATCCAATCCAGTCTATCTCGTTCACAAACTTGATGTCCAAATGGTCCAGGCGCCACCGTCCTCACCCAGGTCTTATAGTAAGCTCTCAGCCAAATATAGAGGACGTTTGTTCTCCATTTTCGAGAAGTCTAGACACCTTCAAACCCCGATTTGGTTGAGGGGAACGAATCCAGATATGGTCACGTCATGGACTTGGGTTGCATGGATCATGGACCATACTATTGGGCCAGGGGAAAATTCTGGGGTGAGAAATCATGAATCACGACCTCGTTTTCGTGTTGGAATATTTCCCTTGAGTAAGACTTGATTGGAAATCTAGATTAGAGATGCTTATTATTTAATCACTTAATTTCTGATCTGTAATCGCGAGTCGAAGAGGGAAAAAGTGAAAAAAGGAAAAAATACCATAAATTACACCGGGTTCCATAGTCGCTGTATCCCCGTTACCAAACGGTCTCGGACTTATGTAGGTCCATACTCCGAGGTCCGTCCTGTTCTGTACAAGTGCGAGACTGCCTGCCTGCACTCTATGATCCTATTAGGATGTGGTTTTAGATCCCTACTGCTCATTTCGAGCCATGCTAATCTCTTGAAGAGTCGCGATGAAAATTCTATCTATTGGATATATACCTCAATAACGTGACAGGAACGGTTATTGGTATCCACCGGCCCAGTAATACATGGTTCTGCTCATTATATCGGCATGATCTTGCCGAGTGCACTTTGTGTACATATCATTACATTATTATGCACTTAGCCCCATCCAAGTACCAAATTGGAGATCGCGGGAAGTCGAAAATCGGGGATTTGGAGATTTTGAGATTTTCATAGGATTTCTTTCATGGAGAATGGTTTCATGTGGAAACAGATCCCAATTCCAACCCCTAAAGACATAGTAAAACACACCAAAGAAGAAAAATACTACAGCAAACTTCAAGTAAACTCATCATGATTCATACGGAAGTACCAGCCGGATATATACGTCAGCCCTGGCAATAAATGTCTCCGAAGCCCCGAGCTCCGTCTCCGTGCTAGCGAACTCTGCCAAAATGCCGAGTTTCCCTGTTAACTCCACTTAGCACGGAGCATTCTGCTAATAATTGAATTAATGAATTAATCCCAGTATTTTATTGAAAAAAAAAAATTTAAAATAGGGAAAAGAAAAAACCGGCCCTTGTGATCCCCAAGACAGTGGGAACCCCATACTGCAATTCTGATTCGATCCCCAAGTGGCTTGGGATTCCAAGAGATTGGAGTGTGTATTACTGTTGTTCGAGGTTCCAACTCATTTTTATTTTAATAATTAAAATAAATACTTATTTAATATTTTTTAATTCCTTTTTTTATTCTTTTTGAAATCCGATCATAAAAAGAATCCCATACCCAAATCCTCAAACGTCTAAAAAAGGGCCCCCTTCCCCCCCTCCTTTGTGAATCCTCTATCTTTTCCCCTCTTTATTGAAATTCGAATGACTGGTATATGACACTTTAAATTCCGTGAAACCAGTTAAAACCTACCTGTTGTGTCAAAGTCAATTGATCTGGTTGGATGGTACCTCTGCTTCGACATCGCCATTAGATCATTGACTGGTTGACGTCGATTACTCCGGATCAGGAAGTATAGCTCCAAAAGAAACTTCCACTCGTCCACACTTTTTCTTCCCTTTTTATCATCTGGATCCTGGCCTCGCTTTCGATTCTACGAGATTTTCTATCTTCTTGCGACTCCGCTGTCATCATTATATAGATCTCTTCTATATACTAGACATCTATATCACCACCAACACCTACATACACACACACAAGATGGCAGCACGTCAATCAACACCAAATTCCGATCATTCGCACTCCGATAATGTGCGAAAGCGCGTATGTAAAGCTTGCGATCGCTGTCGTTTGAAAAAATCCAAGGTATGTCATACAATAACCTTATATTAAATAAGACCCAATCTCCGTCTGGAGAGCGCAGATCTTCAAATTCAGACAAACTGACTCGACCAAGTGTGACGGAGCAAGCCCATGTTCGCGCTGTCGAGCCGATAATGCGATCTGCGTCTTCGGGGAACGAAAGAAGGCCCAAGATAAAGTGTACCCCAAGGGGTGAGCTAGCACTATCATACCATATATCATCCAAAGTGACAAACCACTAATCTCTACCCGCTTCTATACAGATATGTTGAGATGCTCGAACAGCAACAAGCCTGGCTGGTCCATGGTATCCAAGAACTTTACCGTCGCTCCACCGAAGGCGAAGGCTGGCCCGGCGACCGTTTGAAACCCGAACCAAATGGTCATCCTTTAACGCACGATTTGCTCACTCGTCTGGGTGCCCTCGACCACAGCAAGGGCGAACACTTCGAAGAAAACCCCGAAACCATGCAACAAGGTCTATGGCGACACGGCATGCAAAGGCAGGAATCATCTGATGGCAGCTCTGAACCACACTCCCCGGTCGCCCGTTCTCGTTTCTCGTCCGATGCTTTCTCTCAATCGCAGACTATGCCTCCTACTCCACCGGCTTATCACCAAAGTCCCGTCAATCGAGTCCAGATCAAGCAAGAGGATACCGCTATGTCTGTTACGCCGCAATATGCATTGCCTATGCAGGGCGGCGTTGTTAACCCACTCGCACTTCAAGGGGGTTCACAGCAATGGGCGCCTAATGGATTTGGTCCATTCGATGATATGGACATGATGACTACGGCGGATTACTCGAATATGTCATTTGATGAACAGATGTCGTCGCCAATGTTCAACCGACAGATGAATTGTGTCTCGTCTACCGATTATGAGGATTTCAACCAGTTCCTCAATCCGAATCCAACAGAGATTACATCGATCTAAGATGTTTGGACTCTATTCTTTCGATTCTTCGACTATTCGTTCTTATACTTTCTTTTTTAACGCCGTATGACGTGATGCATGTATTTTATACATGTTCTTCTTTCTTTTTTCTTATCGAAGTACTTGTCTACTTCTTTATAAAGGGCTATTATCCCCCGGACTTTTTTGGTGGAATCAGGAGCAATTGGGATCCTAATTCATTGTACAGTGTTGGGCTCGGTGGTTCTTTGGAGTTGGGTTAAAACGGTCTATTCATGGCGTTCTATTCTAATGGTGGAATTCTTCTTTTTTTTTTCAATTTATTACTTTCTCTTCTTTGAAATCTTCACACGGCCGTATAGCTTCATAATTTTCATAATTTTCGTTTAAATTCCTTGGTTGACAGGTACTACTGCAACGCCGGAGCAAGATGCCGACTCGATCGCGAACTACAGCGAATCCACTGAATCAGCGCGGAATTAATGTTATCTCCTGCGGGAGTAAGCCCTGTATATAGAACTGTAAGCTATACGAGCTGATCATGCCATTTAGACTTTCCTTTTGGTTTTCGCCCGCTTTTAGTCTCTTGTTTTCTAATCAATCCCATCTACCTTAACGCTGTATTTTTTATTTTTTTTCCCCTTATGTTTTTCCTTTCGGTCGGGTTCTTCTTTCTGCTTCTCTTGATCAATAATCCTTCTTTCTTTCTCCACTTGAGTCAGCGGAAGTACTCTTGTGGGGCCTTCCATTTTTTCTCTCTCTTTTTGAGCTCCACTTTTCTTGTTCCTTGTCGTTGGTTCCTGTTTCTGTTCCTTTTTCTTACGTGAGTTGTTCGTTGCCCAAGGACCCAAGGACGGTCAAAGGCCGAATCCCCGGGTTGCTGCCTTGGGCTAAGCACGCCGATAGAAAATACTGTCTTTTAGTCAGTGGGTGACAGGGAAAAGCTAAAGCCAGTTCTGGGTTTGTTGCTGGATACGAGTACGGGTGTATGTACATGGTTGAGGGATATACAGGCCGGAATTTTGATTTCCGGAGTAAATAGTGGGGAATACAACCAAAGGAGATCATATATAGGATGTAATAATTGTTATAATGTATACAGCCAAGAACAATACCATGCCATAGAGCGTATGTGCATACACAGCCCCTTGAAGCTCTTTCAACCCGGAACGCTCAGTGGGCCAAGTCCGGGGTAGAGTGATTTCTTCGGCGCTCGGAGCCCCGTTCTCTCCGTCTCGGATGTGCTTGTTCCTAAACCCGTCAAGATGTTAATGTGTGTTCTCTACACTGTATATGTAAGGGTCAAGTTCGGACCAACTTTAATTCAACGGAATTGGGGCTGAGATTGATCCGCTTACCTATGTAATGAATGGCTCGTATTGATGTGCAAACTCGGGTGAATCAATCCACCGGTATTGCAAAACTTGAATATGTACTATACAGATATGTACTCGTGTCATATAGTGGGTCATCAGTACAGCAGAGGTGCAATACAGAATAACGGGTTCGTTTATGGATTATGGAGGTCAATAGGATAGTCTATGGGTCCATTCTATAATCACTCTACTATGACGATCATCAACTAGGGTAGCCGTATCCATACCAAGATCGAAGACATAAGCTAATATCCATTATGTACATCTACAAAACATAACGCTTCAAAAATCACTCAAACACATAAACCTTGTCTACTCAACTGCCAGGATTGGGTAGCAAGATAAACAAGGCACGCCCTACCGAGTCCAATGACGCCAACTTCCAGGTGAACACCGAAATCAAGCCGAGTGTGGACCCGCCGAGCTCAGGATATAAACTCTGATTGACATGTGTCTGTCCAGTACATGAGCTTGCGAAATTTGAAATCGTTCTAGAAGCGCACAAGAACACTAGATTGTGGATCCCTCACTGAAGAAAAAAAAAAAAGCTGATTACTCTATCAGTTCGGTACCTTAACTAACGTGGCCGCGATCCCGAGCCGGCATTTTTTATCCGCGTGGTTGAGCCGATCCGCGGCTCTTGACTCGGCTTGCATCAGTGGATTGGGCCGAATCGGCGATTAATCTGATCTTTGGCTACGACCAGCCATTTGGAGAAGAAAATGAATTTATTAGAGTACATCCTGTTTTGTTAACCCCATAAATCCTGTTCACAGGGCTAGTCTACCTGTCAGCCCTAGAATACCCCAGTGTCTCTACAATGCTCTCTCTGTAAGCACTTAGTTTCAAAGCGCCAAGTGTTCACGTATAGTCAAAGAGAAATACATGAGTAAGACCAGTTAAAACACAAGTTCTTTTTCAAATTATTCATACCAAGAACTCTATACATTTCCCGAGGCTGTCTGTTCCGTACATGTACATACAATCCTTACAGGATTTTACAAGATAAATTGTATGTAGGGTCTAATTGTATACAGTGGACCCAGTAGCACCTCAGACCCGATCAATTCTCGTGCCCACCAAAGCCATAGCTACATTGGGATCTGTTCCTAAAATCGCAAAATCCCTGAATCTGAACCCGAACCCCCGACCCGCCCAGCGGAGCATCCTTCCCTTCCAGAATAGTCTGTGCAGCTGATCACTGATCGTACCCTTTCACTAAACAGGGTTTGAGACTCGGCAATGCGGATCAATCCACTGCTGTCTCTGTCTCTGTCTATTTTGCTGGAACAGGTAGGGATTTCCAAGCTTCCACAGCTTGAACTAGCTTATACAGTAGCTCGTCAGGAAATCCTTTAAGTGACTCAATTATCCCGCGTTATGCTGTATGGACCATCACTAGTACGTCCACTAACTACAATTAATGATCCATTTGTGTTAGGCCTGGAAATTCAACTCTAATCCTGCTCCCAGATATGTAATATGTATGTTACCCTGTACGTGCCGGGTCCGTGCCGTGTTCCCGGTGACTATCCGGCGACTTTATGCCGAGGTGCAGAAGCTCAGAAGTACTTTCCTGTACATACTGTATGTAGTATATGCATCATATCAACGTTAACTGCCCAGGTGGTCTCGTGGCGCTATTGTCGGGCGTATAACCTTGCTGGCTCCCGGCTAGCGGGGAGAAGAAGACGGTTAGAACGATATAGCTGCTGATGACTGATGACTGTATATAGTTAGCCTGAAGTTTGTTTCTTGGCTTAATCCCGTCTCGTCTGTGCTGAGGGATATTTTGCTATGTTATGATGTGCGGCCCCTGTTTGTGGCTGGTTTGGCGCCGTCGACCTTTGTTCCGCGGATACTCCGCGGTGTATTGATTGTGGGTGTTGCGGATATAATGTTGCTTTTACTCCGAATGGATATATGGATATACGCACATAGTTGGTGGGACGGAGGGGGCAATTGATCACTAGTTTCTTTCTTGGGGAAGTTTGGTAAATCTTAGAATGGAGGGGCTTAGGGACTGAGGGGGCAGAATGTTACTACCATTAGATTAACGGATTATAGACTATTAATTATGTCCATTGTTTCGATGTGTGTCCCCGGGGCCATACCGCATAATTTGCTGTTGGTTATGAATATCGTGCATAATTGTGCAAACTGCATAACCCCCATTCGGGACCTTTCTCCTGAATGATGCCCCTTTCCAAGATTCTGGGGATTAAAATGCATAAATTGGTGTGCATAGTAAAGGTATGACTGTGGGGGTGATTCTTCTTTAAAGTTTCTATCTAAAATAAACTAGTGTTTTGGTTGTGCTATACTGTGGAACATTGTAACCAAAGTAAAGAATTTTCGTCTCAAATGTATAGTGGATGGAATAGAATACAGTAGAAGAATACCTCATGCAATAAGAAATAATAAGAACAAGAAAGAGGTGGAAGAAAAAACGCCAATCCCGGCCAAACACCATCGTGATCATTATCCCTTGATCATCACGGACATATGACGTACAGTAATAAATGTAACGTGCAAGAAAGCCGAGCCAAGGACAGATTAAAATGAAGAAAAGACAAGAAGAAAAGGGTATATGGTACACAAAACGTCACTGCATCATGGCAAATGTATATCTTCATTTACACCTCAATATCCACAATGAGACCCTCTCCCTCACTTGAGCTAGGGTTCTCGTCCGAGGTTTGGGGTCGATGTCGTCCGTCCTCAATGGCTCCTGAAGGGCCATGACGGACACGCTCACGGCTAAGCTGATCACGAAGTTTTTGGTTCTCAGCATCACGCTCTTCCAGACGCTTTCGTGCACCACTGCGGTCGAGTAGACGACCCTCTCGCTCAGCCTTTAATCGTTTCTCAAGCTCATGCAGTCGGTGAATCCACTTCTCATCCCCACCTTGCCAGTGACTCTGCTGTCCACTGTGCGTTCGATATAGCATTGATCCAGAGGCATTGGTATTGGCTACCGTGCTGTTTGATGACGCGTAAGATGGCTGGGGTATACCCGATGAACTGCGAGTGAGACCGCGCTCCGAACGTGGTTTTTCACTGCTGCGCGATCCAGAATTGTGGCGAGTCAACTGTCGTTCTGCGTCCGCACTAGATCCGATGGATGGGGATCTTGGTCCTGATGCCATGATTGCTGCCGCTGCTGAAGAGGCCGCTCCTTGACCTCGCGGATTGGACTGGAGCAAGTTGATCTCGGCTTTCAATAACCGGTTTTCGCCGCGCAATTTAGATACTTCTGAAGACGAACTCGAGTGGCTGCTTCGTCCAGCGCGCATATTCTTGACAGTTTCCTCCACACGATCAAGTCTGCGTACACGCTGAGCGAAGGAGTGCTCAAGAGCTTGGTATTGCTTGTTCATATCGACCTCCACGCTCTTAATACGGCCCTTGAATTGTGCAACCACGGCCTCAAGAGTCTTTATAGCGAGCATCAGATTGCGACTGAAGCCTGGCCAAAATAGGATATTGCCGATAACTTCCTGGCTTGGAAGGTTCCCATTAATGAGACTATTAGAGTGAGCCCAGTCAGGACCACAGATTGACGAGAGTCGTTTCCAAATAGTCAAGAACATCAGATTACGCTCGCTGAGTTGGTCCTTGAACTGCTGCTCGAGAGATGTGAAGCGCTTGCGATCCTGGTTGCGAGCATTTTCCAGCTCTGTTATACGGGAATTGCTTTGAATGATAGTGCGAGATGCTTGCTGGTGAGATTTGAGTGACTGCTCAAAGGATTGTTTGTCGGCGCGGCGGGCTTGACGCTCGCGCTCCAGAAGCTCAGAGAGTTTTCTTGACTCGAGCCCATGGCTTTCTAATAAAGCATCGCGATTCCGGAGTAGAGACTCCTTCTCATCGAGCTGTGATCGCACACTCTCCAGCTCAAGGGCGGTAGACTCCAGCTCCTTTTGAAGCTTCATGATGTTAGTTATCATGCTGGAACGACTGCCACTGAGATCTCCCAGCGTCTCACGAAGATTGTTTTCAAGATCCATAAGGCGTTCTCGCCAGGTAGATGTTTCGATCTCTTGAGTCGATAAGCTTTTCTTCAATCTCCGAGCTTCCTCCTTGGCTGCCGAGGCCTCGCGGTTCAGCTCATTCATGATCCGCTGGACTTCTTGCTTCTCTTTGCTTCCGACCACCTCACGCTGGTGTCGTTCGTCTGCCAACCGTTGCTCAAGCTCCCTGGACTTATCTTTTTCGCTATAAAGAGACATCTGGTACATTTTAAGTTCGGATTCCAGGTCGCCAATACGAATTTTGTCGCCATCCTGTTCTTCTCGGAGGAAAGCGATTTCGTTCTGACTTGACTCGATTTGAACCGTTAGTCTCTGTACCTTCGTATTGGCTTCAAAGAGGCTCTTCTCCAACGATTCCATCTCGCCATGGGTTTCCTCAAGCTCCTGCTGAACAGCCTTGTATCGCTCAAGGTTACTTTGCGCGTCTTCTTCAAGTCGAATGATACCTTCACTAGCTGAGCGCATCTCTGCTTGTAGAACCTTGAGGCTCTCGTCTTGGTTTCTCAAATCTTCGCTCATGCGTTGACACTCAACAATCTTCTGATCAAGCTCATCACCAAGAGCATCTAGTTCTTCTTGTGCCTCCGCTCGAAGATCTTGGAAGGCAGCGTCGCGCTCATCGGCCATGTGAAGGGCTTGGTCGCGCTCCTGTTGCAGGCTTTGCATTTCTCCTTCTGCCTGATCCACATCGGCCTGGTAGGCTTGATCAAGAGCTTCCAACTCTCGGACGTAATCCTCTAGTTCACCGCGAATTGCCTGGTTCTCCAGTTTGAGGGTCGACACATGATCACGAAGTTGTCCATTCCGGGCTTCTAATTCTTCACGATCCATATCACTACGTGATATACCTCCGTCGCTCGGTTCGGATCCTGGTCTTCCTTGCAATCGGGATGCTGAACGGTCGAAAATACTGTCACCGGCCACCGAACGGCCACCTTGGCGACCATGCCCAAGCTTCAACTCCTCGATCTCTTGGTAAAGGCGTTCCTTCTCCCGATTACGAGACGTAAGCATTGATGTTTGAGCGCTAACCTCCTTCCTCAGTTCTGCATTTTCTTGTTTCAAGAGATCGAGCTCCACTAGGAGTGTGCTATAGGAGCTGCTCATTGCAGTGCCACGGTTTCCATCTCTCTCGGAAGCGGAGTTGTATGAAACGGTCGAGCCACCTCTGTCGCGGAGCGCTGATTTGGCAGGAGTATTTGTTGTTGTATACAGTTCACTTCGAAGGCGAATAGATTCATCACGAAGTCTGCGGTTCTCTTCTTCAGCCTGCTCACGGGCGGCTGTCTCTGCATCAAGCATATCCTTCCACATATCCTATACATGATACGAATTAGCAAAGAACTACACAGCTAGTAGTAGCAAACGATATAGATTCTTACCCTTTCTTCTCTTGCTCCAGTTTCAGACCCTCCTGTTCGGTTCTCGCTCATTGATTTGACCATCTCGGCAAGACGTCGTTTCTCACCCTCACGGGCAATACTTTCAGATCTTAGACGTTCGACTTCAAGCTCATAGGTCTCAATTCGCTCCCGTAGATAGACATTCTCTGTTTCATTCGCAGATTCTCTATCCCCATCTTCTGATCCTTCTGGATCATGATTAAGCATAGATTCCCTGTCTGACTGGTGTTCTTTCAATTGTTTTTCAAGATCACGAATCTTGCGCTTCAGGCCTTGATTATCCTTTTGGATTTTCAATTTGTCGGACTTGAGTTCAACGTTCTCTGATATCATCTCCTTGATACCTTCTTCGGATCGCTTGTTCAGCGCCTCGTTCAGGAAGTGAATGCGCATTTTGAGATCGAAGTTCTCCTTCGAAAGACGGTCAATGGTGCTACTTTGCTCTTTGAGAGTCATGTTCCGACCAAGACCGCTGCGACCAAGGGCAGGTGTTGAAGCTCCAGCACGTTTGTCAGGGGATGGTCCCATACTGCCATAATCTTCGCGAAATCGTTGTGCAAAAGTGGTGGGGACCTGAATGCCCTTGATACGTTCCGCAATTGCTGTATCACTTGGTAAAGGTCTGTCTTGTGGCCTAGCTTTGGGTGTTGTTGGTGCAGATGCGTCATCGTTTCCAGCTTGATGTCGCGAGGACTGTGGTGAACTCTCTTCTTGCAAAGTTTGCAATCCTCCATCGACCGGTCCGCCCACGTTGCGTCTCTCTATGGAAGTCTCCTCACTGTAGCCCGAAACACCGGATGCCATGCTACCTAGGCTGGTTGTGCGGGTCATATGGCCTCGGGATCCTGGCTGCAGGCCGCCCCAGCTGTCAGACGCTGCCCCTCCAGACTGAAGTGCATAATCTGCTCCTAGTGTAGCGTCGCTATTCGTTCCATCCGTATTGTTTGTGTTGTTGCTTGTGATCGAAGAGTGTGAAAGACGATTAGCAGATTGGCGACTAGTCAAGTACTTGGGTCGGCTGCCACTGCGTCGACTACCCCCGCCACTAAAGCTATTGTCACTGAACAGTCTTGATGGGGCCGGAGAGAGGCTTCGGGATGATTTTCGAAGTTTGGAAGGTGTAAGTTGCGATTCATCGGCTTGTGAGAGTTGAGATCTGAAAGCGCGGTCGTCCTGCGAAAATTGGCTGATATCTTGGGCATCTTCTGACGCTGCAGACGGGTTGCGGTTCAGGCTGCGAAGCATGGCAGCAGCGGTGGGCGACGAGGCGAGCGAGTCAAGAGTGCTTTCATTTCCCACATGCTCTTCGCGCACCGCTGTCGCAGGTTCAGCCTCAGCATGGTCCTGAGTATCATCATGTTCATCCTGGTAGTGACCATAGTCCGGGTTTGTATCCGAAGGTGGAATGAAAGAAAACTGGGAGGATTCAGTTTGCTGTGTCATATCAGGATCGTAGCTACCATCAACGCCGACCAAGTAGGTATCGTCCACGCCAGATCTGGGACCATTCGCAGCGACATCAATGGTTGACGGTTCCGGTAAAAAGCTCGACTCCATATCCATCAACTTGCGACGCATCTCGTGCTCTTCAATGAGGGTCTGGTTGTTCCCTCGTTCGTGGTCGCCATTTTCGCTCGACAAGGGGAACAAGCTGCTATCGTCGCGATCAGTCAGGGGAGGCAGAACGCTGGTATCTTCGAAACCAGACAATACAGTCCCTGTCGTATTTTCATGCGCCTCGATTTCTTCTCGGGTTTCTGTGGTGGTGGGTGCGGGGATTGTTGTGATCTCTTGCGCGTCTTGGATTCCGCTTTGAGCTGTTGAATCGTCGACGGGATTCGGGGGGCTTACCCCCCGCGCGTCCTCGGCCATGAAGAAGTCAAGTCTTTCCAAATCGGCATCTAGGGGTGGAAGCTCTTCTGGGGTGTGGAATGTGCCAGAGTCGTTAGAGGGGATGCGCACCGTTGGCGGGCCTGGGATGACGATCGGAGGTGTTGTCACTGGAGCTTTGGTCGACATGGTGACGGGTTGTTTTGGGGGGTGTCTCCACCACACTGTGCGTTTACCCACCACGATTGGCAAATCAGCAATAGGATTGGATAGAACGCTTTGACTAAATAACAATTATAGATTTGAAGTATAAAAAGAGAAAAAAAAAACTCCTTTCAGGCACAAAGTAAGAGACCTATGGAACCCTAGAACCTTAGAAGCAGGCACGACTCAAACAGTGGATGTGTTATTGCCATGGAACGGACATACTGTAGTCAAAGAGACCATTGGACACATATACATTCCAAAATTCAATAGATCACATTCATATCATATCATATTCACGATCAAAGACTAGCATAAGTAATAAATATAGGGATTATAGTCCCGCCCAAAAAAGCAAAACAAAGAAAGACAACACATCGTGGTATCCATAGCATCAGTCGCTTCGTAGTCCCAAGCATTAAAATCAAGATGAAGGTGGTCCAACCCACGTCCAAGCAGTAAGAAGAATACCAGAAATTGGTCCAAGAAGTCAAGAAGAAAGATGTACAGCCTCCAAAAAAATTGATAAAGAAGAATAAGGTGGAAGAAGTTGGCATATCGCTTTTGAATGTATGTGTGTGTATAGGCCCAAAGCCCTCAACCTGGAGGGTATTTACAACAATGTGTATCGGAGTCGAGTGGCTCATGATGATGAGGGGGGAATCAGATAAAAGAGACAAAGACATTTAGAAGAAAGAAAAGGTAACAGGGGGGAAGGATTGGGAGAATAGGTACAGAACCGTGCTGCAGACGAATTAGGTCGAGACAGTAGGCTCTGCTATCGGATCGGGGATTTCGGCATCAGCCGGTGGGGTATTTAAGTTGTTCGAAGATGCGAAGATCTTCTGTTTTTGGTTGATGGCATTGCGAAGAGAATCGATGTAGGTTCGGAATTTAACAATTTCCCGCAGGAGATAGGATGATTTCCGTTCCCAATTAGTCATGGCTTTGGCGGAGTTGGGGTGTCGTGGTGAGAAAGCCAGGTTCATAGCCGGACGCAATTCATTATGTCTTTGAAGGTCATCTTCAACATTCTTGACATAAGCCTGTAGCGACTTCAATTGTTCTTCTTCGGGCTGGTGTGAGGCCACCATGCTCTGCTGGGGAGGGCTCCAGTCACTGATGTGGACTCGGTCTGCAGGCAACTTAGGTCGCACACTTTGGTGATCAATTGAGCTACGGATCGAGCTCTGGATGCTCTGGCGAGGAGCGCCCGAGGATGGTGGTGGTGACCGGTCCGATCGATCTTCCCCGCCATTGATCAGGGCACTGTTGATGACGGCATCGCTCCAACCATATTCGATGTTGCTGATACCACCTACAAGAGGTTCCTTGGATAAACGAGCACTCCAGTAGTTGGCTGTGGAAACAAATTCACGGACGATTTCAGGTGTACCAGCTTGAAACAGGTGGACGGCTCCAGTGGGCAGACTCAAGGCCCAGACGTGAGGGCGGGATTTTGAATACCCAGGAGGTGGAAGAGCGCTGGCAATGGTTTGACGAAGCATGAACTTCCACAGCTCTTCTGCATTCTCTGTCCAGTTTCCTCCACCAACCACAACACCCCCACGCTGCTTGGCCTTTTGCCGCATGGATTTCGTTGAGTTGTTGAATGAAAATAGTCGCATCCAACCCTGCTGGATGACCGCAAAGCAGTCATTCCAGTTACGGTCTTTGGCGCGCTTGTCTACGGCATCCAGGTGATGCTTGTGTTTCACGCTGCCTTCCTTGGCCCAAGGAGCACCAGCTAAGGCTAAAGTGTCATCTTCGAGGAGAGGGGTATTTCGCTCAGATTCTTCGTAGCTATAAGAAGAGGCGGTATCTTCCCGGATGATGGCTTGGCTCAAAGCATTGGCAAAACCGATGGACTGCTGGTATTCGCCGCGTGGATATTCCGATCCAAATGAATCTACAGATGCCGACGTGAATTTGCCCAAAGAGTACTTGCTCCAAGTACTTGATCCAGCAGGGCTCCAAACAGAAGATTGATCGTCCAAGCTGGTTCGACTTGAGCCCATCATGGATGAGGGGTATAATCTTCCAGCTCGAGAACGGGGTTTTGACGACCACCTTGCAGTGCCGTGACGAGAATCGGCCGTTCGGCCGCGAGGGAAGATATCTGAGCCACTTTTGCTGATAGTGCTGGGACTTCGGCGAAGTGTGCTGGTAGATGGGGTCAGGAAGTTATTTGAGGACATGCGAGACACCTCCCGTCCTGGTTGAGCACCATGAAGTGGAAGCCTCTCCTTTTGAATAGAGGTGTAGAAGTCTTTCAAAACAGCCTCTACTTGTTGCTCCCACGCTCTAACTGTTCCATTAAACGGATTGTTGACCAAGGGCCCAGCCTCGTGGTTAGCCTCCGTGGTACTTCGACCTGCGTTGTCCATATCCAAGGAACCACGAGCAACATCGGGTGGGAAAGTTGGAGAGCGAGCAGACGACGGTGCGGAGTGTGATGAATCAGCGCCTGATGTCTTAGTGCGATTTACAGGACGCAGTGTGTCGAACCCTTCTGGCGCTGCATCCATAGCAACTCGATGAATGGTGGGCATAGTGTTTCGCACGAATTGGGATTTGGTCATTTTCTGGTCGATGTCGGCCAAATGTAGATCGGTATTTAACAGAAGAATGGAATAGCAAATTGTGTGAACGACATCTATGTAAGAAATTAGTCGATGTGTTTTAATATCCCTTGAGGGAAGATAGAAACTTACCAGTAGCCTTGAAGCCATGGCTAGGGTTACAATCACACCATCTAGTGGAAAAGGCATCCAACACTCGATCAACTTGTTGGGTTTCTCCCTTGAGCACTAGCCGTTCACACATAGCACGCAGCGCAGCCAGAATATTGAGATTGGACCAATTGAAAAGTCGCATATAGGCCTCGCGGACACTGGCTCGATCCGGATCACCAAGCCATGCGGCAGCAGGTTCACTGCCAACCACCTGATCTTGACTCTCAAAAAGCTTCTGCGCTTGTTCACGATCCGATGCAGTAGGCCCATCCTCAACAGCCTCACCTGGTCCGTCCATTTTATCCTCGGTATCGTCAAAAGCTGATTTTGGCTCTTCTGACTCAATCACTGGTGTGGTGGAAGCAGTTTGATAGTGGGAAGCTTCTGAGACAGCAGGTGACTCCGGCACGTTATTGTCTGACGGAAGAGCCAACTTAGATGTTCCAGTTAAGCTTTCTTGTGAGGCATCCACGGTAGTTGTAGTTTTGGTAGTGGTCACTTTGATGGTCCGTGAAAATTGCTCTACGACCGGTGAGAGCGTGTTGGCTGCACTAGCTGGCCCCTTCTCCGGCAAGGGGGGATCTGCATATGCGGTGGACTCGACATCCCCACTTCGTATAGATTGATCATCAATGCCGCTGCATTCTGCTAGCGCCGATCGATCCTGACCGCGGGAGGTGCTGGGAGGCTGGAGAGTATTAACCTTCTTCGCGTTGCCCCCAGGAGCTGACACGCTCTCTCTAGGTTTCTGCGCCTGCAGGTTTCCTGCACGGTTCTCCTTGCCATCATGTCTGCCTGGTATGCCGTCTGCAAGATAGGGGTCCATGACTTGTCGCAAGCTGCTCACTGGGCTGGGTGCTGGCTTCATTGTGTCCAGCGTATGAGGTGCAATATTTTGAGGTAGAACGATCGGCGGTGGAATGTTACTATCAGTCACAGACTTCTTTCGCCGGCGAAAGAACGAAGACTTCTTGTTTACTACCTGCTGATTTCCTTGCCGATTGGGGGTTGGGCTTGAAGCCGTAGCTGGAGGATTCCTCGGGGTTTGCAATTTGTTTCCTTTCAGATTGACTGTTGTCCCGGTCGAATCCTTGGGCTCATTTTCCTGGAGATAAGATAGATCACTCACGTTGGAGCTTGGGGAATCTCCAGGACCTGCAGGAGCGGTCTTAGATGAGCCGAATACACGTCGGAAAAATCCCGGTCGTCCTTGGGCTGGAGCCGGAATAGTATTGTTCGTGGTAATTGTCGTAGTTGTGGTCACTGCTGGCGGTTCTGGCGGGGGGGAAAGCTGGTTTGTTGTATGATATAGTAGGGCTAGGTGCCGGAGGATCCAGCGTCGCCGAAATGGGGGGGGGGGATCTAGATCCGTTTCGCCCGAGAATTCAAAGTCATTGTCTCGTGGCTTGAGAACTCCAGTGCCGATGTTTTCGGGGCGCGCTTTGCGGACTTGTGGGGCCTGGGCTGATTTCACACTGTTTCGCCGGGATGCCACCGGTGTCCTTGACGTAGGCCCCGTCGGGGTCCTGTAGTCAGTGAATTTGCGTGGTCCAGCTGGTACGCTTGGTGTCGGTGCTGCATCATCATCGTAAAGATACGATTCTTGAGCGATAGGGACTTCAGCATAGGGGTTGTATTTCTTTGGGCCACAGTCAAAGCTAGCGGAGCGTCGGTCAAGAGCATCTGAGTCTGCTCGGCCTCTGGGCATTCCATATGTGAAGTCCGCTGTCGATGAGCTTCCCTTGCTTCCTTTCCTCGTATCGGCCGCCCTCGGCATGGTTCCTGCGCCACTTCTGGGGCCTATTGCATCGCGACTGCGTCCACTGCCCATCCGCCTTGGAACTGATGTGTAGTTGGAACTGCTATTACTTCGGCGGCCCTTGGCAGTAATGGTCGCATAGCGGCTGCTACCATCATCGTAACCATAATCTGCATCGGACGACATTGAAGAAGAGAAGGTATGTCCTCGGTACCGGCCATGAGGTTCGGCGTCCATGGCGGAATTGAACAAGCGGTAGTCGTCCATGACGGATGAATCAGGGGCACCGAATTGATCAAGCGAAAGGAGCATATTGTCTACAATGGAGGTACGGGCAGCGTGCTGGGGTGACAGCGATAGATCATGCGGGTCGCGATCATCGCCAGACTCGCTGACCCGTGGCGCATTGTCCATGGCATCGGGGAAAGTATCTCGGATCGAGGGCCGGGCCGGGTACTTTTGTTTGGGACGATACTTTGCGGTCTGGGAAGGGGGCGTACGAGGAGGGGAGCCGGTCGTATAGGTTTCTCGCTGTTGGGACATTGTCACGACTGGCGACTTCAGTGTCAGTTCGAGCACGCAGGTTTCATCTGAAGTCGCGGGGGGGAAGGAGAGAAGCAGCGTTCCTCGCAAGGTTTCTTAAAAGAAGGGATCCGCCCAGTTCTAGCTTGGAACTGGCTCAATGTTTGGTGTGGGGAATTGCCACGTACCGATCAATGCCCAAGGCGCTTTTGTCCTTTAGGGAGTTTGGTGGGATATGTTTTTATCTTAGGTTCTTGCCCAAATGGCCGGGACACGAGGGGAAGCCAGGCTTTGCGAAGCCACCAGGTCGCAAATTGCGGGTTCGGAAGGGGAATTCAGACGGTCATTGCATATCCCGATCAGCAAGGGAGGACAAGGGACGGCAACGTGCAGACGCAGCAATGAAGCGAATTGAGAATTAACATGGACGAAGAGAGCCCGCGTACAGTATTGTTGGTGATGAATGGAAAACCAGATGGGGCTGGAGTTGGATGGAACTGGACGAACTCCTGAGAAATAAAAACGGGGGGGAAAGTAGAGTTGGGCGAACAAGTGGATACCAAGAAATGAACCGTGCGAGATTAATAGTTTCCGGAGGATTCAATAAAGAACAGTATCTGCAATGATTTGCATTTCATATTGGTATATTATTCTTTGGTCTGAATTGATCTGGATTGATCTGATCTGCATAGAATGTACATGATGGTTGTTGTCTTCATACTGTGAAGAGTGTGATATACATCAACCAGATTCTGATGTTGCTATAAGTACTGGAAATGTGAAACAAAAAATATGATAAAATATGAAATAAATCGATAATATACTTGGCAATATGTTATATTCCGAAATACCCCAATTAACCAACGTTATAGTCTAATTCCAGAAGGAATAGGGTGAAACATCTATACAGCCGAGTCCGCATCAACATGAAGATTAGTACAACACTCTCTGCATAGTTAATCAATTCTATCTAGAGGCCTCTATATTCTTGATACATCCTCCCTCTTCTCTTTCAAATAAGATTCAATACCCTCGCTCCTTTCTGCACATCTTCTTTCTCCATTCTGACAGGTCCCTCTTCTTCTTGGGGTCCGGACTCATAGTGGATCCCACCCTTGAGTGGGGACTCGTTATCAACCATCTCTGCCACGCCAATGATCTCGGAATATTATACGCAACTTACAAGTGCTCCACTCTGGCATCTGCATGTTCAATTTCGCCATGCAAAGAGGGGAGAGTGTCGGCGGGGGGGCGATGTGATACAGCATCGGTTTCGGAGATCATTACCCCTTATTCCCTCCCATAATCAGTAATGTACAGGTACAGCAGGTACAGCAGGTACAGCGCACTCCACAACAGGGAAACGGAATCAGCACCGAGTTAGCTTTAACTATAATTCTTCTACTTCGTACGGATTATATATACCAGTCCAATCGAAACAAAAACTAGAGTTGAGAAAAGCCACAAATCTCATCTATCATCCAGATTCATCGGGGTTGACACATTTCTGGTCTTTCCCCTCCCCCTTGCAGATGACATGTATTGCCAGCAGAGTGCAGAGTGAGCGGCTTGTTTGCCACTATGCTGAGGCATCAGACTCAGTCGAACTCAACTCAATTCAGTTGGTACTAAAATATGAAAGTCAACGACAAACTGGATGATGAAGAATAAGTCAAGATATAGATATCATGAATATATCCATGAACATATGTGTATTTTATACTATATACTAGATAATACTATGTGGCTATACTGTCTACATGTATGGTATCCCTGAAACCACGTGACGATGACATAACGTCCCGCTCGACACGTCGTTCGTTCATACTCAAATCGACATCCAAAGTCTTCAATGATCCCCGGATCTTGACCAGAACGGGCTTTCGATCATGAACCCGCACATCTCTGTCCCCCGCCAACATGCTGGTCCCGCCAATTTTGGCTCTACGCCCCGCCGAGGCTCGGGTGTGCGCATGCCACGCTTCTTCAAAAGGTAAGCCGAAGGAGGTCTACTATCACAGGAGCTCAAGTGCTCAAGTGCTGACTTGCCGAACTCGAAAGACTATTCAAATTCCCTCAGATGGACTTTGAAATGGCAATCTGGGAAATGACCTCTCTCTTGATTGCCCCTAAAAAGGTCTTTAAGTCAATATATTATCACGTACGTCGATCAAACCTGCCCTTCAAACTGCCAACTGCTTCCTCCGTCATGATGCTAACCAGATTTGATATAGAAACGTGAGCCATACCCCCAATCTTGTCTTCTTCTCCAGCACTTGAGCACTCCAGAATACTCTCGAATCCAGAGAACCTCTCCGCTGCTTGGTTGATCTCCAACTTGAATACTGACTCTCACTCAGAAACAAAAAACACCTGGCATCGCCCTGATCCCTCCTTCACATACCTCCTCTCCTTCTTCCTCTTCGTCACAGCCTTTGCCTGGGGTCTGGCCTACACTCCTTCCTTCGGCGCCATTGTGAAACTTTCGATTCTATTCGTTTTCGTACATTTCATCGGCTCCTCACTCCTGGTCTCAACCTTCGGCTATTTCGTCATCGGCCGTCTGTTCGGCCCTAACGGGGCAGCTGCCTCACTCGCCAATCTGCGTGGATCTCGAGGTCGTCGACGAGGTGCGGCTCAGGGTCTCTTTGCCCAGCCCGGTGAAAAGGACCAACTAGAATTCGGATACTGCTTCGATGTAAAATTGCACCCTTATCTCCTATCTGGCTTGTCAACTGCTCTCCAAATGCTAATTGCTATCCCGGTCCTCTAGGTTTCAAACCGTGCTTTCTTTCCCCTCTACCTCCATCTATACGTTGTCCAATTCCTCCTGTTGCCACTCCTGACTCGCAGCCCGAGCAACTTCCTGGCTACTTTCCTTGGCAACACGCTCTATCTCTCCGCCTTCATCTACTACACCTACATCACCTTCCTCGGATACAATGCCCTCCCATTCCTTCACAATACGGAGCTCCTACTCATTCCCATTCTGGTATTTGGCGTTCTATGGTTCATTAGCCTGATTGCTGGCTGGGGCGTCGTCATGCAAGGCCGAGGTGTTGAAGGGTTGTTCTGGGGTGTGTAAACACATCTTGAATCAAAATATTTGCTCTCCTCGAGCGTACTACAAACTATGACCATGGTTTGAACGTCTTCTTAAGGGCTATCAGCATATGATAACCCTATGTATGAACCCTGATTTTCCCTTTTTATTTTTTTCTCTTGGCTGTGCATCGAAACATTTAACTCCTGTGGTTACTGTACCCGGGCGGCGTGTCGGCGTTACTGTACATTGTGATTCCTTTTTTCATCTTTGTTCCATATATCGGAGGCATAATCTTAGCTTCTCAACGGTGTCTTGATAGAATCAAAAATAATCAGGTACTTCCTTGCCTACATATTCAAATAGTGTATTTGTATATGTATAGATCCAAATTCCATTCCATTGATAGATCATCACAATATATGGTTTAAAGAGATAAAGAGAGAGATTCAAGTAAACTGCAAGTTTATTTTTTCTTGCCTCCCTTCTTTGGGCCCTTCCCCATAGCAGCAGCCTTGAGTCTATCCTCTCGCTCCTTCACAGCAGCAGCTTTCTCCTTCGCAACCTCATCTCTCTCGTCCTTCTCAGCCTGCTTACGAGCTCGCTCTGCCTCTCGCTGCTCCCGAATGATAGCCAACCGCGCCAAATCACTCCGGGCCTCATCAGTCTTCCCCTCAGCATGAAGCTTCATGTATCGCTCTCGCGCCTGCTGTGCCTCAATCGCCTCGCGCTCTCGCCGAGAAAGCTGAGATAGATCCTGTGGACCCTTCTTAGCAGCAGGCTTGGGTTTCTCTTCCTCTTCCTCCTCTTCCTCTCGTACAAGCTGCTTCCGTGACTGGGCCGTGTGGTTGGGGTTCGCAGGTAGCTCGTCGTCGGACTCCTCTGAGTCTGAGGGGGGAAGATCACCAGGTTGAGCGGGAGCTTTGTTGCGCTTTGCTAGGGCAGCTTGTTTCTTTGCTTTGGCAGCGGCGCGACGTTCTTCACGGGTTAGTTCGGCGGCGGCAGAGCCTGCTTGTGTGCTTGGATCGGCGGCTTCGTCTTCGCTTTCTTCAGAGCTTTCCTCCGAGGATGATTCTTCTTCGCTGGACGAGGGGATTTCATCGTTGGGATCCTTGGGGTTTTTGTTAGTTAAGAATTGTAGGGACGGTGGATTGTGTTTGAAACATACGCGCCACAGACCGACGGAATTGCCATCCTTATCGACGGGTTGAAGGTCTCGACTGAAGTGCTTTCCTCCTGTTTCAAAGCTCGTGTGAGCTTTATGATCTTTTTTTACATTTGGAATGAATTTTTTTGAGGTTTTTTTTTTCATGTGCTGTATGGGGATATTGGGCATGCGACCATACCTCCTCGAGAGGGCTTGAACTTTCCGCCACGGCCGCGGGGGGGCATGATGAAGTCGTATATATGTGATGGGTGATTTGTAGATTGGTAAAAATGCGTTTTAACGAGCCTCCTGTTTGAGGGAGGGCTTGTGTAGATTACTGGTCCCAAAGCAACAGTCAGTATTGCGCATGTTGAGTCATATAGTATTGCGAGCTCGCGGCTGATTTCACAATGGAGGGGCAAAGTGGGGGAAGAGATACGATGAGGCGGACAAGGCTATCGAACTCCCAGATCAAGATGAGATTAGAATATACTAACATTGAGATGGTCTTTTTTGGTTGCTGCCGAATTGCAGAATATTGCAAAAGTGCAGGAATTGTTTGACGAAGTGGATGTTCCTTGTTCTCCGATCGCTCGAACCCAGCGAGTCACCGCATCCGCATTAATCACAATGTGGGGTTTGACTCCAAAGGTGCCAACGCTGTCTATTTCTGCCTGGAAAAGAAAAGGAATAGAACAGAACTAAACATTAAACATTCTCTTTTCATTTTAATATTTATTTTGGCTCATCAACATGGAGCCTGGCACTATTTACAACTGCAAGGGGGTTTCTCTCAAGCGTGAATCTATGAAAGCTAGACGCGAGCTAAGCCAGTGCCCACCTTGCATACACGAGCAGCAATCAAGGTCAAGGTCCCTGCAATGATAGCACTGCCCATGAACACCTGAGCATAAAGATATTGTCCGTCATCGGTGGATATCAGTGCACCGGCAATAGGAGATCCAATCAAAGCAGCAATCGCCACAACGCTGAGTACCATGCCCATGCGTACACCGGTCTTCTTGAGATCGGTAGTGAGTGTGCTCAAGGTGGCTGGGAACAGTGACTGAATACCAGCAGCAAAGAGACCATAGCAGGCGGCAAATGCCCAGAGTCCGCCCATGCTCTTCACGGCGGTCCAGCAATAGGCTACTATAGCAGTTGCGCAACTGAATGGGATCAGCAGATTCAAGGGACCCGTGAATTGATCGGCCATGAGGTTCGGGATCAGTCGGCCCACTAAGCCGACTCCATTCATAACCATCAGCAGGTCGATAGATGTATTGTCCGATGCGCCGATAATGTTGGTACTGAAACTTCCAATATAGAAGAAAGCCACGTACAATCCCCAGAAGTTCAAGAACATTCCCACTGCAAATAGCAGATATGGGAGCTCTTTGAATGCAGCCCATTCTACTAGCGGCCCACTCGTACGTGGAGGGAGTCGCTGTTTGAAGAATAGCAGACATGGAATCAGGGTTACTAGTGAGATGAAGCCCAGCGTGCGCATCGTCCATCCATACCCAATGCGTGGTAGCAATCGCATCACTACAGCAGGGAAGGCAAGACCACCTGTAGCTGAACCCGAGGCGACGATTCCAATCGCGATTCCTCGTCGTTTCACAAAGTATGTGGAAATCAGAGCTAAAGTCGGACAGAACATAAGTCCACATCCAATGCCTTGGCCTAGTCCCTGTGCCAGGAACAGCTGCCAATATTCCGTACAGAGAGAGGTCATGAAGATACAGAATACTTCCAAAGTCGCACCAATAGTCAATGTGAATCGAAAGTATCCTGCATCGGTTGCACGGCCGGAAAATGTTCCAATGAAGAACAGAAGGAAGATCTGGATACTACCTACCCATGAGATATCAGATGGGGATCTGCCAAGCGTGCTGGTGTAGTATGTTTGAAAGACGCCAAAACTGTTGATATAGCCCCATGTATTAAAAATGATCATATGTCCCAGTGCAACTTGTAACCAAGCTTGGAACCCTCCATCTGGTGGTGGTCCCAGGTCTTTCCCAGATTCTCGTGTGCGCACAGCTGATAGAGTACGTGCTGCAACACTAGTGTTTGTTGGAACTTGAGTCAAGTCGTTGTTGTGATGGTGGTCTTCGCCGATTCTCGATTCCTCATCGGATGAGTGTCTTTGTCTAGGGAAAGACTCTTTCGTCTCGAATGAATCATGGTGGAGGCCACCCTCGCTGTAATCATGGTCCTTTTCGTCTGTCATGTTCGGCCTGTTCTCCTCCATTTGACTGGGGCTTGATGTTGACTCGAAGCCCATGATTTTCAATTATTTCTTATTTCGTCTTCGGGATTAGATTTCGGGATTTAAATTTCGGAATCGTTGACCATGTTCGCCCGTCTTTGCGCTCTGCAAGCCAGAAGCAAATGTAGTTCAAAATCGTGACATTGGAAGACTCCAAGAGGATGAACAGGGTCCAATGGATGAAATGAAAAGGAACAACAGAGTGAAAATCAAGCGTGACTCATCACGGTATTTGGAGAGATCCATTTTTAACCACAAAAAAGTCGGCCAGTTCATAAAACCCCGACTAGACGGGCTTTGCGCCGATCCCGGTTATTCGCAGAGATTGCCGAGTGCGCGCCCTTGGCCGTTGACATTTCCCCACTTCGGCTCAGATGATGTACACAGCATAGAGTTACGGGTATTGAGTATAAAGTATAGTTTCTATGTCTAAATTCATTGAAGATTATAGATGAAATTGGCATATATGCCATTGACATTGTATACATAGCTCAGCATCATTGTCTCCATCTATCACGCCATCTCTTTTCCCCACGGGGAGGTGGTTGCGTTCTCCACAGTAAACGGGGAAGACATGGGTCACGGTGTGCTTAACAATACAGTACTGGATCATGATGGATATCGGGTAACTCGGCATCGTGCAGTTCAGTTGGTATTCGGAAGTCTTGAACACTTCACCCTCTAAACATATATATCATATAGTATATAAACAATTCAACGTCTCTCATGCATCATCTATCGCAGCAATATAACAAGCAAGAAAACAAAAGGCCACATTCACACCCGCTCACGTCAAGCAAAACGCGCCAGCAATACTCCAAAAGTTATCAAAAAAAAAGAGTAATTCTTATCAAGTTCGTGTATTAGCCATGGAAATCATATGGAAAAGGAATATGCATAAAATGGTGCCCTCGTGTCTGTAGTGTTTGGTGACCAATGTAAAAAGCTACAGGAGGTCAAGAGAGCAAAAAAGGTCGAGGCACTTTTGTTTAGAAACATAGGAAACAAAAGAGGGCTTCAATGGTCTTGATTAGAGCTGCTATTGAGCATCTGAATGGTGTTGATGACATCGGCAGGCTCTAACAAGTGCCAGCTGGCGTCGGTTTGTTTAGAGCTGGCACCAACCGTTACCGAGTAAACATGCTCTTGCGGTAGATTGAATTTTTGAAGTGCGCGGAACATATCTAAAGTAGAACAAAGACAAAGCTTGTTAGTTGAGGAATTTCAAAATCATGACTGAAATTCGTGAGGGTCCTTACCTTCATCGGTGAAGTCATCTCCCAAGCACAAGATGAATTCGGGGGCTCTCCCAGGTTCCGGGCCATATTCTTCCACCAGGTGTGTAGCAATGAAACCCTTGTTCACAAAGGTTGGGCGCACCTCCAAGTTGGCTTTACCGGCCATGACCTCAACATCCCACTTCTTGGCCACCGTTTCCTCGAGCTCCTTGCGACACTCTTGAGCTTGGAATTTGCCATATTCGGGATCAGCACGACGATAATGCCAAGTCAATGCGACTCGTTTACGCTCAATGAAAGAGCCTCCAGTTCGTTCCGTATAATGTTGAAATACATCGAAGACTTCCTTCTGCCATTCCTTAATTTCAGGACGGTCGGCCAGGTTCTTCCAGTCATCCGAACGAGGCTGGCGGATAAAGCAACCATGCTCGGCGCTGAGTCCCAGTTCAGGAATGTGGCCCATCCATTCATCCAAGAAAGCCTCGTCTCGTCCGCTGATGATCCATACCGCGTTGCGTGGGTCTGCGGATAATCTTTTAAGGGTACGGAGGACACGGTCGGACGGAATTGCAGCTTGCGGATCTTTCACAATTGGCGTCAATGTGCCATCATAGTCGAACATGAACAGACGCTTCCGTGCTTTGCGGTACTGCTTGACCAACATAGCACGGTCAAGGGCAGGCGTTGCGACGGACTGATCAAAAGAGGAGAGGTTGGTTAACAATCGGTGGAGAAATTGTCTCGACCACGCCCCAACAGTGTTTGTGACGACGTGTTTGTAGAGCTTCAGGTGTTGTTCTCGCCTTTGTGTAGGGGGCATCTTGAGTGCCTGGTCAATGGCTCCAGCAACGCCCAAAAGATCCCATGGGTTGATATGGATTGCATTCGGAAGAGTACCGGCGGTACCAGAGAACTCTGAGAGAATAAGAGGGCCGTGGTTGGTCTGCTGGCAGACGATATACTCTAGACTGGTTGTGTTCATGCCGTCACGTACAGTAGTGATAAGCCCAACATCAGCGACCCTCAACAACGCAAAATATTCGCGTTGTGACAGATACTGCGGATAATACTGAACAGGTGCAAAGCTCAGTGAGCCAAAGCGGCCATTGATCGTGGATACCAAACTAGAAATTTGGCCTGCGATCTTATTTTCTGGATCTTCCTTCTCTTCTTCCACGCTAGTGGGGCTAGTTACTTGAATAAGGACGACTTTCTCCCGCCATTCAGGGTAGCGCTCGAGGAATATCTCAAAGGCCTGTAGTTTCTGTGCCACACCACGGACACTGTCCAAACGATCGCGGCCAACGATGATTTTCCGTCCAGCATATAGTTTGCGAATACCTTCCACGGTCTTCTCGATATCAGTGGCGCCAAAAGCTGCTCTTTGAATTGAGCGTGCATCAATGCCGATTGGGAATACATCCACGGCAACATGCGCCCCATATGCATCCACCCCGGCTGAGTTCGAATCGAAGCCCAAAACGCGTGTGCAGCATGAGGAAAAGTGTCGAGAGTATGAGAATGTTTGGAATCCAATCATGTTCGCACCAAGAACACCAGTTAAAATTTCCTTGCGCTTCGCCAAACATCGCACAAACTCGCTGCTAGGGAAAGGAGAGTGGAGAAAGAACCCCACGTATATATCAGGGATGCGCTGTCGAAGAAGGCTAGGCAGGAGAAATAAGTGGTAATCGTGCACCCAAACGACATCTCCTTCATGGTAATCTTGGACGATGCGGTCGGCGAACAGCTGGTTTAATCGCACATAGTCAGTCCACCATCGTCGCTCGGAACGGCCGTCTGTAGGCCCATGTTGTTTATAGTGCAAAAGAGGATAAAGCTCCCTCTCTGCGTAGCGCCTCCATCGGCCTTGGTCTTTAAGGACAATGGTCTCTTCTGGCTCCTCGGATACGTCTGACAACCAGACCGGTAAGATTCGACCGTATCGCCCGGAAGCAAGCTGGTTGTCGAGTTTCTCTCTGTCTTCCTTTCCAACGCTGATCCCATCTACCAGCGGGTTCGATGTAGGTTGTTGGGTGGTATTCACTGGGACGGGTGCTGCGGCCTTGTTAAGCGGAACGGTTTGATTGTTCGATCCCGTTGGTAATTTATTAGCGTTGGGAGTGACCGGTTGTAAGGGAACTTTAGCGTCTAGGATGGGGTCAACTTCCCCGGCCCATCCCACAAGGGTATGTGTCCAGGGAGTTTCATCCGAGGCCAGTTGAGCAAAGGAGTCGAATAGGGCTGAGGTGCCGGATCGAGGTTTGATTGTCTATTCTCTCTCACAAGCACTGGGTCAGCTTGGCCATTCTTCAAGATCGTCACTAAGGTGAATTTTTGACACATACCCAGTCCGACCCAGCTTTGAATTGAAGCTTGTATGGAATACAAAAAGCGGCACTTATCACGCGACCACTTAGCTTTAATCCCGGGTGTTGTTTTTTCGGATCGACATCCGGCAAGTCGGGGGATTGTTCTCCCACTAAACTTAAGCGTCGCAACAGGTCTTGACCTGAGGACTCTCTTCGTTGGGTGTCTTCCGGGATCGAGGACAGATCCGATGGATCCAGCCCCTCGGTTCTCGCCCCCGGGAGGTTAGCAAAGTACGATGACCCATCATCACTGTCCATTTGGTGTTTCTTGTCGGTATCCAAGCTGGGGGTTGCATTTGTAGCATTTGTGTATGCCTCTTGTCGCTGTGCCTTCAGTCCCGAGCCCACGAGGACAGGATCTGGCTGGCCCTCGGGCACTCGTTCGGGGCTCTCTGAGTCAGACATGGTAGGTAGGTGTGATCTATTGAACTTGAGGAAGAGCAATTGAGGGTTGAAAACAAGCTACATGGTGTTAGCCATATTCCCATGGTCAAAAATTGCCAGTTCCTTGATGTCACGGAACCTTGACGTCGGTCCTGGAACAAGTTCAAACAACCGGATTTCGACATACCTTGGAAGTTATAAGAGAGGACAGGATCGACGATGACCACGATCAAGAAGCCATGAGAGAAAACTTCACAGCACCGTGCAATGAACGAAACAAAGGAAGAAAGGGTAAATAGAGTAGTCTTGGATGTACTCAGAGAATGAGGGAGAGGGGAAGTAGATAAAGTTGGAGGGGCAAGCGGTGTAAGAGGAGGTACCAATGTGGACCCGGCCCAGACCTTGGAATGGGCGTTGTTTAGTACTGATTAGTACGAGAGAGGCGCTCAGAGGGACGAGTTGTTGTAAATAAGTATAAATAGGAGTGTTTGAGGAGGGAAAGAGGGAAAAGAAGTACTTTCTTGTCCATTTGGCCGTAGTACTGTGTATGGTATATATATAGATAAATTCTGCGTCTTCAAGCACCACTCGTCTTCGAGCACCACTACTAGTCAGTACGCCGTGATCACTATGAGGTGATCACATGTACCACACTTCTTGATATTAACAGATGCAATAATATAATGTGATATAGGTATTTTTACCACTGCAGAATAGACTTCCTAATTCTACCGGGAATTAGTGCGTGAGACTGAAATTGGCTGTGACTTTGCGCCCAACGAGAGAGCGAAGGACAGTTAACGGCCTAAAACAGGTGCCTCAGACCTCAGGCCAATATCCCTGCACTTAACTAACCTAATTAACACCGTCTCGGTTGAAGATTCCTCTTTGTTCCCTCTTGCTCCCATGATCCGCTCACGGCGATGCGGTTGTCCGGCATCCAATCCACTCGCCTTTCTCACCATGTGCCCCGGCGATTCCGTCCCCTCCCCGCCCAAGATGCGGACATTGTCCCAAGTAGCCTCCGGAAAACCCTCGAGGCGCATCGCTCATCAAATCGGGCTCGTCTGATCCGCAAAGTATACCCCCGAACTCCAGCCACCGGCCTTTTGCGCCCCTGGATTCCGCTAGAAAATCGCGCAGGCTATCGTCCCCCGGAACCGTTAGGAACCCCGCTAGAAGAGTCAGAACGGTCATCCAAGAAACCCTCGGGCAAAAGGCGGACTCGAAAGCGCATACCAGAGACAAATGCTTCATCACCACAGAATACGCATATAATTCCAATTCGATATGCTGAGGATATAACGGAGCAAAATCCGTGGATTGATTTTCTTGCATCAGACTATGCTATCGGTGATGCGTCTACACACCTAGATGCGGAGATACAAGCTTTTGACCGTTACTTGACACCAACTCCACACGAGCAAGCCCCAATCTCCCAGTTGAACGACAAGATTGCCTCTTTATTAAGATCAGTGGCACCCCATCCGCCAAAACTTATCGGTTCCCACTATACAGGTCTGGCGCAGGCGCATTCGGACCTTCATTTTCTACTTCCCTTCGAAGACATTCCGCGGTCTCGACACCAACCACGCGGGCCCAGTGCTACGCGTCCGCAAATTCGAGATGCCCATACCACCTTGCTCTGTAGAGTAGAATCTACTTTGCAGAGCCATGATATGTTCAGTGGTCAGGTAAAATGGGCTGGCAAAGGCAAATCTGTTCTCGAAGCTCGGCACCAACCAACTGGATTGCTACTTCGTTTCCACTGCGGTGAGACTGTACCTGCTCTGTCAGAATATATCCGAGTTCAACTGCCCAAGTATCCTGCGCTGCGTCCCTTGTACAACAGTACACGATCTTTATTAGAATCTCGCGGTCTTTTCGGATTGACCCAAGGAAATCTCGGACCCGAGCCTCTAGCAATATTGATCCTTGCATTTCTCAAAATGAAGCAGCCTGGACTTTCTGGTTCTCATCGTCTCGGTGATCACTTCTTGGCCTTCCTAAAGTTTTACGGCAGTGATATAAACCTTCAGTCGAGTGGTATTGCTGTCGAACCTTCAGGAGTCTTTGGCGCTGATATCTTGCGTCATTCCTCCCCAGGGGAGGACACTGAACCTGCCCACCGCCGTGGTCAGCGGTCTCTCATTGGTGCAAAACGAACTGCATCTGCGAAAGGGAACTCCCCTGCGGATCGAAGATTGTGTATTCAAGACCCCACTCAATATATGAATGATCTGGGTCGATCGTGTACCCGTACACCAGAGTTACAGCAGGTCTTGAGTACAGCATACGAGCGGCTTAGCTATGCATGTGATACTTGGGAAGGACGTGATATGCATGGCTCGATTCTGACTGCTGCCATTCAAGCAAATTTTGATGGCCTGGTGGCGTTGCGGAAACGGTTGGTATGTCCGGTGGACTAAGTCTACAGGAGAGACCAAGGTGATTAATCAAAAAAAAACCTGGATCTAGATAATGATACCCTGTATTTTATGTATTACATAGCACTATAGCACTACCTCTTCTCTTGAGAGCTGTCTAGCATATAGCGGCAACGGCCAAAGCTCGCTTTCAATTTATAAGGGACATCCACCCCCCTTATACAGATACTACGGGGGACCACAGCGGTCACAGGGATATAACCCCATCTTAGCCAATTTGAGACCGGCAGAGAACTACCATACCTCAAGTGCTGCACATGTGTCATACAGCAACACCCCTATAGACCGTGGGACCCTTGATATCACAAAGTAAGCTTCAACCCCAGTACTATCTTAAGAACCATATATCTTCAAGATATAATCTTTTTTTCTGCAGAATATGAGATTCGGGTTCAAGAGGCCGGTACACACGATGTAACCCTCACTATTACATGCTGGGTTGACCTGGGACCTGGGCCGAGCCCAGAAGACTCACGGTGGAGATCTCATCTTTTACTAGAGCGAAGGACAGTCGACACTTCTGATATCGTCCTTAATCCTCGCCAACGGTTCGAACAGGCTCCGGAAGAGAGTGGTAGTAATACATCAGCCGAGGAGCCGTATCACCGGAATATGTCTTGGTTGCAAGTGCCCAGGTGCAGAGATATAGGAATAAGATGAGAACAGTTGGGATCTCTCTTGGGCCACCAACTGTGATTTTGACTGAGGAAAGGAAAAACTAGATCGGGATTGCTGTATTATCTAGTAGCAGTTGCATTACCCGCATTATTGTGATCATTAACAGTGTTCTATTTCCCATGTACCGGCGGCATTCATTGTAAGCTTCTTATTATCTAGCAGACTTCCAAGTTCAAGGTTACCTAAGTGTACCTACTAGTACCTATGTACCTGTGTAGGAAGACGTGTAGGTACATGGGTACGCTTTGCTGCCAGGCACGACAGCGACAGTGACAGCGACCCAACGAAACAATAGTGAGTCTGTTAGCTTGGGCTCGAACATCTCTAGATCCTTGAAAAATTTCAAAATGATTTAATTAATTCTATTAAAAGCGCTTGATTTTATTGTATACGGCCACAAACGCCCGCATAGTTGCTAGCCTGTAGCAACCAGCTGAAACTGGCCCGCCTTTGAAAACGTAGAGAAGACCGCAATAAATCAACCACGACAATGGCGCCGAAGAAAACAATGATGCAGGCAAAAAGAGTACAGAGAAAGGAAATGTTAGGCAAAAAAGGGTTGGTCTTCTGAATATGACAAGGCGGGAGAGACGCTGTTCCAGGGCGAAACGGGAAGAAAGATCAATTGCTGTGTAATTGTTAGTTTCAATGTCGAACCTAGGATATATGAGGAGTATAGGGGAACCTACTAAATTTCCAATGGTGAGATCTGATCCAAGGCATAAAGCCAATTGCCTCCTTGTTCTTCTTTTTCGAGCCTGTAGATTGATTTATTAGCACAATCCTTTGAGAAACAGGAAAGATAGGAGAGCATACCAGTCATATGGCCAGAGGATAAGGTGACCTTGGGTCTTGTTCAGAAGATCTTCCGCGCGCTGGCTGTCCATAACTTCATCCGCGGCATGGAATTCCCTCTTGGAGCCAATGGTGGTTCCTCTGCGTCTACGTCTCCGGGATTGGGATGCATTGAGATTTAACGCATCGGAGTAGTCAACCTGCGCTGAACCTGCGCGAGGTCTGTCGAGGTCGTCTCCAGGGGTAGGGTTATCATCGCCCTGCCCACTTTGTACATTACCCAGCAGCTGTGGATCAGATGCTATCCTGATACGAGACTTCTCGTCATTGGAGGCCGCGGGTTCCTGTTGCGTGGGCTCAGATTGGGGTTGATCGCCATAATTTCTGATAGCATCTGATGCGCGCAACTCTGCTTTCTCATCAATGGTTTGAGGGGTCTTGGGTTCGGCCGTCTCGGTCCTGGGGCTGACAAGGGATGTCGGCGAATTAACCGGGCCACCAGCTCCAGAATTACCGGCCTGCCGTTGGGTGGGTGGGTTTGATGGTTTGTTGCTTTTTGAGCTTTGCATCTCTGCAAAACGCTCACCATACGCTGCGTATTCTTTGTATTCTTTCCAGTTTTTGACCTCACTATCAGGCATGCACCGGAAGACAGATCGGTAAATTTTCGTATTTTGCTCGGCAACTGCTTGCCAGGTATCCAGGTAGAACACATCATTCACAGGGTCTCTCATGCAGTCTTTGTCAATGTAAACATGCTTCAGATCTGGGGCAAAGGGGTGCACAAATCGTGAAGCGTCCTGGGCTTCCTTCGGGTTACCAGCACCGGACTCCGATTCGCGGCTTGATGATTCAGAGACACCGTGGCCATGACGTTGTGTATCTGAGCTACCATTGGCCTCGGAGTCGCGAGAAGTCTCAGTTGAAGGCACATTCTTTGCATCCTTCCGAGTCGACTTGGCCCGCGATGGCTTTTGTGGCGAAGATGACTTTGGTTGCTCAATGCTACCCTTACCTTCAGACAGAACTGGCGATAGAAGAGACTCTCTCCCAACAGGTGACATTTGGGAATCACGGGATTTTCCAAGGCCTGCTTGCTCCGCAGCTTTCAGATTGTCAATACCTTCACCATTCACATCTTTCCGATGCTCGGAATTGTCCGTTACCCGGGGATCGGTGGTCACCCTTCGGTTACTCTTGAGGTTTGGATTATTGCCTTGCTCCCAGTCAACATCATGGTTGAAGCTGTACATATCTTCAGAGCGGGACAAGAATTCGTCCTGGACGCGATGTCGCCGTTCCATCATCTCCCGCTCATCCCGTCGATCAATGATTGACGCTTCAGATTCGCGCTGGTGTCGTTCATTGGTTGGCTGAGATCCCTCTTCAACATCCTGAATCTTGCGTAGCTCTTCTTCGGTAGCCAAATCGTGCTCCAAGATCTCGTCAACATCAATTCCAAGATGCTCCCGCATCAGTCGCATGCGAAGAGTGTGCGGGAACCTTCCGACAAGATATGGCTTGCCATTCATAGTGGAGGTGATCATATCGGTATCACGCACGACGGCTGCAACCTCCGAATCACGCGAGCCTAACATGGAACGTTCGTTAATGTTTGCTGATCCAATGATGGCGGCTCGATCATCGACAACCATGCACTTAGCATGAATGTAAAGTTGCTCGGTGACCAGCTGTTTCTGTGGCCCGATTTTACCCCACGTTCGTAAGCTGTAGAATTGAATATAGTCCTCTGGGTCGATACCAAGTGCTCGGAGACGGCCAAAGATCGATGTCTCGCCACGACAGATACTGCGGTATTGACATTGCATAATAAGACGCACACTGGTTCCTCCCTCGCTATCGACGGTATTCTGGAAACCTGGCATCAAGGGAATAACAATGACGGCCCGCCATACCTCGCCCTTCTTTGCTGCACGCACAATTCGCTCCACCAAGGAATCGCCAATCAAATTCTCAATCTTCCTACCATCAATTTCGCAGGTACTGATGAAGAACTGATTTTCGATGTAAACAAAGTGCTCGGATTCTTCGATGAGTTTGACATAGGCATTCATAATGCTATGTTCGGTGACATCTGGTGTTCCAGTGGACCACATGCTACTGGATCGCAGAATCTGTACTTCACATGTTCCATCCAGGCCCAAAGCTTCCAGGTCAGCTGGATTGAAATCTGGAGGAGGGAGAAGGAATGGCGTAGGACGAGTGGGTTTACGTTGGCGAAGAATATAATTCCATCGTTGAACGAAATGGCGAGTAAGATCACGAGCAGGCTGGCCGACTACATGCATCGAAATATCATGCCAAGGCATGCGTGGAACAACATTTCGATCATACATTTCCTCGTATGGCTTATCCAAATCATAGAAATCTTGGATACGGGGATTTGAGTAATCTTTGCCGGGCCACAACTGGCAATTATCGGCGTCTTTGTGCATATCAGCGGTTTCAAAACCAGTGGGTTTGTCATCAGTCAGTAGATGCTGAGGCGTATCCCATCGCCCAAAGCACAGATCAATTCCTCCAACGAAAGCGATTGTGTGATCAATGAGACAAAGTTTCTCATGATGAGCCCAGAAGAACGTGTTTTGACGGAATTGGTTCGGAGATCGTTGAACAAAAACGTTGGGGTGTAGCTCAAGGAGTGAGAATTTGGAGTATTCGGAGTCAATAGGAATGGCGGAGTTGATGTTGCGATACATGATGACAAAGATCTTCACACCTTCGCGAGCCTTTGCCTGCAGCAGACGGTCTAGTCGCCATTTCTGACTGATGGCAGCTGGTCGTCGCATGTACAGTTCTGGACTTAACCACCAGTCATGGATGTAAATCACATCCTTGGCCTGATTGATCGCTCTGGACACGACCCACATATGATCTCGTGCATCAACCAGCCACTGCGCAAAACACTTTTGCCGTACTGGAGCGTAACTGTCGAACCGATTTGGACGCATCCATGGTGTATTCTGTGCCATGAATCTGATGGACTCTTCAAATTGTTGAAGTTGACGTTCATTTCGGGCGAGTAGTTTCAATTTGCGCTCGGAGTTTTCAAGCCTTAGTGTGTGGTGTTGAGGGTGTCTAGCTGATTGCTTCGCGGATTTCGCTAACTCCTTTGCTTTTTGGGTGCGGATGCTGACCTTGGGAGTTTGGACCTTAAAATGAGAGTCCACGAGGAAGACATCGTAGATGTTCATCTCCTCTGGCGAATCCACACAAACCACGTAACTATGTCGGACGAGGAACCACTTAGGCCAGTGTCGCTTCTTGACAAGAGACGGATTGAGGGCTCTTCGGAAGTCCAATCCCTTCGAAGACTGGATAATTAAGAATCCCTCCTTGCCGTGGTAGCTCCCTTCTGCAGCAAGGCGAACTCCAAGAGCAGATAGCTCCAGGAACTTACATAGACGGTTACTGTCTGCTCGGAAGATCAGGAAGCGAATCATCTTTTGCAGATACATCTCGAGCTTCTTCCGTTGTCGCTCTGGATATGTTTCCCTTTTGCCACCGGGCGTTCCCTCGTGCGTAGAAGAAGGACCTGCAACAGATTCACCTTCAGGGGCATTCGTAAGACTAGACTTTCGACGGGCAAGAGGACCTGAAGACGACCGGCGTTGCTGTTGTTGCTGGCCCTGTTTCTTCTTTTTGCCGGGTCTTTCAGTGCCACTCATCGGCTCGGGACCTGTCTCATATCCCCCTTCTTCATCTTCGTCCTCAAACTCACTTTCCAGCCCTCGGACTCCACGCAGGTAGGGAAATGCACTCCTCGGGAAACGAGGAAGGCTGGGGCTATTTTCGCTTGTTCGCAGCTGGATGTACTTTTGGGTTCCAAGATGAAGCTTGTACTTCAAGTGTAGGTTGGCGAAATCTCTTAAGGTTCGGAAGATGATCCATTTCATTCGAGTCATGCCACTGCCGTACTCCAACTCAATGCGAAAGACAAGGTGACGATCGCCAGAGCCACCATCAATTCGACTGTCCGTGACCCGGACCTTCAGCTGTTCCAACAGGATCGGGATCCGTTTGCTTCCGTGTTCATCTCGCTGGAAAAAACTGGCCAGAATGAGGGCCGCTGGTACAGCAGAGGCTAATTCGGCAAGAAGCTCTGCCGACTTCTTGTTGTCTACCGAGGTATCGACCTTGCGCCGTCCACCGATAAGCTTGAACCCAGCTTTGATCTGTTTCCATCGTTGGGCGCCAGCACTGGTACCGCGTTCGTTACGATGGCGCTTCCAGGTGGCCGCGAGGCTTTCGGCATTGTCCGAGGGGCCAGCAAGATTAGTCAATCGCCTTAAATGACTCGGACGTGGTTCATCTTGATTCTCGTCAGGCTGCCGTCCAATATATGACATCGCACGATTTCCAGCCCATCCACTCTTCTTCCGTCGGTTGAGCCTCTCGCGACCTTCGTCCTCCGACACACCTTCTCGTGCCTGGGGAGTGAAATCAGTAGTACTAGCTCTCCTAGGAAAGATGTTCTGGCGATAGTTTTCGAATGGAGCGAATGAAGAGGAGAAGTGAAAGGAAGGTCGGCGGCCAGTTTTGGGCGTTGTAGGTGCAGTTCGATTGCCGGACTCCTCTTCTGGACCACGAGTGCGTCGTAAAATCTTCTTTCTTTTGGGACGGTCCGCCTGTTCCGCCCCACTCTCTTCTGCGTCTGCCTCAATATCGCTTCCTTCCTCTGGCAATGGTTCGGGAAAGCGAAATTCACCCCGCTCGGAGCCGGGTGTAACTTGATCTGGAGGAGGTGGCCGAAAATCGATCGCACTTCCGCTGGTTGATCGCCCATGGGACGTAAACGAGGATTTGAGTTTCGTTATGAACGATCTTCCTCTCGCTGTTTGTTCTCCATCATCGCCGTGTACTGAGGTGGGCCGAGATTGGGGACGGGACTGAGGTAGGTCCGCGTTTTCGGTATCAGTTTCACGAAACTGGACGCTGGGAGCGCGAGAGGGGGGAGACATCCCGGTGGCAGATGATTGAGGTTGGTGACGACTCATTGATGGCGGGTTGTCCTCGGTGGTCCTGTTCGGTAGCCGGGTGTTCATGGATGGCTTCTCCTTGGGCGAACCATGCTGGGTTGAGGTGGAGCGGAAGTCTTTGGTCTGGGCGGCAAATTGGGGTTCCTGAGACAGTTCATGATTATTGAAGCTCTGATTCTCATCAGTTTTATCCGATCTTTGGGCCTGTTTGAATGACGCGGGTCGTTTGGCTTCCGTAGGGGAGGGGAATGGTGATGCCAATTTTGGTGCATTGAAGGTTGAAATGGGCTCGGGTTTTTTGGATTGGTCTATTCCGGAGGCCTGGCTAGCCTCTTTTGCTGAGGAGGCCAACACTGCGTCGGTCATGCTGCTATGGGGAGGTGATCATCAGCTTGCAGCTCCTGGTGGACACACCCTTCAAAATTGTGGGATTGGCATACATTGCGGGATGGATTGAGACCCTCTCATGAAGAATCCAGTCTTCTAGGCTGGCATGCCAACTGAGGGAGGCTCGACGACAATGGACTAAGGGTTAAAACCGGGAAAGTAGTCCGTCTATTTTCAAGAAACTGTTGACATTGAAAGGAGTGTGAGTCGTCCAAATAGGTCGCAACTGTGGTGGAGCTCCGACCCGTCAAAAGAATGCCTCCGACTGGAGAGGACCCGCCAAGCTAGCCAAGAAATGGGCAATGGAAAAAAGTGTAAAAGGGGGAAAGGGGTTTTTAGGGGGGGATGAACAGAGTCTCGGAATTGGTAGATTGGAGGGGATCAAGGCAAATGACTTATGAGTCTCACCTTGAGACCGTCAACTGGTACCAAGATGAAGTTTGTTTCATCCCAGGTTCCAAGCTTGTCGCGTTTGTTTTTTGCCTGATTCGGTGCATCGCGGCCTTAGGTGTAGGTCACGTGGCCACATGGCCACAAGGTACAGTATGAAGTGCATGAACATACATTAGTATATAGAGTAAAATAGTATTTCAAGGTTGATCTGTTCAATTTAGTGAACATAAATCTGAGATTGAATCATAGAACGATATGTGTAAACAACATCATCATATTACTCCGTATGTAAACTCAAAGACTCGACCTCGGTTCGTGGTCTATACCCGAGTCGCCTGTACAAGAATCCAATTGTTCCCCGCGTCACAACTTTGTCCGCTCGGGATTTACATGCAGCCCATTGCACAACATATCATATTGCTTTTTCCATTTCTTTGTTCGATTTTTCGATTTTCTCAATTTCTCTCTCACCTTACTAAAACTCACCGTCACCTGCCATAATGACCGACCCATTGAAGACTCTAGATGCAGGTCGGCCGAAGCCGGTCACCGTGTCGCGCAACGTTTATGCGATTGCTGGTATTTCCGTCGCAGTGTTTGGTTTGGAGGAATTGGATACACAGGCCTCAGAGGTGGCCTGTCTCTGGCTGCTACATCCTCGTCTGGCAACTCAAGAGCGCATGGTGGATATCGCTGCTACGACCATCACCGATTGGAATACCAAAATTACGGATACTCCGACGGCCAAGGGTCTCATTGCTGTTTCCTTTGATCAGCGGAATCATGGCACAAGAATGGTGGATCCACTTGCAAATGAGGCTTGGAGACAAGGCAACCCGCGCCATGCACAGGATATGTTCTCTATCTTCCGTACGCTACTCTTATACATAAAGAACTCCGCACCCTTGATGTGATATTCTAACTCAATTGACTGGTATAGAGGGAACTGCGCGGGATACATCCTTGTTGATGGACTACCTACCTGCTTATATCTTCCCAAATGGAGAAAACAAGATTTCCGAGAACCTTGTTCTGGGTGTCTCTCTCGGTGGACATGCCGCCTGGAGCTGTCTATTGCATGAACCCCGGGTAACGGCAGGCGTTGTCATTATCGGGTGTCCCGATTATCTCAATCTCATGGTTGATCGTGCGCGACTGTCAAAACTGCCCTCATGGACAAAGAGTAACCCGCCAGGGTCGGAAATTATCGGTTCTGAAGCTATGCCCACTTCGTTCGTGGATATTGTCAAACAGTATGATCCTGCGAGTCTCTTTCTCAGCTACGTGAAGAGTGCCCCAGGTCCACTTCGCGATGGTGCATTGCCCGAGCCCACAGAACAAGAAAAGCAAGAGCTTCGACCTGTTTTAACACGATGCCTGGGTGGTAAGCGTATTTTGAACCTGTCTGGTGGTATCGATAAGCTTGTGCCGTATCATCGGGGTGAGTCTTTCCTCGGGTGGTTCAAGAGTGCAATTTCGCCTGAGGGATGGTTTGGAGATGGTGCTGTTTCGTTCGAGGATATTATTGATCAGTCTGCGGGCCATGAGGTGACTCCTAAGATGGTTGATGAGGCTACCCGATTTATCAGCGAAACGTTAGCACTCAATGGAGAAGAGCGGAAAAGCGCTGTCAGGGAATCAAAGATCTAGATCAGATAAAGTTTACGAAACAGGCAAAATGGAACAATGACATGACACAGAGGTGACAATTTTGCTTGCAGGTTTACATCGATGGTCTACGTAGGGTCACACCAATCACGGAATTCAGATAGTTCGTAATGTGACATCCATAGATCCCGGGGTTCACAGCCGTAAGTTTGTTCCGAGTATGATTCCTTACAGCGTAATATGATGGTCTTAGTATCACACTGCAGGGTCGGATTTGTACATCCCAGGCACTGCACATACAGACCAAGGCAAGCAGTCAAGTTAAAACATCAAGTAAACGGCACACGCAAAGTTTGAAAAATCCTCCTTGTGGTATTTGTTTAACACAATGTGAAATCGTAAGGGCATTCGGAGGCCATGCTATGCTACTTTTGCATACACAAAAACCCTTTTTCTTTTCGGAACACCAAAGCCAACCATCTAGACTCGTGGCGCCCTTTTTTTTCTTGAGTTCCGATCGTCCTCCTCACTTGCAGAAAGACTTTGATCCTCCACTTTAAGACCGAACACAGCTAGGTTCTGCGATTTGCCCCGATTCACCCGCCTTTCTCCAAAATAAAACACCCGAATCAACGCTTATGCGACCAACTCACAGACACCACCGGCCTCCTTGATCTTTTGCTCGGCGTCGCGGCTGAAGTAACGGGCACGGACGACGACGGGGACCTGGGGGAGACGGCCCTTTCCAAGGACCTTGGAGTAGCCGAGGGGAAGGAGGTCGATGACGGGGGCGGTGTCGGTCTTCTGGCCGCTCACGTAGGCGTCACGCTTCTCGGCGGGGACGAGGGACCACAGCTATATCAAAGAAAAATTTCGAGTTAGCCCTTTGACTCAATTTCAATGGCGATATTTCCTATTCCGTTCATTCCAATTGTCGTTGAACCCAGGGGGCAGATTTCCATATCCAGCTGCTATCCTCAAATAAGACCACACCCACACACACATGCACATATGAAAATCTTCCCTCTACAGGTTCTCTTCCATTGAAATGATCGGATTCGCTTCGATTGAGGTCACGTACCTTGTCGAGGTTGATGGTGGGCTTCCAGAACTGCTGCTTGGTCTTGTGGAAGTAACGCATACCGACCTTACCGAAGTAACCGGGGTGGTACTTGTCAATGTTGGTGCGGTGGTGGTGTTGACCACCGGCCATACCACGACCACCGGGGCTCTTGCGGTGCTTTCCGACACGACCGTAACCGGCGGACACATGGCCGCGGCTGTGAAGAGAATAAAACGTTAGTAAATTGTTGATATAGAGCGGTTTTTGAAGATGAAGATTTGTAGCGATGCGACGATGTTGAATTTTCGCTTAAATCGCGGATCAAAGTGTTCGGGAGATTGGGAATATCAACAGGAGGGCGACTCACTGCTTCCGGGTGTTCGAGAAACGAGTAGGCATCTTGTCGACCGGTTCGAGAGTTTGGCGTTGAAGGGGGAAGGGTCGTGGATACCTCCGGCTCTGATGTTGAAATCCACGCTCGCGCCGGCTAGAGTGTGCGCTAGCACTTCGCTTGTCCCGTGATAGGGTCAAACCCTCACTCGGGGGCTGGTACGGTCACGTGTAGCCGATGACTAAAAATTATTTTATTCGTGATTACGTAAATCCAGCCCTGCCCGTGCCAAGACTCAGCCGCCGTTCCAAGCCTTCTTTCTTATAGAGAGTTGCGGTTGTTCCCGAGCTTCCTTTAGTTGCAGGCGGTGAAACTGTTTACTATACAGCTATTCCTATAGGGCTCACTGTTATACTCCGTTACTGCTGCTGTTCCCGCGCAGAAGTACTACCACAAAATCGGCATACCATTCGAGGCTTTAGGATATTAGGTATTCATAGTTTCATTGCACATTTCATTTTCTTGTTTGTCATTAATGACTTTAATCCTAGTGAACATAATACATTTATTCTTATGACTTCTCCGCAAAAAACTTGGAGATCCGTTGTACAGTCATTTGGGCGGGTCGTGGAGATGAGGAGGTCACTAGACTTCCTTGGATCCAGCCTGGTAACTTGCTCTGGATGCGTGGTGTATCGTAGCGTCGGTCAATCATGATGATAGCTGCATAATCATTCACGTGTCGAATAGCTCGTCCAATACACTGATTGACGGCTCGCATACATGAGTTCTCATAGAAGTCTTTGCCTGCAGCCGAGGCAGTGGCCTTTCTTTCAGACTCTGTTCCTGATCCCTGCTTGTAGGTTTTCTCTTCGATGTACTTAATCTTTGCCTGCCAGACAGCGCTGCGAATGTTGGGGAAGGGCAGCCCAATGATAAATACACCTCTTCCTAATCGGTCTGAGAAATTGATACCCTCTGACAACTTTCCACCGACTACGGATAAAAGCAAAGCTCCAGATCCTGATTCGACAGCTTGGGTATACTCTTGAAGTAGCGTGTCGGTTGTCACGACCGCGTCGCGATATTCATAGAGAAGCTTCTTTTTCCCTTCGATTAGGCCGATAATGGTCTGGCCATTGCCGTTGGGAATGGGTTTCTGCCAGACGCTCAATACCTGACTTAGATAGTCATAACTTGGGAAGAATGCCACCACTCCGTCGGGAATAATCTGACATAGTGTGGCTATTGTTCGACCGAGATCGGTGATCTATATCGCGATATGTCAGTAAAGTTAGTCTGTCAAATCTACCGAGATACGAAGCCGTGACACATACCATCTTCTCGGATCCCCGAGACTCGTAGGTAAAGTCAAATTCAGAGCCCAGTATTCCCCGGGTTAATGACTGTGCAACCAAATTTGTATGTGAAATGACGTGGCCATAACTGAATGTACCAAGTCGCTCAGGGGTCACATATGAGAACAAGTGGTTTGAATAATCGGACATCTAGGAGTTGGAGTATGTTAGTGAAATGGAAGGTAAAGTATCAGTTGTAGAGAAACGTACCGGAGACATTGTCCCACCGGCCAGTATTACTGCCCGAGCATCTTCTACAATTTCCCGGAAGTGATTGGTAGGGTCAAGAAGCATGTATTTTAATTGGACATCATCCTGAACCCTTTGGTAAAAGAGTCTGCCTTCCTCTGAAGGATTCATCAGGGGCAGCAGAAAGCTTTGAATATGAAAAAGCACGGGCATGGTCGTCTTGCTTCTTTGTATTGGTAGCGTTTGTTGTGATTTTTCTGACGAGTCAACATAGCCATCCACTTTGCGAGCCAGCTTACTTTCTTGTAAATACCGTGCTAGCTTGTAAGGATTAATTTGGTCCACTCCCTTGCCAGACATAAGATCTGAAAACTGGACAGACCCTTCCGGCGGTCCTTTCTGCTGGGAGATTCCTTGAAGATGGCTGGCAATAGAATTGATTAATCTTATAACCTGTGCGACGTAGCTTCTGTTTTTGCCTTTCAATCGATTTTTGAATTTGCGAGCATATATTGTCAACTGGGTGATAGCAGTTTGCAATTGACGCAAGGAGACGGTTACTGAGTGAATCCCCGCGATTGCATCCATGAGATTGTGAGCCTCATCGATAATGACCACATGATCTTTGACGGATAGATTTAAGGCCTCTCGGGCAGATCTTTGGAGTAGCAATGGATACGGAAGAGTTATGATCTATAAATATTTGTTAGCTGTTGCATCTCGTGACTAGGCAAATCACTAGACCTCACCTCGCTGTGCTTGATGACCGAGCGGGAGGCATAGTAGGGACAGATGCCAATTTGCTGTCCTACTTTGCCTATGTCCTCAATGTCTTTTACTGTGGCTAGCGCATGGTCTCGGAATTGAAGTATCAAAGCTTCGTCCTCTTTCGAGGGCAGGTAAGAACATTTTTTGTCGGCCGCCACGCCAGATTGCTGCAAGTCCAAACATCGCTCGTTGATGGCGGTGCTGTTTTCCAAGGCCTTCACCTTGGAGTTGATGCAAAGATTCTTTCTAGATCCCAGGGAAAGATGTTTGATCCGCTCTTCCAGTTGAGAGAGGTCATCTTTTTTGTCCGACTCGGGATCATTGGGAACGCTTGACGGAAATGATACTCGTTGTAGCTCGCCAGCAAATTGACTCAATTGCGAGTGTGTTCGCGAGCAGTAGAAGATTTTGACTGTATCATCTTCATCGTCATCTTGTTTTTGATTAGATATTTTCCCTTTGAAACGATCTAGTAATGCTAGAGTGCTGGCAGAGAGGCCATCAACCCCAGTCGAGTCTCCAGAGCCAGGCTTTTTCTCTTCTGTCTCGCTGTCATAGTCGTCCAGGAAAAATTGGTTCTCATCTTGGTCTTTCTCTGCTGACTTTGGCTCATCTATACGCTAGAGGAACTGTGAGCACCATGATAAGCCAGAATGTATATCCCGAGGTCATATACATACCTGCTTCTTGCGTGGCCATTCCTGATTTCCTTGGGCTTGTTTTAGACGGTCTTCTTCTTGTTTGATTTTGGCGAGTCGGGCTTCAAACTCTTGTCTTTTCTCTGCAATGGCACGTCTCGAGTCGCGTTTGGCGAATTCGGTCATCCATTCTGGCTCATCATCGTCACCTAATTTACATTAGATTACAATGAAGGGGGGGACTGATATTGGAATATTTGGAATATGCAATTTCCTTACCTGCTGCTTGATCCAGTGTCTGTTGAAATGCCTTTCGCTTGTGATCTCGAAGCCAAGTCAAGGAAGCACAGATCAAGCTCAGTGATTTACCCTAGCTCCATGAAATAGTTAGTTAGCGTCACCTTCCTTGTCTTTTTCAATAATTTCTTTTTTTGCCTTTTGGGCTGCAAGACATTGACTCGGAGCGCGGCCTAATTGTGGCGCATGAACCGAGTTCCTGGGGCGATGCTTTGCCGAGTGGAGCACATACGGTACCTGAGAGTCATTTCAGGGTCAGCATTTAGGGTGACAACTGGGGGCGGTCTTTTTACCGGTGGGAGACTCAAAGATTCCGACTTTTCCGTCTTCCAGGCAACCGTACAAGGATTGCATAAACTGGGTCTGGATGTCATATGGAGTAAACGGATGATGGAAGTCCATTAGTTGGGGTGAATCCTGACCATCCTGATTCTCCATGATGGGGGGAATTCTGGAAGAATGACGGAAGGGATAAGAGAGAAAACAGCAACGGAGCCTCCGTTAACGTTGTTTGTTACTGTACAGATACGGTACCCCCACACTTGAGTCCATTGAACCACTGTTTAACTTATCCTACACTTTAGTCACACTGGAGAATATACTTGGTAGTAGTCGGTTCGCTCCAGGTCATATGGATGTATATAGTTATTATTATTATACTCCTGTTTAATATGGTATACTGAATTACCATCTCCCATTCTCCCCATCTCGATCTATATAAGAATGAGATCAGCCTGGGGCGGGGCTGAGTTAGAATGTGAGATGTGAAACTGCTATTTATATGTACTAGATACTAGATACTAGGTATTTATATTAAACCACACGAGCCAGTAAATCAAATCCTTAATTTGGATTCTTCCCCTTTTCCCCATATATTCTTCCGTGTATAAGAGAAACAGAAACAAAAAGAAACAAAAGTGGGTTTGGTTCTCCGCTTGGTTCCCCCTCCTCTTCCTTCACCCAAACTTTTTTTGACTGTAATAATTGGGTTTCCGACTATTTCCTTTACAAACATTTTGAAAGCCACCCAGTTTCCTCCATCCTTCTTGATTCCCCAGAGTTGAATGATCCAAACCGAAAGCGCCCCCCCCCACTCCCCCCAGAAAGGCTCCGGTGCTTTTTGACCCCTCCAGGATCTAATTTATCTAAATTACTACTACTTTACGCGGGATGAACAGACCGCCGCAGGGCCGTGGTCAGTCACGGGTGGGTGCGACTTGGTATCCAGGGGGCCAAGATGACTTCTACATACCAGAGGTCATCTCCCCCTCCCCTCAAAGGTACGTACGGTCGCATACACTTTTTCATACCCTTTTCATGTGTAATTTCATATCCCAAAATGCCCAGAGTACGTGTACTAATTCATCCCGGCAGGGTAATGCCTGAAGTCCCCGAAAACATGCAGGACAATATCGCGCAGTTGGAGCACCATGCTCGTGAACCCCGCCGGATCCCACAGCAGCAGCAACAGCAGCAGCAACAGGGACCGCCACCAGCTCAGTACCGCGCCCAATATCCGGAGCGTACCTCCTCCGCCGCTCCCACGCAACCCCAACAACAGGCTCAGGCTTATGACTATGGCGCCTACGCCCAGTCCGCGACTTATGACAGCATGGATCACCCCAACTTCTCACCTTTCCCCGTACTGCGGAATCCACCCTCAAATGTCCCGCCAACCGACGAGCAGCGTGAAGCTAATCTAGAGCGCGCTCGGATGGCAGTTTTGTCAACAACTGATCCGGAGATGCAATTGGCATGGGCTCAGGATGCCTTGACCTATGTGGAAGTGGCGGCACAGAACGAAGCTCGTCTTTCACTCACACAGCCCCCGCGACCGCATACCCCTCAGGTGGAACGCCAATTGAAGACCGATGCGATGAATATCGTTAGTTTCCTTGCCGAGCAACACCACCCTAAAGCCGAGTTCATTAAGGGAATGTGGCTAGAGTTTGGCAAGTTCGGTCATCGGGTAGACCGGAAAGAAGCCTTCCGATGTTACTCTCGAGCTGCCGAGAAGGGCTATGCGCGCGCCGAGTACCGCATTGGTATGCAATTCGAAAGCTCAGGAGAACCCGAGAAGGCAACTAGACACTATGAGCGCGGTGTCGCGAGGTCGGATTCTGCCTCATACTATGTATGTCTCTGAATCTTTCTACTATTCATTCTTGATACGTTTGTCAAATTAACTGTTGTCTCCTCTTCTTTCTTAGCGGTTGGGAATGATGATTCTACTCGGTCAGCATGGCCAACGTCAGGATTTCCCAAGAGGGTTGGAGTACATCCGACAGGCATCGCAGTCATGCGATCAGAATGCTCCACAGGGCGCCTATGTGAGTTCTTCCATGTTTCGGTTTTGATTTTATTTGGCATGTCTGGGATGGTGCTCATATTCACGATCCAGGTCTATGGTATGCTTCTTGCCCGAGAGCTTCCCCAAGTGAGCGTACCTGAATCATTTCTTCCTCTTGATCTCAACACCTCTCGCGTAAATATTGAAAAAGCTGCATACCACGGATTCGCCAAAGCTCAAGTGAAGATGGGCGCTGCGTATGAGCTGTGCCAACTGGGCTGTGACTTCAACCCGGCGCTGTCTCTGCATTACAATGCCCTAGCAGCTCGCCAGGGTGAGCCCGAGGCAGAAATGGCCATTAGTAAATGGTTTCTCTGCGGACATGAAGGCGTGTTTGAGAAGAATGATGAGCTTGCATTCACCTACGCTCAGCGAGCTGCCCAAAGTGGTCTTCCCACTGCCGAATTTGCCTTGGGATACTTCTATGAAGTTGGTATCTTCGTTCCTGTCGACATCAAAGAAGCTCGAAGCTGGTACGCAAAGGCTGCCAATAGCGGTAACAAAGATGCATCTGGCCGAATCGACAGTATTTCTCGTTCCAAGACTCTTTCCAGGAAGGATCACGAGAAGGTTGCTATCTCCCGTATCAAGTCCACCCGATATGTGGCACACCAGCGTGGTAACTCTATGGACCCAACTCCGGAGAACATCGAGATGCCTGATCCTTCAAGAATGACTCTGTCCGACCAACCCCCCGCTGCAGCTCCTTACCCTGATCGATCGACTCCTCGTCCTCGACCCGGTCCCGGCGGCCACCCAGGTTATCAACTGACTGATTCTCGGCCAAGCTCTGCATTCGGTGTCAACCCCAACCTACGTACGAATGTCCCGCCAGGCGGTTACGGTGGCCCACCAGGAGGCCCTGGCTCTCGAAGCCCATCTTATGGGCCAGGTCAGGGTCCCCCAGGCCAGATGAACTATCGACAGCCCGGTCCTGTTACCCCCGTAAGCGCACCAGCGGGACCTATGAGCCCTCAGGCTGCGAATATGATCAGTCCGAATGGAACACCCCGAGTGGATATCGGATACTCTGCGCCAATTCCCCCGCCGGGTGACCGAAGACGCCCCACACGACTTGATGCGATGCCTCCAGACCGCAAGCTGATCCGCACCCCTGTCGGTGGTCACCCTGGGCCATTGCCTTCGCCTCGCACTGCAGCATCCCCTCGGACAGCCAGCTCCCCATCTTCTGGCACGTTTCCCCCCCGCGCGGAATCCCGCCAGCCATCTCGGGGCTCGGCATCCTCTACTCCTCAGCCCCCATCTAGTGCTTCATCCCAGAAGCCTACACCAGCTCCATCCAAGGGCCCCAAGACCTTTGAAGAAATGGGCGTGCCAAGTGCCAAAAATGATAGTGATTGTGTATGTATCCCTGCAACTCTGTGATCTCTGATTCTCGAAGCTAATTATCCTTCCAGCTGGTGATGTGATACCCCGAACGGCATTATGAACTTCCTCTCATCCATGGATCTTCGAGTATTTCCATGTCTTCTGCATTTCGCATTATTTTATATTCTTTAATCCCGGGGTTTAAAAAATCCATTTTTGCCTTACTGGAAGCGACATGCTTTCATCTTGATTCCGTCTCCCCCATTTCCTCTTACATACTTGCATTTACACTCAGGATACCATGGTTGCCTGGGATTTTTGGACATATGACTGTTCGGTTGTTTTGAACTATTTTTATCTCTAGATATGAGGCGTATTGTTTTATGCATCCAATCACAGTTTCTTTTGTTGCGCTTCAGTCTGTTGCTCTAGGCGTGTCTGTAGTGGTAAAATAGAATGAACTGAGTCCCTTTCCCCATAACGTGGTCTCCGGCCCTGCCTCTCCCCTTTCTCCTCTTTCCTCTCCTCTCACTACCGACGTACCTTGACTTGACCCACTTTGTTATACTTTCTCATCTCAACTTGATACTCCATTGCAGGCAAGAAGAACAAATTATGAATTGCCATGGCTCCCAAGAAGAATAAAAAGGAATCTGGGACGCGGACTGATGGTACTTACAAGTTACTACTCAACAGAGCACCACGGCTAACAGACAACATTGAAGATGCTACCCTCATTCTCCATTATCTCCGTAAGAATTTTTTGGGATGATGTTTTTTGTTTTGTTTGAATACTGACTCAATCCCCAGGAGAACAGAAGTCTGACACCAATGCTGGCTTATTACTGTTACCCGTGTGATAAAACTAACCTGGGACGTGTCCAGTCGCCCATATTCAGTATGTTTCTTGGGGCTATCAGATTGATCATGAGTCTGTCTAACGCGTTATGATAAGGCAATTGAAGTTTCAGCGAATCTCCACAACAAAGTTTTGAAAGGTGAGGAGGCAATACGCCACAGCTATCCCATATTCAATATGCTGACAGGGCCCTGGCGACCAAAGCGCAAGCCGTCAAGTCCCTCCGAGAATTACATCAGAGTGGTAAAATTGAAGAACGAGCTGCCGGTATGTATTTCGAATTGAGTGGCACGCGATGAGTGCTCATTCAAATTGGGGTTGTTGTTGTTTAGGAAAACAGGTTGTCTACCATGCTTTGCAGGACCCTTCGCAGAGCGTGACCCCGGAGATCATTACTACACTAAACGAGAGAATTGAAAAACTTCAGTATGAGCTTTCTACTATCAAGGCTGAAGAGAAGACGGTCCGAGCTGCACTAGCAGCGTTTGAAGCCAAGCCGCGACTTTCCGATCTGCGGCAAGATATTGAACGACTCAAGGAAGAACGAGATGCTCTCCAAGCAGGAATTCCCAGATTCCAGGAGGGCGCAGTGGGAATGCAGCCTCAAGAGCGCGAGAAGCTTGAAAAGGATTGGAAACAATGGCAACGTCATACTACCCTCCGTCGTCGGATGTGTAAGGACCTATGGGGGAAGTGTACCGAGATTTTACCAGACAATATGACCTTGCAAGAGCTTTGGGTAAGTCTTCAGACTTCTGTGTATGTGCTAATGCTGGGATCAGCTGGCGCGTGCTAAAATGGCCTGCAGGAATCGCTGGGACTCGAGGGGTCCCTCCAATGAGGGGAAGTCGGGTATGGACACTAAGTTGGTGATCTCTTCGTCTCCACTTCAGTCACATCATTTGACAAGCGGGATTTGCGGCTCGGTCTGAGCGGAGCTCTCTGATCCTCTCGTTCGCTCTCTGTGGTCCGAATGGGACTTTGCTTTTCCCAGTTGCGCGATCGCGCCCTGTCATTTTTACCTCGATTTCGTCATTGTCTGTTCCCAACTGGATCTTTGTTATCTACCAGAGTAGCTACATATCATAGTCTATATATGATAATGAATATTATTCCGATCGGGGGAATCAGCCATGAATCGTAGGAATGGAGGCAACCGGGGAGGAAGGCGAACCAACGGAAATCAGATGAACAGAGCATATGCACGCATACTGTTTCCTGCCCAGAAAAGAGAGGAAAAGAAAGATATAGGCCAACGAGAGGAAGAGAATGAGCGGAGATAAACTTCTAGTATTACTTGTCATCTGCCCCATATCCCCAGGCTCTTCCCCTTCTGTTCTCTGCTTTTTCCTTCTCTGTCTATCTCTCTTAGATGATTATTCTAAACCGTCGTAAAGCGATACCTCATTCCATAGTATCCAAAGTGAATCTTGATCTGGTATAACAAGAATTCCTCACTGTGTCCCCACTATCACTGGCTTCATTACTGATTTCATAGTAGATTTCCGGGATCTTCCTTACACCGCCCGCTCCGGCGTCTTCCCCTCTCTCTTCTCCAATAAACCCCTCCAAAACTCCACATCTTTAAACCTGGCGATGCTCTCGGCCTCTCGCCCTCCTACATCTCGTCCCAATCGTTCCGGTTCCGACATGAGAGGTCGCGCACCACTCCCCGTGCCCTCGGGGCTGCAAAATGGCCATTCCCGCAATCCATCCAGCCTCGACATGGCACGCAGCCCACCCAACCCCAGCAATAAAAGTATCGTGTGCTCTTCCAAGGCGATCGCCGTTGAAACTTGAGACACGGAAACTAACCATGTGTGTTTCATAATTGTCTAGATACGAAACATGTTCCCTGCAAATTCTTCCGACAGGGCGCTTGTCAAGCCGGCCCCGCCTGTCCTTTCCTGCACTCAACCGATTCAGCCATTGACTATGCCCCCTGCAAATACTTTTCCAAGGTAAGAAGATATTTGGATCTAGAGTTGAATTCCTTCAATTGTTTTTTTTTTTTCACTTGCTTCTCGTGATGGCTTGATGCTGATGATTCCGTTTTTCCTTACTACTAGGGAAATTGCAAGTTCGGCGCAAAATGCGCATTAGCACATATTCTACCAGATGGCCGGAGAGTCAATCGACCAACTGGGAATGCAGGTGCCGGGGGAGGCGCCGGTGGTGGGGGTGGGCAAATGGGTATGGGTGGTGGTAGTCATCTCAACCTGGGCGGCCGAGTCAACCCGCAGGCATATGTGAATCAGGATTCAGCCTTGACAAACTCCGTGCTTTCACAGCAGCGCTTGAATGGCCACGAACAGCGATATGCCCCTCAGTTAGAAGACTTTCCTACTGTGCATGGCCAGCAGGTACAGCCGTACGATTCGATCCCGACAATTGATGCGGGACTAGCCTCCGATGCGGGTTCGAAGTATGGTTCTCCAACAGAAGATGTGCGGTTCCCCATGTCACCGAATCACCACCACTTGACAGCTCTCGATGCAGCACTCCCAGCTTCTTTTGATAGTCAAGGAATTTCTCATGTCGCGCGCTATGGTCCCGTCGCCGCTTCGATGCCCTCTAAGTTTGGCTTGGAATCTCCACCCGCACAGAGATCAGGGCCCGCTGATGCGTTCCGCAATTTGCGCGACATTGGATTCAGCTCCGACTTCCGAAAGCCATCATCGAATATCGGATCGTCTCCGCCAGCACCAGAAGATAATGTGGGCCCTCGGTTCTTACACTCATCTCGTCCCGTCAAGCCGCGCATGTTGTCGGCTAGTGTTCCCCGTCCTACGGCTCTTGATGACTGGGATGAGAATTTCCCTATGGAGGAAGACTACTTGCCAACAAGCCTACATGACGATGTGCTTACCCCCCAGGAAAAGCTGCGTCGACTCTCTCGGACAGATAATGATATTGGGGGCAGCCACCGTGATATTAGCGGTCTTGGAATGAGCAGCAGTTTCTCTAAGAATGGCTCGCCTCTGGCCTCAAGTCCATCTCGTTTCGGTGCATTGTTTGCAAAGCAACGCCAAAGGAAGGATGACGATGCCGTGGGATCTTCATTCCCTCATATTGGTTCTCCCCTCCGTGAATCAGCATTGAACCCCATGGCTAGCCCAAGCCTGGGTCCTATTGGCAGTCGGGCATCCCACGATGGCTCGCCGTTTGTCTCTAGCCCCGGAAGACAGTCCTCAATGTCCATGATCTCCGAACAGCTTGGAGGCATGTCCCTTCATCCGGGCTCTGCTCGGCACTCCTCGGTAGCACCAGGACGCCTTGACCGTACCATCTCCTCGGGTACCACCAGCAAGATTGAGGAAGAGGAGGAACAAAGTGACCTGGTATTCTCCATGGAAGAGGAAGAAGGCAACAAGCGTAACAGCTCGTCCTGGAACTCCGACGAGACTAAAGAGAGCTCCACCGACGCCTAATTTACTTACTTAGTATTTTCAATGTACTACGATCACGACGACACGGCCCATGCGCGAGTCCAAAAAATCGGACATGTTCATATCAAAAAAAAAAAGTCAATTGGAGTTACAAATGGGCACACAACAGCATAATGGAGCATTCAACAAACTCTTAAAAAATCGGCAGGGAGATCACAGCCAATAAGGCAAAAAATATATATATTCACGACTACCTACGGATTCTAAAAGTGACACCCCTCCTACACTACACAAAGCCCTTTCGGCTAAGTATGTCTTTCATCGGCATGGTGGTTTGGCGAGAGCTTATAACTTAAGTCTCTTCGGCCAAATCCCTTTTATAGACCAACTCTTGCTGTCTTTTCTATTTACGGTTCTATCGAGATATTGGTTATCTGCTATTCTAATTTCATATCTTTGATCTGCTTTGAACTTTGATCTACAAATCTGTTGGATCATCTAGACCCGTTGCATCATCTTCTCCGAGGCTGGACTTTCCCTTGACCATCTTCTGTATTAATCTCTTCCGTTTTCTGTGATCTGATGTGATCTGGGGCTGAATATTGAGGGTCAATGATTATCCTAAGGTATTGATTGATCTTTCAAACTCGATTCATGAGTGAATGACTTTCTGTGTTTTTTTGTGGTTTTCTGCTTGTTTTTTTGTTTGGTGTGTTCCCCCTTTCCCTTTTTCATTATGGGCCATTTCTTCTTTCCTGTCTCCGTCCGGTTGCGCGATGTACAAATGGGAAAAGATGTGCAAATAAACTGCAATTGATGAATTTTTCCATACGTATCCTGCTTATTTTCTAAGATTATGGATTACAGTAGTAGTTATACAACATGATTGAATTCGAGATCAGATGTATTTCACTCAATGTTACCTCCAAGACCATAGCCATTAAGTTAATCATGTATTTGTAAACGCCCTTTGCTCTGCCAAAGCCCAGAAGCAAAATCACGACGCCGCGACCCAAAGGAATAGGTGAATGAATGATACAGGTGACTATCATGTAATAAGTGAAAGCAAAGCAAAGAAAGAAGAACTCCACACACTACTACCCGCCATAATCGATCTTTGTTCATAAACTAGAGATCTCCCAGATACACAGCATTGCCCTTGAGATTTACAAGACCTTCATTCGTGGACTGTGTCTGGATCGCGCCTCTATGCTGATCAGCCACACGGTCCGCGAAGATCCTGTTCTCGCGAACTTGCAAGTCTGCGGCACGGGCGCCGTCAGCCTGCTCATCATAGAGCATCTTGTACAGTTCCTTTGTACCAGCGACGACTTGCTTCATCATGCATCCGACAGCCCGAGGGATCAAAGCCTCTACTCGAGCAGCAAGATCAGTGTCTTCGTCAGCGCGCCGACGCTTCTGCTCGTCTGCCCGTTGCATTTCTTCCTCTTCTCGCTTGCGCTTTCTCTCGGCAAGATGCTTCTGTCGCTCCTCTTTGCGGGCGAGATACTTGAGAGAGTGAGCCAGTTTTGGTTGAGCAGGTAAAATGATATCCAGAGGTGGAACGGAAAAGAACAACACATGGCCTCTCTCGTCACAATGGAATTGTTGTCGAATATCTGCTGGGATGGCGGCGTTGGCTGCCTCGCCGAGGCTGAAGACTTCCACTGCGCGTGGGGCATTCGGGTTGTAGGCGGGCGCCGCGGCATGAAGACGGCTGTTAGGATATGGCGCCGCATAAGGTGTTGGCTGTGCTGTCGCGTATGGATGCTGTGGTACCGGCGACGCTTGGTAAGCAGTAGTTGGCGTCTGTGGCACGAAGCTACTCGTACGGCGCTGGTTAGAACCCTGGTACATATGAGGATTCATGGGGGGCTGGAATGTTGGTTGAGTAACTGGCACTGGAGATGTTTGAACCACAGGAGGCGCCGGCATGGGGACTTGGAGCGGAGTTGCCACAGGATTACTGGGTATTCCCATATTTCCTGTGGGAATGGGTTGGCTCATAGGCTGACGAGGTGTAGCTGAAGCCATAGCGGAAGGTGGCAGGGTAGGAGGGGGTGGAGATGGAGTTGGTTCAGGCGGTGGAGATTCCTGAAGAGAAATGGTTAGATTGGGTAGCAGCTCATAGGGAATTGAGTTATCAACTTACGTTCTCATCGCGGGGGCGACGATGCACAGCACCAACCACCGGTGGCGCATTGTCTGCTCCCCATGTTGGTCGAGGAAGATCGTCCGTTTCCTTGGATTCATCTTTCAAAAGATGCTTGATGGGACTGGGAATCTTCTTGATTTTTCGAGGTACATCGAAGAGATCCATTTCATAGTCCTTCTCGCGCACCTCATCGGGCAAACAGCTGGCCCAAGTCTTGATCTTATTAAGCTTGTGCTTCTCCTCGTTGTAGCGAGCTTCACAAACATAAATCTCCTTATCAGGAGCCAAGTCCCGTGGACGCCCTCGACTGTAACGAGTGAAGAACATCACGAAGCAACGGTCGACAATTTCATCGATGCGGTGGTCTCGGTACTGGCCAGTTTTCACAACTTCGTTGGGGTAGAAATGTTTTTCAAAATGATGAATTGTCTGCTCTGGACGGTAATACCAGCATGCGTTAATCCACTGTTCGTTCTCGGAATCCTGCCATGTCCGATATATCTGCGCTACGATCGGTTTGGTCACATCATTAGGGTTCTGAATGTGTACCCAATCTCCGACTTTCCAAAGCTCGCCTCGGTGCAAAATTCCATTCGGCAAGGGGAATCGTCCATCTTCCATGAGATACTCGCTGTCTGGCTTCTTTTTCTCCTGTTCAGCCAGCTTTCGAGACTCAATTTGTAGATCAGTAGCGTCTCGGTAGATTTGACTTTCAGATTGATTGTAAGCTTTGGCGTTGTCGTACATGAGATCGAGGTCGCGCATGAAATGGTCAACGGAATTGTACTTCTTGCGCTTGGCTTTGCGTTTAATGAGGTCGATGGCAATGGGTTCCTTCGTCTCCATGTAGTAATCCGGATAGGCGGCTTTATCCGGAAGACGTTCGAAGTGGATGATCTTCAAATGGCCACCCGGGCCTTTGAACTTCCGAATACCCTTTAAGATGGCTTTGATCCTAGTCTCCATTGGAGTATCAACGCGCGGGGGGCGTCCCCGCCTTTTGCGAAGATCCGGTTCTTTATTTTGGAAACCGCGCTTTGGACCAGGCTTGGGGCCTGGCTTCTTTCTACGACGCCCTTCATCATCAGAATCATCCTCGTCGTCTTCTTCCTCATCTTCATCTTCATCTTCATCATCAGGCAATGGATCTGCTTCTGGAATTTCACCCAAGTCTGGGAACTCGGCTTCTTCGGCACTAATTACGCCAGTTTCGACAAGCTTCTTGAGCTGATCGCGGAATACATCCTGCGCGCCAAGATCAAAGTCAGTCACAAGTTCATATCGGTCCAAGCTTCCACAGATTATAGTCAATGGTATTCCCACCTTTATGACAAGCGCATCCGTGTAGGCTTGCGATTTAGGTCTATTGTAGGTTTGCGCGTTATGTGGGATCTAAAGGTTTTGCATGTCATTGTTAGTTGCCGAGCTCGGTAAATTGAGCTGATGTTGCATACCAGGGCGCAATCGCGGACGAATTCTGCGAACTGCTTATATTCATGCTTGTTGATTCTTTGCTTGAGAATACTGAGCGCCATGGGGTCCTTTATAATGTCGTAGTAATCCGGGACGAGACGTTTGTTGACACTTCGGTGGAAAAGTCGGGACGGGTCGTGACCGCTATCGTGAAGTCCGCAATCAGCTCTCGATCCTTTCAAGGAGCTGCTTCATATGGGAGGTGCTTACTCTTGTTCACGAAAATCATAGATTGCCATAGTGACATCCATCATGGCTTTCCATTGGTCTTCGCTGATGGCACTGTCACCCTCGATAGAGGTGACGGGCTCTTCAGCCTGAGGCTGAGACTGCTCTCGCTCCGCTTGCTCCATGGTGCACCACAATGTTACACGAGTGGAAGTCCCAAGGTGAAATTGAATAGCCAAGAGGGAAGGGAAGCTGGTTTCGTCGTGAAGGGAGACAAGCGCACTGGAGGCGGGTTGAAGTTACGCGCTGCTGAGTCATCGGACTGGGTTACCATACCGAAACACGTGTATTGTATTTTTAATGCCTAGTTATACAGGCGTAAATTGGTCAGAATGTCAGGTACAGAGCATCTTTCAACATACATTGACCAACATTGGAAATAAATGAGAAACCTGAAGTCTTTGATTCATTTTTTGGTGCTGACACAAGGATCGGGCTTTGGGGACAATTGTATATAAGTAACGGCTGTACACGGAGTGGGGACTAATTTCTGCAGCGCAAGATCATAGAACTATCTATGGATGGACTATATAATAGATGCCTATACCTCGAGAAACTGGTAATTTAAGTTTGAAAGAGAGAGTACATGTGTCTGTATTTTGATCTTAAAAGATACAAGCAACTAGTAAAAGGCCCAAAGACTCTGTGTAGTGTTGGTGCTCTTATTTCTGGTTCTTTAATGATCTTCTACCCCACACCGCGACCCAAGCAATCGTCATTGCCCCCCTCACTGGATCGGCGGGACCGAGTCCTTCTTTCTCTCCGAAACTTGTTGCTTTGTGTACATACAAGCCCACCGATATATACCTCGAACTCTTCAATCATTCATCTATAATGCGAATGCGCGTTCGAGGACCCTCGGGTCAATCGACAGTGACGTTAGATGAGTCTGCCACAGTGCATGATCTTCAGCGTGAAATTGCACAGTGCACTAGCCTTACCTCCTTTGATGTGAAATATGGTTACCCAAACCTCCAACCTCTCGACCTTGACCAGCTAGAGCCAAACCAGACCATATCTGACATAGGGATTAATTTGAATGGAGAGCAATTGATCGTGGCACAAAGAGAGACGCAAAGAGAGGCACAAGCCAGCAATATTCCCATCAGCCAACCAGGTCCTGCTACCCAACAACCAGTACAGCAAACTTCGATCTCGCAAACTTCGCAGCCGAGTGCAGACCAGCCGAGTGCAGACGACCCTCCTGAGATTGCCTCACCCGACCATGCAGGCACCTTCGTACTTCGTGTCATGCCCGATGATAACTCCTGTCTTTTCCGCGCAGTAGGCGCTGCTGTCATGGATGATATGGATACAATGGTGGAGCTACGGTCGATTGTTGCAGGGTCTATTCATTCAAACCCAGATGAATATTCGGAAGCAATATTGGGCAAGAAACCAGATGCGTATTGCCAGTGGATTCAAAACGAAGAGTCTTGGGGAGGCGCTATCGAGCTCAAAATTCTGAGCGAGTACTTCAACATTGAAATTTGTTCTATTGATGTACAAACACTTCACATATTTCAATTCAACGAGGGTGCTCCGACCCGATGCATTGTTGTCTACTCGGGGATCCACTACGATGTTCTTGCACTCTCACCTTCTAATCCTCCCTACACTCGTGCGAACCCTCTCGCCGATGGAGACACTAAGATTTTTGAATCCGTGGACCCCGTTGTACTAAAGAAGGCAAAAGAACTGTGCCAAGTACTGCAAAGTAAACATTACTACACCGACACGTCAGGATTCCTTGTGCGATGCAATACATGCGGGGGCTCCTTCACTGGCGAAAAAGGAGCGACGAAGCATGCCTCCGAGACCGGTCATTATGATTTTGGTGAAGCGACTTAGATTACAGATCACAGATCACAGATCACAGAATATGCTTTTTAGCGTTTGGAAAGAAAGATTGCCAGCTTTTATTATTGTTATTTGGAAACAGACACAGGGGGCGTCCGTGGGTGGCTTAGGAGTGTACGGAAGCAGCTTAGAATCAAGGTTGGGTGGTGATATGAGGAGTATTCATTCAATGAGGAACCATGTATCGTATATCGTGCAAGTATTAAATTTTCATAGCATGGCGACTTCATCAGCTTCATCTTCCCCAGCTTCATCCTCTTCAGCTGAGTCTCCACTCTCTTCTGGATTGCCTCCCCACTCCACGTCATGATGCACCGGACTAGTAAAAAACTCATGTTGTAAGGCATCTTCTGCACTTAGCCGCTTTGATGGGTCTAGCTCCATCAAACCGGCAAGAAGGCGTGTTGCCTGTTGTTCACTCTCTGTTAAATCCTCCACGCAACTAGACCATTTCACCAACTTTTCCCAGCTGTAGCCCTTTTCACCAATGGTAGGAATATTCGTTTCAAAGATTTGACCATGCATGGCTGCCGCAGTCTTCATTCGGCGCGTACCGAATATGCTGGCCATCTCAATCATAGCATCGATATCATCTGCAGAGTTGAAGAATGGGAACCGACGGCCAAGTAGGGTCAAGAGAATCACACCAACAGACCACATGTCGATCTTCGTTGTTTGTGATGTGCATTTAAACAATACCTCGGGAGCTCTGAAGCCTCGAGTACCTGCTCGATTCGCTCGCCTTGATGAACGAGAGTCGTTTTTGGGATACCCACTTGACAGGCCCCCGGACGGCGGATTCTTTGAGTAGTAGCTGGAAAGTATTCGGCTTCGGCGAACATATGATTGGTGAGTACACAGACATGGACTAGCGTACTCAGAACCATGGCGCTTTTAAATTGAAAATCGCAAATTAGTGTCAAATCCATTAGCATCAAAGGATAAGAAAAATCCGCACGTACCTCAGCAAGACCAAAGTCCACTAGAACACCTTCCTTGAGGTCTGGATTGTAGAGAAAATTACTAGAATGCACATGTCAGTATACAGTCTATCCATTTGAAAGGTTATATTAGGGGCATACATACGTTGGTTTGATATCGCGATGAAGAATGTCATGGTCGTGAACTGAATGCAATGCGGTTAGGAGGGATCGTAGATAATGGCGCATGTCTGCCACCATGAACGTTCGGTACTGAATACGAAAATCCGTATGTGGGAAGTAAGGCAGGACAGCAACAACTTGGTCTTGAATTCGAAATGCCGTGATGAGCGGGCACACGGACCGACAGCCTCGAAGATCATGGAGGAGCTCCAGCTCGTTTTGGATTCGAATAGGGCTACTAGTAACGTAGATTTTTTTCAATGCCACATATCGGGCATTTCTCCGTCTACCAGGTGCTCCGTCTACTCGACGGCGCTTGGAAGGAGGGCTAGCCCACGCCTCTTGTTCTTGCGCTTGCGCTTGTCCGAAGATATCCCAGTCGTTATCGTAGTGATCGTAGAGCAGATCCTCCGCCTTGTATACCGTCGAGAAAGTTCCTAGAGGAAAGTCTATAGTTAGACTTGAAGACTTTCAAAATTGATTGAATCCATTCAATACCTTCTCCAATGCGATTGACGAGACGGAACCGATCCGAGATACCAGGGAAGGTATCTTCAAGCTTGTTCATGTCTTCTCGAACAGACTCATCTACCTCTTCCTCTTCGAAATCACTAGCTTCCTCGAGTGCTTCCTGGTGGGACACATGGCCATTGTTCTCTGACGCGTATCTATGCGTTGTTGTAGGCTGTATCCCTTGAAATGAACTGCTCTGTTGAATCTCAAACACTCCCGGAGGAGCTCCTCGGAGAGAAGCCATGAGAGTTGGTTTTGTACTCATGAATGATGGGTGTCAGATGCACAGTGACACGGAGTGAAACTGTTTGAGGTCGCCTTGAAATCTGAGGCGTGTGTGAATTGAGAGAGAAGGTTGGGGCTCAAGTGTACCTCCAGGGCTCCGGCAGCGTATTATTAAATCGCTTGTTTTTCTCCGAAAACAACGGGATTACGCGATGACGCTGGGTAATATTACGGGCGGTGAGGGGGTTTCTGTGGTTCCGACCAAAAGAGTAAAAGCCAAACACGGAACATCATCAACACTGTTTGTTTCCCCCCCCCCCACTCCCACTTCTTCCGACAACAGTGCTTCCCCCCTGACCCACGACAATTACCATGGAGGATAGGATGCAATTCGATATCAATGAGTCGCTCAAGTATTACTTGAGTGATCCATCCATTCTTCCAACACCCGAAGCAGACCCGGAGCTTCTCGACTGCGAATCCGATCCGGAACAATTGTCGCCAGCCTTAATTGATAACGTGTTGAACCCAATCGTGGATGCTGTCGCGGAGAACCCTGAAGGATTAACGAGATCCTCATATTTTGATTCCCTACAATTTTTATTAAAGTGCGCACCGGTCCCTTCCCAACTTCCCCACGGCGGCTTTCGTCTACCTGGAACCGACTCTGAACTTGTGAACTTATGCAGATATACACCCTTTCTCCCCGTGAAATCGCTCAGCAAAGTACTCGACCTTGTTGTTTCTGGATTATCCATCGAGGCGGATATCATTCATGGTGACCTGGAATCAGACGAACAGGATGCCATTCAACAGCACAAACAACTTTTGGAGATGTATGGATTCTTGCTCCAATGGGCCTTGTCCGCGGTGGAGGTGAAGGCTGCGGAAAAGCCTGCTGAGTCTGCTCCAGCGCGACGAGGAGGCCCCAAATCCAAATCCAAATCCACCAAGGACGGCCACTGGGACTGGACACCGCAGATCCAGATGTCTATGGAGACAATGTGCAAGGTGATGAAACTTAAATTAGGCCGAATTCTCCTGACTACCTCGGATCGCGATACTTTTATTAATCTATTCACCCGCACAATTTACCTGGTTTTGGAAAGCGAGCAAAGAGTGAAGAGCATGGCCATCCGCATGCATGCCTTCAAGGTTCTGTGCATCGCGGTTAAGCATCATGGTCATGCATTCGGTATGCGCTGCTAGGACATAAGGTACTTGAATAAAGCTGATTGGTGTTATAGGTGCACAAACATCTATTGTGCAAAGTTTGACCTACTTCGAGCATCTCTCGGAGCCCATGGCCGAATTTTTACATATTCTTGCAGAGCAATACGACTATCCTCAGCTTTCGGACGAGATCTTGAAGTAATACACCAACCAAGAAGATTGGAAACCACCGTACTAATTCGAAACAGGGAACTTGGCAATAAGGAATTCAACTCAAATGATACTCGTGGCCCGAAATCTGTCTCTTCTTTCATCATTAAGCTGTCCGAGCTTGCCCCGAGGTTGATTATTAAGCAGATGACTCTATTGGCGAAGCAGCTTGATAGCGAGGTGATTAAGCGAAATACCATTTGGTACTAGTAAACTCAACTAACGTTCTCATAAGGCATATACTCTACGATGCGCGGTCATTGAGGTCTGCGGTAACCTCATTTCCGATTTGAGTCGACAAGAAGAACCCAACGAAAATTACAAGACGCAGATCAACGCATTTTTTGATGTGCTGGAAGAGAGATTCTTGGATATCAATCCCTATTGCCGTTGCCGGGCTATTCAGGTGTTCATGCGAATTTGTGACTTGGAGCAGAAATTCCCCAAGAGACGACAACGCGCGGCTGAATTGGCCGCACGGAGCTTGGAAGACAAAAGCAGCAACGTGCGACGCAACGCGATCAAACTCCTGTCAAAGTTGGTAGCGACACATCCATTTAGTGTGCTGCACGGTGGCCAACTCTCTTTCAAGGAATGGAATGAACGCTTGGACGGAGTGGATGCAGAATTGAATGCCTTGCGACCCCCAGAGACACCAGGATTTGACGCCGACATCACTCAAGGTGTTGATGTTGACCCTGAATTGCTAGATGACGCGACCCAACTTCCCGATGAATCGCCCTCAAAGGCACCCAGAATGACAGAAGAAGAGAAAGAAGTTGCGGTAAAAAAGGCGGCAGAGCAAGCCGCAACATCCGAGTTGTTGACTCGGTTGCAGTTGACCCGAAAATACTACAATGAGGCTCTGCGCTTCATCGAGGTTCTCCATTCCGGGTCAGCCGTTGTCTCCCAGTTACTTTCATCTCGCAACAAGAGCGAGGTCATTGAAGCTATGGACTTCTTCGTTATGCTCGATGCCTACAAGGTTGAGACAGCTCGCAGTGGAATTCGTCGCATGCTCCGCTTAATTTGGACCAAGGGTAACAGCGACGAGGGCAAGGGTGTCCAGACCCACCTCATTGACTGTTACAAGGGACTTTTCTTCGATGCTCCCGACACTTTTAGTCCTAATGATGCTGCGAACTACATCGCGCGTAACATGATCAGTTTAACTTTCGGATCAACACCGGCAGAACTGACTTGTCTTGAACAACTACTCAGTACTATGATGAAGGCCGGGAATGTCCCAGAGACAGTCATTGCCAAACTTTGGCAGGTGTATAGTGTTCAGAAGAAGGAGATCTCAAAGACCCAGCGCCGTGGCTCGATCATTGTTCTGGGCATGCTCGCGTTAGCCGATCCTGAAATTGTTGTGAAGGAAATTGAAGCCATGCTGCGCATTGGTCTTGGAGGTCTGGGAAGATCAGATCTTGTGCTTGCCAAGTATACTTGCATAGCATTACGGCGCATGGTACCGGGGCGTCAGGCGAAGTCTAAGGATATCGGTATCCCCAAACTTGCCAACGACCACTCAGTCCTGACTAAACTGGCAGCCATACTTGAGATTGACTCCAATAGCAAAGAGTGGTATGGTGTTGCGGAGCAAGCAATCAGCGCCATCTACACCCTTTCTAAGCATCCGGATGTTCTCTGCTCTGACATTCTTCGAAGAAAGACCCAATTTGTCTTCCAGCCCCACTCGCAACGTCCCTCTTCTTCGCATACTTCCATTGAAGGTGATGACCAACGGCCTGGCACTGCATCGACTGATGAGCAGAGCTCTAAAGCCAAGCCTTCATCTGCGGCCCTTTCACAGCTGCTGTATATCGTCGGCCACATTGCGATCAAGCAGATTGTCCATTTGGAATTATGTGAGCTTGACTTCAAACGCAGAAAGGCTGAGCAAGAGAAAAATAAAACAGCCGAGGCTGCCGCACAGAAGAAGGATGATAATGCTGAGGATGATGAACTTGATCTCATTGGAGGTACCACCGAAGATGATTTTCAAGATGCCATGGCTCATATCAGAGAACGGGAGCTTCTTTATGGAGAGAACTCCCTGCTTGCCAAATTTGGCCCAATGGTTGCTGAGATTTGTGCCAACAATAATACATACTCAGACCGTGACCTGCAAGCGTCCGCAACATTGTGTCTGGCTAAACTCATGTGTGTCTCTTCTGAATATTGCGAGAAGAACCTACCGCTCCTGATTACAATCATGGAGCGATCAGAAGACCCCATCGTACGCAGCAATGCTGTCATCGCTCTGGGTGATATGGCTGTTTCCTTCAACCATCTTATTGACGAGAACACGGACTTCTTGTACCGTCGTCTCAACGACGATGATCCCTCAGTCAAGCGCACTTGTCTTATGACACTGACATTCCTCATTCTTGCCGGACAAGTCAAAGTCAAGGGCCAATTGGGCGAGATGGCCAAGTGCTTGGAAGATGATGATAAGAAGATTGCCGATTTGGCTCGAATGTTCTTCACGGAGCTTGCTACCAAGGACAATGCCGTGTATAACCACTTTGTGGACATGTTCAGTTTGTTGAGCGCCGAGCGCAACCTGGAGGAAGCATCCCTCCGACGCATTGTCAAGTTCTTGATTGGATTTGTTGAGAAGGTAAGTCATATTGTTTCCTTCGTTTGCCTATTATGTTTTATGTATCCCTCATACTCATCCCCTCTTTCTACAGGAAAAGCATGCTCGCCAACTAGCTGACAAATTGGCTGCTCGACTTCCCCGATGTGAGACAGAACGACAATGGAACGACGTCGCTTATGCCTTGTCTCTGCTCCCACATAAGAACGAAGAAATCACTAAGACGGTGACTGCCGGCTTCACCAAAGTCGTCAGTGCATCAGCTTAAATGGAGATCCGATTTGCATGTCTTGATGACCTGGCGTGTTTGAATATTGTAAATAATTCCGTGGTTTTATGTCTTTTAATCTACTTTGGCTTGGATTCGTGGTGTTGAGGTGTTGCCAGTGGCAAGGACTTGGTGGGACCGGGATGCTCTTAGGGCACATTGAATGAATCTGATTAATTTCCTTCTGCATATTCATCTTCAATATTACACATGGTAGATAATCTTCCAATGTTAGATCAACACGCTCCTTCGACCTCGAATTCTCCAGAGATTTGGGTCGCATGGGCTCAAGCAAGTCTATGTATATGCATTCTGGTCGCGTCAATGAAGCCTTATACGGTGATGCCCGTAGAGAACAAAAGAGAACACTCGTCATTCGCCCAGAAATCACTATCCACAGGAAACAAGAAATTAAAGGCACAAACCGCAATGTCAAAACAACAAAAATTCTAAATATGTGAGAAGGTAGGGGAAGAAGGGCTAGACAAGAGAGAGAAAAAGGCACAGCCAAATCAGCCCAGAAGGACCGGCAACGATGACCCAAGGAGATATACACGGAAGAGAACACGAACGCATGCCAGATACGCTGCATGCTCTGTGTAGAGTGTAAAACCAAACGGAGATTCTCTGTGATGAAGGGGAGAGAAATTAGAGAGTCTATGCGCCCAGTACGGTACTTTCCTCCAAGGCAAATTGCCCATCTCGAATACCCTGCAAGACCTTCTCACCCTCCTCAGTGAGTTCGGGCTTGCCTAGGGGGGTCACTGCGCCAGTGAAAAAGCGTGGTTTCCATTCCACCTCTTGCTCCTTGCGCTCCGCCGCCCGCTGACGTTGCCGCTCCTCAATATCCTGCTTGAGTTTGGTAGCTTCGGTGAATTGTTTGCCCACAATGGCATCAGTGACCTCGCCCCAGAACTTCAGGGATTCGTTAGACAGCTGCTGCTCGGAGGGGGGCAGGTCTTTCGAAGCAGGGTATAGAGGTTCAATGTCAATAAGTAGAATAGGGTCTTTGGTGCCGGCCGGAGTATAGTAAATTTTGCCATGCCATGACCCGTTGACTCGGGCAATGATATCGCTCTCCGGAACATCCTTTGACTTCGTTATTGTATCTTTCTCCGGGTTATATCGGAACACCACGCCTTCCATCCGATTTTGCGAGCGGCCGATCCACCCTTCTTCCAGGTATTGTAGAATAGCTTTCATGCCAGTCTTAGGGCAGGTGATGTAACAAGTATCCGACACTGTAATAGAGAGAGCGCCCCGAAGTAGGCCACCCAGGTGTGCATGAGGATGCGTCAACTGATACTCCTCGTTGTCTCTTTTTTCGATGTTGACGAAAATGCCAAGATTATGTTGTCCGGGACTGACGCGAATGCTTGTACCAGTAAACTTTGCACTAAGTTGATCAAATCCTCGCGCGGATACCCCTCGTTCAGGGCATTCAATGTAGAAAGCTGAGACAGGTGGATGATGGGAAGTTTGCTCGGTCAAATAGCACACTTTGACTTTCTTATCACCATCTTCCACGATAACCCCATTGGCATCAGTCTTGACCCCAGGGAGGTTAGCCTCCTCAGGGGCAAGACTTTGCACTTCCCAGCTGCACTGTTGAATCTGACGTTAATATGGAGGACTTCTTTTTTGAGGGGTCACCACCTTCTCGGTGATCGTGTGTTCCTCTTGGACTTACTCGGAAGAATTCGCCCAGTGTCGAATTATACGGTTTGCATGGCTTGCCCTTGATATATTTCTGTTGAATCACTCAGCACCATTCTCCATTTTTGCGACGTAGGTTAAGAAGTACCAAGTCTTTGGTAAACCAGAACTTTAACACCTCCAGCATCCGACCTAGTTCATCGTCCGATGTACCGATACTGTAACCCTCTAGTGTCAGATAAAAACATACGGCCAGGGCAAGTGAACCATTTTTGCTCACCTCGCGAATGTCTCAGGTCGGTCCAGGTAATTCCAGTATTCTGAGTCCCACGTCAGTTCCTCACACCGATGTCACACACACTCTCTCTCCTCGGGCAACACCCCGCGAACCTACCCAGATTTGGTCGCGGCTCCAGCAGTTGAGCTGGTAACGAGAAACGGACTGAGGCAATATCTGTCACACCCACGAATCTAGAAAACCGTTGTAATTAGTAAAACGCTCTTTTAACATTGTTGTGTTGTTTGCTCGTTTATCGGCGTTTCGTTTCTTTTGTTTCGCCTCCTTTTTTTCCTGTTTTGTCCACCGCAATATAAATCCATGTGAGGATATGGAAGTCTGACATACTTGCGCAGGATAGAGAGAAATGTCTTCAGCTTAGAAGAATCATCAGGGGTCTTTTCGGGTACGGCGACGGAGGACATAGTGTGGAGTGGCGACGCCTAGAAGCTGTGCTTCCAAAGGAATGTGAGCTAGAAGAAAAGGAAGAAAAACACGGGCAATTGGCCCTTGTCGATAATGTGTGGAAAACTAAGGAGACTGAATATAATCCCCAGTTTAAGCCCCGAAAGTAAAGAGAGGAAGATTCAAGATGCCCATTAAAGCAAGAGAACAGGGAAACCGTGACTTAGATTGGGGACAAGGCGGTGACGTGGGAACCTTTTTTTTTGCCTTTGCGGGTTTGAGTGGGGTAGAAGGGGAGACAGAGACAGAGACAGAGACACAGAGAGAGAGAGGGGGGGGGGGAGTTGATACAGGAGAGTTACAGAGGGCAAAATTACAAGATGGAGAATTCCCAGGTTTCCCACTATGGAATGATCAGCTGTAGCCTGTAGGCACCTGTGATCACAGAGCCCTGGAGCCCTGGTCATAATGAACATTATTTATCCACGTGCTGTAATCTATATTTCATACAGTGACGGTAATATTCCCGGCTATTAAGGTGTGCAAAGTGTGCAAAGTGTGGGCCAATCACTGCGCCACGAGGGTACATATCTAGTCGGTCATTTGCCTTGCAACAACTCACCCAACAGTTGTTTGTGTGCTAGGAAGCGCAACCAAGTCCGCACAGCTGGTCCGTAATCATACCGTCGCCCCGTCGCGTGATCCTCGTCCGTTCGTTGAGATTGTTGCTCTTCTCGGATATTCTTGAGTAGCTCGCGTTGTTCCGCTATGAGCTCTTGTAGTCGCTGCTGAACCTCCGCGAGAGATGATTGCGAAGAGAGTATCTTGGAGACTTCCTTGGAGACTGTAGCCGTATCTATGACTTCACGAGTCAGATCGTAAGAAGGGTCGGGTCCAAGCACCGTCTCTGGAAGCCCAGACATCATAGCTTCGATATCGTTCGGGTTTTCCTCCATCACTCTCGACGTTAATACTTCCAGGCCTCGCACATTGTCGGCAAGTTGCTGAATCAGACCAGGCAAAGGATCTCGAACTACACCGAGAATCGAAAATTCAATCTGCTCCTCTTCATATGCCGCCATCCGGGCTACCAGATTAGGTCGAGCTAGCTCTAACCAGTCATCTTGAGAGCATTCACCTACCCAGCGCAAGTCAGGATCATGTAGCCAACATATAACATCGTGATATTGTTGTGGGTGAGGGAGACTTGTAAATGTACTAACCTAATGCTTGGGGCTGCCTCTCTAGCCCGTCAAATTTCCATAGCTGACCCATCGCGGGCATGAAAGCAATGAAGTGGAAAGTAGCATCGGTTTCCCCTGCGTCCTGGCCTTTAGACCGTTTTTTGGAACGGGCCTCCGATTTAAGCTGCAGATCTGAATTTAAGATATCCATCTTTCTGTGAAAGTGTAAGTCAGTAATCATTCAATATAGTCAATATCATAGGTGGCACGGTAGACCGGTAGATCGGTAAGAGGTTGATATACCGCGCAAAGGAATTATGAATCCTCTTGACAAATTCAAAGTTGTTAACAGCATCTCCTCGGAGAGCTGGGGTGAAATTTCTGGTAAAGTCTTTGAAATGTTGAAGATTTTCTCCCAAGTCAATGTCCGGGATATTATTGACGATATTGAGCAACGCTACACTAGCACATGCATTATCTGCGGTCTAAGTACTAGAGTCAGCCAAAAAGTTATTCTTGATGATGGAAATATTTCGAATTTACACATACCTGATTTGCGAACCAGAGCCCATCTGGACAGGTGGCTTCCTGCTTGTCTGTATCATCCTCCCGCCAGCGGAATAGGAAGATCAACCCATAGATTGGTTGGCTGCTCTCTCCCATTAATTAGCTCTGGACGGGAATTGAGGATAATGAAGGAATAATGTGGGTCCATACTGAAGAAATGCCATCATTTCTTCATCAAGAGAAATCACTTCTTGGACCTTGGCACCCTTGACCCCAAATTCACGGAGCATCACATTGAACAAAGCCTAGACAAGGATTAGGAGTCATAAACATGGTAAGCATAACAATCATGACTACTCACAGGCTCTGATTCGATTTCACAGAAGCCATTCCAACTGCCTTTTTGTGATTGAGTTGCTGGCTGGCAAATTTCATGACTGTGATCTTCGGTGGGGTCCGTTAAGCGTCGTCTCTTGCTGCGTGGAGGCATGTTGGAAGAAAAGGTAGGAAGAAAGTAGGAAGCTAGGATCAGCTTGGAAGAATATAATCCATGAAATACTATTACCGACCCAGTGTCAGACTGTCAGTGAATATGTTCCTTTTGAAGTTTTGATCTTCACTTCTTCTATTTTCTTTGTCAAAGTAAGTAAGTTGAGGGAGTTGCAGAGTAGAATGTGTAGAATGTATGGTATGTCTAACCCAAGTGGACCGAGCTTTGTCCGACGCGCTTCCCGCGTTTCTTCGTCTCGGCAACTTCAAATGCTATTTTTTGCTTCTTGTTTCTTGTTTTCCCTTAGCTACCCTTTCCAAGAGATCAGCACATACCAACCCCAAAGGTGAATTGAATTATCCAGTCATTCCTACAGCTTTGGGGGAAGACAACTACATTCACTTTGGAAATCCAACCCCTCCACCTGATCTTGGTGACCACAGCATGCCATGAACGGTACTCCCCGCCTTACGTCTGCCTTCCCTCAGACGCCTCAGACACTTCCAGCTAGAAGGAGGTTGTTCGATACCCCTAGGTCACAGCCCCGCGAGCTGCGCGAGCGGAAATCACCTTCCAAATCTCCAGCCAAGGCACCTAAACAGCCTCAGAATGCCAGCGCGCCTCTCCTCCCCGTCAACCTGATCGATGCGCCCTCGCAACGTCTTTACGTGGTCGCTTTCTACCTACTACTCAATGCGTGGCGCATATATGAATCGTGGACTGCGTCCGATGAGCTAGACTCGACATGGCTGTTCTTGAAATGGGTCTCGGTGGACGGAGTATTTCTGTTTGGCCTACAAGCCTTACGCATACCCTGGCTGGAGTGGGCATTCCCGACTACCCTGGCATTGTTTCTATTGCACGTCGTTTGCAATGCCTTCTTGATGTTTCAAATTCCCGTGAGTTACTGTACCTTTAAGAATTTATGGATTATTTTTTAACGGATTTAGATCCCTCTGGGCGCGTGGTTTGCAGGCTTGGTCAAGGTTGCTTATGATCGCGAACTGTCCATATCAGAGCGAAAGGTCAAGCCAGGCGATATCATCCATAATGCCTCATTGATATTAGGAAAACAGATTGTGCATATCCTCCCCGAAGGGTAAGATTGATTGCGTCACCGCGTTTATAATGAATGTTTCGTTTCCAGCTAACTTATTGGCTAGCTCTGCCACTCTGAACCCAGACCGGGAGGCGCTCTGCCTTGACTCCCAGAAAAACACAGTCACCCTGACAGTCCGTGTGAATCAAACAGACCCCGTTCTCATCGAGGTGTTGCGTCTGGACTTGAACACCGGTGAAAATGAAACCCTGTCAATTCCAGCCAAACAGCTGAAGCCACTAAAGAAGCAGGCAGAAAAGAGACATGCACTCCTAGATTCTGTGCCTTACCGAGACCTACATCTTCCTGTGAAGAAAACGGGTATATATCGCCTTCAACGAGTCGTGGATGAATCTCAGCTTGATGTGCGTACACGCACCTCTGATGCCCTCGTGGTATCTTGCCCTAGAGCATTGATCAAAAACTCGCACACAGACAAGTGTAGAGGAGAACTGTCAAACCTAGTCCTGGAGGTCGAAGGAACTCCTCCTTTGAAAATCAAGTATAGCCGGCAGGTGAACTACCATGATCGTGGTTTTTCCTTTCAAAATATCCAACCGGACAATCTCCGCTCCCCCCTTCTTAGCCAAAAACCAGGAGGTGCTCTCTTTAGCATCAACCAGCCAGATATTTCATGGGCACAGAGCCAAAGAATCGACGTACCGTTAAACGAATCCCTGAATGTTGGCGGAGAATGGTTTTATGCTATAGAAGAAGTCCACGATGCCTGTGGCAATGTTGCCAACTACTCAACCATTTTTGAGGAATCAGAGCGGCCATCAACCAAGTCTTTGTCCCAATGGCATCAGTTCTCAGTCCACGAACGCCCGCGAGCGTCCCTCTCAGGGTGCAATGACCAGCGCCCGCTGGAGGTTGCTCGCGGTGATAGTGTTGATTTACCGATCCAGTTTCAGCCTGTTGGGAATGGATACACCGGCGATGGACCCTTTTCCCTCGTCTATACCTACAACGACGGGAATGGCGCGCAGAAGGATCCGGCCCATGAGAAGTCCCTCACCTTGAAGTCCTTGGACCAGAAATCTCCCATCAAAGAGCCAGGCTGGTATTCTCTGTCTTCGGTTTCCAGTCAGTTCTGTCCGGGTGAAATTTTGGAACCATCCTCGTGCTACTTGCACAATCCCCCCGAGCCTGAGATGACTGTCAAGGCCGAGAAGATCTTTGATCGATGTGCCAACAACGCTGTTGGCTTACTTGTGGATTTGGACCTGACGGGATCCCCACCATTCCGCCTCCGGTACAGCATCGAGAACTCAAAGGGTGCAGTTACAAGAACTCAAAACATCGATGGATTACGGACACAGCTAGACTTCACCCCGTCAGAGGCTGGGTTTTACCGCTACCGATTCCTGGACATTGAGGACTCTGTTTACTCTCCAAGGTCGCTCAAGGACAAGGTGCCTCCGCTAGAACAAGATGTCAAACCCCCTGCTTCTGCTCACTTCCTTGGCCCGAGGGAAGTACGTAAAGCTTGCTTTGGCGAATCAGTCTCAGTGGATTTGGCTTTCTTGGGAGAATCACCTTGGACTCTGCAATATGAGCTTCTTCACAACGGCAAGAGGAGCAAGCATGTTCTCGAATCTAACACCGAAATGGCTACGATTACGACAGACAAACTGGTCAACGGTGGCGAGTACACCCTTGCGCTAACCAGCGTCAAAGATAAGTCGAATTGCAAAAGAACTTTGAAAGAAACTGTTAAGATCGATGCCCGACCAAAGCCACCTCACGTTGCATTTGGCCAGATTGAGAAAACGCGCAGTGTGTCTGCCATGCAAGGGTCAAAGATTGAAATCCCATTGAGACTCAGCGGTGAGCGGCCATGGACTGTGAAATACAAGAACGTCGATATCAACAAAACCCCCATTGAGAAAACATTCTGGGACGGAAACAGCATTTTAACAGTAGATCAAGAGGGTCTCTATGAACTTATTGAAGTTTATGATAGCTCATGTCCAGGATATGTTGATCAAGCTGCGAAAGAATTTGAGGTGACCTGGATTCCACGTCCCCAGGTCACAGCCGTGGATGGCTCTCCTCTTGGATCGACAAACAGTTATGTGAAGCCAGAAGTCTGTCAAGGAGATGACGACAGCCTTGAACTTCGCTTATCTGGAAACCCACCATTCGCTTTCCAGTATGAACAACGGCGGAAGACAGATCGTGGTGCTTCATCTGCTCGCACCAAGAACGTTCGCACTGCTCAGAATGTAGTGTCGACGGAGATGGACACGTCTGAACCTGGTCAATACACTTACAAGTTTACCGATATTGGGGACAATCTCTACGACTACAACGCGAAGAACAGTGCTTTCGTTGTCACACAGAAAGTGAACTCCCTACCTACCGCTCGTTTCGATTCGCCTGGCCATATCTATGGCTTCTGCAAAGAGGATGCGAATGGCGAGGAAACTATTCCAATCACTCTGGAGGGTTTACCACCATTTTCATTGGAAATCACCATCAAGCATCACTCAAACGCTAAGCCTGAGATCGTTTCCATTCCCAAGATCAACTCTAACCGCCATAACTTGCCCATCCCTCGGCGTCACCTAGACCTAGGTCAGCATGTGGTCAGCATCCACAAGGTCCGCGACTCTCGTGGATGCCAGAGAACTACAGAGTACGATTCGTCCTCTGTTCGGGTAGCCGTTTCCGATGTGCCTACGATCATTCCTCTTGAATCAAAGGTTGACTACTGTGTGGGTGAACGTTTGTCTTTCTCTCTTTCAGGACATGCTCCGTTCGAGGTTTTCTATAGCTTCAATGGAGCTCAGCGGAAGGCTACATCTCAGAACACAAATTTCCGCCGTATTGCCGAGCGTCCCGGTGAATTCACCATTACAGCTGTCGGTGATGGAGCTAGTGGCAAGTGCAAGGCGCATAAGGATATCACAAAGATCATTCATGAGATGCCCAGTGTGCGGATTAGCAATGGTCAAGTATCCGTGGTAGATATCCACGAAGGCGGAGAAGCTGAACTTCACTTCGACTTTTGGGGCACACCACCATTTGAATTCACGTAAGTTGACTTTCTTTCGCGCCCATAACATGGCTCCTACTAATACTTAAATGACAGATATATTCGAAGCTCCAATTCGCGCAAAGGCAAAAAGTCAGAGGTTCTTGATATCAAACATGATATCTCCTACGAACATCGTAAGACTGTCAAGACCTCCGATGAGGGTACTTACGAGGTTGTGGCGATCAAGGACAAATTCTGTTCGTTCTCCTCGCAGGTGCCGACGGGCAAGTCTGGCCGAGGTGCTTCATGAATGTAAAATGATGTGATTTTCATGCGATTCTATACTGATGCCTGGTTGTTTATTTTGGAAAGTTTGCATTGCAACGGCGCTAGCAGATTATGTACATTCGCCAGTAGGATAAGCTCTAATTTCAGATATAATGTTCTTTCTCTTTTTTAACTTGTTCTTCCTTCAGGCGTGGAAATTAGACCTTGGAATCATTGATATCAATGGTTTCAATAAGTCCCTCGCCAAGCCGGGCAATCTCGTTCAAAATAGCCGGTCGGTTGATTGTCACGCGGTCTCCACTCTCCTGAGAATCCGCTGCAGTCGTCGAATAGATCATCTTCAGGTTCCAGTTACGGGGCTTCAGGGTCTGCGGGTTCCACAGACCGGCGATCACAGGGCACTGTTCATCGCCGTGGAACAAGAGGACGCTTTGGTTATAGCACCCTTGGATATCATGTACAAATGACTTGACAGTCGCCATAGCATTGGCTTGGTTTAAGGCATCGGGCTCGACGAGATTTTTAAATTTGGACGCGGACGCGGAATGACCACTAAGGACCTTGCGGCGCAGGTGGATAACAAAGTCGTAAGGAGCAAGCGAAGTCTGAAAAAGCTCAGAGACATTGAGATCGCTGGTTTCCTTGCGTAGCAAGCTAATTGCTGCTTTCGCTAACGAGGTCATTCGGCCAGCCACGACCTTTGAAGGCATCTCATACTGGGTCCAGGTTACGCCATCAGTGTCAAGATCGGACGCGACAAACAGAGCGACAGTGTTCATGGCCGGGTCAATATTGCGCCAGGCAGCGAATCGAGTGCGAATGACTTCAGTTATCTCCGGGTTCAAATCTCCACTTAGGTCAACGATGAAGGGTTCTTGCTTCCAATCCCAACGGGAAAGAAAGTGAATAGTACGTAGGAATCCAGTCATGACACTAGAAGGAGAGCCCCAGGGATAAGGCTGAGTAAAGACTCGTACGGCCATAAGCTCAATCAGCTCTTCGCAGACTTGGGCTGCGAAGAGGTGAGAGCTAAACCAATGTTTAACTAGGCGAATAGTTGGCGATAGCAGAGGAAGGCGAGTGCAGAGACTCCTCAATGATTGGCTCAAACGTGGGCCCTGGACAAAATTCTTTTTATACGCAAAGAGAGCATATGCATACTCTTCTCGTTCCCGAGGACCAATACTCTTGTCCTTCAATTGGCGCTCAAGTAATGTCTGTTCACGATCATGATGAATTCTCAGGCGAAATAAGAATCCAGATGCGTGGGAAATGTCCAGATAAGCATTATTTAGTACCTTGCTTGACTCATTCTCGAGACCCAGGCGGCAAGATGGAGCAGCACCAGATGACTCTAAGGAGTCGCCGATCTTCAGCAAGAAAGCCGCTTTTGTCATCTGGATTGCCGCAAAATCATCCGGCCAGCGGGATGAGCTCTCAAACTGAAGAACGATGTCTGCAGGGGCCTGGGATTTTCCTGAAGTTTGGACTCGAAGCGCAGTATAACGTAGGAGGGGGCTAGCTGGTGCTAGATGCCTGATTGTCAATGGGACTTCATCCATATTTCCAATAGATCTTTCGAGCTCGCTGAAAGCTTCCTTGATGGAATTGAAAGCCGGGCTTGAATATGACAAGATTCCGCCGCTTTCATCCATGAGTATAGCATCATACTCGTCTCCGATGAAACTGAAGTCATCTTGAGACACCTGGAAATGCCGCTGCAGAATATACTCCACTATTTGAAGAACAATAGAATCTTCGTGGGGCTGATCAGACCAGACAAGACTTTCCAAAATGCTGCCGTCTTTGAAACGGCGTAGCTCTGACTTTTCGCCCCAGAAAGCTCTGAATGAAGCCGCCTCCTCTTTCTCCTCTGCGGGCGGACCATGATCAACCACCCGAGAGACATTATCAGCGTCAAGTAGAAGCCCCACAGACAGATTGTGGCTGGCTTTCTTGGTCAGAGCTTTGGCTCGGACAGGCCAAGACTCTGCGCATTGACTCACGATAGAAATGAGTTGAACTCTATCCCCCAGGGCCTTTGATAGGGTGGCATACAAGGTGTTCTGTTCACGAATGGCTCGCAGAGTATCACCAGTAAAGGCCTTTGGAAAGGAAAGGAGACGGTCGAAACGCAGCGCCGGCTCATTAACTTTGACGATGAAAACTCGGTCGAAGTTGTCTTCGCGCGATTCGTTCAGCATCTTGAGCGCGATAGTGGCTTCGTGTCGAAGGGCCGCATAAGACCATGCAGTCATCTTATACAGAAAATTCAGACCTCTGCGTCCGTCGTACAGAACAGGACCCCCGGCAGAAATTGGCACATCAGTGGAGAATAGAAGCAAGGGTGTAGTCAAGTCTCTGCCAGCCAAGAATTGCATGGTAGCCTTGAAGATCTGGTAGCTACTGTATGAACGAAGCAGGATAGGTTGGCCACCAGGGCCACCTCCTTCAAACAGAAGAGAGATAAGCGCAGTCCACTCGAAGCCTCCAAAACCTCCGTTTTGAAAAGATGTGTGGAAACCACGCTGCTGTAGCCAAGTGCGCCCCAGAATACATGCGTCGCGGAAAGAATCGCATTTCTGGGCGGCAGAATGAAGGGACTTGTGATAGAGCGAAACGGCAGCTTCGGAGCGAAGGCTTGCATTGTAGAATGGAGTGGGTTCATCGCCTTCATTCTCATCCTTTGAGCCTTGGCGAATATTGTTTCTCATCGGCAGAGTTCGGCTGATAGGGAATAAATTTGGGTCAATTGCAGTTAGAATTCGAATTTGCGCCGGGATAGTAGGATCGTTCTTCGAACTCGGGCGAGGCTCAAGCAGAATGATAGGGCGCAAACTATCACCATCCTGAAAGCCAAATTTTATTTCAAGTCCAAGGTCATTCATTGTCTTTTGGATACCGGCTGCAAGGCAAGCAATGTAGTATGCGCGTTTGTGGAAGTAACGATAGTTGGCGTAGTCTTTCTCCTGAAATATGGAGTTGGGCATTGTCACTGCCAAATCAACCGGACGGTGCTCTACTGTCTTCGCACCGGTCTTCAGGGCAACGCTGCCCACCACATTGATGTTTGTAGGTTTCGAGTACGATACGGTGTATTTGACGTCCTTGGCAGGTCGGGGTTCAGGCCATGGGATCACGATCTCAGAGGCTGCACGCAGGTCTTTCTCAGCTTCGGGGATGGTCTTTGGAGCGATATCCGCTAAATTTTCGATTGCGTCCTTCAGCTTGTGCAATGGATCTTGGAGCTTGAGGATTCGTTTTTCGGAATTCGGTCTCAGCCCTGACAATAATTCATCCATCTGTAGTTTGAAAAAGCTGGATTTATAAAATCCGCTCGCCATTGCGAGCTCTGCGGAGCCATCTTCATTCGATTTCCGTCCTTGATGAGTCTTAGCCGGTCGATCGTCCTTGCGCGCAGAGGGTTTGGCCGATTTTTCGGTCGCTTCTGTTTTTGATTCGGATCGAGAAGTAGAATCCGGAGAAGGACTCAACTTCCTCCGCTTCACCGTGTGAGCCGACATCTTGTACAAGCTAGGGCTCAAGATGGGGTTTGGGGGATATAACGAGTGATGTTTTACTAGTAGTAAAGCTTTCGGACAGGATTTTTTTTATGGGGCGATAACGGGGATAACACCTGCTGAGTCAGAACCTTCCATACGCCATCGCCGAAATCGCATGCTCTTGGATGACTCGAATTGATCTTTTTTTCTCTTTGCGTCCTTTCTTTCTTTTTGACCTTCCACTCGCTCTCTCATTTTGTGTTTTTCATTTGATTGTGTCAATTTAGTTTCGACGACAATGCTCCAAGCCCTGGGAGGCCCTGTGCCTCCAAACACTGACCATGTATGTGTCCCGCACACCCCGCGATTTAGTCCTCTGTGGGCAAACACTTTGCATACATTTCTATGTCGAATTGAGCAATTAACGCATGAATTAGGCCGTCAGCGTTTCACTACCTACATGGAGATCTAATATCGGTTATGAGGAAGGAGAAGAATGGGTAATGGGCAAGATGCAATGCGGATATCCGCGATTCTTTGTGCACCGGATTATTCAGAAGCTGGTACAAGAAGTTGTCCAACGTGTAGGCAACCCAGGGAAAGACACAGCGACCCTATTCGCATCCCTCAAGACAGCACGCATCTGTCACTCGTTTATTTTGTCCAAAACCCCCCAAGAACGATCGCAAGAAATCCGAATCATCAGTTTTGTTCCCTCCCCACGAACCGAAGCCGGGTCTGTCTCATCCCCCCTGGTCGGTGTGATTTATCCCCAAGAATTTGCTTCCATTGGCAAGGAGGTGTGGCAGCATTCCGGAAATGGAATTTCGAGTCGGCGGGGCGAGTTTTGTCTACGCGCCCTACAGGATGGTTTCTTGGTAGAGGAAAAGAGTTCTGCTACTGATCTCGCTCCTCAACGACCTTGTAAAGGTCCTCGAAGATATCAGGGTCGAGGCTCCCTCAGTGGACCATCCAAGGGCTCAACTCCTGCTTCCTCTTCGCTGGCATCTACCGCAACTAGCGGTGTCGAGGATGGCCGGGATTACGCCCAATTCATCGAAGAACGTTTTGGGCGGAATCTGAGTGCTCAGCACGCTGATCAGGCCAAAGTTGCAATCCGACGCCGCATTGCTGGCGTTTTGACCACCAACGTGGAATTGCCGGAAGCCCTAGAAACAGCTTCCCCTGGGGGTCGAGTCGATGATATCTCCGAAGACGACGTCCTTCTTTATCCATCCGGAATGAGTGCTATATTCAATGCGCACCAAACTCTGATGACTGCTCGAGGTGCCTTGAAGAGTGTATGTTTTGGATTTCCCTATACCGATACATTCAAGATTCTACAGAAGTGGGGAACAGGCTGCTTATTTTATGGCCATGGCTCGTCGGAGGATCTCGATGATCTAGAAAAGAGACTACAGAACGGCGAACGATTTCTTGGACTTTTTACGGAAGCCCCAGGCAATCCTCTACTGAAAACCCCTGACCTAGCTCGCATACGAGGCCTAGCAGACAAGTATGATTTCGCGGTGGTTGTTGATGAGACCATCAGCAATTTTCTCAATATCAACGTCCTTCAGTATGCAGACATTGTCGCTAGCAGCCTGACAAAGGTTTTCAGTGGAGATAGTAACGTCATGGGAGGAAGTGTAATTCTTAACCCCCATGGACAGTATTATCAAAAGCTGAAGGAAACATATACTCAAGAATATGAAGACATCTACTGGGCTGAAGATGCCGTGTTTTTGGAGCGGAATAGTCGCGACTTCATGTCAAGAATTGGGAAGATCAATTCTACATCCGAAGAAATCGCAGGCATGCTGAACGATTCCCTCCTCAGTAAGTGAACATTCCTCGGTGCTCAATTCAGCTAGTTCTTCATGCTCACTGTCTTTATAGTCAAACAAGTCCATTACCCTAAATTCAGCCCCACTCGACCCCTTTACGACAGCCTTCGCAATCCTGATGGTGGTTACGGTGGTCTGTTTTCTGTCACCTTCTATTCCGACGCAGAGGCTATTGCCTTCTATGATACGCTGGAAGTCTTAAAGGGCCCAAGTCTGGGCACCAACTTCACACTCTGGTAAGATTTATTATTTATTGCTTAATTGCCCCCCCCTTTTTTTTAAGCGCTTATACTAACTTCATCTACTCTATAGCTCTCCGTACGTTCTTCTAGCCCACTACGGGGAACTCGACTGGGTAAGTAATATTCCTTCCCTTGATATCCATCCAACCCTCTTTACTTCCTCGTGTAATTATCTTATCCTCTGACGTACCCTGCAGGCAAGATCGTTCAATGCAGACCCTAGCCTCGTCAGAATCAGTGTTGGGTTGGAAGAAGTGGCGGACCTACGCTCTAGATTCCAGAAAGCACTGGACGCGGTAGAAAAAGCGAGAGCTTAGAGCGCGCCGAAAGAAACGGGGATTATAATTTTCAACAAACTCAAACCACCCTATAAAGGCGTCTTGGTCCACCTCAATGATAATTGGACCTATATCTTATGGTTATACTTCCATAACCACTACCCTTTTACAGTGTTAACATTGAAGTATCACAAAAGAAGAACAAAATTACATCACAGACAACCTTGGAAATCAAGGCCATGGTGACCGTGGCTTAAAGTTGCGCAACAAATAAATGCTATAGCTTTGTAGGGAGATACACAGTAATCAACTGTTTAATGTTGAAAACAGCGTATAATCAACTATGGCCAGCTCCATTGACATATATCATGAGATCATGAACAGAAACTAGGCACCGTCAAGCCATTGGACTTGGTGATGACCTCGGGGGACGCAAGCCCGCAGAAGCCTTGTAACCAGGGCTTGGAGCTTAAAATGGGGTTATATTGAGATCGAGCAAACAAAAATCATTCAAGCTATAGGATTTACAACAGCAGATACGCCTAGTACCAGCTATTTCCACTGACCAGTTTCTATATTATGGCTAAGTAGAAGTGGCAATCATATAAGGGTTTGGTAAACTGGTCAGCCAAAGCCATCATTTAATACAGAGCCAATATACTTGCAATGAGAATGACTCGACTAATGCTTTTTACTTTCCTTTTTTTCCAGTGCAGTTAGCCAACGTGCTGTTGTAATAATCCCAGTAGGATAGCAGTCAATAAATAGCATTCCAAATTTGTTGGATAGTTCAATACACTGGTGCCAGAGGTGGCTCGGCTATCTGAAGCCCTCGTCTTAGGAGAATGGGCTTTGGTAGACAGTACGGCTATCTTACATTGTTCAAGAGTCAGGTAAAATTTAGAAATTTGTATAATACCCTGCCTAGGCGTGTCTCTCTTGACTTGAAGACTCACTGAACGTGATTGACATGTTCCGAGAGTCGATCGAACCCTAAATAGATCGAAAAAGAGAGATAAAGATAAAATTAAACCAGGCGGCACAACAAGTTAGTCCAACTAAAATGACCGGTCTAGAGGCTCATCATTTCCAAAGGCGCTTGCTGTCTGACTTGCAACTCCCCCCAGGTCACCACTGCCCGTCCTCCGTAGCGCCTGGCCCATCGTTTCTACATTCAGTTCTCCTCCGAAGCTCGAGGAAACTGGGCTATGGGCTATTGCAAAGGGACTACCAGGGGCGCGAGGCCCGTGTTTAGGTGACATCTCGAGACCCTTGAAAGAGGTCGCGATACTAGTTGGAGGGGACGTTCCAAGCGCGTGTGATGAGGCAGGGGAGCGCAATGGAGAAGGGGAGCGGTTATGCCCTGCAAAGAAACTTCCAGTGGCAGGGGTACCTTGCGAAAGTTCTCGACTATAAACGGATTCACCAGTCTCGGCATGCTCAGCATTGACGACATCAGCGAACGATATGAAGCTTAAGCGTCGCACGTCATTTGTATCCAGAGCACCATAGGTCGATGAAACTTCTTCGGCATCAGGCGATTGCGCTGGTATCTGATCAACAATGCCGGAGGATGCCAAAGATTGATCTGCGGTGGAGCCTGGGGTGATACCTGCTGCAGCAGGATGGTGGAGGCTATGTGTGACAATTTCGACAGAGTCTGGATCCAATTGTTCATCTGTGATGGCGGCCGATGAAGCTTCCAGGACTGATGGGATATAGTTCTCCGTGCGTATATGCGCGGGGATCGAGGGCGAGGCTTGTGATGGCAGCATATCTTCTTGTACGCTTCTCTCGAATATCTGCGAGGCGGGAGAATGAAGGCGAGGGGGCAAGGTTGATGTTGCTCCAGGGGAAGAGGGATGTTTATATGTATGTCTCGGTCTGGCCGAAATATTGGGCGTTCGCAAGACTTCAGAGCTACTGGGCGATATAGGTGACACGGGACCGTTACTTGAATTTCCCGGTCTCGAAATTTGGTCCTCCTCATACTGGTCCTTATTGACTTGCTGCATTTGGTTCCAGGTCAAATTTGGGGGTCGAGAGGCCCGTCCTATCGTTTGGGCCTTCCCGGCCGTGTCAAGATTGGCATCGGCCCGGCCTTCCAGAGTCTCATCAACCTGGACAGGCACAGAGCGGGACTCAAGCGAGCTGGTGTTTATTGGGTCAGACATCGGGGCCTGGTGGTCGGACATAACGAACCCAGGAGTTGACAGAAGTACTGAAGCGGAATGAAGCTGTGGAGAACAAACCGCGACCCAAAGCTTCTAGAAAGCGACGGCCATGACCAGATGCTAATGACTTTCAAGTAATCTCGTGAAATCTCGATCAATGATACCGGGTATAAGGGGAATGTTATTAAGAGGGGATTAGAAAAGGGAGAAAACGGTTATCATCTCACTTTTTTCTTTTGCTCGGGAGATGATGACATCTGTGCCAGGTGATCAACGGGGAACCGGGGGGTTGCTGTTGACGGAATCACCAAGTATCCGGTACCTTTAGAGGCGTACGATTCGCCCATTGTCAAGCGGGTACCTGTAAGTACTCGTAAGTACCTGATACATGGGCGTGGGTTCTGTAATTTACTATACACCACCCCGGAAATACAACTGGACTGGAGGTCTGTCACAAAAGAGTGAAACCTCCTGGGAAGTTTCCGAGTTATGTCCAAGCCCTGGAGGTTAGCATGGGTCTACCTCGGAGACGTGGTTGGAATCAGAATTTAGTTCTTGTTCCAATTTCCTTGATATCGATTATTTCAACCTGGTTGGGTATTATTAAGAGGCACCTCAAGTGCTACATACCTGTGGACCTGCACATGTGTCCATACTTCCCCACTAGTCCACGGGGCCCGTGTATTGTAATTAATGTAATAGCAATACACCTCCTTGCCAAGACCAAGTGTGCGAGTCACGAGACCACGGGAAAAAAAGTTCAGGAGCAGAAACACACTTCGGCAGCTTCCGTGCGATCTCCAACCTGGGCATCTACTATCCCCAATTCTTACTCAATCGCCACCTGTTCCTCAAAATCACCCGTTGCATCCCAAATTAGCGTCCCTCTTTCTTTAGGGTGCTAAACCGGCCCCTCCCTTCACAGAATGGCAACCTCGATCATTGCGCCGAAACGGCCATTCCTCACCTTACCATTCCTTCTCCCATCTTGGACAGATTCGCTTTCTTTAGGGACTCGGCGTTATCAATCGTCTTACCGCCGAACCAAGCAACGTCTTCGCGTCAAGCCAGATGCTTCATTTGGATCTTCACAGCAAGTTGGCGATCATATCATCCACAATCCGCCATCCAGCGCCCCTTCGGTTTATCACACCCCCAACAAGTTCCTCCCTTCCAATGATGCTCGGAAAGCAATGCGGACCCAGGCTTCCGCAGGCTACAAGGCCAACGAGCTCCCCAATATCCACAAGGTCGAGGCAGAGAGGAAGTACCACCTGAACCCATCCGACATTGAAGAAATCCGCAAGCTCCGGTTGGCAGACCCGATGACGTGGAGTCGACACAAGCTGGCCAAACGCTTCGAGTGCTCACCACTGTTTATTGCCATGGTCTGCGAGGCCAGCGCTGAGAAGAAAGAAATCCAGAAGCAAGTTTTGGAAGCTGTGCAATCACGATGGGGACCAAAGCGACGTATGGCCCGTGAAGACCGACAGTTACGTCGGGCGGCATGGGGCCGTGATGAATAAATTCTCTCTTCCCTATCACATGTATTTCTGGCTATATCTTTGTCTATTGTTTGAGCCTGATACTGCCTCGGTTTTCCTAGCTCTATTCAAACCAAACCGGATGTTGTGATGGCATATGGACGCTGCCATACAACTCCCATATCAACATGTCTATGTACTCTAAACTAGCATTCGTCCTCATGTATTCAATATCTATATCCGAGCAATCCAAATATTTTTCTCCCCGCTTCTGCTATATGACTTCCAGCATACAGTAAGAATCGGGAAGGATACAATATGCGGGATAAATAAATCTTTCCACCGTTCAATACCGCGAGAATAACGACTATGCCCATGGATTCGAACGCCAGAAATCGGTGATTAGTCTCAAATTATGCTCAAGTTTGACACGGGCAAATCATTGAATCTTCTGGTGTAGTATCTGCGCTCTTCTTATCAGAGGAGATATAGAAATCAGCATATATACTCACATAGGCTGTGTAGCACACGGGTTAGTAGTTATTACAAGTGTACGAGCAACCTTAGAAGTGAGCTTGTCAGCAAGTGGAACGTCATTACCAACTCTTCTTATTCAATTTTGTCATGCTCTTCTATTAGCCTTTGGGAACTTCAGAGATTTTACGGTATAAGATCGGACAATTTGAAGGTCGTTTGTATCTGGTATTTGATAGCAACATTTCCAAGGTTGAACTCTGTGTTAGCTTGTGTTCGGTTTGAAGTTGTGGTGGGGCTGACTCGCCAAGACGCGAAAGAGCGCGTGACGCGGGTCTCTTTCAAACCTGTAGATCTCTTGGTCTTGGACGACTCCGAGCTCCATTGTTGACAGCATTCTTACCAAAGAGCATTTTCCGACTCTTCAAATCTTCGTTATGTGCTAGCTATATTCTTTTTCACTCATCACGCTCTCACTATGCCCCACATGAAGCGTACACAAGAGTCCTCGGGCTCAGATGAGGATCAAAGTGACAGTGGTCAAGAAAGTTATGGAGTAGCATTCCCGCTACACCCAGTAAGCGACCAAGATTCAATGTACAAACGATAGTCCCACTGACGATGAAACAGAGAAAACGACCACGCACGTCCAACTCACCGTCCGAGAGAGATGAAGAAGCCAGCGATGCAGAGTCGAACCCCCGCTCCTCCCCCCTTGCCGATGATGATAACATGTCCCTCGATGATGATGAATTAGAATTACGCCAGACCCAAATCATTCAAGAGAAATATGCCCATTTGGTCGATGAAGCCAATGTTCCTTCCGATCATGGAATTCTTGAGCGTGTTGATTGCTATAATTTCATGTGCCATGACCACTTTTCGGTGGAACTAGGACCTCTGATCAACTTCATCATTGGAAAAAATGGCAGTGGTAAAAGTGCAATCCTTACCGCATTGACACTCTGCTTGGGTGGCAAAGCATCTGCAACCAATCGTGGACAGAGCCTCAAGAATTTCATCAAGGAAGGGAAGGAGAATTCCAACATTGTTGTTCGAATCAAAAACCAGGGTGATGGTGCTTACCGACCAGAGGTCTATGGAAAGTCAATCATTGTCGAACGCCATTTCAACAAGAGTGGGAACAGCGGGTTCAAAATTAAGTCCGACAACGGGCATATTGTTTCGACCAAAAAGGCGGAGCTAGACTCGATTACGGACTACTTTTCTCTACAAATCGACAATCCCATGAACGTTCTCTCCCAGGATTCTGCTCGACAATTTCTCAGTACGTCTAGTCCAGCAGAGAAATACAAGTTCTTCGTGAAAGGAGTGCAATTAGAGCAATTAGACCAAGACTACTGTTTGATCGAGGAGTCAGTTGATCAGATGGAAGAAAAAATACGAAATAAAAGCCAAGACATCCGTATCTTGGAACAAAGATGGGAGGCTGCCCAGAAAAAGTTAGAACTTTCGGAACAACATGCCTCATTGAGAGAGCGTATCAAACACTTACGCAACCAGCTCGCTTGGGCTCAGGTTGAAGAGCAAGAGCGAGTGAGTATTGCTTTCCACTTTTTATTGAGCCTACTCTGACATCTTTTAGATTCGTGATTCTCTCAATGATGAACTCGCTAAAGCCGATGGGCTGATTGGTAGCGCAGAAACTGCACTCGTCGACTTTGATGTTAAGTTCCAAGCTATTGAGACCGAGGCCGAAACAGCGGCCGAACATGCTCTTGAAGCCGACAGGCTTCAAGAGCAGGCACGACAGGAACTTGCTGATCTCACAAAAGAAATGGAGGGTATCATGGCAGAACGGCGGAACCTTCAAGTATGTGGGCTTCTACGACGTTTTTCTCTATGGCAATGTGCTTACGGCAAGCCATTCGGCTTTTGATAGGCTCAAAAAACCCAAATCAAAGATTTGATTACAAGCGCCGAAGAACGGATTTCTGAGTCAAAAGGAAAGATTGACGATGAAAATCGTCGCCTGGCCGAAGTGAGCGATGGAGGTTATGCCAAAAAGCAGGATGAGTGTAAGGAGGCCAAGAGTCGTGCGAGTGAAGCTCGTGAGGAGCACAACAACCACCTTGAAGGCTCAAGGGACTTGCGAGAAAAGCTTCTCGATGCCCAGAAGCAGGAGAAGCATGCGAAAGAACAACTTGGCGCCAAACAAGCCGATCTCTCGCAAGCAGAAGAACGACTGCACGGCCTTCAAAGAGAAAATGGTCAAAGGCGGACAGGCTTCCATGACAAATTGCCAAGCCTCAAACAAGCCATCGCTCGAGAAACGTCATTCACGATGCCCCCTCTGGGCCCTGTAGGGGAGCACATAACCTTGCTTGAAGCTAAATGGGCATCCATTCTTGAACATGCTTTCGGTAATACGCTGAACAGTTTTATTGTGGCATCTAAGCAAGACTCGACCACCCTCTTGAATATCATGCGTCGGGTCAATTGGTACGTCGTCCTGTTGTCTTCTAGTGATTTTAGTGTTGATAACGCCTTCTAACTCTTGTTTTCCACAGCGTATGTCCGATTTTGATTGGAAGAGATGGTAACATCGACATCTCGGCCCACGTGCCTGATTCTCAATATCAGACGGCATTAGATATTCTACAGGTGAGACACGAGTTTCAACTGCACTGTCATGGGTTACTAATACATTTTAACAGTTTGATAACTCTATGGTTCGGCAACAACTCATTATCAGTCATTCTGTTGAGCAAATGGTATTAATCGAAAGTCTCGAAGAAGCATCTGCGGCGCTTTTTGACGGTGAACGACCGAAGAATGTGAAACGGTGCTTTTGTATTAATTTAAGGGACAGGCGCAGGGGACATACCCTTTCATACAATCGAATGGGTGATCCCAGTCAGGCGCCCGTGCCAATTTATCAGGGCAACCCGCGAATGAAATCCGATGCGGCCTCGCAGATCAGGTACGTGGCTCACCACCCTAAAAAAAGCCAGAGGTTCGAATTGCTCACCTTCCTTCCTGTAACAGTGCGCAGCGAGAAGTGGTTGGAGATCTTGCTCGTCAGCTGAATGAATTAAAACAAGAATTTCAATCGGCTCGTTCCCACGTTCAGGCCTGCAACCAAGCAATGAGTAGGTGGGAGAAAACTGAGCATGAACTGAAATTGAGAATGCAGAGGATGGAGGATGACGCCGAGGCCCTCCGAGACGCTCTCGAGAAAGAAAATGCCGAAGATGGGCATCTAGAGACCCTTCTCGCATCCCTAAAGGACGCTGAAGACGAGAAGCAACTCAATGAAGGCTCTCTCAATGATAGCGAGGCTGCAATGACCGAGGTCATGGGGAAAATAAAGGTTGGAAGAAGTGTAATGGTAGCGAAAAATAACGAAATCACCCGCTTGACAGAAAATTCCCGTGTTGCAGAGAGTGAACGCTCGGTCGTGGCCGGTAGAAGGCAGGATATTCTCGGCGAGAAAAATGCTGCTGTCGCTCAGATTGAGAAGCAAAAGGCAGATAGACGCAGACTTCATGTGAAGCTGGAAGGACTTGTGGAACGAGTACTTGAATACATTGAAAAGGCGAGCTTGGTTTCAACGAGGATTCCTGTCGATGAGGGCGAAAGCTCAGCCAGTCTTGACCAGAAGCTCACCAAATTACACGCTGATCTGACCCGATATCACCAACAGTACTACTTATTCCTGTCTAATTATGCAATTCTTCGCTGATCAAGTTTATAGACTCGGTGCGTCGCGGGATGAAATCGCTGCAGAGGCTAACCAGACGGAAATCGCGTATCGCCAAGCGACGAGCCAGATTGAAGAGCACACTGCAATTGTCCAGGTATGGATCAAAACCCGAACCTTCCAAGCTTCCCACTAACACACTCGAAGCAATTAAAAGACACTTTGCATGATCGCAAAAAGAGATGGGAAATTTTCCGCTCCCACATCTCGTCTCGTGCGAAGGCTCAATTCACCTATCTTTTGAGCGAGAGAAGCTTCAGAGGCCGGTTGCTCACTGACCATAACAACAAGCTACTAGACCTCCAGGTTGGTTACGAGGAACTTCTGGTTAATAGTCATTACTGGCTAGCTGACTTTCGATTTTGCTAGGTCGAGCCCGATATCACAAAAGATGACAGCACCGGCCGGGGTGCGAGGACCCTTTCTGGAGGAGAGAAATCCTTCTCGCAGGTCTGTCTTCTATTGGCCCTCTGGGAAGCAATGGGGTCGCCCATTCGTTGCCTCGATGAATTGTAAGACCTCCCCCACATTCTTTAACCCTCGCTGTCCTCATATTCGATCCCTAATCCTATCATTTAGTGATGTTTACATGGACCACATCAACCGCAAGATGGCAATTGACATGCTTGTATGTATATGCTGGTCCCCCCCCCCCCGGGGCGCGCGCGCAATTGCCTATAAAACATGCGCGATGGTATATATTAATTTCCTAAATAGATGACCGCCGCCAGACGATCCATTGGGCGACAGTTTATCTTGATCACGCCTGGAAGCAAAACGGATATTACCATCTCCCCGGATGTAAGAGTAAAGGAGCTTGCTGAGCCAGAACGTGGTCAAACCACCCTGTCTTTCCAACGCAGATAGTTGCGACAGCCTCTACGAAGTACTTTTTTCTTTTGTCTGCCTGGTCATAAATTGTTTGCAGCGCCAAATACCCCAAATCCGAATTGTCCTGTACGATCAGCCCTATTATTCTCATGTAGTCTAGCTTAAGGTTATGTACCGTGAATCAAGGCCTATTTTCTGCTTTGTACATGCGTTTCCATAGTTCCAAGTTGTTCTTGTGTCGTCCTTTCGATTCAAAGTCACGTGCACCCGGCGGGACCAGGCCGTTACGGGCTTTCCCACTCAACCTCAACTTCTTTTGTCTCCAAATCCCTTCCACTTGCTGAACTCCTCATCTCCTCGATTCCCCGCGCTTCATTCACGTTTCGCCTCAAAGGGTCAACATTTGATCCCATTCTATTATCCACCCATTGGATATCCGATTTGACCTCTTTGCTCCACCTCAACCCTCCTCCATCTAATTCACCGTGACCCCACCCCCAACACTTCGACCTATTTTTTTCAGTCGGGTTGCTAGAAACTCCTAGACGGAAATATTCTTGTGACTCCTCGAAGGCCTGGACTCTGCTAAAATAAAACCCCGCATACTTCACTCTTTCACCGACAAAGCAACTCGAAGCAATAAGATTTCCCTTACGCCTACATCTAAAACCCTTTGGCTCACGCCAAACCTTGCTAGCCGCCGTGATCTCTCACTCTTGGACTCATTATCCATCCGCACTCAACGGCCGACTGCCTCCTTCTTTTCTCTTTTCTCCTTTCTTTTCCCCGGCTCTCTCGATACCCTTTCGTCACCATGGCTGATGCACTTGCCTCCCAACTTCACAACACTAAGCTGAGGTAACCTTCAATCACCTTCAAATGGCCGTTGTCCTATAATTCTCGGGGGGTGCTGACTTGGCTAGCAGTGATGGGAGCTCAGAAGCAAAATTACAGGACTCTTTGAAGCTTCCTCCCAAGGATGCTCGGCCACAAACAGAGGTTCATTTTTTCAAGGTTCCCTGTTCAAAAACAGCACTAACTTGTTTTTCAGGATGTCACAGCCACTAAGGGACTCGAATTCGAAGATTTTTACATCAAGCGAGAGCTCATGATGGGCATTTTTGAGGCTGGGTTTGAGAAGCCTTCCCCGATTCAAGAAGAAACTATTCCAGTTGCTCTCACCGGTCGAGACATTCTGGCTCGAGCCAAGAATGGAACAGGTAAAACAGCAGCTTTTGTCATTCCTACTTTGGAACGAATCAACCCAAAGAGCACCAAGACTCAAGCCTTGATCCTAGTTCCCACACGAGAGCTGGCTCTTCAAACGTCCCAAGTCTGCAAGACGTTAGGGAAACACCTGGGTATTAACGTCATGGTTACTACGGGTGGGACAGGTCTGATGGATGACATTATTCGTTTGAATGATGCTGTTCACATCTTGGTCGGAACTCCCGGCAGAGTCCTTGATTTGGCTAGCAAAGGTGTTGCCGATTTGTCCGAATGCCCTACCTTCGTGATGGATGAAGCGGACAAGCTTCTCTCCCCTGAATTCACACCCGTAATTGAACAACTTATGTCCTTCCATCCCAAGGACCGACAGGTCATGCTTTTCAGTGCTACATTCCCGCTCATTGTCAAATCCTTCAAGGACAAACATATGCGCAATCCTTATGAGATCAACCTCATGGATGAACTCACCCTTCGCGGCATTACACAATACTATGCCTTTGTGGAAGAAAAACAGAAAGTCCACTGTTTGAATACCCTGTTTTCGAAACTGCAGATTAATCAGTCTATCATTTTCTGCAACTCGACCAACCGCGTTGAGCTGCTAGCGAAGAAAATCACGGAATTAGGTTACTCCTGCTTTTACTCGCATGCGCGCATGCTTCAACAACACCGAAATCGGGTCTTCCATGATTTCCGCAACGGCGTGTGCCGGAACTTGGTCTGCTCTGATCTTTTGACCCGTGGTATTGATATTCAAGCTGTCAACGTCGTGATCAACTTTGACTTCCCAAAGAATGCGGAAACATATCTTCACCGTATTGGTCGCTCCGGTCGCTTCGGACATCTCGGTCTTGCTATCAATTTGATCAACTGGGAGGATCGTTTCAACCTCTACAAGATTGAGCAGGAATTGGGCACCGAAATTCAACCTATTCCCCAAAACATTGACAAGAAGCTTTACGTCTATGATTCGCCAGAAAACATCCCTCGCCCCATCTCCGGTCCTCCGCAGCCCCAGATTACTGGCCCGCATCCCGGTAACGGGGATCGCCAGCCTCGCCGCCAAAATCATCACTCGAATGGTGGGCAGTACTACAACAACAGAGGTCGAGGCTCTTACCGTGGTAGTGGTCGGGGACAAGGTCCCCGTCGGGGTCCACCAAACGATGCCGACAGGGCAGCCTTTCCCCTTGGTCAAGTTGGAATCAACCCACCTGCTCCTACATCCTAAGACTTTTAGCATTTCTCGAATGAGTTCGCCGTCTCCCTCCTCTTAGGGATGCGACTCAATACGATTGCCACGGTACCCTTGGAGACGCTCCTGGGGTTTTTTCTTCTTCTTTTCCTTCTTTTGTTGGTCTTCCTCGCGTACCCGCTTCCACCTTTTCCAACACTCTTCTTGTTTGTTTTTCCCCCCCTATTTGATTGACCAGCTATGATGATATGGTACGAAGCGCGACATCTGTATCATAATTTCTTTGTCCTGTGCTCCGTCCTTTCATCTGATTTAATCGCCACGAATTCAAATTGGGCTTTGGGTCTGAGGACCTGCATTTTTTAAGTCCTGGGGACGTCCTTGCATCCCTGGCCTTCTGCGGAAAAGTATACATACGCTTAGCCGTCACGCTTTCTTCGTCCTTCTTCTCATTTTTCGATGAGTCTTCAGACCCGGCGTTTTCCGTGACTTTTCGTACGATTTTGGCGTTCTCATGAAGTCGATGGGAAGTCCGTTTAACGAAACTCTTTTCCGTCTGATTCTTGCCTGTCGCCCCTCCTATTTCCCTCAGTCTCTTTCTCTCCTCCCTATTCCCTTTCTATCTTGCTTGTCAAGAGACTCCATCTCCCTCTCTTATCATCGGAAGTCGCAGCTTCTTCTCCGCGTCTCACTTTTCTCCGACACCCTCTCCGATATTCCTCCTTTTCCGGACGATTTCGATCTGCTACAGATCGGCTCCGAAGTCTACCGCTCTCGTCTACGACATTATCTCTGATACAACACATGAACTATGGGCTGGGTGAGGAATGTTCCCGAGCGCCAAACTTGAAAAAAAAACCCCACTCCATCCCGACAAAAAAGAAAATCTCAAAAAGCTTTAGAGGAGCACCCGGTGCTGGTTACTGTATAGCATCTAGTGAAATGAGAAATATTCCCTCTGATTATGTGCATATTTAAGAGCGCAGTATATCATGATTTGTAGACGATATACTGTACAGAGTATCAACCTAGAAAAGCTATAAGCTCCGCTAACGGAGAATCTCCATAGTGGAAACTGCGCGGGGTGGGGTTGCGGGACGCCGTATTGAATCTACATTGTACAAACCACCCGAGGTCCAATTATTCCCCAATTGTCAACTTCCCAACATTGCTGCAATGGCCACGCCGAGTAAGGACTCGAAGCCCAAGGTTAGCACAATATTTACTCTTATCGAGCCTATGCTAACATCTACGGTAGCCCAGCGTCTTGCGCTCTATTCTCGCGGGCTCCACCGCTGGAGCCGTGGAGATCGGTATGGAATCAATCTTACCTCCCCGCCGTCCGCCACACGATCAGTACTAATCTTCAGCAGCAATTACCTATCCAGCCGAGTGTAAAACATCCCCCTCTTCCGCCTTACCTGCTGATGCTAATTGACCCTCAGTCGCGAAGACCCGAACACAACTCAATCGCCGACTACCTGACGGTCAGAAATTACCATGGCCGCCATTTGGCTCTCAGTGGTACGCAGGGTGCACAACTCTCATCATTGGCAACTCTCTCAAGGCTGGAATCAGTATGTCTCGAAATATTGCTTCTTTGGCTTGATCCCTAATCCTTGTGGGGTGAATTCTAGGATTCGTGGCATTCGATGCGATCAAGGCCACTCTTCAAGATGAGAATGGCAAGATTTCGGGACCACGAACAGTTGTGGCTGGCTTCGGTGCAGGCTTCACCGAGTCTCTCCTTGCGGTCACACCTTTCGAGAGTATTAAGACTCAACTGTCCGTTACCCTCCCCCGTTCTTCTTCTCTCTCTCTCCCCGAGCCCTGTGTATATTCAACTGAGACCCCTGGCTAATGTCGAACTTCCCGCAGAATTGATGATCGAAAGGCAGAAAAGCCGCGCATGCGCGGGTTTCTTCACGGTAGCCGCATCATTTGGCAAGAGAGAGGCATCCGTGGCTTCTTCCAGGGCTTTGTACCTACTACAGCGCGCCAAGCAGCTAACTCAGCCACTCGGTTCACTGCCTATACCACCCTGAAGCAGCTTGCGGAGGGCTATGTTGCCCCAGGAGAAAAGCTGGGTACTCTTAGCACATTTGCGATTGGAGGAATCGCGGGTATCATCACTGTGTATGTGCCAGTCCCGGTCACTACAGATCTCAACTCCCATTTCCCTGCTCACTAACGAAAAACCCAATCCAGTTATGTGACCCAACCCTTGGACACTGTTAAGACAAGGATGCAATCTATCGAGGCCAGCAAGAATTACAAGAATAGCTTCGCTTGCGCAGCTAGCATATTCAAAAATGAAGGCTTCTTCACATTTTGGTCTGGTGCCGTTCCCCGGCTGGCCCGACTGATCCTAAGTGGTGGAATTGTATTTACCATGTGCGTCTCGAAATATACTATCCAGTGCTGCGAACCTGTTCCACTAACATGTCGTCACAGGTATGAGAAGTCTATGGAGTTGATGGATGTTGCGGATCCTCAGCGTAAGTATCTCTAGGGGAAAGGATAAATGTTCTATTATGAGTCTATAGATAGATTGTTGTTGTGTGATTAAAGTTCATCGTTGGGAATGGGCTATATACAAATACATGGTATCTTTTTGAGAATGTACAATTATCACTCAAGGTTTTTGCCTCTCTACTGTTTCTCCTTCTGCTTACCCTTCACCAATTCCTCCGCCAGCATTGTTTCGACTTCGCGGTCCGCCATCCACGTCCGCACATTGTCCATGATCGTCTCTAGGCCATCGCCCCCATCTAAAACAGCATCCAGGTTATGGATCGTTGTTCCGCTACGATGATCTGTGCAGCGACTTTGTCCAAAATTGTATGTCCGGATCTTATCACCTCGCCCCATCCGAGCCACTCCACCCATAACGCCCCGGCGAAGCGCAACCAGTTCCTGTTCTCGAGCTTCTTGGCGGGCCTCGGCAATTTTGGCACGTAAGATTTGCCAGGCCTTCCGACGATTTGCTTGTTGAGATCGCTCATCCTGCATAGAGACCACGGTACCCGTGGGAGTATGGGTCAGGCGAATTGCAGATTCGGTTTTGTTCACATGTTGACCACCTGCACCTCCAGCTCGCATTTTCTCCACGCGAACTTCCTGGGGATCAATGTAGTAATCACTCGAGGGGTCTTCAAAATTCAAAGCGCTGTCCATGCTACTTCCACTCTCGGGGAAGCTTGGTAAAACCATCACACTAACGGCACTGGTGTGAGTCCGGCCTTTGGTTTCGGTAGCTGGCACTCTTTGTACACGGTGAACTCCGGACTCGGTTCGCAAGATATCATATGCACCTTCCGCTTCAATTTCAATAACGCCCTCACTGAGACGATCCTCCGATGGCCCATCTTCCACGTCCTGTTTCAAAATCATGGCTCGTAGCCCCCGCCGTGAACAGAAAGACATGTACATGCGGAGCATCTCATATGCAAACAAACCCGCCTCGTCACCTCCAGCGCCCGGTCGAATTTCGATTAAACATGGCAGGTCCGCAAATGGATGTCGGGGGATCAACGATTTCTTCAAACGGTCTGATATTGTCGGTAGGGCATCTTTAGTCGATTCGAGGTCTTCCGCCGCAAGACACCGTAATTCCTCATCCGTCTGCTGGTCCTCCAACATAGATCTCAATTCAGCTACTGACTATATCTCCATCACGACAAATTAGCAACATTCCTAAGTGATATAGACTTCCAGGTTTCGAGGAATAATGAAAAACACCCACCTCGTTTGCATTGTCCCATTCTCGTAGTACAGAGGTAACCGAGGCTAGTTCTCCCGCGCGCTTTGCGACTTTAGCGTCGAATGATCCGGCCAGTTGATCTGTTAATTTGGTGTGTTCGGAAGCCAGTAATCGGGCCCGTGTCAGCAACACTGGAGACAGGCCAGAGTCTTTCTCGAAATTATGAGTTAGCGGCGAGACGGATCAACTATGCATTGGAGGACCAACCAGAATGCACGAATCGGAAGAACAGAAATGATCTCCGACTGAATCTTGTAGGACGCAGCAGAAGGCGACTGCATTGTAGCATGCTTGGGGGGGGGGGAAAGAATGGAGGAAGAGAAGAGAAAGGAACTCGAGCCATACGTTGATGTGGCCCTGATGCAGTCACTACCCGCGGAGACACAGTGTGTAATTTATGTAACTCTGTGTAAATTACACGTAAAGGCCACGGCGGCGAGGTTGCTCTTTGGCAGTTTGTTATAGATCCGCATTCCACTCTCTCTTTCCCTCCTTCACTCTTTTTCCATCTCGGGGTCTTTTGATCTCGACCATGTCCATTCGACCTCACTGATTTGCGCGAATGAGACGGGACAGCAACAAATAATCAAATCATGCGTAATTTACTCCCATCGCTAACGGCTGTTCTGGCCTGTCTGTCTACCGGATACGCTTCTCAGATTCCCCCCGACACGCCGCTCTCCGAATTGATCACTTCAGCCAAAGCCCACCTGGCAAAGGGTTCACCGCGAGATGCCTTGATGTATTTTCATGAGGCGATCCTACGTGACCCAGCCAACTACATTACCATCTTCCAGCGAGGTGCAGCATACCTATCCATCGGCAAGAACTCGCAGGCGTCTGAGGACTTTAATCGAGTCTTGGAGCTGAAGCCCGGCTTTGAGGGGGCATTGGTCCAGCGCTCTCGTCTACAAGCACGATCTGCTCACTGGAAAGAAGCTCTTCAAGATCTAGAGCGTGCGGGAAAGCAATCGTCGCCTGACTACAAAGAGTTGGAAGAGGCACGGGATGCCGCAGGGCTGGCATTTACGGCGGAGAAGAAGGGCGATTGGGAAACATGCGTCAGCCACGCAGGGGTGGCTATCTTGAAAGCGAACACGGACTTGGCCCTTCGACAAACACGAGCACATTGTCGTTTTGAGAGAGGCGAAGTAGAGGAAGGAGTTAGCGACCTTGCCCATATTCTACAAATATCTCCAGCTTTAGTGGAGCCACATCTACAAATGTCTGCCATGTTGTTCTATGCACTTGGGGACAGTGATCGCGGTTTGGCGCAAATTCGCAGATGTCTCCACGCAGATCCAGACTCGAAACCTTGTAACCGTCTCTATCGGCGAGAAAAGCAATTGTCAAAGTCTCTCGGCAAGCTAAATGCCGCTCTTGAAGCGCACAAATGGAGCAACGCAGTGAAACTTTTGGTCAGCAGTGGGGAAGATACTGGTTTAATTGAGGACATCAAGACAGATGTCGCAGAGGCAAGAGAGGCCGGACATATTCACCGGGCGGCTTCTGATAACCTATATGTTTTCCTGGTTGAGAAGACATGTGAAGCTTATCGAGAGGTTCGTAAATACAAGACTTTCAAGTTGATCGACTCGTGATGCTAATCTTTCGATCCTGCTTAGATGAAATTGTTCAAAAAGGCCGGTCCTTATTGCTCCGAGTCTCTGCAATTAGTGCCATTCTCTCTCCATGGCTTGTTGTACCAGGCACAATCTGCACTTGATGAAGATCATTTTGAAGAAGCTATACGAACGTTAAACACCGCTAAGGAACATCACCCACACTCCCAAGAGATTCAATCCCTCATACAGAAGGCGCAAGCGCTCCTGAAACGCTCAAAGCAAAAAGACTATTACAAAGTGTTGGGCGTGAGTCGTGATGCAGACGAGCGAACGATCAAGCGAGCATATCGCCAGTTGATCAAAATCCATCATCCAGATAAATCTGCTTCGCAGGGAGTGTCCAAGGAGGAGGCAGAGAAGAAGACGGCGTCCATTAACGAGGCATATGAGGTCTTATCAGATTCAGAACTTCGGACTCGATATGACAATGGAGATGATCCGAATGATCCAGAATCTCAACGGGGGAATCCATTCCAACAAGGGAGCCCCTTTGGCCACGGTGGTAATCAGCAGTTCTTCTTCCAGCAGGGAGGGTCCCAATTCAAGTTCTCCGGTGGCTTCCCATTCCGTTGATCTTGTCTCTAACTTTATGCATTCTCATTATTGCATATTTCACATATACCGTGGTGTTTTAGGAGTAGCCATACCAGGCCTTTTACTTTATTTTCCTGCTTCTTCTTTTACCTTTTATTGGATCTTCATAAATGGCAGCAAATGAACAAAATCATTGTATTTCTGGGGTTCCTGATATTTCTTGTAGCTCATTAGATGGTCATAAACTTCACATTGGCTTCCGCTTGCCCTCCCCTGTGGAGTAGCACTAGTTGGCTTCTTCAAACAATCCCGGCTGAGGATCTTTCGCCTCACTCAACTGATCCAGGATCGATCATGGCTGAGGTGCATCAGTCAAGGGCACATAGCTGACCTGGAAAACTTTTTCTTTGTGAACCGATCCATCCGCGCGCTTGTCAACGACCCAAATGTACTGACCTCCCCCAGCTTCGAGCGTGCTTCCATTACTCTCCGACTCCACCGGAATAAAGAGTCTACCGGGAGCTCGCAGCTGCTCAATCAAAACAGGGTGGAGTTTCTCTGCTGCCGCCCCAACATGAATAGCATCATATGGTGCATTTTCTTTCCAGCCCAGACGTCCGTCTGCCGTGATCAGTTTCACCTGGCCCGAGACCTGGAGCTCCCGGCCCTGTTCAGATTTATTCATGTTGGATTGAGCTAGTGCCACCAATTCCGGGATATGGTCGATACCAATAACCTGGCCCTGTTCTTGTGAGCCGGGCGCGCCGGTTACCAGGTTGGCTAGGACATGGGTGAGGTATCCTGAGCCTGATCCGATATCCAAGACTCGGGATCCAGGCTGCAAGTATTTAATGAGATATTCACAGGCATGACCATGCATGTGGGGGGCAGAGATAGTCGCTCCATGGCCGATAGGCTGAGGTGAGTCCGAGTAAGGCCGTGATGGTGCATAGTGGGCTCGATCAACCTTGACGGTTTATTAGATTCCATATGTGAAGAGGTAAAATCTCGATGGTATTGTTATATCTTGGAAATGGGGCAGAGCTGAAGTATGGAGGAGTGTGGATGTAAGGAACGGCGAGCTACTCACTCCTATCATGGCTTCTTTGACGCGCTCATTCTGAATCAAACCAGCTTTAAATAGGTTCTCGATCAATTCATTGTTGGTGGATCCGGTACAATACCACGCCATTGTCAGGGCTCTTACTTGTCGCCTCGATGTAGATGTTTGGAGTTTCCTTGTGAGACGGCTTAGCATGTAGGCTGCTTAAATAAAAACATAAAGAAGCTAAGTTGCAACAGTTGAGTGTGACGCCATGCTCGCCTCATGGTTTATCTCCCCACGTGACAGCCCCGATCTCTGTATCAACCTTAAAGTTAATCGAGGCTAAGAATGACTTCAAACTTGAACCACATATTCATGAGTGATGCAATGGATCTGGAGGGGTATATGACGACAACACGGATTTTGTAGGTAAATGGGTACGTTGATATTCTTAGTGCCACGTGCACTGTGTCTGTATTTCTAAAGCTGCGGTGCCCATGGTACATCATGGTTTAGTATATCCATGTGGATCCATCCACATTCAAGTTCAAGTGCACGAGTGTATTGAAAAAGTTTCTCAAGTTTCCACATGGGCATCAACCTTAGGCTTCAATTTGGAATTCACCCATTACTATCATGACGCCATCGACTGCAGAGCTTGACTTGTAAAAATTTAAACAATACTGATAGGTCTATACTGAAAATCTACTACCCAAATAGCTATCGCTATATGCGAACTATACTAAGCATGAACCCGTGGGCAACATCCGGATCTCCACATAACTACGACAAGCCACCCCACCAAATGATAAAGTAGTATAAGAAATTGAGTGAACACCAGAAGGACTGCATTTGCATTGAAATAGCAGTTATATTTGGAAATTCGATAATCTACAGGGGGCAAAAGGGCTGGTTTAACAAAAAAGAACAAGTCAACCAAGGGAAGTCCGACAATGCTGTCATTTACCCGAGCAGCATACGGCGGGGGTCCTCGATGTACTCCTTGACCTGGAGGGGAATTAGTAGGCGTTTTGTGTATACCATGTTGATGAAACATACCTTGACCAGGAAAGTGACAGCCTCGCGGCCATCCAAGAGACGGTGGTCGTAGGTGAGAGCCAGATACATCATCTATTGGGTATAAAAGGTTAGTTGATTTACTCCCCAGAGGCTAAAAATCTCCCACGAAAACTTACTGGGCGAATTTCGACCTTGCCGTTGACGGCGACTGGCTTATCCTTGATAGCATGGAGACCCAAAACGGCTATAAGAGGCGGAGGTTAGATTCGGCAACACGGACAATAAGGATATCAGAAATGACGTACCAGTCTGAGGCAAGTTGATGATGGGAGTACCCATCAAAGAGCCAAAGACACCACCCTAGTTTCAAGTTAGTCGACAAATTCATTCAAGTTTAATTTGATTAAATTTTTTTTTTTTTTTTTTTAGATATCCCTCTCCTGTTCCACACTGGAAGACTCACGTTGCTGATAGTGAATGTGCCGCCAGCCATATCCTCAATGGTCAGTTTGTTGTCGCGGGCCTGCATAATTTAGTTATTATCGTGCACAATAGAGAGAGGGAAAGGTCCTCATCCTACCTTCTTGCCCAGATCAGCAATGGATTGCTCAATACCGACGAGATCCATGGTCTCGGTGTTGCGAACAACAGGGGTGACCAGACCCTTCTCAGTAGCGACAGCAACGCTGATGTCAACGTAGTCACGGTAGACAATGGTGTCACCGCCGTTAGGACCCTCAATAGAGGCGTTGACGGCGGGGATATCCTTCATAGCCAACACGCAGGCGCGAGAGAAGGCGCTCATGAAGCCCAGCTTTACGCCAGTCTTCTTGAGCACATCATCCTTGTAAAGCTTGCGGAGTTCCATCAGCGAGGACATGTCGACTTCATTGAAGGTAGTCAAAGAGGCGGCAGTGTTCTGGGATTGCTTCAAGCGCTCGGCAATGCGGAGACGCATGCGGTTCATCTTGACCTGGAATATCAAAAGATACAATTAGCTGACAAAACCCAGTAGCATATGATCAGTCGGGGCAAAACACATACCCGGCGCTCCTCACGGTTGCCCTGGGCAGGTTTGGTCTCCACGGCCTGAGACTTCGAGGACTCAGCCTTAGGGGCCTCCTTGGGCTTCTGAGGCGCAGCGGGTTTAGAGGCCTGGGTATCTTTGGGTTTCTCTGGCTCGGCTGCGGTCTCCTTGGGCTTCTCTGCGGCCGCCTCCTGGGTCTTCTCGGGGGCCGCCTCTTGCTTGCCGCCAGCAGGAGCATCGCCCAACTCAATCTTGACCAAATCTTGTCCAACAGTGACAGTGTCCTCCTCGCTCACAAGGAATTCCTTAATAGTACCAGATTCCGGGGCATTAACCGAGACGTCAATCTGTTGGGAGAGCCACGAGGTCAGTGTCCATATATGTAACGATAATGGCCACTAAACTTTACCTTGTCAGTCTCGATGGTAGCGATCTCCTCATCGCGCTCCACAAAGTCACCAATTTCTATGTCAAATCAATATCCACGCGACGAAATATAAATTTCCCAATTTCAAGGCGAATTGCGTACGTTTTGAAAATTGCTTCAGAGTGCCTTCTGTAATCGATTCGGCCATCTGCGGGACCTGGACAACCTTGTCGGCTGATACAAAGCAATGTTAGCTTAGCGGAATGATGAGATGACAAGATAAGTTCCAAAAAGATTTATCGCACTCACCATAGGTGCGAACCTGGGAACCCACGTAGGGAGCGAGGTTGCGCGAGACATTGAAGCTGTAGTATTTGTTTTTTTAGCAATTGCGATTGAGGGCTTTGGAAGGGATAGAGTCTGTACCCAGATGAAGCCTGAAGTAGACCAGAAACTCTAGGGCTGACATTGCGAGTCACCGTGGACAAGCTCTGAGCACCGCGAAGCCGGCAAGGACCGCGAGTCGCCCGGGTCAAAGTTGTCAAGCGCTGGCCCGAAAGGCGCGCCAAAGGAAATCGAGCAGCCATTGTGTATAAGGACGACTAAATTAAAACCAAACCAAGTAATTTTCTCCAAAGGAGAGTGTTTTCCGCAAGGACGAAGAAATAAACAAGGAAAGAGAGAGGGAGACGGAAGGAAAAAAGGCGCAGTTCTGATGCTGTTACGTAGCCGAAGCCCAAAGGTTCCCGAATGCCGAGATGCGGAAGGCGGCAGTGGAGTAATGTTTTTACGCTATTCGGCTGGCGAGATGGACCAAGTGCGCACTTATACAGCGAATGAGCTCCGTCAGAATAGTCAACCAGCACCACCACCACCATCCTTGAACTTCGGGTTGATCGCGCAATTACCCACAGCATACCCATTGTGACCCTGTTCCCCGGTCTGCTCAACGTGAAAGACCGAATTACTGAACCTCGTCGGAGAATAATCAACCGGAAAAAAAAGGAGAGGAAAGAAGGCACACAGCATGTCCGCCTCTGCCGCCTTGTGAGTTACGCGCAAATTGTTGGCGCAAGTCCACGATAATAATAATATTCGCTAACTGATTACCAGATCCCTGTATCGTCGGTCCCTGAAGCAGTCACTGGACTGGGCTGTTGACCGCCGAGTATGGCGTGGCCAGGCGGTCTACATTCGGTCATTATTTGAAGCCAATAAGGACGTTCGCGACCCTCGTCAGCAACAGGTGGGATATACTTGCATTGGGCTTATTGGCGAAAGATTTTGGCTTACTGACATGGGATCAGGTCTTGCTGCGCGAGACAGAAAAGTTACTGGAAGAGTGGAAACACCCGGATCCCTACCGCCCACCAACCGCTCCAGGAGGTATGTTTAAGAAAATTGCTGTCTGGTATAGCAGACTACTGACTTGTTGGTAATAGGTAACAAGTGGGAGCGCAACCTACCTGCCCGCATTCTACCATGTAAGTGATCTGAACTACGCCCTTGCCAATTTCGACGGGTGTTCCTGGTTTATTGATTTCATTTAGATGCGGCACCTCCGGCTGCCCACTGAAGCAAGAGTTCGAGAATGGTGGTATGAATATGAGAGACTTGGGCTCTCTCTTTTTCTCAACGCGAAACTGCATCTGTTTTAATTGAAACTCGAGAATATTATGTAGACTACAATGAACTATTCCACACATATCGAAAGTGACATGAATCGTAAAAGAAACCGGGCTCATGATAACAAGTTGCCGCCATGGCTTTTGATGCAATATCAATATAAACGCAATCTAGACAAGAGACAATTTTATGGAAAGTGAAAATGGAAGTAGTCTGATGGACCTAGAATCTTTTTCATTGATCCGGGGGTGTTCCCCTTGGCTATCCGAGAAAAAAGTTGAAAATCCCATCGAACTAGCTAAAGCTCGTCGGTATCATTCCATGCCCGCAGGCATAATGTACAACCAGGAAACTGAAGAGAGAAAAAACGCAGAGCCATAACGTGCCCGTCCCATAACCCCATTATCGTGAAAACCAACCCACGCCGGAAAACAAACAAATAAACCCTTGGGAAACAAAAGGAACCATTTACAGCTCCTGGCTGCCGCTGCCCTTAGCCTTGGGGGTCTTCTTGGGCAGAAGGTCTGGTGATATTGTTAGCGGGATTGATCCAGCGGAGAAGGATGCGGGCCGAAAACTTACTCTGGTGAATGTTGGGGAGAACACCACCCTGGGCGATGGTGACGTGACCCAGAAGCTTGTTCAACTCCTCATCGTTACGGATGGCGAGCTGAAGGTGACGGGGAATGATACGGGTCTTCTTGTTGTCACGAGCGGCGTTACCAGCCAACTCGAGGATCTCGGCAGCGAGGTACTCAAGGACGGCAGCGAGGTAGACAGGGGCACCGGCACCGACACGCTGGGCGTAGTTTCCCTTGCGGAGCAGACGGTGGACACGACCGACGGGGAAGGCCAGACCGGCCTTGGAGGAACGGCTATCAAAACAATGTTAGAATCAATGGTTCATTTGAATTGGCAAAACACATTCAATGTTGATTGATTTGGCTTAAATTCGCGTTCCGACGCGTCAAAGGAATGAAATCTGGCCAAATCAAAACAAAGATGGATCCGAATCTGAACTAGTACATAGGATGTACTTACGACTGAGCGTTCTTGCTGCCGCTAGCCTTGCCACCAGACTTTCCGCCAGTCATTTTGATGAAGTTGTTTTTAAAGGGGGGTTGGGGTTTTGTAAAAGGGTGGTATAGCAAGAGGGTAGAAGTGGTCGATGAAGCGTGGATGGTAAAAGGGGACCAGGAAGAGGGGGCGTGGAGGAAGCGGAGGGATCTTTATAATAACGCGGTGAGGGTGACGTTGGCTGGTATCAACGAGACTCACCAGATCACGCACTCGCTTAGAAGGATCGGCCAATCAACATCAGGATCACGGCAATGCGGGCATACCAAATCCAGGCTAGCGTGGTAATCTATTTCCCTTACCAAACCATACGCGCGACCCGCGTGATCTGCAGCCCCTTGTCTCCACTCATACCCAGCCAAAAACGCGTTGGGTCCCAGTTTAATCATACAGATCATACATTCCTCTTACTGTATTGAAATTCGGCCTCCTTTTGTGCACTTTCTGGATCAACTGCCCATTGGCAGCCGAGTATAAAGACCGCGATCCCCTCCGTCACCGCGTCCCTCTAACTTTCCCTTATTCCCATCTCTGCTCTCCACCATCAATCCATCCACCTTTTGTAACCCTTTCAACATTTTCTATCACACTTTTCTCTCCCATCATCAAAAATGGCTCCCAAGGTTGCTGAGAAGAAGCCCTCCACTGCCGGCAAGGCTCCTGCTGGCAAGGCCCCCGCTGAGAAGAAGGAGGCTGGCAAGAAGACTTCCGCCGCCACTGGCGAGAAGAAGAAGCGCGGCAAGACCCGCAAGGAGACCTACTCCTCTTACATCTACAAGGGTAAGTCGCCTGTTTTTTCGCGTTGTTGACGCGACTTGGCACCATCAAAATCCACCTATCATCCATCGAAACGCGTTCCCGCGCTAATGTTTTTCGCTCCAGTCCTCAAGCAGGTTCACCCTGACACCGGTATCTCCACTCGTGCTATGTCGATCCTGAACTCCTTCGTCAACGGTATGTTCAAATTTCTCTTCACGTCTTTTCCTGGTTCCCCCTTGTTCTAACTCGCAATTTTTCAGACATCTTCGAGCGCGTTGCCACTGAGGCCTCCAAGCTGGCTGCTTACAACAAGAAGTCCACCATCTCTTCCCGAGAGATTCAGACCTCCGTTCGTCTGATCCTCCCCGGTGAGCTTGCCAAGCACGCAGTGTCTGAGGGTACCAAGGCTGTTACCAAGTACTCTTCCTCCGCCAAATAAGCGGTTTTTGAATTTTTCTTTTATTGCGGGATTGCTTCTTCTTTTATTACTGCCTCTGATCTTGTTCTTTTTCCCTGGGTTCTGAGGCGGTCGGTTATGGGTGTTTTGCGGGTTTTCTAATGTGTCATGGGATGGTTTCGATTTTCTTTTCCCCGATGGGCGACTTTTTCTGATGGTTACTACTCGATGCGCGCGGTGTAACATAACTCAAGTCTGGGGCCGGGTTGCATAGTTTAACCTCCCCTGCTAGAACGCGAAATTCCAAATGCTTGATCGCATTCAAATCAGTATCTTTTTCCCCCTTTCTAGTAAACCGGTATTCTTTGCCTTTCTTCTCGTTCACTTGTTTTCAGTGGCACTCTACTGCGAATGTTGGCAGCTGGTTATTTGTCTTGTATATTGGGATCATTTGCACTTGTTCACTATTTATCTACAGATCTGTTTCTCCCATTTCATCGGAATCATCCAAAGCCTCGACTTCGTCTACCGCTGCTTCTCGGCCAACTGTCTGATCCAATTTGGTTTCTCCCGTGATAACGTGAATTATTGATTTTCCGGGCGTATTTTGGACTCGTTGCTTCCAGTCGTTCCAGTCATTCAAATCCTTGATCAAGAATCCAATTAGCATGCTCGGGTCCATATCTTTGAGATGAATACGTCTGAGGCGACGAGTATGATAGCTATCTCGTTCTTCTGGGGTATATTTTTCATTTGACGTGGGATAGGGAAGTGTGGGGCGCGTTGTGTGGGGGTCAAGGAAGAACAGGTGGGAATCTTGAACTCCAACAAAGTAGTGTGATGCCGATGGACGTCCACTTGGATTAGCTATGGTCAGCTCTGGCTTTCGGATTTGATTTATCGGAGTTGTCAACTTACCCTGCGACGCCCATGGATTGTGGGTATCCTAATGCTGCTCGCAATCCATCCCAATACACTGGATTAACCTGTTCGATCCCTAATCGTAATCCCAAAAGTATAAGAGTTGGTTGAAAGTGGCCCGTTTGGTCGTAGGCTAGCCGTGTTAATTGATCTTCGTAGACGTCCGATGTATTATTGGTCACATAAACATTCAGCTTGAGTTGTTCACAGTGATTAGACAGACTCCTGCCAAACTACGTCAGATTGGTTGGAGGTAGACATAATGATCGGAGACCTACTCGATGCATCGAGCTGTTGCTGATGGTCCAAACCATTCCCCAGGGTGAGTTCCACACGAGTCGGCACCGCACTGAACAAATCGGTGTATTGAAAACGGCGCATCGGGGTGATCTGCAAACATAGCCAATATCTTCGATTCTTCATTGGGCTGATCGCCTTTTCGCCAAGCTGCATTCATGTTGTCAGTTACTCCAGGCCCTTTAAGGCGGTCTCTCTCGTTCTAGGGTCTCTCACATCTACCTAGGAGCAAGATACACAGTGTGTTTGCTAATAGGCTCTGTCCTGATCGAATCATGCAACCCCAACCTGTGTCGGAGGTGAAGCCTTGGGAATCCATGAGCTGGCTCCGCAGGCGCACGCCTAGCGTCATCGAAGAAGTTGCATTGGGATTATGACTGTGGGGAATAGGAGGGAAGTTGGAGCGATATGTCATCCACAGTCTTGATTCAAAGTCGATCAAGAAATCCTCGGGCCATATATTCTTGGTCGCGTTAGGCGGTGTCTTTATTGAATGGTCGGTGCTATGATGCTTGTCTGTGTAGGTCTTAGAATGCACGATTTCTTGCTTTGTTCCCCCCTCTACCTATACTTGTATGACTTTTTCTGAGCTAGTGCGAGTGCTTGACATACCTGTATCATTGTTCTCTGGGTCCTGTGTTGTGGGGGTATATTGTTGACCTAAACACCAGATCGGTGCCTCTGGTGCTGTATCATTTTTGGGTTCAGGATCCCAGAAATACTGGACAATGCGCTTGCATTTTTCCAGATCTACCCCAGTCATTTTGAGGGAGGTTGTTTCTTTCAAATAATTATGCGTGGTGGAAGAGAGGGTGCGTATGATAGGGGGATGGGGGGGGTGGATGCGGGGAGAGGTGAGAGTTACGTAGGAGAGGGACTGAACAAGACGAGAGATAGATGGATATATATATATGGCGGAGAGGGTAGTATGCATATATTCCACGATCGAGCCTTTATCGATAACAAAAACAAACAGGAAATATATAAATTTTCAAATTTTTTTTCAAAAGAAACAAATCCAAAGCACCCTAGATGAAGTGGACATAAAATTATCTCTCCAAACAATAGATCCTGCTTAAAAAGTAGCGTCGAAATAATTCTATGCCATGGGATGAAAGAATCATGATGCAGTCACGCTGCAACATCACAGTCTATACTATTTGTAGGGGAATTCGAGGGGGATTTACTTGACAATAGTGTTTAATGTGTATTCTATATACATAATACTGTTTTACTTTACTTTATTTAAATAATTCTTCAAACAAACATATTTTATTTCAGCTTTTCAATCATAAACCTCAAGTGCTGACATACATGAAGCTGGATGGTCCAGATCCCTCACCGCCCTCCGTCATCCCCTCACCTTCTCAGATCAAATTTCCCTCGAACTCTTTTCCTTATTGTTCCCTTATCACTCTCCATCCTATTATGGCTCGCCATGGCCAATCCAAGGCGCAGCGAAAACGCCCGCCTGCGGTGGCTAGTAAGTTTCGACACCCCTTAAAATCATGCGACCGCAAATTCTAACACTCATGCCTTCTGAAGGACCATCGCCACCCCGATTTACAATGCAACAAGAAGCCCGCAATACTGAGACCCACCTCCGCTCCTGGACACATAGCAATCTCAGACACAAGGCAGTTGAGTTTGTAAGCGCAGGGCAGCTACGGAGAAATGAACACGAAGTCGATCAAGAAGACGCTGGCCAGAAAGAGATCCTTGATCAGACCCCAGAGCCTCAAAGTGATCGCCAATCAGAACCCAGAGAAGATGCCCAAGACTTTGCTTTCTTCCTCGATACTAAACCCAAAGATGTTGCACAGACTGGGCTCCCTGACCCCACAGTACGCGCCGATACTCCGGAGAGCGATGACAGCGAGGACGAAGTCGTGTTCACAGGACGACAGAACAACCAAAAGCCCATAGTGATCAAAACTGACGAGGCCGAGCTCCGCGAGTATCTGCAGCATCCTCAATCCTCGTTGACAAATTTATTGGGTACCCAAAACATCGAACGGCATGGTTTACACAACCACATCTCGGCCACACGTTTTCATACGATGCACAATAACCGACATAAACAAAACCTGTCACCAGAGAAGAACATCGACACAGAGATGAATCACAACATCAAAATGGAACACGATCTGGTCCAAGAGAACTCACAACCGCATGAAGCTGAAGGTGGAACTGACCTGGGCGAATGCCGAGCCGAACAAGAACTGCCAACCCAGGGCTCAGAAGCAGAAAATCACCCTAACCAGGAACTAGACGAGACAGAGGTTCAAGGGTCGATCGATGGTAACTTTTTCTATACAAGCAAACTCATACTCTTCAAACGCTGACATAAAAAACAGTCTTGTCAAAAATGCACCTCGACACCGAAATAGATGACGAGACCAGTTCAGGCGAGGACGAGGAGGTGGATGACTCGGGTGACTCCAACGACTCAGAAGACCCCGATGAATCCGAGGGTGAAATAAACGACATGGATGACGATGGCTTGCTCGAAGAACTTGCCAACAGCTTTGCCGCAGGACAACGCGGACCCCGCTATGGGAAGCATACTTTCCCATCAGCAACAGCATTCGTGGATGCCCTTGAATCAGATCCATATTATGGAGTCGATATCATGGACTTCGATCGACCTAGTCTGCAAAGGAGACCCAAAGGCAAGAAGGCACCGTTATTTGAGGACCTTATGATCTCCGATAGCGAGTTAGAACTCCACCTCCAAGGAGTCTGGCAAACGGATCGGAAGAAAAAGAGCATCAAGAAGCAGGAGCGAGAAGTACTGCGTTCTCAAGGTCTACTGGGCAGAAAATCGGGAGATCCTGATCTCAAAGTAAAGTATGCAAAGGGAATGAACCTTGAGGAATTTATTTCTGAAATAAGAACGTTCCTTCTTTCCCCCAATAGCAGGTATTTACCAATTCTACGCGCACTCCTCTCATGCTCATAGGTCTAATACTGGAAACTAGTCTCTCTCTACCGCCCATGACAAAACATCGGCGAAAGACAATTCACGAATTGGCCAACAAAGTGAATTTGAAGTCACAATCGCGCGGCAACGGGCCGGATCGTTTCCCTGTGCTACTTAAAACGTCCCGCACCCCCAAATACACTCGCAAGACCATTTCCCAAGTCGACAATCTTTTGTCTGGAAGAAAGCTAAATCGTCGGCTTTTCCAGTCCTGGGGCCCAGAAAGCTCCAGACCAGCAAAACCAAAGAGAGGAGGTACGGGCGCTGCCGTGTCGTATATGGATGGTGATGTCGTCGGTGCATCGGCGCCAGAGATCGGAGCCGGAAACCGAGGGCGAGCCATGCTGGAAAAGATGGGCTGGAGCAGTGGAACCGCCCTTGGGGCCAACAATAACAAGGGCATTCTGCAACCTGTCGCACATGTTGTTAAGAACTCCCGAGCGGGGTTGGGATAAGTTATGTTGTTCCTTTTTCTTGATTTCCGTGTTGATTATGCCCCATATTATTGTTACCATAGCCAAGCATAGACATAGAAGCCATCCTTTTACATGAAATGGCTATAGACTAGTCACAACTCAAATATTTATCCGCGGAAAATAAAGACAGCCTGGCATTCACCGCCTTTTGTTTTTGGTCTTTGTAGTCTTGATGAGCTGCGCATGCGTTGGGTTTTCTTTGATATGAGTAAACAGCTTCGTCCTGGAGGGAAATATCGCACTACAGTTTGCACAAGGAAAGCCAGCTTGCTCACTACCCTGGGCCGCTTTCTTAGCCCGTTTCTGCTTGGCCTTTCCCACTCGAGGGGCAGCCGGATCATCAAGCCCAGAGGCTGATAATTGTTCAGTCAATTCAACGATGGAGTCGTCTTGCGAGGATTCATCATGGGAGTGAAGTCTTGTTTGAATGACCTCCCTGGAAGCGTAGTCATCATCATGGGCCGAATGTGATGAAGCAGGTTCCGAGTCAGAATCCTGGGCAGAGGAAGGGATGCGGGAATCACGAGTGTTCTCCTCCAAATCAGAGGCGAACGTTCGCGCAGGCTCGTCAAGCAGACCGTTCTTGATATCCCCGGCGATCGGACTTCCCAATCGTTCCTCGAGGGAGGTTGGCTTAAGACTAGTATTATCATCCTCACTCAAAGCTGCTGTATCGGGCGTGGCAGAATAGGTAGCTGGTTCCAAGTCTAGATCTTCATTCTGCGCTCGCATTTCACGACATAGCTGCTTGAACGCCTTCAAATGTTTTTTGCTTCGTTCATGGGCTTCGAATTGATTTTGACTTTTGAAAGTCTTGTTGCACACCACACATTCGAAATTTTCGACCTCGCTTTCAGAGCTCTCCTCTTCCTCGACCGTAGGCTCTTCGGATCGCGCCCACTCGGGAACAACATGCTCACGCAGCTTGGCCTGATTCATGGCTCGAGATCGGGCAGCCTGGGCAGCCGCCGACTGACGAAGTGTTTCTTGGCGTTGAGCCTCGTTCTGCGCATTTGCCTGGTATCGTGGATCTCGTTTCTTTACAAAAGCTACCAGAGACCTAACCGCGTCATTGAATTCACGGGTTCCCTCATCTCGAAGACGCCGATTCTCCTTCTCCATTAAGCGTCGCACACGGCGATCTGGGGCCTCGGAGTAGCGGTAGGTATCTCTCCAAGCAAACGATTTTCGAGTTGAGAACCCAGCCCAGGCGTTGTAAAATGGGCGGACCACGGTCTCAAAATGGTCATTGCGACCTCCAAATGATGGATAGTCCACCTCATCCAGACCTTCCCACTGGCATGCCTGCCGCTCCTCTAAGGCCAGCTTGGTGAATTGTTCTCGAAGGCCACCAAAGAACCCTGTCGGGGAGTCGGAGAACTCCATGCGAGGGCTGAATTGCGAAAAAACCTTGAGGACCTCGTCTGCAGTTGTCATTCGGACATTGTATGAATGCGGAGCCCCCTCAGAGCCCCCACCAGTCCCCAAGAAGGCATCACTGTGGGAGTCATACCATGCACGTTCTTGCGGATCTGCAAGGACTTCGTATGCGGTTTGAATTTCGGCAAACTTCTGGGTGGCTTCCTCTACATTCCCATAATTTCGATCAGGATGCAGCTCCAAGGCCCTCTTGCGATAAGCTTTCTTGATTCTACCAAAGACGGACAAAGGGTTAATCAAAATATTCCGAGTTCTCTGGTTGTAGTAGTCCACATGTAGGTATGAATCGATTCTTACTCTTCATCTGTGGCAGTAGGTGTCACATTCAATAGTTCATAATAATCCGTTTTTCGATCTGACGATTGTGATTCCGGGTCTTTCGAGCCCGCGGACTGAGACTGACCCATACGATAAAGCGGAGAGGATGGGAAAGGAGCGAGTCTGCTAATATTATGTGTAAAAAGAGAAGGAGGATTGAAGAATGAAACAACTTTTGCGGGATCTAATCTCGGGTCTTGGCATCTCCGCGTATCTCTCCCCGCCTCTTTCTTCCCCTCTCCTCCTGCTCTGCTACCAACCCCTTCTTATCTTCCTCGTCATGCCCGATCATCAACTTTCCAGTCCAACGCCGGCGTTGACCTCGCTTTATGTCCATTGATACCCTGAGCGTCGCATACTTTGCTCGAACCTTGGAAATACTCGCTGTGACTGCCCCAGAGACGCCTGGGCCTTCCTCTCCTGCCCCCCGTCACTAAGCTCTTTATCCTTGAATCATTCATAGGGATGGTCCGGTCTCTGGAACATCTCCCAGAAGAGATACTCCATTTAATACTATGTACCTCGCATCCTCGTTCCGCCGCCGCTCTAGAACGAACCAGCCACCGATTTCAAAACGTGACCAACGAACCTCTGTTGTGGCGTCATTACTGTCATGTCAATTACAAATCATGGGACAAAAAGCATAATATCTCTCAGAAGCTCTCTGATCCCGTGTCATCGGTCGACTGGAAAACCCTCTTTATTTTGAGATTTCGCGCCGACCAGTCTGTTTCCCGGCTTCTGGATAGTATTCTTGCTAGCCAGACGGGACGCATTGAGAAATTTCGCTCTGTCATTGACTTCGGCTTTGATGCAAAGGACACTCTTGTCCGCTTTAGCCGGGTGGAACTGGGGGAGGATCACCTAGCTAGAAGGTGAGATGCTTATCTCGGTCGTTATACTTTGCTCATGAGTGAATGAAGTTGACTGACTTTTACCTGTGCAAGATACTACGCCCGAGCACTTTTGACCTGCCTTCACCGAAGCATTGCAATTCCCGAATGGGCTAAGGTCAGACTCGGCGAGCCCGTATCGCTCGATCGTGCTATGGCTGCCTTCGATTTATTTATCCCAGAGACTGGCTTTGGGGAATTGGATGAGGTATGGCCCTTTATTCAAGGTCAAATAACAGTGTTTGTTTTCTGACAATGTTCAAGGTTCGGGTCATTTTGGATAGGATCGTCTGTCGCTTTAGGGCGCTTCATCCCAACATCGACAGTCTTCGTCCTCGAGCAAAGGCTCTGACTCTTGCGTCCTGGCTGCAGGAGAATGATTTTACAGGAATGGATCCGGAACGGCAGTATCATTCGCTAGAACACAACTTTTTAGGGCTGGCCTTGACGAGTCCTGGGCATAATTCCTTGCCGTTGGTTTCGGCCGTGATATATTGCTACGCGGCTCAGAAGTTGCAACTAGATGCTCGTCCTTGTGGGTTTCCATTCCATGTCTACGTGATGATTTCTCCTTCATCAGGCTTTGACATGAACGGGAATACATCTTTCGGTGAACAGCCAAGTACGCCCATGTATTTGGATCAATTTCGAGGCGCACGAGAAACTCCAGTCTCTGATCTACGTGATCAATTGGTCTTTCTTGGAGCTACGGATGTTGAGCAAGCGGAATTTTTGGGAGAATCACCACTTTCACAAATCATTTTGCGCTGCAGCAAAAATATACTCAATTCCATCCACTCCGTGTCTCACACACCCGAGAGCCATGGCACTTCGATTGATGTGGTGAGTGCAAAATACGCTGCGTTGTGGTCATCAATGCTACTCTCTGGAGAATCGAGGCCTATGGACCTCCGGCACCAGTTACCCTGGCTGATGGAGTTGTTCGCTACCGACTTTCCGTCCGATATTTTTTTGATAGAAAAATATATTGTACCTCTATTTGAGGGACTCTTTGAACACGAGCATATATTGGAAAGCTTGCATGTCATGCGAGCAGTGGACGAGATTCCCAAACAGGTGCATCGGCGGTCCGATGGGAAGAAAGATATTCGGTACAAAGTGGGCCAAGTCTTCCGACACCGTCGATATCATTACCGCGCCATCATCACTGGCTGGGACTCGGAGTGCGGCGCCGAGGAACAGTGGATGCGACGAATGGGAATTGATCGCTTACAGGCAGGTCGACATCAGAGCTTTTACCATGTCTTGTGGGTTATTCTTTCTTTGGAGCCTTCTCTCTCGGTGCCTTAGCTGACAAAATATATTATACTTAGGGTTGAAGATCGAAGTGTACGATATGTTGCGGAGGAAAATATTGAGCTCATTTTACCAGAGATGACCGATTTACCGCAGAGCTTGACAATGATTGCAGGTAAACACTTCAAGCGATGGGATGGAACTACCCATGCTTTTGTTAGTAATGTACGCGACGAGTATCCGGATGATTAGCCATTGTTTGGAATAGGAAGTGCTAAAATGGGGGCACTACATGGACATACATATGGATATCATATCTCAAAGCAATTTACCTACTTAAGCAGTGCGCAGTATAAGATATATGAACATTTTAAAAATATGTACTCATCCAGGTCCGCCATAATAGCAGCCATTAAATCAAACCAAACCAAACCAAATATATACGCGAGAATCAGCCGGTTACGGGGATTGTCGTCTCTCACATATGAATTGCCAATCCCCCTGATGATGTGCGGTAAGTCGACACCACCCTGAACAACACTCGACGTGTCTGTAACACGGTTCCCAGCGATCGAGACACATCTCGTCTCCGCCAGGATACCATGGAGGATACCTGACCATACATTGCCCATTCTTACCGCAGTATTGTGGCTCGACACAGTCATGGATAGTTTCACAGCCTTTGATGCATACTCCGTCCACACAAATGAAACTCCAAGGGCAGCCAGGATTAGATTTACAGAATATGTCTGGCTCAGCGCGTGCTTGGAGGAGGCCGAGTGGAACATTAGGATGGTTTGTAGTATTCTGTACTGCCATCACGATTGTTGTGTTCTTCAGCATGCTCGGGGTAGTTGCCAGGTCGAATCCGCCATATCTGAGTTGGACAAATCTCATCACACCCCCAACAAGTATGAAGAGACCCACCAATAAGACACTAACAGATTGTGTAGCACGCCGCTGCCTAAAATGTTGGAGATTGGGAAAGAGCATTGTGGAAGTGCATCCGGTGTATTTTAGATAAAAGTCGGAAGGTGCTTGAGATGTCTTAAGTATGAAGTGGTGTAATAGTATAGGATACCTCTTGAAAAAGTTGAGTACTAGTTTTGGTTATAAATCAGGACTACGAAGGAAGTTATAGTATTGAGAGTCGGATCTACAGAGTTTCAGGGGAACCGTAGATCCGTAGGTAGTATTAGGCCTAGGTTAGTCTAGGTGAGGATTAGACTTCTGTACCTAAATTCTAACTTCCTAGGGTAAGCCTAACTAGGCTACGGCGCAGTGGAACACAGCAGTACTAGCCGAACGATAGGAGTTAGTAGAACGGGCCACCGAGACCTATATTATATCCGAATAGCTATATATAGCTTAGTAGTAGTAGTAGTAGTAGTAGTAGTAGTAGTAGTAGAATTCATTGACCTGCTGTAGCCTACTTCGTAGGCTATGCCAGGGTTGTTATCAGGCCAGCTAAAGCTAAGGAAAGTAGCGCTAGCGCTAGGCTCAGACTTTGGGTACACCTAGGTATATCTGAAAGATATACTAGAGTTGTTTGCTGTTGCCAAATAAGTGAAGTAAATATAATTTAGATAAAGGAAATATAGAGAGTATACAAATATAGTAAACAAAAATAGATATAAAAACAAAAATAAATATACTAAACATACTAAATATAATAGTAATCTTCTAGTGCTCTCCTGATATATATTACTATACTATAGCTAAAATTCTCTCTAAGATCCTACATCTCTTATAGCTCTATCTTTATAAGCTATTTCCTACTTCTATATATTCTTTTCTTTTCCTACTTCTTATTAGCTTCTTTATATTACTAAGATCTTAAATTACTAAGAATACTATTATATTATATTACTATATCTTAAAGACTTCTTTATATTACTAAGATAAATTCCTAGTACTAAGCCTATTATATATAATATATCTCTTTTATAAAACTATCTATCAACTAAGTTTATTTAATATTAAGAAGATATAACTAACTAGAACTATATCTCTATAAGTATCTTCTTTATCTTTATTAATATACTATCCTATATTACTCTTATTTATCTATATCTATAGTCTATACTAGTTTATATCTAACTATCTCTAGATCTATAGTATAGAACTAGCCGTGCCTTACCCTACGGTCTGGACACCAAATATGCGTACCCGCATTTGGTGTCCCGCAGCGCAATGTAATTCTTACTACAATGTAATTTTTCTTTTTATATATCTTTATTGCTATAATATACTACCTTAACTATACCCGATTCTACTAAAACTGAGGTATCTTGTATAAATAAGGCTATGTAATTCGCTCGAAGCAAAAAAACGCTAAATTTACGTGAGGTTATACAGAAATTTGGTATTAATTACAATTTGTTGTAGTATTGTATTAAATAGAATATAAGGCTAAAAATAGAGATAAAACTATTAAATTATAGCCTAAATACCTAGTAGAAGAAGACTTTAGACTATTAGATAAAGACTTTAGATACTTCCTTCTTCCTTTTAATATCTACTATTATAGAATATTAGGTTAATATTATACTAGCCTAGTAAAAGATACTAGATTAGATAATTAGAAAAGATTAGATATATTATTATATTAGATATTTCCTAGATATAGAAATAAAGCTTAAAAGGTAAAAAATTATTAATTCTAAGTATCTAGAGTATATAGATATTATAAAGCTATATTATTAGTATAGTTTATTAGCTAAAGCTCTAAAAGATATAAAGCTATAGAATATCTATAATTTTTATAAAACTAGCTTTTAAATTAGATAAGGAAGGACTTACTAAGTATTTATTAGTAAACTAAATAAAGCTATAAACCTTTCTAATATAGAGTATAATAAAAGGGTTATAGTTATAGAATATATTATAGCTAATAATTAGTAAATATAGCCCTTAATTATCTTTAAAAAAGTATATTATATAAATATATAGTATAACTATAAAATACCTAATAAATAAATAATTATAATTATAGAAAAAGGCTATATTATTAATAAGCTTATTATATATTAGATAGAAGAAGTTAACTAAGAAATATATAGTTATATCTAAAAAGGAGAGTAATATATTCTTTTAGTTAATAGTTATAACTTATATCTAATATTTAAATTTCTTAATACTATAACTAAAGTAAGTATTAAAATCTTTAGATTTCTACTAAATTAAATAAACTATTTTTAATCTCTTAATAACAAGTCTTTTTAGGCTTATAAGACTTATTTTAAAATATGAAATAATCTTATTTCTCAATAGGGTAGAGATCTTCTTATTATAAAATTAGTAAAGATTATTTAAGAAGAATAATTTTAATATAAAGCCTTTATATCCTAGATATATTAGAATATCTTTTTAGATTAAGAAATTTATCTAGTTAATATAAAAAAAGTTTATAGGAGTCTTAAAAATACTTTCCCTTCTATTCTAAATATTGAAATTAATCTATTAGAAAAGAAAATATCCTCTCTAGAACTAGCCCTTTTATTATTAAGTTTAGAAAATATATATTTAAAAACCTTTAGAGATATTACAAAAAGATAGAAATATCTCTTTTCTTTTCTCTACTAGCCTAATTAAATACCTAAAGAGAAAAAAATACTTATATAGATTCTAGATAAGTAAGAATTCTATTTTAATATCTTAGTTAATACTATAACTACTATATAAGAAATAGTTACTATCTAAGCTCTATAAGAAAAAAAAACTATTAGATAATATATTATAGGCCTTAGTAAGGATAGTATAATATATATTAAAGATATTAAATTTGATATAGCTAAAAGGAAGATAAAAGAAGTTAAAAAATATAAAAAATATACAGTAAGAGAGATAGAGAAAAAGTACAGTCCAGCGGCCCTCTTATATAAGAAAGTTGCTGAGATAGAGGCAAATATAGAGATAATATACAATAACTCAGGAGAAGTTATTACTTTTTGTAATTAATTCTAAATTACTAAGAAAATTATATATAAAGACGAAAAAATTGTATTACAGTAAGAATTATATTGCGCTACAGGATACCAAATAGGGCCCCACTTATTTAGTATCCAGACCGTAGGATAAGGCACGGCTAGTCTAGTATATCTAGACCTACATATTAGGCTACCTACAGGCCGAAATTTCACTATCTGTCCGGGGGCTAGGTGCCTATAGGCATTTTAGATATATCTATAGATATACCTAAAGGTACCTATTTAGCGACCAAATTTATATTATTTTTATATATTATTTAATATCATTAGCTATATTTTTTAATATTCTAAAATTATTCTTTTAACTAAGTTAAAATACTAAATAAATTATAATTTAATTAATATATTCTTAATCTAGATATATATAATTAAATAGATAGAAAATAATAAAACTTTCATTCTTAAGTAATCCTTAAGACTAAATTTACTAAATCTTAAAGTAGTAGTAGTAGAATTTATTGATCTACTGTAGCCTACGAAGTAGGCTATGCTAGGGTTGCTATTAGGCTAGCTATAGCTGAGGAAAATGGCGCTTGCGTTGGGCTTAGGCTTTAAGTATGCTGTTGTTAAAGAAGCGAAGTAAATAATATAGATAAAGGAAATACAGAGAAAGAGTATATAAATATACCAAATAGATATAAATATACTAAATATACTAAACTCACTAAATATAATAGTGATCTCCTGGTGTCCTGGTGTCCTGACGATATATATTATTATATTATAGCTAAACTCCCCTCTAGGATCCTATATTTTTTATAGCTCTTTCCTATAAGCTATTTTCTAATTTATATTACTAAGGTAAGTTCTTAGTACTAAGTCTACTATATATAATATATCTCTTCTATAATACTTTTTATTAATTAAGCTCTTTTGATATTAAGGAGATATAACTAATTAGAGCTATATCTCTATAAGTATTCCTTTTGTTTTTATTAATATACTATCCTATATTACTTTTATATTATAGTATATATATATTTATATTATAATGGTTACTAAGTTGTTAGACTAGAGACCTATGACTAGGTAAGGATATCAGATAGTAGAGATCAAATAGAATAATTAATATATAGACTGATTCTTGTCGAACAAGAATTATAGCTATTATTTATATATTTTTATATTACTAGGGCTTAGGGTTATTATATATAAGTAAATATATTAAAGTAGATTTATTTATAGAGTAACTATAAATTATATCTAAGTTATATCTAAAGAGATTTAGGAATCCTATAATAATTTATCCTTTCTTTTTAATAA